TCAATCACCGGTTCGTCTCACCTCCTTGCTGCAGATCCAGTGGCTGAGACACACCCAAATGTCCACATGGATGCCAGAGCTCATTCAAAGCTTTAATTATGAACAATTATAACTCAAATCAAACTTAGACAGGGAACCAAAAGTGCTCAAAAGTTCACTTTTACTTTACTTTTCTTCACACTTGAGTTTACATGTAAACTCAAAAACTTTACAGAAAACATGGCGGCCTTCACACGTCCATAGTGACAGATTATGTTTGTCCATTCTTGCCACTGTGAGCAACCTGTCGACACCGCTGATGAGGGTGAATTTGTGAAATCCAGCGGGTGAATCTGCAGCTCTGTCAGCACAGCAGCTGGGATCCCAACATGTTTCAGCAGCTCGGGTTTAGGTGGAGCTGTGGGAGAGACTGCTGCCTCACCCACGAGTGACACAACACTGATAATGACTGAGGATATTCCTCAGAAACACACACACACACACCACACACACACACACACACACACAGGGAGGGAGGAGAGGTTGCGACATCCTGCTTCACTCCCCCTCTTCTTTCTCTCTTTTCCTGCTCTGACCCTTCACTCTCTCCACCTTTACGTCTCGTTAATCTTTCTCTTTCCTTCCTTTTCCCTATTTTTTGCCCTCTCCGGTTGATCTGCCACACCTGTGCGAGTGTGTAGATGTGTGTGTATGTGTGGGTGTGTGTCACCAACAGCCGCCTCTCCTGCAAACATCCTGTCGGTGAGCACATGTAGTCAGCGGGTTTAACTAACACACACTCATGAGCAAACACACTCAGCTCCACCCAAAGCTCCTGTTTTAGTCACCACATGGTTGTTAAGTTAATAAATGATGATGAGATTAAAGTTAAAGCTTTTTATCTCTTAAAAAACAGGGTTTGCACATTAAAGTGGTAGCTGTTTCAACCTGAAATATTCAGTTTAACTCGATAAGTGCAGTGATTCATTTTAGAGATTGTGTGAACGTGGTCCAGGAAACATCACCATCCTTAAGACTCAGAAAGAAATGTTAAAGTTGGGGCACAATCATCAATATATTTATATTTTCATGTGTTACATCTAAGAACCAATGCAGCCACTCAACATCAGCCAGGGCTAAACCTGCACCGATTGGCTGCTATGATGCTATAATGCTCTACTATCCAGATGTAAACGAGCACAGATGATATCTTGTTTAGTTTGTCAGTAATTTGAGAAAATGGTGATAAAGTTGTATCAAGGCTGTGTCTACTTAAACTGGGTTATAATCACTCGACCTAAGCGGGGCATAACCGACACAGACATGTGGAAGTAAACCTGCATGCAGGACCAAAGGCAGGTGGTGCTGGCTCTGCTAATGTTAGCCTCACTCAGCAAACCGATGAACCCTCTCTTAAACTGAAGGATCGGAGTCTGTGAGTGATGATGGCAGGTTTGGAAGGGCATGGCAGCTAAAGCCCCCCATGTAAAGAGGCTATGGTCCTCATTGCAGCAGTTGCTGGTTCGATTCCAGGCCATGAATCGATGTCTTCCCCTACTCTCCACCCCCCAAATTACATTTTCTGTCTAGGTTAAAAATATAACCTAGAAAATATGAAGACAAATGAGTTTGAACATCAGCACCAACTTGTGTAACCTGTTTGTAATTCTGGTGACAATTAGCATGGGCGATGGTGTTTAATAGTTTAATTTATTAATCAAACACAAACACACAGGTCCTTATAACAGATATTTAAACCAGAGACAAACAGATTAATCGGGCCAGTTTACAGCGTTTCGTAATAATCAGGATCTGCCTTCATTTGCTCCGTTTATTCAAATCCAGAACAACTTTATTCATATATGTACGCAGCTACAGAAACATACAGTTTATATTTTTAGCACCAAACTTTTTGTTCTTTTCTTCTGACAGAGTTCATCCTGAGTCCTCAACAGTGTGTGAACGTGCATGTTTGTGTGCGTATGTGTGTGTGTGTCCTTGTCGACACAGTTTTGTGAGTAACGAGGCTATCGCCATGGTAGCCTATTGTTCATAAAGGAGGAGAGTAAGAGTAAAACAAAAGGAGAGAGAGCGAGAGAGAGAGAGACAGAGAGAGAGAGAGAGAGGAAGAGGGGTTCGAAGAAGTATGACGGCTCCAGTAAAGAAAAAAGATAAATGGAAAACAAACCAACAATAGACGAGTATTTGTGGAATCCAGGTTCAAGTTCTGGGGTTAGAGTGTGTGTGTGTGTGTGTGTGTGTGTGTGTGTGTGTGTGTGTGTGTGTGTGTGTGTGTGTGTGTGTGTGTGTGTTGAAACAGCTCCTCCAGTCCACTGCAGTGTGTTTCCTGCTGCTTTAAGCCTGGTCCCGCCTCCCTCCTGGACTCGTCGTGTGATTGGCTCACAGGTCTGGGTACCTGAACATAACTCACTTTATCTGGAGCCCACATTCAACAACAGCCAAACCAAACTGATGTGTAGACCTGGGTCTGGTCCAAAGATCACAGCCGTAAACACTGAACAGCATGCTAACCCACACTCACCCGGACAGGTGAGGCCTGACTCTGCTGCTCAGATCGTTACTGACCTAGTTGGCCCCGCCCAACCTGAATAAACAGCCACAGGTGAGAGACTTGACTTTAGAGCTGTGGTTTCAGAGACTGGGTGAAGTTTCTTTGCTTACAGGATGTGTTGGAGTGGATCAGTTTGAATAAATATCAAATGCAGAATATTTCTTTTTACACCTATCACGGTTTTTGTCCCACAAGGTCCCCTACATAAAAAAAGAACCAAAATACATGTTCCTGTACCCTCCTCTCCTAACCTAAACCCTCTGTAGCACTTGTGAAGGCTCACTTTTCAAAGCTTAAACCGTCAGAGGCTCATGTAGAGGTCAGAAAAAAAAAAACCACTCTACAGCCACCTCCTGTTTCATTCATTCACTGATTAATCTGAACACACACCCATTCACAAAAGGTCCCCGTTCAATTCAGCATCAGATAAACAATATTTGAACTTGTCAGGCAGCCACCATCACTGCGGATACCTGCTGATTTGTTAGCTGGTTACCACGGTGACGCAACAATTCAAAAGAGCAACACAGACACACTGATGGGGGTGGGCGGGTGGGGTGGGGGGTTATTAGAGACAAAGGAAGAATAAGACCGGAGTGGAGGAGAGAGATTAAGTGTGCGTGTGCATGCGTGTGCATGTGTGTGTGTGTGTGTGTAAAGGTGAACCAGGTTGGAGCTGAATGCCTTTCTTATCAGCGGGGCACACCCTCCGCCCTGCACAGGAAGTTACATAATGAGCCAAGAACAGAGCAGAGAAATACCTGCTCAATGATCCAAACAGGCTGAGAACTACACTCAGATTTATAATCTGATTAACTCAGCCAACTAATGACCAGTCCACAGGTTTAACGGACTTAACGAACCACAGAAAAGTCACAAATAAGAAAGAATGACTTCCAACCTAAAGAAACACTTGTTTGCATCATCCTGTTTGAATCTGCCTTCAAAATAAAAGCCTGTGGGAGCTTTCATACCTTTAGAAAGTAAAACTAAGTCTCATCTTTCAGTCCATCATACTAGTGACTAAGGATGGGTGATAACTTATTGTTAACAATATATCGTCAGAAAAAACCTCCATGAGAAAGCCGTAGCCCACACAGAGCAGAATAACAAACATCATGGCCGAAGGTAGTGAAGAAGACGTTTCTGAGCAGCTCGTTACTGAACGAGGCTCCACATGAGGGATTGGGGTTTAGATGAGTGCAATGCCTGACATTGAACAGTGGATCTGCTGCTGCTCACTCTGTGCAATAAGAGTTTTCACATTTGAGACTTGTTTGAGGTCATTAGTTTTCTCTATAACCTACCACTCAAACTTGTGGTTGAGTATCTTATTTGACTACTCTAACTGGTGTTCTCAAGATAAAATGTAAATATTGTGATATAATTTTTAGCCCATATTGCCAATCTCTACAGGTGACTTCACTACATTGTACACAGGGGGATATAAAGTATAACAATGCTGGTGCAAAAGAGGTTTTAGGTTGAATTTTATCCTTGTTTCTGTGTTTGCTGCTGCGAGCTCTCCTGGAGCACTGGCCTCTTTTGTTTAAGTGTTTTTCTACCACCTCATCTGTCTTCATCCTCCTTTTTAAACAGCTAAAAAGCACCACTATAACTTTTCACTTAACTTTTCACTGATTCTACAAAATTAAACAATAAGAGATGACTTTGCACATTTAAAAACACCCGGGTGAGCGCTGGTGGCCTCCACTACAGAGTTCAGAGAGTAAACAGATGTGATTGCCGAGACTTTTATATTTAGAACTCTAAACAGTGGAAGTACGTCAGGTAATGAGGCACTCTGTTTACTTTCTTGTGGTCAGCTAACTAATGACCCTGAGTTTACATGTCTGTCAAATTGCACACACACACGCAGGTGTGTTGTATTGAATTCCAATGGAAAGATTTGTCTCAATGTAAACACAAAGAATCTGAGAAATCCAGTCACACCTTTCCTCCAGGTGAACCATCTCTCTGTCAGGTAACTGTATCTCTCTCTCTCACTCTCTCTCTCTCGCTCTCTCTCTCTCTCTCTCTCTCTCTCTCTCTCTCTCTCTCCTGCCCCTTAAAGGCAACAACTGCTGCCCCTCATTACAACAGCTGTTCCTCCGCATGATGATGACTACATCACCTCTCAGACGCACATGTTCAGCCTCCTAACCTGCAATTTTCTGCAGTTTAAAAGAGAACGGTCGACGCCTGAGGCCAATCGTCACGCTGATGTCAGCCAACCACCATCCTGATAAACATTCGCCGTCAAACACCGGCGCACCACGCCGTCATCTGTTTGTCATCCAAATGCAGCAGGTGGCAAGACGCTTGAAAAGTTCAGTAAAAGTTTCTCTAGAAGTGAACCTGAGGTCAAGAAAAGTCGAATTATCTTCAGTCGTAGTTTCGATGTTCAAGTAAAGGAGACGGAAAAAAAGACAAAGCTGCGATGTTTGATTGACAGGACGTAAAGAGACAGAAGTAACATGTTATTTTCAGATTTTTCACATAACGGTGACAAGGTGCAGTTCAGCCCATCGTGGAAGGCGAGGCAGCCCTGTAATTCATATCACACCCCCTCATATACACACACACACACACACACACACACACACACACACACACACACACACACACACACACGCACACACACTTTCCTTTCTCTCAATAAAAGCAAGAAAAAAAAAAAAGCCACAACTTTGACTTGACAGCACATCCACATTTCTGCACAAATGTTCAGATTTGTTCGTCTTTGTGTGACTTGGGAGTTGATTCTTGTTGCAGTGATATTAAAACTAGAGATTTCCAATTAATCAGACCAATTAATGGATTTTTTTAACCAATGATTGTGCTCACAAAGCACTTACTGACTTCTGTTCAGGGACGTGGTTTAACATCAGTCATGCTATGAAATCTACTTTATAATCTAATATAATGAAACACTGGTTCATAAAGTGCCTGAATGATGGCTGTTATTATGATTACATCATAAATTAAGGGGTAAACCAATATTGATTTTCAAGGCTGATACAGAAATCAATTATTCAAGTTCACGGCTGATTTTTCAAACGAATATAGTGACTTTAACTTTTTGTCAAATATCAGAATTTAAAATAAAACCAACTCCTGACAAAACTTTACTGAAATGCTTTTAGCAAATGTTTACTTTAAAAAGTGACTGGTGTTTTGAACTTTTTACCATCTAAGATAACTGATCTGACAACTGACCTCTTCGGTAACACGAAGTGACGTACGAAAACAAAACAGCTCAGCAGCGTCATCTGTAACCTGTAAAAGTTCAGCCTCATCTTAAAACAACTTCAAGCTCAAACAGGTCAAAGTTTGGAGGTTACAGTGAACGAAGTTAAAAAAAAAACTCTTTAGAAAGCTGGACAGGAGGTACCTGCAGTCAACAGGATGTGGATTAACTACGTTTATGTGTGTGTGTGTGTGTACCCAGGGTTTGACCTGTGCAACACACACACAAACACACATTCCCCAGCGATGAGATCATAACACCACCCACAAACCCCCCAATTCAGTGCACACACTATTTATCAGCCCCCTCCCCTCAAAGGACCCGGTGGATGGTGGCAGTGGAACAAAAGCCACCCAAACACACACACACACACACACACGCATACGTTCCCTTCCATAACCTTTAAACATCTCTCTGCAAACACGTAACTTAAACCCGACATAAACACACACACACCCTCTGCTACCGACAAAGGCTTCACTCAACACACTGAGGGGTTAACAACTACTCTGACACAAACACACACACTCTGTGCTGTGAAGTGAAAATCACCACAACAACAAAAGTCCATCAAAGTGAACCACCACCTTCAGCAGCTGACCGCTTCATCAGTTTTCCGCCCAGGTGTGAGAGTGAGATTAAAACCTGAACACACACTAACGAAGGACATGTAAACCCACTCAACCCCACTTAAAAACTGTGAAATACCCCTTTAAATTTCCTTTAAGTGTGGGTATAAAGACGCTGTACTTCTCCAACAGAGATCTCCTGGAGAAATGGTGCTCATGGGAATATTTGACATCAGTCTCTTAATATGAAAAAAGACATTATCTGACTGTCATCACTCTGAGCACCACTATGAGCCCCCGTCACACTCGGGTGGAGGCAGATTTCCTCACTGTTGCTCATTATTTGGAGGTAAGTGAGACGGTATGTTTCTAATAATTTGGGTGTACTGATCCTTTAGGTCTCCAGAGAAGTTTGAAAATGACCGATCACCTCAAATCTTCTCCAAAAGGTCAAACATGTGACCTCCGCTCCAGGAAAGCCTGCAGTCTTCCTCCATCGCATCATGTCGCCACTCCCAAACTGTGGCACCCACTGATGACATCACCACATGATGCATCGTTGTAATAACGGTGCAGCCTAATAAGAGTCACATGAGTCATGCAGCAGCGGCTCAGAGGGGGCGACCCACCAAAAAAGAACCAGATTACAGACGGCGAGAAGGAGGCTTTGATTTGGTTAATGAGGGGCGAACGAGATAGAGATTGTATGTCATTCTGACTCTCTCTCTCTTTAATCTGGTCGCTGGTGGGATTCAAACAGCTGCAGAGACGAAGAGCGAGAAAGATCAAAGTTGGAGGGAAAGCTGCTCTCGTGTCTTTCAGGCTCGCTCACAGAGAATCAAAGAAGTGAATGAACCGAGGAGAATAATGAACCCGAACAAGTCCGGTGCTGGACAAAACTATGGAGACCAGGGGACCTCAGACTGAGAAACCAGAACGTTAGGAAGTCTGGATGTGGTTGGGGGGGCCACACTTTATACCACCCTGACTACAATTAAGAAGTCAACACTGAGTTTTTTTGTCGCTACTGTCTCACAATTTTCACACTGCAAACTGAAGCTGGGATTCAAACTTTGTAAGATCTTGTTTTGTTTGAATTAATGAGGGCGACAGCAAATTTACAATACGACAAAATAAACAAGAGGCGCAGAGGAGTTAGGAGAGGTTTTCATTTATGCATTTATGGATAATGTGACAAACTGTTCACCGACAATGGAGTTTCAGAGTGAGTTTCAGCCTATGTGGTGACTTACAGTACAGAGTCACGTCTGTTTTTAATGCAGATGATGGTCATAAAGTGCTGGTTTGGGGCGTTGTCCTTTCTTTGATTCTTGTAATGATATCATGAACTGTAGATGATAAAATCCACTCAGGGACTTTATTATAAAACCATTGAACTGCATGCCTACGCAGTCTCTCAGTGCCGATACTTTATATGTTGTCTTTGCACCATTTTTATTTACATACTGAGTTTCGGTGCTTTACAAACATTACCTTCTGTTTTAATCAAACAACAAGAGCTGTATATGACATGGCAAGTGTTCAGAAAAGACTCAGTTTTAACATTTCCATCCTTTGTTTGAAAAGTAAACAGAGCTCTCTGTGCAGAAAAAAGGGAATATTGATGAGTAGATGTGAGAGTTAAGTTTAAATAACCAAAACAGTCAAATTTACTGCAACTAAGAACAGAAACCGCTCCAGGCTTCCCGGCTCTTAAAGAAGCTGTTTGCTAAGTTCATTCCAGTTCATCGAGCAGAGAAATCCAGCAGCAGCAGCAGCTCTGAACTGACACTCATTGAAAACACAAAACAAAAGCAGGAAACCTCCCTGGAGGATGAAGTGACACATTTGAAACTATTTACGTAAAAGTAAAAATAATCAAAGTTTGTGGCTGAGCTGCATGATAAATGATCCAACTCCTGTTCCCTCCAGAACACGAGCTGCACAAACTCAAACCAGATTTCAGACCCGCGGGTCTCCTGTTAAACAGCAGACTGAATAACACAATCACTAACACAAACAGGAACCGTCTGCTCCGCTGACAGCCACTGTCCTTCCCTATGAAAGGAACCTTCAATTAAACTCTGACCAGGTCTGATTTTCACAACACGGGCAGAGATTGAATCAGCGGCAGCTAAATAAAAGATTCATAAGGTCGTCAGTAGGCCTGAACGATATATCGTTTGACTATCGTCATCGCGATGTACGTGTGCGATAGTCACATCGCAGAGCCTGCGATATTGGAGGTGAATGAACTCATTTAATTTCAAGGGTAACCGACTGAGATACACTCCATGTGACTCTGCATGTGCTGTGCAGCGATCCACCAATCGCCTTCGTCCTTAACTCAGTTGCCAATCAGACTCACTTCTCAGTTGCCAATCAGACTACCCTGCCAGCTGTCAATCAAAATCAGGGAGGAGAAAACCCACCCCTGCACATGTTCTGCACATGGAGGGAGACGTGTGTCCGCTGAGAATTACTTTCGGAACTTTACTCATGACTATTAAGCCCAACAAATAAGAACTGTATGGGTTTTAAATTGTACATTTCCGTGGACCACTCTACTATAAGCAGTGCGCGTTTTGCGAGGTGCATGCAATTCTCGGAGGACATGCGTTACTCGGCACAACACCGCTAACAACAACAACAACGATCGCAAAATGAACAACGAACAAGAGAAAACCTCCGAAAATGAAGATTTGTTGCCAAAAAGAAAAGGAAAGTCGGTTATCTGGAATTATTTCGGTTAAAAGAAGGATGATGTCGACCAAAACACGTCTTCTGTGTTCATCTGTTGCCACAATAACGTCCCAGCACAATAAAAGCTAAAAATATCTCTGAGACAGACAGAAGCCATTCTAACATTCACAAAAAGAGGTAAGATCAGAGCAGATTAACTGTCCTCAAGATTTCAGCAGTGCAGCATAACATTAAGTGCTATTCAGGTCATCTGGTGAAAATACTGTATTTTTAATATCGCAATATATATCGCAGGGTTGAAAAAATCGCAATATTATTTTTTTCCAATATCGTGCAGCCTTAGTCGTCAGCTTACTTTAGACATCTAAAAATAAAACAACAGTGGGCCGAGCGTTGAGCTTTGTGGCACACCACATGTATAATAAGCTAAGGCGTTTAAGTTTTCCCATTCAATCAAGAATACGTGTTAGAGAAGAGAAGTTAAAGAAGATTACAGTCTCGTTAAAAGATGTGAAACTTCCTCGGACATCCTCCGAAGGAAAGACAAAACGTTTAAGTTGACAAAACAAGTCTGAATAATAAACCAGTCTGTGTTAAAAGACAGCAGAGCTCCATGTGAAAAATGCAAGAGGACCACAAAAGAGCTGAGTAACCACTGCTGCGCTTCCCTGTCATTAACACACAAACACACACACACATCTGGCATTACGTCTGCATGCATAAACAGGACACACACTGACAAACACACTGCAGCGTTTAGCCTCTGATGACCTCACCCTGCTGGTTCCCAGGCTATGATGTCATCAGAGCCAGACGGGCCATGTGGTGAAGACGAAGAGGAGGATGAAGATTAGACAGGAGAAAACGATAAGGGAAACAAACATGAGAGCGAAACAAAACAAAATATATATGGAAAAAAAAGAAGAGGTAAAAATTCAGTTTAGAGGAGAAACTAAACTCCAGTAGGTCAAGGTGTTTTATTTAGAGTCCAATATAAGGACCGACAGCGTGAACATGTTTAAGTTTGAAATGAAAACTGAGGTTTGCTTTTTTGTCTAAATGAAGCTGCTGCAGCATCTTTCTGTTTCCTGCAGCAATGAAAAAACTGATAAAAACTCCATATGGAGTCTCTGAGTCTGATCTGCCACCTATGAGTCAAGCGTGCAGGTGCAGCTCATCCCCAAACCATCACACATGACCCCCTCAGTCTCGCTGTGTCACGTCTGTTTGTTTGGTTCTGTCCTCTTCATTTGAGTGATAATAACGCGATCGCTCTTTCAGGTCCTGTTCTCATTATTCTGGTTTGTAAATGTGGTTTTCTTGATTTGGGTGAAGTTAAAACCTGCTTCTGTGTCTGGTACTATACTGCTCTGTCTGGTACTTGGATTCATCATCTTAAAGCTAATTTCCTGAGTGAGTCTGTGTTTTTTTTAAGTCGAATGAATAAACATGTAAATTTTAAATCCTCACGCTGCATCGTTTGCATCAGCTGCAGCAAATTAGTCTTGTTATTGTCTTGCAATTTCGTCACAGGATATTTTCCAGTTACTTTTAAACTGAACCTCTTTTTTCTATGTATTTATGTGGGTCACAGGACTGGACTTGAATCCAGGACTGCAGTAAGGACTGCGAGGAAGAAAAGGGGAAAAGAAAAAAGTCAAAAACAGGGAAAGAAATACAACATGAGTGAGTAAAAAAAAAGAAAGAAAGAAAAGTTTGAAATGTTTGTGAAGGAGCCAGGCTGCAGGAGGTTCCCCAGGATGATTATCACCATACAATCCTCACTGAACCGCCGCCACCACCACACTCACAAACACAGATCAGCACTCGGGAAGCTGGAGTGTGGGTTTGTTTAAATGTTGAGCTCAGGTTTTGATGTTTATGTGTGTGAGTGAGAGAGAGAGAGAGAGAAATAAAGGGCTGAGAATAAAGCTTCTCTGTCATCTTTCGTATCCTGATCATCATCATTAACCAAATATTTAGTCTTTGACTCAGCGGCATGTCTGCATCATCTGCCAGCAGACAGCAGAGGTGTGTGTGTGTGTGAGTGTGTGTGTGTGTGTGTGTGTGTGTGTGTACGATTACAGCCTCCACATCAAAGACGATCCTGCAGAGGACACACAATGACTGAAGCAACATCACGACATCAGTTCAGCTTCAGGAGGACTCAAACTTCTGTAAGATGACGAGACGACCGGTAAAAGGACAAAAGGCGTAGCTCTGTGAAAACTCATTTCCGTGAACCTCTGGTTCTGGTGGGCTGGATCGGGTCGGATTTAAACACAGAACAATCTGACTTCATCCAGTTAATCCTTTCACAGTTTCTCCTCCAGAGAGTTTCAGTCAGATCTGCTCCTGTAAGATCCAGTCTGCAGAAACAGCACAAAGCTGCAACATGCAGACCTGAACCCAACAAAGGGGCTTTCTCTGCAGGCCCAGGACTCTGTCTGTGTGTGTGTGTGTGTGTGTGTGTGTGTGTGTGTGTGTGTGTGTGTGTGTGTGTGTAAGCCTATATCCCGGCCGCTCTCAGGTTACCTTGTGTGCAGCTAACAGAGGTTCAGTGTGTCGTCTCTCTGACTGTACGGCCTTGAAGTGTGGGATAAGAAGATCCGAGCAGAAACTTTCAGACTCTCAAACATCTTCAAGGATCAAATCAAACAGGTTTTGTCTGGTCCAGCAGCACCAAGTGGTTTTTCTTTGTTTCCCAGCAGGAGATCTGAGGATTCCTCCATGAGCGAATGTCTACCTAAAGAGTCCGCCCTGCCCTCTAAAGCTGATCAAGTATGTGTTTGAAATCCCCTCTTTATGGTTTAGTCACACCTGAATGAGGCTTTTGGCAGAGTCACCTCATGTCTGTTTTCAGCATGTCACAGATGGTTACGTTCAGGGGAAGCTCTTCTGCTCAGAAACGGCACCAATTAACATGTGAGTGTGTTCAACATGATCTGGTAAAGTCAACGGAGAGTCCAGCTGACTAAAGTGATCAGAGACAGAAGCAGTGAGGAAGAGGAGGTTAGAGAGGAAGAGGAGGTTAGAGAGGAAGTCGCTGCTCCAGGATTAAAAATTCTGCTCGTCCTTCTTTTACACGATGCTGCCAGACTTTTAATTCACTCTAAGTCTGTGCTGCAAAATATCAGAATCAAATATAATAGTGAATGTTTGGATCGCCTTCATGCTTTGCACACTCATGCACCTGTGCATGCCTGCACCACTGACACAGGTGCTGAAATCACTCCTTTTGCTTCAGTTTAAATTAGGGGTGTCCCGATATGATATTAATATCGGATATTGGTATTATATCAGAAAAAAAATCAATATTGGATTATTTCAACCTGCATCTAAAAGCTCTGATAACAGCACTCTGATACAAGCAGTCCATTCCAGACTCCACTCCAGCACCTCTATCTAGCAGCACCCAGATCCAGCATGTAGAGCTCACGTAATCACAACAACAGTTTAGCAAAGAGTAGCAGTGATGTCGGCCTTGTGGCAGTATTTTGTGTTTAAGTCTGAAAAAGACGTTGCAGCTGAGTGCAAAATTTGTCATACACAATTTTGTGCCAATATCAGATCAATATCGGTATCAGTCAATATTAAGGGCTACAATCAGAATCAGAATCTCTTTATTGTCCCGTAAAGGGAAATTAGTTTTGCAACAGGGCTCACAAAAGACAAGTACGCAATGACAACATAAATTAAAAAAAACATAGAACAATAAAAAACATAACAGCACAATATCAGAAACACAAAACCACCTAAAATTCAGTCCAGAGCTCATACCAAAAATGGAGAAAAACTACTACCAAGTAATTAAAAGTGCAATGTGTGCAAATGAGCAATAATGGTGCAAGACAACATGAGCAGCCTGAGGGTCGACTGCTATTCAATAAATAAATTGCACTGGAGATAAAAGAGACCTGAAATCTTTTAGTCCTCCTCATGGGGGCCCTAAAACGACGGCCTGAAGGTAAAAGCTCAAACTCGCATCTAAGTGGATGATTGGGACAACCCAGAATGGCACCATGACGATTCTTATTGGACAATATCGGTATAGTATCGGAAGTAAAAAAGTTGTATCGGTACACCCCTCGTTTAAATGAATTTCTTGTTCTTTTGCACACGACTCGCCTCATCTTTTGTTTGGAAGGTCGGAGCGTGAAGTTTACTGAGATGTCCTGGACAAACTGGAGGACACCGTGATCATGTTTACATTTTACAACCGTCCAACACAGATGCAAACTCTGCATGCACAGAAGTCAGTGACAGTATGGCGTGTTTCTGGTGTGACATCATGTGTCATAATTTAACCCCGGGTGTAAAAGAAACCCAAGATGACTTTAAACATCTGAACCTATTTAACCTTTTCAGGTCATTTTGCGTCGACTTCATGTTGACAGAAAATCTTCAGACATTTGTTGAAGAAAAAACAATTAACCTTTTAAAATGAATCATTCAACCTTTAATTATACACCCTTCATTTACATAAATGTCATCTTTAGACACCTTTAGAGCCGGTCTAGACCATGCCCTGTTTTGTTTGAATGGTCGTTTGCTCTGCCACAGTCTTTGGGACAATCATGATCATGTTTCCAGTCTAAAAAAGTGAAGATGCAAACAGTTTAAAAATGAAGCATTAAAGAAATCTGTCTGTTTATGAAATCTTTATTTATTAGCTGGTGTGATATTTATGATCTAATCAACAGCAGAGATTCATTTTACACCGTCTACATTCAGCGTCTCTCTCTCTTTCTCTCTCTCTCTCTCTCTCTCTTTCTCTCTCTGCGTGTTTTTATCCTCAAGTTTTGTTCTCCCCCTGAAAATGTGTTTTTGCTCTAAAACCACGAGTCACGCTTCGTTCATTCCTCTGAAACCATCCCTCAAAAGCCGCCGTCATGGTGGAGAATCAAAACACAGATTCTGGCCTTTTCATCAGGTTACATGATCCCTGGTTGGACCTTCCTGCAGGTCGATACAAGTCTCGATCTGATCGTGATTATGATCATTATCTTGACAGAATCTTGATTTTGATTTGATGGTTTGAGCCTCCGGATATAAACCTGAAAACATTTTTTTTTTAAATTTTGACCCTGAAGGACTGAAACCAAAGAGGCGAGAAAGTAAACAGGTTACTCGGCGAGCGAAGGAGCTGTGAGGTTTGTGGGTCAGTGAGGAAGAACATGTCCAATTCAGACCCTCTGCCAGCTATGACTTATGGGAGAACTTAGACTGCAGGAGCACATTAGAGTCTTTATGGATGTAATTTCCAAAGGAAAAGAAAACTTCTCCTGTCTTCACTTCCCCTTTACTACAGCAGATTGTTTAGTTTGACTGGAAATGTCTCCCAACGTTGGATACTGAGCCTTAAACAGTCTGACGCACTCTTAAAGGGATACTTAGTTTTGGACGAAGGATTGGATGAGGTCACGTTTAATGTTCAGAGGACTTGGCGGTCAGGATGGCCTCTGTGTGAGAAAGCTGGGAAACACAGAAAATAACAGAAGAAGAGGAGGACAGTGGGTTCCCTTCAGTACTTCTCTGAATTTTACTTCACACAGCTGAGGCGTCAAATGAAGAAGATTTTCCTCCTTCCTCCGTCACATGAACCTGAACGCAGCCTCAGGCAGCTCGGGGTCACTGGAGCTGTGTGACACTTCCTTTTTAAAAGCCCCTCCCCCCTCCGGTAAACTCCTGCCAATCATTGACTTTGTTTACTAAGGTTGCCGGGGCAACAGTTAGAATGTGGCTCATCCCATCCTGACCTTGGGACAGTTTTTATCTCCCTGTTATTTATCACTCTGTCTGCGTCTTTGTCTTCTCTGACCGTCAGGAAGGTGAATCAGCTTGTTGCCAAATCAGTTTCAGCTGAACCAGATACCATCAGGGTTTTCACCCACAGAGTGCACAAAAAAAAAAAAAAAAACTCATTAAGAATCCATGTATTTTAAACATATGTCCCCATGCAACATTTTAACTGATGTGTGAGATTGCTATACTTTACTTTTTAAACAGAATTACAAAAACTGGCTACAAAAAAAAATACAATGTTAGGGAAGTTCGTTACATCTTCCTGTTTTTTTTTTTAAGTTTCCTCTGTTTTGTTTTTTTTTATTATGACTGTAAAACAAGATGTTTTAAAATCCAAACATTTAAAGCTGCAAATATGATTGAAGACTGTCACATGACCTTCAACACATCATGCAGTCAGCACTTCCTCATTATCCGCAGTTAATTTACTCTAAACATTGATCTGAAATCACTTAAATGCAGCCGCTTACTTAAACACACAAAGGAACCGACTGATATTTATTGTATCTTACTACGTGGTCACATTTCTGCATGCGAGTTCAGACACCGTTATAAAAACACTCAACTAAGTTTGACATTGATCATGACCATGTGGTCTGCTCGTCTCAGTGCTTGTTAACATCGGGGGATTTCTGCACAGGACCTCAGTGAACTTTTAGCATCTACACCTGCAGCACATGGACATCAGGGGAATGTGAAAATGCAGAAAAAGACAGTGTTAGTTTGATAAGAAGATTAATTTTTATCGCTGAAACAACTGAGTATATGAAAGTCAAATCTGTTAATTCGTTAGTTAATTCGTGACTTCTCTCTCTCTCTTCTGGTATTTCTTAACCCTAACCCTAATTTTCTTATTGCAACTAGAAAACAGAAAGAAATAATCCAATATTAGTCTCCTCAGATATATCCTCAGATAATGTGCAAAATTACAGAATTGAGCAGCCCATGTTATTAAATCTGCAAAATCCAATTAAAACACGCCCGGAGAGTCCGAACACTTCCACTAAATATGATCAGGCCATGTAGGGCGGACCGTTGCAGCGTTTACCGCCAAATGATTTAAATGTCAGTTTCAGAGCTCGTGTTTTGACCTTTTTTTTTTCAGACAGTCTGTTTTAAGGTCAGTGTGTGGAGGCTAATTTTGGATCTTAGCGACCACATGAAACACCGAAAATAAGATCTGAATCTGCAGCCAGGAGGTGACGACAGAGAGAGAAAGAGAAACTCCAAAATGGAAGAAAAACACACTTCGGCTACAAGAGAAAAACCATGAGGACAGCAAAAGAAAAACAGAAACAGAGAGATGAGTTTCAGGAAAAAGCAGCGAGGCCTGAACACACACACACACACACACACACACACACGATCCTGCTAGACTGAAACCAAACATCTATCAGCTGTCAGAGTCCAAACAGCCGAGTGGACCAGAGACTGTTGTTGACACTCAGCGCCATGGCAACCAAGAGGACTAAAGAGAAAGGAGAGAGAGAGTGAAAGAGAGAGTGTGTGAGAGTCTAAGTGTGTCAGAGTGTGTGTTTCAGTGTGGTTTGTGGTCCCGGGCAGGAGTAGCCTCTTAGTTAATGTGTCACAGACAGGGAGACTTTCTTACTCCCTCACACACGGATCCAAACCCTCCTGAGAAAACCGAGGGCTGCTGTCGTTTATATTTAGGGTGTCGGTGTTTCTCTGATTTTTTTACTCAATCACGAACTATTGATAGTGTCTGTTTACAGGTAACTTTTGCTTTAGTGACTTATTTCCAAACATCACCACAGGTGAGCAGATAAAACTGAACTGGCTAAAAAAAAAAAAAAAAAAACATCAGTCAAATATTGATCCTAAACAATCCAGAACAGAGATCGTTACACATCTGAACTCGAATGTAACTTAAGATCCCATCAACGGTCACCTGTTCTTTATCATCTTGTAAAATAATCAAGAATATAATCAGCTGACGATATCAAGAGGGCACTTAGTTAACATTTTAACTACAAAAGCACTTAAAAAAGTAATATGAGAGCATTTCATTTACATTTTATCCACTAAAAGACGACCAGAGGGCACTTCATTTATACCCTGACCACATAAAGAGCAGCCATAGGGCACTTAGTTTATATTTAAGCCCCTAAAAGACTACCAGAGGGCCCTTTGTTTACATTTAACCCCCTTTAAAAGACTACCAGAGGGGACTTTGTTTACATTTAACCTTTTAAAAGACAACCAGAGGGGACTTTGCTCACATTTAACCTTTTAAAAGACAGCCAGAGGGGACTTTGTTTACATTTGACACCCTAAAAGACTACCAGAGGGCCCTTTGTTTACATTTACCCCCTTTTAAAAGACAACCAGGGCGGACTTCATTTACATTTGACGCCCTAAAAGACTACCAGAGGGGACTTAGCTTACATTTCCCTTCCTAAAAGGACAACAGAGGCACTTCGTTTACATCTTATCCTCTGAAATGAGCAACCAGAGGGCTCTTTGTTTACACAGTCACTAAAAGAGAAACCAGAAAACGCAAATTTAATGTTTTAATCACCTACCAGGCTCTCTATTTTCATTTTATACCCTAAAGTGGCAGCTAGAAAGAACTTTGTTAACATTAAATTATTTATAAATAGCAACCAGTGGGTACTTTTTTACATTTTATCTACTTAAGAGAGAAAGCAAAAGGGACTTTGGTTGCCCGTTTAGTGGTAAAAGTGTAAACAGAGAGCCCTGTCTTTACATTTTAACCACTAAAAAAGCGACCATAGAACACTTTATTTACACTTGATCCATTAAATCAAACTTAGGTTAACTGAACGTTGATGTTTTTCTGAACACAAACTCAGATGAACCTGAAAAGAGACACTTCAGAGCTGGTAAAGAGGAGGAAAAAGTCTGAATCACTGCTGAATATTCAAAAGTAACTGATCTGTTTGGATGAATGAGCGTCTCTCAGGTTAACACACAAACTGAAGCTTTGGTCACATGACTCACCTCTCTGCAGGCTAATGTAACTCTGTAAAAACGCCGCCTAAAGGCTCTTTATGTGTGTGTGTGTGGGAATGAGGTCACACTGTCTGATTAAGGTCACAACTGAAAGCCACAGATCCCGTCAGGCCTGTTCTCACTCCTCTCACCTGGTTCCTCTCACTCTGATCACTATAAACAGCTACAAAGCGTTCGTCTGACAGCTTTAGATCTGGACATTACAGCGGAGGAAACCAAACGGAGAGGATTCATAACGCCACATGATGGTTCAGTGGTTATTAGGGCTGCACACTAACCCTCAAGTTTCTCCAGGGGACTGAAGCATGAAGCCAGATCAGAGCCTGAAGTCTGAGTTTTCTCTGGTTCTTCCTTAACTTGGGTGCGTCACCATGGTAACCGACACTAAACTCATAACCTGGCTGACAAAAGCTGCTTTGTCTGCAGAGTTTCTCCCTGTGACGAAATTTGAAGAAAAATTCTCAGAATCACAACATTTTCCACGAATTTTACCTAAAAAAAGTACAGAGTACGTCTGTGTGACGGTAAAAGTCTTTCAGAGGGAATTTCAGCTCTGAGGAGGTTAGAAAATGCAGCTTAGAAACCTCTAAAGCTGAGAGATGGTGACACACAATTCATCAGGGAGCTTCTTCTAAATCAACCAGAAGTGATCCCAGAGGACAAGCAGTGTGCTCAGATAGACAGCTTATATTACAGAATCCATCCCAGACGAAATCAGACAAATTTAGATGAAACAATCAGAAAAAAATCAAAAAATCCTAGAGGGTGTTTAACCAAAAAAACTAAAGCAGAAAATCAGCGTCCAGAATAACACAAAATTAATCTTACAAAACCAACAAACTTCAGGCACAGAGTGAACCCTTTAACTTCAGCCACAATGCAGCACACCTGTCTGCACAAGAAGAGCCAACACCCTCATCATACACACAGTGTGTTGAGCAACACTGCACACACACACAGACACAGGCACAGACACACACACTCACTCACTCACTGGGTTTTGTAATCCCAAAGTGAATAAGTTTTTTTTATGATTGCTAGAAGACCTGCAGCAATGCACAACACACACACACACACACACACAAACACACACACACACACACACACACACATACACACACACACACACACACACACACCTTTTCTCTTTTCCCCTCTCTCCCTCCCTCCCTCTTTTACTCCCTCCCTCCTTCTCTGATAGTCTGGTTCACTCCCCCGTCATGGAGGTGAGATATGTGACACACAAACGTGGCCTGTGTAATCAGACTGGATCTCCTCCAGAGAGTCCAGACTGCAGCTGCACACACACTCTGACTCACTCAGGTTAAAGTGTGTGTGTGTGAGCCGACTCTCGTCCAAAAGGACTCGAGTGTTAATGGAGTTCAATAAAACGCCTCGATGAAACACCTGCTCTCATGTTCGGGGATAAAACCTGAACCGCTCTGACTCTGTGCAGCAAGTTATTCTTCCTGCAGGAAATGAACACGTTTGTATCACCTGTTTTCAGAGAGATGCACTCAGACCTGTCAGCTGACTGTAAACCAAGTTAGTCCTGTTACCATGGAAACACTCATGCAGGTCACCACCTCAGAACAAGGACTTTACCTGAACCGTCAGACAGTTGAAACAGGATTTTAACACATCTCACATTTTCGCTCTATAATCTCACAGTCACTATATTAAATGTAGTTAAGTGACTACATTACAATTAATGTTATTAGTGGTCGCATCACATGATATTTTGACACTTTGAAGTGTAGAAAAATTACAAATAAGACCTGATTTTTGAGAAGTTGAGGTGACTACGTATATATATGAGAGAGATACTACATATAGAAAGTATAATTTTTGTGCATTTAAACCTTTTTTAACTTCGTCACGTCATTGACCCAAGAACAAACTGGCTATATTATGAAAAGAAGTCAAAATACTCTGGGTTTGAGGTCATAACTTTGTAAGGACGAATAAGGACAAACTGTAAAACTTATACAGAAAAAAGTCTCATAATAATGTGACTATTGTAAATTTATGAGAATACAGTCACATAATTCTGAGTATAAGGTCATAAAAAGTCAAAGATGATTAATAAATTTTTAAAAAGTCACATAGTTTCACACACACACAAAAACCTACATTTGATAAGGATTAAGTTTCAGAAGGGCAAAGTGGGAATATTACTGAGCAAATCTGCTTTATTTTGGGTCTGAGGATATAAATTTGTAAGATTTAAGTTGTGTCATCATGATGTGGTCATTTCATTAAAATGAATTTGTATTTTCAGGCTGGGGTTAATCTTTGTGTGGTTGTTATTAAATGTGCTGCATAAATAAACTCTGACTTTCCTTATCTAAATATAAAACCTCATGCAGGTGGATATCAGAGGAGCCACAGTGAGACATGATCATCTTCAGGCATTAAACTTAACAGTCGTCTTATGATGGAGCCAAACTTCTGACTCACAGACATTTGCATATTTTAATCTGACTGTAACGAGTGTTTTTAGAGTTGCTTGAGGTCTGCAGCTGATACGGTCAGAAATCTTGGACATGTGCGCCTTTTTTGCAAGTTTTGACCGAGTACGGAACAAAAAATACAAAAAATTAAGTTTTGAAAAAATCTCACAATTTAGAGACTTCTATTAAAAATAAAATGTGAATAACTTAATCTGAATCATGATTATAAAATCATTGAAAATACTTTTCCCAAACATAAAAATCAACTGTTCAAAATCTGCCAGTATGTGTGTTTTCTGAAACCTGAATCACAACCAGCACCACCTCACTCTGTGTGTGTGTGTGTGTGTGTGTGTGTGTGTGTGTGTGTGTGTGTGTGTGTGTGTGTGTGTGTGTGTGTGTGTGTGTGTGAGAGAGCGGGTGTGTTCATGAACCCCACCCGCCACCACCCAGTCAGACATTTCCTCCTTTCTCATGTGGAAAATCAGACCTTCACAGTTTAACATCACTGCACACGCTCAGACCTCTGCAGCTTCATCACCAAACACACACAAACGTGCACTAAAACACACACCAAACAAACGGAGCAGCCTCAGTGAGTCAGGACGGTCACACACTCCAGAGTCGGAGCTCATCTCAGACTTCCGGTTGTCTCCTTTAGTAGAAAAACTTCTGCTGGATCTAAAAAAGCACTCCTGGTCCACTTCAAACCAAAGCGGTCTGGATTTAAATGGACTCTGGTGTGGTTTAAAAGGTCTGAAGGACTCATTTAGACCCAAAGATTGACCCACGTGACTTTAATATTTCCGTGAGTCTGAGTTAAAACGTTTGATGAGTCCAGGATGAGTCAGAGAGCAAACAGAACTCCTGAAAAGAGCAGGAACAAGAATCCTGGACTCCAGAGTTCCCATCACACCTGGTCCCACCCACAGGTCAGACCACAGACTTCAGATGATGTCACTAATGAAACTCTGAGATGTTTCCTATTAAAACAAGACAGTTGGAGTGTGTGCGAGGCCATGAAATCTCTCCATTTGCCCGTCGACAGAGGCAGGGCTGCAAAAACACAAAGCGAGGCTACATTCACAGTCACTCATGGACTCAAATCTGCACTTTGAGCACCTCAGATCAGAGGAAAGGGATACTCAGCTCACAAACAAGAAACCAAACAAGAAGATTTCACCACGAATTAAACAGAATTTTGAGTAAAAGTACAGAAGTAGCTTTAAAAGAACAGTCACGCTCAAAATAACAAGATCTGTGCACCTATATTCCCAGAAAAACACAAAGTGAGGATGCAAGTACATTTATCAAACACTTTAAAGCACCACAAATAAACAATACTGTATCTGAGATGATTCCAAGTGAAGCTGACCTGCTGAGTTGGTCAAAATTGGGTTTAGATGGTTTTCATTTAAACCCAAAACCCTGAGTCCATCCTCAAAGGGGTCCAGAGAGGACACTTGTGTGTTTCTTCTTTACATGAAACAGTTTAAATCTGCATCTGTGGATGCAGAGGTCAGCTGTGCTCACAGACTGTGACTTTCAGGAGCGATTTTAAGCCCATGTGGGGATTTCCACTACAGAGTCACGTCTGTTTTTAATCCCGAAAACAACTAAATTTTTATTGAACTGTTCATATTTCATTCATTTTATCCACAAGTGTTAAGTTTCCTCCAACACACTTTAGTATTTATCAAACAGATTACAGTCATAGAGACAGTGACAGAAATAATGTATTTGTCTCAATAACAAACCTCCTGTTAGAGAAATATAAAGCAGTAAAACTGAGCGTTTGTTCTCATGCTGCTGACAAACCTCATTAACAAAAGCTCGAGTTTATGGGTTTTTAAAGACGGTGTGAAGTATTTTCATATAACAAACTTCACCTCTTCACAGGAAGCCGGGCTCATTAACACAGGTGTGTTTTCTCTCTGCAGGAGTCTGCTCATTAAAACACTCTGCTGTTGTCATGTGGAGAGCCTCACACCCAAAACATGCCAAACTCCATCCACACATCTGACACTTCAGTGTGACACATTTCCTTAGAAACTCATGTCCTCATCAGTCACTCCCACTTCTCTAAGACGGTGAAGTTTACAGGTGATTCAGCTCCAGATTTCATCACACATTTTTACACTCCAGTTAACGGCAGCAGGGGCATGACTTGCTGTACAAATTCAAGATTTTAAATAAAACACGTGATCTAAAATGAGTCGTGTGGATGCCGATTTTGAGATCAGCTCAAGTTTGTTTTGAGTTCCAACAAGATGTGTTAAATTAACTGTATCGACATGACTGGACAAGGAAATGTAAAACTGCTAAATTTATTAAGGCAGTTTGGCGCGACCACAAGAGCCGCTGGCAAACGGTTGATCAGGCACATAAAATGCCTAAAGGGAGATTCATCTCATTTAAACACTTAAGTTGTGTAATTTCCTTTACAAAGACACATTTCTTAAACTGCATGCTTTCTTTGGTTAGCACCTGGAAATCCCGGGAAAACTTCCTCACAAATCAAAGGAAAAGGTGTGAATTGAACTTTGGACTTTCACATTTATACTGGCAAACAACTTGATTAAAACTTCCAAAGTCACTCTTGGCTGTTTCATGAGGAAAAACCTGACAACAGCAGTACTTACAGTCAAAATTTAACCTTTAAAACTAGTTTCCCTGCGGATTCAAAGAACCGCATATCAAGCACAGCCAGGTGGGCGGCTGCAGACCGTGTACACCCTCAAAAAACAGGAACTTTTTTATGAATATCATTATTTTGAGTGAAAATTTAAGCCGAATTAAAGAGTGTATCCAAAAGCTTCATAAGACACCATTTACTGTTATTTTATATTCATCTATTCATGTAAAAATAATAGATTAAAATTAAAATCGCCAAATTATTGATGGATGTTTGGACTTTCAACAAAGAAAAACTTTGTCTGGGGATACAACTTAGGTTAGTCAGGGACATACTGCACCATGGATTATCAGATATGCCCTCATTTAATGCTACTTTTATCAAATATGAACTTCTTAACTTTTCCCCCACTGTAGCCCATGGCTGTTACCTTGCTAAAAGCAGCCAGGTGGGCTGTGGCAAACAGCGTGTCTCCAATAAATATCATATATTTTACACAAAATATTAGCCGCTTTGTGTTTTAAATGTTAGCCGAATTGAAGAAGCCGTATAAATCATTCAATTAATATACTTAGTATATTAAATTTCTCAACTGCGTGTTCAGGGAATCAAAAATATCTTTAAGTGGCAGGTTTTTAAACGGGATTTGTATTTGCCACGACAAAAACGGTGGGATTGTGCGGTTAACTGGGAGGACTGGGAGAAAAGCTTCTTTGACAGGTTGCATTACTTATGTAAACTTATCTGACATGTAGACATCAAGAACAAGCAGAGTAAGTTTCGGGTGAGTTCGGAGCCCCAGAGAAGCTTCCAGACGAATGAATGGACTCACCTATGGAGACCAGCTTTATGTTCTCCTTGTCAATGAACTCCAGAGCCACCGACACGTTCTCCAGCTTCATCTGCCTGAAGTTCGGCCTGGTGTGGTACTTTCTGTACATCTTTTTCTGGCTGAGGACCTCCAGCAGGGCAATGAGCCTCAGGCCATCGCCCAGGTCCAGCTGCAGGTCCCCGATCCGCTTGTTGACGCACTTCAGGTGCTCGTTGATCCAGCGTGTGAAGGTGTTCTGCTGGATCTTCTTCCACGGAGCGTCCTCAGCCAGGTCCTTCTCTGTGGCCGGCATCTTTTACGGTTTTCTCGACGTTTCTCTGTAAGGTTTTTGTTCAAACTTGAGTCAAAAGTGACAGAAAGTTGGCCGTTATCGTCTCTCGTGTCCTCGCGGTGTTTCCTCGGTGCAGCCTGGAGTTGGTTTAAGTTTTTTTTCTCAGCCTCACTGAGAAAAGACTGGCTGCTGCTGCGTTCAGGGGCAGCGTCAAGCCCGGAAATCTCATTGTCTCTGTCTTAACGTTCCAGCACTGCCTCCTTCTGGACTCAAACTTCTTTAGACTTCACTTTCTCTCAGCCGCTCAGCCTTCGTGAGTATAATCGCACTGAGCAACAGACGGCTATTAGACGTCTAGTTTTTTTTTTAGACCTAATTTCAACCGTCTAGATTCTGTATATTTTTAGACAGAACTTAGACGTTGCACTTAAACCCATTATTCGATGGCTATTTACTTCAAAAAGGAACTGAGTACTTAACCAAAATAATTATGATAGCCGTTGAGCAATATACAGTGTAGTATAGATATAGCCTAGATTTAGACTTGGTCTAAACTTGGTCTAAATTTAGACATTTTTTTTAGACCTGTGGTAGCCCGATTTTAGACCAGTCGTCTAGGCTACATTTAGACGTCTATTAGACCTCTTTTAGACCAAAAAATGCTCAGTGGGATGAGACACTTACTGTAAATATTTTGTAAGATACAGAAGCCCTGAGCAAATATAGACCTAAGTATTCAATGTACTCCGTTCCCGTCTTTACTACCACATTTCCAGCCTCTAGACTAGTAAAAAATACGTGTATTTATATAACTAACATGAAGAATGAAGGAGGTGAGGTGGGAGGACGTGTGTGTTGACATTGAAGAGCACACTGTTATTTTGTCTGTTATTGAGCAGCCCTACTGTAGACAGCGGAGTCTGCTCTGGCTTTTGCAGGATTTAGATGTTTCTGCTGACACAATAACCCATCCCTATTTTACTCACTCAGTTTATGTGACAAACCAACTGAGGACTCGAAACACCTCTTCATTTAGCATGCTCAGATGATTCTTTTCAGCTCGCCTCATTTGGGCCGCCGTTGATAAATCTGTCTTTGCATCCTCAGCAGGAAAACTTGGGATGAAGCCGTTTAATATCCACATTACAAACATCTCATAGAGGTGACATCATGTTTCTGCAGGATGATTGATGTGTGTTTGTCGTGTGAAGATTTCCAGGTAATACCAGAGTGAAAACACTCACACACTCACACTACCACACACGCTCAGGTTCAGGCCTGTTTAATGATGCACTCTTTGGGTCTCTGTCTCCATTACATCACACAGATCTCACTGCTTTTAAACCAGAGCTGGAAAATCATACGGTAAATTAACTAAAGTGCAGTTCTTCACTTTAATTTTCAGGCACTTTGCTTCAGTGTTTTCATCACACGCCACCTCATCCATCTGCTCCAAAGCAAATCAGATATCTGGACTCAACTCCTGAAATAGCTACAATTAAAGGTTCAGAGTGAGGATATAAAAACAACCTTACCCAAAGCAGGACTCGCCGTTTATCTCTTTTATTTTGAAATGATTGTGTATTTCATATAAGATTAAGTTTTCAGATCAGCTAACCTCTGCAGTGCCCCTAAAATATACAGGAATCAAAAACTTTGGTGAAACTTTTGAGAGTCCTCCAGAAACTTTTGCAAGACATCAGAGAAACTTTCTAAGTATCCCAAAGTAGTTCAGGAGATCTTAAAATAACTTCGCATTCTCTGGATTTTCTTTAAGTACATGAGAAACTTTTGTGATAGGTAGGAAATCTTTTGTGGATGGTGGTGAAACTTTTTGCAAATTCCCAGACACTTTTTGATCTAAGCATGATTTGCAAGACCTTCGAGAGACTTTTGCAACATCAGACAAACTTTTCAGGGATCCAAGAAAAGTCTCAGACATCCCTAGAGAATTTTTCAAGATCTGCAGAAACTTTTGCAAGACAAAGAGATTATTTTGCAAGATTTTGCAGTCATTGAGATCCCCAAAATTTGGGGGAGATTCAAAGAAATGTTTGCGATATTAGGAGACTCTTCTGCAAATTCCCCAAAACTGGTGGACCTTAAAAAACCTTTGTATAATCCGGATAAAACTTTCCTAGAAGCAAAAAAATCATAAAGTCTGAGAAACTTTGGTGAGATTTAGAGAAAAAGACCTCCAAAGAGAGTCTGAGAAAAGTGAGCTGGGTGAAAATTAAGTGGGTTATTCCAGCATTTTAAAGTCTGGGTTAGTTTGACTGAAAAACCCTGATGTTTCAGTTCTGTTCTCACCGTTTATGAATGAATGAATGAATGAATGAATAATTGAATGAATGAATGAAGGCACTGGAGACAGGTGTGGTGGGTCAGCTTGCTACAACTTTAATCCAAACATTTCTCTGCATATTCGATACATCATCATCATACTGTATCCTCTACATAGCTCCCTCTCATATCTCTAAACAATTTTAACAAAATAAGTCTAGTAGCACATCATTCAATAACATTTTATTTTACAATTCTCTCTCTGTACTGTACTGTAGTGTTTTTCTCTTTAAACATCAGGAATATTTGTTCGTATTCATTTATTTACTTTTTTAACACGGAGACAAGACAGAGTACACGAACGATGACAAACGCTGCTCAAGAGTCCAGAGTGTGAACCCACACACACTTTCCTGCTCACAATCACACGAACACACACCTTCAGGTTGTGTTATGTTGGTTAAAACATTTCTGCAGAAGGCTGAAGAGTTTAAAGGTTGTTTGGAGAGACACCGAGTTCAAATCTGCAGCTCTAAAGAGGAAACTTTGTCCGTTTTTTTTTCATCTGTAATTAATAGTTTATCCTGAAGAGGGCGCTAGTGAGCGCTGCACATTTCTACCAGAAGAAAAATGGATGTGATAAAAATCTGGAGCATTTACAGCTGCTTAACATCTAAATAAATGTACCATGAGCGCCCCCTAAAGGCTGGCTGCAGTTTAGGTCATAAGCTCTGCCTCCTCCATGTTAACAGATGGGACACGCCTTTACACCTCTGACAGTTTAAAGTGTGTGTGTGTGTGTGTTTGACAGAGAAACTGTGTGAGGTTGTGTGCGTGTCTACCCACACACATACACAAACTGTGGTGTTAGTTACATCAGAGGCACTTTGACCCCCTTTTTGTGTGCCCCAAAATTAAAAAAAGATCAAACAAAAAAGAAAATAAATTTGATTTTATTTTGAATAATTTGGCTTCAAGTTTTAACCCCGAACCCCAAAAACTCCCCTGAAGAGCAAAAACAGAGAAAATGCCATGTGAGACGTCCAACATGGCCGACTGGAACCAGAACAGAGCAGAGCAGAGCAGGACTTCCCGAAAACCACCAAGGTGTGAACACCTTCCAGCAGACTCAGGTAGAGAGACGAACAGAGAACTGATCCAAGTGAGAGGAGGGACTGTTTGTGCTTTAAGTGCTCTTACAGTCTATGAGGAGGATTTTAAGAAGTCTGGCATCATTCAGATTTAACCATATGAACACTAGTCTGATCAACAGTTACTGATTTACTTTAACCTGTAACCTGTAGAGCTTTAAAGCTCCAGTGAGTAACTTTCAGCTTGTGTTGATTTTGACGCCCCCCTGTGGTCAAAACTGTTTTTTTTTAAATTTGAGCCTTTTTAAATTCAACTGTTGAGAGTTTTTAATTTGGTTGAAAGAAGAGATAACAATGAGATTCGAACTGAGCTGGCGTCACTTTGCTGTGACCTCTTATTCAACTTCATTTTATAATTTACCAAACTGTCCTTGAACGCATCAGAATAAAACCCTTGTGTAGATATCTAAGTGGATTTCATTTAACCAGATTAGACACAGGTTATTAACAACAAGACTTCCTACAAAGTTAGGGTGTCATCAATTTGATACACACTGCTGATTATTTTGCAATCTGCTCCTTATTTTTCACAAAGACAGTACAGACAATTGTTGACGTTTGTGTTCCTGTGATTTGGTTTATTTACTGACATCTAACTTGGAGTCATAGGATCTACGATAATCAATGTGTGAATATTGTAGATTTTTACGTTTTAAAAGTGCTGAAGTGGGTCTGCGAAAGAAACTCATTTGGATCCTGCTGGTCACTGGACTGAAGCTGCTGGAGAGTGCTGCGTTCACTTACATCCTGTACGTTTCAGGATCAGGATGAGTGTGAATGTCACCTCTGGAGGGTTTTCTTTTCTTGCCGAAGCTCGACCTGCTGGAGAACGCTTCGTTACCCAGAATTCAGCAGAGAGACGAAAAACCGAAAAAGCCCCCACCACAGCTGAGAGAGCCGAGAATAAAAACGGCAACAAAACTCCCCTCCGCTAGAAAAAAACACACAAAAACAAAATAAACCAAAAGTATCTGATCCTCTGTAGAAACCACAACCTTTATATTCCCTCTACAATTATGTACAATTAAACTTTATACAAGTAAAGCAGTGACGCTCTCCTCACAGCTCTGTGTGTCTGTGTGTGTTTAAGTGTGTTTGTGTGTCCTAAGTGGAGCTGCTCTTGGAGAGGTTCGGGTAGAGGACGGCTGCCGTCACGGCGACCATCACCGCGATGACCGGCATCCAGGGACTCCAGCCGCTCTGTCCCGAGAGACACGACGACACAAACACAGACGGGAGAGAAAAAACAGAGAGAGAGAGAAAATCCAGTTAGTCTGATCGTCACGTCTGAACTTCATCTGAAGTGGCCTGAAGACCGAAACAGGAGAGGAAACAGAAGAAGAAGAAGAAGAGAGGAGGGACAAACGAGCAGAAGGAGCAGAAGGACAGAGTGTCCAGGACAGTAAAATTAAGAATCAAATCTGAAGCCCAAAAGGTTCAAATGTTCTTCCACAGGGGGACGACAGCCAGCCCCTAGTGGATCCCCAACAAACTGCAGTTATTCTCCCTTTAGCTGTAGCTTCATCAGAGAGCTTTCTGCCCTCTTCATATTCAGGACAGCGTGTGTATCATGGTGCACTAAAATCTAAAGTACATTTATATATAAGGAGAACAGAAGAGGCAGTCTGCTCTGGGAGTCTAAAAGCTCTTCATTTGTGTTCCTGGGTTCAGTCCAGTTTCAGTTTCTCCTCTTTAAACTCATGATTTCGGCCCAGTGAGGACTGATCAACAGTGGTGCCAATAGGCCGGTCTCCTTCCCTACATATCCAGTATGCTCTACACAGCAATGACAGCGCCATCTTCAGGGCAAAAACCTGCTACAACATGAAATAACTCTCTGCATTTCATACCTCTGAAATGGTCGCTCAAGCTTACGTTTGAAACGACAGAGAAAGTATAAAAGTGTATCTTCAAACTCTGAATTTTGAAGTATGACTTTATCTTCCACTTCAAACCAACAGGGACATTTCTTCATCTTCAGGTATAAAATCTCTCTGGGAAACTTACAGACCACCACTTATTCATCCCGGAAGGACAAACCAGTTCTGCTGTAGTTTTCATCAGATGTTGTGCAACCTGTCGTTTCCCGAGTGTGAAGTGAGCTGGGACAGTCAGCTCCTGTGTCTTCTGCGGGACCTGTAGACTACTTTTACACTGCTGTAATGAATCTGAGTTTTTGTTCATTACTTTAAATCTACAGTTCTTGTGAAGATCTCATTAGTAAAGGTTGGATATTTTAGTCTGTGAAAAAAGTTTGTCATTTCACTGACCTGACTCCTAAACCTGTTTTAATAATGACATAAATCCACCAGTTCGGGAGTAAAAATCTAACTGTTGACTTTTGGGACTTCAGCAGAGGTAGAGGAGAGGATAAAAGTGAAAAAAGGAAAATAAACTGAAGAAGAAGCAGCAAAAGAAATGAGGCAGAAGAGGTTACCTGAGTAGAAAAGCAGAAAAGTTACAGACCAGATTTCCTTCAAAACAAACAGCTGGAAACTCTGGTCACACATTCTCAAATAAACAGACGAGCAGCGAACACAACAAAGACCAACAGGATGGACAGAAGGATGGACGACTTTACAAACAGAGGAGGAGACATTTCAGAGGCTGGATGGAAAATTTTAAAACCTGAAGTGAGAAAAAAAAAACGAGGAAATTTTAATCAAGCAAAATAAAAACAGAATAATAAGATGGAAAATAACTCGGATTAGAGGAAGCAGATGGATGAAAAAGATGGAAATGAAAACGTAAAAATGATGACAACCTCGTCTGGAGGGATGCAGAAAATGTAATTAACGAAAAAGAAGCAGCAACGCCCGAGAGTGAGGAGGCTGTGAAGAGACGGAGATGGAGGGATGAAAGTGTTAGATCTGAAGGTGAGGACTCGCCTTCTAAAGGGATACCTGCAGGTTCACCTTTAATTCCTGGACATTTATTTTGGGGTTTTTTTTATTCACAAGTTTGTTTTTCTCCTTTTGAGAGAATCAGTGTCAGCTGATAAAGTCCAGACACAGCTTGAGGTGCAGGATCAGGTTTTGGAAAGTCCTCCTGGTTTTGTTCCGTGCGCTCTAACAGATTTTGTCTCAGTCGCGTGTTTGCAGTGCACCGGTCTTTGCTATATTTGATCATTTATTGAAAATCTAATCTAATCTGTAATGAGGACATGCAATCAGTCGAATTAAGTGTCATCTGCTCTGTGTCTGCAGTTTAAGACATCAAAAATCCCTTTATAACATAATCAGTCTTATTGTTGAAGCCTTCATTTCAGTCAGTTTTCTAACTGCGATGAAAAACTCCTGACAGGGTCTTTAATGTCTGACTCAGCTCTTTTTTACAGTCACTTATAACTGTTTTCTTTTAAATCTCAAATGATGACCTTGGTTTCTTATCATCAGTTTGTTGGTTATTACCTTCTAAAATGTCCAATCTTACTGTACATGGTGTGTATTTGACTTTTGTTATACTGCCGACTGTAAATCTAATTTCCCTATAACAAAACCACTGAACTGAACTGAACAGTAAAAAAAAATAAAAACTACGCCTCCAATTCTCAGGGCAAAAAAAAGAAATTAAAAATAAAATAAAATAAAAAAACAGCGAGCTGAGTCAAGGTGCGAGATTTTGGTGTGTTTTATGTCTGGTGCTGGCTGTTTTGAGTTTATTTACAGGCTGCAGCCTCTGGTGTTGAAAAATGAAGCCAGTGCTTGAATGCAAGAAAACTCCATTTCCTCTTCTGACCACTAGAAAAAATTGATTATTTTTTTTTTACATCTGCTTTGATGACATCGGGGCAAACAGCTGGGCATAAGGAGTTTTAGACTCAAAGTTAAGTTGACTCTAACTTAAGTTCAAAATGATGACCGTCACTGTTTGACTTCAAAAAACCAACAGTTGGTCTCATTGAGTTGACATCCATGTTTTATACAGCTGACGGTTATTTATCATCTAATAAAAATGCATCAAAAGTTTAAGCACATCTTTAACGACTGCAGCTCAGCCATCCCTTACACTAGCTCAGCCTATTTCATAGCTGTGTGTGTTTTTGGATGTTTAAGACTCCGCCCGTCATTAGTTATTGTTCAAGAGGACTTTATAGAGTCCAAGTTATCCACAGAGGTTTTCTTCTTCTTCTTCCTCTTCAAATAAATGACCAAAGTACAGCTGTTTAAAGGGTTTACTCTGGATATGAATGATCTGGATTCAAGGGTCCATTTTTGTTATCTAAGATCAATTCTGCCCTCTGCTGGGGTCAGAGCAATCCTGAGCTCTGCCCTTTTTTTCCATTTTTTGGCTTGAATAGTAAGACTTTTGTGGGTCCTTCCTGTTGGGGTACCAAGTGCAACATTTGACCCTTAACTGAACAGGAGGCGGGAAGGGGATTATTATTATTATTATTATTATTATTATTATCATCATCATTATTATCATGATTATTATCATTATCATCATTATCATTATATCATCATTATTATTATTATTATTATTGATCAATAAACTGTGATTTTTTTTAGCATTAAAATTATTATGATGATTATTATTTAATGCATGTTGTCACTCAGCAGGAAACACTTTCAGATGCTGTATGGCAGTCCGGTTTGAATTATTTTGAACAAGTGCTGAATTCACACACACAGGCACCAGCTGAACAGTGAGAGAGGCACAAAGATGTCTACAAAGGGAGAGAGAGAGATTGCTAAAGAATAAACTTCTCTTAAGCCAATTTTATCAGATAAATAACCCAGCTCACCTCCAGCCAGAAGGATGCAACTTCAGAATAAAAGTAGTTTATGAAAAGAAAATATGGAGCAGACTTTTATTTTGAAAAGCATTCCAGAGCTACAATGAAAGTCTGGTCTAAGGCTGCACGATTTTGGCAAAAGATAAAATCCTGATTTTTTTCTCTGAAAACTCAATTTTTGGTTTTGATTTTTTATTCACTGACTTCCCCCAATTTCCCTTCGTAATTATTTTTTCTATCATCTCCCAAACAAAACCACTGAAAACGATGTAGTGGTTATGCCAAGCCAGTAGGTGGCGCTGTAAAGCTGCCCAGGAAATGCACAAAAGACAGAAGAAGAGTACAGAGCATACGTAGAAAGGTTGTTTTGGCTGGACACGCCCAGGCGCCATAAAAGAGTTACGATGTGTGTCACATAATCATTTCAAGAGAGATGCAGATAGGCATCCACACGGACGTAAAATAGTTGTCGTTTCCGGATTTGTACACTCAGAACCATTTTCATAAAGTACCGTTTACAGTCACCTGAAACACCATTTCCAGGTGTGTGAAACACTGATATGACAAAAAACTCCTGAATTCATTCCCGTGTAAAACTGTGAAGCCGTACTGAGCTTTGGAGGGTTCAGTTTAAAGATTTTTACACGTTATTTCGTTGATTTTGACTTTTCTCAGTAAAACTGAATCTTCTTTGGGACTGACTCTCAGACTAAAGTTTTTACAACCATTTCACACCACAGTCACAGCAACTCTATGGTTTCTACATCTATGTTAGTAAATCTGTCTGTTTTTGATTATTGCATTAGCGACTGAATGATGAGCAGTTCACACAGACAGAGCTGGTATCAGTAAGTATTTTGACAGAGAAGAAAAGATGTGATGAGGTATCCCTTTAAACAGACGACGTGTGATTGACAGGAAGAGCCCATCCCTTTAAAGAGTGGAGTTCAGAGTTAACCTCAGCTGTGACAGACAGACACTCATGCAGTTACAGCCGCTCAAAGCCGAGCGCAGAGACGGACCACCATGATGAAAACGATGAGGATGATAACTGGTCTTAAAGGGAAGTGAAGGAGGTGAAGAAAGTGTCGTACTGATCAGAACTCAGGGGCTTTCAAAACATCCCTTTAAACCATGATGCACCACTCTCCTAAATGACCCTAAATAAACTGTTCCTCCTATAAATCTATTCATGCTGCTGTGAAAGAGGACACTAATGTGTGGAGTGTGAAACTCTTTTTTTTGTTTCTGGGACATTTTTGCTTTAATTCAATAAAACAGCTGAAGACAGACTGGGTTTGGGAGGAGAGACCTGCACTGAGGGTCAAAGTCCAGTCTGCGGATGTTTTCATAGGACTGTGTTTGCCGAATGTTTGACCCTCTGAGCTGAATCGGATTTATTACCTGATTTTTTTAAACTTGGACCCGAGTCTCTTTAACTTTACAACAGCTGCTCTTTCTTTGGCGGAGTGGAGTAATGTCTGACTAAAACCTCCTCTTCTTTAACATACATCAGTTTTGTGCTGAGCTTCAGTTTTACTCATTTTATTTCATCATTGTTCATCATAGTTGCCTTTTTCCCCAATCACATGTCAAAACTCCAACTTTGCATCTAACAGGTAATAACAGAATAATAATAGCTTTATCTGTTAAACCCTTCTTATGATGGATTTAAAAGAATATTCTCCTCGTGTGCGAAACTGAAGATGCAGACTTAAGGCATTAAAAGTTAAACTAAACTAGATTTAAAACATCTGAATATGTATTTAAAATCCATCTTTTTGAATGAAACAATGAAAAAAGTCACGATATTCTGATTAATTAAGCTGCACCTGTAAACTCTGTTATGATATAAAAACAAATACAGCTTTGTATTTCATCTGATGGATGTTTTTATGGCTAAGAGGGTCATGATTATTCACTTTGTTATACCTGAAGATCTCAGTCATATTTTTCTATTTTAGACACATACACAGGGATAGTTCGAAATCCAAGAATTGACCGTTCCCTGAATTCCTCTCAGATGAGCACCGTGTTTTCACCTCCATTATCTTTCCTTCAACAGATGAAGCAGAGATGGACAGAACAGAGACGAGGCAAAAAAGAGAAAAAAGAGGCAGACTGATGTCATGTCGGTGTGTACCTTTCTACCACAACTGGCCGAAACACCAGTAGAGCAGAGCCAGGACAAGGCCAATGAATATGGCTTGGACAGGCTGCAATATGGATGGCTAGAGGGGAAGGAAGGGGAAGGGGAAGGGGGGGAGGAGAGGGATAAGAAGAAATCAGCCGGCAAATCAAACATAAACCAACATGGAGGATGGAGCAGCTACAGCGAGGGGAGAGAGAGAGAGCGAGAGAGAGAGAGAGAGAGAGAGAGAGAGGGAGGGAGTTCGAGGTAGGCAGGTTTGTATTAAATCAGCTGATTCTACAAAAGCAACACCGCCATGGCTTCACATTTAACATCCACAATCACCAAACACCACAGAGGAAGAGCGACTGCCACCGCAAGCTTCAGAAGAGCCAAAGTTCGAGTCGATTTAAGCTCGTTAACTTTCTGTGTAAACGCTCAAATCTGTCGGTCTTCTTCATCCCTTCTTCAATATCTGACATGTTACTCCGAACGTGTCTTCAAGGATCATTTTAAATCATTTAAACAGGAAACATTATTTCATCAGAGTGACACTGCAGAGATTTGGGAACACAAAAACATTTCTTTAGCCAAGTCTGACCACAAAAAAAACACACATGCACTACAGATTTGGACCTTCAGGAGGGAAACGAAAACAGTTTTACACCTTAAGATACGTTTACAGGTGAGAAGACGTCTTACTTGTTTCATGACTGACTAATAAAAAGCCACATTAAGGCTCCAGACAACGGGTGTCATCAGTTTCAATGCTCATGTGTTCCCAGATCTGTTTCTTCACGAAACAAAAACTACGAAATTAAAACCAAAAATGTCGATAAAAATAACTTTTCACTTGAAATCCAGACTGTTAATCTGCAGAGACAAAAACCCACCAAATACTGAAGAGGAAGAGGAGCAGGAGAGAGGAAGGGGAGAGAGAAAAGAGGAGGAGAGAGGAAGAAGAGGGGTAACAGAGGAAGAGGAGGCTGCTCCGCCTCATAAGATGACAGTCAATTTTCTGATTTTCTCATTTATGTTCCCCGTTTTTTTATTTTCTTTTTTAGAACAAACAAACAAACAAACAAAAACAAATGTTTAAAATCAGCTGAGGATAAAGAGACGATGAAGTCAGGAGGTCACCTCAGCCGGAAAGGTTACAATATTTTAAAAAATTACAGTCGTGTTTATGTACGATCAACCCCGACAACAACAACAACAACAACAACAACAACAACAACAACAACAACAACACAGTATGAAAAAAAGGAATAACCTGTAAAATAATGGGGGAAACAGACCTTCAGGGTTTGAAAGACTTAGTTTAAGTATTGCAAAGACTAACAAATGTTAAAGCTGGGAATTTGTATTATTATATAAAATTAAATGTCCATGTTTAAAAGTGATGCCGCTTAGACAGGAAGAGATTTATCACTATGTGAGAGACAGCGTGAGGCAGCAGTTCAACGATATTAGAGTAATTTTCCCCAGAGTAACTCTGTAAAGAATTTGAGGATTTCTTCACCTACAGAAGATGATCAAGAGAGATGTCTGCAAAAAGGTGGCATTGTGTTTAACACAGACATGACTCTGTAGTAGAAATCAACGCATGGAGTCAAAAACACCTCCAAAAACCATTCTGTGAATGCGGTTTGTTCTAGGGATTTGAGCGGTTATTCGGATATTCCTGTGAACGGGGCTGTCCTTACTATCCGTTTGGTAAATAATATTCGTTTATTCTATTAAAAAAAATAAGTAAAGGGGAAAAAAAAGAAAAAAGCGTCTTTTTTTTAATTACGTTTTTACCGTCATGTCTTAATACAAGTGTGCATTAAACAAGCTGAAATGTGTGGATCATTTGCTTGCTCCAGCGCTACAATAAAGTTTCTGTAACATATTTTAATATTATAAGCATGGCTTTCATGTGCTCTTAATATTTATTTCAGATGATATCTGGCCATGTAGATCAACATGTGCTCAATTTGGGCTATTTTCTGGGAGTTAATTAATTTTCATGTATTCGAATATTCGGTTTCAAAATGGTCTTTTAAACGTCAGTGAAATTAACCTTCCCTCTGAGATTAAAAACAGTTGAAATGTGTTCACAGCTTTAGTATCCAGAGTTAGCATGTACTCAGTAAGGATGGAGGCTGTGGAGAGGGAGAGCTTGTTGAGTTAGCAAATCCAAAAACCACCACAGGGTCCAGAACCAAATCTGCTGCTTCTCCTGTTTGACATCTTAGGAAGAAAATAACAACAAAACGGACTGTGGAAAAAACACTAAAAACATTGAAAGCTAAGCAGACACACTTTCAGACTTTAACACATACACACTCTTTGGTCTGATTGTGTGCCGAAGTGTGTGTGTGTGCACTCACAGAGCTGGTCTTGTCCTGCAGAAGCTTCAGGTTGCTCCTGCACTGCTCCAGCTCCTGGTGGATGTTCAGTTTCTCCTTCTCTGTTCTCTCGTAGCGCTGACGCAGGTCCAATAACTGGGACTGTGTGTCTTCATACTGAAACAAACATGGTCATGAATCATCTCAGCTTATCTGAACCAGACAAGGAAGAAGTTAGAGGGGTCAATCTGGGTGTGTGTGTGTGTGTACCTCTTTTTGCAGTGTGTGTGTGTGGGCCTGGGCCTGGTCCAGCTGGCTCTTCAGCCTGCTCGCATCCTGCAGGTGTTGGCTCTCCAGAGAACCCAGTTTGTCCTGCAGAACCCCCTCCCTCTTCTCCAGAGACATCAGACTGCTGCTGAGGACCTGACTCTGCTCCTTAGTGCTGCACTCACACACACACACACACACACACACACACACACACACACACAGAAACATGTCAGTAAAATCTAAACATGTCAAAGAACTCGTGACTCTCTGAAGCATCGACTCCATCTGCAGTTTGACTCGATCTTTACGGACACTCTGGTGTGATCTGCACTTTAGAGGGAAAATTTTCAAACAGGATGAAGCTCAGATAAAATCCTGCTGAGTCTTCAGCTCCAGTTAGAACCTGCTGTGAGGTTTTTTCTCTCTGTGGAGGTCAGAAGAAGCTGTAACCCTGCTGACAGATCGCTCTGTTTCAATCAGCTGTCAATCAGCTGTCGCCGCCTCGTCTTGTTCTCACTGAATCAGCTGGACACCGTGTTTCCTGCAGCCTCCTCCTCCTCCAGTCCTTCTTTTACTGCTGAACCTGAACTCTGTCAGGACTCCAGGACTCGACAGCACTCCTGTCAGCCACCCTGAGCTGAAATTAACCGACTCAGTCCTTTCTGTCACAGAGACTTCAAAGTCCAGGCTTCATGTCCGCCCACACACAGTCTCACACTTCTTTCCAATAACTGACTCGATTTTAAAACTACTGGAATTTAAATTTAAAGACATTCAAAGTCTTATTATTAGTATCTAGATAAATGAAAATGAATTAGATCAATAAAAGCAAATAAAAGTGATCCGTGGACTGACAGTCCGCTCTTTAAGGATCAGCATCTGAGAAGTTTGATTGTTATTGAATTTGATGGTTATTGTTTAAACTCAAACTAAGGAGTGAGTGAAAATAGTCAGATACCAGATATAAGTTTGGATGACCTTAAAGGAACTGTGTAGGAGGTTTTTTTTGCTTTTACTGGGCAGAGAGATTGACAGCCAAGGTCAAACGCCAAATTTGAGGTCATATGGCTGCCAAAATCATCTGTTCTTTGATTTATTATATTATATAGATATTAAACTGGAAGTTTTCACTGTTTCTTCAGCCGCTGACATTTTTTAAAGGTGCTCATTCACACACGTCTCCTGTGGTGTGTTGTTTTCTGTGTGAGGTAAGATGAGTCCCAGGAGTCGGGACAGGATTCAGTTTCAGTGTCACAGTTTAACACTGTGATGACAGATTTGACATTTCTACATAAACTCGCTGATGTGCAGACATCTTCATCATGTCATCAAGTTACAGTTTTGTATCGCTTGCATGATACAGATGTCATCCCCACAAAACTCATGATGATTTCCTGCTGCATTTTCTCCTCAGCTCCACTCTTTCTTACAGAAAAGTCACAGGGAGGTTGGTGGTAAAATGTAGAGATAAAACCAGGATGAAAATGTCGGCTTTTTGTGTTCATAAATGCTGCTCACCCAAAAACTGAGGAGTTCACACATATGTGAAGCAACAGCAGTCTTTTCAACTCCAACCAGAAACTCAGGTGGGTTGAAAAACAATCATGTCTGTGTCTGTGTGTCTTTGTGTGTGTGTTTCTCTTTGTGTGTACCTGCTGAGCTCGGTCTCCAGGCGGTGCAGTTTCTCTGTCAGGGTCTTCCGTTCAGTTCTCAGGCTGTCACAGTCCTGCTGCAAACACACACACCGCTGCTGCAGCGCTGTACACTCCACTGAAAGAGAGAGGAAATGAGTGACCCTCACCTCTGAGGAGAGTTTGTCTCCTCAAACTTGATTCTGCGATAAAACGGTTTCAAACGCTCTCCCTCTGCTCACCCTGCAGCTGGCTGGCTGAGCTGTGCTGCTGCTGCTGCTGAGTGAAGGCCTCCTGCAGCCGGCTGATCTCCTCCTCGTACTTGGCGGCTGTGTTCCTCCAAAGCTCCAGCTCGGACCGCACGCCGCCAAGGTCGGCCTGCAGGGCGGCGATCTCCCGCTCCCGCTCGGCTGTGGCTGCCTCCATGGCGTGCCGCAGGACGATAATCTGACAAGAGAAACACAATCTGTGACATCATAGCGATGTTAAATGACTTCTTTATGAAAACTGACTCGGTGTGAGTCTCTTTCTTTGAGCGGAGGGGGACTGATGAAGACTCAGAGTCGGGACAGGAAAAGTAAGAGAGAGGAGAGGAGAGCTGAGAGAAGGTTCAGCTGAGTTTGAGAGAGAGCTCGAGGTCGTAAAGAAAAAGACGGAAAGAGTCTCTGGAGTCAAAAATATTTGTGGTTGGAGGAGGATGTGAAGAAGATGTGAAGAATCAGAGAGGAGAGACAGATTCAGAGGAGAACCAGGAAAACCAGGAGAAGTCAGAGGAGCTTAAACGAGCAGAAAATTAGTGAGAGTGGGATTTGGATGAATTCAGAGAATCATCTGTGAGCCCGACTACATGAGAGGGGAGTCAAAGAAGAGGAAGGAGCACTCAAAAAGGAGAGACAGACTCAGGACTAGGTCTTAGGAGACCCGTAAGTGGTCAGGGAGAAGTTTAAGAGGTCTGTAAGGAAGAACTCAAAGAGAGCAGTGAGGAGTCGTTGTGTTACCTCCTCCTGGGCAGAGTAGAGCTCCTCTCTGGTGGTGCAGATGGTGCTCTCCCTCTGCTCCCTCAGAGCCTCCATGTCAGCCTGCAGCTTCCCGAGTTGAGCTGAAAACACACAAAAAAACAACAGAAGAAGAATAAGGAGGGAGCAAGGTCGAGTAAGACGTTTACAGGTGCAAATCTATGTGTGTTATTGTATGCACACTCACTCTGTAAGTACTGGATCTGTTTGGTGGACTCCTCAGTCTGCTGAGTGTTACTCCTCCTCTCCTCCTCCAGAAGAGCTGCACACACACAGACAGACGCAGAAATCAAGACCAGGAAAAGTTTATTCATTCCTCAGAGGAAAATTCAGTCACATTAGAGATGCACATGATCAGGAAGAGAAAATCACAGACAGGATTTATCAAAAGACTTTGCAGATCACGCTCCTACACTTTAAAAGACCCAAGTTTGACGTTATCTAAAAAAGTTTTGGTTTTTTACTGAAGAGGAACTAAATATGGACAAGACTAGAGTATTTTAGAAAAACAGAAAGTTGGATGCATCAAAAAAAAAAAACACTCTAGTATTTAATAGACGACAATAAAATTAAAGTATACTTACTGTTTAAAATGCAAAACTTATAGAACAAACATATTAGGTAAATAAATAACCGGTGTTTTGCACAGATTAGTTGATGCACCAGTTTACTTCACTGTAAGGCTTATCAGTGTAAACATCGAGAAGACCACAATGTTTCATCTTTGGGAGGAAGGTGGATGTGATTTTGTAGATTTAAAGTCACATGACCAACTTTAAATCAACAGACTCTACTTCTAACAGATTAAACTGGACATACTTTCCTTTCTTAATATTATTAAACTTTAAATGCTGTTGTACGTCAGCTAATGCAGCCTTAATGACGGATCAGTTTGTTACCTTGTAGCTCCAGACATCTCTGCTTGCCCGTGTTGGCTAAGTCCTGGGCCTCCAGGAGCTCTCTGTGGAGATGATGGATGACCTGCTCCGTGTCTCCAGGCTCCAGACCGGCCCGATGCAACTCGGCTTCACGCACGCACACACACAGACAGACACACACACACACACAATAAGTCAACATTTTATTGGGGCTCTTCAAACATGCAGTAATCATGTCATGCACAAAAAAAGGCCCTTAAAAAACACCTGTCAGTGCTAACACAGCCAAACAGCTCCCCCTAGTGGACAGTTGGACTGTTTAACAAACTAAAATCAGAGCGCTGCCATAGTTACCTTTGAGCAGAGCTACTCTGTTTTGGGGTTCATTCAGCTCCTGGTCGTCCATGTTTCCGTCTGAAATGAATAAACACTTTTTATAAGAGAATTATGAAAAAGTGAAAAAGATATTTATTGTTTTTATAAATGAGAGCTCAGTGATTTCTTTAGTGTTCCCCAATCCCTGACAAGGGATTCATGTGCAACATTAGTTTTCTTTTCCACACGTGTTTGTTTTTTTGCATTTAAACACAAACATTTTCAAATTGACACATTTCCTGAAAGCCGAGAATAGATATAAACAGATAAAAGTGATCATAAAGACAATAAAACATTTAAGCCTGCCCACAATAACAAAACTAGGACATAAAAAAAAAAAACAACAGCAGAGAAACAATAAAAGGAAACAGCGAGTTAAACCAAGTAACGATATAGAAAATTTGAAGTGTAAACGACTCAAAATATTTGTGTGTTTGTGTTAAACTGACCTGAGGTGTCGTCACTGCTGCGGTCTTTGCTGGGACTCAGAGTGTCTGACATGTCTGACTCTTTGGCATCCATCTGGTTCCCTGTGAACACACACACACACACACACACACACACACACACACACACACACACACAAACACACACACGCTCAGGTTGGTCAGGTGTGAAGGACTCAAAGCCTGTTTGTGCACTAATGCACACTCAGGCCTGGATTACTGTGTGAGGCACCCTGGGGAGGAGCTTCAGTAACTTTGACACTTTTACTGTATTTGTGTGTGCCTGTGTGTGCGTGTGTGTGTGTGTGTGTGTGTGTGTGTGTGTGTGTGTGTGTGTGTGTGTGTTTGAGTACAACGATGTATCCTAAACTCTGAGCACCCCCGCAGAGGATCCAAACAAACAATAATGCCTCCAAAAACAACAGAAGCAGAGGTCAGGGGTCACAGTATCAGAATGTCCTTAGTCAGCAGTCTGACTCTTTGTGGGGATTATTTCAGAAAAGTCAAACCCGTTTTTCAGTAAACCTGGTACCTGATTCAACGATGACTGTGTGTCTCTACAGGCCAAAATCTGTGAACTCTTTCTGTCAGGTCTAAAAACCTCTCGGCTCTATCATCACGACCCTGATCTTTACCTTTGAGTCGATCAGGACTGGCCAGGATGTCGTCCTCTGCCATCTGGTTGTTCTCCAGGTGAGCGTCCATCACTTCTACAAACACAAACGTAAGAGCTCAGTAGTAGTTTTAACTCCTGCCTGTGAGCAAAGATTAAAGTTTGATTTATGAGATTTTATTTGAAGGACAGTCATTTATCTCTTACCATCAAAGTTGGCCAGTTTGTGGATCGACGAACTGACGCTCTCTTTCAGCTGTTTGACGGCTGCAGAGAGGAAAAAGAAAACAAGGAAAATCAGTGAATACAGACTTTATAGAGTTATCAGAAAAACAGAGATATTTGAGCTTGTGTTCACCGAAGGAGTCCTAAACTCCACAGCTGCGCTACAAGCCAACGTAACACCTGACAATTCAGAGACCACCCGTCATACTGACAGTGACCAGTTTACAGAGGAACAAGTGAGGTGATTTTCCTCTCTGGTCTTTTTAAAGAAGCAGTAAAAAGCAAAAAAAGTGAGGAAGTTTATTTGGTAAAAAAAATAATAAAAATACTTAAATGATCAGAAGTTTTATCTGATTACAAAGGAAAAGTTAATCCGCAGTTTTCACTGTCACAATACGAATGAAGAGCTTTAATAAATGACAAAAACATGTAAAAATACTGACCAACCCGAGCAGAAACAAGTATCAACACCTGTCCAAAAATGATGATCTTATCCCTTTTTTTTCCCCATTTACTCAGGCAGATATACACTCAGAATAACTTATTAGGTTTTCTTTGAAATTTCACTTTCTGTCCAAAGATGCAAGAGTTGACATTTATACCTCTAAGTCTGTAAACAGCTGCTGCATTAATGAACCAGAACATTATAACAGCAGGAGTGAGAGTGAAGGCGTGATCATGTTCCAGCATCAGTTCATATTTGGTAAGAGACATCAAGACTTCAAATTCTTCACAGTAAGCCTTTAAACGAACTTCACCCAAACGAAGAGAAAGAAAGGACAACAGCAGAAACTCAAAGACAGGAGGAGGCAGGAAGTGAACTCATCCTGTGACAGACTGAAGAGGCAGCATGCAAAAAGAAAAGTGATGTTTCAAAAGTTCAAGGCACACAAACCAGCCAGAGGGACACTCACAACCTCCAGACTCCAGACCAGAATTGATCTGACAGAGTGCAGACGGAGCTGGTTTCAAACACGGACCAGTTACTGAAAACTGTTAATCACATGACAACGACCACTCTTCTCTTCTTCTTCTTCTTCCTTTTCTAACTGGTGCCTCTTGAACAGCTGCGTTTAAAGTAGAAAAACTCTCAGTAACCCCCAATTTCCACAGCATCTGGAACGGGGGCAAAAAGGCTGCGTCTTCCGATCGCAACTGATCATAACCTTTCAAGTTAATGAGTCTATTTCCACCGGCTTCTTTCCATTCCGCGGTGGATCAGCGGACTCCGCAGCCGATTGCCAGATTTCAATTTTTTCCTGACGCCGGAGCATGCTGCATACATTCAGCACAGATTATCCCATGAGGGAGAGGAAGTCGGGCACAGACACAAAATAAAACATCCGGCTTCTTTTCAAAACAAAACACTACATGTTTCAGGCGGATCGTATTTCACACCATGCAAACATGGGCGGGACGAACAGGTGAAAGGTTTTTAGACGTCATTTCACACCGATGACACCATGGATGAGGAGACGCAGATTCTAAAAGCCTAGAAGTGGATTTTCTCCTCTGGAAGGACACAATCTACTGCTTATATGGTTATGCAGCTGTCTTTATGCAGAGAACTTATTATCGCGTGATTGCACGTGAATCCGCGGGTTCTTGTGAGTTCTCACGATTCCTGCTGTCCAAATTCCGCCATGAAATTCGCCTCACAAATGGATCCAGTAGGAATTGGCGGACAGTGAAAATGGCTGTCGTTCTGGATGCGGTGGAAATTGAGGGTAGGGGGAGGGGACCCTTAATGTAGATCTAAAAGACTCATTCTGACTCGACAAAAACAGGTGATTATAATCTAATATGAACACACTTCTCAATATTACATTCCACTATCACCAGGTTTGTAAATACTGTTAACACTGTCAAATACAGAGTCTAACAGGACATTAATAATGGAAATAAGACTCAGACAGTTGCTTAGTTCAGAGGGTTTTTCACTGCAGTGTGATTCTCACTCCTCAGACTGTTGGATCTGTCGTGTTCAACATAAAGAGCGGTGGTAGATTTATCATGTTCAAGTGGCAGACTGACTACGGCTGATTTATGACACACATGTAAAGTTGTTAGTTTTTTTTCCATTTGATTAAAAATAAAATTTTAATCATATTCACAAATACCAAGAAAAAATGCAGAGATGGAGAGAAGGTCGTGTTAATTAAAGGCTGACTGCGGAGTACTTGGCTCTGTCCAAAATTACCATTTGGGACTTTTGGATTTCTGTCCAACCATCTGTGAAATTTATTGTAGAAGACACACCAGCTCGATATTTGGATGATTAATGAATTCTTAATTAATTCATGAAAAATGACAGATATAATGTGACAGGCTGATTGATTGATCTGTCTCCAATGAAGAGTCAATATTGCCTGATAAAGTCGAGTCAAACTGTCGTAATGATTCAACATGAGCTGTTTTTTGTTTGATGAGACATCCATGCCCCAGTGTGCCAGCGTGTGTGTGTGTGTGTGTGTGTGTGTGTGTGTGTGTGTGTGTGTGTGTGCTGCAGCGGTAACAGGTACGTGTACTCACGCGGACACTCAATCAACTGTTGGATTCTAGTCGAGTCTCCTCCACTGTTGTTTACATGACAGTTGTCTGATAGAGAGACAGAGCAGCGACATTACTGAGAGGGCTGTCAAAATGAACGAAAAGGAGTTTGGATCCTGAAACTTGAATGATTCTGCTTATTGATACCACAAATGTCTTCTCTGAAATTATCCGAGTGTGCGGCCAAAGTCGGCCAGAGAGGCTCAAGTTTTAATGCATGCATCACACTGACGATGCAAGTTATTGTTATCATTTAACCATCAATTAATTCAATGCATATAAAATCTACTGGCTGAACTTATTATTTTTCTGTCAGCTGTGAAATGAAATGCTGCAGGGAAAAAATGCAGGACAAACTCTCCTCTGACATGATTCTGAGTCATCTGGAGGTATTTGATTGTTTCTGTGACAATGAGACGTATTTAAATGTCTTTGCAGCCACATTTGTAACCTGATAAACAAAAAAGAGCAAATCCTGACTCTATGGACTCAATGAGCAGAATCAAACATCTTTTTTTTCAGACTTGGTGTCTGAAATTGTGGCTTAATTCAAAGTCGGGTTTATATATTAAAGCTTCTGTTAAAAGAGGATGAAATCAAGAGAGGAAAAAAGAAAGACGTCATGACTGAGAAACACGGATTCAAGCAGGGAAAAAGCATGACAAGACTACTGAGTTACAAAAGACTGAAAACTACACAGAAAACACAGATGCCTCATGAGCAAACAGGCAGAAATCAAAGCCACACACGGCAGGAACTTTTTAGACACACACAGATATAATACAGCAGGTCTGGAAAGACCACAGCACTGGAACAGCAGACAGGAAGTGGACAGGCGGACAGAAAACAGACAGCTGCTGAACCTGCGACCAACAAAACCTGGGATAGACCAGCCCCACAGTTCACCAGCAGTTTCCTTCACCAGAACTCCAACGCTCAGAGCTCAACAGGAGGACCAGAGCCAGAGGCGGGACTTTACGAGTAGATGATGAGAATCCAAACAGAACCAAGAGATCACTAAGGTGCTCCAAAAACATGATCAGTGCCACCAGAACTGTGAGCTTCGATCTTCTTCATAAGCTCACCGACACATGAAAGCTTTCCTTTCAGCACAGTCGCTACTGCACAATGAGCCTCGACCCGCACCTGTCCGAGTTTCCTCAGAGTTTTTGGCGTTACATGAAAAGATGGGGCGTTTGTGGAGGTTATCGATTTCAGATCATGTGCAGAAAAAGACGGTGAGGTTTTTTTGTGTGATGGTTTCGGGCTTCAGATAAAACACAACTTTGACCATCATTAAAAACAAATGATGACTCCTGTGATGAGAACGTAATGAGGATAATAACGATCGTAACGTAACGGCTTGTTTGAGTTTATACTGTAACCTGTCACTCTACCTTGAGTTTTCCTGAACATTGTGATTATAAGTTACTGTTAATTTTAGCCATGATACTGACGAAGTGAAAAACTGATACTGTGACAGTCTGACCTCAAAGCTCAGTTCTTTCATTTTGAGGTTACATAGTTTCTAAGGTGGGGTCAGACCAGATCACAAACATTGGAGTCGAGGACCAGGACTCTGAGGAGATCGGTTTTGCAGCAGGATCCAGGACTCTCAGACTATAAAGATTATAAAGACTAAATGATTAAAATTTTTAACTTTTTTGTACTAAAGAACAAGCTATTAGGATGAAAAGTCACCTACAAATGAAGAATCTTCACAGACTTTAGAGTCTGAACTCACTCTCTGGTTTCTAAAGTCTCTGTTTAAGTCTGAGATTTAATCTTTCTGATGTTTGTAATCAGGTTTAAGAGTTTACTCGACTTTTTACTCCAGCCTGAATCAGTGTCTCTAAAGCCACAAAACAAACAGTGTTAAAACCGCATTAGAATAATGAGACTAACTACCATCAGTATCTCCATCTGGACCAACTGCACCATCATCGGTGTCTGTGTCCTCCTCATCTTCGTCTTCCTCCTGGCTCTCAGGTGTCTGCGGCCTCTCTTTGTCCTCCACAGGCTCCTCTAGCGGTCCGTGGGAGATTATGTCGACATCTGTCATGTGACCAGATCACATATATATATATATATATATATACACCGTTTTGTGGAGACTTAACCAGCCAAACATGTTGAGAACAGAGTCCAGGAGACGGCAGGTTCCCTCACAGTGTGTGTGTGTGTGTGTGTGTGTGTGTGTGTGTGTGCTGTGGCTCAGTGAGCGGTGAGACAGTCACCTCCAGCATTCATGATCAGTGTTTCATTCAAATCACCAGAAGTCAATCAGTGACCAACAGCTCTTTTTCCCCACAGGAAGAAAAATCAAAGCAGTAGACAGTTCGGCAACCACGGAAACAACCCAGAACACCCAACAGGCCCTGACCAGACTCCACAGCTTACCCCTGAAACCCAACACAGACCACCACATGTGGAGGAGAGTTACAGTGAAAAGAAAACTTTTTCCATGGATAAAACTCTTACGAATTATTTTTTTTCTGATTGTTTTTCTCACTAAAAGATTAAACTTTTCTGTTTTCCACAGTTTAAGAAATTACACACCTTATACATCTTCCAAGTAACTTCAGACTGAACTGAGTTTGCTGCTCTTAAAGCTCTCTGTGGCTCGCTCTTTATCTGCAGGATGTCAAACCTTCTGGTATCATGGACTTTAATAAGATCCTCGGAGTCTTCTTTGTACTCAAAAAAAACAACAACAACACGCTGACTGCTGAAGAAAGTGTTTGCTGTTCACGACACTGGAGGGATCTCTGAGGAAGATTAGGTCAGTTCTCAAAAGCCCAAAATGCAAATTTTTGATTCTACCTTACAATTAATTTTATATTCATGCCTTTTAAAACATGTTATTTCTATATCTTGACAGTTTTTCATAATTTAGATGCTTTTGTAAAGCGCTCTGTTACTTCAGTAAAGTTTGTATCAATACTGACTAAAAATAAAATGACTTTTGGGGACTAATTCTTGTCCATTAAAACTAAATTATTCAAAAAGTAATCATTTTAAAAATCAGCCGTAGCTGATTTTTTGCTTTTATGTTACAGTTGGCCAACAAAATCGTTAAAATAATTAGTATTGTTCATTCATTTATTCATTTCTGCTGCAGTGAATCTTTCCTCTCGTTCTGCTCTGTCTCTCCTGATGTCCTGCACACGACACTTTCTGATTGGCTGGATAAGAGACAAACTTGAACTGTAACTGGTTTAACCTGACGAGTCGATCACCGAGTGCAGCGGAGTTTTACTTCATCTTTACTTCATTACTTTATGGAAATGCAATCAGACCGAGACGCTAAGGCGGAAAAACTACAGCATCTGCAGTGCAAAATGATTATTATGATGATGATTATTACTTCATGGAAATGAACAGCTCCACTCAGTGATCGACACGTTAGGGCTCCCCCACAAGCAAGCGGCTGCTGGAGGAGAGTGAGTGAGTTGTGATTGGTCTCTTGGCTAAAGAAACCAGGTAAAGCTAAAAAGATGTTTGGTGGCTGGGACCCTATATGTCCTGTTGATGAAGTTAGGTGCTGTTCTGAGCATTATTTGTGGCTATAAAGTGGCGTTTTGGTTGAGCGTGTAGCTCCTCAGGCTGCTGTGTATTACTATCGTGCGGTCATTACTAAAGTTGGTATAACTAGAGAAACAAACGGTCGGCAACATTCATCTCTCGAGGGGGTGTCTAACACTGTGCTACGGTGTGTTTGGCCATAACTTAATTTTACGCCAGAATATCTCTTGAAGCCTTAAAGAGCAAATATCAGTCAACAAAGGAATCTTTGGTATAAAAATATGTACATATATATAATGTGTTTCAGCAACTGAGGACTTTCTCTGAACCACTAACGGCTAAAAATCAAGTTCCCATAAAAAAAAAAAAACCTGAACAGTAGAAGAAGAAGAGCCAGACTTCCACTGTGACAGACAAAGAGACAGATGGACACAGACAGCAGCGAGCAACACAAGTCATGTGGACGACATGCAGGAAGTCGTCATGCATCATTAGTGCAGGATGAGGAGGTGACATTAGCAGGAACAGAGAGAACAAACAGCGGTGGTGGCGGCGGCTGACAGAAGAGGACGAGCGTCCCGGAGCGGAGCAGAGAGGTTAGACTCACCCAGGCTGTTGTTTTCTTTAATGCTTTTCTCTTGTAGCTGTTCTAACCGCACTGTAAACAACAATAACAACGACAACAGCAGAGAGAAGCGTTGACTGACAGAGTCCCAGCGGAGCCACCTGATTGGTCAAAGAAATGTTCTGACCCGGCCAATGGTTGCTATGGTTACTTCAGTGTTGAACATGCGGGGTGATGTGTGTGTGAGCGCATTAGGAGTTAGTGAAGGACCGTGTGTGTGTGTGTGTGTGTGTGTGTGTGCACTCAGGATGTAGCAGTACTCTCTGAGGCAGTGATGGAAAATGAAACGCTGTACCTTTTTTATAGAGTAGAGGGCGCTGTCTGCCTCTGACTGCTAACACACCAAATATTTCACTTTTGATCAATAATTAAGCTGTTTTCATTCACTCCTGTTACTTCACAATCAAAGAGGCGCTTTTGTACCCTTTCAAAATAAAAGCACATTTGTTAAACTTTTGTATATTTGCGCCTCATTTGATTGATTTTGAAGCGGTAGGTGGTTTAGTCTTCTTTTAATTTTGAGTTGCAGACTTCACGTCTATTTCTATCCTTTTCACAGATATGGACATCTGTGCTTCTTTAATCTGTCCTGCTGTTAGCTGATTTATCCCAGCTGATTGAAGTAAATCAGCATTGAGGTGGTAAATGGACTGTATCTATAACAGCGATCGTTTACTGAGCGCTTTTATTTGGTATCAAAAATTATAATTAAGAATCTCATTGCATCCATCACTCCTTTTTTATTTTGTATCGTATCATAGTCAAGTGTATTGTAACATCCCTAGAGTGCGTGTGTGTCAGTGTATGTGTGTGTATGTGTGCGTTCCTACCCTGCAGGGCGGCAAGCCTCTCGTTAGTGAAGTCGTTGTCAGCCTGCAGAGCTTCGATGCGAGCCTGGAGAACCTGCTCCTTCTCCTCCATCTCCTCAATCCGCAGCTCCAACTCCCTTTTCTCCGCTGCCCCACGCTGGGTCAGCTCTTCCTGCCGACCCTCCGCCGCCTGAGGGAGGAAAAGAAGAGGGAGGTCAGAGAAAGAGAAGAATACAAGAGGAGGGGGAGCATGAGAAATGAAAAGGGGAGATTTCAGAGACAGTCATTTGATGAAATCTTTACAAACAACTATCATGACAGCGAGCGCAAGAAAACATCATCGGGTTTTATCCTTCTTGGCTGTCACCTTTATTTGGTATTAGATCAGACATCACAGATGTGAGTCAGAGTAACATCTCAGGGTGTATTCCGGTGTCTGTTTGGTACCTTGATCTTGTCAGTGAGCTCTTTGATCTCGTTGACAGCAGCGTTGTACTTGTTGGCGAGCTCCCTCAGCTCCTCCTGGCCTCTCTCTGACATCTCTTTCAGGTGTGTGCACTCGTCCTCGGTGTTACTGAGAGAGCGCTGCAGGAAAAGTCAAAGAATGAGACATTTTGTTTGTACAAGCTTGATCAGTGATTACAGCAGAGTATTAATGCAGCACACATGTCTTACCTCCACCTCAGATAGCTTCCTGACCACCTCGATCTTCTCCTGAAGGACTCTCCTCAGAGACTCTTTCGCCGTCGTCTCGTAGTTGTGTTTGTCCTCCTGGAGGGCCAAGAGCTCCTTACGGATCCCTTCCTCTGTCTGAGACTGTGAGCGAGGAAGAGATTAGAGTCCAAAATAAATCTACTTTTATCTAAATATGTCTGGAGGGACATGCTTTAGAGCTGCGTGTGTGTTGTACCTTAGAGTAAGCCTGTAGCTGACTGCCCATCACCTCCAGTCTGGAGAGCAGGCGGTCTTCATCAATCAGAGCCTGGAGAAGAAGTGTCCACTTTAATGTAGTGTTTGTCTTAAAGGAGGAATGTCGATGAAAACCTCCAATATGAGATTGTTTTTGTGCAGATAAAATTTTCATGAATAAAACTAAACTAATCTGTTAAAAAGTAAATATTTGAACTCTAAATTTGAGATTCAGGTTGTTTTAAATTTGACCTACGTTGTTTTTAAGACAAGATACCAGAAAATTATTCATGATAAGAGTGCGTGTAGTCACAGTTTATCGTCTCTACAGTAAAAGTGTACTTTTGAAGGGTTCATTCACGCACACGTTACTGTGTAAGATGCACACGGGTCGACTCAGAGGCTTCCATCACAATATGCTGTAAATGATGACGATGGTGAGAAAAATCTAATATACTGGGGGACTTTTATTTAAAATTGATAATGTATTTAAAATATAAAATATGACACAACTACAGTTCATCCTGAATGAATTCTTGGTCTAAAATTACACAAGAAAGATGAGTGGCAGAAAACAGCATTATAGATATACAGTGCTCAAAATAAATGAGAACACCCCTTCAGAGTTTTCAGAAAACCTTTAGTTTCCTTTCAAAATCCACATTTTCTATGTCAGACTATAGAACAAAATACTCCCCTAAATGTCGGCCATTGATTGTAAACAAGATTTTTAAAGTTTCACACAAAAAAATATTTTTTTCAATTTAATATCAGGAGGCAAAAATAAGTACACCCCAATCAAAGTTCAGGGAGCAAAGCTCAATTTTAGTTTATTTTCATCTTATTGTAAATAAAATATTATGTTAAACTCAGCTTTGTCAAAACTTTGGAAATTGCTCATCTAGATATTGAGTAATACATTACTTTTAATAGGTAGTGTGCTGACTTATGCTGGGCACTGTATATATATTTACACAATATATATAGACTTGCTGCTTATTTTAACATAGTGAATGTATAAGGGCCTAAATACAAAGAAAAAATGATTTTTGTAGGGGGACAACGATAATGTTCAGTCACAAAAAAGTACTGTCACTGATTTAGAGTCGGTTTTGATGCTGAGAGGCGATAAAAACGAAAACAGCGCCTGATAATGAAATCTAGAAAGCCTTTAATACTCAACATAATTACACATGATAAAAATCAAGAGCAGAATTACACAAAGTGAAGAAATACTGAATATAATGTAGAATTTATCAGTGTAACTGATCAGTAATACTGAAGACAGAATAGATGATGGTTCTGTTCCAAACACTGAGGGTTTCATTTTTACACGTGTATCTGTGTGTGTGTGTCTCTCAGTAGAAAAGTTTAACGTATGATGACAGTGTTTCCTACCTGCCAGCTGCTCTCTGAAGCCTCCTGTGTGGTGGCTAACAGACGCTGCAGGGTGGCTAGCTTCTGCTCCAACATCTGCTCTCTGTGTAAGGCCTCCTGACAGACAGACAGAAAGAGAGAGGAGGCAGAGGAGGCTGAGTGACCAGTGACACAAATGAGAAAGAAATAAGAGCTAATATTTCATTTGAAAAACACTATCGATATAATGATGTGAAGTATTTTCTGTGTAGGATGAGTGATTTGAAGTTTCAGTTCATCTTCAAACGCTGTACAGCTCCATTTGGCATTTAAGATCGCTTTGCTGTAATTTCACATAATGACCAGAAGGTGTCAGTGTGTTACCTGTAGATACTGGGAGAGCTGGAACAGTTCCTGAGAATACATACTGGGAGTGTTGGCTGCAACCTACAAAACAGAGACAAAAACACACACAAACACAGATACAGCTTGTTAACTCATTGACTGGCTGATCAGACTCGGGTTTAAGGTAAAAGCAGTGCTGAGGTCAAAATGAGGCCAGCACAGAAAAAAAAGAGAAACAAAGGCCAAGGTGGATGATCAAAAGATCACACACACACACACAAACAAACACACACGGACACAAACGAACACAAACACATACACACACGCACACAGTCAGAGGTTGGTGATCAGTGCACAGTCAGATGAAAGGTGACATAATGTTTTATTTCAGCACAAGTAAAGATACAGGTGCAGCATCGGTCTGTGGAGAAATTGCAGGTTGTCTGTGCAGGTGTTGGAGTTTTGCACATCTGTTTGGAGTTGGATGTAGGGCTGCTCAGATAGTCTTGTTTATAAAGACTGTGTGACATCCAATCATTAATGTGTGTGTGACATAAATATTAAGGTTAGGAGAGGATGTAAGATTTTTCTTCTGGTGTCTGGGGGAAAAAAGAAGCAGACGTCAGAGACCTTCATTTGAGTCCAGATTAAAGTTTGCGATCTTTAAAAGTCATCTGAGTTTTTTACTTTTTCACTTAGCCTTGCATGGAGACTTGAGGAGGAGGAACACTTACAGCCTCACTTTGCCCTAAACCCCGATCCAGATTTTTAAAAAACACAAATTCAGACGGTTTTGAACTCAAAAACAAAGTGTAAACTCTTCCACGTGTAAGTGACGTTGGAGAAGCAGGTGTATCACGACCCATTTACCATTTACTCCAGGATGAAAACCTCAGCTACACGTGGTCTTGGGGGAAAAAAACGCACACAATTTGTGAATTCAGTGTGTAAAGGCCTGTGTGTGTGTGTGTGTGTGTGTGTGTGTGTGTGTGTGTGTGTGTGTGTGTGTGTGTGTGTGTGTGTGTGTGTGTGTGTGTGTGTCTTTGGGGAGCTGGGAAGTTTAAGCATCCGTCTATGGGACAGTTAATTATGTTAGAGAAATGGTTCAAATCTAATCACAGCAGCTACTCCCAAACACACACACACACAGACTTATCCACACTTAGACACACTTACCCACACACACACACACATACACACATACACACAATCACCCGGAGCCCACATTCCTCAGTCAGGTTGCACTGAGGCTCTGTTGTTCTCACTGTCAGAGGGAAACACACTGCAGGGTGAGGCTGCACAGAAAACCATGAATGCTGCATTAGAGGGAAACTGAGGACTCTATGGCTAACTTTGGTGCGTAGCTACAAATACCTACTTTTTTTAAGCCAAACTGTCATTGATTTGTGAAACAACTGATCAATTGATCAGATAAAGAATTAAAAAATCATTACGGCTTTTATATTTGATATTTCTTTGCTCTAAACAGGCCAATAAAAGTCTTTATTCAGCCGTATTTTTGTCTTGATTTTAAACACAGCTGGTGTTTTAATCAGACAAGTGATTTAGTACTGATATGTAGCATGGTTACTATGGTAACGTATGTTCTGTAGTAACCAAGCTACATGGCTCTATTATATGTTTTCACGTTAGTTTCTATGATGTCATATCGCTGCACATCAGTTAGAGCCGTTCAAAATGTTTGTTTACTTGTTGCTTCCTGGTAAATGTTTCTTGAACTCCCAGCAGAGACGGTAATAATGCGAGATGGCTCACTCCTCAGCAGCTCGGCTGAGTGAGGCGTGTCCACAGAAGGAAATACATGCACGATGACATCACTGACTAATTACTGACAATACAATTTGTCTGGAGCAGATCCTGCTGACATTGTGGACCAACTGTTGCACCTTTGTTTGGTGCTGTGCCTAAAAGGTTTATCATTTATTATACTACACCCATCTGCACACCTACAACACATACCTCTCCTCCACTTCTCTTAAACTTTTAAAACCCAAACTGCAGTTTTATAATTCACCACACAACAGAAAAGGTGTACAGTTCTAACTGCTGATATACAGGGAAGGATTAGGAAGTTAATTTCATACTGACATATTATCAGCACGTCGAAGGTTCAATGCGGAGATCAGCTGCTGGTCTTTGGACATTTAAATATAAGGTTTAACTTTGAAAATTGCCCCAATAATCTCACAAGATTTTCACAATAAAATGTGCTTTTAGCAGCTAATTAATGGGAATAAAGCATATTCTTTAATACAACCACATACTCGTCATTTACAGACTTGTGCATATGGTGATGCAACATTTTCCTGGTGTTTGAGCTGCACAGCCGGAGAATGACATCAGTGAATTACTGAGCCGCTATCTTTGCTGCAGCACACAATTAAAAAGTGATTTCATTTCAGTGGGACTTTAAATAGTTTTAAGAGTCTTAGGGAAACAAAGCACTCAGAGGGAGCAGTGGGAAAAACACTTCACCCCCCGATCCACATGAAAGACTTCTGCAGAGCGGCAGCACAAACTGGCAGCAATCCCTGCATTCCTCAATCAGCTGACTACTCCACACTGCATGTGTGTGTATGTCTGCAGAGATTACCAATGTGTGTGGGAAAAGTACCTCACACACACACGCACACACACACACGCACACAGCTCTGTTACTGAGAGGCATGCTCCTACGACGTCAATCTGAGAGCCAGACAAAACATCAGGCACACTGGACAGGACAACAATAAAACACACACACATTCCTCTTCTTACCTTGTCTACAGGTAGAGGTAACGGAGCCTGGATGACACTGAAAAAGAATGAGAGAGAGGAGAAAACAGTTGGTCACCATGGAAACAGCAGAAAGGGATGACACTTGGAGTAACCACGGCGACAAAGGGAAAAAAAATGGTTCTCCGAGGACTTGTGACACTCGCTTTTCTGCTCATTGTTCAACAAAAACCTCGACTCAGCAAGTTCACGTCATTCAAAGACTGATCTGATCTGATCCACCTTTCTGTTTATCAGTTTTCTCCTGTTCAAGAACAGTCCATTGATGGACCTGCTTTGTTTCCTCTACATTATCATGTCACAAACACTCAGCAGAGTAATATGACAAAGAATATAGTCCAGATCTGCTTTTTTGTACAGCCAGTGTCCTGAAATAGCTTTTCCCATTATTTCATGCTATTTTATTAAATTGAACTAAACTTTTCTGGATATGTTTTTTTTTTAATCAAGGAAGCGACAAATCACTTTTTTTTGTCGTTGAAGGGAAAAATTAGCTACAAGGACGATGAACCACACAAATTCAACCTTCTTAGAAGCAGTGAGGGTGAAACCCTTCCCGACTTTCAACTTCTGAAGACTTCATGGTGTCGCATCGGCTGCTGCCATTTGACAGTTTTGTTCACCATCCTCTTCAAGGTCACAGTTTTGCATGTGTCACCCACCCTGCTGTAGTCCACACACAAGATGGCTCACTTCAGAGACCAAGCTCTAGGAAACAGTGTGATATATCCACTCACAGCAAGGCAAACATGCACAGTGTCAGTACTGATTAATAACTGAGGAGTCACTTCAATGGTAACAAACCTTTTCATCAATGAACACAGTCGGTCTGAAAATATCAAATCTATTAAACATCTGTGGTTTAAACAGAAAAAAAAAAACAATTTCCCAACTTTGTCAACTTCTTCAGGAATCAATAAACGCCAAAAAATAGAGATTACTTTCACTAATGATAAATCTTGTTTTCCCAATACACTGATTAGTTTTTTAGACAAGGTGAAAAAAAAGAAATCAAAATCAGTGTTTCCTAATATCCATCCATCCATTAGTCTATCCAACATCCAGCCGTCATTCCCTCCATCCATCCTTCAGTCTATCAAACCTACAATAAATCAAACCATCAATCGCTCTATCCACCCTTAAATCCATTTGTCCATCCATCCAATATCCATCTTTCCCTTGTTCCAGCCATCAAACATCAAGCCATCCATCTATATCCATCCATCTATCAATCGGTTGATCCATCCATCCATCTGTCCATCCATAAAAATCTATCCCTGGAACTTTTAACCCATCGGTCCATCCACCTTGCAATCCATCCACCCATCCAGTCATCCATCATCCATCCATTTCTTCACCAGTCTACTGATCTTCAAATCCATTCATCCATCATCAATCCCTCTCTCAGTCCACTCTATCAATCCATCAGTCCTCTCTTCATCATCTGGAGTCGAGTTGGACGAGGAGCAGGCTCAGCAACTTTCCCCAGACTCTTCTCTCCCCAGCAACAGTTCAACCCCTCCTGGGGATTTCCAAGGTATTCCCACACCAGTCTGGATATATAATCCCTTGGGTGGTCACCCCCCAGTTTTACCACCTCCTTACCCTGCAAAGGAGTCCGGGCTCCACCCTGGGCTGTTAAACTCTGTCCCTGAGGCAGGGCCTGGCCACCTGCTGCTGTATCATAGATCTCATTCCTTGGATCAGGACCCACAGCTCAGGAGCATGGATGAGGGTTCAAGCAGAGATGGATCTGTAAATTGAAGGTCTGTCCTTCAGGCTGAGCTCAATCTTCACCTCAACAGTCTGGTTACTTGCCGCCACCCCCCCAGCAGCTGCACCAACACATCCGTCAGACTCACGATCCATTCTTCCTTCAGTCATAAACAATATCCCGAGGCACTTAAGCTCCTTCACATGAGGTTAGGACTCACTCCTACTATAAAAAGGTGCAATCCTCCGTTTTCTACCAAAAAACAACAACATGACTTCTCTAAATTCAAAATGACGGAAGTTCTCGTGAAGTTCTCTGAGTGTGGGGCCGACGCACACGTATGTTTAATCAACACAAATCAACCTCTGTATGAGTATGTGTGTGTTTGTTCTACCCTTTCCCAGACTGGTATCCATATCCTCTGGATGTCCTTGCTGCTGACGTGCCTTTATAAATAAACCCGCCTCACTCCGTCTAATGACTAATTCCTAATCAGAAGTATCTCTAACAACAACAAGAACACAAAGACCCAAGAGTCTCTTTTTTATTCAACAAACACCTGCTCGGCTTCACACTGCACGGATATAAACAGCCTTCACTTTCAGCCCTTCATGGACATGACCTCTTCGCCATGCTCTGGAGATATACACCAAAGTGCTGTTTCCCATGGCAACGCGAGGTCACCGTTTTGTATGAGAGGAGGTGGAGCTGATCCAGGATTTACCTGGAAACAGTCAGAGTTCAGGAATGAAGGTAAACTCGACTCTGGGGAAAGAATAACTCGACTCTGTTAATGTGTAACTCCTGAGCAACAGGACGGCTGAGAGAGCAACAGCTCTGACAAACACAACTCTGAGGAGGAGGCAACACAACCCTGTGTGTGTGAGTGTAAATTCACACAACAACCCACACACTCACTGTACAACACCATGAATACTACACTGGGAAATTCAGTCTGGTTGTAATTATAAATAAAGTCACATTCATTTCATTCACAGTATAAACATACTTTCTTAGTCAGTGTGAAGTGGAAGAGGACTTCTTTGTGCAGGCAAATACACGACACAGCTTCACTCACCGGCCACTTCATTTGGTACACCTCTCTTAAAAAACTAAGCGTCCACACTTTGATGGTTAGAAATCATCTTTTGCTATTTTATGATGTTACCAAACTGCTTTTAGACGCTCTGCAGTTTCCTTCTCAGGATACATCCCATGAAAAACAGGCAGCGGTAAAAAATAACGAAGAAAAGTTGATTCATATGATTCTTATGTTTGGCGCCTGGAAAAACAAACCAGATGAGATCATAGTTAATTGAAATCCTCCATTTAGAAAAAATAAATAAATCATTGACTTCAAGTATTTCCATCTTTTGTTTCTCGAGGGAGAACAAAAGCAGACACCAAGGTAAACAAATGGGATCAAATGAGGTCAGCCAAAGGTGAAGCCAAGCTAAAAGGTGAACTTTAGAGTTGTCCAAAGTCCTCCAGTTTTTTTTATAGGTGTATTATAATAAGACAAAGGTCTGAACTGACAAAAAGGAGAGGAGCAGAGAGCGAGTTTTAATATTAGAGATAACTGAACTTTGAGCCAAAGCTTCACCAAGGTGAGTGAATTAGATAAAAAGCACTTCAAAGTAAAAGCAATTATTTAAAAGGGTTTTCGAACATTTCGTACCCACAGTTGGAGCTCTCTGCAGAGATCAGACTTTACGCTGCTGCTGCTCTCCTTCAGTGTGACAAACGACTGCTAAAGAGCAACATCATCCATCAGGGTAAACACCAGAGGCTTTGTGATTTCACTCTGCTGAGCTCAGTGTTTTCATATCAGAGCTGCATCACATCAGCTCTTCAGACCGCCCAAAGTTTCCTCGGAGAAAAATGACGTCTTACAAGTGGAGAACAACAAGCCCAGTGCTTAATGTGGAGCTAGACTTCGATGTTGTTCTATAAATCTTGAGAGGTGCCTGTAAACCCGGGAAAGCGGATCATTTTCAAGCTAGATATAACACTTTCTTAAACAGATGTTGTAAAAATGTATGAAAGTCAATCAACCTTGCAGAGACATGAATTGCTCTGCTGTAGTCTCTAACCTACACTTGCTGCCTTCCTTCTCTTTTTCCAGTTACTGGTTTATAAACGCCATCATGATTCGCTTCTTTTCTGCACATTTCACTCAGACTCGTCTCTGTTTGCTGGTCTCCAAAGACACTTTTGTCATTAATGAGTCCGTGTCACTGCGTGGTTTCTGCTGCATTCATTCAGTCACAGTGGTCTGTTGTGCATTCATTTTCATCACCGCTGTAATCACTGTGTATAAAGCAGCGTTATTTATAGCCGCTACCAGCAGCAGCTCTGTCACTCAAACAGCATCAACACTGCAGGTCCACCAGATCATAAATTAATAAATCCTTACCCACAGCAGAAATATCACAACCTGTAATAATCTCGAGCTCTGCAGACTCTCGGCTCATCAGCCTGGGACGCTTCTCAGGAGGTCGACTCGGGTTCAAACAAGACTTATATAAAATAAACATTTAAGGTGAAAAAAAAATACCATCAGATTGAGAAAATACAGACAGATGAGGGAGACATCGGAATATTATGATTATATCATTATAGGGCTGAAACGATTCCTTGAGTACCTCAATTGCAAAAAATGATCGAGGAATTTTCTCTGCCTCGAGTACTAAGCTCGAATCATCACTGTTTCACACAGATTAGTTTAAAGGTGACACAATGCGCTTAAGTCACCACAGTTGGAGGAGGAGTAAGAGCAGTTTTGGTTTTGTGGAGCGCAAAAAATGAATGAGGAGAGGGGCTTTTCTTCTGCAGAGCTCCAGTAACTCATTAGCCCTTCACCTCTGAGTCGTGGGCGGAGACAGTACTGCTCTGCACACGCCTCTTCACACTAGCTTGCAGCCTAACATTGCTGGTGTAGTAGAAGTGGCAGGTAACATAGAAGCTATTCAGCTTTTGGATACTAATGTCTTTGGGGGCATGATGAAAGTTAAGATCATAATTAGCTTTCTTATGAGCATTGCAATCCGCTAACACACACACTTGTTCTGTGATAATTGCACTTTAACTAAAGAAAATTGTGTTTTATCCGATTACTCGATTAATCGATGGAATATTTGGTAGAATACTCGATTACTTAAATATTTGATAGCTGCAGCCCTACATCATTATTGTTTGACTGTAGTCACCTCATGGCTGCAGACTAGAATGGTTATGTGCTCCACTGTAGGTGACAGAGATTACTGGTTATGGAGAAAATCCTTGGTTATCTTTTTGACTGTGGACTTCAAATCAATGACTAGAAACCGCCAGCTCTATTTTGGTTTCAGAAAACGGTGTCTTGAAAACTGAAGTGCAGCAGGTGTCACACAGCGGGCCGCTTCAGCATCGAGCAAACGGCTCATTTTAAGTCATCATCAAACAACTGATTCAAAGAGCAGACCTGCAGCACAGCTCCAGAATAACACTTTTATAAAGACGGAAAAAACCCACAGCATAACATGACCTAAATTTACAGCTCCTCAACTACAGCTCACAAGGACATCAAGTCTGCCTACACACAGACACACACACAGACTAAGTGCAGCGGGTCTGCAGGATTCAGTCATCCACATCAGATCTAGATGAGTCTACATGGGCTCCAGCAGACACTGAGGATGGAAAACACTGGCAGGAGTTTCCTCGGTGGGGATATTGTGGATATTTCCACAACTGAACAGGTTTTAATCTCAGAGCACAACTCAGACCTGACACTGTCCAAACATTCGACTTCTCATTTCCATATTTTCCTCTTGAACCACGCAGGGATTTCAAAAAACAAGGTTTGTTTTTCTCATGTAGGAAATCAATGCTCCTTCTGAACGTGTGCTGGGTCAATCAATAACTCAAAAACTGATAATGAAAAACTGTGACTGTCTTTTTCATGACATGAATTTCTGATCAAAAACAGCCTCCTGTTTCTCACTAAAATATCATTATCACCCTTTAAGAGACGGCACTGTCTCTCACGTGTCGCAGGAAGCACAGATGAACCAGTCAGGAGAGCCAAGTGCAATGACATCATTGGTTTAGTGAGTCTCATAGAGGCCAGTCCAGATCTCATGTGATCTCCCAACAAACAGTTTTTAACACTTAACATGTTTACATTTTAATGCCTGTAACTGCTGTGAGGGTTTAGAAACAGTCATCTCTCTTGTTAATAACCTTGTTTGCTCAGTGAGGTCACGAACAGACATAAATGTTGATTTTAGTCAGTTTCACAACCTGCTAAAATCTCCTCACAGGAAAAATAAGTTCTTTTCACCTCCCTTTCATCTGTTTCTGGATCTGAACACTTTTGTAGTTTTTTTACCATTTCTAAAATCGGCCTCATTCATCCAGATATCTACCAGTGCTGGTTATTTTCCAAAAAGCCATAAATCCACCTCATGAATTAGACCAGCTTTCGCTCTGACCCTAAAGTAGATCTGTGTGGTGAGAAAAAACGCTCCGTAAGAAATGAGTGACAGTGTTACAACTACAATCTACATTTTCACCCTCTTTCCCTTTTTCTCAGTCATTGTGCAACAGACCTCAAAGCGCTGTAATCTGATGGTAGCTGACAGTTGGGGCTTCTCCTGATTGGTCAAATGTTGTGAATGCATGTCCCCTGTAAAGAGAGCTGCATCTGATTGGTAAGATGTTCACATTGCTACGCAAAATAACCGGGACGGCTTCCCCACGTGCTTCATATCTGAGCTGTGACTTGTAACCTCTGTAAATACAGTAAACTACAGGGAAGGTTCTGAACACCACTGCTGCTGCTTTCAGGATTAATGTCTTATGCTTTGACCTGAAGGCAGCTTGAATAACCAACCAAACGATCGTGAAAACAAACCCAGACAAGTCTTCAAACGGTCAGCCTCCAGCTTTAATTCTATGACCATATTTAGATAAGTGAGTAAGTGCTCCTTGAACAGATAATACTAACACTCCAAGCTACAAATTAGCAGTGGTCTGGTCAGCTTTAAAGTTCATTCAAAAACTAGCACCATTCCTCCTGGAGGGACCAATCTAAATCCAGATCGACACGCTGGACAGCTGAGACGTTACCTGTCGGGTCTTTCCTCTGTGACTGGTCTTAAAGTTCACGATTGAGCCTCTTTGTCGTGGCCTGACTCAGCCTCTCCTCTGAAGAAATGGATCCTTTCCTGAAGCTTCATTTTCTCCCACAGTTTGAAACAAGCAGCTGATCCCTCTCTACTTTTTCCACCGCGTGAGTGAAGTCATCCCATAACACAAACTTTCTTTCTTTTCTTTTCTTTCTTTCAAGTCTCTGCTCCTCCTCTCCTCTGAAGAAAAACAGCTGATTTTCTTCCTCTTACTTGTGCAAGTTTTTATAGCTCCACCCCTCCTGGCACTTTGTGGAGAAACAAGCTCCCCTCTCTGCTGCACTTTAGTTTCTTTCTCTCGCTTTATGGCCTGTGCGAGGTTAAAGGTGTGCTGGCTAACGAACCTGCTGTTTCATTAGGAGGCAGAGTTTTCAATTCATAAACGAGCGCTCACCTGAGAGAGAGCAAGGGTTATGTAAATGGAACATCCTCCTCACACACTTGACTATGAGTGTGTGTGTGTACAGGCGATTTGAGGAAATATGGTTGGTGATAACAGGCTGATAAGAGGAGCTATTGTCAGGCTGGCAGCAGTGACAGGAGTGGTCGAACCTGAAACACCTTTCCCTGGTTTGATCAAATAAAGCAGAAATTAGAGGTTTATAACGACTACGGGGACATGTTGAACAGAGCGGGCTGGGATCACTGCTGTCAAACTTGTTTTAACTTGTGGCTTAGTTGGTTTTGTTCTCCACGTTCTCCTCTCTCTGTGTCACCACATTAGTAATAAAATGAGGGAATGACTCCTCGCTGAATCACACACAGAGAGGCAGAGAGCTGCTGCACATTTTCTGGCCACGCCCCTGCCAGTGATGTCACAGCAGGTGTTTTGCATTAGATAGGAAATAAGACGGGAACAAAACAAGACAAGGGAAAGGAGATAAAGTTTCTTGAGTACTGTACTTAAGTCCATTTTGAGTACCCGTACTTGACTTGACCAGTAAACAAACGTTGCACTTTTGACTCTGCTGCATGATCATAAATGTTCTGAATATTACGCTCTACTTCTCTCTGGGTTCAGCTGATTAATTTCACAACAAACTGTGCTTGTGTCGTTCTGCATGTGGTTTGTCTGGATGGTGTTGCCATACTTATGAAACGCTCGTCTGCAGGGTTGAACGCAGCTAAAGACAACAGCCGAACTCATGTTTGGTGGTTTAGAAAAATTAGGAGGGATTCAGCTGATTTGAAATGTTTACAGCACAAAAACTTCATCGCTGCCAAAAACAAAGAGAAAAAATTCACTAACCTCAGACAGCAAGTTGCGGTCTGTAGCTGTTAAAAAAAAAATCCTTTTCACACTTCAAACCGAGTGTTTGCTCTAACTAAAGCCAAAAAAAAGGATCCATACTGAGCGTGTTCCATCAGCGTCGCATATCTGCTCCGTAGGGCAGCGCTGTCTATCGCACACAGGATGTGTATTTGGAGCGTGGCAGTAGTGTAGTCCAGCTCTGGTCAGCTGAGCTCAGTATAGAGGAAAAAACATGCTCACAACAGGTTGTTTTGCCTTTCTGTGGTCGACTTCCTGCTGATTTGGATATAATTCAGTGACCGTTGCGCCTCTACTATATGTAAAAAGAAACGTGATTTTACAGTTTCGTTTTTCGCAGATTTACTCGTGTTTAATAAAGTAAACTATGTTCCTTCATGCTGTGCTGTTTCCTTCAGACAGAGTTAGCAGTTTAAAGTCCTGTTGGGTCCACATGGATCAGGGATTGACCATCAGATTGTTCTGTGTTACTGATAAATCCAGAACCAGGAAGTATTTCTCATCTACACAAACTGATACACAGTTGGGAGTCCACATACGGTGTTTTGTTTTGAAATGTTCTGGATGACCTGCTCGGTTTTTGTGCTTGACTTCCTGTCTAGAACGATCTTCTCTGTGTAGATTGACGCATGTTGGAGGCTTAGTGCAGCAAATAGACTTGGCGCACATCTTTAGCAAAGCCACACCCGATACGCTTCTGATACGAGGCTGATACACATCCTGTGCACTATGCTGCATTTATTAGAATGGGAAACTATTTGCTGAGTGATACGCGACGCTGACGTTATGCGCTCAATACAGATCCTGTATATTTTAGTCTTTAACTGCAGTTTTTATTCTGAGATGAGTTATTCATATTATTTTGGAGCTGCAAATTTACAGCAGAATGTATTCTTGACTACAACCACGCACTGTAAAAAAAGGGTAAAATATAGAGATATGTTTACAGTGGAGTTTGAATATTTGAGGATGTTTAAAAAATTACTCAAACTCAAGTGCTAACAAAATCTCACTTGAATATTTGAGCAGGAGTGTCTGTCTACACTTAACCTCCTCATATCTCCTGATCATGAGCACATTACTACAATGTTTCACTGACAATAAAACATTCACCAAAGTTAAAAACAGAGTCAAGTAGTAGTTGTTGTTACAACAGCTCCATAAAGCACTCTCAGACTCTCTTCTTTGGCAATGTTATGTCTTAAAAGATGTAAATATTAAATTCCTCTGAGATTATTCTCAATATTTTTGCTGCAGATCTCAAAGGTGAATCAAAAAACTGTTCCTCTGAGTTTCCAGAAACATAAAACTGAACCGAGTTTTCAGAGGACGCAGATTGGTCTCGTGTATAAATACAGGTGCTCTGCTCACACACACACACGCACACACAGAGCGACTGTATTAAGCTGTACTTGGCAGACTTCCACATGTCTAATGCTAAAACTGGGGGGGCAGAAACATTCTCCAGCTATTAATAAATCTGTTAGAATTAGCTTCACATCACTCTCTTTTCAGCTGCACTGTAAAGAGACAGATCTGTACAGGGTCAGACACACTGCGGTCTGTTAGTACAGCTGTTCTCTCCTGAAAAAGTGAGGGTGGGTGGCACCGGGTTCTGATGAATTCCTGGCATCATAAAAACCTTGTAAAGCAAGGTCACATCTTTATTTTCATGAACTGTGATAGGTTGTGAATTTTATCTCTGCAGGAGTTTTTTCAGAGTTATATTTAAATATGTCAGAAAAGCTGCACAGAGACACCAGTGTTCGTGTTAATGATGTGCTGATGTGCCTCGGTGATGTGATGGAGGTTTCCTGAGCTGAAGTCAAAGGCCGTCACTCCTCAGTTAATCTACTCACTACTGCTGCTGCTGCTGCTGCTGCTGCTGCTGCATCACTCTCCCATATTTCTGTTACACACTAAATCTTTGCAAAAACAGCTCTGCCAATTCTTAATTAAAGAGTGTTTGCACCCAACTTAGCCCTGACCTCTTTACACAGGAAAATGTGGCACTTTAAGCTGAGAACCAGTCCACAAAGAGACTCGTTTTAACCCTTTTGGGCTGCATGTGTGAATACAAACAGTGGAAACTCTTCCTGACTTCCACAGCTCCAGGAAAACAGTCAGTGTGAAGACAGCAGGTAATAGTGTATAACCCGCAGGTAAATGGGTGAAGTGGCAATGTTGTACACGGTGGGCAGAATTTCTCTGTTTGAAGTCTCTATTTCATTTTCTACTGTTTTGTTTGTTTTTAGTGGAAACATCCATACACAGGAAAACAAGCTCATAAAGTTTGGACTGTGTAAAATGTTTATAAAAATACGTCATAATGTTTGATAGAAAACACAAGATTTATGACCAACAACATGTTTCCCCAAACCATCAAATCTGATGACAACCTCTGTCTTCTTTAGAGAAGAGGATGTAGTGACCATGATTTGTTAGTTTGCAGTAGGACTAGGCGATTGTATGATCGTGGTCGATGATCACGATAAATTTCAGTTCGATCACGGTGATCAGCTGAGAGCATATTTTCTCGATCAAACATGGCAGAAATGTGCGTCACAACAGCCAATCAGAGTCGAGCTTTTCCTGCTCACTTCTGTAGACTGGAGAAGGGAGAAATAAACAGAATGACCAAACATGGAGCTAAACACAGAGCTGAGGGCAGCAAAACAGATGTCAGCCGTGACTTTGACTCATCCTCAGAAGATGTGATTGTTGAGAAGTTATTCAACGTCTCTCCAAAGTGACGTCGAGCAATTAAGCCGATAAACCGGCAACATAACAGATCTGTTAAATCATTTGAAGAAGTTCTTCCCGAGTGATGATGCGGGAAGAATGAAAATGTGAGCGGAGTCTGTACAGCCTGTCACTGCTGTACGGTACGAGTAGCATTAGCAGTTCAGACACAACTAGCAGTGCAGCCATCAGACCAAAGCAGAGATCAAACATATCCATACCTGCCAACACTCCCGTTTTTCCCGAGACTCTACCGTATTTCAGACCGATCTCCCGCCCACCCCCCGTATTGTCATTTCTCCCGGGAATCTCTCGTAGCACGGTCCGCATTCATCCATGAATCGGACACTATTTTTGTCCAAAGTTTCCAGACAACCGGAGATAGTCTTTTGTTTCTGCTGAGCCTCACAGACACTGGATTGATACTTTTACTCTACAGTTTGGGATGATTCAGGTTGGTTTCAGCTGTAAACTATATTTAAGCAGTGTTTGTTGCAAAATGAACGTTTCGATGAAAGGAAAACAAACGCGAGATATGCGAGAGTGATGCGTTCAGGGCAGCCTCGGATAAAAGACAGCATCCCACCTCTTTTGGAGCTGAGGTTGGTACATGTCATAATAATATCAAAACAGACCCGTCACCTTTAAAGAAGACTCCCTATCCAGCACGCCTTACCAAGGAAAGCCCTGTCACTTAATCTCAAACGAGAATCCAATTTAAAGCAAATGTCAGATCCTGATAATCCTCCAGTAGGAGGTAGGAAACACATTTGAGAGGCAACTCAACAGAAAACTGGATCTTAAATTCCTGATTTAATCGAGAAAACGACAGAAGTGAGTTTGTGAAGAGAGCTTTGGTACCAGCTGGAGAACACAGTGGAACATTTACAAGTCAAAGCGCCAAAAAACTTCTCTCAGGAGATGTGGAAAACTAAAACTGAGCTATAAAAAGATGACATCTGAGACACATTTATGTTCAGAGAGTTTAGGCATCGACTCTTTGTTTGCCAACACTCCCCGCAGGAGTGAAGCGGACCCATAACTCTCTGTTTTAGGGTCTGTTCATACAGGTCAGGACGCTCGTCTGTGTTTTCCAGTCCCATGTTTCAGGCTAAGAGGCGGACAGCAGGGCAGCAGATGGCACTGCCCACTGTGGCAGAGTGCCCCAGTCGCTCACACATGCACACTGATTCCACCATCTTTTTAGCCAATTAGAAACACACACACGGGCGCGCACTCACACACACACTCACTTAACGCAGGTGGGACTCCCTATACAGTAGGAAGTTCCATGCTGGGTCAGCTGCTGGTCTCCAACAGCCCATTGAATCGCTCACAGTTTTTCAGCGACTCGTATTTGTAAACTAACAACTCTTCACTCTCCAAACCATCAGCATGAAGTCACACCGACATGGCGCGGGCGAGCGCCTGATCCATGTCAACAACAGATTTGAAAAGCTGGATCATTGAGAGCAAACATACGAGCACGCAGCATTTCCCTCATGTCTGAATCAAATGACCATCCTCCTCATCCTCATCAGCAACTAGACTGAAACTAATTACATCACTACGCAAGCAGAAATATGCTCTGTAATGAGTGTGTGTGTATGTGTGTGTGTGTGAGCAGCCAGACAGCCGGTAACAGCATTATGCACAGAAACCAGTGAACTATTATGACCACCAGAAACTGCTTTACTCTGTCCAATGACAATGTTGCATTAATGTGCAGCGGCTAATCACCGTTCTCCGTTAAACCTGAGTAACCATGCAGAAATCATTAAAAAACAAACGAGAGCGCTTACTCGCTTCGTCGGCGTGCCTCCATCCCATCAGGTAGGAAGAGTTTGATTGTTGACACGATGCAGCCATGAGTGACTAAAATAAAAATAAACAGAGAAAGCACACGTAAAACACTTGATTAAATCTGAAGTTTGATTGGTTATAAGAATGTTGGAGTTGATCAGTGATGTGAGAGGCACATGCTGCTGTTGAGTGATGTCTCTTTGTAAGCATTATTGGTCAACCAGCAATCGCTGTATTAACACACATTATCCAGAGAAGTGGAGCTCACACAACTGCAACCCTTAAAGCTAAACAAAAGTTGGTTTAAAAAAAAAAATAATTCAGTCAAAAGTTTGTGTAATTTAATCCACTAATTAAATGAGTCAGGAACTACTGATTAAGTTATCTCTACATAAAGATGAGACAATCATCATGTGATGGTAACATGTTGTCGATGAACGCGTCTCTGTAATGCACCAGGTATCTAATAGTTTTAAGTAATGTCCATATTTTTATTAAAATACCGAATAAAAACTCTCTGCTTCTATCAACAGCAGAGGAAATATGTCTGCAAAGATGGTGGCGGTCCTGGAGGAATAAGGTCTGATGTTGGCTGAATGCACATTTGGTTTACTGTATTAGAAGGATATTAGTGGAGCTGAAAATCTGACCTCAATAACTGTACAGCATATTTGTCTGCGACCTAAGGAGCCCTGAGGTTCCCTTCAGGGTCAGTCGAGTGGAATTATTTCAGGTTGTTGGTGCATGTTACTAAAACTAGACAAGAGGAATGAAAGAAGGAAATCCTCTCTCAAATTCTTTCCCCTCTGCACCTCACAAACTGGATTGCTGGAAATGTTGTGCACCGCTGTGTCAAACTACATCACACATATGCGTGTACCTTTGCGTGTGTTCTCGGTGACGTCGACGCCAAACTGGATGATGTCACCAGAGAGGACTTCACATGGCGGACTCTCCTCTGAGCCGCGACTCAATCTCTGGCTGTTGATGAACGTCCCGTTGCTGCTTTTAGTGTCCTGCAGGTAGAACTGAGACAGAGAAAAACACACCTGGTGAGAGCCATGGAGAGACAAAACATCCTCCAAAACCTGAGAGATATGAGTGGATAATCAAGTTAAATCTATGAAGTATGCTGACTGACAGCACTGAAAGGAAAATAATGTGCAGGATGACAGTGAAGATTCAGCTGCAGCTCATAATCAAATTTATGAAAGAGGATTAAGGCATCGAGAAGAGAAAAAAATAATTACAGGAGGGACATTTTTTAAATTTCCATTTTGAGATTAAAGTTGAAATTTTGAGATCAAAGTCGAAATTTTAAAAAGTCGAAGCCATCCATGAGCCAGAGCGCAATGGGTCCTCGGCTTCGGTAATGCCTGCGCCTCAGACGCCGGGCTCGTCTGTGCTCCACGCCTTCAGGATCAATCAATTTAATCAGTTGTCTTATTGTATCTTGTAATACAACATGGCCTCGCTGTATGCCACACCGGTGTAACCATCGGTAACCCTGCATCTGCATCATAATCTTCGGCACAGTCTTTTCAGAGTCTGAATACTTACGACCACACTGTGTTTGTGTGCTAAAAGAGCAACGATTTCCTTTTTACAAAATCCAGTTCTAAAGTACAGCTTTACAAACTCTCCTGCAGAGGACATGTTGTTGAGTGACGAGCGACATACTGTTGATTCATTATCATTAATCTCAACATTACGACTTCATTCATAAAATGTGTCTTTATTTGCATCGATTTTCATCTCAAAGCTTCAATTTAATCAACGAAATTTTGACTTTATTCTTTTCAACTTTAATCTCAAAATTTCAATTTTTAATAATCAACATTTCGACTTTAATCTCAAAATTGTATTATTTCTAATCTGGAAATTTCAACTTTAATCTCCGTCCTGGCCCTAATTCTCTCTCGTACATATTCAAGCCTTTTTGTCAAGTTGAAAATAATTTTCTAATTCACTTCTATAAAATTACATCACGTGACAGTAGTTGAGTGTCACTTTCAATCGGCAGGGCGGGGAGGACACAATACATACACTACAGTAATATACAGCAGTCAGCCTTTCATACATGAAGTCCTGATGCTTTCTGCACAGAATAGAAGACACAATTTTTTTTCCCCTTGAAATTCAAAAACAGCAAATACGAATGAACGTTGAAACAACAATGAAAACTAATGTCTGTTCCCCTCTTCTCATAGGGTAGTACAATAAAACTGTATAATTAATAAAACATAAAGTAAAACAATAAGACAACTAACATGTCTGGAAACTCTGGTTAATAACTGAAGTAACAGAGCGCCCCTCCCTCAGAGTGAAGCAGGCTTTAGAGAAAGGCTTTTTTTACTTTACATTACGCAATGTGCAGATTTTATGCAGCTGTGTAGTGCCTCCTTTGCACCGTCTGTCATCCCCACTTCACCACCTACCAGTGTGGCAGTGGAGCTCAGCCTCAGCGATACAGACAGAACCACTGACAGTGACCAATTTACCAAAACTGGAGTCACCACTCGTCACTTATTGGAGAGTCTGTTCAATCCATCCAGCACTCAACACTGTCGACTCACTGTTTAGTTTATTGCTGGTAAATTGGACTTAGACCGCATATATGCAACAGTTTTTCTACATGGACAGAATCCTGGAATGTCATTGGCTAAAGAAGTCTTAAAAAAAACAGCCAATCGTAAACTCTGGTGTGTTCAAAGTCAGCCGCTTTTGTTTACGTTTATGTTCAACTTGTAAATTACATAAGTGAGTAATCCATAGTTACCCACACCAACTATGCAGCTCTGTTAATGTCGAAATGCATGTGTGGAAAATGGTAAGAATTTGATCCAGTGGGTCAATTTTTTAATGTCATTGTGCTCCATCATAATGTAGTCATTACAATCCCGTTATCAGTTCTTCCTGAGGTTATACTCGAATAGAGTTAAAATAAACAAAAGCAGAGACATGGATGTGACAGCGTTTCAACACAGAGCCCCTTAAAGCAGTAAAACCACCATAAACAGAGAACCACATCCGCAGAAAACACACAAACACTGAAAGCATTTAAATCATCACATACATAACAACATGTAGGCACGCAAACATGTCAGACACACAACGCACATGCACCAACATGAAGGAGATTACAGGATTACATTCAAAACAAACCCGCACATACACGATAAGGTATGAATTACACCTGACACAAACACGCACACGCACAAACAAGAACACGTTTACACACACGTATACACACACGTATACACACTGACACACAGCGATCTGATCTGAAGCCTGTCTGTCTCTCTCTTTGCCTGTCATCTCTGTAGTTTCATTCATCAGCGCATAGCTCTCCGTCAAGACTGAAAACCACTGTCGATCTACCAAAGAGAGAGAGAGAGAGAAAAAGAAGGACTGAGGAGACAAGAAGGAGGAGGAGGAGAGAGAGAGAGAGAAAGAGAGAGAGAGAGAGAAGACAGATAAAGAGAAGAGGGAGAGATACAGAGACGGACTGGTTGACCTCACACTGTCCATCCGCCCGCAGTGTGCCACCAAATGCTATCAGTCCACACATCATGATAGTTATGACCACACACGCGCATATACACACACACACACACACATGCACGCACACACACGCACACATGCGCAGACATGGACAGTTACCTCCTGTCCCCATGGTAACCTGAAGACAAGGAGGGAGGGAACTAACTGTAGAGCTTCCACGCACACACACACACACACTGCGTCACATACCTCCTCACACTTGGACCTAATGCAGTTCACACACACACACACACACACACACCAACATAGAAAACATGACGTCATTGGTCTGTGAGCGTCAGACTGCTGGTTCAGTCTGAGAGCGGTGAAAACACGGTTCTATCTGTGACTGATTTTCTGATCATCTTTCTATTAAATCAACATATGATGTCATTTACATTAAAATGACAGATTTGATACCAATACTGTGATAAGAGGAGAGAGGGTCCACCTGTCATTTCCTGGTCTTGCCCTGTGTTGTACCCTTTTGGTGAATATGTAAAGATGTCCTGTCAAAGTGTGGGTCATTGTACAGCTGGTACTGCTCAGTGTAATGGTGCAACGCATGTATGCCGCAGCACAGACATAAAAAAAGAGTAATGGCCGTGCTCAGTGGGTGCAGGAGGGAAAGTGGCGAACTGACATCTGTACACGAACCTGCAGGAAAAACAAGGATTTCTGCAAAGGCGGACTTTGATGCAAAACAGCTGATCGTGGAAGTTGACAAGGGTCGACCAGGGTGGTTGAAATTTTCTATATTTTCATGTTTTTCAACACCACATGCCTCAAAAAAATTACAGTAGTGGCGTGATGGAAATAAAACAGACCAACAGTCATGTTTTCATCCAGGATAAGAGAGAGAAGGAAAACCAACAGTGGTGGTCGACCAGCACTGAGTACAGCTGAAGGAACACTAGTGAACTCAACAGCAAAACTGGATAAATAAAAAGGTCATTATGTGATTGTTTCACCACAGTTATACTCTACAGACATCCACATATCTGCACAAACATCCAGGAAGATGGCAAGTTTTGTCGATACATAACCCTCCGTCACAGCCACTACACCGCTAACAAGTCTCCAAATACGGCAGTTTTAGTTACCTGGTCCCTATGTGCAGACTGTTCATGTGCATGATGACGGACACCTGAAATACGATTCAATTAGCTATAAAAGTCAAAGTTGGAGCAGTGGAGACCGACCGATGGAGCTGCAGTGCTGACACCTCCCCTTGCCAGGTGATCAAAATACACCTTGAGGCCCCAATCAAAATGCACCCTTCGTTTAGACGCAAACAAAGAATTCGCCCCTGGTAAGGATCCTTTTTAAAAACACTGGCCAGAGTGGAGATTTTGGTAAACTCGGTTTGACACATTTGCATGTAAACAGAGAAAAATGGACATTTGAGTTGCCGACAGCAGATTGTGTGCCAAAAACAGGGTTAAATGCGATGTTTACAATCTACAGTCTATGTGTACAATCTATGGTGAGTGGAGTGTCCCCTGTTCAACAAAAGTGAAGCCAAAATCTAGCTGCATGCTACACATTGCCACTTTCGTCCATCTTTCTGCCTCTGTTGAAAACCCTGAGAGCCTACAGTCTGTGCAGCAGGAGTCAGGAAGTGTCGATGTGATGCTGCATCCTGCCCAGGGTCTGAAATTAACACCCACTGAGCATCAAATGTGGGTAGATCTGGGAAGCTCTCCCGTTGTCCATCTTTTTGTACCTTCTGTACTGGAGACATGGCGTTAGCACAGAGGAAGTTTTCTCAATGAAGAGGCTGGAACACATTTTAACACTGACGTTACACCGAGCAAAAATGATGGGTTAGCCTCCAAACAAGTGCATTTAATCAAAAGAAAGTGTAAAACTTAAAGTTAAAGAAAACTGTTCAACCAGCTGATTAAAAAAAAAAAAACTACTGAACCTTTCATTAAGCAGAGAAGCTTAATGGAAATTCTGCATTAGGCTTCCAAGAACAACAACCATCCTTCTTATAATACACTTAAATTCATAAGAGATACGAGTTTGTCTGATTTTAGCTCTTCTATCAAAGGACAGACAGTTTTTCCAAACAGTGAAAAGCAGCAGAGAGGGTCTTAACTGGTGCTCAGTAGAGCTGGTGTAAAGGGGGGTACAGAGCTAAGATGGAAGTTGGTTTTTAAGTAAAAATATACCACTGTCTTTGTCCATAGATGTTGATGAACTCTTATCTCATATAGAAAGCAGAGCTGAGTGGTGGAGTGTGGTGCACTGAGTCAAGGCAAGGGTTTCCAGGGTGGATGACGATGGGTGCATACACAGAAAATCCTCATAATCAATCACTGGCAGAAATGTAGCCTCCACAAGTACAAAAGGCTGTTCCTCTGAAATAAAACCCACACTCTACCTGAGCTGATAAACTGTTGCATGTTCTTCAGGGTGTACAAACCCTGAACTGTTGATCAGCACCACCTGCTACAGATCCAACGTTTCCTCCCTTTGATTTCTCTCATCTTAAATTCAGAGGACAGGTAACGTCTCTGCGGATTTCCTGTCGTCTCTGATCTCACTCAGTGTAAGATCTCTCTACCTTTAACCGCTTTTGAATCAAACAGGAAGTGCCTTTAATTTCAATAAGCTAACCCCGGGTTTCTGCTGAATCACGGCTGCTTCATCACTTCCTCAGTTGGAGTGATGGCTGAAAATGAACTCTGAGGTGACGCTGTCCCTCCTGTCATTTTCTCGCTCTCAGTCATCCAATCTATGAGGCACTGTCACTAACAGCAGTACAGACAGAGCTGAGAAAACAGAGCGACTACTAAATCAAAGGGATAAATGAACCATTCATCAGATAACAGAAAAGACATCTGTTTGTTTTACACGCTGAACTTTGGTGGTTTTTGTCAGTTTAGAGAGGGCTGAAACGCAGACACAACAGAGACGGTCCCAGAGAACGTTCTTGGCTCTCTAACCAAACATGGAATTATTACTCAGAGAACAGGATACAGATAAATACTGACAATAACTGAAAGTTTCAGCTGAGAATAAATGAAAGATTGTTCAGTCTGACGTTGAGATATTTCTATCCGTTCAATATGACACAAATACCCCACTGATCAAACCAGCGTGCACTCCTGACAGTCCCACCACCACAAACATGCTCGCATCACTCTCCACCCACTGATACAACTTTTTCCAGCTGAACATTGAATCCCTTTCTCCCTCTCTGCCCTCCATCTTTCTCTCCTCCTCTGCTCTCTCATTAGTGTCAGCTAAATGAATGCCATCTAATTATGTTCAGACTGTCATTTATCCTCCAAAACAGTGCAAACCATCAGCTGGATGCCAACCAACACGACAACAACAACCGCTTAACCAGTCAGCCGGTCGGCACATGACTCCAATTTAGACGGAAACATACACAGAGGATAATGGACAGATAGATGTCAGTGGACGGATAAACTTAAGGAATCAGCTGTGTCAATAACATCTACATTATTGCTCTTAAATGAAGTTATATAACAACAGTGTTTTTGACAGTAGGTAAGAATATACCAATTCAGTAATTATGAAGTATTAATTGGGTGAAATAGCCCTTTTTTTGTAAGGAAGGTTTCTAACTGAGTGAAACGGTTGATGGACAACCACCTGAAGAAATATTGTAAATTACGACGTCCAGGCTGAATTCAATGTTTTCAGTGAGAAACTTCAAGTAGAGACGTAAAGACAACAGTTCACAACAGGAACACTTCAGAGTCCAACTAGCATCAAAGAGTTTCAGATCACAGTGTCGGCCGTATCAGAGGAGAGGACGGTCAAATGTTCGACACTGTGAAATCTGTGTTAATCAAACTACAGAGGGGCTCCTCTGTGGGGCCGCATGTCAAAGCATTGGTCACACCACTGGACTGGAACTGAGGTGTGAGATTCTCTCCATACTTTCTTAATGAATGAATCCGTCACGCTGAGGCAGCGAGTCACGACTCGTACGATAAACCTGTTATATCAACACCGTGATGAGCCGAGGGGAGCGGGGCAGAGACTTGTTAAAGGCTACGGAGAAAAAAAAGACATCAGCTATGAATGACTGTTGAATTTCACACATGGACTCAGTCTTCTCTCCGCCTCTTTAAGTCATGTATTTTTAGTATTCACGCTCACAGGCCAGAGTTTGGGTCCCATGTGAACAGTTTACACTCTAATTCTCAAGTCAGTCATTTCATACCTATACTCACTTTGACAGCTGACATTTCATAGGCAACTTTAGGAATTAGGAATAAGTCATGATGTTCAAGTATCCAAATATTCATTATCATTACAAACATTGGCCAGCTCAGATGAACATTAAGTCATTAGATTCTCATTTAACTGCAAAGAAGGAAAAAAAGGCATCGTTGTTGGGCACTGTGGATAGTTGTGCTGAGCTGTCTTGATATTTAGAAACTCCTACTCGTGCTGAGCCGGAACGAAAAGTTCTCCACAAAGTGCACAGAGACGCTTCAGCAGATATGTCCGCCTGTTTAGAGGGAGTGCAGATCTCTGATTTTCTTTCTTATGGTTAACTTTTGAGGCTTTAAAACATGAACTCAGAGTGTAAGAGGCTGTATATGGTGTGTGTTTGTGTGTTGGTCCTGGAGTGTGTCTGTGCAGAAAGCCAGACGACTGAAGTTTGGACTCCTGCCACCATTTCCAAAAGAGGCTGTTTGCTGCTGCTGCTGCTGCAAACAGAAAGATTGTTTTATCAGTCAGCATGTGAGCATATTCCTGCAGCCCAGTGGGCGTGTGATTCCCTGAAAGGTGAGTGTTGGTGTGCGTGAGTTTGGGCTACAGATTTCTGCTGCCTATTTTCAGCAACCTATTTTCAGCTCAGTCACTTCAGTGGTCCAAAGGAAGGCAGGAGGGGAGAAGGAGAGAGAAAAGAGTGAGATAGAGAGGGACACAGAGCACGATGGGCAGCAGCATCCCTCAGCACCTGTGATCTGATTCATCAGCACAACGGCTGCATACAAGAGGATTTTTGGAACAACCCTATTTAGCATAATAATTATAGATGATCGATTATAGATTAAATAAAATGAAATTTATGATTACTGTTGACTCCTGAAGTGACGCATTATAGTAGAGCTGGGCGATATGACCTCAAATCAACATCACAATATATTGAGCAGTTCACCTTGATAGTGATAAATGGACGATAACTACTCCTCAAGCTGCTCACCCCCTCCCACATTAACTCTGTCTACTTCAGCCGCCACGCCAGTCGCTACAACTTCAGAACCGTCCTCCATCTCCTCCCCTGTCCTTCCCTCTTTGTTACAGACTAAAGGGACTTAAAGGGACATGAGACCATAGCCTCCCTACACACATCCAAAACCAACTTTTACTCATTTATTTTTTTTGACACCAAATATATTGACATGGGCAAAATGATGTCAGCTATCGTCGTAAATTTCGATATGGGTAAATTTTCAGTTTATCGTCCAGCCCTACATTTTAGTGATTTAAACAGAATTTTAGATTTCACCTAACCCTCAGTGCTTCAAGTGAAATTTTCTGACATAGAATCTCGTCCTGCTGTCTTCACAGTCATACCGATCTCTCAGTCAGAGTTATTTCTGGTGGATCATACAGTATAAATAAAGAGGTTTGCAGCTAATTGCTTCACCCGACACCAACCTTGTGGCAGAAACAACATGCATTGATAAAAATAACTCAAAAGAGATAATTGATCCTTACTGCTTTTATAGGTCATGTAAAGGCAACGGTTTTCTTCACAGGAGCTTCACAGGAGTTTTAAACTGGGGGGGGGGGGGGTGTATATCTACAAGTATCTACTGTTTCTGTGCAGTTTAACTCAAGTTATTCTCATGAAAACGTCCTCCTGAGTCCTTGTGTTGAACTGCTTAGAAGCAAATCCTTCTTCCACATGAACCTTGGTAAACTCTTTAACGAATTACTGCCTTTAACTGTGCGGATGCCAACAAGATCAATCGAAACACCACAGTGTCATTTCACTCAAAAATACTTGATCAAGTGTTATTTTAAGATGCTGGGAACCTGAAGTCTCCATGCAGTTAAACACTGATGCAATACTTCTCATTACACAAACATACAGGAAGTAACTTCAACAAAAGATAAACTTTTAAGGTGACGAAGGTTTTTTTTCAACTGCAGCACCATCTGGCTGTGAATGCATCAGTTAACCTGAACTTATTAGCCAAATGTCAGGGTTTAGCATCATGTGTTCTTGTGACTTTAAACCTTAATCTGGTGAAGGCTGGTGGTGTAAACAGCATCCACTTTCCTGTCTGAGGAAGTGTCGAAACACTGAGGCCTCAGGACGAGTTTCTTCATCACATAGTAAAACAAAACAGGTTCACCTGTCTGCTGGAGTTTACTCTGTTGAACACAAACAGCAACACCTTCACTCCTCTGGCATTTTGACATCAGCCTTTGTTCTCGACTGCGGTTGGTATCTTAATCTTTTCAAATGTCCACAGGATAATGAACCGCCAAGATGTGTGTGAAACAGAGCTGTAGAAAGGGTGAGTTAATGTGTTATAACAATAATACTAAGAGAGTGATGAAACTGGCTTAACAAGAGTAGATGAGCTCTAATACTTGTACTCTGAAAATAAAAAGTGTCTGACAGATTGCATCATGTTTGAAAGAGTTCAGCACATTTAAGTGCGAAGGTGAAAACAATAATCCTTTGAGTCGTACGTTTACATCCGACATCCAAACATCCAACACTGACAGAAATGATGCAAAGGAAGACTAACTGTACCTGCTGGAAACAATTCATGAAGTCTGCAGACTGAGCGATTAAAAATAAAGGTATTTCAATATGAGACTTTCATTAAATCTCATCCCTCAGTCATAAGCAGTGCTGATCATCTAATCTTAATCCTAAACGCCAACGTCGCCCCATTAAACCTAAAGAATGGTATTAAGGCCAATTAAGGCATTTTTCTTAATTCTATTGTTATTGGCTTTGAGCTAGCCAAATCCAGCGCTTTGTTTAAGGTTAGCAGCCCAGTAATTCTTCAGGCAGAAACACAACAACTAGGGGTGTCCGGATACAATATTGATAACTGATATTGGTCCGATATCAGCAAAAAAATGAATATTACATTATATCGGCCTACATCTAAAACCTCTGATATCAGCACTCCGATACAAGCAGTCCATTCAAGACTCCGCTCTGGCACCTCGATCTAGCAGCACCCAGATCCAGCATGTAGAGCCCACAAAATCACAACAGTGTGTACTAAAGTACTAACAAAGTAGCAAGGAGTAAGAGTGATGTCGGCCTTGTGGCAGTATTTTTTGTTTAAGTCTGAAAAAGACATTGCAGCTGAGTGAAAAACTTGTCATGCACAATTTTGTGCCAATATTTGATCAATAGATATTGAAGGCCACAACATCTGTATTGTATCGGAAGTCAAAAAGTTGTAGTGGGACACCCCTGACAACAACTGTTCATTTTCCAACCTTCAGTCTCTGAAACAACAAAAGAAAAGCTCACAAAATGAGACAGTTTATTTATATTTTATTTATAGTGAGTCTCTTTTGTTAGGCCTTAATCTTTGTCTCTTTGTCTCTTTGTCTCATGCTGTTAAAACACACAGACATCAGGCACATGAGTAATTTATTAGAGTACATATCCGGATCGTGAATATAAGCACTGGAGCATTTTCTCCTAGCAACACACGCTGATACAGACTTTATTTTAAGGAGTATTCACTCAAAACAGAAGCAAGACCAAAAAGATCACGGAGAGGGTTCAGGAAAACATTTGGATATTTTGTTTAAAAAAGATGAAAAATTAAAAACAAAAATACAAATGTGAAGGAGATGAAGTTTATCCTTTGTTGACTTCTTTTACGTAAACAGAGAAAAAGGCACATTTATCTTTAAGGCTGACAAATAATCTGGTCATTCATGTCTCAGTAACACTCAAATATTTCACTGTCAAAGAGTGACTGAAGTTGGACTAAAAAAGCAGAATAGATTCTGTCCACACACACGCTCAAAGTAACTTCAGGTTTATTTTAGCACGTCTTTCAAAAATGTGTATATGTGCCGCAGTAATTGAGTAAATATTTTCCTGAACTTCCTCTGTTTGCAGTTTGCAGTATTCCTATCACTGAACATACATGATGCCAGAGTCCAGTTTTCCAGGTTCATTCTCTGTGAGCAGTGTCTAAATCTCACTCTCAAAACCTTCACACACACACTCAGATTTTAAGAGTTACAGAGCTGAGTCCTGTTGGTGTATCAGCATTCCTGTGCTGTGTTGGTATTCAGATTGAGACCTTTATCAAGCCGTGGAATACTGATACCCAACAACAGCTCTGCTTTACTGTCAGCAGTGCTCTCTGCCAAATACCGGCTTTACTTCCTGATCTCTGGTCATCTTCAGCCAAAACCTACTACCAACATGTGCTCAACGCCTGAAGAGTCTGTTGGATAAAACAGAACTAAAAGCTGTCAACTACGACCTAAACTCTAACAGAAGTTTGAATAGAGTTTGACATGTAAATAAAAAAATTTTTTCATTTCGGAAATATTCAGCAAACCCTTAGTTTATCTGAAAACAGTCAAAACATATTAAAGAGACAAATTTGGGACAGGGGCAGCAAAACACAGAAAAGGTTGTTTGATGTTAAAAAAATCACACCTGAGGGAAACCAAAATCCACACTGAGTCACAACTTGGCTGCAGCACAGCAAAGGTTAGGGGACACAGAATCTGCCCTTTTTTTTTTAACAGTGAACCTGTCTCCACCTGAGGCCTACAGCATCCAACGATAAGTGTGCGTCTGTGTGCACGTGGATCTGTGAGCGTGATCTCATTATAACTCAACAACTAGACTGGCAATAACTTTGTCCTTCAACCAGCATAAACAACAACACCTGATCTGCTTTAATGTGATTCTGGAAATTTCACCTCTGTTGTTACAGCCAGGTCTGAGAAGAAGTGGAAAAAAACTGCCAAGTAAGGCGGCAAATCCCTTAAATCCACACCGACTTCATAAATAGCCATGCTTCTAAATAAACAAGGTTGTAAGTAAGGCCCTGAGGACACACTTAACTGACCACAGAGGCATGTGGCAGAGGCAAATCAAAGTGTTGATCCTCTTGATTAATTCATTTCATTTTAATCATTTAATTGTTTTTTTTGGTTCCAGTTATAAACACTATTCTCTCTATCTGGTTGTAAATTCTTGCACCTCCACTTGTAATAAACAGAATTTTTCATGTTTCCTTTAAATGTTGCTACCTCTGTTTTGTTTAATGGATTTATCTGGATCTGCTCTGTTGTTGGTTCAACAACCAACAACTGGTTTGTCAGAATCAAAATGTGTTTTTTTGATTCAAATAAGTATAAGATGGTGCAACTGCAGGATGTCAGAAAATAATGACACAGCAAAAGGGATTCATATTGATTTTTGTATGATTCAGTGTTTCCCCTACATTCATAATTATGTGCCACGCTACTGAAATTTCACATTATCGTTAAGATCAATGCGCCACGAATGATTTCTACTCACACTGTGTGGGAACAACAACACACAACGTTATTTTCGACTTGCTTTGAGTCATCAACGAACGCATCAAACCCTGCTCTACAACTTTTCCATCAATGCGAAGGGTGACGTTCAAGCTTATACACGGTCTATATAGGGAGTAGTGAGAGTAAGAGAGTGGCGGTAACAGTGAAAATTTCTAAGTGAAGACAGACCTGAGGAACAAGCTACAAAAAGAGCATCTTGCCATCTACTTGCGTGTGAGCATCAAGACAAAATGAGTCAAAAATATAGATTGGAATTATAATATTTTTTATTGGGACTTTTATCGTTATGACTAGAATGGCATATCTTATTGTGATACAGTTTTTAGCCTATATCGCCCATCCCTAGTGCACATTATGCTTTTTATTCCGTCCTACTGACCTCCTTCTTCTGACTAACTCAGTCTGGATGAGTAATAATTACACATCCTGATGCTTTATAAACTAGTCCAGAGATGCACACCTGAGGGTATGAAAAGCTCTGATGCAGCGAGCTGAGATGATCTGGTTCCAAAAATATTTGAATCCTTACAGGATACGACACGTATTGTAAAATTAAAGCCAGGTACTATTTCTATGAAATCCTGTGAAATGCTCACAGAGTTATGAGATATTGTTGCACTGAGGACAAACGGCTGACAAATCATTACGACTCCTTTTTGTTTTATCTTTTGAAGCAAATAAGCAATCATAAGAATATCCTCGCACTGACATGACTGTGATACGCTTTCCACGCCCGTCACCCATTCTTTGTTTCCGTCACAGCAGAATTTAAACTTTTGCGACCACTCTGAGTAACAGCTGCTAAAATTTTCAACCTCAGACGAAAAAATCAGATTCCTTATGATAAACAACTGAAAAATAAAATTTAACTTGTGGTTAAGTATCTTATTTGACTACTCCAACTGGTGTTCTCAAGACAAAATGAGTCAAAAATATAGATTGGAATTATAATATTTTTTATTGGGTACTTTTATCGTTATCAACTGAGGATGGCATATCTTACTGTGATACAGACTATTAACCACCCATTCCTACTAGAATTCAGGTCTGGCTTTCCCCTGCAGTCTTTTCACTCCTCTGCTCTAAATCCTCTACAGAGGACTGACCAAACATGACAATGGCCTCCAGAAAGGCGCTGCAGATCCTGATGTGAGGTAATGCATGGGGCATAAAGGCCTCCAGCAGGGAGCTAAGCAGGACAAGTGAAGACAAATTTAGCTCTTATATCACAGTAAACTGCAGCACTGATGCACCAGTGTGTACACCCAGAAGTAGACTCTGCATGTAGGAGGGAGCCAGACAATCAATCAGGCATTTTACCTTCTGCTGGTCTAACATGCTAACATCTCATCATCTACATGCTTTGATAGAGTTCGACCAGCGGCTAATTCATGGTCTTTTCCTGTAACATAAACTGAATCCCAGCTGGAGCTCACACTGTGTCCTCCAGAGAGATAAACCAGATCTGATCCCATCAGCTTGTACATGTTAAAGTTCAGTGTGGACACTTAGTGGATTAATCAATGACCAGAGAGCTCTAAATGATGCAGCTGCACTGAGTCTAAATCTGTTTTGATCTGTTACGCATCTTCTGAAGAACAACAGCTACTGACTGATTGGATTATTCACCCGCCGGTCAGAGGTTTCTAATTGGATTAGTTGTTAGTGAAATAAAAGTCACTGACATTTGAATAGTTGCCCGGTTTCAAGGATGCAGAGGCTGACTAGGTCATATTCAGAGTCATTTTAAAGCCAGACGAGTTGAAAGGAAAAGCACAAGAGTCATACTCAAGTCGACTCGTTTTCATTAGGGATCTTTGTGAGGCGAAATGCAAAATAACATGGCCCTGAAATTGATAAACCTACAGTAAATGCAGCTTTTATCGCTGTCATTAATTCAGACTTGAAGCACTTTTACTATCTGAGTGTACTTAATACCAAGCAATGACACTACTCTACACTTTCCAAGGTTGTCTTACAGCAAACTTTCACAGATGGTAAAGGTGGCACAAATATCTAAACCACCTTATTGTAGACATACAAATGCTAAAGTAGGGCTGGGCGATATGGGACAAGCTTTATCCTGATGTATTTTTTTCATATCAGTCTTTATCGATATACATCATGATATAAAAAATGAAATTTAACAGTGCTTATTGGTAGCATGTCTTTTGCACTATAATGAGCTATTGCATCTGTGAGGTCTTTGTGTCTCTTAAACGTTTTGTCATAGGGTGTTGTACTGGAGAAAGCGGACTGCACAGGCGCCATGGGTTCCTTGCTCCGCTCGGGGTTTGTAACCTTGTCATGTCAGTGTTGTTGACGATGTCGTCATCTGTTGAGCCTTCATCTGTATTTCTCCTGGGGGTAGCACTCAATCCTCTTTTTTTCTCACCAACAGTACTGTCAGCTTCACCTGTTGAAGTGCTATGGTTGCGTGTAGCTGCAGCCTGCTACTGCGCAGTTGTTTGCTACTTGGTTCTAATTCAGCACATGATTGGTTCAGCGCGGAGCGGACCTGGAGCGAGTCCCCTTTTCATTGGCTATTCGGAAAGTCTTATGGCAGAATGCTGACTATCAAAAAGCATTTTTGCCATGTTTTATATCGATATCAAGGGAATTTAATTTTCAATATATATCCTTATCGTTTTATCACCCAACATCATTTAAGAAAACACTAAAACTGCTGCTCCCAAGTTTCCACCTGGTCCATCCGACACAGATATAAAGCTTGGTTGGTTTTGGCAAAACCTCGGTATTTCCTTTAGGCAGTTTTCCATCATTAATAACAAGACACCATAAGTCAGACTGAAGGAAGGAGAGCATTTTGAGGGACTATTTTCAGCAGCACATTGAGACGTATTCTGAGATCTTAAAACAGAGTAATCAGCATCTCCGCTTTTTAGAAGTTATCCAAAACATACCACAGGCTGTGAAAACAACTGAGCTTCAACATCTGCAGCGTTTTGACTCTTTAGCCTGATGATACAGTCTCTGTCTTGTTTTAGTGGAGCATAAACAAATGTCAGCTAGACTTGACATATGGTTGCTGTGGTGACAATGATACTAATAATAAGAGCTATAAAAGGACAAGATGTGTCGTTGGTCTGAAGTCTAGTAAAAGAAAAACAAAAAAAAAAAAACTGTTTACAGATGAAGAGGAAAGCTGCTGTAATTGACCAAAGCCCTAAACACCTCGTTTGACCGTCTGACAGGCACTCAGATTAGTCCTCTGATTAGACTGCAGGCCGTTACATTGGTTAGTTATCCGTTTCTTAGAGACAAGTGGTTCCCAAACTGAGGTCCCGGGACACTCAGGGTTAAAAGAAGCAGCTGGGTCTGAGCTCACCCTCCCAGGAAGGCTGCTGTTTAAAAAAGACCACCCTTTTTCTCTAAGAGCCCTTTAGATATTCACCCCACCAGCTGTGCTCCCGTTGATTAGTTCATCCTTCCTTCACAGTAGTCATCGCCACGGCAACAGTCCCAGCAGGAAACCGGGGCACCAGCTAGTTACAGTGCACAAGATGTAATCACAGTGCTAAAGGTCTTGGGCCTTAATCACTTTGCAGTCTGGCTGCAAAACAATAAAAGTGACCAACACAGTCAGACGACATGATGTCATCATGTTGTGATTTTTCCAGAGGTTCAGACGCGGTCTTGGAAGTCTGAGAAATGATGCTGGGCTGATCTAAAACTGCAGCTTTTATTGTCTGTTGCTCAGAGAAGAGAGGGGGTCTCATAACAGGAGTCAATCCTGCTCTGATCCCCGGGATGATAGCATCAATAATAAACCAATCTGCTGGATCACTGAGCCCACTGATTGGTACATCAATCACAGGATGCAACCAATCACACCTGCCCTTCTTCTGAGTACACATAAAACACACACAGATAAGGTGGAGGTCAAAACTGCTGAGCAAGAACAAGAACCGGTATCAGCATGAGCAGTAAACTGTATTTGCCAGAGTCTCCACTGACATTTGACTGAAATCCAGGAAGCTCTTAGGCGATGGACTAAATTCAGCAGACTCCTCAACATCAACATACTGCAGCAAAGGGAAACTGTGTCCTTCTACCTTCAAATGCAGATGTGTCATGTGACCAACACAGCTCATACTGACATTAAGAGGAACCTAAGGTAAAGAGGCAACATTAGGCAAACCAGGTCTGTGTGTTTGTGGGTGTGTGTGTGTTTGCAACAAAGAGAAGTTGTCCTGTAATGGTTTCCATTGTTCTTGAACATCTCCCTTCATTAATGCAGAGTATTTTGAATGTCAGTGTTGTTTCTTACACACTCAAATTACACCATAAAAGGATAATTACAGCCAAAACTAGCAGAGGGTGAGGGTGGGGTCAGGAACCATCAGCCCCACAACTTGACTGTCCAAAGTGTGTCATTATTGATGTTGATCAATCAGAACATAGACACAAGTGGAAGAAGAAAGTTGAAGCAGGTGCTGCAAGGTGGAGCTACAGGACAGAGGGAAAGTTTGTTGAGCTCTGGCGACAACGACCTTGCCTCTGTGATCGACTATGACAGACTGGAAAAGACTAACTGTGGAGGGAAACTGCAGGTGCACTTCAAAAACTTGCTGTTAGAATTAGTAACGCTTTCTTTTACGGTTCACTTATTACCAGGTAATTACCAGGTAATTACCTAGTAACAACCTGTAATTATCTGGTAATTACATGATAACTACGAAGTCAATACTGTCGAGTTTTTCTTGTTTCCTTTTTTCTGTGCAGCTCCATTTTCAAAAGCTATTTGGGGTTCTTATTTTCTATTATTGACACTTGATACAGCCTATGGGCGTGTGAAGATTGCATAGCAATACGTTGTTTGAGCCGAGCATTATCACAGCGACTCACCCGCCAAATGCGTACAATGCTACAGCGCAAGTGGTGGTTCCAGGAAGCTGAGAAAATCCTGGAAATACTGGAGCAATTCGGCTTCCAATTTGTATGATGATGGAAGGTTACCTACCTGGTAGCTAGACAGTATTGACTTAGTAGTTATCATGTAATTACCAGATAATTTCATGTTGTTACTAGATAATTACCTGTTAATTACCTGGTAATAAGTGTACTGTACGAGAAAGTGTTACCAAATCATCTAACCCATGCCTTTTTACTTCCAACGGCCTTACATTGGTCTGTGATGCTCAGTCTGGTAGACTGTTGTGTGTGTCAGTCAGTCATTACAAAAATTAATGGCCAGATAGTCGACTAATCTGACACAATGACCTTCACAACAGGCTGACCTCTGCTTGAAACTCTTTCACATATTGTTTATCACACTTGTGTTATAGCTGTTCGATGTGGAGATCAAATTGTCTTCTTGTGCTGTTGGGGACCTAAAACTCGTAAACTTGTCGGTCTAATACATTAGACTGTAGTCATGACAGTTATAGAAGTAAATCTAACTCGTGCAGGATGACCATAATGTGTTGAACAAGTACTTCTTAAATAAATGGTTTCAATCAGCGTTGTTATAACTTTCAAAAACAAAAGCTCACCATCTTATTCTGTCCGTTGTGACTGACTCATTTGTACATGCGTAGCAGGTGTAGCCACAAAAATAAACACAATCAGTCGTACAGCCATACAAAACACATCCTACATGTACCACAAACACTGAGAACAGGAAGAAGCACACATGCGAAAGCTGCATCATGTAACCAAATGCCTGCTTCAATATTAGCTGTGACAGGAGCTGAGTTGTGTGCATATTTAGAGGCAGGTGTTACACACTTGGTCTGCGTTGCGATCCTTTTGGTATGTGCTTGGTTCAAGGGAGCAGTGACATAATCCAACAGACTTTCCTACAGATAAGTCCTACGCCGTGTGCGTGTTTTATTTGTATCAAGCAGGGATAAAGTTATAGCTTGACGTGTCTGAGTTGCAGTACACACTTAGTAGAAAGTAGAGGTGGGTGCAATTCATCGATGTGTAGATGCATCGCGGTGCTTCACGTGACAATTCAGCATCGATTAATTAACATCGATGCTATAATTGAATAAATAATAACGTTGATGCTTTGCCGCAAGGCTGGGGAAAAAAAAAAAAAAAACGTCACCGGAACCTTAACATGCGCGCTAACCGTACTGTTTAGTGATTGGGACCACCACAAACAGAGCATGTTAGTTTCTTTGCAAAATGGCAACAGCTTCAGCAGCCTCCAAAGCGCGGCAGATTCTCTCAGCACCGGGGTTGACTGCAACCGTGTGGAAGTACTTTAGATTTTATGAAACAGTCATACAAGAGCAAACAAGATGACTGACAAGACCTACGCAATTTGCAAGTCTTTGCAAAAAAAATAAAGTACCTCAGCAAACCCATAAACATGAGGCAGCACCTTCTACGCTTATCCCGAAACAGTGTAGCTTTAGAGGCACTGAGTTTGATAGGCTATTTATTTACAAATGTAGCCAAAGGTTAAGACAAAATCAACCTTGAATGGAAAAAAGGATCAAAAATGACAATCTCAATGGTCAATGGTCAATCTCAACAACTGATATAGAGTTGGAAGACTTCCCTATCACAAACTGTTGCAGAAATAACAATGTCCGTCTGTCTGTCAATGCTAGCATCTCATGCAGCTGTAATATCTACATCACTGTTATTTAGGATGTTGTACTTATTTATGTTTAGCAGCAGAGAGATTGAGGGAATCGTCTTACCAGTCCTGAACCAAAGCTGTTAGAGCTTTAAGCCGAACATTGGCACATAGCTCTACTGATCTTTATAGGAAAATGATTATTGAGTAATATAGTATTATGTATGATGGTGGTTAAAGGGCTGTGTAAAGTGATTAAAGTCTACCAAGTCTTGATGCCAACAAAATCCTCTTGTATTGGACTCAATAGAGTGCCTATTGTATATTTATGAAACACCAGTCGGGTCTTTTATAATTTAGCCATTTCTAAAATATAAGCCAGTCAGTGAGCAGGCTCATTGTATCAACAGTCTGTTAATAATCTATCATCTTAAACGACAAACTCAGCCCCATAAAAAAAAAAATCTGATAATGTTCAAAACCAGCAAGACCGCTCTGGTTAACCCATTACAATAAAGAGCTTAATCTTTAGAGCCAATAAATCTGTGCATGATAGTGTGTGCATGTTGGTCAGTCCATGTGTGTGTGCATTTATCCCTGGAGAGAGGAAAGGATGACGCCACTGGTGTCATTATAAATAGCTTATGCTGTGGACACACACACACACACACACATACACACACACACGCACAATATTTCAAAGTCCCTGCATGCTACATAGCTGGGTAATCCCGTGGCTGTCTCAGCCTGTTCAACCTGTTCTACAGAGACACTGCAGACACACTGAAGCGGCACGATAACAGATGCTACGACGCACAGATTTGATCCGTCTGCTTCTGATCTCAAGTCTGTAGATTTAAAGAAATTACAGGTCGTTATCCTGAGAGGGATTAAGTCTAACTGCTCCAGGACTTAACGACAGAAACTCTTAAATGGATATCTGCACTGACTTTTGTTTAGTCCGGGTCTAACTTTACCTGCTTTTTAAAAAAATATCCCCACAGATGATTTACTGTAATTTATCTCATTCTGTGTAATAATAAAACTATGTCAGTAAATCTTTGAAAACTAGGGGAATAATTCAAATATGAAGAGAAGTTTGAAAGAGAATTATTTGGAAAACTGCTTTTATATTCAACTAATTGAGCCAAAAATGACTGACCCTGCTTTTTAAAATGCTTTGTAACTTTTTTTTGTTTGAAATGCTATGATTTTGTTGTTTTAGGTTGTTGCTGTGTCACACAGGGTGAAGACAAACCGGATGAGCTTCAGGTTTTCTTTCAGTGTTCCTGAACATAATGGTTTTGTTTTCTACTTCTGGTATGTGACATTAAATGACAATGGTGAAGATTACAAGTCTTATGAATGTGGGGACAATCAGACATGAAACCAAAAGCTCTGTAACATTACATGAGCTCACTTGGCGTACAGTTTACTCTTCTTAAAGCATGTCATTGTCTTCTGAGAGCTGTACATGATTCCCTCACAGACAATTTATCTTGGCCTTAAAATAAACTCACATCTATCACGACATACATGTCAACCTTCTCAGTTGTCAATGGTGGAGAGGGACAAAGACAGCCAACAGTATGACCATTATAATCTAAACTAGACCTGAAAGTCACAGGTATGTCAGAGCTACTGTTTTCCTTAAAGTGATTAAAATAAAATAAAAACGTACAGAGTATTTGTAAAATCTCAGTCATCCAGTTCTAACAGTCAGTATATTTTTGGTTACAAAACAACTGAGAGGTTCTTCAGGATATTTAAGAGTAAGGCATAAACCTAGAAACATCTTAAACCGTTTTTTTCCTGCTTTTTCGTTAAACTTTTCTGGCATGAGGATCTGCATCCGTGTCCTCCACAATCCCCTGAGTTTTGGTGACATTTCCTGTGCTGAAATGGGATTATCCTCCAAGTACAGGGTCGGACGTCCCTTCAGGAGGCGAAACTCCAGTTTTGCTCAAACATGTTTGATGTAAATGCAACCTCAAATGCAGTGAATCAGTTATGAGTTAATACTGAAGAGAAAGTCTGGCTTCAGGGTGTTACTATGTAAAACAGTGCGTGTGCGATTGTGGTAGCACTGCTGGTGATCTAAATAAAGCATGGAGGTTCAACTCATGGAGCTGCTAATAATGCTCTGCAACAACTTGGTTTTAAGTTTTCAATCAAAAAGAGAAACTATACCTCCAAAAACATTGTTGAAAAGGATGTGTGATACCCGCTAATTTTTATTCAATGAATTTTGATAAGAACACCAAGTTTCCCTTGTACCTGAATTTGCCTGTCACTTTTTTGTGATAGTCTATTTCTTTTATTTGTTTCCATAGAGCCTAATGTTTGGGTGTAAGCTGTTATTGTGTGAGCATAATTAATGCATCACCTTAATGGCCGATCACCAAATGCATCTAAAATCTAGAGAAGGGTTGACCCTGAGGAGCAAAACATTAGTTATTTAATTTTCCCTTACCTTGCCAGTCTTATGGTCGAACCAGACCAGGGCATGGTTTCTGGACAGCACCTTGCAGTCGAAGGTGGCATTGTTCTGCGCCGGACGACACCGGGCCACCGACCTGCCGATCTTGACTGGCTCATCCAGGTATACATGCCGCTCCTGGAATGGGTGCGAGTTTGGTCGGCAGGCGAACACGGCCAGCGCTGAAGGCATTGATTTTGGCTTTAGAGTATTACTCCAACCAGACACGAGGGAGAGGTTTTCTTGATCCAGAGTGGCAGTCTTCTGTTGCAATCCCCAATGAATAATCAAAGATATCTTTGGCCTACGTGTAGGCCGAAATGTTAGTCCTCAAAGCTCCCAGGCACTAACTGATAAACATTGTCCACTGTACACAGCCCAGGCTGTACCGCTTCAATCTGTGTTTGAAAATAAAAAAGCAAACCAACAGGTATAGAAAAGACAAGACATTCCCTTCACTAACTGTCCACCAAAACTACATAACGACACTTACATCTGACAGCAGGCACTATGTACAGACCAGGGTGCCATGTGTCAAGACATACATGACTGAGTGTAGCAGTGACAGTCTGGCAAACAGCCTCCCACGTCCATCAAACTGCCTCAGCACTGAAGCAGGCGAGGAGAGCCAGTCAGGCAGATATTTAGTCTCCAAAGATAGCCACAGGTCAAGCCAATGATTGGTATTACTTATCGAATTAGTGAACAATCTGGGAACCTATCTGATATCAATAGGGAGCAGTTAACCAAATTATTGCGCCCTTTCAGTGGTGAGAAGTCTTGTCCTGCTGCAAGCCGAAACCTACACCCTAATGTGCAACACCCCGACGGCTTTATAGACCTTTGGCTTTCAGTAAGGTATCAGATGCAAATCGTTCATGATTTATATTCTGTCATATTCTGACTAACATTGTCGCCCTGATACAGGGAACCTTAGCTTGCTACCTATCGTCACCACTCCCTCCGGAGCTCTCCTTTAAGACCGCTAACGACACCAAAATAACAGCCCTGAGTTATGAGACATTAATAGTCAGTGATGTTTGATGACTAAAGCAGTTCAGGTCCCTCTGTTTACCTGAATTGGCTCGTGCACCGGCTCAAAAACAATCAGCCGGGATGAGCAGGGATTAGCAGGTCGTCTTGTGCAACTAAAATGCTAATTGGGTAGCTCGCTCGTGCACAGGCTAAGCGCTAACTCTCGGCCAGCAAGCTAGGCTAGGCTAGGCTAGTGAGTGTTGTCAAACTTATCATCCAGGTCTTTAAATGTTTTCTCCCCTCCCCTCTCAATCAGTTCGCTTACCCAGTGGAGGCGAAATGCCATCCCTGTCTCATGGAGCGAAAAAAAAGCTGAAAGCTAGCCCGTCTTTTTCCTACTACGGAGCCCTGCAGCGAGCTACCAGGCAGCTAGCCGGCTAACTGACAGTCAGGGCAGAAACAGACGCGGAAAAATCAGGGGAGTTTCTGGACTGCGGGTCCTCACGCATCACATCAGCGCGTTTACCCCCCGGGAAAAAGCTCGCTACAAGCCACAAGTTGCGCTGTCGTCGTCTGTCTAAGTCCTGGACGTGTTAGCGGTGACAGTTGAGGGTTACAGCCGCCGCCTCCCCACAGTTTTGTGGAAGGAATCCAGAAGAAGTTGTCCTCCTCCGCAAGTCCCAGCCGCCATACTGTAATCAGGGGCGTGTCTAAAGCGGTGTCCAGAGGTGGTATGGCCCCCATTGAAATCTGATTGGCCATCCTAGAATGCCTGACTATGATTGGCTGTTTTTCTTGTCAGGGGCGGGTAAACTCGAGCTTTGTTTCAACAGGCTGCTGGTAGATTTCTTTGCATTTCAGTCCATCACCTCTATCCTAATTTTTAGTACTTTTTATTTTAACTCTAATTGTACGAGATCTTTAAAACACTAGACTGTGAAGATACATATGTTGCCACATAAAGCACAGAGATACAGTTGTGAGTAAAAATTAAGGGCACTCCTTTAAAAAAAAGCATAGTTTATTTATTAAAAAATTAACCTTGATATTTATAGTCTCGCCAGTAAATAGGAAAAAATAGGTTATACATTAACAGTGCATTAATGATTTCTGATAATATTGTCTTTTTTTCCTATTTACCAGAGAGACTAAAAATATCAAGGTTAATTTTTTAATAAATAAACTATGCTTTTTTTTAAAGGGGTGCCCTGACTGTCACTCACAACTGTATATCATACAAGGGTACACCCAGAGGGATCAGCATCAACCCCCTGAAAACCCAGGTGATCCCCAAAACTTTAATTGGTTGTCATTTAGAGGTGGGTCAGATTCAACTATTTTAACCATCCCTGCATTTATGCCGTGTTGAAAAAAGTCTGAACAACAACTCATAAACTCAGGGAAGAATTTGATGCCTAATCTTACCAACTTGACAGCATATAAATCAGCAACGTAGTGGGGGAATGACTTTTTGATGCACTTAATTAAATCACAAAGTTTCCATTTCTATAACTGACCTGGTTGTGTCATACAGAAATGTTTTTGCTCCAAATGTAGTGATCCAAACAGCTGATCAAATTGTCTATTGTCCACGTATTATTATTTTACGCCACTGATTTAACTTTTCCAGCACTAACCCAAATATGTGAAACATAAAAAAAACAATGTATTCAAGTAACATCATAAGTTTTAGTTCAGTCAATGGTTGTGATTTGATTTATAGACCAGGGCAGCAGGAGGGGGCCGAGAGGGGTTAGAGGAGATCAAATTCAGCTTGAGCCTCCACTAAAGTCCCTGCTGTGTTCTGGTGAGCTGACAGCTGAGACCAAATCAATGCTGGATGAGACAGGAGGACAGGGAAGATAAAACACCACGATACATCACTGCTGCTCATTTGATTTATTCAGGTCAGCATTGAACAAAAAGCATTCATAATTTATAGCCAGTGTGTCCGGTTACATCCATGAAAACATGTCCTCTGCCTTATTTTTACTGTCCTGCAGCATCAGGGGGACCATAGTTTTCACGCTCATGAACTCCCATTTCTATTTTGTTAACTTGTGAACAAAGCTCACCAGTTTTCTTGTATTTTTATGCAGCTTCAATGTGATAAGACCCTCCAACATGGCGTCCTTACTGCATGTGGGCATGTGGTCCTGCTGGGGGTCTTGGCAGATCTAAGAGGTGTCTGAGGACTGATGAAGGGATCACTTCAGGATCAGGCCGATTATCAGACTGTTACAAATATACCGGAGTGAAGGACGAGACAAGGACTGAGTGAAAAACAGTAAAGGAGACCAGAGGAGCAAGACAACTACACCAACGCTTACTGACTGTTTGTTGTTGTTCTTTTTGTGTCAGAGTCACAAATATGTAGACCTAGGACTGGTTTTGGTCTAGGTCACAGATCCTGGTCTCAGTCTAGTCAAGTCCATCTTCCCCACAGAGCTGAGAAAGCAGGGGTCCAGCTGTCACAGTGCGCACAGTCTGAGTATTATTTCAGATTTAACAGCATCTTACTGTGTTTAGCATCTCGGTGCAGTTTGAAGTCAGAGTGAGCTGAAATACACGCAAACGCTGAGATCAGCTGCAATGATCAAAGTGCATTTTATAAAAGCTGAGGTTTGTTTTATGTTTTCATGATGTAGAGTGTGCTCCTGTTACCCTGTTATTTTAATGTCAGCTTCAGGTTAATTTCTGGAGTTTTGTCTCACTGCTGTTGAGTGTTTTACTACACTTATATGCGCAGGAATTAAGAAAGCTTACTTTTGTTTAAACTGTAAATTTAATGTTTTGAATTTGGCATTGACAGTTTAATCATCTTGTTTTCATTACAACTATTACACTTTTTTTTGCCTTCTCCCATTCAAGTCCTTTGACAGCTAGCCTATTTAACAGCTTCCTGTATTTTTTTTAGTTCTGCCTCCAGGTTTGTGTTTGTATAAGCCGTGGGTCTGATGCTGATGAGTTTTCTAAGTCACTATTTCTATCCTATATCAGTCATTTACCAAGTTCTGTCACCATATATAGGGGGGTTTACATGCTTATATAATGGCAGCGTTGTTTCTTGTGGTCTATCTACTCACCTTAATTAAAGTGGATTTGTGTCACATCTTGAATCTTCTCTCTGTTTCATCCTTCTGTTTGACTGAGCTATTAAAGGATTTAGACAAAGCAGATTTAATGCCTTGTTTCTGACTGTGGCTTGGCATCAGATTGGGATTTAAGAAGTAATTAATTCACAATGTGAGCAACACTCAGTGTTGAGTATGTTAGACAGACAATTGCAGACCCTGTAGAACAGATGCAAGTGTTGAGTGTCTTTTTGAGGACATCAAAATTTGTTGCCTTTCACAAAAGATTTCATAACCACAACATCACTCAAGATGTTCAGAATACTTTTAGATATCCTAAGGTGTTTTTTAATATCTTAGCTCTAGTTCTGCTTTGATGCAGGGGAACAAATAAAGTCAGCTGACTGCCTTTTTTTGCTTTAAGCCACACGTCAACAGCCCCATCTGTTGATTGTGAGCTGGGTGAAGTCCATCTGGAGGTCCTTCTGGATGAGCTGAGTTTTTGTCTCAGACATCAAAACGATGATATTCACTGAACAAGAAAATCATCCTGTGGGTTTTCATTAAAAAGTTTAGCCCGATTCAAACTGCAAGTTTCAAAATTAACACAGGAAAACACATTTGAGATTTTCTGCTCAAAATCCTGACTATAAAACACCAAAGTTAAATTTACTGAAAACCACAGTTTTAATAAACATGGCTGCACCAACACCCTAAAATAGGACAGACTTTGTAAATATGGAATATGATATTCATAAGTATGTTTAAATCAGTTTAAAATCACCTGAATACAAAATAATCATGTTTGTGTTTATTTGGAATGAGCCTTTCTATCTGCACAAAAGCCAGTGCCCTCACACAGAAACTGTCACCTTGCATGTCATGTTCTCACAGCATAGAACAGACACAATAGTGACACTAGTAACATCTTTGTATTTAGTGAGTTGCTGCTCAATATAATTGCCAGTATGTAATACATCATTGTGATACTAGAAAGTGACAGTTTTCTATTCATAGGGCTGCATCTATTGGTCATTGTCATTATAGAGTATTTTCTGCCATTTTATTTCTAAGGCTAACCAATGAAAAGCTGAACCTTTCAATGATCAAAATAAAAACAAAAACAAAAATGTCAAACCATTACTTCAACTCTCCAAAGGTGATTATTTACTGTTATCAAATGATAAACGAAAATACTTTATTCTTACATTTACAAACTCAAAGCAGCGTTTGCTTGGTTTGCTTGAAACATCACAACATAACTAAAATTGAAACATAAAATTCTATAGCTTAACTAATCAATAAAGTGAGTGATCATTGGAGATCTTTCACACAGACAGAAAATCTAGAAATCTTAATTTGATTTCAGACAGGTGACAAAAAGTCGTGGAAAAAAAAGTCCTTCTGAGTTTGTTTACCTTCCTCTGGCTTGATTTCAAGTGCCAGGGGCAGACCTACGCGATGACGTTATACGTTTCATCACGACGTCGTGCGTACACTCTTGCTGCCTCTGCTGTGCTAGCTCGGTGGCTAGTTTGTGTGCCGCTGCTTTCCTTCTGCTGTTGTCGCCTGAGGGTAACCTCCTCGTAACTGCTCTAAACTTCTCTGGTTAGCGGTTTAACATTCCCAAGGGCGTCTGAGTGTCCGTGTCGGGCCGTCGCTATGGCTCTGCAAGGCCCGGAGGAGCTGGGGGAGCAAGTCGAAGAGCCAGAGGACCTGGACGACCAGGACGCTAGTAGCATCTCCCCGGCTGAGGAGATAACTCTCCCTCCCGGGCCTGGAGGCGACGAAGAGCCGGAGGAGGCTCTCCTGCTGCCCTGGGACCGCTTCTCCACCTGGCTGCACTGCATCTGTGTGGTCGGCTTTGACCTGGAGCTGGGACAAGCAGTGGAGGTAAGGCACGGCTGGGTCATGTAACTCCTCCTCACAGCGGCTGAAAATGCCTAAGTTAGCAGTTATCAAGGGCTGCGGCTATTTCCTGGATGGGAATACCCAAACCTCTCTGTCTGAATTTAAGTCTGGTCCTTTGTTTAGTTCCTCTGTAATCCAGTTGCGCTCAAATATTCAGACACAAATGCTGCCTAAGTGTAATAATGTTGAATGTAAGACCATGAGGTCTGTGGTAGCTAAGGTAAATTGTATATGACTTGTTCCCCAGGAGTTAGTCTATCCCAACAGCTTCTCTGCAGATTCTATTTAACAAGGTGTGTTTTACTTAATGTTCTCTGCAAAGAGGAGCATATATCTATTGTTTTTATCGCTGATGAGTCAGGAAAGGCATCTCTCACATGTAGGGTTCGTAGGGTGTGTATCCATCTGAATTCTCTTATGATAACCAAATAAAAACACCTGTTGTCCTCAGAAGAGGTCAGATACAGAGCCTCTGAACTGATCCAAAGTAATTACCGCTTTTGTCTGCTCAATAGTTCAGCTGCACATTCCTGCAAAGCTTTCTATTTCACTTTCTCTTCGAACTGAGACAGGACTCACACTCTTGCTTTGTCTTTTAACACAGAAATTTGTGATTTGAGATTGAGTTTGGTTGCAGTTGTTTTAGAGATTAAGGAATTTGGAGGCTGTTAGTTTTAGCATCCTGCTGTCAAGTGTCAGCAAATTGTGAAAACTGTGTGTCACAAGTTTCATAAAGTTGTGGGGGTGTTTTTCATGTCCCTGTCTGCCTGGAGTCAAAAGACTGACAGATTTGGTTTACACAGTTTTTATGTTAATAGTCGCTGATTTAATGTACAGTCAAATGCTTAAGCTTCACATCATTTCTGTTCCAACATCCAACATTATATTTGTGTTAATTGTTTCTTTCTCTTCCAGGTTATTTATCCACATCATTCCAAGCTGTCAGAAAAAGAGGTGAGTCAGAGTGATTTTACATCAAAAGATTTAATTTTCAAGATATCCATCATTAATGCTGATAATCTTATCAGTCAGAGCTTACCCGATAGATTGAACCTTGAAGGGCAGTGAAGCTTTGTGGACTATTTCTTGATTATTTATTATTTGGTCATTTTATCTTAAATTGTATATCAGAGCCTTTCCCATGGTTGTGTCTAACTTTGCAGTAAGTCATTTATTGGTTCATATGTTATTTTTTTAGAGGAAAATGCAGGGATATTGTGATAGTTTAATGATGTATTTAAGCTTTTATTTTGATAGTTTTTGTAGTTGTTGCTCTCTGTCACCTGTGTAAAAATGGACAGATAGGATAGGATGAGTGGACACCAGAAAGGAGAAAATTTAACCATAACATGCCACAAAAATACAAGGACACCACTGACTGTTGGAGAGATTAGCTTTTTTTTTTTTAATTGACAAAAAAAGAAAATGTGATGACAAAAGGAGTAAAACTGCTGCCGGGTCTTTGTTTCTGAGCATTACAGGAGCTCTTTGGATGCTTCAGGCTTGATGAATTTATTGCTTCTTGTCTTAATTTTACACAGCAAATGTCTTTAAAAAGGAAAAAAAAAACCATAAAAACAAAAAATGTGTTTTTGCTGTAGATTTACAATTTAGTGTGATCCTACCTACAATCCACTCTGTTTTTACATGCGTTAAGGAAGCTTATCTCCAAGTATCGCCTGTGGTATAACAGCGTGATAACATCACTGAGAGAACCCAAACAGATAAAAGTCTCTTCTCTTTCAGAAAACGAGTATCTGCTACCTTTCTTTCCCTGACTCCAACTCAGGTGAGTTCCTGTTACACCTTCATAATGTCTTGATTAATTTTACTGTGTCATGTGGAAACTGTGTGAAACACACCGCCTTGCTTTAAAATGGATCTTTGATTGAAGAAACAGCTTCCATTTAAAACACAGAGTATGAATGAATAAAGAAACACAGTCATGAATAAAAACAGCAAAAGGGAATCAGTGCCTGACTTGTGCAGATGTGCAGTGATAGAGGAAACTCTGCCATAATAAAGTCAGAGCCGGTAGTTAAATTGCATTTCCCTAAAATGGAAAAAATGATGTCAAGATTTTATAAAGAGAGACACTGAGCTGTTTCAACACAAAGATAGTTTTGCACAATTATTGTCAAGGCCTTGCTGTGTTACAGGTGTGTTCCAATGAAAACTGTACTTTCATTTTAAAGCAATAATTGTCATATAAGGTTAAAATGTAGGGCAGCACTTTCAATTTCTATTGCACCAGATGAGCAGGTATATTGATTTCACTTTTATTTTTTGAAGCGTTTTACGGGTTACAAAAGCAGCTGCAGCCTCAACAGTGAGAATTTTGATGGAGGTAATGGCAGGCTGAAAAAGGTCAGTCCGGTAATTGTGTGACATTCAAACGTCTTTAGTTTTTTTTTTTAATAGAATAGAAGTAACATCAGCGGCAGAATTTCAGTACCATTTCTACTCTAAAGCAAACTCTCAAGGCTGGTTTTAAGCATTGCTGTTTAATATTTTTGTGACTTTTTGACCCCCCCCCCCCCGCTTGCAATATTGACATGGACTTATTGTAAGACTGGTTTGTGCTCAAGTCCTCTTTTTTCTGTGAAGCTCCGTTTTTAAAAGTTATTTGGGGGTTCATGTTTTCTATGATTGACACTTGATACAGCCTATAGGCGTACGAAGATTGCGTAGCTCACGTGGTGGATACGCCGTTTGAGCCGAGCGTCATCACAGCGACTCTCGACAACTCTCCCGCCGAATGCACTCAATGCTACTGCGCAAGTAATGGAGTTCAATGCTACTGTGCAAAGTTGGTTTCAGGAAGTGGAGAAAAAAAAAGCGAAAACCGAGAGTTTTTTGGCTTCAAATCCGTATACTGGCAGAAGGCGGAACCAAGTTGTCCATTGTATATACAGTCTACGAGCTGCACCAAGACACAGCTGTTAACATAATTTGAAACAAGAAGAAGCCCAAAGAAAATGAGCTAACACACAACTTTTCAGAGACTGTAATTAATGAGTGAAGAGAAAGTGGAGAGGGGATTGGTTAACATATGAACAAACAAACCACACCACAAATACCACGTGTGTGTGTGCGTGTGTGTGTGTGTGTGTGTGTGTGTGTTTACCTGCAGGTGTGTGTTTTGTTGACTGTGAGTCAGCATGTGGTTGAGCTGACGAACCTGCTACCCTCAAGATGACGACAGGATTAGGACACAATACGTACTGAGCTACTATATATATACTGAAGGTGTGTGTCCAGGAAAGAAAGAAGGAGACAGAGAGAGGGAGAGAATTATTTCACAGTGGATCTGGAGCTTTTTCTCTTCCTGTTTCCTTCTCCTGTAATTCAGTCTCACATATTAGCTTGAGCTGACAGAATCTGTCTTTGACTGACTTTGATTCCTCTTAAGACGTTGGGAAGGATCAAGAGTCTTTAGTGTGCTCAGGAGGAAGCAGTGACACATGTTTTTATTTTGTTGTCTTTGTACACAAGCACACAGGATTAAATAAAACCATGTCTGATTATGGATTTCCACCTGCAAGATTTTTTTGAAGAGGCATCTTCAATATAAACATGCTTAACACATTAGAAATAACGGCAGAGTGCAGTTGTGAAGCCTGTTAGGGCGAGAGCTCACCTCTCCTGAGTGAAGCTGCATGCTCTGTCTCCCCCTTGTCCCCAAATCTAATGAGGGAAGAGGGAAAACAGATTGAATACAGATACCAGAAAGAAGATAGAAAGACAGAGCCAGGATAGGTAGCAAATGTGGACCAGAACACACCCCCTATTGGATAAGGCTGTACACTCTAACACCCTGTCACCCAGGTTGAATGATGTTGCAGGGAGGAAATAGTAAAAATATGTATGGCAGCAAGCAAAGCCATGGTATGTAGCCTGACTGGACACCTAGGGCTGTAAAGTTGACTTAGTGGTCGATACGTGCTGAGTCGACCAAAATTCTGATTGGTCGACTCATTTTTTTTCTGTGTCAATTTACAGTCTATGGCTGTGTCCGAAATGGATCCCTAACCCCTATATCGGTTGACTAACATGGCTCTTCACCTCCCAACTCACTGGAGACCGGCTGGAGACAGGGAGGTGAAGAGCCATGTTAGTCAACGCCCGGTGGTTTGCTGAATATTTGTTTTTATTTTGAGCATTTCAACTTTCATTGCCTTCAATTGCCTTCTTGTGCTATCAGTATATTTTTACTCTGCCGAGACACGTCGTCCCCCACCGTCGATTTTTGGTCGAAAGTTTCAGGGTTTTAGTCGACCAAGAATTTCTTTGGTTGATTACAGCCCTAGACACACCCCCAAGTAAACAGAGAAAAACGTTTGTCAAGAGATGTCAGAAAGGGCGAAGAAAAGGTAGAGCAAGGCGAGAAAGCCAGACTGGATAAGGACGCATCCAGCTGGGTTAGACTGCATGCTCTACCTCCCCCTACTCCCCCTAGTCTAGTGGGGTCAGGAAGACAAAACAGTAAGTAGGTAGATCCCAAAAAGATGCTTAAAAGAGGACATTATCAGGGTAATAAGTCTGTTAGCGGTAGAGCTCACCTCTTCTGCTAGTTGAGGCTGGATGCTCTACCTCCCCCTAGACACCCAGTCAAATGAAGATGGAGAGGGACAACAGTGTGTGAAAAGTTTCCTGAAGGAGGACATGGAAAGCAGAGCCAGAGTGAGAAGCCAGTCTGGGCTGGGACAGACCCCTGCAGCATGAGGCTGGACGCACCACCTTACTTTGCTCTTCTATTTTAATGAAGGAAGAGAGAAGAGGAAGAGGAGATGAATGAGTAGAGATTAAAATTCTGACATATAAAGAGAGCATGTATTCACTGTCTTAAACTGGATTTCAACAATCTCAAAGAATTGGTTCTGCTCGGGTTTTACAGTTTTTCCAAGGATACTGAATTATCAAAAACTGGAAGCACAACTATTTGCATTTTCCTTTGCTGTGGCTGTCAGGGTCACAAGTTTGAGTTTACTTACTGTAACACACACTCAGATATAGACAAACACACACAGAAACCCTTCAGGCTGAGATTTAGATCTGTGTTTGAGCTGCTGATGGCCCGTTGCATGCTGGGTGGTCTTGAATGCTACGCGGCGCGTGATGTCAGAGGGTCCTGGCAGAGCTGTAGGAAGTGTCTGTGTGTATCTGTGAGTGTGTGTTTCTAAAGTGAGTGTGATCATGAGTTCAAGAGTGTTTGTGTTTAGGCTATCTGAAGCTCTCCTCTTTATCTCAGTCTCTCCCTCACACTCACTCTTGTGTGTCTGTCCTGTGGAGGACACGCAGAGGTCGTGAAGAGGTCGAGGTCCAGTCAGTGACTCATCCGGCACTTCCTACTTCCTCTTTCTTCTGCATCCGCGTCCTGTTTGTCCAAGAATCGGACAGAAACCTGTAAGATTCAAAGAAACTGACTGATGACTGAATAATTTGGAAATGACGTGGACCACCTGTTTCAAACCAACCTGATCTGGCCAGTGACGTAGGATTAAATCGGCGTCACCTACAAAAAGCGTGTTACCATGGTAACCCCATCATAATTCTCTTGTGTTTCCAGGTTGTCTTGGCGACACCCAGTTCTGCTTCCGCTTCCGTCAGGGTTCAAATCGGAAGTCGTCGCTCGGCTGCTTCCTGGAAAACACAGACCGTGACGCTCCGCCCTGTCTGAAGGTTGAGACTCACACACACACACACACACTCACACACTCTACACACCTGGATCATCTGGTTTATTGGTATAATACTGTTTTCTTTATTTGTGTGTTCCAGAGAGACCAGGGACATTACTACGGCTACGTGTATTTCCGTCAGGTGCGAGACAAATCCCTGAAGAGAGGATACTTTCAGAAGGTCAGAGTCAATCATATTGCATTAATAGGACATGACTCAGCAATAAATATGTTGATCTTCGAGTCCGTGTGGTCAGCAGACAGATTAATGTGATGTTAAAGCTCCTTTGGGGAACTTTTAAACAGTGTTGATTAAAAGTTCATTTTTTCTCTTTCCTTTTCTCACTCATGTGTAAGTTGTATTTTTACTAAAAAAGAAAAAAAATCTCCTTTTGAGTTCTTAAACCTGGTTGGGAGCAGCACCACTCATTTTATAATAATAATAATTATATATATGTTCTCTAATATCTCTATCTTTACAAGGAGAACTGTGATTGCAAGCTAACCCTGTAGCCAGTCTACTGAGGACTTCTGGTGATTATTTACTATCTGGCAGGTTTTTAATCCAACTCTAAAGAGCTGTGTTTGTGCAGTAGATGAGAGACGCTAAGATGCCTGATAATGTAACATTCTTTTATATTTTTGTGGGAAAAATTCAATGTGTTGTTCTGTTCAAAGAAGGAGACAATAAGTTTTACAAAGTCTGTCAACCGACTTTTCTCTCCTGGTTTTCTTGATGGTCACGTTTGATCAGGAACAGCCGAAGAGTCAAAGTTCAACATGCAGCAGGATTGTTGTCTTCTTTAAGCAAAGGGAATGTTTATAGACAACCTTTACACATGGAACCATTTTCACATGAGCTTTGTCCACAGAGAGCATTATATGGTTGCGCATTGGTTATTGTTGCTGTTTGTGTGATTTTTTAATTTTTTATGTTTATGGTCAAATATGTATTAGTATGTCAACCTGAAGACATGTTTACTGCTCGATTGTGTTTGAAAGGTTTGAGGTTCTACTTGCATTAATGCGCAATAAGGAGCGTCAAAAAAAGCATCTAGGATTCCCAAACCAACTATTTATTTGTCTCTCTCAGACTCTCACTATGATCCGTTACTGTAAATGAAAAACAAAGCTGTTAGTAAAGTGTGCTTTCTTTATCTCACTTCAGTTAACACCTCCTTCGCAGAGGTGGGAACAAGCTGTTCAAATAACTGTGTAAGAAGTAAATCGTCCTGCTTGCTTTGTGGACGCAGTAATCAGATAAAAAATACTCCTTTAAAAGAGCTTTAACTTGTTAAATGAGGAAATTAATTCTAACTATAGTTCTTCCAGTATACAAACTCATATACTCTTGAATCTCTTCCAGCTGTATCTGTATGCATTTTCTCATCCTTTTCGCACTCTTTATTTAAATATTTTGTTAGATGTTCGATTAATTAAACTGATTGTGATTCCTTCACAGTCTCTGGTCCTGATCAGTAAGCTGCCCTATGTGACCTTCTTCCACTCCCTGCTGAAGATCATGGCCCCAGAGTATTTTGAGAAACAGGAGCCGTGTCTGGAAGCGGGTAAGTCTGATTGCATGTCACAGTCTGTACATGTTCTGATCATGTTCTTCATATGATACACATACGGACACAGAGAGAGCGTTCTGCCTCTGCTCTGCGTTTATCTTGTTTTCCGGAAGCTTGCAGTCAAGTCATTAGTTAAAGCCAGACCAGCAGACCACGAAACAGAAGGATCATTTGGAAAAGAAGGGCAGGTTTGTGAATTAGTTGGAAATTGTAAACATTTATATTATGTAATTTAGGGATGTTCCCGTCGGTTAATTTCACTGACGTTTAAACGACCATTTTGAAACCGAATATTCAAATACACGAAAATTAATGAACTCCCAGAAAATAGCCCAAATTGAGCACATGCCGATCTATATGGCCAGATATCATCTGAAATAAATATTAAGAGTACATTAAAGCCATGCTTATAATATTAAAATATGTTACAGAATCTTATTTTAGCGCTGGAGAATGACAGAAAGTACGTGAAAGATCAAAGCAATTAAGCTCTGCTGCGCTCAAGCCAAGCAGCCTGCTGCGTCATCGGCCTGCCTCACACCAGAAGAACACTTTATCTAAATCAAAAATCTCCCAAACTTTGCTCTTTTATCTCACCGACATCGCTCTGGCTGATCGCATGTGTTGATTCACTCTGAGGAAGTTAACCCGCGATGCCATGCATGCTGCAGGCCAGCGCTGCGAGCCCAGAGCAGCGAGCCAGGCAGAAAGAGTCGCACGCAAATGATCCACACATTTTAGCTTGTTTAATGCACACTTTTATTAAGACATGAGGGTAAAAACATAATTAAAAAAAAAAACAAAAGAAGCTTTTTTTTGCTATTTGCCCCCCCCCCCCCCCTTTTTTTAATTTTTTAATAGAATAAACGAATATTATTTACTAAACAGATAGTAAGGACAGCCCCGTTTACACGAATATCCAAATAACCGCGCACATCCCTAATGTCATTGCCTTGCAGACTGCTGTCTTCAGTGCTACCCCTGATTTAGCCTCTCTCTAAATGGACACTTTACCTATACCTCCTTCACCATCAGAAACTCTTGACTTTCTTTCCAAGGGTTGTTAGTTCAGGGGGGAATTTTGTCTTCACCAGAGATAGGAGGAGTTAGAAGAGAGTGGGGACAAACTGTCACATAAAGCTGCTACGCCCTCTGCACTGGTCAGTCAAGCACAGTAAAACCATTGTTAGCAAACCACTTTCTGGTAGTTTTGGTGCTGTGGGCAGGTGCCAGGTCAGGTGTATCTCCATCAAACTTCCCAGCAGCTGATCCTCTTCCTCTCTTTTCTATGAAGCACACATTTTGGCCTCACTGTGATGGTTTATTTGGATACAGAATTTTCCCAAGTTGCACACCTCTCTCTGCACCCTGATTTTTAACCCCTTCTAAAGTAAAATGGAAATAAAATGAATTTGTTCCGAACAGCCTCGAAAGCACTAAAGGTGGTCTCTGGAAAATACTCCGAACAGTTTATACAAAAATATCCTAATGAAAACTCTTCAGTGTGTTTTATCAACCATCTGGACTCGTGACAGGGACACTTGACAAATTCAATTAACCTTAATTGTATGAAGGTCACAGAGTCACAGAAAGCTCAGAGACAGATTTCTTCAACTTTAGAACAAAAGCGCCACTTCAACCTTTTTTTCTGCACTCTTGCTTTTAGGTACTTCATCAAACACCTCTCTGTTAAGCTTCAGACACAAAGTGGATGATAACTTGATGAATTTATTCATTTGAGGCTCCGATCCAACAAATCCTGATTCATTAAGCTAATGTTTGCTTCTTTGTTTGATGAACAGCTTGTAACGACATAGATCGCTGGCCGACGCCTCATCCTGGACGAATCCTCACGCTGCCTATAATGGGCGTTGTCATCAAGGTAAATGCAGACACGCAAAAAGCGAAACGCACACACGGTGAACTCAGTAGGTGGAGATCAGCAAATGCCAGTCAGAACTGTCTCTGCAGCTGAAACCTAGAGGTGGCATTAAACATTACTGTTCAAACACAACCCTTCAGTATAAACACTCAAGACTTACAGACATTTTGCTTTAATCACAGACTTTTTTCTGTATAAGATGCTGATAGCTACTGTTGTTACCCATCAGTCTTCAAACTCGGGTTTTTAGGGCTTAGGTTAGGATTTCTCCTGTTGCTGTGTTGATGTCCTTTTAGCCAGACGTGGACAGATTTTAACTCGTGCTGAACAACTGAGTGAATTTGTGCGATTGCAACAAAGTGGGATATGCTGTATTGGGATTTGTGATTATAATGAGTGGTTTTAGGACTCTACCTGCTTTGACATAAAGGAATCTGCTGAAATGAGGCTAAAAATACCTAGAGTGACTCAGGACTCGTATTCTGTCCACGTGCAAACAATCATCAGCACAGACCAGCAGAGACGCCATCATCAATATTTGATTAAAGCGGGCTGGTGAAAACTCTCAGTGAAAAACACAGCTGTGTGTCTGTGCTTCGTCTGCTGCAGGTTCGCATCCCCACCTGTTACGACAAACCAGGAACCTCCCAGCTGGTCCAGTCTGCCCAGGTGATCCCTCAATAATAACACACCTATGAAACAGTTCTATTATTGGTCATTTATTGATCGTTTTAAAAATGTGTTTCTGTTCTCCAGACTGACAGTCAGGTGTCCATCGTGCTCCCAACCATCCATGAAGTCGACCTTTTCAGGTGAGGACAGCATGGTACTGTTTTATCCTCTGCTTCCACCTGCTGGTCAGCTGTGGTACTGCAGCAGCGTCACCCATGGCAACCCTCAGGGGCTTTTGGCGTCACTGATGTCATTATTATGATTTTCAGCAAATAAACTCCATAACTGACTCCTTTATCATGTAATCTCTATTTAATCTCTTTTTTTCAGATGTTTCTACCCGGTCTTCTTCCACATCCAGATGCTCTGGGAGTTGGTGTTGTTAGGGGAAGCTCTCGTGGTCATGGCCCCGTCGCCAGCAGAGTCTTCAGACACTGTGTTAGCGTTGGTGAGGTGAGTTTGAGAAAAAGCCTCGCAGGTTTTTGTTCCAGCAGAGGGAAATTATTAAGTTTGGGGTTTTATTTGATTGGGTCAGGGATGAGGGTAGACTAACTAGTCCTGTGTCTTAAAAAAAAAAAAAGTTTTACCTCCTCATGAAGCCGAAAGTCATTCAGATATTCCTCTGTCTGTTCTCTCTGCAGCTGTATCTCTCCTCTGCGCTACTGCAGCGACTTCCGGCCGTACTTCACCATCCATGACAGCGAGTTTAAGGAGTACACAACCCGGACTCAGGCGCCGTGAGTGCAGATGACTCAGCTCTGTTTTTGGGTGTTTTTGCTCTGGACACAGACCTGCAGCTCTGAGTTGTTTGTAGATCCATTTCCACCTCAGGGTCTGCATGTGATTGAACCAGGCCTATGTGATATGAGGATGTAATGAACCCAAATAAAGAAATAAGAGCAAAAGAGAGAATAAATTTTCCTACTGTTTAGTATGGAGCAGTGTCTGAGGTTTGAATCAGGCTCCTTACTCCTGTTATCGTGCACGCAGCTGTTTTAGTACCTGTGAATAATTGAAGCTCTGTTTCCCTTCTGCAGGCCGTCAGTCATTCTAGGAGTGACCAATCCTTTCTTTGCTAAAACTCTGCAGCACTGGCCGCACATCATCCGCATCGGAGACATGAAGCAAGCAGGTAGATGTGAAAGTCCTTCTGGTCAGGAAGTTTTTAAATTTTTACTCTTGAGTTCAGCAGAAAACTGTCAGAGTATTTCAGCTCGGCACAGTCCACCTCACCTGTTCTTAATCCTCAGAAACAATCTCAGCGTAAATGTTACAAACTTGAGTACATCAGCTGTCCTGTAACATGAAGGATAAAAACGTGTCTGATTTCTCCGTCTGTCTCTTCATCAGGAGAAATGGCCAAACAGATGAAGGTCAAGAAACTGAAAAACCTCAAAACCCTGGACTCTAAACCTGGTAAACCTTCACACCCTGCATGGATCTTCTGTTTCCTTTCTGCCATGATTTCTGTGTTTTGATATGGAGGATTCAGCCTCTTATGAAAACTGAAACTCTAAATTTTGAGCAAACCCTCACAAAAACTTTCGATTATTCTAGTTAAAGAAATCACAACGACACGAAACAAGTCTGATACAGAAAGATGCGCCATGACATGAAATAGCTGTAAAAACGAATGAAGAGCTTCTTTAAATCTCTGTTCTGTCTGCTGGACGCCATAAACCGAAGAGTTTAGTGAAGTGAAAAGGTTTTGACAAACAGTTTCACTGCATTTCTGAATAAACATCAGCTCACTGATAAAGAAGCAGACATGCTGAGCGTCTCTCTCTCTCTGTTACAGGTGTGTACACTGCGTACAAGCCGTATCTGAACAAAGACGAGGAAATCATCAAACAGCTTCAGAAGGTTTGATAAGTTTGTGTTTTTTGAACTTGTAATATCGAACCACGAAACCGTCAAAAGCTTTTAAACTTCATTTTCATTGATTTATTGACACACATTATGAAATACAGAGGAAAGAAGTACAGACAACATTTTCAAAATAAATCAATCAAATATCAGGATCAGTGAGTTAGATCGATTGTAGAATAAAGAGAGGAATTCAGATGATTTTTGCTCCATTTTTTGATCTTCTATCAGTTTGTATTATCATGTTGTATTGTATTGAAGATTAGTTCCTCTTATTTGACCACTTCAGAAGTGTGTTTCAGAGCAGAGGTCCAAAATCAGTTTGTTTGCATTCTTGGAGCACCAATGAGAGGGTGAAGTGCCATTATACTTTAAAACCATATAAACACAAACTTTCAGGCTTGGTTAGGAGTTACATGTTGTAGTTCAGAGGAGCCTAATTAACAGATAAACGAAGCTCCTTTTTAACTGATTTGATATAATAAGTTTTTTTTTGCTCCATTGATTAGAAAGTGAATCCAAGGAGAATCCTTTTCAGCGCTCTCTGGTGTTTAAAACAGACATTATGAGTCACAGTTCATGTTTCCTTGAGTTTGGTACCAGACGTCACCTTTACCGTAATGTTGCACTGCACCCTTACCAGTCACTTCTGAAACAACAGTCCAGACCACAGACAGGACTGGTTTCAGAGGCTGTAGTGGTTTATCTGCAGCTGAGGTGAATTTAGACGATCATCATGAGTCAGTGCTGCTCAGTGTTGAAGGCCGGCTGCTACAACATGCATCAATATTCTCCTAAATGCAAGAGTAGATCAGTGTTCAATGATTGTATTGATTTATGATTTTTGTTTTTCAGGGGGTTCAACAAAAGAGACCCTCACCGGCCCAGAATGCAATTCTTCGACGCTACTTTTTAGAGCTGACACAGAGCTTCATCATTCCCCTGGTAAGACCCAATTCTTTGTCTGTTTAATGACGATTTATATCATTAATTCTATATGTGAAGAGCTGTGCTGGCTTTAATACTTATTTATGGTTACTAACAAGTTAATAACCAACCTGCTGAAGAAACATTTTGAAAAATCTCTATTTGTTAAAAAAGGAGGGTGAATTTTGGGCTTAAAGAAAGCAGAACCAGGTGATACATGATTTAATTACTCTATGCACATTGTGATTCACTATAGATGGTTATCTCGACAATTATCAGGCCTTAGAGGGATTTTTGAGTAATTCTTGAAATAAAAATCACATTAGGTTATGCCATAGATGTTAAAGGCACCATCAGGAGTTTTTAATCCGCTGAGAAACACACTCAGACTGATCCTGGTGCGTCTTTATGACCCAAACTGGACCATTAAAAACATGACGATAATTTGGGCGTAATAGTTTTTAATGCTGCTCAGAGGGAGAAGATGGCACACCACATGACCAACAGCAGAAAAACACTCTCGTTTACTGTTTTCACAGCAAATAGAGTGAAAATACTACTTCTATATGTGCGAGACAGCAGATAAGAGGTATACCTTTGTCCACAGGGGGCGCCAATATCAATACAAACAGGCAGCAGATTTTACTGTCATACGTCAGTGCTAATAAATCAAAATACCGACCCTGAAATATGTGACGTGCCTCTTCCGGGCTCTTTAGATTGACTTCCCTCTAAAGTCCCTCGTGGCCGAAAAAAGCCACTTTTTTTGTCTGCTGTAAAATCATATTGGATTAATATTTTTTTCTGATTTTTTTTTCACACATCTTTTATTTTACTTCTGCCCTGTTCGAAACTAGCAAATGTTTCATTGAAAACAATTTTTTTTAACCCTTTAAGTGCCAATTTAAGACAAAAAGTCACTAATAGGGCAAAAAATTAAAGGAAAATGACCCATTTTTTTATAAAACATGATCAGAAACTGGTAATCTCTAGCAGGGTATCAGAGTCTTGAATATGTCAGAGATTAGTAATATCATTGACTTAGATGCCTTTTAGGTTTTTCTGTAGCATCAGATTTAATGAAAAACTGCGTTTGGCGCCCCTCAGTGGCCAAAACTACTTTTTCTGCTGTAAAATCGTATTGGATTAATATTTTTTTCTGATTTTTTTTTCATACATTTCTTATTTTACTTCTGCCCTGTTCAAAACTAGCAAATGTTTCATTGAAAATAAAAATTTTAACACTTTAAGGGCCAATTTAAGACATAAAGTCACTTAAAAAGAAAAAAAAAATGGAAGGAAAATTTTAAGGAAAATGACCCATTTTTTTTATAAAACATGATCAGAAACTGGTAATCTCTTGCAGGGTATTTAAGTCTTGAATATGTCAGAGATTAGTAATATAATTGACTTCAATGCATTTTAAGTTTTTCTGTAGCATCAGATTTAATAAAAAACTGCCTTTGGCGCCTCCCAGTGGCCAAAACTACTTTGTCTGCTGTAAAATCATATTGGATTAATATTTTTTTCAGATTTTTTTTCATACATTTCTTATTTTACTTCTGCCCTGTTCAAAACTAGCAAATGTTCCATTGAAAATAAAAAATTTAACCCTTTAAGGGCCAATTTAAGACATAAAGTCACTTAAAAAGCAAAAAAAATGGAAGGAAAATGGAAGGAAAATGACCTTATTTGCTTCATAAGAGACTTTTTGTCTTAAATGGGCCCTTAAAGGATGAAAATTTTTATTTTCAAAGAAACATTTGCTAGTTTTGAACAGGGCAGAAGTAAAATAAGAAATGTATGAAAAAAAATCTGAAAAAAATATTAATCCAATATGATTTTACAGCAGACAAAGTAGTTTTGGCCACTGAGGGGCGCCAAACGCAGTTTTTCATTAAATCTGATGCTACAGAAAAACCTAAAAGGCATCTTAGTCAATTATATTACTAATCTCTGACATATTCAAGACTTTAATACCCTGCAAGAGATTACCAGTTTCTGATTATGTTTTATTAAAAAAATTGGTCATTTTCCTTCATTTTCCTTCCATTTTTTTTGCTTTTTAAGTGACTTTATGACTAAAATTGGCTCTTAAAGGGTTAAAATTTTTATTTTCAATGAAACATTTGCTAGTTTTGAACAGGGCAGAAGTAAAATTAGAAATGTATGAAAAAAAATCTGAAAAAAATATTAATCCAATATGATTTTACAGCAGAAAAAGTAGTTTTGGCCACTGGGAGGCGCCAAAGGCAGTTTTTTATTAAATCTGATGCTAAAGAAAAACTTAAAATGCATTGAAGTCAATTATATTACTAATCTCTGACATATTCAAGACTTAAATACCCTGCAAGAGATTACCAGTTTCTGATCATGTTTTATAAAAAAAATTGGTCATTTTCCTTAAATTTTTCCTTCCATTTTTTTTTGCTTTTTAAGTGACTTTATGTCTTAAATTGGCCCGTAAAGGGTTAAAATTTTATTTTCAATGAAACATTTGCTAGTTTTGAACAGGGCAGAAGTAAAATAAGAGATGTATGAAAAAAAATCAGAAAAAAATATTAATCCAATATGATTTTACAGCAGACAAAGTAGTTTTGGCCACTGGGAGGCGCCAAACGCAGTTTTTCATTAAATCTGATGCTACAGAAAAACTTAAAATGCATCAAAGCCAATGATATTACTAATCTCTGACATATTCATGACTTTGATACCCTGCAAGAGATAACCAGTTTCTGATCATGTTTTATAAAAAAAATGGGTCATTTTCCTTAAATTTTTGCTATATTTGTGACTTTTTGTCTTAAATTGGCACTTAAAGGGTTAAAAAAATTGTTTTCAATGAAACATTTGCTAGTTTCGAACAGGGCAGAAGTAAAATAAGAGATGTGTGAAAAAAAATCAGAAAAAAATATTAATCCAATATGATTTTACAGCAGACAAAAAAAGTGGCTTTTTTCGGCCACGAGGGACTCTGGAGGGTGAAAATTTGTTCTGGCTTTATTATTGACCTGGTGAAAATGTTGAATTCATGTTTTCGAGTAGAATTTCAAATTAAGCTTAGAAAAAAAAATTCATCACATTTGCTGCAGTAAAAAAAAAAAAATATCCAAATAAGTCTCTTGTTTTTTCGTCAAATGGCCGAATTCGGCCACAGGGACCCGGAAGGGTTAATAAAACCAGTATGATGATCTTTGAATGAAAGTATTACATAAAAACCTTCACTTTATTTTCCGTTCACTCAAATATGTCGACAGATTTCAGGTCATTATGAAACACCCCTGTGTGTATTTCAGGAACGATACGTGGCCAGTCTGATGCCTCTCCAGAAGTCCATCAGTCCCTGGAAAGCTCCTCCTCAGCTGAGACCGTTCATCCAGCAGGACTTCATGAAGACGCTGGAGAAAGCTGGACCTCAGCTCACATCCAGACTGAAAGGAGACTGGATAGGACTCTACAGGTACACACACACACACACACACATCCACGCGTGCACAGTTGAGTCTGGTTCTGCTCGAGGTTTCTGCCTGTTAAAGGCAGATAGACTGTATGTTATTCTGAGCTTAATGTGGACGGACCGGACCTGTGTGTTTCTTTTCAGGCACTTCCTCAAGTCTCCAAACTTTGACGGCTGGTTCCGAAACAGGAGGAGAGAGATGACCCAGAAGCTGGAGGCTCTTCACCTGGAGGCGCTGTGTGAGGAGGTGAGAGAGTGGCTGCGGTTTAGGGCCGTCCCTCTTTATGTCAATGTCACTTTTATTTCTCAGAGTTTGATCGAGGGTTCACGTCGTTTGAACTTCCTGTACTTCTGTATCCATCTCTCTTTTTGTCTCGGTGTCTTTAGGACCTGCAGGAGAGGGTCCAGAAGCACTCAGAGGTGGAGACGGTCGATCTGGTCCTGAAGCTGAAAGATAAACTGGTCAGTGTGAAATCTGTCGAAGCTCAAAGACTTGGTTTACTCCTCTGTTAGGTCTAAACTGATAATTCTGGTTCTGCATTAACTCCTCAGTGAATAAGAAGACTTCTTCTTCATCACTGCTGTTTCTTTTCGTGAAGTTGTCGAAGTTTGTAGGTTTTTTTCCTCGCTAAGACTTAGTTCATCATTCCTCCAGGCTCTTATCTTCCACTGTTTTTACATGAATCCTCCATATACAGGTGTCAGTGTGGTATGAAGCAGGACTTTAAGGGTTAATCTTTTTTTTCTCTATCCTCTGTAGAGTCAGGCTGAGAGGGAGCAGCTCCCAGTGCGTCCAGGGACTGTGGCCAAACTGCGTGCTCATATCGAGGCCGTCATCCTGTCGTTACCGGAGGACCTGCAGGGGATCCTCCACAAACCCTCCACCCCCTGACCTCTGACCCCTGGATTGAGCTTGTTTTAAAGTTTGGGGAATCGTGGGTCGGCTCTCTGCTGGAGGGATCTGTTGATTTCAGACCAGAACCTCTCATGGCAGATCATGGAAAGCACATTTTTTTCCCCTCAAATACACATCCAATTATATTTACTTTCACTGCTGCTGTGGCAGCCCCGATATCTCAGCGATGAAGAGGTTTTGAAAGAACCAGCTGGTCCCATCTGGAGCTTCTGTGCAGTTTCCAGGAGCTGAAACTGACACGAGGAGCCTCAGTAAGGAAGTTTTCCACCACCCGAGCAAGTGGCCCCTCTGAGAGTCACCACACCTTCTCCAGCATTCAGCTCGGTAACAGAGGTTTCAGATCTGAGTTCAAAAAGGATTTCTCACAGACCTGGAGCAGAGAGCAGGAAGAGAAACTCCACAGAACCTCGGCGTTTTGCCTCGCAGTGTTTTTAGGTTTTACTTTTTTAACTTGAAGATGAAATGCTGCAGTCAGGTGGATCAGACTTTCATCCATTTTTAATTAAAAAAGAAGTGCACTTCATTATTCACTGGACCAGAGTGCCCTTCACACACGCACACACACACACACACAGACACACACACACACACAGAAAAACACTTATTATGCAAAAGAAACTGAACCGAGCAGAGCCAAGCAGTGCTTTATATGTGAATCTGACTAAAATGTAAAAGCAAAGTGGCCGTGAAGTTCAAAGCACAAACATTTAATGACAAAAAAACACACAAAAAACATTTCACTGAATGTTAAAACATTTGACTACGTGCTGAAGTATCATGAACACACCGAAAATATGCAATAAAAGGCAAAAATCAAACAATTAAATAACTCATAAATTTTCAACAGTATTTCCAAAAACACACAAATATTCTACAAAATGTTAATATTTTATTGGGAAAATGCAAAAACATTTAACAGGAAGCAAAAAAAAGAGTTCACAAACTTTTGTCCCGTGTTGAGAAAAGTTTTTACATTTCAGGAAAAAGTGTTGCACTCATAGGAATATTTTTATTTTTTAAAAATACCTTCATTCACTGATTTTTTTTTTTTTTTGACATTTAGTGAAATTTATTTGCAACTTTTAAAAATGTCTTTGCATTTTATGAAACATATCTTTGCTTTGTTCATTAGAGAAGTGTTTTTTTCTTTCTTTGACAGTGAATTGTTTTTGCATTTCCTGTTATGTTTTTGTTCAGTCAAATGTGTTCATGGTCATAAAATATTGTGCATTTGACCTTCAGTGCCACCGTAAACACACAGACAGCATTAAGCACCAGCAAACCTGTAATAACTGTTTGCAGAGGAGCATCCTCAGGAGCCAATTACAACTCTGCATCCTGGTCACATGATCATGGCAGTCTGAAAATATATCCACTCTTATCCTGAAACATCCTGAGGGGGCTGATGATTAATGTTACATTTGTATCACTCTCTAGACTGAACTCTGAACTTGCGTGTCACTCTTGTCATGTGAAAACCTAAAGAGAGCGAGAACAAACAGAAATGTGGGACGTGAGTATGACGACACACGCCATGTTAAAGAAACAATTCTGTAATTTGATTTTAAAGTTTGACGCATGTCCCATCTGTTTACATGGAGGAGGTGGGCTTTATGACCTATAGGTAGCTCCAAGTGTCGGGACTCCTCTTTGTTGGAACCAACAGGTTTTTTTCACAGTCCAGTTTGAACTGACAAATTATTTTTATTTATGCAGGAAAAAAACTCAACAGCTCGAGTTAAAGCATTTTTGAATATTTTATTTGAGTTTGACAGATTAATTTTTGCTTTGCCACAAAAAACAAAAAACAAACATAACATAAGAAAATAAAGCCCCAACACGACTCTGAGTTACAACATTAATAGCTGATCATTTTAAACTATAAAAGGGTATGAAAAGAAACAGACTTTCTGTAAAATTGGACCTAAAATGATGAATTTTTGAATTCTGATTTCCAGTTTTTCCATCTGTTTCTGTACTTTGCTTTTTTTCCTCAGTAATCAGAAAAACTTGAGCTCTGGTTTGGATGGTTTTCATGTCACAGCAGTGACCCAAGAACTTTATTTCAGGACTTTTAACGCCTCAAAGTTCAGGATTTCAAAGACTCTGTCTGGCGAGTCAGCAGCTCATAGGCATCATGTTGACTTTATTGAGTTTTGCAAGTTCATTTTTATATTTTTAAGCAAATATCTCTGAGTGTTATTTATTTTTTGCCATGCACTAATTCTTAAGCAGTTTTGTTTCAAAAGGGGAGAGACTGAATTAAAACACAAAAAATCTAACTTCTTTTACCACTAAAAGAGCCTAAACTCTCACGCCACAGCTGCTCCTTCACTCAGCGCACAAAAATATTCAAATAAAACTGAAATTTAAAGTGACAGGCTGTTTTATACTCCAGAATAAGGTGTAAATCTTTTTTTTCAGACAGGTCTCGTTTAGCCCTATCAGACTGTACTTTTATTTCTATGAATGTAAACAAATGGTAACGATGGGTGGCCTCTTGTTGCTATAGTAACAGTGTATATTATCCCAGTCACAGCAGGTTTTGTCATGTTTTATGAAGCCTTAACATCTGTCAGTTTTATATCACAGAGAAAAGAGTTATTTTAGCTGCCACATCATGTAGAGTTTCATCTTAAAAGATGCGACACATTCATTGCAAACAGCAGCTGAACACTGACGTATTCATTAAAAGTCCAACTTTAAACTCACTATAATCCTGAATGAGGAGCGAAGCAGAGAAGCTTGTTCTGTCCAGAAAGAGATAAAGTACGATTTGTAAGTAAACACAGGAATCTGAGGAATTGACATTTACGGGTGCACTACCTGAAATTTTGACACAGTAGATATTTTTAAACTGACTAATGTAGTTTTGTTGTCAAATTGTATCGTTAGGTTTCTCAAAAATTTTTGCTGTCTTGATTCCACTGCGTACGTCAGGTTACGAAATTTCGGCCCGATGAAAACTTTGGCTTGATATCATTTTTTCTCACTGATGTCATGTAGCTGATACATTTTGTTGTGGAAGAGCCCCTTGTCACTGCTCTAAGGGCCTGTGTCCACTAACAGTGTTTTTTGCACTTCCACTTCCTTCAGTAACGACTGTTAAAAAACTGCTCTGTATGCATCATATTTATTTAATTTGTTGACATTTTACAAAGAAACAAAATATGCTGCTAGAAAGTGTGAAGTAACGTTAACACAGCAACTTTTCATCTGGAAATTGTACCTCTAGAAAAAGTGTGGTTGGTTTTGAAAAAGTTGCAATCAAAAGTCCCGATCCTTCTTGATTGTGATTGGTTGGTGATGGAAAAGTGATAGTGACTCACCAGTGTGACCAAAGGCTTACCTGTTTTAGTCTCATTCAGAAAACAGGTGATACAAGTGCAGAGGGCTGCATTAAATGGACACAGGCCCTTAACTGGGGCTGAAATCGTCTGATTTTCACCCATTTTGGCAATATGTTGACTTCCTGTTATTAATTTTTGTCATCCTGAATGTCTTTTCACCTGGCGGGTTTGTGCTTCCATACCTTTGAAACAGAAACTGTGACAAAAACTAAATTCACCAGAAACTTGTACGCTTATTTTTCAGGGTCCAAATCCTCGTAGATGATGGCGTAACAGAGTTTTTGAATTATTAATGAGAAATTAAAAAAAAAAAAGACAAAAAACACTACTTCTAACGTTTAAGTAAATTCTCAGCAATGGAGGATTTGTTGTTTTTGTTTGGCTGAATATGAGACTGGGGGCTTTAAGGACCGAGAGCAGAACCAAAGACTTAATGAGTTTGTCTGAATCTGGAAACAAAAAGTTTGATAGTTCACTTAATTTAGACAAGAAGAGGATAAGTTCTTCTCTAATCTTCTTCTCTTAATTTCCTCACCCTGAACTCAAATTTACTCCTGAGAGTAAGTCAGTCTGATGAGAGCTCAGAGCTCCTTAAAGAGAAGAAAAGAATCAACAAACTCATTTAAAGAAAGGGAAAGTTTGCATACCTGGATCTATGAAAGCTGAATTTAAAGGCACATTGTAGCTCTAAATGACAAATTAACTTTGATTTCCTTCAGCCCGCTCTTAATTAGCATGTTTGGATTAATTTGAGGTCCTTTCAGAGTCATTGCAAACTTTGATTTACATTTAATTATGAGGAAAGGCATGACACGGAACGGTAAAATTGTCTTCTGGCAGCTGCTTTCAATAAAACTATTAAAGGGCAATAATAGAAATTATTAACAATAAATTCTCCCGCTGCTGAGTGAGACACGATTTACCTGGATTCACGAACATTCCTGGAAACCTAGAAACAAAAACATCTCAAATAAACCTGACAGCAATAATAGCCAAACAGGTCACTGTGTTTGTGGCCGTGACTGCACACAGACTTCGTTGTAAAAATAGAAAACCACTTCTTTGGGACCTGTTGTCACAGTCATGGATTGTGTGTTTTGTCCTTTTTTTCTCTATTCTTTGTGTAACATGTTGTATAAATGCTTTGAATTTGCCTTTCTTTTGTTACACACATAATTGTAAAGAAAAATAACAAAAGTTCTGGTTGTAGAAACCTGTGACACTTCGATGTTGGGCAACCAGACTAGTTTTATATTTGTAAGAAGAAGAAGAAAAAAAGAAGCTTATTTTAACACGTTGAATTTTTATGGAGGAATTTTCTCTTGTTCCTTATTCTGTAGAGGATGAAACGATATGTACAGGAAGGTGTGGAGTAAAATGGTAGCCCAGATATGATGATGTACAATATTTTGTTATGAGAACAGATGTCTTATGGAATACAGAGAAAATGAATATTTCTCCATGTGCTGTTTGTTTGTTTTCTGACACTAAATATACATTTTGTTTTGTTTTTTCAGCAGCTGGACTTTTGAATTTGTTTTTTTTAAAGACACTTTGAGAAATTTTTGAGACTTATTTGAACAAACACTCCTTAACAAAATCTTTAGAGCGAGTATTTGGATTTCATGCTGGCGGGTCAAAAGGACTTTTTAAGAAGAAACAGCAGCAAGAGACAAAAAATAATGAGTAGGCAACTTATTGAAAACTCAAACAGGCTGTTCACCAGCTGATCCGAAGTGACATTTTTCTTGTCAGAATAAAACTTTCTTTCATCTTTTAATGCCCCATGTGTGGTGCTCCTTCAAGTCCAAACAGGCTAGTTTGTGGTGTGGGAGGAGACGTAGCCTGTGAAGACTTTCCTTCTTCTTAAAGCTCTTCTTTTGCATATGTCGTCTTATGGTTATCGGCCTGCAGTCAACATCAGTAAGGGCCTTAAATTGGGTCGAAGATCATCCTGTGTCTTCACAGAGCTTGTCAGATCCTCCAGTTCAGCGCAGGTGAAACTTTTGGAGGTCTACCACTTGACTTCTTTGTCTCAGGATCTTTAAAGACATTTAAATTGTTTGTCTGACTGCGTCTGACCCATAGACTGTGTACACTATGGACAACTTGGTTCCGCCTACTTCCTGTTTACGGATTTGAAGCCAAATAGCTCTCGGTATTTCTGGTATTTTTCTTCATTTCCTGAAACCAGCGCTGCGCAGTCGCGAGAGTCCCTGTGATGACGCTCGACTTCAACAGCGAATCCCCCGGGAGAGCTATGCAATCCCTGAACGCCCATAGGCTGTATCAGGTGTCAATCATAGAAAACATGAACCCTGTAATTCCCTCTCAAGTCGAAATCACGAAACCAGGTTGTTCTTTATGTTACAGGCTTTAATCACACGATGAGCATGATAGTGTGCCGTGAGAACTGTCAGACATTACAGACAGAAAGCAAATAAAAAACACATTACTTACATGTAAAGACATCAAAGAAACAACATGACTTGACAGAAATCCGTCACATTAGATCCTTAAAGTTTACCAAAATAACAGTATACAAACACAAAATGTACCTCATTGGCCGCTTTCCCTTGAGAGAAAATTAGAAATCTTCCTTCAGTCTTTCGATGCACTATGCACTTTACAACATCTTCAACATTAGCTGTTCTTAGGCAGAGCAATTAGCTAGGTGTCTGCCTGCTGCTAGCTTGATCCAGAATGATATCTGATGCACGTTACCAATCAAAACGTAGCGACCTTCAAAGTAACACTCCGCCAACCTGTGACAGTAACTTTGGTTCCCCCTCAATTAAGACTTGAAACCATATCAACCAAACAAAAAATACCTGAAATAAATTCAATGTTGCTTTTAATATTAAACTATTGTCAGTAGAAATGTATATATTTATGAACTTAATCTTTTTAACTTAATATTTATTAATCTATTTATTCTGACTTTGATGGCAGCTACAAACCCCTTAATAACTTTTAAAAACGGAGCTTCACAGAAAAAAGAGGACTTGAGCACAAACCAGTCTTACAATAACTACATGTCAACATCACAACCAGAGGGGAGAAAAATTTATATTCTGTGTAATAAATTTCTAAAGTTTGTCCACAGCTCCATAAACTTTGCTGGCGGAGGCGGGATTTATGACCTATACTGCAGCCCGTCAACAGAGGGTGCTGTTCTCGGAGTTGCTTCACCCAGCGAGGAGGCAGACTCCGTCCATTCTATATACAGTCTATGGTCTGACCTCTGCAGCCTTTTTTCCTTTCAGGAGTGTATTGAACACCTACAAATTTCATGTTTTGCCTACCTAGTAGTTCCACGCTGTTACTCATTTGCTGATTGGTTCCTGAACTTCGTCCCTGTCTATGACATATGCTCTGTCTCAGCTGTAGCCCCAGTTAAAAGCGGCTGCTGTAATGCTATAAAGCTTTACTACCCGGATGTAAACAAGCACAGATGACAGATGGCGACAGAATTATCTCATCATTATGGAAAATAGGCCCGCTGGAAAATGTGTTTTTTTCTTTGCGTGTCCCCCTTTCACAGTGTGAGGAAACCAAATGTAGTCTTACGGACGTCCCCGATCTGTTTCTACAGCTGGACTTCTGCAGGATCAGAGACTACTGCTTAGGTAAAATCAGACGTACACACTCAGTTTTCACTTCAACACACTGTTTATTCTGATTACAAAAGAAGCATTTCAAAAATGAAGCTGGCAAATAATAAAAATGTTGTGATCTGAAACGACCCCTCAGCAAATCAGCAGCATCACAGAGGTCTGAGGTTTTCTCAGATATATGGATAAAAAGCACCTCAGCCAGGAAATAGGAACGCAGTGTGAAGGAGGCGAGCTGGTTCAGTAGGAGCCTGATATTTTCTCCTCCAGGGTCTCGAATGTTAAGGCTATAAAACCCTTAGATAGCCACAGAACTAATGCCATAATCAGGGACCTGTCTGTGAAAGTTTTTATTTTGGAGGAGCAGGACCCAGATCTTCAAGAGGACTTTTTTTGTGTAGGGTCAGGTGAACAAGATCATTTCTGTCAAGGATCAGTGTCAGCCTGGCATCATCTGACGCCTTAGCCATCTCACATATCATTATTTTGAAGGGGTCTAGAGTACCTTATTTTTGGATGGGGGGGATTACAGCAGTTTTCCAAACCCAGTGAATAAATGCACTTCAAAGTTAAAAAAATAAAGTTTCAGATCTTACTAAAAACATTCAGTAGAATTAGTTTGTAACATATTCTGTAGAAAATAAAGATCAACTTTCTGATAGAGACCAGAGGACTCTGTTTATGTGACGTCCCCGTTCGTCTTATTTTAACCACTGCCTGTTTTCCTCGCCGCTCTCTACTTCACGAACCAACTCTTTGGTATTTTTCTCTCCTTTAAGGCGTCGCCCTCTCCCTTGCCCGCGCCTGTTGATTGGCTGGTTTGCCTGTTTCTCGTAGACGTCCTCCAATAGTGTCTTTCCTCTGGGAGAGTAACTGATGGAGGACCAGGTGAGGACGGAGCCGCGGTACGGCCTAAAAACACAAAAAGGACTCTAAATTATGGTTTTATCCCCTCCAAGAGCTCCAGTGACTATTTCAAAGATAACAACTGTAACAATCATATTAATAATTATTATTATTACAGTATATGAATTAATAACAATTGTCAATGCTGCTGTTCATTATCACAAGTTAAAAAAAAAGTCAATATCAAACTGCAGTTCCTCAAATGTCCACATGGGGCTGGCTCAAAAATATGTTAATCTCAAATCAGCAAATCATAAAATGAAATCATGCAAAAATGTAAATAAACCTAAAAATAAAAACTTTAAAGGCTTAAAACTGAAAGTGGACCAACACAAAAATAAAATTTAGCTTCTTGACAGTTAAAAAAAAGTTTAAGAAATCAAAAGAAGCACTTTAAATTCAGCCTGTTCAAAAGTTATAATTGAGCTGGTTTAAAATCAAACTGAACCCAGATGAAAATTTAAATAAAAATTAGGTAAATCTTTTAATACAGGGTAAATTGAACCTGAGCAGAACCCTTAAATTGAAGCCTTATCAAAATAAAAAATTATAACTATTAAAAGTTTTAAAGTAAACATGAACGAGTTTCTAAATTTAGCTGCTACAAAAAAATGCATTTCAACCTGAAAGAGTTAAAAAAAAGAATCCTATATGCTAGATTTACCCCTATGAAGGTGAAAATATGTGCATGTAGAAAAAAAATTAAAAGTTAAACCTTTGCAACATTTAAAATTAAACCCATTGTTCAAGATTAAAACACAACACACATGAAAAATCATCCAGTTAAAAGACTGGAAGGAGATTTGTGGTCCAAAAAGAGGAAATAAGGATTTCAACTGGATTGGTGCCTCCATATTATGTATTATTACAAGAGCAGTTCACACACACACACACACACAAACACACACACACACACACACACACACACAGGTACTTACACATAAACACCATTGGTCATGTAGTTGAAGACTTCCTTGTAGCTGAGAGGATAATCCCACACCTGGAGGTCTGTCACCTGACCACTGAAACCTGGAATATCAATCACAGGTTCTCCTGACCACACAAACTGAACACACACACACACACACACACACACACACACACACACACACACACACACACACACAGAAACACAACCTTAAATCAAGTCGTAAGAGATCAAACGGTTGCAGACTTTATAAAAACTGATACAGCCAGTGGATATTTTACATGAATCGGCATTGATGTTATTAATAGAAGTCTGAGTTAAAAAAATCTTGACTAATAAAAAAAAAAAAACAAAACTTAAAATTCAGCTGATTTTCTGTGTAAATCAGCAGTTCGAAATATTAGCTTTAAATGTATGAAATGAAGATCCTTCAGACCTGGTGGGATACAGTCACAGATCAGCTGCTGACAGCAGTGCATGGCAGTCTGATTATCGGGCTGTAAAACTGAAACACGGAACATCCGTGTCAGTTTGTGCTGCTGGTCCTCACCTCAGGAATGAGTTTCCTGATGCTCATATTGGAGCCGCTGAAAATCTGAGCCACTTTCTTCATGTTGTCAAAAGTGAGGCAGACTCTGTTCCAGATCTCAGGGCTGATGTTTGTCCAGAACCTGATGTATGGCGTCAGGTACACAGAGTAGGAATAGTACCTCTGATATTGCAGCACATAGGCACCGGTACCACCAACAGAGAGCTTCAGAGGGTTTGTGGACGGACTCAAAATGAAGAGTGGACTGTCACGCTGATAGGAGGCCAGGTAACGAAGACACACTGACACACCTGTGGAGGTGAAAATAAAATGAAAAAACACGTGTGCAGTATTTTTGTTGTTTTAGTGCCTTAGATGAAAAAACAGCAACAAAGTCAAGCTAACAGGTTCGGGTTGTTTATGACCAAAGAAGCCTACAGATGTGGGGGTATGGTGTCAGAGGAGGAGGAGCTCTCAAATGGCCTACATTTGAGACTACACAAGTAACAGGAGGCAGCTGTTCAGATGGGACAGCACAGGTCAAACTGCTTAGACATTACCAGTGGTGTCCCACAGGGGTCAGTTTTGGGACCCAATTTGTTTTATATTTGAAGTAAATTGTCTTTGCAGACGACACAAATATTTTATATTCTGAGAAGCAGCTTTTAGAGGAAGTCAGAGAGGAAATGTACCAACTTAAATGCTGCTTTGATGTCATTAAATTTGAACAAAACCAAAGTTAGGGTCAAACACCAAGTCTCCATATTCAACTAAAACTTGAGTTGGCTCAATAGTGGATCAACCTACAGGGTGATATTATGTTAGCTGCTCCAGCCAACCAGAGTCTTTCAGATGAGGGTGAGAGAGCTTGAGGGTAGCAGCAAACTTCTGTCTGTTTACCACTCCCTCACACATAGCTCAGATGGCAGAGCTTGGGTGAAGAATCACGACCAACAGGTTAAGTTGGATAAATGTGTTTTATTCACGTCACTATGGGGTAAGGGCCAAAAACATCCTGACAGGCTGCCAAAATAAGCAGATGTGAATAACAATGAGCTGTGCTGGTAAAACCAGCTGGTACATTTGTTTGCAGGTTTATAACACCTGAGTGCATTTACATGGACCAAATAATTTGAGCCTTATCCCGGGAGATGTGGCGTTTACATGCGCACAGAGAAATCTGTTTATTCATATCACTATACGATAAATACTGTAAGATGATTTTAAACCCGTCTGTAAACATCTGTAACTATGCTGTACAATCGGCCTGTTTCAAATGGGGCCTTGAGGGGAATGACCCACTTGTGCAGCCAGCCCCAAGTGGCCGCTCGAGGAACTGCAGTTCTTACACTGTCATAATTATTAGTACCTCATTAATGTTCATAGCTCTTGGAAAAATGCAGAAGACTGTCTTGGTCAAAGATTAAGAGAAAACTGAGGGGGAATGATTTAATTTTTTTTCTTTTTTTCAGAGCTAAAACTTTAAAAAAGAAGTAAAGACTCACTTTTAAGATGTGGCAAAAAAGTTCTTGATTTAGTTCCTGTTTTCTCACACAAATATCAACTTTTAAAAGCAGCAGCAAATAAAATAAATCAGATTTTAATTAATAAATATGGATGAAAGTCTTCTTCATTTCATGTATGGACACAGAGTTTACATCAGGTTGTGTTGTTTACTCACCTCTGAAAGGGGACGCTGTGGTCCAGGCATGAGTGGGTCTGGTGGTGCGGTAGGGTCTGGTGGTGTGGTAGGGTGTGGTGGTGGGGGCACGGGTAGTCATACGTTTGGTGGTGCTGTAGGGACTGGAGGTGGTGCTGTAGGGAGTGGAGGTGCTGTAGGGTCTGGAGGTGGTGGTGTAGGGACTGGAGGTGCTGTAGGGAGTGGAGGTGCTGTAGGGTCTGGAAGTCCTGTAAGGTCTGGAGGTGTCTGTACTGGCTTTGTAGGGGGTGGGTGAAGACCAGGGGTTTGGGGTGGTAATAGAATTATATGGAGGACGGAAAAGTATTCCTCCATTCTCAGAGAGAGTGAACATCTTCCTGTTTAAATTTGATCCAGACGGTTCTGCAGGAAAAGGAAGAGAAACCACAGAAACAAGTTGTCAGCATATTATCAGATTTTTTAATCCCTCTTTCTGCACGCTGTCCTGATCAGAGAGCCTGTAAGTCCTTCAAGAGAGAAGTGACAATGTCTGAAACAGATCACATCACAGAAAGACTGTGGACTTCTTTAAAGACAGTTTTGGATCTGTAAAACCATTGCTCAACTTATGGAAATACAGAAGAGGGCCATTTCACTGTGTTTTTAACCTCAGGATCACATTGAACCAGACCCTGATCCTAAATATGGGTAACTATGTTCAATAATTTAAGATAATCATACCTGAATAATCTAGTTGAAATTTGATAATTCCAAACTGTATGGTTTTCAATCTGGACCTGGCCTAACGTGGAGGAGAAATAAACAGTAAAATGGCCTTTTTCTGCATGTTCACAGAAAGGTTAAGGTGTCATGAATCTAAAACCTGGCTTTATGAATTGTCTTGAATATTAGGATAATCTTGTACAGATGAGACACGTCCAAGTATTGTATGTTACGGTCAGGACCTGGTCTCATGTTGTTTAGAGGTAAAATAAACAGTAAAAATGACTTCTCTGCATTCTCACAAACAGATTAAAGGTTTCAGAGATTATATACAGTCTTTAAAGGAGTCTGCAATATGTCTAAGATAATAGGCTGAGGCTATTGTCCAAATTTGACAAGTCCAAGTGTTCTGGTTTTGGATCATGATCTGGTCTCACATGGTCCAGGGTGAAAAATCAGCAAATAAACCCAAACCTTTTCCAGATTTGGACAGTAATCCTTAACTGCTGCAGACTCATTACCAGACAGAGAGTTGTGGTTTTTGTTCAGGACCCGGTCTCATGTAGTCTAGAAGTGCAAATCAAAGTTTCACGGGGTAAAAAGCGTTTTAGATATTTTCAAGTCTTTCTCCAGATGACTAAACCGCTCACATATCAGGAAGATTGGCAGAGCAGGCTAGTGTCTTCACAAACACACTCGTTTTCACGTAGCTAAACAACCTAGTGTGCGCGCTCAAGTGTGCGCGTGTGTGTGTACCTCTTGTTGTCGTCGTCCAGTAGGGTCCTATAAAGCTACTTTCAGCAAAGGAACGTCTTGCAGGAGTTTTTGTCTCAGCCGTTAGTTTAAATCCAGGGTTGTTCAAGTGCAGCGCCGCAAACATCAGCGCCATCACCATGGCAACTGAGAACAGCTTCATTCCCCATGTCATCTTCATCTTGTCTCTGCAGTCCGTGCGTCCTCTCTGACAGCAAGTGTTTATCTGTCTGCAGTCTCCGTTGACCGTCTAAACTTCGGTGTGTTTAATTTTCGTTTCCTGGTTATGACGTCCTCAGCCGCTTTAAGTTTCGTTTCTGGAGCGCTCCATGTTCGGAGGTATGGAAGGCCCAAAGGGTCGATATTCACAACAGAGTATTAGGGCCATAGTAAAGTTTTTTTTTTTTTTTTTTCATATTTGGTAGAATATTTTTTTTTGAAGAATAGAATTTCTTTTTTAAGATTATCTTTTATATAGTTTTCTCACCAGTATAAAGTCGGTGTAAAATTGTGTTTTCATGAGAACAAGGTTATGGCAAAATTTTTAAAGTTGTTAATTTAGTCAACAATCAGCTATATAATGCTGTTTTGTAACAACTTGTAACATACGCCTTTATTCTAAACTTTACATTACAACCTTTTTTTTCCTGCTGACAAGAAAATTTTCAGGAAAATTTGCACAAGTTCAGTTCAGGCGTAAATTCAGCATCAGCTAAGAGGTAAGAAGCCTCATATATGGTCATATGTGGCCTGTGCTGAACTCGAGCTTCAGGAGTGTTTTATTTCTTATCTTGTGTCTCATACTTGTGGATCTTACTGTATTTTAACCATTGCTCTGTGGAACTTACTGCTTATTGTACTTATTTAGCTATTCAGTGTTGATCCTGCTGATCTGTGAGTACTGACAAGGGAATGTGGTTGTGTACTGGCTGCTATTAATGTCTTGCACTTGTCTGGTGTGTTTGTCTGCGGGTTTGTGTGATTGGATGGATCAAACGGCAGGGTAACTGTGAAATGAATTGTCCTTAAAGTTGTCTGAATCTGAATCTGAATCTTGAAGTTTCTGTATCCCCCACATGCCAAAACCCCCAAAAGGATCACAAATCATCTCCTGCTGTTTCATAAACACTGTGCTTGACTGTTTATCCATCTGAAGTCTCTCTGACCTGTTGCACTCAGGCCTGTCTGCTTACTTTCCTTGTAAGGATGAAACCTCCACAGGATCTGTTTGTCACTGCAGCCCTGATACGGTTGACATTATATATGGAGAGCCAAAAGGGTCATAATTCATCTCCACGTCCTTGTTGCCAAGTTTCACTGTGTATTTAATGAACAGCATGTTTAAGTGTTGAGCTATTTTTCTAGCTCCTAAGTCCTATTTTTTATTGGTTGAAAACTATTTAACTCCTAGGCAGTTGTTGATTTATTAAAGCTATATACTCCTAAATCTTAGACTGAATCTTTAACTATCAAGGGGGTCTGGACTCTCAGTTGCATGATTATTGCTTATGTACAGTGCTTATGTATTGCTAAATGTACACTTGACAGAAATACTGTGTCAGCCAATTCTGTTTTCTTATATACAAAATGGCAAAACACTGGAAGGTCAAACATGTTCATACCAATTTATTTTTAAAGGCTAGTTTCTTATCAGGTCTTGAAAACATGATTACATACAAACTGTTGACCTGCCTCTGTTACTTGAAAACAGAGGATGGTGCTGTTCACACAGGCCCCTGTTTGCTGATTTTGTTATTCTTTATTTTTGCCACCCGTGACAGGCTTCTTGGTCTCCTTCCCTGCTTTTCGGCATCGCCCTGTCCCTCTCCGGCTGCTGCTTGGTTGCTTGGCTTGCTCCTCATAGATGTCCTCCAATAGTGCATTTCCTCTGAAAGAGTAACTGATGGAGGACCAGGTGAGGACGTTACCGGGAGGAGACCTGAAAGAAACGATCACATGACAATCACACCCTTCAAGTATGTTGTCTGGAAACAGACTGACAACTACCCCCTCGCACCAATCTGAGGCCCTTTAAAATTACTGTTTAAAAATGTTCAGTCTTGTTGCTGATGGTCCTGTTTGCTTTTTGTGCATCATAAAAGCACATGAGTCTTAATTCCAGTTTTATTTTATAAACCTTAAAAAACTCCTCACAGGGGCTCTAACTTCTCACACCTCTGTAGATAGATATTTGAAGGTGAACAGATGTGTAGAAGGTGTTTAGGCTTGTGAGATACAGCTTGGACTGCTGTGCTTTCTAACACACACACACATATTGTAATCACATAGAGGTACGTACAAATAGACGCCACTGATCATGTAACTGTAGACTTCCTGGTAGCTGAGAGGATAATCCCACACCTGGAGGTCTGTCACCTGACCACTGAAACCTGGAATATCAATCACAGGCTCTCCTGACCACACATACTGAACACACACACACACACACACACACACACACACACACACACACACACACACACACACACACACACACACACAGAAATATTAGTGTGACATAATGAAGATTGAATGAGTTCAGTTCCTCTCCTGACCTACAAAGCTCTTCATGGTCTGGCACCGTCATATCTAAAGGAGCTCCTAGTTCCCTGTTACCCAGAACATGTGAGACCCCCACATGCAGTCCTGCACATCAAACCCAAAGTCTCTAAAAGTGGTCTGGGTGGTAGAGTTTTTAGTCACCAGGACCCTCTCCTCTGGAATCATCTAGGTCCGGGGGCTGACAACCTCTCTACCTTTAACTGTTAACGTTCCTCTGTGATGAACCTCAGGGTTAGACCTGGTTCAGGTCTGGGCCAGCTCTTAGTTATGCTGCTACAGGTTCAGCCTGATGAGGATACTGGCACATTGAGCTCCAGTCTCTCCTTTTCCATTCTTTGTCTGTCTGTGACTGACGTTTAACTGGATCTTCTTGTCCCATCAGAGTCACTAACACTCAGTCTTTTCTAGGAGTCCCTGAGCTCCATCTTCTTGTAGGTTCCTCTGATTCACTGCTGCAGACATTCTGCTGCTGAGGACCTGCCTGTTTTCCAGCTGTGAGGTAAAGACTTGCTGTCAAAGAAGACTTCAGTTTGAGCTACTCTGTTCTCACCTGAGCGTAAAGCATCTTCCTGATGCTCATGTTAAAGTCGCTGAACATCTGGGCCACATTCTTCTCACTGTCCACAGTGACACAAATCCTAGTCCAGACCTCAGGAGAGCTGGTTGTCCACAATTTTATGTCAGGCACCAGGTAAATGTTGGTTCTACCGTAGACGTCATGAGAAAGTATAAATCGACCACTGTCATACATCCGCAGTGCAAGAGGACTGGAAGACGGACTGAGGGTGAAGAGTGTGAACGGGGTGTCCCTGTAATCGAAGGTGAGACGAAGACACACGGACACACCTGCAGAGGTGCGGATAAAGAGAGATTGAAGAGGATTGTTTTAACACATTACGTTAAAAACATTTTAGTGCTTCATCTGTTTCAGAAAATTTCATGAAACATTTTAGGTTTCTTCTCAGTACCTCTGGTTGAGTTTGTAGGTTTGATGGTGTTAGGCTGGGCGGTGTTGTAGCTGTGGTTGTAGTTTGAAGAGACAGGCTGGGAAGTAGACGGGGGGGTTAAGTTGGGTGAATAAAGGGATATCCCTCGTTTGGACGTAATCATTTTCCCACCCAAATTTGTTCCAGAAGGTCCTGGTAGAAAAAAGGGTTGGAGACACAAAAATAAGAAATTTTAAAATGGCGTAAAAAAACAATGTAATAGTCTTTCTCACACATGCTTTCCTTCATTTAGTGGATAATTCACACATTTTACCTGACAAGGAAGTATTGGCTCAACAAGAATGTGTTGTGTTGCTGCATTGTTGCTGAGAAATGTTATATAATCATTGATAAATTATGTCAGAAGACCAAAAACAGCATTGTGTTATTTTGGAAGCTTTGGTGCTAGTTGATAGAAAATAAGCAAATGCAAAAGTGTGGCTGCAGTTCCTCAAGTGTCCACTGGGGCCAGCTCCAAAAGCAAGACAATCTCTGTAGGGTCTCATTTTGGAATATAACTTTTTTATCCCGGTGCAAAAAAATATTTTTTGTTTCTAAAAGTTGTTGTTTAAATTCATGACGACTGAAATCAGATTTTCATCTCACATTTATTGTTATAAAGTATATGACTTCCGATAGATCATTAGTTGCAAAAGAGAAAAAAACAGAAGAGGCAGAAGCTTTAATTTAGCAGATTTTGATGCTTTACGAGTCATTTGAATTCACATTTATATGAGAACACTGCAAAGACAACTGATCAAATACTGGGACTGAAGTTGTTCATTTTTCATTATAACTATAAACTTGTTGTAAATTTGATGCCAGTAACGTGTTTGACCAATCAGGATCAAGTATTGAACTCAGGTAGGCGGTTAGTAGGAGGGAAGTTTAGAGACAGGTGTGTGTGTGTGTGATACCTGTCGTGGTGATCCATGGTGCAGCTGTTGGTGGTGATGCGAGTCCAGAGTTCGTCATGAGCAGCACCATCATGGGGACATACAGAAGCTTTGCCATCATCCTCACCAGAACCGTCTCTGCAGTGAAGTGTCTGTGTGTCCTCTCCGAGTGACACTGTTCATGTGGCCCCTCTAAATAGTGAAATTCAACTCTGTGTATGATGTCACTTCCTTTTTTTGAAGTCATGAGTTTCTTAGATTTTGTAATGGCACAGAAAGCTTGATATCAGCCTCGAATCTGCTTTTACTTTTTTCCCAGAATGCACTAAACAGTAAAAAGGTGAGACATTTTTTGTGTGTTTGTGTGTGTGTGTGTGTGCTTTGTTGTTAGTATTCTGATCAATAAGCTTAAATGAATGTGTGTTTGCATCTAAAATAAGGCAGCAGAGGAGTTCTCTAATTATCATTTATTTTGGTAACTTAAATATAGCTCCATCTTTACTGTGTTTTGTGTATCTGGAGGTCACCTTTTATCTTTTATATACTTGGAGGGCATCCCGGGTCACTTTTTCAGATGTTTTTACAGAAAAGGGTATCAGGGATTGGCATTTTTTTGATCACTTATTTAAAAGGAATGATATAAGTGTCAATTTGCCTTATTAATGTATGAACTTAAGGCTCTGAATAAAAATGTCCAACAGGTTTCCTCAGAGATAAGCTGTGGGTCATAATAAAAAGTATACATTAGTGGTTAATATTTTTTGTCAAGGTATAGAACATGCAAAATCCTTTTAAATGACCTTATGTTTTAAAGTCTGGCTGTAAAGTTTTGAAATAAGCCAACAGTTCAGACGCAGTTCATGCTCTGCTGTGTAATGCTCTCTAATGTTTCTGTAATCATCCACAGGGGGGGAACCTGCAGAGAGATCTACGTGATGTTTCACTCTGCTGGGATTTCCTTGAACCACAACCTTCTCTGTGGCAATAGCATAATTTGCAAACCTGGTTCATCTCTCTAGATTGTGAATTTTGGTGTAGTTGCCATAATCCTACTTCGTTTAGACTAAAATAGTGATGAAATATTCAGCATCTTCTCAGCATAATTCAGAACAGCAAGATAGTTAAACGGAATAAAGCTCATAATGGTTAAAACCTCTAATATTGGGGTGTGGGGAAGTTGCTCCTTGAACTTCACCTTTTCACAGACTCTCAAGAACTGAAACTGCTGTGACAACAATTCTCAACTTTCATTTCCCAAAACTTTTATTTTCCTGTTGTGGTGCAAGAGTCAGGGGGGCCACACTTTTACTGCACACATATAATTGTTTTGACCTCTGACACAAGCACACACTTCATCTGAAATCCACTGTTTGGGTTTAACCATTAACAGCTGGTGAAAATAAAATAAAATACACACACACCTTTCCTGACAAAACACTCTAATTTCAGATCATTCATCTTCCAAATTATGCTGCATATTGAGATGTGGTATGAGCTGATCTGAACCATTATTAGACAGGGATCGAGAGAGAAAACTTGGACTGTAATATTAATTATATTAGTCAACAGATACACTTTGGAACTGTGAATGAAGGCTTTGTTATCCCATTTGTTCTCAATTATGAAATAAAAGGTAGAGACACCAAGATGTCGCTGAAGATCTGCTTCTAAAAATATTACTTACTCATAAAAGCCTGGCCTGGTCATCGCATCAACCCTTCAAAATAAGATACTTTAACTTTTACCACCCTCTTCGTCCGTTTTATAATTTGTCTGTAAATTTGTTTTAAACCTTTTTCCTAAATGATACAGAGATGAACACAGTTTGACCTCTTTCAGTAAAAACATTCCTGACAACGTCAGATCTGAGAACGACAACAAATCACACATCAACACTTCCTGTTTACAACACCTGAAGCTGGCACCGGAAACGATGTCTGACTACCAAAGTACAATAAGAAAATCTAACACAGCCTGAAAAGGACTGTAGACTAGCTTTACTCAGTCGTGTTTCTTCTCAACACTGGGGCGCACAAAGCACCTGACCAGTCATTAGTCTTACTGGTATTGAATGTGCTAATATTAGGTCAGAAAGCTGCAGCATGAATTCTGAATTTTATTTTATCTGAAAATAAATGAACATTAAAGGCTTGGAAAAAGGCTTTAAAAGGCTCTTTAGTCTGCTTTTGTCTTATTATACGGCAGTAACGTCCTGTAGTACGACTGTCAAACTAATTCAATTCAAACTAAAATAACATAAGCTGGAGCAAATCGGTATTTCAAACACTTTTATTTTGGAGGGGTCATTAGCGGAAGTGCTGTTTTCAGTTAAGCGATGTTGTGACAGTTGTGTTGTTTTTGCTGCCCACGTTTCCTCTGCCACCGTGTACCGAGCTGACAGCGACCGGTGTGACAGTATGGATAACACACACACACTCCCACTGCTCTATAAAACCACAGACACTCACACACACCTGCACACACATCGACAGAAACAGCACGAGCTGATCACCGCGAGGAGGAACTTACCACCACGAACATGGGCGTCATTATTTCACAGATCTTCTCCAGGTTCACCTACAAGACACCTGTACGGATTTTAATGGGTGAGAATTCATTTATTTTTATTTTAAATTCAAACTTTTATCATTTCTTTTTACCAAATATTAAATCATTTATTGTGTAGTCTTTTGTTATGTTCATGCACAACAGTTACGCTTGAATGAACATTTTATTTCATTGTCAAAGAAAAAAAAATCCGATTTGAAAATAAAGATTAATCCCAAAGATTACTATTAATTTACTGTATGATGTGTATTTGCGAGTATATGGTGAGAGGATTCGCTGATAATGCTGTTGAAAACTTCCAGTTTAGCTGACCGTTGCTAAGAAGGACAGACCGTTGCTAGGCATTAGGCGCCAATCACAGTTCGGCAGGATGTGTCTGAACCATATTGATGCCCACAGACAAGTATTGTTAACGGGGTGATATTTGTTTAAGGTGGAAAACAAGGATGTGGCAAACAGAGGAATTGAATTGTCAAAGATTGTTTTTTTTTTTCATGTACACTGTAACTGTTGAGCAGACTCTTGAGCACTTTTACTACCAGTTAAAGTAAACTTTTTTTTTTTTTTTTTACAATAACATTGTTTCGTCCTACATTTCTTCCTTTTGTGTGTGTTTGTGTCTGCAGTGGGTCTGGATGCAGCCGGTAAAACCACTCTGCTGTATAAACTGAAGCTGGCTGAGGTGGTCACCACCATCCCAACTATCGGTTAGTCTTCAGTATTATCTGCTGATGTGAACATACAAACGAATATTTTTTAAAAACCCTCAAACATTAAAAATGAACTTCTCTGTGTTCAAATATTTTTAGGGTTCAATGTGGAGACAGTGGAGTACAAGAACATCAGTTTCACAGTTTGGGATGTTGGCGGTCAGACAATCATCAGACCTCTGTGGAGACATTATTTTGTGAACACTCAGGTAAGATGATCATTTCTACTATCACTAATGTCACTGTTATAAAAGCAGTTTATATGAGCCAGTAAGGAGACGTTTGCTGTGATTTCTGTCTGTTTTTCTTCAGGGTTTGATATTTGTAGTCGACAGCAATGACCCAGAGAGGATGAAAGAAGCTGCTGATGAGCTGCACAAGATGGTACACGCAATATTTCTTACACAGATGTTTATTATGGAGAGGAAATCCATGTTGATGCGTTTTTATGGTTTACAAAAATAAACAAAACAGAGAAGTTACAAACTGGATCTTTCACCTATCAACAGAGGGACCTAGTAATTACAAATGTTGAATCAGATTGTTTTTTGTCGAAATTTAAATATTAGGAAGTATTTTATGTTTAAGGAAGCACATCACATTATTTTTTTAAATGAACACCTGGTTTCAATGATAATTTAAGCATTTTTCGTTTGTTTGTTTGTTTGTTTTTCTGCCTCACAGTTGGAGGAGGATGAGCTGAGGGGCGTGGCCGTACTAGTCCTTGCAAACAAACAGGATTTACCAAGAGCCATGTCAGTCAGTGACATCACAGAGGCTCTGAGCCTATCAGCAGTCTCACAGCCGGTTAGTGTCCAAGTCAAAAACCCATCCCGAATCCTTAGTTTGTTTTGATTCATGATTGTTGCTGAGTTTATGTTATTTTCATTGTTTGAACTGCAGCTAGTGTCTGTCTCCGTCCCTCTGTGTGTCTGCAGTGGTTCGTCCAGGCCTCCTGTGCCGTCAGCGGAGCAGGTCTGGCTGAGGGTCTGGATTGGCTTTCCAACCAGATCCAGAAACAGGGATGAGACCCTCTTGTGTTTTGCATTAATCTGTGTACTGCTGAGTCTTCAAACACATCAGGCGATCTATTATGAGCCTTCAATCCTGGAGGAACATGAAGGACAGACTCCTGACTCAATGAGCAGAATAGGAACAGAGGGACTTTGTTTTTATTGAACAGGATGAAAACACAGGAGTCCTACCTCTGATCAGCCATATAACACAGGAAATTTAAAGTAAACAGCCACACCTATAACTTTAAGATTGGCTGCTCTTGGGTGTTAAAAAACATGTAAAAATCCCATAATCCTGAGAATAACTCACACTATTGCCTTATAATAATTGTCTTTGTTGCACTGAAGAAAATTATTGCACTAAAATAAACATAATTAATACACTAGAATAAATTGAATGTAGATATAAATAAAATTACTGCACTGGGTTCTGTACAGTAAAATCATATTGCATGTGGGAGTTCATGCTGTGTTTAAGGCTCACAGAAAACTCTGTAGGTCAGAGTTTCTCTCTTAAAATCACTTTGAAGTTCATAGTTAGAGCTGTAGATTCAGGGACTTATTAAATATAACCTTTGTTGACAGTTGTTCTGCAGTGAAGTTATAACGGTTAAGGATTGAGTGTAAACCCTCCGAATGAATCTGCCTCTTTTCAGCTGAATTTATTCCTGTTGAGACAAATGTGTGCATGTTTTCCCAAATATCAAGATAATATCAATGCAATCAGACAGTCAGACCACGGTGTGACTGTGTTTTGGGTAATTACACTATTATAATTATCACTTTTATATTTAAATCACTGTACAGCAGAAATTTAATGATTTCACACCTTTGTGTAATGGAGACTTAAAATTCCCTCTTTATTGTCATGTATTTTTCTCTCTTTTTATGCTGCCTCTATGAAACACTTTGTAGCTCCACTTTGAAGGATTACTCAGAAATTAAAGGTTGTTGTTGTGAGTTTAAGTACTCATCTACTCACACGTTTACAGTGTGTTTACAGTTGCTGTCGTTTGTTTGTGTGTTTCATGTTTTTTCTGCACCTCTATGTTTTGCAGATGAGCTCAGTTATTGAACGCAAATGTATTTTTGTATTTTTGAAATGATTTGTTTTATTTATTATACAATAAAGTTATCATGGTGGCCACTCAGCGTTTACATTATTTATTTTACTATCTCTGACTTGAAGAGGTGTGTTTGATGTGTACACATAAGCAGACTGACTCAGGCGGGTGGAGTTAGTGCTTTATTTATCACCGAAAAGCCTTTTTTTCATTATTCATGACACATGATACAATTATCACTGGAACATATTTACAGATAAACATCGTTGATGCTCGTCTTTTTTTTTTTTTCTGCGTCAGTAAAGTGCAGCTCCATCAACACGAATCCTCCAGCATGAACACATCCTCCCAAAGTGACCCCCAAATAAAATCAGTAACTGTGTTTCATGGAGAAACTTCTTAAAAGCCCAAAGAGAAGAGGTTTGACTGCTCGAACTTCACCACCCCCTCTGTTAACGATGAGTTTCATTCAGATATTTTCTACAGATAATCAGATGGTGAATCAGTCTGAATAAAAGCAGACTTAGGGAAAAAAGAAAAAACAGAATAGGCCCCAAACAACAAATAACAGATCAATACTGAGAGACTGGGAGAAATTTAAGATGTCTTCATGACCATCTGGTCAAAAATATAGAGAGTTAACAAAGAAGAAAAAAGGGCTAAATCAGGGTCTGAAATGATCCGGTCTTTGTCTCTTAATCCAAACCTGGTTTTTAGATCTAAAGTTATAAACTGGATTGAAAGCAAATGATGGACCACCTGATCCTACTGGATCAACCTTAATAGGGCCATATACGACATACTCTGTGTACCACATGGGGGCGCCCAAATCCAAAACCGATTTCTAGACCTGATCCTATTAGATCGCCGTGATCTGGTCAGATTACTTTGAATCAGGCTCAGATTATATCAGTGATTTCTGTTGTCAGTGTTTCCTGGTCTAAGTCACCCAGGACAGGAAATAGCAGGACCTAGATTCTGGGCTCTGCGTCACAGATGTACCATGAAACGCTCAGCTGCTGCTCGTCTTTTTCTGTAATCGCCTGAAATAACACGGAACTTCAGGAAACAGTAAGTTCAGAAGATGTCGAGCAACCTTTTCACTGCTCTAAGGTTAGTAGGGTTGAAATAATCTCAAGTTTTCTCATTTTGGGTCAACCTTTGACCCCACAGGAACAGAATTTGGTTACAGATACTCAGCTCGTTGTATTAATAAGTTTTAAAACATCAGATCTGCGGTCTGGGGGGTCAGTATTTGAAGTGCAGATTAGTCTTAGTAGTGTGTCTGCATAAAGTGAAGCAAAATTTAATACAAACTTCTAGTGAGGAGAGAAAGAGAGAAAAGGTCCGTACCGCTGCAGAAATGGTCAGCTGAAGAACACATCACACAGGAAGAGACCTTCAAAATAAAACTCCCTACCTCTCTCTTTTTGCGTTTCTAATATTTAACCCACGACTCTGCAGGGTCCTGCTTCCTTCTGGGACCTCGTCGTGGCCTCTTCTCCTTCAGTGTTTTCTCCCAAGTCTCCATCATGTCCTGCTTTATTTTTCCACGTCTTGTTGAATTCTTTGTCATTGTTGTTAGCTCTTTTTATATAAAATAAACATAAAAAACAGAAACTTACAGGTTAATGTATACATGTGGAGCCGGTATAAAAAGCAGCGTCTGTTATCAGACGTTTCCACGCTCGCTGCCCTCCTCTTCTTATAGCGAGGGCGCGTTTAGTTCACCCTCCATGTTCAGAGTGATGAGCTCCACCACTAACTTCAGAGTCCAGCAGTGAGGGCGCACATGTTTTTTATTCCCAGGTGTCCCTGACGGTAGGATGGGTGGGCAGGCGGGCGGTGTTCCCCTCCTCTAACTCCTGAGCTGTTCCTCTCACAGCAGCAGCCGGGATCTGCCTGGGCGGTGAAACATGTGTCCTCCTCGCTTTGTTAGGCTTCAGACTCACCCTTCTTTTTACCCTCCTCCCCACCGGCATCGCTGTCCTCCGATTGGCTGTTGCTTAGCACAAGGAACTGTCCGTCGGTGGCAGGTGGGTTGGCGGTACGACTCGAGGCGGCGATCAAACGGCTCTGCTCCTCCAGATCCTGAAAGGAGAAGAAAAATGATACTGAACTCAGATAAAAACACTCGATAGGATTTCAGAGTCACAGCCCACTCAAGACGGGACTGTTACTCCTCATCTGCTGAGTCAAACGCTCAGAGGTGTAAAGGTGTTGCAGCTGAATCTGGATGTAGTTCCAGACATGTAACAGCATCAACACTCAACCAGGAGGAATACAACCTGCCTCTCATGTTAAGTTTCCCGCATTTAAATAAAGCTGCCAAAGTACCGCCTGGGTATATACACACCCATTTATGATCTATGAATGAATCGAATGACAGCTCTCTGCACACCTACACAGTTGAATTTTTAATCTGTAAGTGATAAGAGAGAGATGTGTGATGAAGTCTTGTTAAATAGTTGGGCAACATCACAACATCACTATCTGTATTTTTTGCAGATTTTAAAACAATTTCCTGACGTGAAGAAAAAAACAATCAGAGGTAAGAGGTGATGTGTCAGAGGAGTCAGGACCTCTCTTTGTTGTACAGACAACTGGCATCATTAAACATGATTTAACATTTTTACCACAGCCGAGTTTGTGAAAGGACACCCTGTTTAACAATATTTCAAATAATGTCTGAAGATGTCCGAATTTTGAAGCGCTTTAGTCCTGCTGCTGTTTTTATTTCCAAAACTCCAATAAACAAGAGACACTGAGGAGTTTGGCTTCTCCAAACTTGGTGAAAAAGTTTACACTGATAAAAATCCACAGAAAACACACTAAAGTTCAAAGCCTCGGTATCTGGGGTGAATTTTTGCAGTCCAGAAATAAAATCAAGTTGGACATAAGACAAACTTCTGCTTCTCCTGTCCTTTTGTTTGTGATAAAGCAGATCATCTAGTGAGGTGGTCTCTTTTGTGACTCTAAAAACTAAAGGGTGTCGTCTTTTCAGGCCTCTGGTTCTGACTGCGGGTGAAGAGGTTGTGTTCTTTCTCACCTTCTCGATCTGTCTCTGTTTGCTGAGCTCTTCCTGCTGTTTCTCTTTGGCTTTGTCCTGCTCCTTCCTCTTCTCTGATGCCTTACGATCCTACGCACAGAAGCAAAGAGGAGAAAAGTTAAGCTCCACAACACCCGGGAGAGAGCGGGAGAGTTTGCGTCACTATGGAGCGACGAGCCGGTCTCACCATCTCCGAGTGGAAGGCGATCTGTTTAGCCAGGCCGATGCTGTCGCAGATCTGAAAGACGTGCAGAAGAGGAACAGTCAGAGAGAGCAGAGAGGAGGAGGAGGAGGAGGACGAGGAGGAGGAGGGAAACGAGACAAACAGGTAAACACATCCCACCTTTTCTCCGTCGTCGTTGGACTCAAAGATGTAGCAGACCGCCCGGCTGTCCCCGCGCCCGCCTGTCTGCTGCAGGACGAAACCAAACAGCCTCTTGTTGTCCTGATGAGACGAGCACTGGATGACGGTGGAGAGAGGGAACTGCAGGAGGAGAGAGAGGATGAACACCGCAAACACGACTGAGAATAAAACTCTCTGACCAGACACACTGAGGAGGTCTTACCCTGAGACGAGTGACCTGGGTCTGTGGATCGATGAGCCTGAAAACAACACAAAGACGGAGTCAGTCGCACCAGAGTCTGTCACACACACACACACACGCACACACACACACACACACACACACACTCTATATAATTCATACTTGAGGCAGTCGCAGGTGACCAGCAGGTGTGATTCGGTCATTCTGAAGATGTTGTGGATGGCTCGAGCTGCCAGGATCTGCCTCATGGTCTCAGAGATGACGTCACCTGACTCGGTGGTCTTCACCTCCATGGAGCCCAGGAAGCGAACGATGAAAAGCTGGTGGAGGATCGAGTCTGAACCGCAGACACCACAGAGAAATAATCACTCATCACACAGATTCTTAGTCCACCACCATTTACAAAACTCTCACATCCTCCGAAGGGGGGGACCGCTATCCTGGTTTATTGGGACTGTTGAAGAAGATTCAATCGTCTCTGGCTGTTCAGGAGAATAGCAACAACTCACTGCCTACAGTACTTCTTTCCATCCTTTAGTCCACTGGGGGGCGGTAGTGGTCAGAGTGCTACTACTAAACTTTGAAAAGAAACCTCAAGAAATATTTTGCTCGTCTTCTCGCCGTCGTCTTCTGTGCCAAGATTGTAAAACACCGGTGCATCATCATTATCGGTCCCCGGCAGCTCACTTCCATTGTGGCTTTTTTTATTTGCATCCTTTTATTTTCACAGTAAGTAACTTTTTTTTTTCTATCGCCACTTTTTTTTGCGTCGTTAACTTCTGTTGTGGCTTTTTTATCTGTACTGTTTCTTTTTTTATTTGCAGCGGGCTCCGGTTTCTTTCTGCATCTCTTCTTCTTTTTTATTTTTCATTTATTCATTTTTTATTTGCAGCAGTGGCGGTTCTCGGCCACCGTAAAAAACAAAACCAGAAACAAAGACCGTACCTTCACTGTCCTCTGATGTGCCGTCTCCTGACTCTCCAAAGGGATTACTTCTTCTTTGAACACACACAGACACACACACACACACACACACACACACACACAGAAGAGTAAATATCAAATTATTAAAACACAGCCGACAAAAAACTAAAAACAGTAAATACACAACACATAAAGTTTCCACCGTGTAAGTGAAGACTAAGACACTCCTGCTAAAATCAACTGCTTAAAACTAGATCATCTAAAAATCTAAAAACAATTCAGACACACACTCACACACACACACACACTCACACACACTCACACACACACACACACACACACACACACACACACACACACACACACACACACACAATTGTTGGATGCAGATAAATGTTCAGATCTTCATCAGAGACCTACCTCCCGGACTGAGCTGCCGTCTTGCTCTGCGCCGAGTTCTCCTCACTGACGGGGGAAATGATGTCAAACTGGATGGGTGTTTCCGGGGCAACTAGAGCATCCAATGAGAGCACAGAGAGGGCAGGAGACGGCTCTGAGCCCACAGAGCTGATGCTGCCCGCTCGACCCACTCGCCCTTTACTGGATCAGAGAGACAGAGAAAGAGAGAGAGATGGTCTGAATAAATCCACCAAAATCCCCACCCCTCTCTCTCTCTCTAACAGCTGATTGGTCCTGAGGTTTTCCAGCACACCTTCACAGGGATGCTGTAGCTGCTGTGTGTGAAGTTTGTTCTGTGTGTTAAGATGTTTTTTTTAACAAACACACACCTGCTGGGTCTCATGCTCTCGTGTCTCTGCTGAAAGGACGGTGAGGGTGTCACGGCTTCAAGAGCCGATTGGTTGACTCTGGCGGCCAGCTCCTGCCAAAAGAAAACCGCAACATCAGCATCAGTGTGCTCAGGGAGAGACTGCGTGAAAAGCACCACAGAAGAAGACGAGGAGACTGTGCACATGAGAGTTTTTGATGGTAAAATCTCGAGGAAGGGAATGAAATGATGAGAAGAGATTGGCCAGTTTCAGTCTGCTAAAAACTCCTTACTGTGTCTTTAATTTGTGGGTTTGTAAACAGTAAATGTTTTGCCTTCTCGAGTACATCTGCATTTATGTTTCTTCCCTTATGACTCAGACCAGGGCTGTAACATCCAAATAGGACTATAACACACCTCTGCGTTCTCGCTCAGGTAGATCCTCTTGGAGATGTTGTTGATGGTGGCGATCCACTGAGGGAGGAAGAGCAGAGAGGCAGGGTGAGGACACAGAGCAGAGGGGTGTACTGCAGAGCAAGATCAGAGGGTATGTCGGGGTCACTGGAGTTTTCTGTGACACAAAGCTGGCTCTAGACTCAGTTCCAGGACTCCTCTCTCTGAAACCATCTTCACAGGTAGCTCATAACCAGCTGTGTGAGAGCAGTTATCTCCAGCTGGGGCTTTTGACTTTGTTCAGCCTGAATGTGTCGAGTTCTCTTTGTGGTTTTTAAACTCTGACCATGACAGAAAAACGTTTTACCTCCTCGCAGTCCTTCCTGCTCTCAGCCTGCAGCGTCACCACTCTGAGAAGACAAAGTATGAGAACATAAATGAACCTCCGCACTAAAATAATCCACCGGAGCAGCGTTCAGACGGGTGCGTGTCCCTCTTACTTCTTTCCATCGAAGGACGTGACCTGGAAGCAGAAGCGGCGGTCGTCACTGTCAACTGCCATGACGGAACAGTTGTCGAGGTCTGTGACCAGCCCGCCCGCCACCTCGCCTCGGCCCTGCTGCATCAGGTTACCGCCCTGCGTGAAGAAGTACTGCCGCTCCCAGGACGATGACACCAGCCCCGTCTTACTGTGACACACAGGAGAGCTACTTTAACTCTTCGGACAACGAGACGACACAAACAAAGTCCTGAAACCCGACGGCTGCCGAAACAGGAAACACACAGGATCTCAGAAATGTACTTGACATGTGTTCGTCTTACTTGCGGATGTACAGGTAGCCCTGTTTCTGGGTCAGATTGCGGCACACAGGTGAGTGGGCGGGGTCAGGGTCACACGGTGCATACAGCGGGTCACATGATCTCTCCATATCCTGGATGGTCTGCTGCATCTGCCCGATCTCCTCCTCCATCTCCCGACGCACACTGAAACCCAATGACACGCAGTTTTTTTTGGTGTTACATTGTCGCAGATTTCTTCTGTTTGAATTTTTAAAAAAGTGAAGCGTAGAGGACCTTTAAAGTAAACAAACAGGAAAATAAACGAAGATTTAAAAAAAATAAAACAGTTCTCACTTTTGGACACTGGTCCCTATAGTTCCCAGAAATTCCTCCCACTGCTGGGTGAGATTTTCTGAACCCAGCTTGAAGAAACTGATCTGCATGAAACAAACACAGAAAAGACAAGAGGTCTGGTTCATGAGGAGCTCTGAGACAAAAGCTAACGAGAGAGTTTTAGTCCCCATCAGTCCTGATGATGAAGAGCTTTTTCTCTGCTTTATGCCCGTCCAACTGTCTGATTCGAGCCTCAGCGGTTACTGTCTTGGTTTGCTTTGTTTTGGATACTGTCGTGCTGTCATCCATGCTTTAAATATTTTTATGTGTGTGTGTGTGTGTGTGTGCGTGTGTGTGTACCTGGGCCTGCATGTATCCCAGCAGCGGCTCCAGCAGAGCCGTCTTCTTCTTGTACTGCAGCGTGTTGAGCGAGCAGAAGTAGTGCATCATGGTCTGGTGCTGCTTCTTACGGGAGGTGTAGACGTCCTCCACAGCCTCTGCCCGCAGCTACAACACAGAGCACTTAGCCTCAGGGTAACGGTGCACACTGAAGTAATACAGCTTAGACAGGATAATCCTATCAAGATAATGCAGTCAGAGAGGATCGATATGGAGCATAAAATCTAGTGATTAGCAGATTATTCGACACATTTTCTCTAAAAACTCAACCAGTGAAACCGTGTTCAAGTTTCACTTTAACTACAAACTTAAAAGAAACATATATTAGAGGTTTAAAGTAAAAATGAGGTTATACAGCGTGTACGCAGAGGTTGTTACCTTGTCGTTGTCTCTCTTCTTGGAGAGGCGGCTGTATCTGTTAATGGCTGTATCATGATCTGCAGACACAAACCAGAAGACACAGACTGAATACTTTGACACTCTCCATGAAAAACTGTGAAATTTCCCTTTAATAGAGGCTAAACCTTAACAAATGTGAGTCACGAGGGGAAGCGGATACTTATATGCAGACGTTCTGCTGACTGTTTTCATAGATGTGAGTTTAAAGTGTCTAAAGGAAGACTTCTCACATCTCTGTGACAAACTCCAGAAAAAAAAGTTTTTCTCTGACCAGGTGAAATTATTTTGCACTGTTCAGCTCTCACCGTTCCTCCTCCAGAAATAAACATTTACGTCCTCATGAGCAAATTTTAATCACTTTTGAACATTTTTCTCCCTTTTACACAGACTTAGAATACCGGATCAGACCTCTGTACACTTCGATGTGTTACATGAATCTGCATCGAGGTCAGATGGTTTAAATTAAGACTTGGCTAGAGTTTTTTGACTGTACATCATGTCTTTAATCACATCAGATGAACACCTTAAAATTAAATTCTGTCTCTGAAATTCTCTAAAGTAAATCCCTGGAAAAATCAAGCTTTAAGGTGCTGTTAATCTTTTGTTTTATAGAAGACTTTGACACCAAATAGATGATTGATCAACTATCAGTTCAAAACTGATTGGATAAGGCAAAGAAAGATGACTGTTTAATACATCCACGGTGACCTATTTTTGGTGGCTGATGTCAATAAAGATTAAAAAAGGTGAGTCAGAAGCAGAGACGGTGACAGGGTGGGTTAGGGTTTAGGACTGAGGACCTGGATCATGACTTCTTGTTCTGGAAATGTTACTCCTCCTCAAAAGGCGACTGAGCAGTTAAATAAGAAGAAAACAAAAACAACCAGGACACTAAGAAATACTAACAACTGTCAGGGAGCAAAAACTGAGAAGTTAGAGGGAAAAGAAGCGCTAAAAGGAGGAAAGGTGCAGACTGGAAACATCAAATAAAAACTCAAATGTGATATTTCAGTTATGAGATATCAAACACATATGTATACAGAACTGTTTTACAGCAGACTTATATTAGTTAAATGAATGATCATAATAAACAGAGAGATTAAAGCACACAGGAACAGCTGAACTACAGGAAATAAATCAGAGGCAGTCAAGACTTACCATCACTGGCTATTTGAAAGACTTCCTTCAGAGTGAGGATCTCTGGAAAGAAGAAGATGTTTTATTAAACGACCTATTTAGAATTGATCCAACCTTCATTTTTCAGTAACAAATCCAAAACATATTTACTGCCAAACCACTAAAACAAAACTCTTCACGTCGCAGCAGCAGCTTGAAATCTGCTTTTAGACTTCTGCAGTCCAGCTGTAAACAACGGCAGCTCATGAACAAACAGTCCCGGCTGTACGTCCCTTATCCCTGACTGCTGGAAACACTGGCAGCCTGAAAACTTGGCGGTTACCCACAGAAGCTTTTCCATCATCGCAGGCCCGGTTTGTCAGAAATAAATTTATCCGATTAAAGCGAATGGGTTGACTCTTAAAAGCTGTTTGAAAGTGGATTAGATCAGGTGAACAAACCCTGTTTTATTTTGGATAAACCCTCTAGTTTGTGTTGTTCAAAAATCTGAGGATTAAGGAAAAATAATCCTACTCCCAGCAGAAAACTGGACTCAGGCTGGATTAAACTTTGAAATTGGCCGAAACAATGAAACATTTATAACAACATCAACACTGCAGTCTTCTCTGAATGCTGAGACATGGTGGATAAAGAAGGAGTAGACTCCATTAGTCAGGCAAAGTCTCCACACACGAACTCCAGAGCTGAGCTTTGACAGCAGCAGCTTCAGCTCATCTACAGTCTGAGATTTGTCACCAACAGGAACTATGAACCGCCTGTAATCTGGTGTTTGTGCTTATGTTTGTGTTCATTACCCTTCAGGTCTCTCTCTTTAAACTGAGTGACGGGAAACATCATGGCGTCAGCGAGCTGGGTGGACAGGACGGCATGACAGGAGCTGAGCTGGAAACAGACAGAAAAAACCGACAAAGACCGAGTTAGAGGAAAATCCAAACAGCTGAAAAACCACAGAGTGTCTGGACTGGAGGAGACAGACAAAACACACTCCTGAATATTTCTACAGGTTTTCAGGAGCTCTATGAAATTCTCCAGAGTTGCTCGTTCAAACAAAGTATGCTGTTTTCTTTGTTGCTGCTTTAATCTCATCCTCAGATTCCTTCACTGTCATTTGAATGTGATTTGATGTCGTGTGTAAAAACATACAGAAAGGTAATCAAGTTTTAAACCAACTGTGATGTGTTTCTCTCACCTCATCAATGACTTTAGCAAACTGCTGCAGGGTTGAGCTCATCACTTCATCGTCGCCCCCCAGAGGAAAACGCTGCAGGGAGCAGACGTAAAATAATCAGATTAATCAGGTTTAAGGCACAAATTTAACCAGTAAGATCTCGGCTTTTTCAAGATTATTTGTCTTAGAACTTAAGTTCAAAAACTGACCCAAACTCTGTCTCTTAAAAATTTTAAGTCTTGTGTAAATGGCACTTTCAGAAAAAAATGGAAAATGTTGTAGAGTACAGGCCAAGTTTCCACAGCTGGTTTGCAGTTGGATGACGTAGTTTGCTCTTCCTACCTGTTTGTCGTACTCTTTCAGCAGTCTGGAGGTCAGGTGTGTCGCAGCACTCAGCTCGTTCTGAGAAAGAAAAAGTACGACGGCTCTGAGTCCAACTTTTCAACCAGCAGACACTCAGAAATGTTCATGTTTGTTCTGCCTCTACATGCAAAGCCGGGGGGGGGTCCACCTGTCAATCACAATGTGTGTGTGGGTGTGTGTGTGTGTGTGTGTACCTGTGCATCATAAATCCTGTGCATGGCCTGATAGAGCTGTGTGCAGTAATTGGAGATGGCTGCAGTGTCCTCCTCAAACACTCCCAGAAGAGAGCGAGTCTGCAAGCAGAACATCGAGGAAAATTCAGCAAGTCCATCAACCTCAAAAGATCACGGTCCTCCTGAATCAATCCTCATGTAACTGGCCAAACCCATACGTATTCTTCATGCTTACATACTGGTCCTGTTAGGATGAGGCTCTTCTGCAGGTTATTCTTTCTGTGTGATTGTGGGTCGATCAGATATTGTGCAGGTGAGTGAAAAAACCTGTTGAGTTTTTGGTGCATTCTTCAATGTTTGGCAGCTGATCTCGTCCTCTTGATTTACAATGGAAAGAAAGGCACAAGTTCTGCAGCTTTGCAGATACATCAGCCGGTTCAACCTGATGTTGTCATAGCAGAGTTGTTTTATGTTTTCAATATGAGCTTCGATATTTCCCCAAAGGCGTGTAAAGAAGAAAACGGTGCGTAAAACCCTGTGATCAAACACTTAGAGTAGCAGAGCATGCACTAACTCCATTACTAGAAAACTCTCAGCACTGTCTGCAGCAGTCTGCTAAATATCACAGCTGAGCAGATGCGGGTCTACACTAAAACTGGCTTCAAGAGAGCATAACTGAAAACTAAAGACCCCAAACTGATACCACTTATTGTTTTTGAGGGGGAAATTACTGACAAGGCGGCAGTTTTAACAGCTATTTTTATGTAGATGGACCCTGTGTTACCCCGACAGGCTGTATATACTATGGACCACTTGGTTCCGCCTACCGCCTGTATATGGATTTGAAGCCAAAAAGCTCTCGGTATTTCCGGGATTTTTCTTCATTTCCTGAAACCAGCGCTGTGCAGTAGCGATGCGTGCAGACGCTGAGAGTCGCTGTGATGATGCTCGGCTCAAACAGCGTATCCCCCGGGAGAGCTACGCAATCCTTGTACGCCAATAGGCATAGAAAACATGAACCCCCTAATAACTTTTAAAAATGGAGCTGTACAGAAAAAAAGAGGACTTGAGCACAAATCAGTCTTACAGTAACTACATGTCAACATCACAAGCAGGGGGGAGAAAAATTTATGTTCTGTGTAATAAATTTATAAAGTTTGTCCACAGCTCCATAAGCTTTGCTGGCGGAGGCGGGATTTATGATTTATGAGCTATACTGCAGCCCGTCACCAGAGGGTGCTGTTCTCGGAGTGGCTACACCCCAGCAAGGAGGGTGACTCTGTCCATTCTTTATACTCTAGGCGTGGGGAACAATTATATCTGGCCCACAAGATCATATCATATTTAAATTATTATTGGCCCACCAGTATAAGGTCTGCAGATTTCCTCCAGTATAATAATGTAAACTTTAGCACCATTATTTAAAATGTCCTTAGTAAGCCACGAAAATCTGTGAAATTAAAGAGTAAGGAAGATTTGATTAACAGTCAAGAATGTGGGGAAAAAATATTTGGTGTTTTATTTCATGTTTTTAATTTTGCATCTCAAGATTACAAGCCAAACATGATTGGATATTTTATTTCATGCTTTGATTTGTTTAACTCAGTATTTTGACTTGTGTCATTTTTATACTTTAGATTCCAATTTTAAAATTTAAGTCATATTTTGACCTTTTGAACCTGATTTCAACGTTCTGCTCATGTGTTTGCTCTTTAAATGTATTATTTTTCTATTTTTAATATTATGCTCTGATCTGTTGAACTAATAAATAATATCATTTTAAAAAATGAAAAATGTTCTATCTTTTTATCATATTTGAATTTCCAAATGATTTATAATCATTGCTATTTTTTGTTACATATTTTTTGAAAAGGAGGTTGACAGATTTGGTGAAATGTTGACCCTGTTTGGCCCTCAGGTTAGACCTAAATCCAGATTATGGCCCTTGCTGTGGTTGAGTTTGACACCCCTCCCTGCTTTATACAGTCTATGGTTACCCCCAGTAAGTAAGCTGCTGTCTTTAAAAAAATAATTCTCAGAGAATATTTGTTATTTTTATAGATTACCAAGCAGTTTTTGTGCAGCTAATCTTCTGCTTCGCTGTGATTCTGCAGACAGGACTGAGAGTTTGAGTGTACTCTGCAGGACAAACCACAAGGCGTTGTGTTCTTGTTTAACAGTTAAATTAAGGTTGTTTTTGTGTTTTTAGGGATCTCGCATCTCATAATATCTGAGTCATCATCATCATCTGACATTGACTCAGAACTTTCAGGAACCAGAGGGAAATCAAACAGAGTGAATTTGGTCCAAAATTGGCATAAGACTGGAGTGATGTGTCATCAGCACAGAGGACGGACGATTGGTGGTGCTAGTTTTGGCGAGTTGGACAGAGAAAATCCTCAAATTTGATTCAAATCTGATCAGGGCCACGCCCCGTTCAGTGACGCCACAGCAGGTGTTTCTCTGGTGGGTCTGCAGCAGAGATCAGCATCAGTGTTTGGGGGGGGGGGGTTGAAGCAGCTGCAGCTTTTGGCTCCGTGTGACTGTCACGTCTAACAATAGCGTAAATAAGGAGGACCAAAAGATTAACAGATATCACGGAAAGGAGGGAGAGGAAGTCCAGCTCTGGTGCTAAGGAAGTACCCGGCTAACCATGAATGTGCCCGTGTCATTTATGGGCAAACCCTGATCTGAATGTCTGACACTATGACCTGGCCCCTTGACAGAAAGTCCCACCAGATGTTCGAGCACAGCTGGTGAATCCAGCTCATGCCCTCTGTTAGACAGCTTTGGTTAGCCGGGCCGTTAGCAGTTAGCATACTTCTTGAACCTGGCACCTCTTTGCTGGTTGTTGGGCTCTGAGCCTACAAAGACACTTAGCCTAGCTTTACAAGATGCTAGCGTTAGCATCCTGGCTTACGTTTCCAGGAAAGTGGGCTGTTACCTGCGGGCTGTCCTCCAGCGTCTCCTCTATCGGCAGCTTCTCTATCCCGGGCATCGCTGCTGCTGCTGGCGCGTTGCTAATCAGCGCAGATTCACAGACAAATCGCTCCACAAATCGGTCCGACAACTCCCACTCAAGATATCTTGGCTACACGGATTCACAACACCCCAAAACAGCTCCTCCTGGTTCCGCTGTTCCCACCCCCTAAGCGGATTTTGATTGGATGAAAACAACTTCCATGATTTTGATTGGTTTCTTGTTTAAAGGGAAACGGGGCCATCTTGGCTCTGACCCGGATCGCCCTTTCCCTGCAGTCGTGTACAAATCAGAGCCAGAATGGCAGCCAAGCCGTGGGCTAAAACAGCAGTATGAGGCTCGATTGATCATTGATTGATAAATCTGAAGCTGCCTGTCAGCAAACCCTTACTATACACTCCTGAGCAAAATCTTAAGACCAGTTAAAAATGCAAGAATTTACATTTAGCACTGCTGGACCTCAAGACGGTTCTTAGTAGAGCTTCAAAATGCAAAAAGAGGAAATGGGAACAAGACACCAAAAGTTTTGAGCAGGCAGTTTATTGAAAACAACAATTTGACTAAAACAGGCTGTTCATCAGCTGATCAAAAGTTTAAGACCACAGACTTTAAAAGCCCAAATCTGTGCAAAAATGTGGATTCAATGTCATTTCTTATTAAGCAGTCTCTTGATGGCAAAGGCAAAAAAGCTCACTGGCTTTGAACGTGGTAGGATTGTTGAGCTGCATAAACAAGGCCTCTCACAACATGCCATCGCTGCTGAGGTTGGATGCAGAAAGACAGTCATTTTTCATTTCTTAAAAGATCCAGATGGTTATGGAACAAACAAATCAAGTGGTAGACCCCAAAAAATCTCAACAGCGCTGAGCCGGAGGATCCAAATGTGTGTCAGTCAAGACGTGGTGCGATCCTCGTCCCAAATTAAGGCCATTACAGGTGCTGTCAGCAAACCCTTACTATACAGTATATGGGTAAACTAATGACTCTAATTCAAGTATTAGGCTACTTAAAAAAAAATCAAAACAGTGTTTCTGTAAATAATGATTTAGAAATTAGCTGTTTGAGAATACAAAAAACATCAAATTCATTAAAAAATAAAGATTTAAAAACTAAACACAAAAAACAAGTCGAGCAGGAGGAACAGGACAAGTGTGGAGATTTTGTTGGTCAGTTGGGTGAAGTGTTCAAGTCATAATCGTAGTTTGGGGGGTATTCAGAGTTTATTGAATCTCCTTCAAAATACTTCATTTGTGCTTCTTAATCAAAGAACAAAGGTTTCATCCTGAAGCTCTTGTGAGTTCTACAGGAAATCATACTGTGCATCCTAGTATTGTAAGACTTCACTCAGCCCATAATTGCCATTCTTTACACTTGCTCACAGTCAGCAGACTGACCGGCATGTTTGGATAAAAGTGAAACGTGTTGTATACTGACCAAAACAGATCAGATATTATTTATTTACCTTGGACAGCAGCATGGAGATGAAACTTTGGTGGTTAATCCAGCAGAGGACGGCCTCTAACACTGTGTCTTCACGTTTCACACTGAGGTGATCGTTCTCGATGATAACTGCCAGCTGCTCCACAGTGAGCTCTTGGAAGTCCTGTGAGACCAAAGTTATCTCCTCAAAATGTTGCAGAATGTAGAGGAAGACCTTGATCTTGAGCTCAGGGCAGTTGTATAAATCCACCAGTTTCCAGATTTTGATGCAGTTGGTCAGAGACAGGCTGTCCTCCAGGAAGGAGCAGCATTTCTGAACTATCCCTGGAATCAAAAACTGGTCTGCAGCTTCCAAAGCTTCCATCACGTTATCAGCAGTCAGGGTAACAGAGTTGGTGTAGGCATAATTAATGATGAGGGACATCATCTCTGGTGACACTCCAGGGATTGTGTATACTAGTTTATCCAAGGTCACCCAGGCACCAGTGAAGAGAGTGCTGTGGGATCAGGATTGAAGAGATACCCGGTTATTAAGTGTCAGAGTCCAGATTCATAAGGATAAAATACTCCCAACATTGCCAAAAAGATTGGATGCTGTGTAAAAGTTCGATAAAAACAGATGTTGTTGTTTTTAAAGCATCTAAACTCTTAATTTAATTAAAAACAGTGCAAAGATAACATATAATGTGTTGTGCCCCTGCAAAGAAACTAGTTTTGTCCAAATGACTGGGGTGACATGAATTATGAGGTACTTGAGTTAAAATGATTCATACATTTTTGGTTTAAGATGCACTTTTTACCTTCTGATCATTTTGAGGAGTTTGCACCTGTCTACCAGCTGTTGTCAGAGATAACTTACTGAAAGTACGAGCTGCAACCACACAGGATGATCTTGTGGGCTTTAAACTCCACATCTCCCGTCTTGATCACAACATCACACAGTTTCTCCTCCTTCAGCTGGTCATTTAAGTTTGCACAGATCATGTCATGAATCCTTTCCTCAATCTCAGCTTGGTTGGAGTAAGCTATCGCCAACATTTCTGCATTTTCACTCATTTGTTTCGCGCAGTAATCAACGTTTGTCACTTTCCTATGAGGGTGTGTAAAATGTTGGAGTGGTATTGTCCTCAGACTGTTGTAAAGTGACTGAATTCTCGCTCTTTTGGAAACTTTGTCATCCATTCCAGAATATTTCATTGTTACCTCACAGAATGTGGAAATGAAGCAGCTGTGTCACAATTACAATGAATTTATTTTCAAAATTAAACAACTCAACCTACACATAGATCACAAGCTGCCTTATCTTGTTATTTTCACCAACAGCCCCTAAGCCTACATACTCTCTTTGGTCACATTTCAGGGAAGGAACCTCAAATGCCTTTAGAGTGATAAAATAATGTGAATTATTTTAAAGACATTCGGCACAATAGGATAATTTCATTGCTTCTTTATGATCAGTTGCTAAAAAGCTCAACAAAAATGAAAATCTGAGGCAGCCTCAAGCACACACACCAAAGACAGAGATTTTAATGCAGCACCGATACTGACTTTAACCACTAGAGGGCAAAGGAGTGCATCATTTGACCTCTCAGCCCAAGCAGAAACTCCTGACCCTTAACTGTAAAATTGAAAATAAACATGGCTACTTTGATTTTTACAACCTTACAACAGTTCTAACTAACATGCAAAGTGTAGCTAGAGATGCAACTGTCCGTTTTTTGTTGTTGTTAATAATTGCAACTAAATAAAACTTGGGATGTGTCAGTGTCAATAATATTGGGGAAAAAAGGGTGCAGGGAAAAGAGAAAAAGCTTATCATATCATAAAGAGCACAATGTGATTTCTTTAAACTTTTATTGTCCAAATAAAGCAAAACTACAGTGGCCCCTAAGGGAATTGGAATAACTTTTTATGAGCAAAAAAAAAAGGTTTTTCTTATTAACTCCGCAATCATGCAATGAAATTCTGAAACATTTCCAAAACACACACACACAAAACTGAAACCTAAAATAATTGACGAGCAAAATATTTTGAATGTTGAATGCACAAAAATACAGAGAAAGCATAAACTCCACAAGCTGTTTTTTTAAAACTCATATAACATTTTATTTTTCTCCATATTTTGACTTTTAGAGAATAATTTGCTTTATAGGTGCTTTATGTGATTATAATCTGTAACTCTTTATGTAAAGGTTCTTATGATATGCACTAATTAATAGTTAATAAAAGTTTAATCAATACAAATGTTAAATTATGCAGTTCCAATCATTCGTTGTTGATTTTTATGATTTTATTAATGTTTACAAGCATCACAGATGATCTTATTAAGTCTCATTAACAGCTTTTAAACTTTTATTACCTATTAATTTGTGCATATTTGTACTTTCACATATTTTAAAAACTTTTAATTCACACTAACCCCAAGGACTTTAATAAAAAATATGATCAAATGTTTATTTTTTTTTTTAATCGTTTAAGAGACATCATTTTTGTGGAGATAAACATGTTTAAATAAATGAAAGGTTTTTACATTCAGCATATATTTAACATAGGCTATGTGGATGTTAAATGTTTGGGAACTGACCCTCTGAGCCACTGTACAAACCCCCAGAATCCCCTTAATTAATAAAAAGAATTGCAAAATGTCCTACTGTGAGACTCTGAAACAAGAAACTGTTGATGTTTTTGCCCAAAAGTTACACTTACAGTAATAAATAACAAAAAAGGAACAATTGTTTTTATTTACTGTCTTCTCACTAATCTTAGACTGTACCCACTTTTACTTCAGTGTTTTAAAACTTAAAACTTGAAGAAAGTCCAGACTTATTTTTTTGTAAATACTTTTTGTCTCTCTCGGGCTTCCATACAGGTTTTCTAACCCTCAACAAAAAAACCTTTGAAGAAATGAGGACCGGATGTTCTCACCTTTATAGTCCCGACAAAGACTGGGAACACACACACACACACACACACACACACACACACACACACACACACACACACACACACACACACACACACACACACACACACCTCCCTCTCGCTCCTCTCCTCCTCTCTCCTTCTCAGAGTTGTTCAGACTTGAGGGAGGAATGGCGGCCCCTCGGAGTTTCTTCATCTCTCTCTCCGGTTTATTTCTGCTTTTATATTTTTCTTGTGGATCTACGAGCTCAGGAAATAGGAGAGCTAACCAGGAACGATGCGGCTACAAGGTAAAACACATAAACACACTTAATTATTGCGAACATTTACGGACACTTGATCTGGTTTGAGCTGCTGCTGCGTCTTTTCAAGTCTCCAAAAGTTCATTTTCGGATATGTTTCACTTATCTTTGACGTTCTGCAAGCTTGTCAGACAAAGTATACATTACCAGGTACAATAAGCAAAGTTTGAAGTTACAGCTTAGTTCAGTCGCCTTGTTTTTGACGCCAGGTTGCGTCGCTCACGACACCTTTCTTACCTGTCCGTCAGAGATTGAGCTCCCCTGGTTCGCCTCGTTTGTGCCTAACGTGACAGACCAAACTCTCTTTTTAAAAAGTGCGTACTGAAAGAAAAGCGGCTAATTTGTTAACCAACAGAGCTTATATGAGGACATTTACATCGTTAATAACAGATTTAGGTTGTATTTTAAATTCGGCGGTTGTGTTATCAACTATTGACGACTGAAACATACCAAAAAGTCATATTTTAAAAGTTTGACTGTCTCTCCGTAACGAAAATTTAGCTTAAACTTTGATCAACTTCACTAAAGTATGTTTAATTTTGGCTATAATGTAACACTTTCAGTACTGAGTGGTCGTAGGAGCCACAAACTGCTCCTAAGGTTTTTTCTTACGTAAATAATTGGTTTAAAATAGTGTATTTTATGGTATAACCAGCTTAAAACGTTATAGGATTGTACAAAAACTTATAATTATCCAGCTGAGAAAGTTGCAAATCTATGTCCTTAAAACTAAGCTACTGTCTCACTTGTACTGCCGGAGTGGAGCTTTAAAGTTCTCTCAAAGAAAACGGAGATTAGGATCTCTTGGTTACCTTTAAAGACATTTGTAACTTTTTATATCTTGCAAATAAATGATCTTTAAATATGATGGAGGATCAAACCAAACTCCAACTCCCAAAGTCAGAGCTGTAACAGAAACAGGGAATCAAATCTTTTCAGCTGAAATGAAATGATAGTGTTTCTACTTTGTGATGAATGTCTCGATTTGATGAAACCCTTCCAGATCTTTCCATCTGAGATTTGTGGTTTTGGGGGAATTACAGGTAGTAAAAGCTGATTTCCTGCCTTTTGTGTTGTCTGTTAAAAACATTTGATGTGGAAAGAAGAAATACCCCTCCACCTCCTCTGCTTTTGCACTTCACAGCTGCTTTGTTTGTAGACATAAAACCACTTCAATGTCTGAATATTCATTTCACTTCAAAATATGTGCACGTTTATGATGTTTGGCCAAGGAAAGAGCAACTAATTTTGGTTCTTATCAGGTTTCCTAACTTCATCAGTAACCTCAAAACTTTTACTCAGTTGAAAGCTTTTATCCTTTTTACCTGATGCATCTTGCTTTCCCACTTTGAAATGATATTTATCTGCTTCATGGATTCTGAATGTCCATGAAAACTTGGAAAAACTTTGAGTTTTCGATTTGAAAGTTCACACCGAGTCATTGATGGAGCGTAGCTGACAGTTGTCACAGTTTAATCCTCTTTAATCCCATTCTCCCACAGATCTGGATCCACATCACTTAAAACCACAATCTTAAAAGCTCCACTGGGGAATCTTTATCTAATTGTTAACAGGTATTAATACTAATGCGTTTTTATGGGCTATATAAAGGCATACAAAACCATAAACATTGAGGTAAATCAAGCTTTTATTAGCAGTTATTTTTGGCACTATAAGACTGCCGCTGGGGGTAAGGTGTATGCAAAAAGGGACTTAAACGCTGTTTAAAAAAAGCAAGATGAGATTTTTGTTGAAGAATACGACGGTTTTTGGTTTCTTAGGGGGGCGATCAGAGGGAGACGTTGACTCCAACTAACTTTTGTCTGATCTACAAACCAGCTCAGAGGTGGAGTTTGGACTGAAGCCTCTCCATCTTCATGCCAAACAGATTTAAACTGTTCACCTGTCAGTCAAATCAACTATGCTATTAATGACGTAAGTCTGTGCATAACTTTGAGTCTTAAAGGAACAGTATGTAGTTTTTATCAAAACAGACTCAGGAGAAATGCATTACATTTATTTAAGGCTCCTGTGAGGACTTTTTCATGAGTTATTTAACAGATTAAATGTCCTAAACAAAAAGACATGAGCTATAGCAATACTGTTTAATGTACCAGGCTGTGTAATGACCTCCTCCTGTGCCTCTGCAGCCAGTCACTGGTGTCACTGGACTCTGGTGGAACTGTAGTTTTTGTAATTTTTAATTTATTTTTTTGCTTTGCTGCATTATTGTCAGTTTTTAGCACTGGAAGTTGCTGTGTGATGATAAAACAAATTAGTTAAGTGGACAAAAGACAAAACAGGCAATAAAAAATCAACAAAAATTAAAAGTAACAGGAAGGTGATGAGTATAAAGTTTGAAAATGTAATTATTGATTAAAAAAAGAACAACAAAACTAGCTGCTGCTTCATATTTTTCCACCATTGAGTCGATTCAAACCTTCAGCTAGTTAGTCCAGAAACATAAATAAAAGTTGTGATTATTTTTGTGAGGATTTTGGTTTCAAAAAGTGAGAAATTGGAGTTTCTGTGTTTGTTCGGCAGTGAAGATGAATTATCTCGTCGTCTGTAGGTGTACTCTAGTGTCTGTGCACACGCTCTACAGGTTTTAATTTTCCTGTGCTGATAGATGAGTCCTGCCCACCTTTGATGCTCTGCCTGTCTGCCTGTCTGTGTGTGAGTCAGTGTGTGTTTGTGTGTGAGTGTGTGTTTGTGTGTTTGTGTGTATTATCCTGGTTTCCTCTTTCTAGCTTTGAAGTGTTTTCTACAGGAAGCTTCACACTGTTTACTCCGCTGAAACATTCCTTCCTGCAGCCCCCTCTACACCCCACACACACACACACACACACACACACACACACACACACACACACACACCTCCCCCTGCCTCCCCCTTTCTTTTCAGACACACACTTCAAAGGCTGCAGGATGGGGGTTTGAGGACCTGCTATTCTACAGGTGTGAGGTTATTACAGCCCTTTGTGTGTGTGTGTGTGTGTGTGTGTGTGTGTGTGTGTGTGTGTGTGTGTGTGTGTGTGTGTGTGTGTGTGTTTGGGACCCTTTAAATCTCTGCTAGTTTTACATGTCAACACTGTGTGTAAAAAAAAAAGTCCCTCAGACCGGTTGGTTGAGAGTTTGCAACAGTTTGGCAGAATGTCCTGGAGGTTTGACTCAGTGTGATTTCATTTGGACTGATGCATTTACATGTATTTTAAAAATCCTGTTTCAGTCTGACTGATGCAATTAATCTATTTTTTGACCAACACGCTGGTGTACTGGTTTAAAAAATGTACCATCAAACTCCTGCCGCGTGCTTTCCTTATGTGGACCACATGTTTGTGGAATAAAACCACGTCCTCTCCAGCTCTTCAGACATCTTTTCATGTGTACAGGTTCACAGGTGAGGGAGGGCAACTTCAGCATAACACCTGTGACTTGTCAGCACAAACCATCCACTGATAGTTTCAAGGCTGTTTAAGGGTACGTATGGGCCACTTATCTGCATGGTTGCATTGGCAGCAGCTTTCCACCGTGTCCTCATCTTGTCAGACCCGATCCAACAAAAACAGTCAAGTTATGTTGTCTGCATTTGAGAAGGTGTTGTGCATCTCCTAGTTAGACACATGTCTCCCAGCCTCATGCGAGGTCCATTTGAGCTGCAGTTCCAGCTCAGTGAGGGACTCTTACCGTACTGGACTGCTGTCCTGTCTCAGTCTACGAGCTCCAGGCTCGAATTGATTTGAGAATAGACGTCTTTTGCCTCCACCAGAATACAACATGTTTGTTTGTTTCTGCTGAGTGGTCTCCCTTTGCTGTCATGTATTTTAAAGTCCAGTAGCTAACACTCTGACGTGGTAAACTGATTTATTAAGTAACATACATACTCACCCTTCTGCTGCATGCATGTATTGAAGATGTCATTCTGAAGTTATTTCTCTCTTCATTTTGCACTCTTCAAAGACACAAAGTGTCTGATTTCTCCCTCCTTTTATCTTCCTTTCATTAAATTCAATCTCTTAAGGATCAGCTTCATGTTATACCTTGATTTTTTTTCCTCGGTACATCCAGTAAACGTTTTTCCAGACATCCTTTACTGCTTGTATTTCTTCATTGTTCCCTCTCGGCTCCACAGAGCAGCTCTTTAGAACAGAATACCCAACAGTGTCTTTTGGATTTAATTTTTCCCAGAAAGGTTTTTGGTTTTTTAGTTTTACTGCAGAAAATATGAGTGTAGTTTGCCTGCAGGTCTCCACAGAGCTTCAAACACAGTTTGTGGAAAACCAACACTCTGCTTTTGATTCAGAGTCTGAGAATAACCCAGTGTGATCCTCCTGCAGGACTCTTTAAGTGCTTTTGTTAAAACATTTTGTCACACATTTCCATCCACCTATCCATCATCTCTACCTCTATTCCAGCTGTCATTGTGCACGAGGATGACAAAAAAAAAGCTTGCCAGGGGTGAAGTTAAATCACTAAGAGCTCCCCCTGCTGGATGGGTGCAGCGTAGGTCTTTACAGTGAGCCTTCAGTTGGGATGTCTGTCGTTACGCTGATTTATACTCAGGAGATTTTTTTTTCCTTAGAAGTCGAGTTTAAATGAGTTCTTTGATAATTAAACAAAGTATAAGGCTGTGACTGACAACAGATAACAACAGATGGTGCAGCTAACATGTTCATTAGAAAGACATCCAGCAGTTTATAGCTTTGCGGGTAAACTGTACATAACTATGAAACTTGTGTCACACCTGTCATGAGTCAACGCTGCAACAAAATGGCCAAGAAGCGTCCCCTCTTCATTCAGTTTATCAGTGGTATGAGGACAGATTTAAGTCTCATTTGGATGAAAATGATCTTAAAAAATATCTTTGTATTCATACATCATGAGGTAAATGATCCTTGTGCACCCAGACCTGACTGAAATGCAGGAGTATGCATGACAGGCTGGTAGTTTGTGGTTTAACTTTGAGAAGAATGAGAAGAATTACAGAAGCCATTTTTATGAAAACAGCTTCTCCAACACCTTCAGGATGAGAGTGCACAGTGCAGCTCTGTACACGAAACTTTGGAGGTGCTGACAGCTCAGTCCCACTATTGGATGCAAAACAAGAGTAAACTGCATGGAGCTGCAGACCTATGTGGGTAATTTTGAGCTTATTAGTTCAGAAGTCTTTGAAAAGGACCTTAAGATGGTTCACATTAAGGGGGGAAAAGGACTCATGGTTTTGGGCATGACTCTTGGAGAATTTCCCTCTTTGTGTCTCTTTCTCATAGCCCAACATGTCTGTTGACAGTTTGGTGAAGAATTGTAGATTAGGGCTGTAATCAACCAAAGAAATTTTCAACCAGAAATCTATTAATCGGAGGGCAACCCTTCTGCGGCGGGGGACAACGCAGCGCGGTGGGGTGAAAATATACTGATATCAGCACAAGAAGGCAATTCAACACAAAAGGCAATTCAGGTAAAATCCTGCCACACTGCAAGTGTCTTTGACACGGATGGTAGAGGAGAGCTCACATGAAAGTTGAAACGCTTAAAATAAAAATAAATATTCAGCAAACCACCGGACGTGGATTAACGCAGACGCCGGTCTCCAGTGCGTTTGGCGAATCCAATATGGTGAAAACAAGGGGGGTGTTCTGAGACAGACTGTTACCTGTGAAATGGGGGTGCTCTGAAAACAACCCCATTAGCACTTGGTATGTTCCTCCTGATGAAATTAACCAAAGACTGTAAAGTTGACCAGTCGACTAGGTCTTTACAGTCCTAATGTAGATGTGCTCTACATCTATATTGTGGAAACCATTGTATCCTCAAATACAGATAAGCAGGTCTGGGAAAATCACTTCATCCGACTCTACGCCCCCAGATTTTTTCCGTGTCCAACCTGCAGTCTTCAGGACAGACGGATGGACGCCATCTAAAGTCACTTGATTGCTTTATCAGACTTTGTAGCTCCCTCAGGAGACACAAAAGTCTTCATAGGATTTTCTCAGACATGAAAACCAACTTTGATGGACAAATAATCAGGTGTCTCACTTTCAGGACTCACTTTCCCTCAAAATCCTGATGAAGGAAGCAGCCTCTCTGTTCCTGGATGTTTTAAAAATCATGTTCCTGTAGACAGTCTGAACGAGGGATGATTTAGCTCCGTGTAAACCCTCTCTGGTTGAACACATCTGCTGAAGCCATCACATCTGTCTCAGAGGAAGAAGACACACCAGGAAATCATCCAGCTTCCTCTTTTCTTTGTCCCACTCTGGGTTCTTCATCCTTCTTTCTTTCTTTTTTCTCTGTACCCTTTCCATCATCATAAAAAAAGGCAGGTTTCCATTCCTCACGTATCCCATCATCCTCCTCCGCAGCTTCGGTGTGTTTTTGGCATCAGAGGGCCTCAGAGGGCGTCATGGCTGGGTGGGAGTCGATGTGAAACACGTGTGTTTTCTGGTTTCCTGGCGAATGAGTCAGGCGGAAGGTGAAGAGTCGACGCTGGGATTTCACCTCTTACATAAAACATGTCAAAGAAATATTTATTCATCAGCTTGAGCAGGAGAGCATCCTAAAACCAGCCCGAACATGGTTTTGAAGCTCAGAAAAAGTCTTGAATTCTGTTTTTATCTGCCTTTGCCAAAGTTAGGAGACAGATTTCTGACTGTTCTGTGACTGGGAGTGAGCTGTGGCAGTTTTTAGATTATTTTGGTGATCAAAAGTACACTAATGTTCGCTCTTAAGCAAAAAGAGTAAACAAAAATAGACTTGATTTTAACAGCTGGTTTGCAGGTCAAGGTTCTTTTTTTTTCCCCCAGAATTTCTAGAGCAGCAATGCAGAGCTACAAGGTTCTTGCTAGGCTAGTATACAAACAAACGTGTTCATAACAAATGAGTATTAAACAGGACTTGAAAGTTGAGATTGAGACTAAAGCTGTATGTGTGTGTGTGTGTGTGTGTGTGTGTGTGTGTGTGTGTGTGTGTGTGTGTGTGTGTGTGTGTGTGTGTGTGTGTGTGTGTGTGTGTGTGTGTGTGTGTGTGTGTGTGTGTGTGTGTGTGTGTGTTTAGATGAGGGTCTTGTTTATGCTTATGCCCTAGGCTACCAAACCCCGTCTTGTTCCTCTTAATGTCTTCCTGTCGTATACCCACACACACACACACACACCCACACACACACACACACAAACGTTCCCATATGTGGCGACATGGCTGCACTGGATTATCTGTGGGGTCAGAGGGGGGATTAACCAGCCGATAGAAATCAACCGCATGAGGTCCAATTGTTTGGTTCTGAATAAAACCTCTGGTTGAGGTTGAATGCAGTCCCCTCTGGTCCAGCCAGGTTTTACTGTGTAGCTGCAGGTCCCAAGTGCAACATTCATTCAAAAACAACATATTAAAGATTTATGGTTTTATAAAGAAATTGATACACACTGTAGATTTGAGGCCAGCAACATGTTCCAGAAAGTTTGGTCTGGATTTTCTTGCTCTTATACAGCACCGCATCAAAAATAGACATGACTCTGGAGTGGAAATCACATTCAAAGTCGTTGCTGTTGGACACATTTTGTCACTGCATCCACAAATTCAGGTTCAAACTGCGCAAATTTTGGACAGACTGAAGTGACGCGAAAACCTCTCCTGTTGCCTGATGAAGTAAAATTCGACATACAGGGATTATGGGAATCATCAGAGTCCATGACATGGGTATCAATACCTCCAGGATTAGGAGCATCAGGACTCTGTAGCTGGAGTCACCGCATGAGCTTAATATCACTTGTCCGATGAACTGTTGTGAGGTCTGATGAATCCAAATCTAACACTCTTTCAACAAAGAACTGGAAATCATAGATGCTGCATCCTCAGTTTTAAACAGTATCTCCAGGTTTAGACCAACATCTGCTGCCTTCCAGAAAAAGACTTTTTCAGGGAAGACCTTCATGTGATCCTAAACCACATTCTGACAACAGGGATTACAGCAGCACGGCTCTGTAGGAGAAGAGTCCTGCTGACAAACTGGACTGATGCAGTCCTGACTTGACTTCTTTTTTTTAAATGTGTTGCTGACATCAGTTTTGGGAAGAGCAGATATGCAGGCAAAACCCTGGTGATCGCAAATGACCGAGTTAAAACCCAAAATTTCCCCAGACTTTTTCTGACCAGCTCCAGGTAAAGTCCCTGCAAGAAGTCCAAGTCTACGCCATCAGTGAGATAACTCTGTATGTAATGCTTTGAATTTGTTTCTGCTCGCTGGTATTTTTTTTTACTATGAAATGAAAATGTCTGAGTAACACTGTTTTTAAGGTGTTGGTCATGACTCTGCTGTGCCTGATATTTCTAGGAAACACAGGACAATGACCAATACAGCATCGTGCTAACGTAATGTGTTGCCACCAGGGACACCCCTCTGCCGTCCGATAGTGAAAACTTCCTGTCTAGAGGGAAAAAAGTTGTAACGTGCAACTTTTAAAAATTTCAGAAGCAGTCCTGAAATTTAACAAAAATCTTCATGAAAAGCCAAAAGTGTTGTTTTCTCTTCCTCTCTGTGCGTCTCTAAAACACCTCGGGTGAGCAGATTGAGTTTATCTTTTCATATTTGATGCCCTTCAAAAATCAAATCTAAATCAAATCTTCCTCCAGCTCTGAAGCTCCAAAGGTTTGAAAAGTCCAGAAAAGGAAATAGCTGGAAACAAAAGTGAGGTGCAACAATACAAACTCAAAGAAAAACTCAGCGAGTGTGTGTGTGTTCGGGAGCAGCCAACCAGAGATTTCCCACCGCAGGAACAAAACCTGCAGCTTCCTCCTCCTGCATGACTGCTCCTCAATGACCCCCCACCCCTCTTCTTCATCACAGCTCCTCCTCAGCCAGGAGGAGCAGCTCCTCTCCTGCTGTGACAGTTTGTCCTTTAAAAGACTTTTTCTTGTTTCAGAGAGAGGACGGGGACAAACCCAGACGCTCTTTAAAGGGATACAAACCAACATAGGTCACCACCAGCAGCTCACACGTGCATGGAAGTCCATGTTTGAGGGTCCTAAACAAAAAAAAGGAGCATGGGGTCATGTGACCCGGGCCTGCAGTCACCAGCTGAGCCATTGATAATGATAATAGACCAATATCTGCAGGGAGCTGCAAACACTAACCGGTTGGATAGAAACCTTTTTAGATGATGTACTCTGTAGATTTAGTTAAATTAAAAAACAGAATAACTAAGGGTGAACTGAGCGGATATTTCTGAGCAGATACTCTTTAGATTTCTGACATTTTTCTCATTTTTGTTTCTTAAAAACTGAGTTTAAAATAAAGTGAATCCCACCTGACCATCGTCAGTATATTGTGGCAGTAATAGGCGAACAGTTTAGTAATAAAATGACTTAAATGCTCCTTTTAAGCTTCTTAAATTCAATGAAGGGTTTTGAGTTTTGTCAGGTTCCTGAGCATCACAACAATCTCTGATGTGCTGATGAATCTTGACGGATTAAATTTCGGTCTTAACCACCAAAACCTCAATACCAGCTCTGAACCCGGCCCCAAAACTTGTCGCTGCTTTCCCTTCGGCTCATGATCAGTGCGTTGATTAGAGGTCAGCTGAGAGCCCAGTGTTCCCCATCAGTCCCACATCTGGATCTGCTCGGCTCTGCTCGCCCCCCCAAACATCAGGAGGATGAGGAGAAGTCTGCTACGTGAACCCTGAAAGACGTAATTGAAGCAGTTCCTGTTTAATCAGATCGCTCCTTCTCCTCTTCCTCACTTCCTTCCCTTTCTGCAGGCTCGGTGATTACTCCTCCACTCTCCCCCCTCTGTCCAAATCCGAATCTGAGTCTGAGTCTGACCAGCCTCCTTCTATTTCACCTTGTATCCTTCCCTGCCTCCCTCTTTCCTCGCCTGCAGCACTGTGATGAATTGCTGTTGATGTTCTGCAAACCGAGGCTGCAATTAGCCGTCTGTAACCACACCAACTCATTCAGTGTGTGTGTGTGTGCGTGTGTTTCGGGGATTCCCAAAGAAAGCCAGCTCTCTTTCTGGTTTGTGTTGTTGTTTGTACATTTCTTTCTCTGTCATCCCAGACTTGAACCTGAGACTTTCCTCCAACATACAGAGTTTCTTCTTTGACTCAAACCGCTGCTTTTCTGCTCTCTCTGCGGCGAACAAAAGAGCCGCTCTTCTCTTTTATCTCTGCTCTACTTTTTATCATCTTTTCTGTAGTTGTTTACTGATGTGACTCAGTCTGTCCAGGCCTCAGGGTGTGTGTTAGTGTGTGTGTGTAAAAGTGGGGGGGATAATGATTATTACTAGTGAGAAACACCTGGCAGCAGGAAGGAAGAAAAGCGTCTCCTCCGTCTGTCTGTCTTTTTGAAAAATGATCAGCTGTAAAGACGGAGGGTTTGGCTCGTGGCGATGGGCCAGGTCTCTGCCGAAGTTCAGTGATAGAAAAACTCCTAAAGTACCGACTTCAGGAGTGTGAGTGTGTGAGAAAATCAAGCAGATGTTTGGGGTTCAAAAGTCAACCTGCAAGTATCGTGAGCACGGTCAAAGCAGCTGATCGAGTCGTGTAGCGATTTTAAATTCAAAATAAATGTCGAAAATTAATCAAATTAAATTATGACATTTATGCACTCGTTGAAGGGGCACCACCCACCTTTCTGGTGGGAAAAAGGACGAAACAAAGTTCAATTGAGTAATTAAACGTTGGATCAGTCTTACACAGATTTAAATCAGTCTCTCATCTGAGGCCGGAATTCTTCATTCAGGGACTACTTTCTGAAAGACCACTAAGACGACAACTTAGAATTAAATGGACAATTTATTAACAGCTATATGATAACAAAACGTCAATAAATGATGATCAAATAATGAGCAAATCAAAGCACATCTAATGAATAAACGAAGGAATGGTTTAAATTAAACCTAAGACTGGAGGTTAATAATAGTGAGTGAATAAAGGGGAAATTTAACCTACGTTAACGGAGTTACGAGGGTAAATAAAAGGAATTTGGAGAACTAAACTATAATTTATAAGAGTAAGCTACTGAACGGTTGACGGCATCACCCAGTTCTCATCACAGCAGTTTAGAGGATTTAGCCTACTTTGGACGTCGGTTCTCAGCGGCACCCTTGGAATGGATCAGCTGAAGTTCTGTGGCTACCGGACCGGAGACTGAAGGTTCGGCGGGGAATTCTTCCGCCGTGTCTGGATCTCAGCTTCAGGACCGTGTCAGCGCCGTTAGATACTTCGGATCTCTGGGCCTCTCGGAACCAGGTGGCAAAGCAGCTTGGCAGATGATGCTGGTCGGCGTTCAGGACTTGCTTGGTTGCAGATTAATTCGCGCCAATAACTTAAGAAAATAATTTCGCTGGCCAGCCGATATTATCTTCAGGAGTCACTTTAGCGAACAAAAATAAAAGACTTAGACTGAGGTTCTCTTATGCGCGCAGCTTGTTACTGAGGCTCTAAAGGACTTGGGAATGCTTTCATCCAAGTTTAGAATAAAAATCTGAGCTTAAGGCAATTAATAAAACGCGGGGAAAATTGCGAACGATAGGCGAAGACAAAAGAAAACTAGACGAAGACAAAAACGGAAGAGACAAAAACTGAAGAGAAGACAAAACTGAAGAGAAAACTAAAACTGAAGAAAAACAGAAGACCGAGCAAAGACTCCCGGGCTCTTTTAAACCATCCCGTGTGGGCGTGAGCCAAGAGGAAAGTTACAGCCAATGCTGTAACCCGATGCAGCACATCGACTGGCAGCGAATTTAACTCAACTTGATATTAAAAGCGAGCTAGATCTAATTTACTCACTCACTATGATTAAACTGTTTATAACATCACATACGATCACATTTCACTTCATTGTTTCTTATGAGCAGACGCATTAAAGCATGACATTGAAAACAGTAAACTTTGATCAGCCGTCTTCTTGACACTAACAGAGGATTAACGACTTTTAAAAGTTAGAGAGGGACAGAAAACAAATTATCTATTCGAACAGAAACACCATCCAGCATAAGAAACACATATGTAATAATATTTGACAACATTATAACCTTGTCAATCAAGCTTCCTAGATGATTAATATATATTTTTGTGTGAGGTAGATAAAACATAGTATGGATACATTCCGAAACTCTTAACTTGAGTCTAAACGAGTTTCACGTTACTACTTCTAAACTACTAGCCTATCTTGGGAATACCATTTACTAAGCTACGAAGTGTATAACAAAAGGAAAGAAATACACGTGATTAGATTCCTGCCATTTGGCTCTGATCAAACCATATTCAGGCATCACCACTAGGAGGAGCTCTTGGTCCATGGAAAAACCTGGAATAAATTTGTGAAGTTAACAGTTTGGCTTGTGGATATGTTACAGAATTGGGAAAAAGACCATTTCATTAAGAATGTGGTGTACAGACAGAAAATCCTGGTGAAGTGTCCATTAAACATGAAGTTAAACCATTTTCAGGCATCCTCTTCCTTCTGCTCTGCAAAGAAAGCCAAGGAATTTATGGCAGGTATCTGGTTTTTCAGATTTGGCGCCAACTGGCCTGTTTTCCCCCCTAGGTCATTGGGTTAATCCTGAGGTGTCAATTCTGATCTTTCCCAACCAGGGTGAGAGGCTCCGTGTTTATGGGTCTGTGTGGTTGATAAGCAACTTGTCCTTTTTGGGAAGCGTTAAAGATTCACTATCACCTCCCAAATGGTTGCCTAGGTCGTAAATGGGAACTTGGTGTGCAAACCGTTACTCCCCCATTTCCTGTCCAAACCAGAGGAGCCTGCATTCCTTTGAGGGGTGAATTCAAGGTGGATAGCAGAAAGCAGTTGTCTCATTACATATCCCCCCTTCGTCTCGATGGCAGCTCCAGGAGCCATTGGGACGACGAGATGAGACGACCAGGTGGAAGCAGCAGTTAGTCCAAGGAGGGTGATGCGTCTCGTTCAGAACTATCTACTTCGTTAGATCTATTGTGTGTGTTAAGCCTACTACATCTATGGGTGCGGGGTTACAGGAAGCTGACTACACCTCGAGCATGTGGCTCACCTTGTCTTCCTCTGGCTGTTCAACTTCCTGTTCCGTTTCAGGTTGTCTACGGAGTCGTAACCTAGTTACACAGTGGTCTATTTTGTACTGTAGGGCTTTACCACGTTTGACGTAGATGAAGGTTAACCCGAAGGTCAGGAGGTACCCTAACACTATGGCGGCTGCTAGTAAGGTGTCTGGGGTGGACCAAACATAGACTATTGGTTGCAGCGGGGACTTCTCTTGGGACCTTATGTCTATAAGGACGTCATCTACAGGCGTTAGGTCAATGATCTGAGTACCTGCATACTGGATTTGAGAAATAGTGTTTGGATCTAACTGCAGCGTATGCTTGCTGAAAAACGCTGGCACTTCAATCTCTGTTTCGAATTGCTCAGGGTTGAGGTAAAAGAGGGCAATGTCATCTATATGGAGAATGGCATTTGGTGGCACCTCAATCCACATGGTCTGATCCAGTAGAGAAATGCGTGTGGCAGTATCGTGCTGGTCGTAATTTACAATGGCAGTCTTGGTGGGGGTGTTAACTAACCAACGGTGACCCACTCTTTCGGCCTGCGTTACAGTCACTTGTGAGCGGTGTCTTGCTGTAGTAGGGCATTTGGTGTCGGCCACCATGGGCGTAAGGCCGCAGAGGCCATTAGTACTGTCCCACACAAATGGTTTACTGGGGCAGAGGTAGTGTATGTCTTTGGTTCGTGTGCACATACGCAGGTTAGGAGCTAGATATAGGTCAGGATTGCTGTCGTGGTAAGCGACCACTGGTGGGGTCTGAATTTGGAGGTGTGCGTCCTCTTTCCAAAACCCGACATTGACTACATCCTTTAGCCTATAGATGCTTCCTGATGCTATAATTGGCAAGTTAATAAGGAAAGCAATTTCTCGATCTTCGGGATTAACGTAGATCGGCACAGCGCTACCTAGGGTATACGCGAGGTGGGCTTGTAAAGGAGTGGTGGCCTCTCTGGTTGCAGTTGATAGTAAATCCTGAACCAATGAGAGAGGTACCAAGTATGGAGGAATCCGGCCTGCAGCCAAACTGTCTATTGAGGATGATATTTCTTGCAACATGTCTGACATGAGCATATTCAGTAGCATTGTGTGAGCATAGTCGACCTGGACCACCGACAACAAAGAATTTACAGCACGCAGCGTCTTATTCAGGACTTCTGTGTGGGTGTTAACCACCAGAACGGTGCCCTTGACTGTTTGACCAATAGTCTGCAGTTGTGTCTGCTGTCTGTTTATCTGAGCCCTGATGTCTGGGATTTCGGCTTCTAGCTCACCCACATGGCGTTTGACAGCAGCTAAGCTAATGGCATTAACAGAGGAGAGCCCAACACCAAAAAGAGAGCCAACAACCGAGGCTGCGGTAAGCAATGCTCCGATAAAACGCTTGGACCTCCTGTTGGTACCACTTAACTCTGTTTGAGAGACAGTGAATTTCTGAAGTTGCTCTAACATGTAAGTAATGTCCAACTCGGCGTGATTTACGACCTGTCTGCTCCAATGTGTCCCGGCCCAACTGGTCAGTTGAGCTGTTACCGGAACATTTTTCTTGAGGACTTCCTTAGGGTTGAGCCTGACAAACACCTTCTGTGTGTGCAGGCGACAGTCTGTTATCAGGAGTCCAGGCTGATCCCTTAACACAATTCCAGAGTCCGGTCCTGGCTCTATGATCTCAGGGCTAGCTGGAGCAGCTACCAAGCCGAGAATCAGGAGCGCTATCAGCCAAATCATCCTGAGGAAGAGGGTGGACATAGTTAGGATGAGTTGGTAGAGGACAATCTAGAATTCAAATGTTCCCTGTCACTTTATTTTCTCCTCCCCCCTTTGTAACCCAAAGTGTGCCCGAGGGCAACTCAGTGGCAACAATTCAACAATAATACAGACGCACAAATAGGATAAACTTCACGTGGACACAATATCTACGAGGACTAGGGGACCTGACGTCAATCAGGAGAACTTAGGACTGTTCTAGTTTATGACTCAAGGGTGGCGCTGGAGGCCCCGACAAGTCCCATGGGGTTGTGGTGAAGTTTAATCTGGTTGCGGTGGACCCATTTAAGGGTCGGCTCTTTGTTGCCCTTTGCGATCTTAATTTGGTACACAACAGAAGAGAGCTTTTCAGTGATCAGGTACGGGCCTGCCCAGCGGGGCAGGAACTTTCGTGCCAGTCTCCCAGACTTTGGGGCTTTATCTCCAGTGGGCTGGGTGAACAGGTAGTACCATACCTTGTCACCTACTTGGAGTTCCTGTTGGGAGGCTTTTTGGTCATAATAGGACTTACGTCCTTCAGCACTTTTGCTGAGATGCTCTTGGGTGAAGGCAAACGTTGCCTTCAGGTGCTGGTGTAAGTCAGTCATATACTGATGGGTCGTGTAGGCCGTTGCTATACTGGCCTCACCTGGCTGATACAGCAGGTGCAGAGGTAGGGTCATCTGTCTGCCCGTCATCAACTCGAAGGGTGAGAACCCGGTTGACCCATGTGGAGTCGCTCTGATGGCCATCAGGACCAAGGGAAGCTTAACATCCCAGTCCTTGTGGTTGGCTAACACATACTTTTTCAGTATGGTTACCACTGTTCGGTTTACCCGTTCTACCTGTCCAGACGACTGGGGGTGGTGGCTGATGTGAAAGTTGGCTTTGACGCCCAACAGTTGCCACAGTTGTTGCATTACCTCTGAGGTGAAATGTGTCCCTCTGTCAGAGTCGACACGAGTTGGGAGTCCGAACCGCGAGAAGATGTGGTTCATCAAGAGGTATGCTGTGGTTTGAGCCGTATCGTTTGGGGCTGGTAGGCATTCTACCCATTTGGTGAATGCACAGACAACTGTGAGGAAGTATTTGTTTCCTCTTGCTGACTTAGTGAGAGGACCCACCCAATCGATCTGGAGGTCTGACCAAGGAAAGGAGATACCTCTGCGCTGTAGAGGTGCTCGATGGAGTGGGTTTGCCGGTTGAAACTGGCAGCAAACCAGGCACCCTTTTATATAGTCAGCTACATCTTTCTGCATGTGTGGCCAATAGGCCACCTGTTGGAGAGCATGGAGCGTGGCTTTGTTTCCTCTGTGTCCTGCGCACGGTGTGTCATGGGCGTATGTCAACATCACCCCCCTGTGGCTGCGAGGCACCACGAGGGCAGGCGAAGTGAGTGCATCGGAGACATAAACCAGAAAGCCCTTGACGAGCCGCAGCGAAGAGCGCACGCGGAAAAGATGGCGCAGGCCAGGGATGGAGTCAAGCAAGTCAGGAGGCATGGAGGAGTCAGGAGGCCCTGAAAGGAACTGCGTCATGGCAGCAATGGCTGGGTCCGAAGCTTGGAGCACCAGCAAGTCAGAGTCAGAAAAAGCCGGAGCCACAGTGGCGGAGACCGGGCCCGAGGGAGCCGGTGGAGCTCGAGACTGGGCTCTGGTGACAGCACAAACCAGGGGCACGGGTGGGAGGGGAAAAACAGAGGGCTCAAAGTGCCAGTTTGAGCCAGTTAAGGCCCCCTGCTTGGCCAAGGAGTCAGCCTGGTCGTTAAACATCTTGTCTGGACCAGGGATACGAGAGTGCCCCCTGACTTTCTTCCAATAGATCTGAAGATCATGGTTAGAGGTCAAGAAGTCGCACGCCAGGAACAGATCTTTGTGTTTGACCGGCTTTCTGTTCGAGGTCAAGAAACCGTTGCGTTTCCACAAAGGCAGATGACATGAGAAGCTGAGTCGCGCATAGTTGGAATCTGTACAAATCGTTAAGGCGTGGATTTTGTGTTCCACCGCAAGTTGCAAAACAATCAGAATGCCTGCCACTTCAGCATACTGGGACGTTTGGGCCCCTAGGTTGAAGCTGAGTGGTTCACACGGTTCATCGTTGACCCAGACAACACCCACGCCTGCTCTAAGAACAGTGTCGTGATGGTATGAACAACCATCAACGTAAGCTGTAATCATGTCTTTGCAGACATTGTCGTCGAAGTACCGGTGGCAAGATAATTCAGGTGGCTCGGGGTCGCAGGTTGGGGACCCTGTGTCCGCGCTGTCTGTCAAGCAGCTTTGGCACGCTGCGAGTTCCATCCCGAGAGGTGTTTTGCGATTTTGGGCGTAGTGGACCTCGATGTCAAAGCTCTGAAGAGCCATAAGCCAAGATGCTACACGAGCGTTGGTTACAACGCCGTCTCTGATTCTTTGGCTGTTAAGGAAGGTCACTGGTTGATGATTGGTTTCCACAATCACCTTTTGGCCTCCAAGATAATTCGAAAAATGCTTCACAGCCCACACAGTGGCGAGAAGCGCCTTTTCGCAGTCGGAGAACTTTAGTTCAGGAGCCAACAAGGTTTTGCTAGCATACGCGACAACTCGTTTATCCGAGTCATGGATCTGGTATAATCCTGCACTAAGGCAGTGACAAGAGAAACCGACCTCCAGATAGAATGGTCTGTTGCAGTCTGGGTAGGCAAGACAAGGAGCTGCACAGAGTTTGTCTTTTAAAGCTTGCATGGCGTGTTGTTGGGACGGTCCCCAAATGAATGGGACGTCCTTTTTCAGTAAGTTGGTGAGGGGTTTTGCTAAGTCTGCATAGTCCTCAATGAACTGTCGGGAGTAGTTGCATACTCCCAAAAAGCTGCGAAGCTCTGAGACGTTCGTGGGAGCTTTAAGGTTTGACAGGCCTTGAATTCGACTCAGCTGTGGTTCGACACCTGTTGGACCAACCAGCAAACCGACGTAGTTCACTTTGGTCCTGCACCACTGACATTTCGACAGAGATATCTTTGCCCCGGCGTTCGTGAGCTGGTTCAGGACATGGTCAATCTCAGCGAGATGCATGTCCAGGGTTTGGTTCCTCATTAAGATGTCATCGACATATATGAGGGTGCCTCTCTCACTAGCATCTGGGCAGGCTTTGTTCAGAAAGATGTTGAACTCTGCTGGCGAGTTGGCATAGCCGAAAGGGCATCGGGTGAAGGTGTACTGCCTGTTGGCAAAAGTGAACGCCAGTTTGTGCTGGTCAGCTTCCTGTACTGGTATCGTCCAGAACCCTGATGCCACGTCAAGAGTGGAGAAGTATCTCGCGTCAGTGATCTTTGGCAGATCCTGTTGGAGCTGAGCCATAGGCCACCTGGAAAGGGGAACTTGTTGGTTCAGCTTTCGGTAATCGATGGTCAGTCGCCATTTACCGTTTGGTTTCAGTACCGGCCAGAGTGGGGCTGAGTAGGTACTGTTACATGGCCGAATGATCCCTTTCGCCAAAAGATCGTCTATGATTTCCTGAATAGGTTCATAGGACGCTAAGGGAATTTTGTACTGGCGTACAAAAGTTGGTGGTGCATCCGGTGGTGTCGGAATGCGGATAGAGTGGATAGAGGTTAAGCCACAGTCAAGCGAGTCTTTTGCGAAAGAGGCTCGATATCTGTGCAGAAGTTTGCGAAGCTTTTCACGCTCCTCTTCGCCGTTCAGGGCGTCTGCCTCAGCTACGAGCTGTTCGACTTTGGCATCAAAGTCTGGATCGTGCTCAGGTGTTTGCCCGGTTGGGAAGATAGAGGGTTCTACCCCGGAAAATGTATGGGCCGATTCTGGCTCCGAAATGACGCTTAGGACTTGCACTGTGTGCAGGATCATCTGTGAGTCCTCAGAGAGGTCGACCTGACAGATGGTGTCGTGGTCCAGCGGTACAGTTGGGAAGAGCGAGATAGCCCTGGAAGGTAGGGTATGAAAGACCTGTTCCGGCGAATGGTCTGACATCAGAGAACGGGGCATTTTTCCTATTACAGGAATCCTCAATTCAAAGTCGTGGAACGACGTGCTGATCAACCAACCCAGCGGGGTGGATTTAGGGATCAGGATATCTTCGGGTGTCGTGTTTTGTACAAGCAAGTGTGTGAATCTCGAGTGAAGCTCAAGAAGAGGAGTTGCCTGAGTAGACAGCCCTAGTTTAAGAAAGAGCAACGACGGCTGGAAGAAAGCTTGAGTGTGCGACAGCTTTTGTCCACGTTGTAGGTTCAAGCGAATGGGAACGTTTGTGGTCATTGCAGGTATGACAATGTCAAGTTCATTGGCTACCTGACAGGCTTCAGGGATCGACTGTCCTGATATGATGTTGTCGACATCAGGGGTCAGGGTTTCCTCATTAACACTGGTAAGGGACCACAGTATGTTGTTAATGGTATCGACCTGGACTGCCAACCTGACCAGTATATCACTTCCCATGTAGACCTGATATGGTAGGTCTGGGATGACCAAGAAGTGGTGAGTCATCTCCCTTTTGTTCCATCGCACAGTTAAGGCACAGACGCCTTCAGCAGTCATGGTAGCTTTAGGAAGGGAGTCCAAGGGGAAGCGAAATGCTTTCCGAACACACTGGAGGTTCGGGTCATCCCTAGACAAGGCGTCGTACAGTTCACGGCTGATGGCTGATCTGTCAGCCCAAAGAGCCAAAATCACATCGTTGACGTGATTCTCATTCAAGTTGATGCCTTCAGTGATCAATGGCCCGGGTGTGTCGGGTCCATTGGTGTCATCGAATTTGCACAAAAATGTGTCCCTTTTTATGACTGAGTCATCGAAAGGCCACGAGCAGGGTTGTGGCTCGTCGTCAGTCAAGTAGGGTTGTTCCGGTGAGCTTACACTTGTCGGTGTGCTTGTAGCAAGTTCACGCGTCAAGGCGTAACACTGAGCCCGATTCTTGTCGGTTGCTGGTATGGGTAATGGTCTGCGGACCTGTGCCCATATTTTCAGCTGTCGATAGTCGATCAGGGGCTCAAACCGTTTTAAAAGGTCTTGACCGATGAGGAAAGGAATCGACTCAAGGGGCGACACATACACGGGGTGCATGATTTTCATTGGTCCAATGGAGATGTTCAACATCGTCATTGTATTTAAAGTCGTACTGTCTGTAGAGTACGGCCGAATCTCCATGGCGCAGGGCTGCAGCTTGATGTCCCTGTTGGACTGCTGCACCATATTGCGCAAGCGATTAAAGAGCGTGGAGGACATCAGAGTGATGTCAGCAGCAGTGTCCAGGAGTGCTTCGTGTTGAAGTTCATTTTCAAGGACGGTATTAACGTAAAACTTCTGTGCGATGCCTTTCTCAGTGAGGTTGCACAAGAATTGGAGGAAAGGTGGTTCAAGCCGAATAAGTGAGGAGTCTTCTTCGGCTGGCTCCTCTGCGGAGTTCGCCTGTACTACCAAGACGGCGCTGGTAGATGTCGTTTCTTGTGATGTGTTGTCCTGAGGTTCAAGATCGGCAGGAGTGTCAGCTGGTGAGGGTGTCACCGACTCCTGTAAGGACATACACACGTCCTCCTGAAATTCAGTTTGCTGGACAGGCATCATGTTTGGCTCAGAAGTGTCATCCTGGACGGCGGCGACAGCGACAGAGAAGAGATCTGCTTTCTTATCTCCTTTTCTCTGTATTCTACGGATTATTTGTCTAAGGAGTTTACGTTCTTCCTCTGTCAGATCAGAGGACTTTGATTCACCCTTAGCTCCGCCTTTAGATCCACTACCCTTCTGGGGAGGGTCTGATTTGGCCTTTGTACCCATCTCTTCGTCAGAAAATGCTGATTGAGACTGCGGGTAAGGTCGCTCTGAGTTTCGTTCTCGGCGTGGGCCATAACGATCTGACCGGTCTCTCCACCCCCTGTTATCAGGTCGGTAGGGCCGATGGGTGTCATCCCTTCTAGGGTGAGCCCCATCCCTGCGAGAGTACGAGGGTGGACGATCTTCGTCAAATCTGACCTGGTGTTGTTCACTGTCAGACCGAGGCTGCTTCAGGTTTTGACCTTTATCAGCTGGCTGATATCGGGAAGTTTTCAGATTCTGGGTTGGTCGGGCTGTTGCAGTTTGAGGTGCATCTGAATGCGCACCCACGGCACCACCCTCCAGATCTAGGGGCATGGACCTTGTGTCCACAGCCAAGACAGTACCAGGTTCGGCTTTCTTGGATTGGGTGTGTCGCTGTTTAGCGAAGCCTTTTACAGCCAGTTCGCGGAGCTGTCTGCTGTTTAAGGTTCGGGGACAAGCAGCAACACCAAGATGATGACTCGTGGTCGGATGGAGGTTTTGAACAAACAAAGTCTTAAAGTTTAGATCTTCCTCCATTTCAGGTTCATTTTGACAACCAAAGTAAGCCTGGCGAAGGCGACCGTAGTACAACTGGGGAGATTCCTGTCTCTCCTGTTTGACTAACAGTGCAGCAGCTAAACCAGTGGGTGTAAGGGAGTCAGAAAACTCGTCAATTAATGCCTGACACAGCAGGTCATAGTCATTCTTGACCCGACGCGGTTGTCGTTCAATGAAGCTGCTAACCTCTCGATTGGAGGTAGCTTTGATCAAGTAGATTTTGTCATCCACAAGAGCACCTGGAAACTTCCTCAAGTAGAAGTCGATGTCTTTCAAGTAGGTGCTTGGGTCTTCTGAACCTTTTCGACCGGGTTCAAATCGTGTGATGTTACGAGCCATCTTGTCCAGATCCCTGTCTGTGGGATATGCCGCTTGACGAGCAGCAGGCGTGGACTGAGGTTGGTAACTCAGGGAACGATACCCGGAAGGTATTGGTTGGGGAAGGGGCGACAAAGTATGACCCGAGTTCCGTCCGGTGTCATCCGGACTTGATCGACCTGAATGTCCTCTGGGGACACGACTCGGTCGGAAGGTAGGGAATGGAAGCGTCTGTTGACTGCTTGGCGAGCTTCGCCCGCTCTGATCTTGCTGTGGTTGACCCAGACTAAATTTCCTCTGAGTCTCGAGGAGCATTTGCTTTAGATTAGCAGAATGTCTCTCTTCTGCTTCGAGGGCCACCCTTTTACTTTCAAACTGGGCCTTCCAGTCCCTTGCATCAGTTGAGGACTGATCTAGGTTGCTTTTCATTCTTGACAACTCCAGTAATTGTTCATGAATGGTGGACCTAGCGTCCGAAAGCTGAGCTTCCTTTTCCTCAATGGTGTCATGCAACTCTGAGATTTGAGTTACTAAGGAAGGGTTTTGATCATGTTGGGATGGAGGCTCTGCTTGCCTCTCATCCAAACTGTCTCGAGCTTGCTGTAGAGCCCTTTCAGTGCCTCCCAGCTCCTTTTTGAGATCATCAATTTCCTTCATTTGTGCCCGTATCTGTTCTTGGGCCCTTCCCATGGCTTCGTCTTGTCTCTTAATTTGGACAGACATCACACAAGCCAAGCGTGCTAAAGCTTTGGGGATCTCTTTCTCTTTAGGTGGGTGTTCTGTAACCCAATCGATCACCTCATTCAACACAGTTTGAAGCCCATTGTTATCAGTACGATTCGCTTCGTCTACATAACCTGGGAGCAGCGGCTGAGTCAGAGTTGTCAGCGCATGCTTTAGCTCCTCACTAAATAGTTGCCAACTTGCCTCCTTACGTTCTGCCATGTTACTTCAAGTTTAGTAAGGTTGGTAGGTTAATGAGTTTAACAAAATAGCCGTGCCTATAAAGCAAATTGAGAAAAGCTGTGAATTTAGGACCAGAAGATAAGCGCTTTAAGCAAAGTCTGGTTCACGCTAAAATAGCTGGATGTTTATTTCCGGAATGAAACAAACAAAGGAAGCTAAAACAGAATTTGGATTTTAGCTGAAAAAGAATTACGTACAAAAATCAAACCTAATCACAGCCAAATCTCATAGTCCAAACCGGATTTGGTCAAATAAACTTTACAGAAAGGAGTACAGGGAAACCTTAAAAGTAAATAGCGGATTGTCAGCTAAGCGTGGAAGGAAGGTAAAAGCTGAAAGTAATCAGGATCAACAATGCAGTTGTAGATGCAATTAAATCTTTCAAGTCTTCACCAGATAATCAAAGTAAAATTGTCCAAATTCAATTGACCTAAAGGGATAAAACAAAAATTCTGATCGTAGGTTGATTAGGGAATTATTGAATTAATTGATTAATGTTACATTAATGAATTAATTAACTATTGCCCTAAGTCTGTGATCACATTTAAGTGTTTTATGAAGGGTCACAGAAAGATGGAGGCAATGAACAATGATTACAGGATGACAAAGATTTGATTCAGCTATTCTCCTTGATAAGGCAGGTGATCTATCTGTACAAAGTAAAAATAAAAGTTGTTTATCAAGTAAATCAACGTTTTATTTGTAGTACAGAAACTAAAGACTCAATCAACCAACTCAATCTGACTATGTCTGCATGGCATCTGTTTGACAACAGGGAGGCGTGGCAGTCGGCTAGACTGCAGTCTGTTTACAATGAGGTCCAAGCAAAACAAAAGCCACGTGGCTGTGAGCCGGCTTGCAGTGCTTGCCGCTCACCACACGAGGGCGATGTTCTAGGGGGCGGTTCAACCGCTCCGTACGTCGCGACGCAACGTTATGACGTAACTATTGGCTCCACCCCTCGGGGTGGCCTGCCTATTCAACACTGGCCGAGTAGTCTCTCCAATGGACACCAAAGGGTTAACACCTCACTGCGGCTGCGCGCGCAGTGGCAATGGGAAGATTCAACGCTGCGTCTCTAACAGCGGATTGCTTCACCAGACTCCTCTGGGAGTAACCAGAGTTTACACAGACAGATCTTACAACAGCAGACAAAACTGCGGACTTAAATTCACGAAATGCGGCGATTTGTGAAAAAGAATCGTGTCTGAAATCACTCTAACAACCTCTCACTGGAAACAGTGATCTCCCGCGACAGGTAGCTAATCTGCCTGGGAATGAGGGATAAACTGAATCCTTTACAGTTACTAGAACTTCGTAGCAGACTATACAGGGTTCAGGGACTCGGAACCACGGCTCGGAGCTTCGCGAACACCGGGTCCGGCCCAAGGCCTTCTAACACAAGCGTACGGCGACGCTGAAAATCGTGCACTCAAAAATTAACAATCTGGGTACGCGCGGCGGCGGCGCGCAGAGCAGAAAGCGCAGCCTCGCTGCAATCCAAAACAATGATCCACGTGGTCTACGCTCACACACAAAAGTATGCAGCAGCAAAAAAAATCAGCGCTATTACACAGAGCTCAATATCATCAGAACATGAAACAGAAAATACATCAAACGCCCAGTTCAGCAATTTCAAAAAGCATCAGACATACATTAAGCAAGCAATCCAGTAATTTCAGCAAGCATAGCATAGATCTTAAGAAGTCTAAGTTGGGAAATTGGGTTTCTCACTAGTTTGGGAATCTAAAATAATCTTAAAGTTGTCTGTTAGTGCCTTACAGAAGTCGTTTGAATGGCCTCACACGGGGCACCAAATACTGTAGCGATTTTAAATTCAAAATAAATGTCGAAAATTAATCAAATTAAATTATGACATTTATGCACTCGTTGAAGGGGCACCACCCACCTTTCTGGTGGGAAAAAGGACGAAACAAAGTTCAATTGAGTAATTAAACGTTGGATCAGTCTTACACAGATTTAAATCAGTCTCTCATCTGAGGCCGGAATTCTTCATTCAGGGACTACTTTCTGAAAGACCACTAAGACGACAACTTAGAATTAAATGGACAATTTATTAACAGCTATATGATAACAAAACGTCAATAAATGATGATCAAATAATGAGCAAATCAAAGCACATCTAATGAATAAACGAAGGAATGGTTTAAATTAAACCTAAGACTGGAGGTTAATAATAGTGAGTGAATAAAGGGGAAATTTAACCTACGTTAACGGAGTTACGAGGGTAAATAAAAGGAATTTGGAGAACTAAACTATAACTTATAAGAGTAAGCTACTGAACGGTTGACGGCATCACCCAGTTCTCATCACAGCAGTTTAGAGGATTTAGCCTACTTTGGACGTCGGTTCTCAGCGGCACCCTTGGAATGGATCAGCTGAAGTTCTGTGGCTACCGGACCGGAGACTGAAGGTTCGGCGGGGAATTCTTCCGCCGTGTCTGGATCTCAGCTTCAGGACCGTGTCAGCGCCGTTAGATACTTCGGATCTCTGGGCCTCTCGGAACCAGGTGGCAAAGCAGCTTGGCAGATGATGCTGGTCGGCGTTCAGGACTTGCTTGGTTGCAGATTAATTCGCGCCAATAACTTAAGAAAATAATTTCGCTGGCCAGCCGATATTATCTTCAGGAGTCACTTTAGCGAACAAAAATAAAAGACTTAGACTGAGGTTCTCTTATGCGCGCAGCTTGTTACTGAGGCTCTAAAGGACTTGGGAATGCTTTCATCCAAGTTTAGAATAAAAATCTGAGCTTAAGGCAATTAATAAAACGCGGGGAAAATTGCGAACGATAGGCGAAGACAAAAGAAAACTAGACGAAGACAAAAACGGAAGAGACAAAAACTGAAGAGAAGACAAAACTGAAGAGAAAACTAAAACTGAAGAAAAACAGAAGACCGAGCAAAGACTCCCGGGCTCTTTTAAACCATCCCGTGTGGGCGTGAGCCAAGAGGAAAGTTACAGCCAATGCTGTAACCCGATGCAGCACATCGACTGGCAGCGAATTTAACTCAACTTGATATTAAAAGCGAGCTAGATCTAATTTACTCACTCACTATGATTAAACTGTTTATAACATCACATACGATCACATTTCACTTCATTGTTTCTTATGAGCAGACGCATTAAAGCATGACATTGAAAACAGTAAACTTTGATCAGCCGTCTTCTTGACACTAACAGAGGATTAACGACTTTTAAAAGTTAGAGAGGGACAGAAAACAAATTATCTATTCGAACAGAAACACCATCCAGCATAAGAAACACATATGTAATAATATTTGACAACATTATAACCTTGTCAATCAAGCTTCCTAGATGATTAATATATATTTTTGTGTGAGGTAGATAAAACATAGTATGGATACATTCCGAAACTCTTAACTTGAGTCTAAACGAGTTTCACGTTACTACTTCTAAACTACTAGCCTATCTTGGGAATACCATTTACTAAGCTACGAAGTGTATAACAAAAGGAAAGAAATACACGTGATTAGATTCCTGCCATTTGGCTCTGATCAAACCATATTCAGGCATCACCACTAGGAGGAGCTCTTGGTCCATGGAAAAACCTGGAATAAATTTGTGAAGTTAACAGTTTGGCTTGTGGATATGTTACAGAATTGGGAAAAAGACCATTTCATTAAGAATGTGGTGTACAGACAGAAAATCCTGGTGAAGTGTCCATTAAACATGAAGTTAAACCATTTTCAGGCATCCTCTTCCTTCTGCTCTGCAAAGAAAGCCAAGGAATTTATGGCAGGTATCTGGTTTTTCAGATTTGGCGCCAACTGGCCTGTTTTCCCCCCTAGGTCATTGGGTTAATCCTGAGGTGTCAATTCTGATCTTTCCCAACCAGGGTGAGAGGCTCCGTGTTTATGGGTCTGTGTGGTTGATAAGCAACTTGTCCTTTTTGGGAAGCGTTAAAGATTCACTATCACCTCCCAAATGGTTGCCTAGGTCGTAAATGGGAACTTGGTGTGCAAACCGTTACTCCCCCATTTCCTGTCCAAACCAGAGGAGCCTGCATTCCTTTGAGGGGTGAATTCAAGGTGGATAGCAGAAAGCAGTTGTCTCATTACAGTCGGAATAAAATAACCATGAAATCTGCTGCTTGGTCGAGTGTGACGGAGATGATGAAGGAACTCCTCTTCACCTGCATGTGTGGGACCTAAAACCTGAATCATGCAGAGAGGAGACCTGGGCCCGTATGCACGTTGAAAGCGTTTAGCATAAACGCGATTAGGGCTTAAACGCGTTTAGTTCCTATACGATTTTGGTATGCACAATGCTGTAAACGGAACCGTATAGCTAACCGCGTTTACTGTGTCTTAAACGGGTCGAGTGACGCTCGAGTGACGGTTCGACTGACTGTCAACTGATCCACTCCTACCAACTCCCCACACACGTCTTGGAAAGAAGAAGTGGCGTAGTACCGTAAGGTTACAAGGACTTGTTGTAGTGGAGTGAGGGTGAATCCTCGGTTCGAAAGTTCAATTTCAGCGGAAATCTCCTGTGTGAGGTCGAGAATATGGTGCCGTCGAAATCTAAACTTACGGAACACTTCATGGTCGTCATACGTGTCGAAGGGGTGTTTTCTGTCACGAAAAATCCTGTTTCGACGCAATTGTCGCCGCTGTCTTCCTTAGAACAACAAGAGTGCCGCCATAATTAAACGCGTTTAGACCCGCTATTGGACCCCCAGAGGTGCGATAACTTTAAACGCGAAAATCCGTATAGGAACGGCTATACGAAGTGACGTGCATACCGATATTTTTTGCGTTTAGGAGTTAAACGCGTTTAGCCCTCTAAACGCGTTTTGCCAAGCAACGTGCATACGGCCCCAGGTTTAAACAAGATCCAGAAAGATCAAGATTTGAGATACTTTTTGGAAACCATGGACACTTGTGTTCCCAGCGAACTTGACAAAAGTCCAGATCCCCTTTTTCAGCAGGAAAAAAACTTATTTCTGGTCCCAGGTTATGAATTCAGAATCAGGTCTTTGTATTCATCGTGGTGGTCACATGTGAGATTAGGCCATCACAAAGACATGAGTGGTACGAGTGAAAGAGGACACAGTCGTACCAGACCCATCATCACGGAGGGCTGAGCTGTATGAGACTGGTGAAAAGACTTCGCATCTGCTGTTTCTCTTTTTTCAGCCTGTCATGGTCGTGATCGCAGGAACTGTCCACAGAGACTTTGGAGAAACTCTGCATGAAACAGCTGGAGCTAGGGTCTTAATTTAGCTCTGGGGTGAATGATCTACACAGGGTCACAGCACAGGAGCGAAAATTTTAGTTTTTTTCTTATAAAGATTTAGCATGGATAAAAAGCTGTGCAGGTGACTTCAGCTCCTCCACCAGATAATGCCTCATTTGCATGATCTGCGGGCCCCGTTGGAAAAATGCAGAAAATTCTTTTGCTCACAGGAAAAGTCGCGGCAGATCAAACTTCTCCTCGCCGAGTGGGGGGTTTGTGTCGCCGTGCAGCCGATCAGGAAGTCTGCAGCGCTTGATTTTAATTAGCCTCCCATTTCATGCTGCCAGCAGGACGTGTGTGCACATAGCAGCATGTAAACCTCTAAAGGTCAAAGGTCAGCAGCGGAGGCAAACTAAAGGAAAATTACAAAAAATTACAAAGAAATGATGGGATTAAACTCTGAATGTGAGTTTGAATCTTTCTAAGGACTCTTTTTTTTTTTTCCAGGAGTTTCTGCAAACACTTTGTCTGATCTTCACTTCAAAAGGATGTTCAGGGATTTAGAGTCCTTGTTTGTGAGTGTTTTAAGGTCTGGGGAATGTTTTCTGGCAATGAGGGTCTTCACAAGTATATAATTACAAACGTCTGTGTGTGTGTGTGAGTGTGTGTAAAGGTACAGTCACTTCTAATAAGCGCCGCACACTTTCTTTAACACACACACACATATACATACATGCACACGCAGTAGGGGGTCTGTCTGATTAGTTTCAGGTGTGTGTGCGTGTTGTAGTAGTGTGTGACCAAAGCCTGACACCTCTGTAACAAGCCTGAAGGGCGTGTGTGTGTGTGTGTGTTTGTGTGTGTTTGTGTGTGTGTGACAACGGGGTCAAAGCTGTAAAAAGCGCTCAAACACACCTCATGAGAGTCCACCTCTTTGTGCTGGGATGAAAGAAAGGGATTCTGGGTAACTGTAGCCATATAGAAAGTGTGCGCTCACACCTCAGATTATCTCACTCTTCGTCTTGTGTTACTCGTTCATCTGGGTGGAGCTCAAAGGATATCCATTTCCTCCGCCAGCCACCCTTTTTTTTCTGCAGAAAACTGAGTCCAGTTGATTTTTCTGGAAGATCTCCATCCCTGACGTCACCCAGTGGAGCCCGGCAGGTGTTTGATTACGGCCGGGTTACCATAGCAACAGTTATCAAAGTTACAGGTTCATGTAGAGAGGAGGACGCAGTGTGCTGCTTGCAGGTTATTAACTGAATTTTGGCACCTTGAGCTCATAAATGCTGACTTTATTACTCAGTGTCGATGAGATTCACCAGTGTCCAAGGCTTCGTTGTTTGAAGTAGTTTCAGCCGCTCCGTTTGGCTCGGCCCGGCTTTGGCTGCTTTTCCATTTTTGTGTTGTGAACTGAATCCTTTAGAAACAGCATTTGACGATCTGTTCACAGTAGGTCAACCAAAAGATTACCCAATAGTAACAGGCTCCAATGGAGGCACGTTGCCGCCTATATTTAAAGCCAAGCGTGGGATGTTGTAGTAAATCCTGGTCCATCGTGCTGGTGTGAGTTCTTGTTTGCAGAGACGTCTTTGCAGGAGAAGCTGAGAGTTAAAGAGCTAGGGCCTGATCAGCTGGACGTCAAAACCTTTAGAGGAAGAAAAGAGAAGAAAATCTAACATTATGTATTTCTAATATTGTTATTTATTACATCTAAGAATAACTGTGTATGTATTTGAAATGTCATTTAGAGTTTGAACTGTATTTTAAATGTGTGGTTCTCTCTCTCTCTCTCTCTCTCTCTCTCTCTCTCAGGTGCAGTCAGGTACAGATGGAGGTCGCAGGTTGGCCGTCACCCTCAGAGCTGACAGTGAGTTTCTTGCTTAAAAAAAACTTAAAATCGTTAACTTTAAGGAGTTTGAACCCCTAAATCTGTGAGTTATCGCCTAAAAGCAGTTTGAAGCCTCAAACACAATTTCACATCCAACATTTGGGATTCTCAAAGATGCCGTTACTTTGTTTTAGTCTATGTTCATTTTTCCCACCGAGCTGGAGCCCCTCTTTCCCCCCTCTTCTTCCTCCTCCTCCGCCGTCTTTTGTTCTTTTCTCCTAAAAGTCAAGTTCCTGAGCCGTAGCCGATCCTCCCTCCCGCCTTTGTCCGTGACCATGAGCGAGGAGCACATTCACAGTGCTCTTTGTGTGCGTGTGTGTGTGTGCGTTTGTGCGTGTTTCATGAAAAGTGTGTTTGTGTGTGTGTTTGCAGTTTTTAAGCAAACTCTACAACAAACAGAGATGAAAACAAGAAATTTGACTTTTTATTCCAACTTTAGCCTGAAAGGTTTATCATATTCCCTTATTTTTAGACTCTTTTCCCAACCTGCAGATACTGTAGTTGTCAGATGACTGAACTCTGCTCCTGAAGTAACGAGTCCAGTATAAATATTTGGATCAAACTGAAAGAAAAATGTTTAAAAACTGTCCAACTGTTTGTTACCTTCGGTTTATTTCTGTCAGCTGAGGGTACGACTATGTGCAAATGAAACCAAACCTTCAGCTGTGCATACTACTCTGTTATTCCAAAAATGACCGTAGCCTATTCATTATTATTTAATCTGATCCAAATTCACCTCTAACGTGGAGGTCAAAGGTCAGGAGGTCATGTGGCTTGAAGCTGATAATGCATCCTGTTCTGAAGAAAAGCCGAGAGGAAAAGTGATAAAATCTGCAAACTTTAGCCAAACCGAAGCGCTGAGGTGTTTTAGCATGACAATTAAACCACCTCAGCTTGTGTGTGTGTGTGTGTGTGTGTGTGGACTGAGCGACACACCTCACTGCCTCCTTTCCTCCAGCTTTTGGAGGATGACGGATTGAGGAGAGTCCGGAGCTTCCTCTTCCTCTCGCCTTATTGTCACACAGAGTGACCTTTGACCTCTGTTGCATCACTACCTGAAGCTGATTAGGTCAGCAATTCTCTCAATAAATGTGATTATTTTTCTTTCTTTTTTTAATTTGAAAAAAAAAGAAAGTCCTAGTTTGTGTTGCTGCTGGTGAAGGAGGTTCTCCTGTCATGTTCTCCAAGAGTTCCTCCTCAAAGTCAGGACCAGATCTTTGTCCAGATAAAGTTACTCCCCCTTGAAAGAGCTCCTGAGATGAAAAACCTTTCAGTGGATTGAGAGGGACTTTGAAGAGGCCTGAGAGGAAATAGCAGAAAGACCGTGTAAGAGGAGGACAGCTCTATTATATGCATTTGAAAAGTCCAGTTTCAACCCTGCATGCATCCCTTTCTCTGTCACTGGGTGGGTTTTAAAGCCCAAACTAGCTAGTTCTTAGTAATCTCATTGAAAGCTGCAGCAGGTTTCTGGCATCATGAAAAATGAGAGCCTTATTACAACCTGCAGCCTCAGGAAAACCACCAGAGATCCCAGAGGCAAACCTCTGACTGAGCATGTCCCAACAAAGGTCCGTCTGCGCATATGTGGTAATTCAGAGGCCTGCAGTGATTCTAAACCAGGCGATTAATAATATCAAATCAAATCAAATTTTATTTATTTAGCACTTTTCATGCAAAAGCAAATACAGCACAAAGTGCTTTACATGTTAAAAACAGTTTGAAAACAATTTCCCTCACCCCATACCCAGCCCCTCACCTCGCAGAGACCCCGCCCTAGCGCACTCACACACACACACAGATAAAGCAATCTTAAAAGGATGTCGCTGAGTACAGAGGAGCCAGGTCAGAAAACACCAGGAGGCCGACTGCACCAGAGGCTGCTCACGGCCCAGGGCCGGGACACCTCCACCCTGGCGTGCGCCCTGCCGCAATCCAGTAAGGGTCCCACAGCAGGAAGCACTGCTGCAGACCCCCACCCGGCCAAACTGAATGCACACCACGAGGCAAAGAAATCACAGAGAGGTAGTCACAGCCCTCAGTACAGGTGGCCCCCCCTCTGGAGAAACACAATAAAAACATAAAAACATTGACTACATCAACTAAGAACATCAAATCAAATCAAATTATAAAATACAAATAAATAGCAAAAACATCATTTAAAATAAGTTGATAAATACAATAAACAAAACATTTAAAATCTGGACTAAAATATATAAATAATATAAGATAAAATAAGATTATATATACTGTACATATATGTTTTTATATATATGTATGTATGAGATAGATTAGACTAACAAGTATAGTTAGTGAAAAAAGAGCTGATTTAATGCTTCTCACTGTGTCCTCAGTCACGTACCCTTCTGTTAGTTTGTGCCATGTAAGCTCTCCTTGACAAGGTAGCAAAACTTCCCAGAACACCTGTTTGGATGCTCTGCTGCGTCACCAGATCTTTAGCAGAGCCACACTAACTGTCACACTGAGATCCTCCTTTTAAAACCTGATCTCTGATTTCTTCAGAGTCCCGTTCAGACCAAACATTAATGTGGTTCAATTTGATGAAGCTTTCTGTAGTCAAGAGGGAATTCGTCTTATTCAAGTAAGACTTTTTGTACTTTTTAAAGACGAGTTTTAATCGTTCAGAATCACAGATTAAATAACACAAAGAGGAAGGTCAGGCAGCTCTGACTCCCTCTTTTGACCCTGTTGTAACAATTTAAAGCCTCGAAGAGGAAGAGGAGAAGATGAGGAAGAGTTTGGGAGAAAGAAGAGGTTAAAGATGAAGCTTTTACTTTTTGAACACAAAATCTGGTCATCTTTCATCCTCCTCTTCCTTTCTTTTGTCTTTAAAAAACTCTAAATACAAAGAGGAGGAAGAGGATGCACAATCTACCACCTTCCTCTCTCCTTTGTTTTCTTTATAAAAGCATTAGGATAGAGGAAGAGGAGGAAGGAGGAGGAAGATGAGCGTCCAGCCGTGAGCTTCTCCTTCAGCCCTGAACATGACCCCGCTTTGAGGAAGAGGAGCAGTGACTTGTATCCTATCCCATGCTCCCCTCTAACCTCCTCTCAGTCTCCATCCTTTTTAAGCTCCTCTCCTCTGTCCCTTCTTCCTCCTCCTCTTCCTCACCTCAATCCTCTTCGTCAATGGGAGGCTGGCAGGAGGGAAGAGGAGCAGTGAGTCGTGTCTGAGCTCACGCCCACTCTTCTTTCTGCCTCAGAAGTCCAGCTTTTCTCCTCCGATCCGCTGAGTTCATGGCTGGCTGCTCTTCCTCCTCCTCCTCCTTCGTCACTCCATCTTCATCCTTTATGAGATAAAAATGAGGATCAGGAGGAGGTTGAAATTGGGTGTTGAATGGTTAGAGAACATGTGATTGACAGGCTCTTCCAGACAATGAGACAATAAAATCCTAGTTTACACCAATAATCATTATAAACTCTGATTAATGAGGAAGTGAGCGATTGATGAAGACCGAGTTAAAGCTGCCGCACCTCTGGACCTGAGGTCTTCCTGTTCCAAAAGAATCAGTTCCTGCTTAAAGTGGTCTAAGGAAGGGAAACAGGTGAACAGGGACTGGCAGGACTCACTTAAAGGTGAGGAGTGGAGGCCGGTCTGGTCTGGATCAACCAAAGACCTGCTGGACCCTCAAAATTCTGAAAACAGTCCTCCATCCTCATATCCTGAAAAAGCCTCGCAGACCACACTGTTGACCTGTCCTTCTTTTTGTCGATATAAATTTGGAAATGTTGGACTCTGAGTAGCGCCATCTAGTGGACATATTTGGACGTATGAGACGATTACACCAGTCATTTGTTTATAAATCTATTGTTGTATAAAGGACTCTTAAGAAACCAGCCGTCACTCTTGATAACATATTTTATATCACTGTCCCCTCACAGATCATTGTGCACAAATACGTCTGCACGAGCTCAGCGCTGTGTAAGATAAATGTAATAGAAATATATTTATGCATGAGAGAAATTCCTCTTTGAATCTTTGGGATGTTGCTGAAAGAACATTTCTGATACAACAGAAAGTTTTCTGATACAGAAGAAATGAAAGCATTACTTTCATTTCAAAATGCTTTCAAAAGGACTTTTATTTTGAAAGGGTATTTAGGAACTAAGGTCACCTTCTGTACAATGAGGACATTAGTGCAACAGTTTTTCAATAGTGCATGAATTATATGTCAAGAAAATAAGGTGTGTGTGTGATGTTCCTAAACTCTCTCTCTCTTTCTCTTTGTGAATGTCTCTCGCCCTGCAGATTGTTCTCTAAACTACCCGTTGGGGAAACATGTGATCCATGAGGTCACCAACGTCTCCTTCAGTCACCTCGCCTGTGAGGATCAGGCTGCCGTGGTCGTCCACTGGTCCGCCAGTCCACTAGGTACCTGTTTTTATACCTGATAACCTGTGTGTGTGTGTGTGTGTGTGTGTGTGTGTGTGTGTGTGTCAGTCAGTGTGTGTCAATATGTGTGTGTGTGTGTGTGTGTGTGTGTGTCAGATGAAGTGGGGAAAGTTTGGGAGGAGGAACAGGAAACTAAACCCTTCAAAGTGCTCAAATCCGTAAGATTACCCTGCTGTGTGTGTGTGTGTGTGTGTGTGTGTGTGTGTGTGTGTGTGTGTGTGTGTGTGTGTGTGTGTGTGTGTGTGTGTGTGTGTGTGTGTGTCAGTCAGTGTGTGTCAATACGTGTGTGTGTGTCCCTTTGATCAGGCCCTCAGTATAAGAAGGAGGATCACATCTCACACCACAATACCAGGATTTGACCGTGAAGGAATGTGTGTGACTGTGTGTCCCTGTGTGTGTGTGCGTTCTTGTGTGTGCATGTGTGTGTGTGTGTGTGTGCCTCTCAGTGTAAGGTGAACCTCTCTCTCTCTTTGTGTGTGACAATACAGCCTGTTGTTTCTCAGAGAAGAGCCCGAATCGTCTCCAAAGTCAGAAAAGTCTGTTGAACTTCTTCTGTTAAAACAGCTGATTTTTGATGAGCCGCTTTCACTCAAGCTCCTCCGATAAACTCCCTGAATTTTCCAGGATCTTTGCCTCCAAAGTTTTCCAGATTTGCTTTTTCACACGTCCGTCAGAGTGAAAAGTTTTTGGCGAGTGAAGGGCGAGATATGACTTTGCTGCATAATACAGACGGAACAACAGAGAGCTTTGCAAACGGATCACATGACTGAAATGTCAACACCTTGGCATTTAAATCACATAAACTGCCTGAAATCTCACTAAACCTTATTTCACACAGTCAGTCTAACATACCCAGATAATGTGGTCGGGGGTCGATTTTATCTTACATGTATACACTGGGGTCTGAGCATGCTCTTTAGCTAGTAGACTGAGAAATTGAACAGCAGAAACACATGGAGAGTAAACAAAACCCCAGCAGAAGAAGACTGTAGCATCATACACTTACGGCAGGTACAGAGCTGTAAAGTTATCTGTGTTTTCACTGTTTGGTATCCAACCTTTGAGCCTCCTGCTAAAGCATTTGTTGATTATTTTGGTACATGACGTAACAGAGAGGCAGTCCAATAGCAATGAGCTGAACGGGGCACAGAGGTGGAAAAACACTTCAGTCTGGAATCAGTTCTCTCCTGAGGTTTGCAGACGAGGACATGGACAGTAGTTTAGTCAAATCACATGAGCAAGCTGTAACTGTTGCTCCACCTAACTGTGTATGCAAATTTACTGAGTGTTTTTCTAGGCTATGAGAATGCATGACAATCTTCCACTGCGAGGCTCATGTGTGAAAAGGAAAAGTCCAGAGAAATTCAGGATCTGCTAGTCCAGAGTGTTCGATCAAAAACAGCAAACTAAAAGCAGTTTTTCTCTCTTTTAAAATAAAGTCAATAAGAAACCCTGAGAGAGTTCAATTTCATACGACTTCTCACTGGTGTCTGAGAAACTTTGGAGGGGGGAAAGTTGTTTTTGTAAAGTCAGAAACTTTAAAGAATTGAGCAGATCCGAAGTGAGGAAAAGTCTGAGCCTGCTGTCTGCTGTCACACTGCAGCTGTCGTTAAAATGAAGAAAAGAGACCTCCTCGTCTGTCCTCGACTCTGCAGGAGAGACTCAGAGAGGTGTTCAGGAATCTGCCCGGAGACAGAAAAACCTGTTCTACTACTGCTCGCTCGCCCTTCACTCTCTCTCTCTCTCTCTTTCTCTCTCTCCACTCCCCACAGAGCTAATAGGAAAAACATGTCCTGTGGATGCAAAGGTGTAATTATGAGACGCACCAGTTTTCAAAGAGCGGAGGAGGAGGAGGAGGAGGAGGAGGAGGGGAAGAGAGGAGGAAACAAGAAGGGGAGGAGAGGAGTGATTAGCGAAAAGGAAAGAAGGAGGGAGGGAACAAGGAAAGGAGACTAAGTTGAATCAAAGAGAGTAATGAAAAGGACATGTAGGGGGAAGGAGGAGAGAAATAAAGGAGGGTAGTAAAGGAGTTGAGGGGTGAGGATGTGAAGCTGATAAGGGAAAATAAGACGATAAGGAGTGAGAGGAAACGAGGTGGAGAACAGGGAAAGGACACGAAGGAGGCAGAGGAGATAAGAAAGTGATAGGAAACGAGGAAAAGAATTTCTAAAGGAAAGAGGAAAATTGAGGGAGGATACAGCAGGGGAAGGAAATCAGAAGAGAAGAGGACAGGAAACAAGGAGAGGCTGATTGGAAAAGTAAAGAGAACAAGGGGGGATATAGAAAAGGAGGAGTGGGAGGAGGAAAACTAGGAATATTATAAAGAACAGGCAAAAAAGGAAATGAAAAGAGGAAAGGTGATAAGGGGGAAAGGGAAGAGAACAGGTTGGCAGAGAGGATGAGGGTATGAACAGAAAGAGGGGGAAAGAAAAAAGGAAAGGATGAAAAAATAAGAGAAAGTGAGGATGAATAAAGTGGCGAGGAGAGGATAAGAAAGTGAACAAACGAAGGAGATAAGGTGAGGAGATTTGAAGAAGATAGGGAGCAGGAAGCAAGGAGATGAATGGAGGAAAGTAAGCAAGAAGAGAAAGAGACAAAAGGAGTTATGGTAGGAAACAAGTGTATGAAAGTAAGGACAGAGGGAGAGGAAAGAAAAAGAGGACAGAGGAAATGAAGGTAGAGAGGAAGGAAACAAAAAGGGTGAGGACTTGTGAGAGGTTAAGCGAGAGCAAAATTAAAAACTGATGATTAAAAAAAGTGATAAATAGTTTGATGGAAAAATGAGGTGACGAGGGAGGAGGTGAAAAGGAAAAGAAAGAAGGAGAGAAGGAAGGATTGTTAAAGATGAATCTCTATGTTTGTGTCTCGGCAGGAATTGAACACATTAAAGGTTTCCGAGTTTACCTGGAGGACAAAAACCCGGAGGGGAAACAGTGTCAACACCTGATCCTTAAAGACCCTCGACAGCTCAACTTCTCCTACAGGGTCACGGTACGACCAAAATTTATAACATCGTTTTAACAATAGTATGTACACACAGATGGATGGTTTGAAAGGTCAGTCTCTGTAGGACTGGTCTTTCCTTTTGTCTTTATCTTCATCTGAACATCTAACCTGCATGAACTGACCATGAGCGTGATTCCTCTTTCTTTATTCCGATCCCACAGAAGCTGAGCAGTCAGCCTTTCAGCGGTCTGACCTTTGACACCGACTACATGGTTCGAGTTGTTCCATTCCCAACGCTAATGAACGAGAGCTTCTTCCCTCCCTCCTTCCTCAGGACCAACTGTGAGTGCAGAAGACTCCTCAGATAAATCCTGATGATGATTGTCGTTTTGTAGTTGTGCAGAGTTAAATCAAAACACCTGTTTGGATCTGTGAGCCTGCAGAAGAAAGACCTGATGCCTTTAAGTGAATCAAAGAAATTAAAGATGAGGCTAAAACAGACCAGGACACGCTGTCTAATCATTTCTGTGTGTTCATGTTGCAGCGTGTGAAGTCCTCCTGGGATCAGACAACCTGGTCTGCAAACCCTGTAAGTTCCTCCGTGACGCCGTCATAACCAGAGCCATATGCACACACAAGACTCGGTGCACGGTTTGTTGTCTTGTTCTCCAGGCAGCTCAAAAATAAATAAAAACATTTCCATAAACTCATCTGAAGTCTAAAGGAGTCAACATGCCGTTTCTCTGCTAAATACAAGATCAAAACATGTTTACAGTCAACCATCTCCAGGATTTCATCTGAGATATGAGTTTGTGTTTTCAATATTTCACATCCAGCAGAACAAAAGAGGAGCGTGCAGATGTTTCTGATTTAAAACCTGCCGGGAAAAAAATGAGATTAGGTTTTGTAATCGTTGCAAGAAGTGACGAGTTTAACGCTGTTTGAAGTGCATCCGAAGTTTCCAAAATAACAAATCAAAAGAACTCTGTTGTGCCTATGGAATAAGTGTTTGGAAAAGAGCTCTGTTTGATCCGTACAGACGATGTAGGAAGGTGAAAGTTGACACAGGGAGTTACTGTAATCATAAAACTATAAAAACTCACATTTAAGACACCTGATGAAGACTTTGGTACTTCTACATGTTCTTCATCTCAGGTTAATCTTTTCATCCTTCTGTTCAGATTGGAAACCAAAGACCCTGAACGTGTCTCAGCTGGGATCAAACCTCCATGTGGCGTTCGATCAGGCGCCGTCCTCTTTCGGCTTACACCTGTATTACCTGTACTACAAACTGAGGCAGGACGGACCCTTCAAACTGCAGCGCTGCAAACCTGTGAGTATCTTTGGGCTTTGGAGAAACAGGAGGATCAACTGAGAATCATTCGTGTTAAAAAAAAAAACAAAAAAAAAAAAAATTGTAAAACTTTAATAAACCTATAGGAGGATCGCTGTGGTCAAACAGTCACCTAAACAAAAATATGTTGAACTATCGGCTAGTTTTTCCAACTACAGTGTCTCATGATTAAAACAAACTGCAGGCAAAACTGTCTTAAATAACTTTTTCATGTGCAGGACCTGAACCAGCTCAGAACGACATGCATCCTCCAGGACGTCACTCCAGGGTCCTACACTATAGAGGTACCGAAATGCATGCATGCGTTTTGTGTTTGAGGTTTCTAGTCTCCAGCTAACATGAGGATTAACATGCAAACACTAAAATGACCTAAAACCCTCCTCTTTGAAATTTGAACCTATTGTTTAAAACGTTTTTTCCTCCTTTTTCCAGTTAAGAGACGACAGTAACGTCACCAGGAGGCAGACTCAGTACCATGTCAGCCAGGGTACGACACACTCACACACACACACACACACACACTACAAAGTACACACAGTCTGGAGCTGCAGCTGATCAAGAAATCAGACCTAATCAGTCGATTGCTCAAATATGCATGAAAGTTGTGCAAAAATCAGGGCAGAATTCTGTGTCTGGATGGGTTATTTCTCTAAAAACTTTGAGTAGATTTGCATTAATCGTTTACTCACGCTGGATGTGTTTTTTTTTTTTGTGTGTGTGTGTGCAGTCCACTCCCCGTGGGCGGGGCCTATCAGAGCCATGGCCATCACAGTCCCTCTGGTCATCATGTCTGCCTTCGCCACCCTGTTCACGGTCATGTGCCGCAAAAAACAGCAAGGTGAGACCTGTTCATGATTTCCTAACCATCTGTAAAAATGTCTGCTGACTTTGATGAACATTACTCTGAGTGTTTTGGACTCTTTAGACCCTCTGATATGTGAAGGAAAACCTTATATTTAATATTTTGGATTAACTCCGCTGATCCAGTGAAGGATTATACATTTATTTATGAGTAAGTGAATCTATCATCATTTCATATGTTGACCTATTGGTATCCTCCTCTCACTCCTGTCAGAAAACATCTACAGCCAGCTGGACGAGGAGAGCAGCGAGTCGTCCAATCAAAGTGCAGCCCTGAACACGGAGCGACCGTGGCCCCGCCCCAAAGTCTTCATCTGTTACTCCAACAGAGACTGTCCCAAACACACCAGCGTCATCCAGAGCTTCGCCTTCTTCCTGCAGGACTTCTGCGGCTGTGAGGTGAGACAGCGACAGGACAAACAAACATGAATATAAATAAATGTTTAACTTTTCATATATATGATCGTTCTTTCAGTGAGCTGTTTTTGAGTCCTTGCTTTCTGTCACGCTCAGGTGGTGCTGGACCTGTGGGAACACCTGGAGATGTGTAAAGAGGGTCAGATGTCATGGCTGAGCAGACAGCTGGATGAGGCCAACTTCATCATCACCGTCTGTTCAAAGGGCCTCCGGTACTGAACTTATATTATATTATATTATATTATAGTTAACACTCATTTACAACTCTGCTGTACTCAAGTTTACCCTGTCTACTTTGGATTACACTGAAAGTGATCCCAGCTGTCATGAACTCTGCTGCCTGTCAAGTTAAAAAAAAAGTGCTTCATGTGTTTATTCATTAGTTTTATTTATTTGTTTATGTAAATTAGACATGCTGTAACATTTAACCATGCACAAATCCCACAAATGAGATCTGTGGGATTTGTTTTGGGTGTGAGAACAGGTCGTTTTTCTCTCAGGCAGGATTTAATATTTTTATTAAAAACATTAAAGTTGTGTTCAAGTTTCAACTGGGTGCTGTCAGCTGCAGTTCCTCCTCTGACCACTAGATGCTGCTAAAATCATTCATTTCTAAAACTAAAGTCCTTAAAATTCCACTGAAACTTTAGTCTTCTTATGTTTGTGTGTTTTTGCAGATATGATTTCACAAAAATATAGTAAAGCATTAAGATTTTTTCTATTGTGATCACCTCCAGAAAAACTTTGATAATGAAAATAACCGACATCTCATCTAATTTGCTGTATTTTATTTACTGTTGGACTCTGTTTCTTACACATGGAGAAAAAATATAATCATTTTAAATTACTATAAGATGAGATAAAATACTTTATTGATCATCAAAGGGAATTTAAAATCTTAAAAATAAAATCAATTAAAATAGAATAAATAAAAACACAACAGCTTTGTTCACAGTCAGAAAGAGCGGGCCAGCTCAAAAATTTAACATGTTGACTACACAGGCATAACAAAACACAGCGAAACTGTTGTATTACCAAATGTCATCAATAACTTATAGCTATTGACTAATATTAAAAGCCTTTTTTGTATTTATACCACAAAAAAAGATGCTTCTTTAATAGAATCCTGCCTACTCCACCTTTAAGTTAATAAAGTTGCTATGTTACGAGGATAAACTCACGATATAGTCGTAATTTAGTTTTGTGGTTAGCAGCCAGCTGTACCAAAACGAGGAACATAATCTTTGTGGTAACTTACAGAATAAACAGTTACCAGTTTTAGGTTTACAGCCAGACTTTCATAAAAGAATAGTGTGATACTGGCAACTCTGAACCTCATTAAACTTCATATTTTGTATGTTTTTCTCTCACTGCAGTTACTACATGGAGAAGAAAAGCCGCAGAGGAAAGACACCGGTCAGTCGGCGGAACAACAGCAGCAGCAGCAGCTCTCCGGTTAGTGGATCAGGCAGTGACCTCTTCATTGTGGGCGCGGCCATGATCGCTGAGAAAATGCGGCTGGCCAAGCAGAGCGAAGGGGGCGGGGCTCAGGAGCTGAACCGCTTCATGACGGTTTACTTCGACTATTCAACAGAAAACGACATCCCAACCATTCTGAGCCTGGCTCCGAGGTAAACACGACACAAAAACGATGATGACACATGAAAAATAACCATTTCCACGCAGATACCTGACAAGATCATCGCAGAGAACGTCTCCTCAGAGTTCAGCTGAAAGTGTTTCTCTGTGTTCAGGTTTAAGCTGATGGACCAGCTGCCTCAGCTCTTCAGCCGGCTCCACTCCGCTCAGTCCAGTCTGTTGGACCGAGAGTCTCAGCCTCTCAACGTCTCCAGGAGGAACTACTTCAGGAGCAAGTCCGGACGCTCACTCTACGTCTCCATCTGCAACATGCACCAGCACATCAGCCAGAACCCGGACTGGTTTGAGAAGCAGCTGGCTCCTTCAGGAGACTCCTCCAGCTCCTCAAAACCCCCTCCTCCTCTCTCTGCTGACCAGGCTCCCTCTCCTCCTCCAAAGCCCCACTGCTCCTCCTGCTCGTCTCAGCCTGAACAGAGGTTTGACTCCGGCCTGGTGCTCAATGAGGTGGTGGTGAAGACGCCGACACTTGAAGGAGGAAAGGGAGCTCCACGAAGGAATGTGCTCCTGCTGGCTCCTGGTTCCAGTCCCAGCTTTGAACAAGGCTGCAGTCCCAGTCCCAGTCCAAGCCCTGGTTGTGGTCCTTGTCCCAGTCCAGGTCTGCCACACTGCTCTCTGTCCATGCTGGGACCTGCTTCAAGGTAAAGGAAGACGTTTGGTTGGTAAAACCAGTTTAAACCAACAAATAACGTAAAACTCTTCATGAGTCTGACTTTGCTGTTTTTCTCCTCTTTCAGGTCCACTTCAGGAATACCTGGACTGTTACCTGAGGAGTCTTCCTCCTCTTCATCCTCCTCCTCTGCTCCCTCCATCCTTCAGGAGCAGGTGTGCCCTTTTCTCGCTCAGGCAGAGGAAGGCTGTCCATCTCCTCCAGAAGTCCCGCCTCCCCGTGATTCAGGCATCTATGATTCGTCTGTCCCCTCGTCAGAGCTCTCTATTCCGCTGATGGAGGGACTGTCACATGACCAGGCTGACTCCTCCTCCCTGGCAGAAAGTGAATCCTCCTCCTCTGGGCTGGGTAAGGTTGGCGGTTATTTGACTTATGTCCTGTTTGAGTAAATACAAAAAGATCAGTGTATTCAACACTCGGCTGTCGGTGTCTTTCAGGAGACGAAGAGCCGCCTATAGTCACGTCTCTTCACTGCAGCTCCTCGGCAGTCTGTAAAGCAGAACTGCATCACCACGACCACCTGGACCACAGTGATGCGCTCGCACCCGTTGCATCATCATAGGAAATACCTGCGTGATCTTGTCATCACAGAGACTAAACGATGCTGAGCTGGACCTGAACTATTTCTAACGAGTGATGTCATCCCGTTGTTATGGAAACAAAACTGGCTTTAATGAAAAAAAGCACTGCAGCCGATACGTGGAGCTTTGGTACACTACTCACTTGTAGCCGTGGTAACCACTAAACTTGGAATAGTCCTTTCCGGTAACTTTGGTGACTTATAACTGCTCAAACAGTACCCCAAAGTAGTCATGGTAACCACTACTTTTTAAACCATTTTTTTTCTCCTTGTTAATGTCACTAGTACTGAGTTGCTATGGTAACCACTAAATTAGCGAAATATTAGCCTTTGTTCTCTGAGGTGACATTTAAATTATAAAACACTGCTCTTTGAAAACTGTTGTTACTGAAGTTCTAAAACTGTTAGCATAGCAACTGTCCTGTCGCTATAGTAACAAAAAGTATGAACTAGACCTGTATGGTTGTTGGTACCCTGTGAGATTAAGTGATACCAGGTTACTATGGTTACCAAAGAATTCCAGCACATTCTGTCTGGTTGCTTTAGTAACAAAAGATTCTAATCAGAACTGTCCAGTTGCCATGGTAACCAAAGCTGTAGAGTATGGTTCTGAAGGTGTTCTGGTGCTAAACTCTCCGATTGGTTTGAAAAGTTCTTGAACACTAATGCCTGGTTGCTATGGTTACCAAAGAGTTCTAGACCATGTGCCTGGTTGCTATGGTAACCAAAGAGTTCTAGAACAGCGGTGTTTGATAATCACTGTTTAAGGACTACCGGTTCCTGTTAGTCTTAGGTCCACAGCTCGTCAAACTGATCGCCCTGTCTGGTTGACTTTTGAAGGACTCAATCTCCTGATGCTGTCCAAGCAAAGTGGTTCCAAACCAAAGAGTGACTCAGCACTGTTTATACTGATGAACTGAAAAACTGCTGAGTCACAGGAAAGTAAAGATTCAACACCAAGACACGATGCTGAGGTAACTTTTCAGGCACTTTTTGATGCAGTAACCTAAGAGGGGATGATGCCACAGCAGCACACATCCAGATTTTAATGACAGAAACATCCAACAGGACTGGAGCAGATCTACAAAGTCATTTCTGAAAAATCTGCTATATGTGTGGACACCTTAAAGAAGTCCAGTTTAGAAATCTATTTGATATCATCTCAATACTAACCAACAGCAAGAAAAAAAAAATACTTTGCTGTCTTATAACAATAAACATTTTTATTTAATCTGTTTATCTCTCCTTAGAAATGTCATATTCCTACAGCTGGAATTAAAACATTTGATCGATATTCTTTTGATTTAAACAAGGAGGATTTTTTTGCAGTCAAATGTGTAACGGCAAACCTGATTTCAAAATATTTTTAACAAAGGAATATCTGTTTTCTATATTTTCTAAATATCAGAGTGGGCAGTAATCTGATTTTTTTAGGAGATGCAACCAACTGTTAAAATGTAAAAGTAAAACCTGCTAATGTGATATGATATGGTTGAAGAAATTTTTGAAGTTTGTGTTAAATTTAAAGTACTTTTCAATTTTATTTTCTTTACTTTTCAATTGACAAACTCTTACAAGACAGTTCAATTTATTTAACTGGCGGTGCCACAGAAAAAGCTTTGAGTATCGAATGCTGTGGTTTTGTTAAGTTTATTGTTACAGATTTTAAAGTATTGAATACACACATTACCTGTTTTTAATCATTTTAACACTTTGTTAACATTGATGCAGGAAGCAGCAATGACGAGGGCATTATGAACAATGACAGTTATTTTTAAATTTGTTAACCATATTTTTCTTTTGCGGGGTTAATCCTTCAAAAACACACATGAAATGTCAAATGTGTGAAAATAATAAGGAAATAATACAATCAATATCACAGAATTTCTTTATGAGGTTAAAAAACTACATCTATACTCTAAAAGTAATTAAATATTAAGGTACAGAATATTAGCTTTTTGGTGAATATTTTTGAACAGCCATTAATTGGCTGTATTAAAAAAAAAACTTAAATTTTGCACAGTTGGCCTTCCGTACATTTGCTAATTACTGATCTTTAAGACCATTTTTTTGTACCTAAAACATGGAAGATCACAATATTTCTGCTGGGTGTTGATGTCTTTTATGAGCTAAGATGATTTGGTTGTGTTCCTGTACTATATATTTTTTTAGTCTGTGAGTTTGTGTGAAGGGAGGATTCAGCATTTCCAACTTGTAAATAGTATTTTTATTGTTATTTTCTTCCAGGAAATGTCTGTTTTGCTACAATTTTGTAAAGTTAGACTGTTGGTCACAATTTTTTCTGCATTTTTAGAAATGTACTGTTTTATAGTACTTTAATGTAGGAAATAGTTATTCCATTTAATAAAAAAAATCTCCCTTACTATGCTCTCATCAAATCTCTGACTCGTATGTTGTTTTACTAAGTTTCTGGACTGACAAGAATCGGATCAGAACCACATTATGAAGTCATACAAGTTGTAAAGCTGTTGAAAAAGCTGTGATGCAAACAACCACTATGATAAAACACTAAATACAATTTTCCAGCTATCAGTTCTCTGACACAGTGAGAATGTCCTTATGGTTTTGTAAAGATGAGTCAGCTTGTGGCTCACAGAGAAGTTGATTTTTTCACGGTCCGGCACTCACTCTCACTAACTGCTCTGATGTAAAAGCTGCAGACAGCTCTGTGGAGTCTGAGCACTGAAGCTTTAATACTTAAAATAACAGAAGCTCCTAAACTAACAGACAGCTGAGCTCAAAGGCACACAGTCAGCCAGTCCTAAAATTTTCAAAATAAAAGCACAGGGTTGTACTATGAGTGAAAATCCTTCATTATCAGTTTGTTAATATTTTTATTTGTTAGTTTGAATTTAGTTCAATATTTTCTGTGACGTGTTGGATATACAATTGTGACGTGTTGACGTGTTGGGTATACAATTCAGGGCAGATTACTGGGCTTGCAGTGAGATTATATTGCCACTTTATGGGAAGGAAAAAGTGTTAATTCTACATCCACGACTGGCAATTGTATGGAAAGCCAAACAGACCATAATCCGTCTTCACCTTTCTTTATTTCTTTAACCTTAAAGCCCTTGATTTTCTTGAATGTGGCCCGTTTCTTTAACTAAAATAGGATGTTTTTATTTATATTGTACATACACTGTACAATGAAAGTTGTTGTACTTCCCCAAAACGGAACAGAAATAAGAACAATTCATCATACTCTCTTGCATGCATTCATCTACATGCACTCATTTTCTTCCCTAATTGCTGCACACGGATTCAGACAACAGAAAATACCAGAGAAGAGAAAATGCAATCAGAGCAGTCTATAGTACAGTAACCCCGAATTTCCACTGCATCCTGAATGGCACCGATCCGCCATTCCAACCGGATCCGTTTGTGAAGCAAATTTCATGACAGATTACGGACAGCGGGAATCGTGAGAACTCACAAGAACCCAGCGGAACAGAAAGAAATGGTGGAAATTGACATATTTTGGTTTAAGCTGATGCATAATGTAAATGTGTTTGACCATGGAGGTTGTGTTCCCTACTTGTAAAAAAATATTTTGCAACATAAATTGCATTTTAGTCCATCTCTATCCTCAGCTTTGGTAAAATGGAGCCACACTTTGGATCTTTTCACACATTTGGAAACTGAACACAAGAATTCTTCTACTTTTTGCTATGTGAGCACTGTTGATTTAATTAACCTAACCTGAGTCAACTCAAAGTATAACATTCCTTCATGAGACTCACAATACTTAATGTCAGATTTGAGAAGCTCAAACGATTTTGATTTTCATGTTTTGAAAAATAGTCATCTAGGGTTTTAATAGACCCAATTATCTAGATGTGATAGTCTGGCTTTTTGAAGGGATTCCCTAAGTCATCAGAAAATTTATGTTTTTTCATCAGGAAACTGGCTTTTTATCGCAAAATAATGAGATAATTCATCCTAATGACAAAAATAAATCACAGTCTTAACAAAATGGTTAATGGATATTAAGTTGTCAAAAAGAAATCAAGATTCGAGAGAACAACATTAAACTACCAAGTTTCATGGTAAAGCTCAGTAATTGAAATGTGTTTGCAGATCTGTTGAGGGCTTCTGTGGGAACAAATAATGGCCCTATCGGCTTTCCATACATTTAAGCTCAAACGTGACGCCAAACAAAAGAGCTTTTAATTTGAAAGTCTCACCGGAAACACACATCGGCCTCGTGCTGGAGTTTGACAGGGACAACCAAAGAGGGATTTTCTTTACAATCTCAGAGGCTCTCACTTCATTGTTGAGCTGAATCTTTGCTCCGAAGTTTATTTTTGACTTTCTAAAGTCACGGACAGGTGGAATTTTCTTCACGTGGAGTAACAACAGGTGGACCCTGATCGGTTAACCGATTATCATTCTAAAATCAGCTGATTGTGGATCTGATCCGGATTGTTGGGAGGAGCTGCAGCCAGATGCAGACAGGTGATGGATACCAGTGGGGATCAAGGTGAGCAGATACGCTCCTGAATGAATGATTTAAGAGCTTTTAGTTGAAGAAAAAGACGAAATTTTAGAGAAAGACAGGGCGTTTTCAGAGAGTGAGTGAGAGAAGAGGAATGTGAGGAGGACAGAGAGGGAGGTCAGCCTGCTAGTCTGCTAGTCTGTAGTCAGTCTGCTACTTCATTAAAGCTGTGAGGAGATCCAGTAAGGGAGACCCTGAAACTGATCTACAGCAGAGAGACAGAGAGGGAGGAAGAAAAAGGAAAGAAAGATGTTTTTATCGCTGCCTGTGAGTCACAAGTTTGCATGAGAGTGACTTATAGTCTGCACACTCACACACACACACACACACACACACACACACACACGCTGCTCTGTAAACAGGCAGTAATCACAGCAGTTTGGTGCTAAAATTCACGTTTGTTTGTTGTTTTTCTGAAAGTCAAGAGCAGCAGACTGCTAAACTAAAACTAAACTTTAACTAAAGTTAAACTTAAATAAATCTTTTTTTCCCATCCTTATCTTTTTTTAAATCACAGCAGAAGTCATTTCAGGACACTGACAGAAAGTGTGTTAGCAGTAAAGACAAGAAGCTGCTCTGACCATCAGAAAACGTCTTCTTCGTGGAGAAAAACTCCCTTCTCTGTGTCTTTTCTTGTTTATCACTTTTTATCAGTATTGGTGATGTTCACAGTCCTGGAAACAAAGTTCACGTACCTGAGTTCATGGAGATAAGAACTTTTTTAAACTCATTTTTAGATTCACATATAAAAAACAAGCTTTTCTTGTCATAATAATGAAATAGAGAGTTGTAAATGTTGTTGTTTAATGCAGATTAAATTTAAGAAAAAGAGAAAAAGGCACTTAAAAGGACACATCAATCTGTTTGGAGCAGCATTACAATTCTGTTAGATTGGATGAATATTAAAGTGGTTTAAAGTTAATGTATCACTACAGAGCAGTGTGTAGTGATAATGGAGGGAGAGAATAAATCAAAAGTTTGTCTTTACCCAGAGACAAAAAAATATATTTTTTATATTTTATAATTTTAGGCCTTTGTTTAAAGCTACTATGAGGACTTTTACAGAAGTTATAAAACAGGCTGAAACAAACAGAGATGCATCTCTACAACATACAAAGGCAAATTAGACTTTCAATTTTAGGATTAACAATTTCTGTATTATTGGTTTTCATGGCTGTAAGTGCTGTGTGTGTGGGGGGGGGTAGGTTCGATGAAAATTCAGACTCTGTCACTTTTACTGACGCAGTTATTCACAGTTAGTGGTAGATTTAACTTTAAAAAGAAAACAGGGTGAGATTTTTTTCACAGTTCACACCATTTTTACAAAGGTAAGATAAAATCAGACAATATAGGGTTATCAGTTAGTCCACAGGGGGGCGCCAAAGTCAACACAGACAGGCGCTTGAATTAAGATTAGCACAAAGATTTTCGATCCATACTGTTAAATAAAAAATGGATTTGATAACCGTAACATTATATTTAGTTGAATATGAGATTCTGTTGTTGTTTTACAGAGTCCAGGCTTTATTGGAGTTTATGTATGCTGCACTATTAGAAATGTGGTAACTAATAAACCCAAATTTAACAGTCCTTGAATTTTACATCAAAATATGACTCTAAAACACGGATGGGAGTTGAGCATCAGTTCCAGAACAGAACCGGTTTTAACTGGTTTTGACCACTGACATCATTTGCCTTTATGCCTAATGTTCTTATATTAATGTCTTCCAATTAGCTCTGCATGACTTGCAAAACAATGACGTGACACGCCGTGAGGAGCAGTCAGTGCAAACGACAGCAAAGGAGTCAGTTCAGTTTAATTAAGTTTATCTGTGCATGTAAAAGTACCGAGTGTGTTTCTGCAACATCTGGGAGCTTTTCTGTCCCACAGAGGGGATCTGTGCATTTTCAGAGACTGTCTGGATCCAGTCTCTCTTGAGCAAATTGATCTGTGATGATTTATGGGAGGTTTTTAGATAGATGATTGATGACAACACTAGTGTAAGGCTATGATCTTTGTTTTGGTTTGTTGACCAATCAGAGGCTGTTTCTGAGGTTGGCTGGCCATTGGGGGTCCAGTCAGAGACTGAGAAGCCTCCTTGTCTCAGCAAGGAAACTGGAGCAGTGAACAAACTCTATAAGAATCAACATAGAGGTCAGACTGGAAGAAAAAGGTTATGAATATGCAGTGAGGGGTCAACATTGATAAAATAATGAATGACCATCAATGCATAGAGGGGCCCCTGGAGGATATATCTGTGCATCCATACATTTGTGCATGGGTGTAAATAAGATTTCAACTATTCTCATCCCTATACCAAATCAAAACAAACCCAAACAGAAAAGTGTACAGAGCAGCAGAATCCGCGTGTTGTCCTGGTACAGTGCAGACCGCAGTAATAACAGACGGGGAGGCTCAGAGCCGGTGCGGTGTTCAGTGTGGATGTATGCAGGAATGTTGTTCCTCCGCCGTTCAGAAACAAAGACGAAGTTTGTTCAGCTGACGCTTTTTCTCCAACTAATCATCATGTTTGAATCTGCAGTATGCTGCTCAGCTGGTTCAGGAGGAGCGTGAGAGTGTGTGTGAGAGTGTGTGTGTAACTAAAGGTGTGTGTGTGTGTGTGTAATTAATATGTTGGCTGGTTTAAATGTCAGCAGCAGTTCAGAGAAGTACAGTTAGCCACACCAGAAAAAACCTCTTCTATTTAAATGGTTTTTTGAGAGTAAAACATAAAAATACAACAGAGTTTGTGAGGCTCAAATATGAGAGAAAAACAGTCAAAATTTCATCAGAATAAATTCGTAATAATTGGAGTGTAAAAACCATAATTTACTGTAATTTTAGCAGTAAAATGAGTGAAATCATCTTAGTATTTCCTCTAAAAGCTCTTTGTTTGGAGCGTCTTGTATTTCAATAAACATAAACATACAGATGAACAGGCACCATTAAAGCTCCATTTAGGAGTTTTTCAGTGTTAATGAAATAGACTGAATTTCATACTGATGCCTTTTCACAACGTTCTAAAGCAAATGAGACCACCAGCAACAAAACTGAGGACTTTTATTCTGTAATTTTTAATACCTTAAAAAAAGTGCGAGGGTCAGTGTCAGCCAAGCAGCTGAAGAACAACCCTGTTTTTACAATAACTATAATAACTATAATAATATATAATTATAGTCTGCAGGGGGCACCGAAGTTGCCACAAACCCAGAGTTCCTCACTGAGGCTTTAATTAGATCAGTAAACAATAAAAGGAGGAGTCTTTAAAAAAAAAAAAGGGGCAAAAAGAAAAATATAAATTTTGTGGAGCGGTTAGTGCTCTGACAGGAGAAAGGATGGATAGTTTCCTGGAGCAGGTCTAAAATCAGTAAGAACGTTTGACCCAGGATCAGCTCCTCTCGTAAGGGTCAGAGCAGGTCAGCGTGTCCCCTCCTGTTTCCTGAACAATGTCCTGATTTCATGTTCATCTTTTTCCACTGCAGGAAATGTTCTCATCCCACCTGAATGAAGATAACAACCAACACAGTCTGAGTCATTTTATTGACATCAGCTCAGCTGTTTGCTGTTTTTAATCCAAGGAAATCAGAACAGAGTCTAGGTTTTTGATTGTCATCATCATATCACAGCCTGGGATAAGGGGTTTTAGTCTAAATGAAGTGATTTTAATTAAAATAAGGATAAAAAAACTCATAAAGCTCTCCTCTAGTCAGATTAGTGAAACTTCAGCTCTTCCAGAGACTTTTATCTTCTTTGTAAAGACAGAAACTCTGTTTTTAGTCTGAAAACAGTTAAGTGAGCGAGGAACAGATTAAAAACAGATGAGAGTGAGAGATTCAACAAGAGGAAAAAGACAAAGAGAGAGAGAGAGAGAGAGAGAGAGAGAGTGAGAGAGAGAGAGAGAGAGAGAGAGAGAGAGAGAGAGAGAGAGAGAGAGAGAGAGAGAGGGGATCCTGCAGCCAAACAAACCTCTGAACTGAATTAACTGACTTGTGCTGTGCGTGTGTGTTTGTGTGTGTGTGTGTGTGTGTGTATGTGTGTGTGTGTGTGGGTGGATGGTGAGTGGGTGGGTGGGTGTGTGTGTGTGTGTGTCCAGGGTGGGATCCTTCTTCTTGCTGTTGGAAAAAGCTGAAACTCCCAGGAACAAATGACTCACACACTTTAACACACTCGACTTAAACAGGTTTAATGTACACCAGCTACAACACACACTTTAACACACACTCAAAGATCAGACCTCGAGGATCTGATCATATCAAGTTTGCAGAACTAGTTTACGTTCGTATTTGTCAGCATTAGTCTTACGCTTGAGCGTTTTGTCTGAATTTGTTGTTTTTATATGAAGCTGAGGGATTTTCCTTGAACCAGCTGACACAGAAGAAAAGTTTTACTCTGCTGAGGTTTTAAAGTCTTTCTAGATGTGTGTGCATGTTTCCTTCAAGGTCACAGAGGTCAGGAAACAGAACATGTCTGTGTTTCACTTTCTGTCCATAAATCTCTCACCTGACGCTTTTTGAACTCGCTGGTTTCCCTCCTGTATGTATTCATGCTGTGCCACATTTACTTTAGACGTGGGTATCAGTACCACAGGCTGGGAATGACGTCACATTGGAGCTGACAGCGTCACAGGTTTGCCATAATGAGATGAAGTTGGTGATTGACTTGAGGTCGTATTCGTCACAGATGTGTCAGGAAAACACATTTTTTGATTAATAACTTATTTTATTAGTTCACCTGTTGCATATCAGCTTTTTGCTCAAATATGATATTTAATGTGGTTTTAAATCAAGCAGCAACCTCCGGCCTTGAGAAATGAAGCTAATGCGAAAGTGCTAAAAACTGCAGTTCCTCCTGTGTCCACTAGAGGCTGTCTGCAGAAGCACCGTAAACCACATACACACTAAGCCAAAAAAAGTCACTTTTAAGTGCAGAAATGAACGCGTTTACAGCTCGGTTCAGACAATGGTATTAGAGTAGTTCGGGGCTTCCGCGGTACCTACTGCATGGTGTAAATATGTTAGTTTTGTATGTTTAAGGTTAGAAGATCAGCGAATCAGAGGCATAGTTGACTTCACTGACAGGCAAGAACACTGAAACCACTTATGAGGAGGCCAAAGGTCCACCTCTGGAGGGTTTACAGTGATGAAGTTCTGCTGAAGAGCTTCAGAAACAAAGGGGTGATGACTCCGATGCCATGTCCTTGTTTTTCATCACCATTCAGACTGTTTTCATTTTATACGATTATCGGACAGGACATATCTCATCAACAATGTTCCTTCATCTGTGGTGGTTGGAGAAGTATTGAACTGCTTTAATCAAACAAAAGTGTCATCCATTTTTCAAAAGAATATTACTTTAGAGGTGACCTTACTGTACAGGCTGTAATAAAGAGCTATAAAAAGCTCACACACCCAAAACTGTTTCTCAGCGTGCTGTTTCTTTTATTGCACCTGCTGGAGCAGAACAACTTGTCGGCTTTATTTCAGGACAAAGAGTTTGCTGACATTATGTAATTTACAACATCATTAGGAACCGCACCACTAATCAACAGGACTCAGTAGAAATACCTGCAGAGGGAGGGGAGGAGGAGCTGCTGCTTTAATTACAACGATTACGCAAATGAGATGAAGGTAACACATGATGACAACAACATGTGAAATCATGCAGACAGAAAGGATTTTTTAATCACTTTTTCAAGCATGATCAATTACATCAGTGATTTTTGTTTCCTCACATGTGGCTAAGACAAAGGCAAAGATCTGTCACATGTTAGAGGATATTTTCATATACAAACCTGGAGAGGCGTAAACAGTAGTTACACTCTGCACAGTGTAAAAAATATTCATCACACAATAAAAACAATATCTAGTGCACATTAGAAAATAAATGTTATATTGTCATACTGCACAAAAAATTTCATACTGTTTTTGAAATTATGTTTAATGCACCATATAAATGTAAACTTGTCTGTAGAGAAATATATACACTGAATAATTAAGTGCATGAATGACAAGTGTATTAGCAGTATTAACAGTTTGTTATGCACAGTAAAATTAGGTCCATCACATATTTGATGCATAAGCATATACAATAGAAATGTATATTTTATCACTGCAGAAAAATGTAAATTTCATGGTAAAAAAAAAAAAAAACTTCAGTCACATTGAAATGCTGCAGGGTGAAAAAAATACTGCTCTAAAGGTTGTGTTAAATTCACAGTGTATTTTTGTGTTTCAATCGTGTTGTTTTTTGCTGAAATTTCATACAAATAAACGGACATTTAAGACTTAATTTAATCGTACGACAGATTTAAAACTCGCCTCAGTCTGAACTTCTCTGTATCTTATTACGTCACTTCTATCCCAGTCACTCCTTCCATCTCACACACACACACACACACACACACACACACACACACACACACACACACACACACACACACACACACACACACACACACACACACTAAAAGTACATACCAGGGCGTGTGTGTGTGATGTAATTTGTTCAGGGTTAAATAAGGCTGCTGCTCTGCTGTATTTCTTCATTCATTTCTAAATCTGTTTAATTTTTGGTTCATAATTTGCATGTATTGAGCAGGAGAAACCAGCAGGGGGAGCTGTGGTCAAATCTTAATAACACTAAACATACTGTACTGTACAGAGGGATTGTTTTCTTTTTAATGACTCTACGAGTTTGATATGAACTATAAACATTTAAATAATCTATCCTCTTTTACATACGATCATCTGCTGATAAATTCAATTAAACTTTTGTTTTTTCCTGTAATCACCTCTGCTTGATTTAAAGCGACTTTAATTTAATGAAACTGTAACAGACAGAATAATAAAGTTCATCAACAGTATTTTAATAGAAACAATCAAACAAAAACTCAAGTTTGCTAAATACTTAAAGTGTATTACTGCAAAAAAGAATGATTATTATTATTATTATCAATTTTGTTATTATCACTGATTTCTCTACTAATCTTTACAAGTTTTTTGTTGATCATTATAATCAAAAATGATAACATGAGATTTTACAAGGAAACTTTATGAAATATTCATGTCAACAAACAAAATCAAATAAAACAGCTTAAAGACACAAAACTCACTGATCCTGGAGGATCCTGTCACTTTGATGTGAATGAGATTCAGTATCTGCAGTTTTGGTTTTGTAGTAAAATTACATGCACACATTGTTTGGTCTGCAGTGTAAATATATTAATCCTCTTTCCTTCTCTTGTTGTCTTCCTCCCTCCTCTCCATACTTCCTTCAGGTCGAACCTCCAGAAGAAAACGTCCTCCTTCCCTCTTCTTCCTCCTGACGGCTGGTCTCTCAGAGGGGTAAGACACTCATTGATACTGAACACTGCAGTATACAAAAATGTCATGAGTAAGAAATGTAGAGCAGAGGTGAAGACCAAAGACTGTAGGAAGTATTGTCTCAGTTTCACTGATGTCCTCCATTGGTTTATGAAGTGGTGTTTTGAAGTTTAATGATGGTAGTGAGGCACCTTATGGGAAAAGCTGACTCAGGCCTGACAAAAGCCAAAGAGGAGGAGCTGAAGCCTTTAGCCGCCTTGCTAACAGATACATCGTGCCTACCTGTCAGTCCAGTCAGTTGTGCCTTATGACCCTCATAACCCTATATTCATTTATTGTTCCTGTAACAAAAATTAGCCTTTTTTGAATGGGTGTGTATGTGGCTTCAGGTGCTTTTGGAACCAACCCCCAAGTGGACAGTCGAGGAACTGCAGGTTTGAGCCTCCTACATTGGAGGTGACGATCCTCTGAGCTGAATTTCCACTGGATAAAACGTCAGCTTTATCTGGTTATTCCTTGAGTGCATGATTTAAATAAGCGGTAAACTGTGACTGCACTCATTTAATAGATCAAAAACCTCAGTGTTAGCTGTTTAAAGAGGAAAACGCAGCTGGAATAACAAACTCTGCAGACAAGATCATGTCCGCACCACAATATGAAACATTTGGTGCTTGTAATCATGTCAAAATGAAATACTGAAATATTGAAATTCAGCATATGCAGCTGTAATAGTGTCTGGTTGGAGTTTGATTAATTTAGCTGGATTACATGGTAGAGTTGACCTCATGTGCACGGTGGTAGCCTAGCTTCCTCTCTGGTTTACTGGCACGTTTCCCCAACAAAGAGGCTGAGCTGACCGGGATCCTCTGTGGGAAATCACCTAATTATCAACAAGAACCTTGTAAAACCACACTCCAAAATAACCCGAATAAGCCGCCCCTCCCTCAGTGAAGAATCTGAGTATTTTTGCAGCAGTGGTTCAACTTTCTGGATCAAACTGGTGGCAGCAGAACAATACCACCATGGTGTCAGGCCTCTGGAGACCCTGAAAATCCCAGCAAACTAAAATTATCGTTAAACTGATGAAATGAAATGTTGGCTGTAAAAACTGTCCGTCTAAACCCCCTTAAGAATTGTCTCAAAACTATACAAAGGTTTGTTGAAGCAACAGGGAAAAAACACAATGTATATAAAAGAGAAATGGGAAAAGGAACTCGGCATTGAATTATCTGAGAGTGATTGGCAGACCATGCTCAAGACCCAACATACATCAACAAGTTCTAAAACATGGAGGGAGTTCGGTTGGAAAAATTTGACACGTCTATTTATTACACCAAAAATCAAAAATAAACAATTAGGTCAACAACAGCATTGTTGGAGACAATGTGGGCAACTGAATGCCAACCACTCTCATATATTTTGGTCATGTACGAAAATACAGACATTTTGGGATGAGGTCCTGAGAGTCATGGGTAAAGTTTTTGGATATAATTTACCCAAAGATCCCCGGTTTATTTATCTTGGACTGATATTAGAAGATGTAATGGGTAAAGAGGACATATACCTGTTCAAGATCCTATCTCTTGCAGCTAAGAAAGCCATCACAAGAACTTGGCTAAGAACTGATCCACCTGAACTGAGTGACTGGCTGACCATTGTAGAGGAAATACGATCAATGGAACAAATGACTTACAGACTACGAATTAAAGCTGAGCTATATGCTGTAAGATGGACTAAATGGCACCTGTATGTAACTGAGTAGTGTTTGCCCCCCTTGTTCTTGTTCTTGTCTTGTTTTGTTTTGTACAATATTTGCGTGTATGTTTGAAAGTTTGCCTTTAAAGATAAAAATAAAGTTAAAAAAAAAAAAAAAACTGTCCGTCTAATGAGGCGAGTGTCCTTGAAATCAGCTGATAAAAATAGGTTTTTAAAGCTGAGTCTACAGCATTTGAGTCTTTAGTGCTGGTGTCTCCGTGTCTCCTGCAACTCCTAATTATAGACGGCCTGTTTCCCCCGACTACCGTCACTTCCTGTTTGTCCAATGGGAACTGGCGGACACACACACACACACACACACACACACATTGTGAAGGGTTCCTCTTCCTGAGGGTCTGCAGATCCACTCAGAGAGGAGGTGAAGCTGAAGAGGTTCAGAGGAGAAGGACACAGAGAGGAGGAAAGCGTTCAGGTGAAGAGGGGAGAAAAGAAGGTGGAAACGAGGAGAAAAAGAGGCCAACAGAGGAGGAGAAGAGAGAAGTGACAAACTGGAGGAGGAAGAGGAGGAAGAAGAAGGCCGTGTGTGGAAATCAGAAAAGAAATGTGACTGTGGAGGAGGTGATTTAAAGGAGGAGAGAAGAAAAAGAGGAGAGAAGAGGACAGCTGATGTGATTTTGGATTTAAAACAGAGGAGAAGAAGAGAAAGAGGAGAAGAGGAAGAAGAGGAGCATCAGATGGTTGTTTGCAGACAGAGTTCACTCAGTCTTGGCTGTGTTGGAGGAGCAGATCTAGTCTGATGATGGGATGCTGTCTGTTTGTTTACTACCGGGTGAGTTTGTGCGGTTGTTGGCAGATTCATCATAATTTCAGGATGAGCATCTCCAATAAACACGTCACATAAATATGAAAAAAACAAACTTAATATAACTAATGCATCATTTAAGAATATCTCCTGCTAAGATTCAGTTATTCACCTACTCTGTTCACACCTGGACCTCGGACCAGGTTCAGGAATCTAGTTTTACAAATACAAGTTTTCAGTCTCGTCCCTGATGGCTGTGTTTGCTTTTGGACATCATGAAAAGGGATTAGAATGAATTTCAGCCCATTTCTCAAACGTCAAAAAACTCATCAGAGGAGCTTTATTAAGCAGATAGTGCTTTGACCACAGGGGGCGCCAAAATAGACACAAACATTGCAGGAGCTTTGAGGAAGCTAACATGACCCAACTGTTGAGATTTAATCCAGATAAGTGTGGCTCTAAAGCACTGGCAGATACTTGTCTCTTTAAGTAAAAACAAACAAACCTGTTTTAGTTTTCAGTTTGTTGATCTTGTGCAGACACGTGGGGTTTGTAGTCCATAAATCCTCACCTGCTGGATGTTTCCATGTTCCTCCAGGATCTGCTGGTGTGACTGTTTCATTGATGGTAGATGATGAATCTCAAATGCATCCAGACTCTCTGAACACACTGACTTAGAGCTCCTATGACTGCAGTGTGCTCTGTACAGCCGGAGGCCTGCGTACGGCCATGCTCTTAGTTTTTTTAATTAAGCCTCATCTAGCTGTCAGTGAAGAACTGAGTTTGTTGGATTTAATTTGAATTGAGGACAGACATGTTGCAAACTGATGCTGTAAACTGAATTGATCTTTTCAGTATTTATGAACGGCACAGGATATCATTGCAGTATCAACCAATGCTAATTTACATGGTATTTTCTTTATGCAGACTCGCACTAATACCCCTGCAGAGTCCAGGTTGAAGACATGTTACTTTCCTCTTCAGTACATCGTCTGCATTACCATCCGCTGTTTTAGATATCCCTCCTCAAACAAAGTTCAAACATTTCTTGCTGCACAGATTTTGCAAACTAACGTGCACATGTGACTTGAGAGACCGAGAACTTCATGCAGCATCTTAACTTTCGCTTTATGCTTTATCCTGAATGTTTGGTTTTATTTGATTTCACTTCTTTTTTGTTTTATTTCTTTGAAAATGGTCTCAAATGTGCAGAGAGGATTCACGTGTGGTTTTGTCGTTCACTGATTTACACCAAGTTTCAGAGAGTTGTAAGAGGTCACTGTGGGGTTTAGATAACAGACCAAATATGGTAAAGATGACCAGACTCCGCCCCCTCCTCCTCCACTCTGGTCGCCATAGCGACAATGAGTTAAAGGTAAAGTCTGGCAGGTTATATAATGTCCGGCCAACAACAAAGTCTGAACACAATACTGAACAAACAGCAGACTTCCTGCTATTGTTACACACAGCTACACAACAAGCTGCCTACATCCTCCTCCATTTCTCCTCCCTCCTACCCTTACTCCTGCTCCACATCCTCCTTCTCCTCCTGCACCTCCTGTCTCTCCTCCTTCTTGTCAAACGTTTCCTCCTCCTCTGTCTCCGTGTCCTTCTCTATGTGCTCATCCTTAAATGAACCCTTCATCCTCTTCCTCCCCTTTCTCCTTATTATCATACTTATACTTCTGCTTTCCTCCTTATCCCTCCTCCTCTCCTCCTCTACATTCTCTCCTCTGCTTCCTCCCGCTCTTTGTCCTCCTCCTCATAAAGCTTTCTACTCTGCTGACTTCACATCCTTATTCTTCCTCCTCCACTGTGTGTTGCGCCCTTCTCCTTCTCGTGGGTTAGGGAGGAGATGGACGAGGGTTAGAAAGTGTTTCTGTTCTATTGATTCTGGGTCGTATTGATTTTTAATTCAAGTAAATTTACAGAGGAAAAATGAAAGTTTCACAAATAAATTAAGTCTGTCTCTATTGTTCATGTCCCTTCGATTAAAAAAAGGATAAAAATCACTCTTTCTTATCAGGATGGATCACACCAGGAAATTGAAAACCAGAAAGACTGAAACTAACAATTGAAATATGTAACTAAAGCACTTTGGACAATATCATATTATAAACAATGTAAACACTGTGGAACAACATAAGTAAAGAAGTGAAACTCTACCACAAATCACATCACTCCATCTTCTTCCTTTCAATCATCTTCCACTCAGCACCCCTCCTCCTCCTCTCTTCTTTGTCTCCTTTCCTCCTTTCCTCTCTTGACCTTCCTTCACCAGTTTGAACTTCCTCCTCCCTCCCTTTCTCCCTTCCTCTCGCTTCCTTCTCCCTGAAACTACAGGCCATGGGATGATCTCCTTTAGCACATTACCTCCTTTCCTTGTCTCCTCTCTTCTCCTCCTCTTCGTCCTCCTTTTCCCCCTCCTCTTCCTCCTTCTTTTCCTCTTCCTCATCCTCCTCTTTCACTCACAGCTGTTTGCCCTCGGTGACCCAGCTCATCAGGTGCGATTGCTTCCTGTTTTTTGTCGCCTTGGTAACACACAGGAAGAGTTTGTCTTTGTTCTTGTGTAGAACTGCACACGAACAACCGATAAACATGTAAAACATGATAAACATGATAAACATACTGATGTGATTGTAATTTCAAAACAATAAAAAAGCATTACTGTGTGAATCAATCAGGAGAGATAAATATATATATGCAGGTGCAAACATGTGAAAGTGTCAGACCTCAGACCTGCAGATTTCATGGTTTATACTGAATCCAAGTCTTTTATACTGACTTTATTCCTGTATGTCTCAGTGTCCTCCATCTAACATGCTGGTTTTCTGTGTTTGTGTTGCAGAAGAAGAGGAAGCAAACCAGCAGGGATGCAGACTCCCTCAGTCTCTGCAGTCTGGACATCAATGTGAGTTCATCTTCTCTTCAATTTCACTTCTTCTCTGTTGTTTATCAAAGTTTTAAAGACTTTATCAGTTTCTTAACAAGCACTGGATTTTCAGTGTTTGCTTGGTGACTGTTTCAGATTTTGTTCGTAAATAGTCATCACTCACAGTTGAAACCAGGGCTTGTGTTAGGGTTGTTTTAGTCCCTGCATTGTAAAAAGGTGCTTTTATTTTGAAGTACGAGTGATTTCCTGCAGGATCTGAATGAAAACAGTTACAGGTACAAATGCTGACGGATGAGTATCTTTAAGAGACACAAACTTCAGTGTTGCTGCAGGATTCACAGTGAATCTCTTCTCAGAGTTGGTACAAACTTTCTAATTGAATAGAGCGTATATATGTATAGTACATGCTGTTCTCTAATAATGCACAATAATTACATTTATGGCCTGCAAAAGTCTAAAACCTGTGAATAGTGACGGCTGGATTATCCTTTCTATCACCTCAACTCTTTGGTGTCTCCTTTGCCTTTGCTGTCATTTCCATCTGAGTGTGTTTGTGCTGCATAAATCCAACCATCAATCATATTTGTTTGGATTCAGTGCAACTCATCAAAGCTTGGATCTGTGTTTGTTTAATTCACAGCCAAAAAAAACGAGTTTCTGTCCAGAAGAGAAATTACAAAGAGAAGATCTGACATGTAGGAAACGTGTTGTATACACACACGTCCTTGGATGCAGTCTTCAGCTCATTCACTTGACTCTGCTGGAGTTTTGTGATGATTTTTGGTTCAATACTGCCACCTGCTGACCAGTGGGGTCATTTTGCAAGAAGCTTCGTTTCCATTCTAATCAGAGTTTCTGTTTGTAGTTATCTGATGACTCTCTCTTTGGTTATTTAAATCCTTTATAGGTCAAACTGTGCTTGAAATGTTAATTTTGGGCTGCTGAAAACTGTTTTGGGTCTCTTGTCTCTTTTTAGAAAAAGTGTTTTTAGACCATGATTGATTTGATATTTTTTTTCCAGAGAAAAAGTAAAAAAAAATACTTCTTTTGGCCAAAATGAGTTTGTCCTTATAAAATCCATTTAAATCTTTCCCAAATCCAGTTTTATTATTTTACTAAATTCTGTTTTTTTCCCTTGAGATAATTTTGAATGCTGTGTTTTTATAACATGACCACAATTCTTCAACTGAGGAGTGTCTAATCATGTGGCTGATAACTGTCAGCTCAGGTTTACTAAAAAAGAAAGTAAAGAAACAAAACTGGCTTTATTGGAGTTGTGAATTGTTCTCTACTGGACTCACTCTTCATGTCGATATTCAGGACAGCCGTATTATACTCCCCTGTTTATAGCTGAGGTAGTGACTCTTCACTTTGTCATATCCAACATGGACTGTGGATCTATTGTATATACTCTGACCCTCTGGGGGGCCTCAGACCTTGTGTTGGACCCCCTCTTTGTGTATATGTGTGTGTATTTTTATCCTCCTGCTAGTGGCCCGTCCTTTTCCGGGCGTTTCCCTCCCCGCTCAGTCTAACACAGGATGTCCACCCTTTTCGATACACCCGGTGTGACAAATAAACCCAAACACACCATCAATCTTCTTTAGCCTGGGGCCAAACCGAACCTAGAATAAATGACCCTCTATTGTTTCTGCGCTGTCACTCCCTCAAGTGACTCACACACACTCGTATTGTGCTCCGACTGAAAACTCAAGGACCTGCTTTGACGGCGGCGAGAATGTCAACAAGAGTCTGAGTGAAAAGACGGACAAAAACACTCAAGGAGGTCCGGGTCTTTCAACTTTGAGATAAAATACTGTAAATTATTTTTATTTAGGCACAAAAGATGCTTATATATTTCACAACACAGTGCCCTAAAAAGTGTTGTTTATCCTAAAAATATATTAGGAATAAAACTTACTCGTGTCCTGTGAATGCCACAGATTTGCCAATGACAATAACAAAGTGATTTGTATTGCACTGAATCATATCATATAGTTTTGTATTGTATCATGCCGCACTAGTACTCTTACTAGCCAATTTAAAAGCATATTTTTAAACATTTTTTTATTGTTGTTTATTGTTTTATAGTCTTGAGTATCTTACTTTTCAAATGTACAGTAGCAATCATAGATCCTTTCATATCCTGTCACATATTATTTTATGTTCTCCTATTATACAATATTATATCATAATTTAATGTATCATATCCCTACCGTACCCTATCACATCAAATCATATTATAATGTATATAACTGTGCCTTAACTTGAGTGTAGGATATTATCAGCAAGAAGTTCATAGTATATTATTGACAGACAATTATAGTAACGTCCGTTCATTATGCACATATAATAACAGCTTGAAATTACAGGAAAAAATTTAGTTTTCTTCACAATGAAGGCAAAAATCCAACATCCTGAATCCCTAATTCTGTTCACTCCAATTGTAGTGAATGATTTTGTATTGTATCTTTCTATACCTTTTCTTATCCTATCATATCATCTTATTTTTATTAAATCATAAATCACAATAAAATTGTATCAGATCACAAATCTTATCAAATTGTATTATATCAGTTTTTGTATCACATCATATCTTTATGTACAACCCTATTCTGTCACAACAAACCATATCATACTGTGACATAAAAAAGTATGTTGTATTCTATTGTATTGTATCATACATGATCACATCCTATACTTTCAGATATATCCTTATATATCAAATCATGTTGTATCGTTATGGACAGTGTGCCATGAAGAAGCATGGCGTAACAATGCATAATGTAACGAAAGAGGCAGACCATTCTGTTTACCGTCTATGGGTGTGATGTCGCATAGCATGATGTCGCGTAGTGTCACGCTACGTACTGTATCAAAACATCATATCATATGGCACAATATCGTAATACAATACATCACTTTGTGTTGTACTGTAGATAGATAGATAGATAGATAGATAGATAGATAGATAGATAGATAGATAGATAGATAGATAGATAGATAGATACTTTATTAATTGTATTGTATCCTACCCTATCCTATCTTATCAAATTAAATCATATCATCACATATCAAATCTGATAGTATAGTAGTGTAATGTGTTAGTATTGGATCCTATCAAGTTGTAACCTCTCTTATTTAATTAAACCTTTTGATATTGTGTCCCAGCATATTGGATTGTATCACATGATTACAAGATAATTACATATATTATATATTGCAGTACTTTTTGATCCCATTGTTTTACATTTTGTGTTGATTCAAGTTACATCTTGTCATATTGTAATTGGTTTTAATTTTCATTCAGCAGAGTGATAGTTCAGTCTTTAACTGACTGATGTTTCTCCTGTTACTGGAGTTGTTGTGATGGAGGCTCAGGGACCCAAAGAGGCTCAGGGACACAGCTCTTAAAGTGTACACAGTCCTCCAGAGCTGGACCTCATTTACTCTGGAGGTTTCCGCTCAGGACCAGATCAGTTATAGATGTTTTCACCAGTTAATTAATTTCTGCTGAGCGCCTCAGGGTCACACCATAGATCACCAATTATTGATGTGGTTTGTGAACTGAGGTCAGGGGTTAGTAAACCGTGATACCAACAAGTTGTTTTCCCCCCCCCCGGCATCAATACAGCTGCCTGGCCTTCAAAATAAAAGCTGGATATTTTTATTCCAGATAGTTTGAAGGTGGAGTGATGGTAGATTTTAGGAAAGGTTGACCACAGAACTTGAAAGAACCCACTTATTACCCAGCGGTGGCATTTACTCTAAATCTTGTTTTAAAGTTGGTTTTAAATGGTAATAAATGCAAACATTAAAAAAAAATTAGGGGCCTTCAAATGTGGTAGTGTTTACTGTATTTGCAAAAACAGACCATCTGAAGTGATGGTTTGAATTTTTGACCCATTCCTGTCCTATTCAGAGTCGTGTATATCATGTTTTTCTGAAAGCTTTGAGATGTGTCAGAAGACATTTTCAGGGATGATTGTCATGGTCTGGAATTGAACAAAAAGGGGAAAGGACCCAAATGCAGAACGAAAAAAGATTTATTGAAAGAACAAAATAAAAAGCAACGAAAACTTACTTAAAATGTCCAACTGAAGAGGAGGGAAAACTGAGGAAGTAAAGCAAGATCATAAACACAGGGAATATACTACAACAAAATAAAACAGGAAACACTAACAACTGATATAAAGAATAAAACAGAGAGAAAAGGAGGGAAACAGGGTCAAACAAACAAACTGAAAACTCACAAGACAGGACTACAGGGGAACAGGAACAACAGGGAACAGAAACACTTGGGACAAATACACAGAAAAAACACAGGAGCCAACAAAGTGCAGCTTTAATTCTGTAGTTCATCTTCCCCTGATGATGAATTTGACTTGATTAACACAGCCGGCTGATGAGTAAGAATGCCAAGTAATAATGTTATGTAAGTCATTGTTTTCGTTCAACCTGGGAAAAGGTCACCAAGTGGCATAACCCTCATCTGGGGGTAATAATAAAAAATAAAAAATAACTGACATACTTTTCACATCCCTCCACATTTCCCAGGCCCATTCTAAATGAAAGCACTCTTCTCTTTATTGTACTCTAGTGTGTCACAGTTCAGGAGAAATAAGGTGGGTTTGTCTGAATTCCTAGAGAGACCGGAATCTAAACCAGCAGTGAGGACTCAGGGCGTCTACAGCCCACCTGCATCATTAAAATCAAAGAACAATTGAGGCACCAACTTCCAATCTGTGTGTCTCAGGCCCTGAAACACGTTAACGGTTCTTCTCAGAGAAGTCCCAGCTTTCTAGGGAAACCACTGACACATTTTTAACTGACACAGTGATCATTGTTGTTAATATAAAAATGAGACTTTTCTGATTGTTTTACCTACTTAACTCAGTAAACAAGTGTTACCTCAAAGATGTAGTGGTTTGAGGCCAAAGTGGGGGGTTAAAACCTTCCCAAGAGCAAGTAAACACACATGTTCACACACATGTATTGATTATAAAACTACTGTAGAACCAGGGCAGAGCTTTAGCTGCCTGCAGGCCTTTTTCACTCTCTGCCTTTTTAGTAATTACTCTTCAGATTAACATTGACTTCTGTTTGAGCCCTGAAAGTGTAAATACACAGTATGCACTGTGAGACATGAGAATAAACTGCTGAACATAGAAAGCAAAGACAAAATCAGAGCCAGCCGGTGTAGTAGTACCCACTGTGCGTTTTGCAAGGCTTGCAATATATCTGTACACTATTTTTTTTGCGAGATAGTGACACAGTCAGTGGCACACTCTTTTTTTTATTTAATGTGCAATTGATAAATGAATAATGAATAAATAGATTTCAAAGAAAGAGCATTGTTTCCTTCCTTGGATAAATACAAGGCAAGAAATTATGACAATTACATGCTCATGCGGCAAAGCAACCTTGTTTCTTGGGCCTGATTAAAAAAAAAATCTCTGTTTTTCACAAGCCAATGTCAAAATGTTTGCTATAGGATAAGACAGGATTAATGTGATATGATATGATACTCTTTGATATGGTTCAATATGATATGATGTGTATAATGTAATTCCATGAAGGAACATGTTGGATAGAAAAATGTAGAACTTTACATGATATGATATAATATGATATGATATGATATATGACAGTATATGATATGATTGGTTGGGATAGGATATGATGGGATATGATAAAACAGAATACAATATGATATGATATGATATGATATGATTTAATAGGACAGTAAATGATATCATTGGTTAGGATGGGATATGATGGGATATGATATGGTGCGACATGGTACAGTAAGATATATGATCTACTGTGCAAAGATTTGCTTTAAAATGATCCAACACAGCATGATTCACTGCTCTTAGATTTGATAGAAGATAATATAAGTTGATATAGTACAGTGTGATACGATATCATTCAGCACAATAAGATACAATATGATATTGTATCAGACAATATAATGTGTGTAGTTATTTTGCCGGGCAGCTGGTTACTTCATGTTTACCAACCAGAATGTAGACACTGAAGAAACGGTGCAGATTTTGGGGTCTAGTTTCAGTGGTGGGTCGATATGAATTGTGAGCTTTAGTGAGTATTTTCAGAAGCAGGACAATTTTTTTAAGAGTGACTGAGAATGGACTGACGAAAAGTTACATTATCAGACTTGAATTTAGAGAAAATGCTCATTGATTGGCAAAAATCATTATTGTCATTACTGGTTTGGGTGCTTTTATGGAATTCATGAAGAGTCAATGTATACAGCAACACAATCTTTGAGTAGGGTACCTCAGAAAACTACTTTTAGCTCTCACTAGAAAAACGAGGCAGACAAAGGTTAGCAAAAAGTACAGGGGAAAGGAAAGGAAGGAAGGAAATGAAGTGAGTGAGTGACTGAGTCAGAGAGAGAGAGAGAGAGAGAGAGAGAGCGAGAGAGAGCGAGCAATAACGAGCTGTTTTCAGATGGACTGGGAGTCTAACTGGGGTAGGGTGAACAACCATCAGAAGAGGCAGATTTAAAAACTATATAAAGAAGACGCTGGACAGAGCAATGAGAAAGAGATCCAGGAGTGGGACCAGATCTTGACTGGACTGTTTAATTTTGGTTTTGGTGGCAGGGGACCGAACCTGAGGACCGGCTGATCTGTGTTGTCTGTAAACCAGTACTGGGCTGGATCCAATATTATCATTTATCAGGAGAGACAAAGAGCTAACTTTTAGAGGGTGAATTTTTACTAGAACAAGACTGGATTTTTGCTTTTACCATGTCCCACTGGGATCTCCTCCACTTTAAGGTAGTTTTTGGATACTAAAGCAACTAAACCTGTCAAGATTTAATCTGAATCGGCTTCACAATCTGGACTCTTTGTTGGCATCTGAACTCTTTCAAACTAAACTCCATCTCTGGATGCTCCCTCGGTGAAAAAGTGAAGATCTTTTTTTGGACTTTTTATCGAGCAGTATGGTGGTAGGTAACAGCCCCTGTTGCCTGATGGTTCACCAGTTTGAGTCTGGATGCTCTTTGGGACCGGTCAAAGTGAGCAACACCGTGGGGAAACAGGTCGAGGTAAGGTCAAGGGTATATCTTCAATAGAAGTGTGATGTGGTGCTTGGACTTAAGCTCTTTGTTCGCTATTTCTTTGATGTCTTGTTCATTGGCAGCCTTTTCTCTAGTTGGATAAAAACCTCAGCCAATCAGATCAGTAGATGAGGAAAGTGGTGATCAATTAAAACAGCAATGAACTTGGATGAGATGTTTGTGGGTTATTAGGAGTCAGAGCTATTGGCAGATTTCTCCCATCAGCACATGGAAGCTTTAGTTTTACTGACAGTCATTTTCCATAGACTCTGTGCCAAATGAAAATGGTGTTGTGGGGACAGATAAGTTTTGGGGGGGGTTGATTGATTTGCACTCAATAACCACTCCCCCCAACCATCAACAGGAACACAGAGCTGGAACACATGTTGACAGAAATATGATAACAAGACCTACAAACGTCAGACTAGTATAATACACTCCTTTATGAACTCTGCTTTTATCTAAACCATCGAGGTTTGCTGTCAAAGAAGAATGGGGAAAAAAACATACTCCACCAGAATACTGGCACTTCCTTTTCAAAGTTTTCTAAGGCCATGCCCAAGAAATCAAAACCAAGTCCCATAAATCAAGATAAAGTTTAATAGGTCAAGACAAAGCCCAGTGGGTCAATGCGGAATCCACTGGGTCAAGACAAAGGTTGATGCGTCAAGACCAACCCTAATAGGTCAAGAACACATCCAGTAAATCAAGGTAAAGTAGGACAAAACATAACGGATCCAGGTAAAGTCCACTGGGTCAAGAGAAAGTCTAATGGTCTAGGCTAAGTGGCCAGAATCTTAGCCCAGTACCTCTCCCAGTTCCTATTTCAGGACAGGGTCAATGATTTGTCTGGGCCTGGATCCTCTGCAAGATCTGAACTTTGGAGTCTCTTCCAACAGTTAATGCCTTGGGTAGTTGTAGTTGTTAGAGAGGTTCAAAGGTCTGCATACAGGTCTTGGTCTTATTGTCCCTGTTGGGAGTCTCGTGCCTCAAAGGAAATTTTAACATCACTCTCAATCATCTACCTCCTAGTCCTCACCTTAAGTTTTGGGGGGTTATTGAAGAAATGTGACTGCACATAGAAGCTGTAGAAATTATCTGCATCGTGTCTGAATTTAATGATGGGCTACGGAGCTCTGATATCTCTAAGGAGTTCTTGAAGAACTTCTGATCATGCCCACCAAAAGAGAACCCTATGATGGGCCAGCCATCTAATCAGAACCCCTTAGGACTTTCTCTTTGAAATTGTCTTTGCATTTCTAAGAAGTAGAGGCTGGATACCATGTATTTCTGGCCTGAGACTACTTTGGAATAAAAAGTGAAGAGTTGGGAAACCATGCTTGGATCTGGACGAAGGTGCTTAGCCTGTCATACAGTAACACGGCTACAGATAACTCATCTTGTTGTGTTCTTTCTTCAATAATCACAGTAGATGTTCCTTTTGGGGAACGTGGGTTTTGCCGATGTCTGTTAAAGTGGCTGCATTCGGTGCTAAAGGAGTTGGACTAAATATAGCTGCAACACTTTTCCCTCTGTTTCCCACTTTCTCACTGTCTACTTGTGTTGTTTAATAAAAGTATGCAGTTATTTAGCTTATTTGACAATTATTCAAATCAACAGGGTCACTAGAAGACATTGAAGATACATTTTTACATGCTTGTAAAAGGCATGATGCAAAGTTAAGGGGTTAAAAAAAGAAAAAGAGTTGTATGTTTTATTTTTTTTTTATGGCATTTAAATTGTGTATATTGCAGAAAGCTTTATTTTTTCTTCTCCCTTTTCTCTTTTCAATTTTTTTTTTTCTTAATTATTACATTTATTAAGTTCTTAATATTAGGACCCTTATTGTTATAACTGCATTTTGCACTTTCTGTCTTGTCTGTGATGCTGCTGTGACAAAAAAATTCAGGGGTTAAAAAAAGAAAAAGAGTTGTATGTGCTGGCACAGTTTTTTTGGGGCAGCACAGCCTGAGGTTATTCCCTTTTTTAATCCAAACACTTTCCAAGAGAGTTTATGAGTCAGTTAAGCTGCTCTAATTAGATAAACCAATGTACTGTTGACCAACTGCACTGAAATTGATCTCTGCCGGATTCAATCAAATGAAGTGCCATCAAACCCAGATCAACATGTTCCATGGAAACTTCCACAATGTTGAACAAAAAAAACTATTTGTACAAAGTACAGTATCATCTGCATAACAAGAGAAAACATGGTTTGTTTGCATACATCCTTTTGATACTGTGAATATTTAGTGTAGTGTTAAAAATCATTGGACCTCCAACAGTATTTTTGGAGGTAGTAACAAGTTTGTAGAACCTGTTGTTAGATTTCAGCCTTTAACTTGAAGTTTGAACATGAACTCTTTCTGGGGCTCCTGAGTGGCTGAAAACAATAGATGTCTGCCGGAGGCCAATTTATTTTTGGTCGACTGATTCCTGACCGTGAGTGCTGATGGAAAACAAGGTTTGATGGTTCCTGTGTTCCAGTTGGTCAGCTGACTGCAGGGCTGACACACACACACACACACACACACACACACACACACACACACACACACACACACACACACACACACTCACTCGCTCAAAAATACACAGACACAAGAACATGCAAACACATTGATTTACTGAAAGTCTGTATCCAGGACAAACAGCTTGGTGGTATTTTCACACATAGTGGCCCGATATCTGTGTGTGTGTGTGTGTGTGTGTGTGTGTGTGTGTGTGTGTGTGTGTGTGTGTGTATAAAGAGTCTGGCAGACAGGGAAAGACTTTGAGTCAGTCTATTGTTTCAATCGACGGCACAAAGTCAACTTTCCCGCAAACTGCTATAACACTCAGCACTCAGACAGCTGTTTAAAAACTTCAGTCCAGACATTGTTGAGACTGAAAAGTCATCAACACTTGCTGAGACAAATTCTTTAATCAGACAGATCATTGTTTTCAGATGAGTGAGGAGATCCCCGGCTTTTCTTTGTCTTCAAGTCATCATTGGAGTATCTGGAAATGGATCTTGTTGCCTGCAGTCAGTGGGAAAGCACATTTTGGAGGTATTGTACAGGAATTTTTGGAGCATTCAGCAGCCTGGCACTAAGGATGACTGAGTCACTCTGTAGGTTGGTGGGTAGGTCCTCCATCTTGGTTCTTGCAGGATGAAGTAGCTCAGCTCTATTCTGCTGAGGTGCCAAAGAGAAGATGTTAGGACTGAGTCCTCATGTAGGACTGGATTTTCGTAAATGTAGAATTTTCTGTGCATGAGGCACGAAATACATTATGATGATGAAAACTGGTTTACAGTGGGCTTAGTATTTAGGGTCATTTAGACATGTGCATCTACATTTCCTTTTCTTATCATCTCTTATTACAGATTTATGTGTTTGTTTTGCACTCCTTTAACCCCACAGTGAGCTGTTTCTTTGTGAGACCTACATTAAAATTACACTAAAAAGCATTAAGAGTAGTTTCATCTCCTTTATGACTGTTTTCAGTGTATTTGAGTATCTTATTTTACCTTCTCTGCTGAACTGACTCCAAAGTAAAATGTTGTTTGGATTGTGAGAAATGAATGTTTCTGGTTCATTTTCTTTTTTCTCTGTTTGTCTGTGACTGTGAATCTGCTCCGAATGCTTTGGCACACTTGTGCTGCAGGATGTCTGAGCTCAGTATTAAAACCAAAATGCTCCTTATGCTTTTACAGATCAGACTTTGCATACAGTCTTTAAAAATCATGATAGTCTGATGTTTAAACTTTATATGACTGTCACTGGTAAACCTTGTTGTTTCATTGCTCTGTATGAAGCTGCAGACATGAATGCATTCAGTAATTTTAAGATGTCATATTGTGAACTCATCCTGTCCTGATTGTTCATCATAAACAGACTTTGACAAGATCTGCCTGCAGGCTGTAGATTGTTTAGCAAATGAAGATTTCCAAGGAATGAATTGTGTGTTTCTAGATTGTTTGGACTGACACAATGAAGCATCCTTGGCTCTGCGGCCTTGAGTCAGTCACTCACATATTGTTTAGACTTCACACAGTGTTAAACAAAGCTTCAGATGACTTTCTTTTGTTATAATAATCTGAACAGAGTGTGTCTCCCTCTCTCTTCCAGGAGCCGAGCACAAAGCGCAGTAAACTTGTATCGAGGGTGACGTCGCTTGCCAACCTGCTACCGCCTGTTAAGACCGTACCGCTGAAGAGGATTGGTCAGACTCTACAGGTGAACCACCAATCAGATCTCTTGGCTAGTGTTTTTCTCATTAGTATATGAAACATTGGGAAAGCTGTTTTTGTTTGCTATTGCATGCAAAGTTAGAAATTTGTCTTAAACTTGCATGAGAAAAATACATGTTAGATCTTTCTCCATCATCTCTGCAGCGCTCCATCAGTTTTCGTAATGAGACCCAGACAGAGAGAACCACTGCTCATCCTCCTCCCTCCTCTTCATCATCAATCTTAAAGACACGCACCTTCCCCATCACGGTCTCCAACTCCTCCATGATGACAACACGAGTTTCCACGGCAACAGCTCCATCCTCCAAGCGCCGGGACAGCAAGCTCTGGAGCGAGACGTTTGACGTCCATCTGGGAGCGACACAACCTCTGAGCTCAAAGGAGATAAAACGACAGGAGGTGAGGACTGATGAGGCTGGAGGAGGAGGAGTTTTCTTTCCTTTGAGGTTTCAATAACTCCATCTGAGGGGCTTTATAGCCATGCATGTTTAATTTTCCATAAAGTTTTCCATTTCTTAAACTTTCTCCCTCTCTCTTTCCCTTCAGGCCATATTTGAACTCGCTCAGGGCGAACAAGACCTGGTGGAAGACCTCAAGTTAGCCAAAAAGGTACAACAAAAAACTCTATTTATTTTGACATTTCTAGTAGATTTTTCCACTGCTGTGTCTCAAAAATGCTTTAGTGTGTGTTTTGTGTTCACTGAAAGAAAAGGGAAGTTATAATTTAAGGAGATACTTCAGTTTCAGATTATCCTGACCAGGGAAAATTCTGTTTTTGGATTAAAACTATGAAACTATTTAATTAAGAAGGAAGGTTCAGACATAGACCAGTTGAAAAAGGTACCAAAATATGTTTTTTAAGAAGTAGAGGATGGAGTTTCACTCTCACTGAATGGCCACAAATTCTTTTATTTCATATTTTTGTTCAGTTTTTGTAAATTTAAGTTTATTTCTTAACTTATTTTTGTATGGAAGTGTAAGAATATTTAAATTACATTCATCAACTTGATTTATATTGGATATTGAAGTATAACAATTTGAGCTATTTGTTAATTAATTTAATATATACATTAGCTGTTTATTGTACTTTGTAATATTATAAAAGCTATTTCTATATATTATAATTTAGTTGTAATAAGTTTGTGTTGTCTCAGAAAAAGAATAGCTGATAATTCAACCTATAAAACTGGATAAGTTGAAAATACTTGTGTTTGTAAAGGGGGTTAGAAAAGTGTGAACTCTTTGTTGGATGTATAAATGAAATAACTTTGCATTGGGCTAGTCTTTCTATTTTGTGTAATATTTGTCTCTATTTGAATCAAAAATCAAATGATTGAGTGTGTGTGTGTGTGTGTGTGTCCCTCAGGCCTACCATGACCCGATGCTGAAGCTGTCCATCATGACAGAGCAGGAACTGAACCAGATCTTTGGCACTCTGGAATCTCTGATTCCCCTACATGAAGGTAAGAGCGACCTCTGCTGGTGATTTTCTTGGTGCTGTTGTTTATTAAATCACTCTGGACTCATAGGATGTACCCAAAACTGCCTTCCCGTCACCTCTCCAGAAAAAAAACGTTTTATTTGGAGCTTTTGTGCAGTTTGCAAATTCATTTTTATCTCTTTGAGTTTTGTAAACTTTTGATTTCTCCTCTGTCCATTATTGTGTTCTTTATTGTTGTGCCATTGCTGAACCCTTTCAATGGTTTAAAACTGGTATTGTTAGCCACCCAACCCAGAATCTTTGTTTCTGTCTCCACACTGTACATCTCAGTTTATTTGACAGGTAGAGAGGAATCAGGTGAATAGTTAAAATTCAGTTCTCAATCACAGAGTCCACCTTTTTATGTAGAACCTGTAAATGAGGATAATCCTGTCCTGTTTTGGATCCCCTCTCAACCGCCATTTCAAAACCCTGTCATCCTCAGACCTGCTGAGTCGCCTCAAGGATGCCCGAAAACCTGACGGCTCCACTGAACATGTGGGACACATCCTGACGGACTGGGTGAGTGCATGAGTTTCTGAACTGAGAGGAACTTTCATTCTGTGTCGAAAAATATACTTAAGTCATATAGAAAATAAATATACTTCCCCCTCATAGTAATCATGTCTGTGTCTTTGTGTCTCTGCAGCTGCCCTGTCTCTCCTCATACACTCCATACTGCAGTAACCAGGTAAAAGCCAAGTCCTTGCTGGACCAGAGGAAGCAAGACCGGCGGGTCCAGGACTTCTTGCAGCGCTGTATTCAGTCTCCTTTCAGCAGGAAGTTGGACCTGTGGAATTTTCTGGATATCCCTCGCAGTCGACTGGTGAAATACCCACTGCTGCTCCGGGAGATACTGAAGCACACGCCCAACGACCACCCAGACAGGCAACACCTGGACGAAGCGGTGAGGGATCTGTACTTCTACAGTACTTTTCAAAGTAAAAGCCTTTATTCTGAAATGGTGTCAGAAATGGTTATTTGGGGACAGAAGTGACTTGCACGGCTCTTTCAATAAGTCTAAGGTGAACTTCTGCCAGATAAAACACTGCAGGTACTCCTAATTTAATTAAAAAACATCAGGTACTTCATCTTTTACAATCACTCTAACCCTTTGCAGCCATCTCTGCTCCTCTGTCTGAAGCCTCATAGATTCAGAGTTTGTTCAGTGATAAGATAATAATAGGTAACACTTAAAAACCTTCATGTGCTTCTTATAAACCCCTAATCCTGCTTTTTGAATTTAAAAAGGAAAATAAACATATAAATAAATAGACAGATTAATATTGGATTAAATGAGATCAAACTATAATTAAATAAAAAGCAATGATGAAATGACACTGAAGTGATCCTTTTCCTCTACAGATGCTGATGGTTCAGAGCGTGGTCGCAGACATCAACAGGAGGACAGGGGAGTCAGAGTGTCAGTACTACAAAGATCGTCTGCTGTACTCGGAGTACGCTCACAGGGATGAACTCATCCATCGGTCCAAGACGCTGAGCTGCCACGGAGAGCTGAAGAACAACAGAGGACTCGTCAGTATTTTCTCTAATATTCACAACCTCTTTCTCTCACATCCAGTTATATCTGTATATTTTCTATTTTTTTAAACCTTGTGAAACTATGAACCATTCTTTAGTCCATGCATGAATTAGAAATTCTGCTTTCAAGTTGAATAAAATACTTCAGCTTTCATTTGCATTAAAATAATCTGCATTTTTCTCTCTCTGTTTCCTCCCAGAAGCTACACGTGTTTTTGTTCCAGGACGTTTTGGTCATCACCCGGTTGGTCTCTCTGAACGATCACCCTGTCAGCTACCAGCTCTGCCGACAGCCAATCCCCATCCGGCAGCTGGACCTGGAGGACCTATCAGATGGAGAGATGAGGGTGGGCGGGTCCATTAGAGGAGCCTTCAGCAACAATGAGCGGAGTAAGAAGCACATACATGATACAACAGATTCAGCAAGTTGTAACCTGAATTGGAAAAATTGAGTAAAGCCCTAGTTCAGTCACAAAGTCAGTGCATTTGTTGGCATTTTTTTCTATTTTTTAAACAATTTTAAGAGATTGTCACAAATGTAATTTATTATTATGCTAATGTTTACACTGAGATCAAAAAGTGGTGGTTTGTGGTACTGGACTGGCTCTTGTGTCTGACCAATCAGCTTTCACTCACTTATTAACCAATCACTGTGCGCTTACAACTTTTTTAAAGTCCCCCCTGTGCTGTGTTAGTGTCTACTTTAAAGCAGGAGGTCACTCTTAATGTGGTTGTAGGATCTCAAGAAGTCAAGTCAGGTCAGCATTTATTTCAGTTGCTCATTTAAAAACAACCACAGTGGACCAGAGTGCTATACAAGCCTAAACACATCTTACCAAAGACAAATGAATAACACAATAGATAAAAGCAAATTAAGTTCATAGTTCCTGCAGTGCTGAAGCAGTGAAAAGGGGAGAGTTCTTACAGTTCCTGGGAAAGTAAAAAAGTTCCAGTCGGAAAATAATGCCTGCTCTGGCAGAGGTCTTTGCTGCTGCTCGCCACGCCATAAACGGGAGAGGAGTTGTCCTCTACCCGCCTCAGAAATGACATTTCTTTTGGATGACTGGGGTACTTACTGTATTTGTGGCCTTACTAACCTCCCTTGGTCTCCTGTCTCCTTGTCTCCTCACAGCTAAGAACTTTTTCCGGGTTTCTTTCCGATCTGGAGGTCAGCTGCAGAGTCACTGTTTCCAGGCCAGCGACGCCTTCAACAAACAGCAATGGATTAACTGCATCAGACAAGCAAAGGAGGCTGCAGCGCTGACAGGAGACCAGCCAGAACAGACGGGACAGTGTGTGGGGACAGGACTGAGTGGACAGATGGGGCTGAGATTGTGCGGTGGTTCAGAGCTCGAGCATGAAAAGGGAAGTTGGGGCGAGGGGGAGTCAGGGCTGGGTTTGGAGGGAGAGGATGGTGTGAGCGGAGAGAAAGATCTGAGTTTGGGTGAAGAGGTGGAGGTGAGTTTGACTCCAGGGACAGAGACAAGCGGGGAGGTGGAGACAAGGAGGACAGATTCGGGATTAGATTTAGGAATGGGGACGGATGGAGAGTTCAGACTGAGGAGTAGTGAGACAGATGCAGGTGTGGAGATGGAGACAGGGCTAGAAATCAGAGGTGAGACAGGAGCAGAGGAACCAGCAGGTGAAAGCCTGAAGGTGGATGAAGGGAAAGGTGATGGCAAAGATAATCCCCCCTCTGTTCTCCCTCCTACTCACCCCTTCCAAGAGGAGAAGGAGGTGAAGGAGGAGGAGCAGAATGGTGTTCAGGAGGAGGAGTTTGGCATGGAAACCGGTGAGATTGACTCCCTGCAGAGCGAGGAGGAGCTGAACTTCAGGTGCTGATGTTTGGACCAACAAAAAAAAACCAAGACTCTCTGAGAGACTGCCAGTGTAGCCAATCAAATCAAAGACTTGATGAGGATGAAACCAGTAGGTTAAAGGAAGGGAATGATCAGGAAAAACATGGACAGATGTGTTAGAGACACTGACGCAAAGATGGATGACCTGTTTTCACATCCTGTCAAACAAAAGTGAGGCCAATCCAGGGGCTGTGAAAAAGCGACAAATAACCAAAAGATGTTTCATTTGCAGATGAAATGTCAGAGATCCCTTTAGGTGGTCCACAGCAGGACAGGGGTCTCTTCTTTTAGTGTTTGTTGGATTTTCATTGTCCCTCCTCTACTCTGGTCAACACAGCACCACATGAGCCTCATTTGTCTACAAAGCCTTTTGTCATCCTGTCGCTTTACCTTTTTTAGCATCAAATAACAAATTAAGACTTAACTTCTTAGAAAAATGAACATAAGGAAATAGAAAACTAACAATAGAGACAGAAACCAGGCTTTCAAAACATTTATTTGATGTGTTTTTTTAATGTAAAGTTTGACTCATGTCCCATCTGTTTACATGGAGGGGCTGGGCTTTATGATGCTAGTAGGAGGAGCTTCCATTGTTTTGGCTGGCTGTCAATCTTTTGATGCAGTTAGTGGTTTCGGAACACCGCTGTAACCACGGTAACCACTCTGTTCTGGAATGCTGTGGCAGTGGTTTCCTTCATCCCGACTAGCCTCCTGGGTCCCAAAATGAAGACAAGTGAAGTGCCTTTAACCTGCATTCTTTCCACTTACCAGCGGGGGGCGACTCAATTTTTCTTGATAAAAAGTCTGATTGTCACATCTGGCCTAATACATGAACTCAGTTCATATTTCCCTACATACTGAATAGCCCTTAACACTAATTTCAGGTGATTTCACGGTCCTGTTTAGAGTTGTGGTTGACAGCTGCAGTCAATCATAACTGACAGAGTCGCAGCTTCATGTGTAACACACTCTATAAGGATGTGGTGTTTTTAGTGAAAAGCAAACTGCCTGAAAAATGAAGCGAATGGCTAGGTGCCAAAAAACTTAAGTTCCATAACAGTCCACAAGAGGCTTTCTTTAAAAGCCAAGGTTTGTGCAGTGTTGTTTGATGCAGTGTTTTATTCTGACGTACAATCTACTCTGAGTATTCACCATACACATGTGTCAAATGTATTGTGAACTCTATCAAACCATCCCCACAGTTTTTTTATCATTTCAAAGAAAACAGGAACAGGTTTCTGCTACAAAAAGAGTGACTGCAAAGCTGTAGTAAGAGGAAAACTGGCAGTTTTGTGGCAATAAGAAGAGTCACAAGGTAGGAGCTTGTGGTGTATGTACGTACTGTATGTATGTAAAGATTGTATATTAAATCTATATATATATATATGAATGTAGGAAAAAGCCAAACTTGTCTATTTGTGCACATGAAACATGATCTACACTGTCAAGAAAATCTGTTGTACTTCTTGAACTACTGTTATGATGCTAAAGGTTATGAGGAGTACAACAATTAGAGCTCATTAAAGATGGTCAGGCAACTTTTTCTGCAAGTTTTAAAACTGGTTATTTGCACAAACTGAAGACCCAAGAGAGCATGTCTCAGAAAATACTTGTACATACTGTCACTCTCATTTTATGTGGGTTGTCATAAGACCCAAGCATCAATAAACTGTTGAAGAAGGACCTCATGGGTGGTTTCTGTTGGTTACTTCAGTTTTTGAATGAAGAACAAAAGGATTATTAAATGCCCAAGAGAGTGGGAGGATAGAATTTTCTCATTTTGGGGGGTGTGGGGTGTGTGTGTGTTCGTAGACGGGCTGGGGATGTATCTTATTGTTAGAAACCATTCTAAGTGAATTTTGCATAATATAGGACCTTTAAAGAAGTATGCATGAGCTAAATTTATAGTTACAGACATAAAGTCGCAGGTTAATTATGTAATAAGTGGAAGAAAGAGGACCTAGGATTGAACCCTGAGGAACACCCATCTTCTACTTATCAAGGGTTGGATCGAGAAGGCAGCAGAAGACAGCAGAAAGATCCCTGATTATTTGATCCAACTTAAACTTTTGGCTGCTAAAGGAGTCAGATCTGATACTCACTCACTATGATTAATGTAACTGAATGCTCGTTTCATAATAAATGATTTGATACTAAACACACAAAGAAATGTAGAATCACATCAAACATTCTGATTATGTTTTAAGTATCACATTGAACATGCTTAATTACTGTAAAATGAAACAGATAGTAGCGCATAGAAACTGTGAACAACAAAAGAGTAAATACATGTGAATGAATGTCATCATGATTGATAATGGATTCTATGTAAGAGCATTCAGATTATTCAATGACATTATAACCACCTAACAGTTAAAATACTAAATAAATGATTAAAATATAAACCAAACATTTGTAAAGTTATGAGTCATACTCAATCAATGTAACTCTTAAAAGTTCATGAAACAGTCTGAAAAGCTGTTGGTCTAAAGAAACTAAAGAGTAAAGGATTTTTTCCGCCAGAGTGATAACTCGGCCTCTGGAGCACATAGAAAAACGAGACACATCTCATTTTAACACAAATTTCATAATCAGACAGATTAGTACATTGCTGAATGTATAAGATGTCATGATCAGTCATTTGTATTCTTTCTTTCTTGAAAGGTAATAAAAACTCTGTCTCTTTTCTCTGAATTGACCCACTGTGAGGGGCCAGAGGTTTAGGTCAACCTCCTGTTGGGTCAGTTGGGTAATCTGAAAGTACAAACAAGTTTGCAAAGGTTTATATGATCCTGTTCCTGGGAACTAGATAAGGAACCTTTCCTGTGAGAAATGTGTGAGTTTCACACATAGACTGTATATAGAATAATATATGCACTCTATGGTTTCACACATGGGGTTGTCTTGATGCTCCAACAGTTTATCCTTCAATAAGACAAGATATCACAATTTTAAGTTGTAATTTTATGATTATATACTAACTTATAATCATGACTTAAGACTTGTTCTATTAATTTCTGAATAGGGAATATAATTTATTTATTCCTTTTGTAATAATTATAATTTGTTTGTTTCTTTGTTCGTACGTTTGTCCATCTGTGTAACTAGCGCTATATAGTTGTTTGATATTGCAGTACCTCAAGATTTCCTGAGGATGGCGGTAAAGCTGCATTTAGTAGATCATCTGCAGTTCGAGGTAGGTGAAGAAGATGTGTTCTCCCAGGGAGCATGGCGCGGGTTGTGTTTAGGATGGACTCCCTGCGCTGCTGGACCAGGAGGTAACAGCGCAGATTTCGCTGGGCTCTCACCGACTAACAGTGACGGAGTGACGGTTAGGAAAAGTATCCCGCAATGGGCGACAACCTGGCCCGTAGAGCGGCAGCCCGTCCGAGGAGGGTGTCTGCTGCAGCGGTGCTGGGCGCTAATGTTAGCCTGCAAGATGGCGAGCTAATGGAGGTCCACCCAGCTAGAGAAAGTCAACCAGGACCGGACAGACTGAGTGCTGCTGCCGGGAGGATGGAGAGGAGACTCTCGGGACCGCAAGCGGTCCACCAGAAACATATGCCGATTAATCCTCAGCAGTTTCACATCCCGAGGAAAACCAAGGAAAACAGAGGTAGGCTGCTCCTCATCCTCCCTGAAACTCTGGCATATAAGCAGAGCAACCGTTTACTCATCCTAAATAAATCCGTTTTTATGGGTTTTATCGGAGGAATTATCAGTAGTTTAATCAAACAAAGACGGTAGGCTTTAAAATCTAGGACTGATAATTCGTTTCCGACGACAGGCAACATAGACATTTATTATAAACAGCTTTCAGTGTTGTTGATGTGGGAGACTGGGTATATTACTGTTCACTCCATTGCAGTCATTATTGTCCTAATTATTTTTAAAGCTCTGTGTCATTAAACCAAGCTGCCTATTATGACAGTAACAGAAATGTGAAAAAGAACCATATATTAGTCGTTTGTTAGCTAGCAGTTAGCCTGCTAACGTTAACCGTTTGTGTCGGTTTTAGACATCTGTGTTTCTTGACAGCTAAACTTAGATGAGTTGAAGAGTGACGGAAGATTAACTTTCGTTTATTTCTGCGTCTGAATCTTGATTTTTGATTAAACTGGCGCCGTTTTACCTCAGTAGAGTCAGGTGTTACCCGGTAACCGCCTCTCCGTTTGTTTATATCCTAAGCTGTCTTTTAACATGATGGTAGACTCTGTTAAATCATAAGAATAAACCAAAATATACAAGTTAGGTATCTTATTTGGGTTATAAACCTTACTATATGGACCGGTTCATATAAACACAGTTTCCAGTTAAAAGGGTGCTGGTGAGAAGTCTTCTCAAGGGGCGGGACAGATTTTTATGTGTCAAATAGATGTGCCGATATACGATTTAATCGCGATATGCGATATTCAACGGCCGCGATTATGATATCTAAGGTACTGTAATAATCGTTCCACAAATATAATGTATAGACGAGTGGCAGGGTCACTGAGTGGAGGCGAGCGACGCCGACTACTTACCCACCTAACCTGCTTGTAGTCTTACCAATGGTGTCAAAGCCTCGGTTGCAAAATGTACAAACAAACCCCCACAAAAGTAGTCCCAAATCCAAAACAAACTCTCTTATTAAGATTATTTAGATTCAATTAAGTACACTAATGCCAGCCTAACAAAAACGGGAACATGAAAAGAGAAAATGAAGAAATTTTACAACAACATGCGTGGCCATCCACTATGCATTGCGGCCACCCAAAGCACTATTGGAGCATGTCCACAATGCATCCCATCCGCTCATTAGCTTCTTAAAGTGGAGAAGATATGATCTGATATTTTAAAACACGAGTATTGGATCATGACAACATGTCAAATGGAGCAGCAAACTTTGGATTATTGTATCATCCTATTATTGTATAGGATGATACAATCCCATATTGTATCCTCCTATTAAAAAGGTTTCGTCGGCAGTATGGATGTTTAACGGCTTCACAAAACAGACGGAGCAGGTAAACCTGACACCAATCTGCAGGTTATGCTGTAGGGAAGTTGCAGCACCATTGTCTAACACTTCAAACCTACGTGCCCACCTCCGTGAACACCATCCAGCAAATCAAGGTAAAAACGTGACAACATGACAACGTTAGTGACGTTCCTGCTAAGAAATGCTCCCAACGTCGCGTTAGCTGCCTCTTGCTCATATTGTTTGTGCGTGTCGTGCTGTGCAGAGAGAAGTGATTTTGCATTTTTTTTGCCATTTTTAATAACATTAAAAGCAATGCGCTAATATCGTGATAATATCTTAAATCGTGATATTTTGGGCCACCAATATCGTGATATCAAATTTTTCATATCAGCACATGCCTAGATCAGAGTGGCTCTGATCTGACAAGATGGGACTGAATTTTATCCCATCTTTAAGTTGGGTCTTTGTAAAGCCTATTGAGATAACATTTGTGGTGAATTTGCATGATATGAAGTTTGTTTGTTTGTTTGTTTTTTGACTGATCACAGAGAGAAAAAGTAGAACAAGTTTAAAAAATCATGTACGCTGTGAAAAGCGAAACACAACAGAATTATATGCAGAATATTAGCTGTGTGATCAGTTTAACTGCAAACTCTGTGATCACACATACACAGCACCTGTCTCAGGTGTTCCATCTGATCCCTCTCTTGCACACTGAGGGATGCAGCCGCTCCAGTCTCCTGAGAATTTCTGCATAGTCAAGGGTTCAAGCCTCCTCTCATTATTATTGGGGCACGCTCACAGGTTCTTTCTGGGCCTCCCAGATGGCTAAACCGTCTGTCGGCCTTAACGGTGAGGAGGCTCACCTGGAAGCCTTGTGAACCAGCAGCACTGAGATTGTTTGTCATTGTTCGTAAAGTAAAGCAAATACAGTTTGTGAGGTGCTCAGGTTAGTGAGATTTTAACTGAGTAGTAGCAGTGATTTGTGGATTAAGTTGACCAGCACTGACAGTTTAGTCCCTCATAAGCACTGGAGTTGAAGGATGGTATTTGTCAGGTGTTAAAAATCTTCATCCTGTGTTTTCCTTTGGTTCTGGACCCCGAATCTTCTGCAAAGCGAGTGACAAACATCATGTGACGGATGTATTTCTTGATTTGTTACCTCATGCTTCATGAAGTAACAAATCAAGAAAGGTCAAGGAAGTGCTCAGGCTGGATGCACACAGCCGCTCCCTCGAGTCCCCCCTTTTTTAAGCTGTTACAGACAGACTTACACTAACAGCTGTAAGTCGTATGTCACTTCTTCGTACATTAGTTTCCGCCTGTGACTGGTTGTCAAAAATAGATTTCACCTTGTCCTTTAAGGAAGTTAAGATGAGTATCTGAGTCTCAGACGCCATCAGTAATGTCGAGAATATCTGTGAAGTTGACTGAGTGGTTTTGTATGTCCAGGATACTGGTTCATCTCTTCCTGTATAAAAAAAATCTTTGTTATTATGATGTCTGAGAATCTTTGAGCAGGTAATGTCCTCTGTTATACGATCATTTGGCACAAACTAAGGCCAAAGTAAGAGATCGAAAGGTTTTGTGAGGAGAACTGAACCTCTTTGATCGAGCTGCAGCATGTGAGTCAAACCCGAGTATCTGACTCAAAACTGCTGCCAAACCTTCAATGTAAAAGCTGATGTTTTATACTTCAGAGGCCTTTATAGTGACACATGAATGTTTTTGCTTTTGTCATTACTTGTCCAATACTCGTATAGGCTGCAGTGCTAAGGCTCCTACTGCACAACTTGGACCTGAAGTGTAACTTTTAGACTGCTGCCTTTTTTAAAGGATTTTTGTTTGTATACCTTTAAAAAATGGTGGAAGTGGGTGGTCTGGGTTTTAGTGTAGAAGAGGTGCCGGTTTGATTTGTTGTCGGTTCCAAATAGTGAATCAAAGCTGTAATGGCAGGCTCTGGTGTGACAGCTTTGGTTCTGTTGTTGTAACACTGCTCCCCCGTTCTGTCAAAGTGGTTTTCTCCTCTCGAGGGCAGACCTGACAAACCTTGAATCTTTACTTTTCACTTGTATGCGCCATGATGCTGTTATTTCCGTAAAATTTAGACCTGCAAATAAATTGTAAGATGTTTTTTTTTTCTTTTGCTTGAAATTAACATGAACCTCCTCATGAGCTCGTGTTTTATCTGGTCGCCGTAAATTTGACCACATTTCCCTGATTTTAGCCTCTCTTCACTGGCTTCCTGTGCGTTTTAGGATTGATTTAAAAATGTTGTAATTAACTTATAAATCTTTAAACGGGCTTGCTCCTTTTTATCTCGCTGACCTTTTAAAACCCCATATCTCATCAGTGCCTTCTGACTGTCCCTGGGTCAAGATTAAAGTTCAGGGGTGACCGGCCTTTTTCCGTTGCTGTGCCTAAGCTCTTGACTGCTCTTCCCCTTCATGTCTGACTGTCCCCCTCACTGCCTGTTTTTAAATCAGATTAGAAAACTCACTTTTACTCTTTGGCTTTTAACTCCTGAGAACTTGGCCTCTTAATCATGTTTTTACTGAACCATCTATGTCCCCCTGTTTTTAATGTGTTCCTGTGTCTTTGTTTTATTGTTCGTGTTAATTGTCTGGCTCTTTTTATTTTGTTTTTAATCTTACTGTACAGCACTTTGGTCAGCGCTTTGTTGTTTTTAAATGTTCTCTATAAATAAACCCGGATTGGATTAGATTGGAACCTCCTGAACATGCGTTTCTGTGCAACACTTCTAACCGCTGGGATCGTTTCTCTGAGATAAAACCACTTTCCAGTATTTCCTTCAAGCATTTCTTTATTTTGACCCAGTAAAGATTAAAGATTCATTCAGATAAAGATTCATTTGAAGAGAACTTTTGTCTCCTGAAGTTCAGTTACATGAAATCTCAAAGTGTTTAATGAGTCGATGGAGTCATTTAGTAAAACAGAAGGAAACTCAGAGCAGCAGCAGAAGTCCCCACAGTCCAGACTGACCTCCCTGTCCCTCCCTGTGTGTCTCTGTCTGTGTTTTTGTCAGATCTGTTCCATCATGTCTCCACTGTGTCCAGAGAGTATGAAGACATGATGACTATCCTGACCTCCAGTTACATCGACACCACCTCTGCCAGCTGCTTCACCTACAGCACACCCCGACTGGTCTACAGCGAGCTGCTGGAGAAAGAGGTGGGAGACAGAAACCGTTTAGAAGTCAAACACAGATGATCAAGTTCAGGTAGCAGGGCTTGACACTAACTTTTTTAGAAGGAGCACATGTGCTCCTAAGTCGAAAAAGTAAGGAGCACACGAAGAACTTTTGGGGCACAATGAAAATTGATCAAATAACGTTTTTCTTATTGGTCGACATAAGTACGATGATTTAAAATCAATTTTAGGTCAATTGGTCTCATGACATGGAAGCTATTGAAGGAAAACAGCCTTCTCTGAGAACAACAGGTAATTTATTGACGGTCCCTTATTCAACACCCAACGTTGACAGTGAGGGTGTCGAGTAGATTTAACCGCGCTGCTGTTGCTATTCCCGGTTATGGAGAGAGAGAAGACACCGGTAGATCCTCAGAGAATGTCCGTTAAATATCCAACATAAAACTAACTTCACCGCCGTATTTACATGAAAAAACATTTGTTTCCTCAGCTGATTTTTTTTTTTATGTGCACATGTGCGTCTTAATACGTTTTACGATTCGCACACATCTATTTTTAGTAGCAAGTGTGAGTGAAGTGGTCACACTGTCGAGCCTTGGGTAGTTTTTATTTCTTTATATCACTGAAGTCATCTGACCTGTGTTCAGTTTGACTGTCTGACTGAAGTTACTCTGAAGTAAATCTAGATTAAAGTGGGAGTGTCAGACCTAACTGTGGAAATTCACGTGTGACACAGCTGAAGTTGGGAAGCTGTTCTGTGGATTTGAGTCATTATTGATATGACAGGAGGCGCCCTAAGAATTCATTCACATTAACATTTCGTGCAGCAACAGTGGTGACTACACATCTGTCAGACTGTCTTTGTGAGAACAGTTATCTCTTACTGAAGTCTCAGGTTTTGTGGAGCCCCATCACTCAAAGAAAGCGTGGACATGTCGAACTTGTTCTGTGCTAAACCTCTATATGTGTGTGTGTTTCAGTTTGTGGAGAAGAGGAGAGAGATGAAGGCAGATGGGAGGACTGACAAAGAGCTGGAGGAAAGCTACTGTTTCTTATTGGCTGATGCTGTGAAGGTGAGACTCACCCTGTGGTTTTGGTTTTTGGTTCGTATTAAAGGTGATGGTTTTATGTCTCTGACCACTGAAGTCTCATTTAGCCGCTTTCTCATGCTCACAACCCGATTTTAAAGATATTTAAGAACTTGAAAGTTGATCAGAGTTTGTCAAAGATCTTTAATGCTGTAAGAAAAGAATGATAAAAGCTCATAGACCGATTGGCTTCTGTTGAGACTGAGAGGAATTTCTGTGGACAGACTTCTGACCACTATGATAAAGGGAAAGTGAAGTTTGTCAGTTTATGATCATTTCCCATTTAGATTCAAACGATGAAGGAGTTTCTCATATTCCTGATGAACTGTGTGTTTCAGACGCCCTTGTTCTGTGAGAATGGGTTGTCGGTGGGTCATAGCCGGATCACGGTTTTGGGAAACCCCTCAAAAGGTAGGAGTGAACAGAAACAGGCTGGTGGACATGCAGGGTCTGAAATCAGGTTTTATTTCTGTTGGTATAATTCCAGCCGCTAAAGGTTTGAACCAAAATACTCATCTACTCCAAAATACGCTGAGTTTGAACACATTTTTCAACTCTAAGAAACAAACTTGAACAAATGTGAATGTGACTTGAGAGTCAAATAAAGTGAATTTCAGCCCCTGCAGACGTGTCTGAACACATTAAATGTTTATATTTTGCTGATAAGAGAGTCATAAATGTTGAAGCTGATTTTTATTTTATTTTTGTTTGTTTGTTTGAGTGGTTTCTGTGAGATAACTCAGCTGTGGACGTAAAAAACTCACTGAAAATAAAATAATACTCTTTGAGAACAAAAATGGAGCTGTGAGTCTCATGTTGTTCTTGAATGCTGGTGTCCGTAGGAGTCTACTTGTCCAGGTACTCAGACCTGCTCCAGATGACCCCCATGACTCCTGGATGTACAGGAGAGATCATCATCTTCAAAGTGATGAAGGTCAGTCATCTTGGTCGCTATTGTTTGAATCCCTGTTGGAGAATCTTCTTTTTCTCAGAGACGTGGTTTTACATTATTTTTTTTAAACTTGATTCTTTAGTTGGAAGCTTAAGAACAAACCCGAGAAATCTTCAGTTCACAGATTGAACATTTATTCAGGTCACATGTAAAGTCAGGCAGCGCTGGGCTCGGACTGAAGGAGCTCCTGCTGGATCCCAGTCAGGGCCAGCGGTCGTTTCCAGGGTTGTTTCACCGTTATCTCATTGGCCAGTTATCTCTGACGTTAACAGGCAAACCACTGTTCACGTGGTCCTACTAACATCCCACTGAGCAACAGACGGCTATTAGACGTCTAGTTTTTTTTTAGACATACGTTCAACCGTCTAGATTCTGTATATTTTTAGACAGAATTTAGATGTTGCACTTTAACCCATAATTCGATATCTATTTATTTCAAAAAGCATCTGTGAGTAGCATAACTGACCTCTAAGTACTCAACCAAAATAATTATGATAGCCATTGAGCAGTATACAGTTAGACCTCTGTTAGCTGGCTGGTCTAAACTTCAAAAAAATTTTAGACTTGTAGTAGCCTGATTTTAGACCAGTCATCTAGGCTACATTTAGACGTCTATTAGACCTCTTTTAGACCAAAAAATGCTCAGTGGGATGTGCTGTGAAATAGGCGTGGATCGACTGAAGCAGACCTGTCCTGCAGAACAAGAGAGCCCAGTGGTTCCTCAGGTTCCTGCTTATTAAGCTAAATGTCACACTGCTTTGATTAGTTAAAAAAAACATTCATTAAGTCACAGGAGTCCAGTGGAAAAGAACGAATCAGAATCTAGAAGCACTTATTCATACGTTGCACCTCACCAGTCTGGTCCTCTGTTTGTCTGTTTGACATGATTCAGTAGGACTGAAGCATTATGGGATGTTAGTGATTTTTCTCTGCTTCAGGGCAAAGTGAAGAGTATGTACGAAAACATAAAGAACCTTCTGGATCCGACGCCTCGCTTCGACAGCCACATCTCCAAGAACATCAGCAAAGTCACCTCAGTCAACAGTTACCGCGCCTTCGAACTCACACAGGTGAGTAGACCCACACACACACACACACACGCACACACTTGAGAATGAATCCCGGGTTTAGACAGAACTGGTTTATCATCAGAGCTTCATCGTTAATCTTTTTTTCTGAAAGTTTTACTCACTCACTTTAAATCTGTAAAAACATCATAAATGGGTTTGAATCAGGCGTCTGTATCTAATGAATGACTCTAATCTAGAGCCTAAAGCTCTCACCACCAGGCCACATTCATCAGATTCTCTCTGAAGGTCTTTTTTCTGATGTGTTTTAAGAAAAGCTTCACCTCCCTTGTTCGTTTCAGCATTACTTTTACGAGTATTCGTTTGATGAGCTGCGGCAGAGACCTCGTCAGGTTTGTCCGTACGCCGTCGTCTCCTTCCACTTTAAGGGGAAAGATTCCGCACTTCCCAGCAAACCTCTGGTCCCCATCAGGTAACAAGAGCAGGAGATAGTTCTGTATGAAGAGTGATGAATGTTTGGGACATAAATAAACAACAACATGCTGGTTTCTTTTGTTTTTTTTGTGCTATTTTGCTCCTGACTTTATGACGTGGTGTTTATGAATGTTTTATGAATGGTTTCAATGTGTCAAAACTTGTAGAATAAGCACATAAACTGAAGCTTTGACCACAACAACAAATATCTGATTGTGACATACTGTTTTTGTACTTTTGTTTGATGGACAGGTCAAACAGCCAATCAGCAGAGGGGAGGAAAGGTGAGCCCTGATATTCTTCATGAAACACACCAGAGTTGATATTTCCAGCTCAAACCTGACTCTGATTTAAGCCCTCCTTTCTTTCTTCCTCTATTGGTTAATTGTGGTTTTTGTTTTCAGAGCGTGCTCAGTTCACTGTGTGGTCGGGAGATTTGGTGAAAGGTGAAAAGGTTCTCTACCAGATCTCCCTGCGCTCCTTCTCTCCTCCTCTTCTTCCACACAAACTGTGAGTAACTCTGTCTTCTGCAGCTCTTTTAATGAGAGCCTGTTCAGATCTTGGACATCTTCCACGATCTTCTGTATGTCCTTAAAAACGTTATCGTACTGTCTGCCTACCTCAGACCAGAGAAACTGGAGATCGGCTGGTTGATGAGACTCGACAAAGTGACTAAGCTCCTCCCCTCAGACCTCTTCTCCTACAACCTCTACAGCAGCAGCCAAGAAGGTGAAGTCCAGGCAGCTCTTCCAGTCATGGAGAGAGTCTTTGGCATGTGTTTCTGTAACCACAGCTCAGTCAGAACACAAGTGTAACAGGAAGCTGTGTGGGTGTGTGTCTGTGTGTGATTTCCTTTGTGTAGTTGTGAAGAGCGGTCATTCCTGCAGCCTTCTGGAGGTGACAGACAGATTTCGGTCGACGACCAGCATCACGAAGCTGCTGCACGAGCTGGAGAAGAACCGAGTGGTGAGTCTGGGGTCTTCTAAAACTGTGGACCAGGTTGGTTTGTCAGCAGGTGTGAGACAGAAGAGCTCCACAAACAATGTTTCAAAACAACACAGGCTTCAAACAGCAGTCGAGTTCTTAACTTTCCTCATTGACAGAGACATCCAGACCTTTATTTCAGACCGGTTTACATTCAGGCCGGACCTTTTCCTTTTCCTCTCTATCATTTATCGCCAATTTGATGAAACGTGGACTTAAACAGAGGCCCATGTCTTCATCTGTAAAACCCTTTTCTCATGCTCTCACACACCTCCACCTTTTAAACCAATCAAATCCCGTGCCTGCCTCCTACACGTTCATGTCGACGGCGAGCATTTGCCCTGATTTAATGCGTATAGCCGAGCTGGAGAATGGCAGAGAAACTACCTATACCCAGATTAATGGTGACTGCTCCTCCTGCTAAAAACGCAAGAAAAGAAAGACAGAGGCAGAGAAGGCCGAAGCAAGACAGAGTTTGGAGAAAGCAAGAGCGAAAACGAAAGTCAACATGGGGACAGCTTCTCAGTGATGGAGAAAACTGAAAGAGGTCAAGGGCTTTAAAAGTGATGCCATGGTCGCTCATTTTCTGTTAGGAAGGAACGTTGAGGATTTGTTTCAGGGCGATTTTCAGTCTTGATCAAGTATTTAGCCATGTCGCTAGTTATGTGGTCATCCTGATGCTAATATTACCATCTTTGTCCCTGCTGTGCAAAGACTTCCCAATCTAAAGTCCCAAAGTTTTGAGTCTGTGGTTTTGAATCAGCAGACAGCAGCGCTCGTGCATGTGAGCAGGGGCGTTGTTGTGGAGGAGCTTCAGGGGAAGGGTGGAGGGGGGAGCAGTTAGACAAAGTCCTGAGGAAATGCTACATTCAGATTCATGCTAGTTTGTCGTGATCGCCAACCCCTACCTTTAAGTGAAAAATCAGATTTACACTGACAGCTTATCTGTGTCTCTGCAGGTTCTGGTGACTCCACTCACAGAGAGAGGTTTCCTCTTCCTGATATCCAGCGTTCAGATGGCCACACCCCCGGGTATGACATCACACACTTGTGTTGTACTTGAACAATATAAAAACACCAAACAGTTGTTAAAAAGTGCGAAAACAGTGAAGCTCAATGATCTAATCTTTTGCTTCTGTGTCCAAGTAAATAACACCAGCTCGCCGTCAGTTACCAAATATATGGAGATGTACAAAATGCCACAGGGTTCGAGGATGTTTTTGGATTGGTTGGAAGTTTTAAATGTCATGTTTGATGGCATAAGCTGAGTAAACCTTTTTTTGTGTTTTCAGAGAGGGAGGAAGGCTGGAAGAGGAATCTCCAGGCTTTGTTTATCTTTCCAGAGAACAGAGATGTCTCCAAATCTGGTGAGTAACACCTGCAGAGACTGCAGCAGGAGTCTCTCTGCAAAACCACTTATTTAGGATCAGAATAAGTCCGATTTTAATTAGAGCCTTAAGTGGAACTCAGTGCTGGTTTAATACCTTTTGAAACCATCAAACCCACCAACAGCAGGAGGATGTTTGCTGAAATATAAAATACCACACAGATTATTTTTGGTCTTTATTCATGAGGAAGTTTGAAGTGACAGAAAAAAATGGGTCAATGGCAGCAGTAATTCTGATGTTCAGCTAAGAGTAGAGGGTCGGAGTCGAGTCCAGGACGCTCACGCGCTGCAGCCTCTGTGGTGTCTGCAGGGCTCCTGCTCCATCAGCTGATATCGTCTCTTCTGGTAAAATTCTGCATCTGTAAAACCAGTTAGTTCTTTAAAAAAGTTAAAACTCGGCAAAGTAAAGAAGTATTTAGATTTTAAACAGTTTTATTTGTAATTGTTGAGTCAGTCATTTAAATGAATGAGCCTTGAACTGAAACTTCAGCTCCACTTCTTTTTGCTCGCTCTCCTACAGAACAAAAAAACGGGTATTGACTTAAACATCATCATCATCATCTTCATCATGTTAATACTGATACTTGTTCTTGCTGCAGCAGTGAAGCCCACTTCCCATGATGCCCCTGTGCCGTCGATATCTGGTGGTCAGGTGATGCCAAAGTTGAACCAGTTCATCCCGGCGTTGCACCACGCTCTGATCAAAGCCCGAGCCAACCCACCTCCAGAGCTGTCTGTGGGAGTGGAGCGCCAGGCGAGGGAATACCTCATCGGCCTGAAAGACGGGAAGGTAGGAGCAACACCGATTAAAAAACAACTCTGGGTTATCAGTCAGGATTGATCTTTTTTTTTACCTCATTGGGCTCTGAAAGGATCTTCTCTGGACTTTGAAACTCTTTGAGTTTTAACTGGTAAATCTCCTGTTTTGAGATTAATGACATTTTTGACATAAATCAGATTTTCATATTTTGTCCTTTTATGACATCCAAAAGCAAACGTCAGCATAACCACATGACTTGTCATTTAATATCTCAACATTTTTGTACCATGTGCATCGTCCTGTTTTTTAATGATAACAATATGATGTTTTTTTCACTTTATTACTGTTTGTCTGTGCTCTTCAGGTGCGACAGTATCCTTTAGGCGAGTATGAATCTGCCCCGGATGACCAAGGAACACACGCCCCCAAACACCACCGAGTGAACATGGACGGCTACCTGCGCTCCTACCTGTTCAGCCCCGCCCTCTACCTGCTGTCGGTGGCCCGGGCCCGGCAAATGGTGGAGGCTCACTGCGGTCTGGAGGATCCACGGGAGGCGAAGATGAGGAGGAGTTCTGGAGGTCAGAGAGAGGCGAGCAGCAACAGTGGAGGAGGAAAGAACAACACCGAAAAGGTAAAACTGACATCTGAGCAGCTTTCTTCATCGTCATGGCTTCGGTTTGGTGAAAATAAACCCCCTCCTGCAGGTTCTGTTATTCAGTCATGTTCTCAAAGAAATGTGCTCTTGTGTCGCTCAGATGCAGCAGCTGATCGACCTGGTGATGACGTGTAAGAGGAACGCAGAGAACGAGGTGAAGAGAGAGGAAGCAGGAAGAGTGAAGGCGCCGGGGATGAAGAGGAAGCTGGAGCAGGAGACGGCGGAGAGGGCTCTGAAATTCCTGAAGGCCTCACAGGAGCCGGGAAGACCCAGCAACATTCAAGGTGAAGAAGATATAGAGAAGCAGAATCTGTCCCTGCAGGTCACACACCTCATGAGGAGGTTCAGGCTCATGTTCTCCCTGCTGCTATCAGACACTTTAGCATGGCTTCACATATTACTCTGTTCACTTCAATGCCAGTACCACACACTGCGTACATCATAGCTGTCAAGTTTAAGTCTAGTTGAATTCAACCATTTCATTAGTTTGCCAAAAATACAACGTGGACATTTTCTGAATAACATAGACAAGGGTTCAGGTTTTCACTGAGACTCAGATGTCATTTCAAACTGTTAGTCTTTATTTGACTTCCAGAAATGTGTTTTTCAGATGTGCTTATCTGCTGCCTTATGTCAATTTTTATTTTCTTTGAAACTCCAATTTTTTTCTATGTTTGAATTGAGTTTTTTCTGAACAGTCCTTTATCGATCTTTAACAGCTGTTTATTGTTGTGTTTATCTCTAACAGCTGTTTATTGTTGTGTTTATCTCTAACAGCTGTTTATTGTTGTGTTTATCTCTAACAGCTGTTTATTGTTGTGTTTATCTCTAATAGCTGTTTATTGTTATATTGATCTCTAACAGCAGTTTATTGTTGTGTTTATCTCTAACAGCTGTTTATTGTTGTGTTTATCTCTAATAGCAGTTTATTGTTGTGTTTATCTCTAACAGCTGTTTATTGTTGTGTTTATCTCTAATAGCCGTTTATTGTTATATTGATCTCTAACAGCTGTTTATTGTTGTGTTTATCTCTAACAGCAGTTTGTTAAAGTATGTCAGTGATGTGAGTCGTATTCTGACGTTTTTCTCTTCCTGCTTTTGGCTCTTAGTTGGAGAAAACCCTGCCCCCTCCTCCCCGGACTCTCTTTTGTCTGTGATTGGCTCAGTGGGTCTGAAGGATGTGGATCTGAGGGAAGACGGATCTGAACTATCTGCACATCTCCTCAACCTGCTGACAAGTAACTTCATCCTTACAGCTGAAGAACATTTCACCATTAATCATTGATCCCATCAGCATCATCAACACTAAAACACAATATCAGAGAAAGGTATTCTGGTGTTTTACAGACATTTGTTGTGTTTGCTAACAGGCCTCAGCCAGGCTGCCAGAGGAACAGCCAATCCAAGTCCAGGGCAATTTCAGGAGGAGGGGGGGTCCTATCCCTTTGACAGGTTGGCCACAAAGCTCGGTCTGCCCACCAACTGTGACATCGACTTGAGGAGGCAGGAGGAGCTGGAGGTAACCGAAGATTTCAGTCACAGATGAACAAGTTTCAAGTCTTTTCTCTGAAAATCCAGAATCAGCGTTGAGTTTACAGCTGAACCGCTAAACAAACAGCTCCAACATTTCTGTCAAACCTCAATTATGCTGAACTCTGAGCCTGAACATGATGCAACTGAATCATTCAATTATTAACCCCCTGAAGTTTTCACAAACACAGAAGTTAAATTCAGAGACCAAAATGTTTTTCTACACTTTTATTTCTGCAGTAAAAACAAACATTTCTCCCTTAATGTTGGATCCAGCCTAAAGTGGAGCCGTGAAAAAGTGCAGTTTTTACACATTCGCATTATTAAGCACTTGAACAAGCAGCGACCATCAACCCGTGTCGAGAAATGTCTGTGCAGATGTGAAAACAGATTCACTTTCTCAGTGTTCGCCTTAGTTCTCCTTTTTCTGTAATTATAACTTCACTTTAGACCTTTGAGAGGAAATGAAAATATTCTGAGATGAATGAAGTTTTCAGGTCTTTTGAGTAACACTGAGAATCTGTGGTTTTATATATTGGACTAATGTTAAATCCAAATAAATAAACACTTGTTTAAAGTTTTTATGTAGGTATCTTTTTGTTCTTGTTCAAACCCCCTGATTCATCCAACTGGAGGAGTTTAGAAATCCCTGATACAAATCTCTTGAACGTTTAAGATTTTTTTCAGCTCATTGTCAGTCTGTTTAAGGGTGAGTGACAGAGAAAGAAACGGGGTGAGAGAGTGGGCAGGTCATTTGGGGCATAACTTCGATTATGGACCGCTCGTCCAAACCAGCTCCTAAAACGTGAGGTGTCTTTGTTTGTGTGTAGGAGCAGATGGCGGGCAGCGTCAGCAGTTTGGAGGGTTTCAGCCCCAGTTCTCACAGCGGGGAGACGAACCACAGAGGAGGAGGAGGAGGAGGAGGAAGAGGAGGAGAGGAAGGTCTGAGGAGGAGAGGAGGATATGAAGAGGAAGAGGGAGAGTGGGAAATCCCATGGATCCTAATTCCCATCACAGGTCTGTTTGTGTTTCATGAAGTGTTAACAGTCAGAGTCAGCTGGAAAATATTCACACAACTTTTTCATCATGAGTCAGATCAAACTGGAGTCCTCCTGTCTGCTTTGACATCATAGTATTAGAGGAAATCTAAACTTGAGACAGAGAGAGGGTTAACTATCGGTTATTTTGTGACATAATACTGAGAACCTGACCGTTTGAAGCTGCCGTAGAAAACCGAGGAGGGCTGTTATTTTTTTTTCCCTGTCCTGTTTTTGGTGAATAACGACGTAAAGAAGCAGAAGATGAAGTTCTTCTGTGTTTGAAAAAACCGCAGAGACAAGATGATGTGAGTAAAATCTGAACCCTGTGTGTGTGTGCAGGTCTGTGCTCGGAGAGGTACACCCAGAGAGACAGGAACATCCCCCAGGACCCTCGCTTCCAGCACCTCCCCACACCAGCCAGCATCACCATGCCAACCAAACCTCAAAGGGAGAACGCCATCCCCTCTCCCGAGCCCAGCCCTCCCCCCTCTCCCTTACAGTGCCCGTCACCTGACCCAAGTCCTCCCGCCTCGCCCTCTCATTGCCCGTCCCCTGAGCCCAGCCCTCCCCCCTCCCCATCTCTGTGCCCGTCCCCTGAGCCCAGCCCTCCCACCTCCCCCTCCCCACAACCCAGCTCCCCACCTTCCCTCTCTCAGTGCCCGCCCCGTCACCCTAGCCCTCCCTCATTCAACCCCTCCAGGTGCCGGGCTCTTGGGTCCAATGAGCTCATTGGTGGTGCTAACGAGGAGCGCTTGGCCCCCTCAGCCTCCAGGGAGTCTGCAGGTAACCTCAACCACACAGTCAGTCCCATGATGCACCTGTTGCATCAATGTTTAGACTGTGATGCAACACTTGGACTGCCATGTCAAATAAATCTACTTCATTTGAAACTTGCTAAGAGTTTTAAGAATTTTTGGCTTTTTGCTGAAGTGGAGGTTAAAAGTTACAGAGTATAAAATAACTGACAGAGTCATGCTGATGATTTGTTTTCATGTGCACAGAGGCGAGCTAATCTAACGGTCTTCCTAAACCTCTGAACCATCAGATCACTGATCTGTTTCCAGTCTAACCTGGTCTTCTTTCTGCAGGAGCGTCCAGAGACAGAGGAGAGAGAGCTCAGCAGAAAGACCGGTCCACATCTTCATCCATCCATCCGTTTCTCCCTCTAGCTCCAGAGAGGCGGAAAAGCCCCTCACCACATCCTGCTGGTGGCGAGAAAGAGGCTGAGGGAGTGAAGGGCGAAGGTGCAGAGGAGAAAGAAACTGTGTTCCCCGCCAAGAGAGAGCTACCGAAGAAGAGGAGCGAGGCTGATGAGGGGAAGCGAAACCAAGAGATGGAGGAACGAGTAAAAAAGGGAGCTTTGAAAGAGGAGAGGAAGGAGTCGACAGGCAGCTCTTCGTTCGTCCACGATGGTGTCTCCTCGTCTCCTCCTTGTTCTCTCAGAGGTATCGACACCATCGTGGACAAACATCTAGGTGACTTCTCCTCTGAGATCCAGCTCCTCCTGCAGGGGGAGAGCATTCCTTACAGCTGCCAGCAGTCCCCACACTCCACGTCCAAACCCGAGACCTCAGCATTCACACATGCCTCCATATCCCAGTTCTCCCAGTATGTGTCCTTCTACAACCCCTGCCCCCCGGTCCAGGACTACGTCAGCTCTCTGCAGGACAGCATGAGCAGCATGCTGACTGAGTTAGAGGACTGCTGGCCCAGTGACAAGCCCACCAGCAGCAAGAGGAATGAAGCCAGTTTGGCGAGTACGGTTAGCGCTTTCGTGTCCAGCATCAGAGCGAACGTGAAAACAGACAGAGACGATGAGGAGCTCACTGCTGCCCCCTCTGGAGGGGACGTTTGGCAGCCGCTCACAATCACTAAACAGTTTTCTGATGCAGAGAACAACAGAAACTCACCGACTTTTCGCGTCACTTTATCTAAAACTACCTCTGTGTCTGGATCAGGCACCTCCGTCCTCCACCCTCCTCCTCTTCCTTCCACTCCCCCGCCTCCTCCTCCTCCTCCTTCTCAGCACAGCCACTTGTTGGAGATCACACGGACAGTTCCAAATGACCTCAGGGAAACGCAGGTCGGCGCCACCGGCAGGACTGTTCAGCGCAACTCTGGTGCAGACAGTTCAAACTATGAGGTGACTCTGCCGGGGTTCAGCAGCAACATCACAGAGCCGTCGCCACCCTCTGAGCCGGTCTGCAGTTCAGCCTCAGAACCCGTCCCTGTACCCGGATCAGGCCTGGCTCCTCCTGCCACGGCCCTGAGCTCTCTGATCAGCCAGCTGCAGCCGGAGGTGTTCAACAGCCTGGTGGAGATCATCAAAGACGTGAAGAGGAACTCCCTGCAGTTCTACCTCCACAGCAGCGAGTCAGGAGACCCGGTCTATGAAGGCATCAAGGTGAGTGGGGACGAGTTAGTGCTCTAGAAGACTAACCTCGCACAAGTACTCACTTTAAGGATAATCAAGAATGATGTCAAAGATAGAAACAGAAATTAATCATAAATCAGCTGCAGCGAACAAACAGAAATACATGACAGTCCCAGACTTTATCGGTCTAGATTTTAATCTGAAAATTTGACCCACAAGATTGAAACAGTCCACAGCTGTGAACTGAAGATGGAAAAACTAACACTGATGAGTTTTTTTTGTTTTGGGGATAACACACAGGAATTCATTCCACAGAAAAATGTAGTTCAGAGTGCAGAGACCTAGAGAGGAGAGAGAGGGGACAGGTGACACAGCAGGTGAAGCAGCAGGTTACTACAGAAGCTGTGATACTGAGGCAAACTAAACTAAAGGGGGCAAAGAGGAAACAAACTACAGGATATAATGTTTGAAAAACATCCAGAGTGCCCTCCTGTTCTGAGCTCATAACTTAGTGAAACCAGCTGTTGACCAGCTTTAACTTAACAGAGCTCAGAACGAAGATGTCCTCACGCCCACAGGTCGTATATTTATGCAGTTCTGATTTTTCGTCCTTTTCCAATCTCAATCCTGACCGTCGAACAAGTAACATGTTTCTTCATTGAGAGAGGACTGGAGAGAAGAGTCGAAACTGACATCATAGACTTTTAACATGTGAGACTGTAAACTAATCAGGAAAATCTTTACAAATCTACCTCTTTTAAATGTAGAGTCTCCCCCTGCTGACCAATGTAAAGAATGCAGCTTTACGGCACTAAAACACTGGCATCACATTTCAGACCTGAACGAGACGTCTATGTTGGGTCAATGTTTGATCCTGTAGTGAATTGAAAACAAATTAGCATAACATTAGCCCTTTAATGAGGTACTATAGTTTTATTTTCACACTTATTCAGTGTGTGTGTGTGTGTGTGTGTGTTTGTGTGTGTGTGTGTGTGTGTGTGTGTGTGTGTGCGCCCTCTTGTTTTACAGGAACTGCTGTTAAAGCAGGGGAATGTGCAGGTTCAGAGTCCTTTATCCTTCCTGGATGAAGAAAACCCTGAGAGCAGACTGCTGGTCATCATTAAGAACAAAGAGATATCCGGACGCGTGCAGGAGGTAAAGCTGCTGTTTGACTCTCTTCAGATCCAAACAGAGCAAAGTTACCTGAAGGCTCACTCGAAACCGTATACTGGGATAATGTGATGAATAAAAGTCTCAGTAGCTTTTATTTCAGAATAACAGGATGTGAAGAAACGCCACGTCAGTCTGAGTCACTGCGTTGTTGAATTTCAGATATTGTTTTAATTTAGCGTGAAAACTCATCCTTATTCTTCACTCAGGTTATTTTCAACTCAACTTTGAATTGTCAAGCTGAAAAAGTGTCTTTGCGCGTCTTTGTGTTAGATCCCGGGTCTCGTGTCTCTGAAGCGTCACCCCTCTGTGGTGTTCATGGGAATCGACATGCCTGACGACGTCATGAACAACAGCTTCAACGAGCTCTTTGTCTCTGGCGGCTGCATCGTACCTGACGAGTTAATCCTCAATCCAGACCTCATCACTTATGGTATCTAAGGGGCTCTTCTTACTCTAGATCCTCCTGACACGTTAAGAGTCAGTGAGCTGAAAAAATCTTTGCAGTCGTCCTTTAATCTTTGTTCTGACTGTCTGATGATGATGATGACGATGATGCTCTGTTGTTTTGCAGAGCGTCTCGCTGCTTTGCTGCTGTTCCTGGAGCAGCAGAGTTCTCCGGAGAGTGTGTGGAGGTGGAAGGTTCACTGCAAAACCCACAAGAAACTCAAAGAACAAGCCAGGTAGAGGCGATATCTATCTCTCCGACTGTAAACTTTCAACTCTATGAAGGGAAAATAAAAAAGAGAGTTCACCCACATCATGCCGAAAATCACCTTTGTTCATAAACCGTCTGTCTCTTCTGTATCAGCCTCTACCTTCACTGTCCTGTGGCAGAAGAACAAACCTTTGTTTTGTTTTCAGGTTCAGGAGAGATGCAGCCAACCTTCTGGACTTGCTGTCAACCTATCAGAAGCGGCAGATCGTGGAGTTCCTCCCGTATCACCACTGCGACATGATGAACCATCAGTCACCCGACCTGCCGTGTCTTCTGGAGCTGCAGTCGCGATACACACAATACCGGCACACCGTCTTCCTCACCGGTACGTCCGTTTAGGTGTCTTAAATACTCCAAACTACAGTCAGTCAGCAGGTGACGTCTTGAGTGGGTGTTTCTTTTCCTTTTATTCCACTCAGAGCATCATTTTGAGAAGTTCGCTGCCTACTCCAGTGTTGGTGTCATCGTGGCGAGTATCGATGAAATCCTGCACAACTTCTCCAAACTGGTTGGTGACCAAGACGTCCGGGATGAGCAGCCAGTCGGGGACGAGATTCCAAAAGGTAAGCTGTTGAAGTTTATTCAGAAAGATGTGGAACTGAGCCGTGTGACCCATGAGATTCACGAGACTCTGCATGTTCATGTTCACTGTAGCCTTCGCTGCTGTGTCGGGCTCACTGCAGCATCATGGATATTCAAGCAAAGAGGAAAAATTCATCCAAATCCTCCAGCAGGTGGACTCCCAAACCAAAGGTTGGTCTCCTCTCCCACAGCCAAAAGTCTCTGAGCCTTTAACTCGCCCACAACAAGCCGGAAATGAGGTGCAGTTTCTGGACGTGAATGGGGCGCATATACCGCACAAATGCTGGAGGACACCTGAAAACTGGCACAAAATATCAGCAGTTACTCACGGCAGGGCGTCATACCCAGACCTTTGGGTCCCCGATCGGCAAGAGCTGACAGAGTTGAAGAAACAGTCCCAAGTCTTCAAAGTGTACATGACACAGCCTCGGCACCTGTGTAGGGGGACCTACCCTGCAAGTGTGACCGCCTATGACCACCCTGTGGGTAAGTGGGCATATGTAGAAGCACTGGGCTTCAGAGGAGAGGCTGAAGTGGGAGTGTGTATCATCTCAAAGATGGCCCAGTACAGTCTTGGTCTAACAGGACTGTGAAGACTTGAAGGAGAGAGAGAGCTGAGAAAACGGACTTCACTGTAAGTTATGTAATTGTCCACCTCTGATTGTATGACTTCATAACCTCTGTTTGAGGGGACAGTCCTGGTTCAGGGGCTGCAGCCTTTGCAGGACCAGGTCTTTGAGGGACCCAGCCTCTGGTGCCTGTTTGAACCACAGCGGCTGAAACCTGATTGTGTCACCGGCTGTTACCACCATGAAGCTGCCCCTGTCACACAGCAACGGAAGACAAGTGTCTCTTAGTTTGATCGACATGGCCTCCCTCTGTTTCCACATTTGCTCTTCTCACCGCTGAGTCAAAACCACATCCTACTGTAACTGGGCTGTTGAAGAGTCGGCCATCATGGACAAGGACTTGCAGAAGGATGAACTTGATGCTCCCTCGGTCACATTTAGGAGAGCTTTGCGTCTGTTACATGGTTGGTCTTAAATGCAGCCTTCAGAGGATTCAGGCTCTACAGAAGGGAGAGGAGTGAAAAGGTGACCAACAGTGATCCCTTGTCTTTGTTTCGGTCTCCAGCTGATGTCGTCTCTCCTCATCCAGATCCACAGTCCTGTTTTTACTGCCTGGTTAAACATCTCTCCTCTGCTGCCTTCTGCTCTGTCCTCACTCTCAGCTCTCCTTGTAATGAAACAGCTGATTGTGCTCTTCTCTTCTGGACAAACCTTAACTTTTAGTCCTCACTGTTGAGCTTCTGCTGCCATCTCTGCATATCTACGCTTTCGACCTCTCTGCCTGAACGAGTCCTTCAGGGCCCCGGCAGGTCTTTGAAATGAACTCTTCTCTAGCTGGTCTCTACATCTGGCCTGGGGTAGGTGAGGACTATTTCCTGGTGTCTGTATAAAAATCAGCCTTCGTGGACAGTCTGAAGAGCGGCTCTTTTTCTGATTACTTCCTAAATTTGCCTGTCGTCTGTCATCTTTCATTTCCTGCTGCTGAGCATTGTACCGCCTGGTTTGTTGCCGTGTTCACGCCTCTCTGCACACAATGAGCGCAGTAGGCCCCCCCTTGCAGAGTATTAGTTATCTGGAGCCAGCCTCAAGTGGAAGCTTGAGGAACTGTAGTTTTTTTGCTCCACATTGGCTTCATCTCTGAAAACCTGAGTTGCAGTTTGGGTAAGTTCCAGCAGGGGGAGCTCCCTCAAACCCAAACATGCCCCTCATGGAGGTGTCTGACTCAGAGATGACCGCTGTTCAATCATCCAGACGTCTTCCTGATGGTGACACGTGGACAGAGATGCTGTTGCGGAGACTCTGACCTTCGGTATGATATGAATGTTTGTTATTTTGAAGTTGAAATGGTGCGGCATATCCTGAGGTGGTCTATGAAGTCCAGTCTGAAGTGGCTCCTGTGAATGTCTGCAGGTTTTTAAAGTCTCTGTATTTTCCTGTTTTCTCACAGAGCTCATCCACCCCATCTCCTCCACTGACCAGCCCCATCACCTCCTCCATCAGTCCACCTCTGTCCCACCTCCTCCCTCAGACCTCTCAGACCAGCTGGTCCCAGACGCCTCCTGTAAGGACAGGCCCCTGCAGTCCACCCCCGATTTTGAGGTTCTCCGTCAGGCCATCTCTCAGTTGCGGGCGGAGCGGCAGGCACAGCTGCAGGAGCTTCAAGAGCTTGAGAAGATGCAGCAGCAGCGTATCCAAGCCAAATCCCTCCAAAGACACCAACCAAGCCCCGCTGACGCCGACACTTCCTCAGGTCCTGGTGAGCCGGTCCAGACCACCTCGGGAAAAACAGCTGTGGCAGCTACTCTGGACTTGATTCACTCAGCACTGCAGGGGGAGGAGGAGGAAGAGGGGGGAAGAGCGGAGAGAGGAGGAGAAGGAGAAACCAGAGATCAGAGGGAGGGTGATCCAGTAAGAGTGCGGGGGACGCTGAGACCAAACCAGGGTCTGCAGGGTGAAACACCGGCCCTTTTGACCAATCAGAACCAAGCAGCGGCGCAAGTACAGAGCCATCAGAAAGATTTAACCAGTGACCGGAGCAAGACAGCAAATGAGCAACATGGAGACACAGTGTCCTCCAGTACTGCAGATGGTCCTTCAGGGGGCGACAGATCAAGGTCAGTGCACAGTGCACAGTGAACAGGTTCACAGGTTCACAGGTTTGAGTTCATTCAGTCTGCACATTCAAACATTCTGAACGGGTTCCTGTGCAGGTCCAAGTCTGAGCAGTCTCACAGCATGTTGTCAAGGGAACCACAGTTTTTAGAACAGTAGAATAGATAAAAACTATTGAACAATAAAGAATATCATCATCATCATCATCATCATCATCATCATCATCATCATCATCATCATCACTCTGAATACATAACTGTGACCATGACTTTTGTTAGAATGACAATGTAGCCAAAAAGGACCTCCTACTCTGTTCTTATTGGCCGAGTTGTGGTTTTAAACTTGACCTAGCATGATCTGTAGCAGTTCCTCTGGACCCAGACCCAAAACCAGATGAAGCGTAAAAAAAATAACTCGCTTAAAGAAATAGTTCACATTTCTGCTCTTGGTTTGGTTCGCTCCTGCAGCTCATAAAAAGACGTAATTAAATCCAGTCTGTTTGAGACCTTTAGGTGGATTTTGGTGGAGGAGGTCTGATGGTAGATCTCCTGAAATGTCCCATCTCGTGTCTGAACTTTGTTTTCCCCTCTTGCAGAAAACCCCAGTCTGACACGGGACCTCCAACAGCTAAAAGCAGCACTGCGGGAGCTGTGAGTGACACAGGGGTATCAGGAAGTGTCACCGTGGTAACCGAGCCTGAGAAGAACCGGAGCACCCCTGCACCACAACAACAGACCCAGCAGAGTCTGTCACCATTACAGGTACCGAACCAGGTCCAGGGGCGGGGTGCCGGCCTTCTGCACCTTCCTCAGCCCCGCAATCAGACTTTCTCCCCTCGCCAGCTGCTGACCCCCTTGAGCTCTCTGAGAGGGCTGAGGAGCCTGCTGAGGCCCACGCCATTGTGGACTGGCCCCTGGGGTTTTCAACAGACCGGCAGGGACTTCTCTGGACCCGGACTGCTGGGGGAGTACCAACCCAACGCACAACCAGGGGGCCAGTGGCACAGAAGGGGGCAGAGAGGACGGGGCTTTAACAGGATGTAGAGAGGCAGTTTTTAATCACACCAGCTTTAAATCACCTACAAAAGGGTTCAAGTTTAGGGAGCAGAGGAAGACCAAACCTGTGAGTCTGAGCGAGAGGATAAAACATGCACATACAAAACCAGGAAAACACTCCGGGGGCTGAAGAAAGCAGGACGGAGTGACAACAGTCCGTGTGCAGCTCTACAAGCTCCTTAGTCATTCTTATGAGATCAGCACTGAGTGTGATTTAGACCAAAATACTGAAACAGACACCCAGAGTGAAAGCAGAAACATCGACGGGGCCTCAGAGAAGTGATGATTATTGAGTTTTCATGAAAGGCTGACTGTCTTAGTTTGTTCCTGCTTCAGCAGAAAAGACATCCCGACATATTTTTATTTCTTTAAGAAAAAAACTAAGAACATTTTCTACCACCTGTTGTTTTTTTCCTTTAATCTGGTCCCCTGTTTAATTCTCCTCCTGATCAGCCAAAATGTCTGAGAGCTTGGAGGTGTCGATCCAGGACTGTGAAAAGACCCCAGACCCAGCCCTGCTGCACCACCTGGTGAAGTTTGCTGCTTTAGATACTGACCAGAAAACAAACCTGCACCTGCTCAGTCTGACCCTGAAACCACTACCTGATCAAACTGAGAGTTAAAGGGATATTCCGGTGTAAATTTAAGTTAGGGACAAACACACTGTAACACTTAGACTCCCCCCTGGAGAGATAAATGTTGCCGACTGCTTGCTCTCTAGTTATATCAACTTCAGAAACGACCACAGGGCTTTTTGGTTAGGGTTTGCGCGTGGAGACGTAGACCGCTCTGTATTGCTGTCATTTTGTCGTTACTAAAGTTGATATAACTAGAGAGCAAGCAGTCGGCAACATTCATCTCTCCAGGGGATGATAACTTAATTTTAGGCTGGAATGTCCCTTTTAAGGTTGTGCTGGTTCCTGCTCTCCTTCACTGAGACTTCCTTTGTTTCACAGTCTCAGGTGTGATCAGCTTAAGAGACTTCAGCCCAACTCTCTCCACTCTGTCTCCTGATGCTGCTCCGTTTAATAGCATGAACTATAACGGACCGGCATCTCCTCTCTTTGGATCAATAAAGGAACCCCTGAAGAATTTGTTCAGCATTTACCTCCTCAAAAAAGACCTTCAGGAGGTTTTTTAAACTGAGGAAACATGAGCTGCTTATCTCAGAGACTTGGAAGAAGTGAAAAAGAAAAAACTGTAAAGAAAGATAGGCTGCCTTACACGTCTTCCAGTGGACTCTCTGTCTGGAGTTTTGTACTGACTGTTTGTTTTGTTCATCTGGGAGCAGTTTGTGTTCAGAAGGTTGTGACTGTAAAATACATTTTTAACTTAAAGCTCTTTTTTATGTTTTTTTTTTACTTAAGAGGATTTTGTATTAAAACTTGCCTGTTTAATGAAGAGTCGGCCTCCGAAAGTTTATCCACAAAGACTCAAATTTAGCTAATCGGAGGATCTGTGTTGTGTTTACATGCAGACTTTTTTCTCATTCGGATTATAATCATTCCGATTGAAGCTCCCAGGCGAACTGTTTACATGGAAGCGATCTATTCTGATCTGGTGTTTACATGTGCCACGGCATTCAATCGGAACAGCTATTTACAGACACGTGATACCTTCAAACATCACGTGATTGATTGATCACGTGATCTCCGACGCAGACCAGTGCATCGTGCTCTGCTTGGAAGCCGCCATCATGTTTCCATGTGAGTCATACGTCACTGCTTGTTTACATCAGGACAGAGCATGCGCAGACAGAACCCAGCCTGACAACTTTCTGATTCACCGTTTACATGACAGGATTTTGCTTTTAATCGGAATGGGAAAAGGAAAATTCTACACCTGTGAATCGGAATGAAATTCCACTCGGAATGGGCCTGTTTATTCCGAATGAGGTGTTTATATGGAGCATTTTCATTCCGATTGGGCTTCTAATCCGATTATATTCGGAATATTTGGCTCCATGTAGCTCAGCGGTCTGAGTGCCCCACGTACTGAAGCTGGTTCTCATCGCAGCATGTTTAATTCCTTTCCCTCACTTTCTACTCCCTACAGCTGTGCGAAATACCATCTAAAGCAAAAGTGTACAAAAAGAACAGCTGTCAATGTTTTTCTTTTTGAGACAGCAGTTTATTTAACAAAACACATCAACACAAACACACACAAAAATAGTTTATCTGCCGTCTGAAAAGTGTGCCTTGGCTTTAAACTTGGTTCACAACACTCAGACTCACTGTAAAGACTGACCTCATTGATTACATTTGGAATAAATACAAAATGATTCAGTCAAACCAGCAGATAACAACACAAAAGCTGAAATAGAAACATGGAGCTCCTCAAACTGCAGGAAGCTGAGAGAATAAAAATATTCATGAATGTACCGCCGACTCCAGGAGAGGAGAAAAAGTCAAATTCAACACCTGTACGGTACAGTCTCATTAAAAAGTGCTTTAACAACGATTATTCAAATACAGTCTTTACATTTAATGTCTGCAAAACCAAATTAGGCTTATGAAAGAGCAGCCGGAGACCCTTTGAGCTTTTACAAAGCTGCAGAAGAACAAATACGAGCCGTATTGAAGTCGAGCTGGATAAACTGAGTGTTGAAACTGTTAAATGGAGGTTAAAACTTTCTTTACATGAATAAACTTTGAAAACACACAAAGAAAAGTTTTATATACTTCTCAAGAAGGTTCAGTCCCACTCCACACTCATCAACTTTTCTTTGAATCAGACCAAAAGAAACACAATGTCAGGTTGGTGGAGACTCGAAACTCGAGGTGATGATCATAAACTCATCAGGTAAGTCTTACTAAGCTGATAAGTAAAGGGATATTCCGGCGTAAAATTAAGTTAGGGTCAATAACAGCGTAACACCCAGTTGAAAACCCCGTCAAGAGATGAATGATGCCGAGTGCTTTCCTCTCTAGTTATACCAACTTTAGTAACGACTGTTCTTGTAGTTCTTCTGCCACAGCGTCTCGGTCTGATTGAATAAATGAAAAGAAATCAGGCAAAGGTAAAAAGATGTTTGGTGTCTAGTTCTATGGCTGGGACCCTATATGTCCTGTTGATGAAGTTAGGTGCTGTTCTGAGCATTATTTGTGGCTATAGAGTGGCTTTTTGGTTCTCTGTATTGCTTTCTGCGGTCGTTACTAAAGTTGGTGTAACTAGAGAAGTGAGCGGTCGGCAAGATTCATCTCTTGAGGGGGTGTCTAACTCTGTGTTACGGTGTGTTTAACCCCAACTTAATTTTATGCCAGAATATCCCTTTAATGTTGTTTTTCATTTAAAACCAGCTGAGCCTCCCCCTTGTGGCTCTCAGAAGTATTGCGGGTAAAGAGGCTGAAGATGATGTGAAATAAGCACAGAGTTAGTTCAGGCAGGCCACGTTGTCAAGCTCAGCCCATGGTGCATCATGGGTTTTTTTTGCTGCTGCTCACACTGACTAAGGATTTGATAGTCCATGTTCACATAAAGAAGAGCAGGGAGCTCTCAGGACAGACCCATAGCGCCAAATATGATGTACAAGACAAGATTTGAGGTGAAACTGTAGGGGTCGCCAAATCTGAGAAAGATGATAAAACACTCAGTCTAATGCTTGTGTTGGTCTTTAGCTCATGTTTCAGTTTCGTGTGAGTTCAAAACTGATTGAGACTGAGAGAATACAGTTCAAATGTGCTCTGAGTGTTTTTTTTCCAGACTGAACACAGTGAGATGATTTTAGAAGTGAAAATGTAATTATTGCTAAATTTTGTGTTAATGTCGAAAAACCCTCCCCTCTGGTTTCAGGATCCGGATATTTAAAGTGATTTGATCAGATTAAAATGGTCAGATTAGATTTGACAGTCAGACCTCCAGTTTGTCTTGATCTGAATTACCTGCTGCAGTCCGTCGGTTTATTTTTCAGGTGAGACGTCGGTGGTCCAGACTCGTCTTTATGGCACATTAAACTTCTCATTTCAAGTATCAGGACTCAGCCAGCTCCTGTGATCCTCAGAGGTCAGTAAAGGTTTCCTATTTAACGTCCTCCCCAGTCACTGGTGGAAACAAACAGTCTTTTTCATCCAGCAGAGGTCAGGGGTCACATCCGGTGAGATGCAGAGGCCGCTCTGAGCTGGTTGTCATGGCGCTTTAGTAGAGGATTCAGATCGATCTCCAGTTCCCTCTGCTTCTGTAGTAAACCCTGAAAACACAGAAACACGTGGGACAGCTATACTTAGAAAACAGACAGAGGCGGTTAAACCCTGTAATACATGGACAACCGCTGAAGGAGGAGACGTAAAGATTAAACCGTCACTGTCGTCATTTCCATCGCCTTTTCAGTCCAACAGACAAATTCAAAGTGTGACTGTGTGTGTGTGTGTGTGTGTGTGTGTGTGTGTGTGTGTGTGTGTGTGTGTGTGTGTGTGTGTGTGTGTGTGTGTCATACCTGCCGTAGCTGTGCCAGGCCTCTGAGTATCTCCTGCTGTCTGTGTGTTTGTGTGGTGCGCCGTAGGTCAGGCTGGAGGAGGGGGTGCCGGTGAGGAGGAGGAGGAGCTTCTGGAGAGGAGGAAATACAGTTTAATTAACAATTCTCAATAATAACTTAACTCTATTAACATAAATCGAACTCTTAGTGTGTCTGACCTGTGTGTGTGAGAGGTGGGGGGGTGTCTGCAGGCTCCAGCGGATCCAGATTGAAGACTTCATCAGTCCGGACATATGGGACGAAGTCCAGAGCAGGAGGAGAGGGAGGATGAGGATGAGGAGGGGGGGTAGTGGGGGGCGGGGCCTGATGACTCTGGATTCTGTGTCTGACAGTGGGTACGGCAGGAGAGCGCCCCCTGTAGGAGACACCAGAACAGAGGAGTCAACTGAGGAACATTTAGGTTGTTATGAAAACGGGACTTTTTCTTTGTCTTCATTCTTTCTGCAGCTGATGGACAGATTCTCCAGGAGGTCAAACTGTTGGATCGATTACAGTGAAGTTTACAGCCTTGAACTTACTGCCTGTAAAATCCTCAAAGTTGTAATTTTTTAAAAAACCATCATGTAGCAACTGCTTTCCTTCAACAAAAACAGGCTGCTGGGGTTTAGACTCACATGCATCTGTGACTCGCTTGAATGATCAGTCCGATTTGAGTGTTTGAAAAAATTATTTATTGTTCAAAAAAGGGAAAGAAAACACGCTGCTCCGGGTCCAATACTTTAGCCTTCAGCTGAAAAGATGAAATGAGGTTAAAACAGGATGAATGAATGAAAAAGTGAAAAACGAGGAGAAACAGTCAAAAAACAGTCAAAACGTTCAAAACGCGGTCAACAGATAATTTAAGTGTTTACCAAAACCATTGTCTGACTGCACCTGTGAGTTTTTACATAAACATCCCAAACCCACACCCCTCAGTGACGGTCCTGAAAGCGATGTGCCTACAAACTAAAACTTTCAATAAATATATTTTGGCTCCTACAGATCTACAGTTCTTTTAGAGTTTTCTTACATGTATGGGAGTCAGTGTCAGACAAACAGGCTGGGAAACAACAGTTTTTAAATATCAGTAAATATCCTCCAGAGTGATTAATTTCACTTTTTAAAGACAGCAGGATGAGATTCTGTGTCAGAAAACCACTTTTACATGTTGGGGATAAAAACCAGCGAGGATGGAAACTCTGAAGACTCAAAAACCCACTCGAACACAGAGTTTTGTTTCAGGAGCTTTGAACAGAAAACTCAAACCCAGAGCGGCTCACCTGTCAGAGCTGACAGCGGCAGGGTTGTTGTGTCCTGTGGTGAAACTCTCCGCCTGCAACGGTTACAATAAAAAACACAAAAATGATCGACAAAAGCAGAAAACTCAGCACACAAAGTTTGACGCTGCAGAGGAAATGTGCGATATTTATCCTTTTGAGTAAACCAACCATAAAGCCTCCTACCTTCCTGCTGGGACTGGTTCTGGTCTGTGCAGGGTTCAGGAGATAGGGTTCCTGGTTCTGAAGAGGAATAGGAGGAAGATGAGGAGGAGGAGGAGGGTCAGTCAGGGACAGACAAGTCCTCTCCTGCAGAGCGAGGAGCTCAGCTTGTCTCTTCAGCCGACTCTCCTGTCTGTGTCTCTGCAGAGACGCCGGGTAACGCTCAGACGCCGGGACGAAGCGTCTGCTGGGTCTGAAGAGAGAGAGGGCAGAGAGTGAGCTGGAACTGAGCGGACCCACTTCAGACCGTCTGTGTCAAACTGGAGTCAGGATCAGAGAAACGTTTTCACCTCTGTGTGTTCCACTCCGGCCTCCTCTTGTCCCTTCTGCTCCTCTCTGTCCGAGCAAACGCCTCGTATGGGTCTCCACCTCCTCCTCCTCCTCCTCCTCCTCCTCCTCCTCTTCCTGCTTGTACACAGATGTTCTCCTTCCCTGCTCTCCCTGCTCGGCTCCTGCTGTTTAGAGGAGCAGCAGGCAGAGGAGGAGGAGGCGGCTGGTGAGGTGCAGAGACGGCAGGAGTCTGAAGAGGGAGAGGGGGAGCTCCTTCTGCAAAGGGAGGAGATGGGACACGTCAGAGATTTTCACTCTAAAGACTTAAAACAAATGATAAAAACAGTCAATGAGAAGAGGCGGACAAATTCTGCTTTATAAAGAGGGGGGGAGGGGTCTTTTACCTGTTTGAACAGCAGTGTCTTTGTACGGAGAGATCAAACTGTTGACCTCCTTCTCCTCCAAACACGCGTCATGTCTGGAAACGTCTAAAAAACAGACTGAAAGTTAAGAGGCGCCGACCTGAACGTTTTTCAACCTACGATTCATGAGTTTGAAATCAAAACGTTTTGTTTGGTCTGTAACCAAAGTGAACATTCAGTCAAAGAGGGTGAAAAATAATCATAGCAAATTCTTTAGTGAAGAATATTTGCATCTGCTTTTATAAATGACTGAAAAAGACAAAGTTTTAGAGAAACATTTCATTTTAGTATTTTTTTTTCTTTTCAGAAAATGATTTAAAATGAAACTAAATTTCTATGAAATCATTTTGATTCATTTTCAGCGCAGAAGCTCGACTCACCTCTTACATCCTGCGTCTGCTGAGGACTTTCCTCATCGTGATTTTCCTTCAGCTGTTCTGCTGCCTGATGACTTGACTACAACACACACACACACACACACACACACACACACACACACACACACACACACACACACACACACACACACACACACACACACGTGAGTACAGCCACATGCAGAACAACAATAACTCCTGAACGAGTCAAACATAAAAGCGTTTTCTCGTGTCCTGACCTTCTGCCTCTCCCTCTGTGTGTCCTGTTTGTACTTCCTCTCCAGCCTCTCTCTCTCCTCAGCCACCCTCCTCTCTTCCTCCTCCTCTTCCGCCTTCCTCTTCGCCTCCTCCTGCTCCCTCTGCCGCCTGCGCTCCTCCATCTGAGCCTCGATGTCTCTCTGGAAAAAGACAGTAAGACGTTCATGTGCAATAAAACCCTCTCTCCTCTTCTTCCTCCTCCTTCCTCTTTCTTCTCCTCCTACCTGCTGCTCCAGCTGCTTGAGCCTCCTCCTCTCTCTCTCCTCTATCTGTGCGGGGTCCAGCAGGGCTGTCATGGTCCTCAGATGACTGGAATAATCACAGGAGTAGAAAAAAAAATCAACTTGGATGAAAAAGTCTTGCTATCAAACCTCTTGCCTCCTTTTTCCTCCTCCCTCCCTCCTACCTGGCTCTGGTGGGGTATCCACTGACCATATCCATGCTGGCTCCTCCCACACTCTCCGCTCCACAACTGCTCAGGGCCTCCCACACCAGAGACAGGCTGGACGAGGGCTCCCACTCCCCTCGCTCCGAGCTGCTGGACGGGGCTGGAGGTGGAGCTGATGGAGCTGCAGTCCTGAGATCGGGAGGTTTTCTGTGCAGGGAGTCAAAATGTGTGGCCCAGAGCTCGTGGTCCTCCGTCTGCAAAGGTAAACACGAACAAAGACATGATGAAAACAAAACTGAAGAAGAAGAAGAGTCAAGTATAACACGCAGCAGGGTTTGAATCTGTGAATCCACCTGACTCTGCAGCACTTTCTCTCGCCTCCTGCGCTCTGTCGTCTCCTCTCTCTGTCGGTCCAGCTCCTCCAGCCAGCGTCTCCTCTGCTCCTCTCTCCTCTCCACACTCAGCACCTCCTCCATCGGAGTCACCTCCTACAGAGAAAACACAAGTCAGGGTTGTTTTATCCTATATCTATGCTCCTGATCCGCTGCTTTGTTTGTGATACGCTGACTGAAACAGATCAATTTCAATTTCAATTTCAATTTCAATTTCAATAGGCCTTACTGGCATGACTGTTTGAACAATATTGCCAAAGCATGACATTACAACATCAATAACATCAATAATAATAAAAATAATAATAAAAATAATAATAACAATGATAATAATAATAAAAATAATAATAACAATGATAATAATAATAAAAATAATAATAACAATGATAATAATAATAAAAATAATAATAACAATGATAATAATAATAAAAATAATAATAATTCTTTAAAAAGAAGCGAAGCGAAAATCTGCTAAACAAAGTTTTTTTTTTTTTTTTCCTGAGGAGAATATCAACTTCTGTTCACAGACAGACTATCGAGAGTCTCTTCATTCAAACACAACAAGATAAAACAAGCTTTTTGGTGCATCAGTCTATCCTGTAGTTACACCAGACCTTTAAAGGTTCAGGTTCTTATTGATATAATCTCATGCAGTTAAATATTACTGTGGAGGTGACTTTACAGAAGCGGAGAAACACCAGCCTGTGTTCGCTTCAACCTGACTACTTTTGGCTTGCTGATATTTTTGACAAAGGTGGAATTATTTCTACTTGATTTCCAGATGTCGGATTTCTTCATAATCATTCAAACTGGTTTTCTTTCTGTCTGGACTCGCAGGGATGAAAAACGACACAAACCTACAGAGTTCAGACATGCTGCTTATTGAGACAAAGACCTGAACTTCCAGGTCAGGTTTACCCCGAGTCTGAGGCTGGATCTGATGGCTGCAGGCTGCTCTCTGAGGCTGATGGAGCTCTGGACTGAAAACAAGCTGTCTGTGTCCCCCTCAGCCTGGAAGACATGAACACACAAAGACAACGTGAAACTTTCTCTTATTCAACAGGTTTAATCTGTTCACCTCCTCGGGTTGATTTGGGATAGAAGCTGAATAAACCTGAGAGAGTTTCCTCATTAACAGAATTGTTTGATGGAAGTGTAAAGGGCTGTTTCACTGCAGTTTGTATGAAATCAAAAGTTCCGTTTGTACCTGTCTGACAGCCGATGTAAAAAAAAAAAAAAAAGCTCAATATCTTTATTTTTTTTGTATTATGAAGCCTCCCAAAAGGGTTTCCTACATTTATAAGATAATGAGTATGTATTCATTCTATTCAGTTTGTATTTATTTAACATTAAAACAAATTCTGCTTTACCCGAGAGAAAGAAACTCAAACTTTTCTCTTCTTTCTGACACAAGGTGCAGAATCAATGTCAACAGTTCAATAAGAAACTAAGTCATCTTCGACATATTACACTTTGCTTGTGTTGGACATGAGGAGAAACCAACAAAGTGACAGTGAGAGGAGAGGTATTCGCTGCACCTGAAGTCTGCTGGGTGCAGAGCGCTGCTGCTGCTTCTGCTGCTTCTTCTGCTGCTTCAGAGCCAACTGCTCATCTGACAAAGAGAGAGGAAAAAAGATTTATTTATTCCTTTCACCTACAAATCAAAATGTCTTACATCTAATCCTTTTGATTTTAATAACAGTGACAATGTGGACAAATAAAGTTGATTCATCCATTTAAAATTTATAACCCTCTCATGTGAGTTTACCGAGTTCTCTCCTCCACTGAGCTTTCTTAGCGTCGACGGCCGCTCGGCTCTCTGACTCTCGCTCCTCCAACCAGCTGGACAGACACCCAGACAACCTGGAAAACAGCAGCCGCACTTTCAGCCATCAATTTAGAGAGAACCTGTGAAAACACCACATCAGCAGAAATGGTGCTGTCAGCTTCCCACCTGCTGTCTTTTTCCAGTGAACTTCCAGGTGTCTCCGTAGATCCTCCACCATCTGCTTTTGGCTGTTTTTCTTCTCCTCTTCCTCCATCTTCCTTCTTTGTTTCTCCTCCTCCTTTGCTTGTTGATGAACTATCTTTCAAACCTGTTTGTTTTTCTGACATAAAAATACACGTTTGTTACACTGAGAAGGAATGACCGTCTGGAGATCCAACCATCGTCTAAGAACTTGGTCTACCGTGGCTCTTGTGCTGTACGGGTCGGGGACTGCTGCTGCTGGAGGTCTGGACTGAGTTGAGGATCTTCTGCAGCTGCTCGTTGGTCAGACACACCAAACCCTCCTTAAGTCCTGTGTCCCTGTTTAGTAGAGTCTCTTTTTGTCCCCTCTTCCCACCGGTACGTGTCCCACTGCTCTGAGTCTGTCCTGTTTTCCCATTGGCTCTCAGGCTGGTGCTGTGCTTGTGTCTGTCTGACCTCACCTTCACAAAAACAGAGAAAGAGCAGAGCTGTTAAAACCTGGAGGATAAGGACTAAAACAACATAGATGGGTACAGCACGAGCCTTTACCTTTGCCACAACATTACACCCTGCAGTGGGTGCATTGTTGGAGGTGATCGAGGTATTTGCTCCTCCTACTTTGCTCTTGCTCTCTCGATGCCTCGCTGCGAGCTGACGGGCTGGACGCTCCTCTCCCTGCAGCTCCTCTATGAGGGATGGCTGCCTGGAGCTGAGGACATTAGCTGCCCTGGGCCTGCTGGATGGCTACAGACAAAAATAGAGACAACATTGTGATTATAACTGTCTTTCCTTTCACACCTGTGCTTCCTGCAACATGCAACCAAAGTTTGGAGATACTTTAAAGTTCAGGAATGTTATTGTGAGGCTGTAAACAGGAGCCCTACCTTTGCTGTATGCTTCTCAACACCTGTAGAGGAAGAAGGAGGAGAGTGAGCAGCTTTGAATTTTACACCAAACACAGAAAGAAACATATGCAGGTTCACATTAACTAATATGAAGTAAATCTGAAAGAAGGCATTGAACTCAAGTGTCAACATCCTAATCTAACCACTGAGAAGGCCAAAGTTATAGAATCATATAATGGATTTTTTTCATGTTTTAAATTCTACTTATTCTTACTTTTTTCATTTTACACTCATGGATGTGAGGGAGAATTCAAAGTTGATTGAAATTTCAAAAAGAAAAATAGTATTTTAATGAAAAACAGTTTTATAACAGAAGTAATCATCAGATTAGGTTTTAAGATTTTTGCACAATCCAACAACATATGACTGAGCATTTCTGAGTGTGACTGAAACTTGTTGCCAAAACCACTGCTGATCAGTTTTTTATGGTCATCAACTAATATATCCATTAATAATTTCATCAAAGTCAAATTAAACTCATATTCTTTGAAAACATGAGAAGGACAGATGTAACAGAAGCTGAGGATCTTACTGTGACTGAGCAGAATCAACTTGGGTTTCCCGTTTTCAAGTTCAAACAGCAGGCCGTCTCTGTTCATGAAGAAGGGAAGTAAAAGAGTAAAAATCAACGTTACAAAACAAAGAAAAAAAAAACTCAGTGAAGGCTGTAGTCTTTTGGCTTTAATTTTACTGTGTTAGACAATGTTTTTTTAGCAGATAGGATGGGATAAAAAAAATATCTTTATTCTTATGACCTGACTTTCTTCTTAATCCCCAGACTTTGTTAAATACTTGATTCTGATTGGTTAAAATTCCACAATGTCTCTGTAGGTTCTCATTCATCCAGGTCATAGTTATCCAATTCTTTGTTGAAAGGGCAATTGAATATCCCCTCAGGGATTTACAAAGTACCTCTTATCTTATCTGAACTGGACTTGCTTGAGGTTCTTGAAGACATATCACAAGAAGAACTTTATTGATCCCCGAAGTGATCTTCAAAACTCTTTCAACAGTGATTATATCTGGATAGCAAAGGTGATCACACACACATCCAATGAACTATTAATGGGACACAGATAAACCAGTTAACTGCTTGGCTGTGTTATCATCTGCGATTTTGGTGCAAATCGACCAACCTGTCTTCATTTGGTCTTACTTGCTGATATTGCCGGTTGCTTTAAAGGGCTGGAAACTTATTTTCATTACTATTTTAACAGGACACAGAGTGAGTATTGTCACGTTTTTCTGCTTCTGTCGAACAGATTCCCACTGAGCATTTTTTGGTCTAAAAGGAGGTCTCATAGACATCTAAATGTAGTCCAGACAACTGGTCTAAAATCAGGCTACCACAGGTCTAAAAATGAAAGTTTTCAGACATCTAAATTTAGACCAAATTTAGACTAGCCAGCTAACAGAGGTCTACCAGTATTTTGCTCAACGGCTTTCATAATTATTTTGGTTTAGTACTTGGAGATCAGTTATGCAACTCACAATTGCTTTTTGAAATAAATACTTATCAAATAATGGGTTAAAGTGCAACGTCTTAATTCCGTCTACAGATATACAGAATCTAGACAGCCGTCTATTGCTCAGTGGGTTGATGTCATCAGGAGCCCCAAATCTCACCTGTCGTTCGTTAATGGCAATTCTTATCCAATTAAAGGTCACTTACTAAACAAATAACACTGCAATATCTTCAGTTTTATAATCAGTTTCTAAGAATGAATGGCAGGTTCACCCTCTCTGGTTCTGTTAAGCCAGTTTTCCAAAGAAAAGAAAATCTCAGTAAAGTCTGAAAACACAGTTGTGGGTTTAAGGCTGATCCGCATCAACAACTCTTTATTTTATACCTGCATGATTCTTGGGAGATCGGTTATAGTGCCTTAAATTTAAGGGATATGTGTCAAAGGTGCTGCATTGATCGCATTTGTCTTGAAATATCGAAAAATCTCCGTTTACATCAATGCGACATCGCTGATCATAATGCTAACCTAGCTAGCTGCTGGTTTTTCGAGATAAACAGACTTACCCGAGATTCATGCCGACTAGAAATGTTGACCGAAAGATGGACACGTTTGCAGACAACCTTGAAAATTAGAAACGGCCGGTTACTACATTATTTATTGTTCAAACACGGTGCACAGGTCCACCTCTGGACCTGTCGTACTGCCAATCACACGCCAGTTCCTGGTTGTTAAATTGTGTACGTCGGTTGCTGGCAACGACGAAGAACGACTTCACTGATTGGCTCCTTTATTTTCAATATGAATTCAACAGCCAATCAAATGCCTCTATTTTCCTCGTTTTGACGTTTGCGCTGGACTGTGTTGCATTTAAAACAACTGGGATTTTTTTAAACCATACCGGTCAACGAGGCAAATTATTGCGACTAAACTTTTTGTTGGACTTGAAATATCATTTCTACTGTAGGCTTTTATTTTTTTCTTCGCTTACTTACTTGAAATATCTTGAGTTAAGGTGCTACGTTGGCGCTGTCCTTGTCGAAAAAGTTCAAGAGCCAGGTTGTTTCTTTTTGTGCAAGTGGAATATCTCAATTATCAAGATTACAATAACAGTAAATCAATAAATATCATACAATTCTCTTTTATGCTGTTTTCAAAGACAAAACCCAAACGGGTTATAATTGTAATGGCCAATCAGGCCAGATACAGCAGCTAAAACGAGGCTGAAATAATAATACTTTAATACACTCCTGTGAGAATTTTGAAGCTATTTAAGAGGTATCAGATTGGAAATATAGAGTCTGAAAATAATGCATAATACCCCCCCTACTAATTGCCGATCCACCGATCGTCACTCAAACGCATCTTTCTTCTAATGGGCCAGTAATTTTATTATTTAACACATTCTTTATTCAAAGCTACAGCAATTACAATTCCCAGATATGACCCTAACTATTCTGATGAAGCTATCGTTTTTATTTTAAAAGGCAGTTTTAGATTTGGAAAATCTTTTTTCTATTTGTGGATCTGGATCAGGACCTGGTCTAATCTGGTTTAGCAAAAAATATATAATAATAATAATAATAATAATAATAATAATAATAATAATAATAATAATAATAAGGGACATTGCTCTGTCTTGTTATTTCACAAAGAGGATAATGGTTTCATAAGTCTTTAACTGTGTTTTAATGTGACCGCAACCTCTAGAGAATAGTGTAGAATCTGGTTGTGATCTAGGGGTGGAAAAACACAGCGAAATCGTAAAGGTTTGAAAAGTCATTATGTTCAGATATAAGATGCCAGCTCAAGTGTCATACAATTCAAGCTTCATTAGTAAGCGAGAGAAACACTGAAACCTAACATTTTGATTTAAAAATGCCATGCTTACTGAAGGGGATCAGGTAAATGAGGGCAGCAGTCCCGGCTATAGGCGGTAGGTGGCGCCAGAGAGCCGAACAGTAAAAGCCAAACAGCGTTAGCTCCGCTGTAATGACGTTAGCCTCCTGGATGTTTTTCTCCGCCGTTTACGAGTTTGGATACTGGGGACCGACATCCATGAACCTCTCCGGTCCCGTTGCACAGAGACTGTGACCTCGACAGAGTCAGCTCGGTGTCGTCCCGAAGATCCTGAAGGTTTGTTCTTCCTGTGACAGTTTGGAGTCCCAAACCGGAGAGACTGCGTAACGGCAAACCGTTTAGCTAGCGTTAGCATGCACGGCTACCCTTAACGGCAGTATGTGTCGAAAAAAAGGACAGTGTTTTCTACCAGTGTCCATGACTCAGAGTAGCAGTGAGATTGAGTTTTAACCCGCCTTGGTAAACAGCATTAATTACTCTTTAGTCCCGCGAAGCTGATATGAAATGAATGTAGCTGACTTAGCATGCTAGCGTGTTGTCAGGCTAAGGTCAAGAAGCTGGCCAGTCTGACAGCTAACGCTAACATGGTACCCCTCAGTCTAGAAACGGGATATACGGCAGACAGTCATGGTGCCACCAATTTAGAGCGACTCTGAATCTTGAAAATACACACTGGTATTGCTTTGGGCTCTGGAAGTTGGATGCTTGAAACTTTCAATAGCCCTAGGCTAGCTTGGTGTAAATATAACTAAGGTCCTCATAGAGGTTGTGGTTCCTCGGATACAGTGAGATTGTCTGATGTTGAAGCATTCACACAGGTTATCAGAAATAGCGAAATAGTTGTGGCAGCTGATAAAAGCTGATGAAGGAGGGTTGGATTTGGTGTGATTTGCCTCTTCCTGAGGTTGCTGAAGCTGCCCTGGGTGTGATGGTCTCCATGCTGCACGTTTATTCGTTTGTTGTCAAAGTGCTGCAGGACTGCATTATCATGCTGCTTTACAGGTAACTCATAGATTAGGAAGTAAAAAGGTTGTCGGTCATTAGCTTGGAATGTTTCAGGTTTTACAGATCCATTACTGTCATAGCAAGAGGGACTGGTATTATTAAGAAGGGTGTGATGGCTTTTGGTCTGTCTGCAGTGCTTCATATCCTTCTGAACATGCACCGTGTTTCCTCTGTCTTCCATTAAAGTCATCCGGACTCTTACTGTGATTGATAACGTCTATATGATGGTATCATCAACTTTGTAATACAGAAAAAAAGCCCACTTCCTCTGTGTCTGCCTGGTTTATACCTTCATCAGTGGAAGTTCATGATATGCTTCCAGATCTTCAAACTCACGAGTTTGGGATATTCAATAGGAACTGACATTGAAATGACATGGATCAGCTCAGCTGTAGACTAAGGAAAATGTGCTTGGCTTAAAAAGACCTACCAACTGTGAGTTATCCTTTGTGTATACTTCAGTACCCTCATGTCAACATTGAATATCAGAATGTTTGCCTTTTCATAATCAGTCTGCTTATTTCATTATGTGCTGCTTGATGTCAACATCAGGTGTTGACAGCGCCTGTTGTGCACCTTTTTCAAGTTCAAACTCTCTTTCTTGTTCTGCAGCTTTCTCTTTTTCAGATTGTAAACTACTGTCAACCCTCTGGTGTCGCATCTGTTCCCGTAATTACATGTTTCAAATTCCATTATTTTGCACTTCAAAACAGTTTTTAAGCACTTATTAACAATGAAGAGCGATAGTATTCACTGGACATTTGAATCATGACTTTAACATAATTATCGAAATAAATGCTGCGCTGCTACAACTGTGTGGTCTGAAATCGTGACTTGAGAAGCTTTGATAGTTTAAAAATGTGTTAATATTGTTACCCATCAAGACATTTTAAAGAAGTATATGATCAAAATGTTCAATCAGCGTCAATATGGTGAGCCGATTGAGTACTCACTGACTTCCAGCGATCCCTGGTTAATGCACTTTTCAGGAGTTCCAGTTTGGTTGATGTCTGTTTTGAACATGTCCTGTATGCATGGATGCATGTTGTTCCCTGCAGCGGTAAGACATGACCAGTCCACAACATGATAACATGGGGATATCCTTGACACCAGGATCTGCCACTATGTTGAGTGGTGTGCAGTCAATTGCCCCCATTTAGCAGCACTGTATTAAACTTCTTTAATTTAGTTTCATCCGGACGTCTGTGGAAATCATCACATTTTAAAAAAGCGCACAATGTTGTGGCATCAGTTTGGTTAGCTGCACCTGTCTGCTCAGCTTGTATGTGGCAGCTCAATGTTTAAATACACCTGTGATATTTCAGTCCTATTTCACACTGGATTAGTTTTGATTCGTCCTCTTAGCTTTCTGGGTTTTTTTTTTTAGAGGAAATGTGCCATTCAAAAGCTCAACTGTGTCATTACTCTCCATCGCGAGTCAACATGACCAGGGAGACCACAGTGTACTGAAGAGAAAAGAAAATAGCGCACAAAATTTAAAAACTAATGCACCCATTTCAGACCTTCATTTCATTGTATTTAATCTGTTAACACTAATATACTCCCATGCAAATACAATCATTTTGTTCATATTAAATCTGCCATCAAGTCTAAGATGTTGAACAAATGATTAAAAAAAACATCAAATCCTTCCAGAGCTCAGTATCAGTCTCCTGATAACTTTTTTTTTGTCCAACAAACAGACCACACCTACAAAAACCTTTTTATGCATAATCTGAAATGTCAAAAACGCTAAATTTCCTTCTATGTAAAAAGCTGTGGTGTCATTTATTTTGGTAAAAGGGTTAAAAAAAAAAAAAATCAAATATCAAAAATCCCAACGTTTTTTTTCACCGAATCCTTCCTTCATTGCATTTACTCTAAAAACTTAATTTGCGTGCGTGTTTGTGTCGTCAGCTGACTGACGTGTTTTGAGTTTCTGTTGCCATGGGAACAACTCAGTCTTGGGTTTGTGGTAAGAGAGGAACCCAGATGTTTGACATGTGTGGTCCTGGTGGTTGCTTTGATCTGATCTGTTGTCTCTCTCAGATGATTGTTGATAGGACAGATTGTTCTACTTTTTGTGTGTGTGCATACGTGCGTGCGTGTGTGGGTCACTCAGCAGCTGTTGAGCTCTGTCAAGAGACTCGGGCAGCAGCTGTGGATGTGTTTTTGTGTTATTTCCCCTCTTGTAGTTTGTGAATTTGGAGAGTGACAGATGTGTTTGGCGTTTGTCTCCCACAAGGCTTCATGATACAGATACAGATCTCTGTCCCTGTTCCTTCTCTCCCTCATTTCCTTTTCTATTTGTGACCATCATCAGAGCTGCAAGAAGAAATCATTGCATTTGGTCGTCCAGTCTTGCTTGCCCACTGTTTGCTTGTCAGTTGTGAATATTTTCTTGTTGTGCCACATTTCTCTGATTCTTCACCGAATATTTTGACGTTTTGGAGAAAAAAGACATTTTGGGACATCATGTTCAGTATTGACCAATCATTTAGAGCGATAGCCCTAACGACATCCTGATGCCTGTCAGCAGTAATCTACCTATGAATTATTTCTCCTAACAATCAAATATCTGGATGAATTTCTACAAGTACAGGAAACAATCTATTTAGCCTGAACCACAAATCAGCTTGACACTGTTTCACAATTGCTGATCACTTTGGAGGTTTCCTGACTCCCTGTCATGCATCAGAAATGACCAATCAGACCCTCATTCAACAACCAAACATTTCAAAGTCAAGACCCAGAAATTAAAAGAAAACTGATTCCTTTTGTAAGTTTATCTACTAAAGCCAAGCCAGGGTAAGGGCCTTTGTCCACTAACAGCATTTTGGCATTAGCAGCATTTGAACCAATATAGTTTGGTGTTTTCAGGGCTTAGCTCTGAGCATAAGGACACCCTCAGCAGCATCAGCTGTTTTTTGTTGTAGCCCGCACAGAAATCTCAGTTGAAAAGAATCTAACTTTGGAACACGACTGTTCTTGTCAAATCAAGAAAAAGGGCAAAACTGTCAATATCAACTTCATCGTCTGCAGCGGCAGATCATAAGCTTTGTACAGGTTATTCTGTCCACCAAGACACTTTTTTTTCGGTTTAATGTCCAATATAAATCTGTCTTTTTCCATTGTTTTCCAACCTGCAAAATGTCAAAAAATCAAAATGCCAAAGGCAAATAAAATATACTGCCACTACCAAGAGAAGCAGAGGTGCTGCCAGACAACCCCTTTATCCTTGCACTCAGGGGTGTGCAATATTGACAACAAGATAACACCTAGTTATTTGATGGAGTTTTCCTAGCTGCAATAATGATCCTAATTGACTCTGCAAAAGCTTGTCCTGTATGTCCTCTGACTCAAAACACTGAGTTAGTGAGTGAGTTAGATAGTTTGTTTATTGCTGGGAAAATTAATTTTCACAGATTCTGTATGTACAGATATGAAGCCCATTACATCATTCATTTCCAGCAGTGAGATGAATGAAGACAATCAGGTGATGGTGGAGGGTGTGAGACTTTTTTGAAGCAGTGCTCTGGTGTATCTGAGTGTTCTGTGTCTGCGTCCAGAGGGCAGTAGTGTGAAGTAATGGTGTTGTGGATGGGTGTAGTCTTTGCGATGCGTTTGATGGTTTTGGCATTTAACTGACTGAGATTGGGAGTGGGAATGTCTATGACCTTTGAGCCAGTGTAAGTTGGAGGGGAATTTCGGAGGACCAGGGACCAGTACATTTGGTTTCTAATGGACTTCCTTAAAGAAGAACAGGAAAGTTAGCTGGTTAACTTTGTACTTAGCCTGGTTTACTTTGGGGATAGAGGATGCAATTCTTCATGCAGCAGCTATTGGTTTGACTCCTTACTTTGGCTGTGCTTGTTCAGTTTGTGGTGATGTGTGGACAGCCGCTTGTGCTGTAGATGTGCATGTGCAGTCTTCTGTCCTACTTGGGTTGATTATATTCATCAGATTTTACTTTTTTTTAGTAGTTTTGGCTAAATGAGTGACATCCTTGATTTTGTCATTTTTCACATGGTTAAAACTCTGTAGGTATTATTTGAGGTGATGTAGAGGGCACACCTTTAAATGTTTCAAAAAAAGCTGCCAGTGGACTCAGGCCCCAAAGTGTCCGTGCAGCTTATCTTTTACAGTGAAGCTGAGACTCCTTGAGGCTCCTTCAGGAGTTGTGACAAAGTAAAAAATGAAGACTTTATTGTCACAGATAAAGTAGGAACACACACTCCCATTTCTCATGTTGCTGATTAGACTGTGAACAGCGCTGTGCATGGAAAAAGACGGCTGAGCTGAAATTCATTCATCACTTTCCTGCTGTGAGAAGGCCTGAACAGTCACTGTAACATTGGGAAGCACTGGTCAACGTTTTCATCCTTTTCTGACATTTTGATGGACCAAAAAAAAAAAATTAATTCTTTCTTACATGATTGACAGATCGGTCGGTGGTCTCAGCCCTTTTAGCTGTAATGCACTCTGTAATTACCTCGTACCCCTTTAATAGCTTGTCTCTTTTCCTCTGGATGGCCTTTCTTTACATTTTATCTCACTTTAACTTCCTCCCCCATCTGTTCTTCTTAATGACTTCCTCTTATCACCCGGTCCTCCTCACAGCCTTTCTCTCTGCTACCTCCTGCTATGTCTTCACGTTTCTCTTTGTTTCATTGACCTTTTTTCTCTCCTCTTTTTTTCTCTCTTTTAGAAAATAAAACTGGCAGCAGTAATAGTTACATCACATTTTTATTGCTTATTGATCCTCTGTTATTACACTTGAACTGGGGGCTGTAATTTCTTCTTGTCTCCTTTTCTTGTGAGTTGTGGGTTTATGATTATCCCAGGATTGTCTGCGTGTGTGTGTGTGTGTGTGTGTGTGTGTGTGTCAGCAGTAGCCACCTTCAGCCCTTATTTATGATCATATAGCTCAGTGATGCTACTCTTCACTGATGCAGCCACTCAGCAGTAATACACACAAGCTGCTGACTTAAGATATAATACTGATGATGAAGATGATGACGTCTTGGCCGTTTCTTCCGTAAGTTGAAGTCTGCGGTGTATCTTGAGCAGTGACGCTGTGAAAGCACCAGATTAGATTCTGTGAAATGGTATTAAAAAGGTCAGTTTATAACAAACCAAATAAAAAGGTGTCAGATTAAAATTAGACTGTTACATCCATGTATTATTTAAAACCCTTCTTCTCTTAGAAATCACAAAAAAACACATTTTCAGGCGGTTTGAATGTGTGGTCATGTCTTAAATACACATCTAGAGTAAACAAGCACGTTCAAGTTATCACAAAAGTTCCTGTTTCCCAGCTGGATTGTGAGATAAGTCACGGCCAGAGTGAGAAGATGTGACACATCACATTGAACTGAAGGCGGGCACTGTTTGCTTTGTCTTTGCCAATAAGTACCGTCACAGCGGGAGAGTGAAGAAACAAAGACAATGTTGACCGTAACAGGTACAATTCTCAGCCACTTTGGTAGATAGATTTCTTTCTCTGTTATCAATGATAAGAGGTTTTAAAAAGAAATCCTTCAGGCAGAAATCATCAGGTGAACCTCTCAGATACCTCTGACTCAGTGTGTACAGATCTTTTCAGTTTTCAAAAGCTGTTAGACAAAAAGACTGAGTAGGTGGTGTAAATGTCAGGGGACTTGTCTGAGTGGCAGTTGGGGAGAAAGTACAATCAATCTCATATCAGTTTTTAAGACACTAGTGTTCCCTTTTCAGTACAGATGCAGAATCATAGCGAGTCCCCCATCTGATACTAAACGGCACATATTAGTAGTGGGAAAAACGATAGACTGTATAATAATGGGTCTAGTCTTACTGACGTCACCCTTTTGTCCCAGAAACAGAGTTTTAAAGCCTGGCGGCTCTAAAACGAATACAGAAATAGAGTTTTAAAGCCTGGCTGTGGCAACGACTGCATTGAAAACTTTCAGTCAGCCTAACCGAGGTGAAGAGGTGGAGCTGAGGCGGGCGTTTAACCTCCTTTCTAACAGCTACAGTCTGCCCGCCTGTCAGTCAAATAAGCTGTGTCTTTAATTATGCAAAACATACAACCTTAATATCTTTGAAACTTATGCATTATTCAGACACTCACCCTCTACACTATGTTCAGATAGAGAAATGAGCCATTCAAACCAAAACCATGATTTTTGAACCAGGCTGGGAACATGTTTGTTTTTGCTGTGAGTGTATATGTGGCTTTTACAGTCAACTTGAGCCGATTTCCAAAGAACTGCAGATTTTAAAGGGATATTCCAGCGTAAAATTAAGTAAGGGTCAAACACACCATAACCACCTGAGAGTTAGACGCTGTTGAGAGATGAATGTTGCAGACTTGCTTGCTTCTCTAGTTATACCAACTTCAGTAACGACCACAGATAGCAACACAGAGAGCCACGCACTCAACCAAAAAGCCACTCCATAGCCACAAATAACTCTCAGAACAACAACAGTACATATAGGGTCCCAGCCATAGTGCTAGCCATCAAACATCTTTTAACTTTGCCTAATTTCTTTAGCAAAGAGACTAAACATAACTTACCGTCTCTCTTCCAGCAGCCGCTTGTTTGTACGGAGACCTCCTGGCGACTGCATCGGGGTGACGCAGCTCAAAGAAGAACATTTATCTGACTGAAATGCTGAGGCAGAAGAACTACCACGTCTGCTGTGCAAAATGATTATTATGATGATTATTACTTCAAGGAAATGATAAAGAAATGATCATAAATGTTCTTCCTTGAGCTGTGTCCCCCTGTCTCAGTCAATGGACTCGCCCAGAGGTCTCCGTACAAACAAGCGGCTGCTGGAAGAGAGACGGTAAGTTGAAACCAGGCAAAGCTAAAATATGTTTGGTGGCTAGTAGTATGCCTGGGACCCTATATGTCCTGTTGATGAAGTTAGGTGCTGTTCTGAGCATTATTTGTGGCTATAGAGTGGCTTTTTGGTTGAGCGCGTGGCTCTCTGTATTGCTATCTGCGGTCGTTACTAAAGTTGGTTGAACTAGAGAAGCAAGCGGTCTGCAACATTCAACCCTCGAGGGGGTGTCTAACTCGGCTTCATTTCTTGATTTCTTCAGATCAGAAGATGCCTCTTGATAAAAACGCAGATAATTGGTCATTTTGAACAACACGACACTGTAAACTGGACCTGCATGGTGGGGCTGTAGGTTGCACTTTCAAATGTGTTTATTATGAGCACTTGTATCGTAGTAGTAATGAAACTGTGATGCAGTGTGCAGCTTTACTCTTAACTATCACAGAGTCTTATTTTGATGTAAAACCTGTTGATTTGGGTTCCTGTGAGTTCTGCATGTATCAGTGCATTTGCTGGCATCCACCTCAGTACCACAAAGAGTATTACAAGCGGTTTTGGAGCTTGATAATGCCTCTAGTATCAGAGTCAGAGCACTTCTAAATCTTATTCCCACTGTCCTGGTTAGATCAATCCATCCGTTTCCTGCTGTGTGTCTGAGTCAGAGTCAAGTAATCTGGAGATTTAAGCACGTAGCCTGCCAGATCTGCTTCTCTTTCATAGCGTCATCTCCCAGCTCCTTCCAGACGCTCCTCAGGTGTTTGAAGGCCAGAAGAGTAAACCGTTTTAGTCCTCTAATGTGTCTGTACACAGCCCGCATACATGCTGCAGCGATCCTCTGGTTTGATGCTTCAATACAGCCAGCCACACTGAGCAGACACTTCATTCCTCTGATTTCATTTAGTAAATTTCTAAAGTACCGTGAGCAGAAAACAGTAGCAATAGTTTCAGATTTTTGCCAACTGCATTTTGAACCCTGACCATAGTCTGACAGTCTCTCATGGTTTGAGAATATCTGTAAGAGGACTTCTTCCTCACTTTGATTCTGTTTGATGCTGACTGCAGTAAACGGCTGCTGCTCTAACCACCTGAGAGTGTAACATCATGGAAAGAGAGAAAACATCTGAAGGAAGAATAACAGCAGAAGCATTATAACCAGTTTTAGTAGGTCAGTCTGTGTGGTTGTAAAAATAATATTTGAAGTGAAGAACTGATGATGAAAGACGTTCAAATGAGCCTCATCTGTGTGGAAAAAAAAAGATTGACACCGGCCCAAGAAGATGAATAAAAAGAAGAAGATAGAATAAAAAAATAAAAAAAAAACGTGCAATCATATGGACTCACAGACAGCAGGGTTTCTTCCAGACAATGCGGCGCACCCAAACTGTTGCGCTCTGGCTACACTAACTTATTGTTGATTATATTCTGTTTTCTTCATCTACCACTGGTTTTGTCTCAGAAACGGACTGACTTTTTCTTCTTTAAGACATGAAGCCAGTTGAAAGCTGTTTTTTTCCTTTGGGGGTTTTTTGTTAACAAAGCAACAGTCTGTAGCTGTCTAAAGTTGTAAACAAATGCCATGTGCAAAAAAAAACTTCTCATTGGTCAGTGTAATGATAGTGCACTGTCTACCTTATGTTTGTTTTGCATCTTTAAAAGTGCACAACAAAATGTGACACTGAATTTAAAACGGCACGTTGTAATTTCTGCATTTATTATATATTAATCAGTAATACAGTTAAAATTAGAGGAAATTTGATTTATTTGCCTTGCAAGTCAAGTTACAGTGTGCACCCCTCAATTTTCTGCTTGCGCTCCTAAAATTTTTAGTTAGGGGTTTTTGTGCTCTTAGCAAAACAACTTAGTCTGGAGCCCTGTGAGTGCAATAACTAACACATAGTTCATAAACCTTACTTTGACTAGTTTAGAATGCACTTATCAAACACCACATCAAACACTGTCCTGTGTTTACTTTCTTCTTTCTCCTCCTCCAAACTTCAGTCAGTTCAGGGAGTGTGAATGAAAAGCTATTTGTGTGAACTAAGCGTTAAGTCTGACTGGCTCTGAGCTCAGACATTGAGATGGGCCAAGTGTTCAGATTCACTAAGCTACAAGGCTAATTGTCTTAGGTAGGCAGGAGTGTACAAAACATTCAGGAGGCAGCGTCTAAGTTTGAGTCAGCCCTGGAGCAGCGTCACGGCTTTTGAATAGTGCAAAGTGTTTACAGAGTCCATGTTGGTGGATAATGTGGTTTATAATAATAATAATAATGCATCAGATTTCATTTATCGCTTTATCAGAGACCTTCAAAGCGCTTTACATACATCATTCATTCATATTCACATATTCATTCTATTCTATTAGTCTCTATAGTGCTAGTCAAAAAAACATCCTGACTCGGTGCAGTGGATCTTATTTGAACAACTTCCTCCTCTTAGCTTTGGAGAAACTTTGCAATTACAGACTATTTTACGGACTAAAGTGTTTTGCAAAATGTAAAATTGAAGAGTTTTTAACGTGGTTGAAGCAGGCACTGCTGTGTCTGAGAGTGCAGGATAGATCAAGTTTTGTGACATCTGATATGAACCAAAACTGTGCAAAGTTCAAAGAAAGTATCTTAGACACAACAGAGAAAACAAGAAGATGTCAAATACATCTTAACACATATGAGTGAAACCATGATGTGGTAGTTCTCAGAAAACTAACAGGCTGGAGTCATCCTTTGTTTCTCTCTTACAGGAAATAAAGAAAGCTACATGGAGGCTTTAAAAACATATTTATGTCAGATTGAAAAAGTTCTGAATGGATGAGTAAAAATGAAAAGCACCAATATTTTGCTTTCTCTCTCTCTGTCTCTCTGGTGAAAATGTTTCACTTTAAAATATTCTTCAAGTTTAGTCAGGAGTCACAGAGTCAAACACAGTGAAGTGTATTCAGTATATTTTTAGGTGCAAGTGAAGTCAGACTATTAACCGTTCAATAAACATGATTTTGAGTGCAACTTCTTTTGAAGGGAAACAGGGAAAACTGGGCAAAGGTTCCTGTATGAATTTTTATTTATATGGAAGTTGAGTTTATGGGAGCATTGATATCTGGGAGGTTCAGACAGCCTTATGCCGCCCCTTTCTGCTGGTCACAAATTCATTTTAATCAAACCAGCTCTTGACTGGATTTATTTACCTCATAGCAGCACTGTTTACTTTGAAGGCATGATTATAACCTCATGAGGGAGAGAGATGTCAAGAAGTGGTACTCCAAGTCTGGTCTGCCCATGTATCTGCCATGTGCAGCAAATCAGTCGTTTTCTGCCTCCTCTGGGTCAAATACTTCAAATGACTGTATTTCTGAAACAGCAAAAAAGGTTTCAAAAGTGGATCTTATACACAAGTTTTATAGTTGATTGTTGTACTTGAATATAAAATTGATATGTTATTGAGGGTGTCTAGATTTTGTACATCCAAGGTAACTTTGAACAGCAGATGGATTGGCCAGATTCCGCTGCTGTCATCTGTTCTTGCAAAGCTTCACGCTGGTACGCTTGTTGCTGGCGAGGAAATGACCACAGGAGTCAGCGTCATTTAAGGTGACAGAGGCCGTGTTTGTAAACCTAGGTTAGCTGCGATGTAAAGAAGCTTCTACACCTAAATCTTTTTACAAAAATGACAATAAATTTGTATTGACATTCATGTCATTTGTTCCTCAGCAGCACATGACGACCACATCCTATGCTGTGTTGCTCTCTGATTGGCTGCTAATAAATAACAAACTAAACTTGTCATGCTCAGAGTTCTTCAGAGAGGTTCTGCCCTTCCCAGTCACCATCTAAGCGCACATGAAACTCACATGAAATATCTTCCATACTGCGGATGTATGAAACAGTATCTGGTGTGTCAGGTTACGCCAAGAGTGAATGGGATGCACAGCATTCAGGGCGTTCTTATCGAGGTGTTTTGTTCCACACTGTAATGACAACAAAAGCTTTTCTATTTCTTAGTGTGTACTCGTCCACGAGTTCCTGAGGACAGGAGTATAACCTGTGTATAACCTGGCAACATGAAGTTATTCACTGTCAGAATGTGGTTGATTTTTAAAGCCATCAGTGAACTTTGTGTCAAGAAAATTCAGTGTTGGGATACTTAAAGGTTCAGGAACATGGTTGGGAAGGTTCTGGATTCATGCACACTGATCTTCAAACCAAAATGATCCAAGTGCTGAAACTCCTCAGCACACAGATGCTTCTCACTACTAAACAACACGACACACTTCCACTCAGATATTCTTGGAGAAACTTAATTGGCTCTATCGCTGACTTACTGAAGGACAGAAAGATTCTCACACACACACTCTCACTAACATACGCTTGCACACTCTCACTCAGTCCTTCAGTCAGAAATAGCCGCTTAATCAGTCTGAAGATGTTGTAGAGCTGTTGTGATCCCACAGCTTTGTCCTAGTGATGGCTGATGATGTAAGATATGCCCACATAGATCCTCTTAGCTGATTGGCTGGCTGCTCAGGTCATTCATCACACCTGGCAGGACACAGGGGCTGATTAGTGATCAGGTTGTTTGTTTGGACAGTGAGTTATTTCCTGTCAACCTCTTTGACGGACTGTTTTCTGACTGTTTATCAGGGCGCTGTATTGGCAGGAATCTGCTGATAAGTGGTGATGATGCGATGCACTGTGATATATTGAGATTTTCTTTGACCATACAGTGTTCGCTGCATAAACAAATATGGTTTATTTTTATAGATCCCCTCACAACGGTCGAACCTGCAGCTGTATTCTGCAGCTCGTACTCAAAGTCAAAGTGACACTCTCTGTTGAGCAAAGAGACTTCAACACCCTGGCTTAAACTTCTGTCAGTGGCATGTTGTCAGTGTCAGACTCCAACATTTTTAACCTGTGAAGCCATCTTCCTCCATAACACCATAACACTGCAGACCATTGAAGATAGAGCCTCGCATTGACTGCTTTATTTTGGTTGCACTAGTTGAGATTTAAACATATTTTTATACCTTTAAGAACTTTTACACATTTTCATAAGTGCAGCATAGGCAGTTCAGGCTGCAGACCTGCTCAGATTTCTTTTTCATATAAAAAATAATCAGGAAATTTGAATTAAAAAATTATTTGGATACTACGACGGGCCTGAGGTGCAGAAAACAATAGCAAATCAGAAAACACAACGACATTAACTATTGTGTTTTCTCTTGTGTTGTTTTCTTATTTGCCATACTGTCTTCTAATTTGCTGATGTGTTTTCACTTTTCGTGTTGTGTTCTCTGATTTGCTATTGTTTTTCTCTTTTTGTGTTGTGTTTTCTTTTTTTGTGTTGTGTTTTCTGATTTGCCGTTGTGTTTTGCACCTCAGGGCAACTGTAGGATACAGTAGAAATATGACAATGCACGATGGCGGCCTCTGTGGATGGGGTCAACTCCTGGATAGATAACTTAAAACAAGCAAAATAAGCTTCAGCTCAGCCCACAGTCTCCTTTATGTCTCAGAGAAGTAAATTTTCAGCCTGAATCTGCCTCTTTTAATGATCTGTTTAGATTATGTTTTGGAAAATAAACCTTATAAGAATTTGTGCCAGGTGATGTTTGTAGTAAATAGTGTATATGGCTCCCTCATAGTTGATGTTTTAAAACTAAGACAATAAAATTAAATAGAAGCGAGCTGTCTGGTGTCTTCAGGGTTCAGGTGGTTACGCGCTCGCTCCTCAGTTTGGCTAAACAATATTAATGTGAAGTGGAGAAATTGTGATCGCAAATTTTAATACCACATAGTCATAGTCAGTCAGTTTGTCGGTTTTTTTATGCATCCTCTATATCCTCACACTCCTGCAGACAGAGAGACTGAGAGAAGGCATAAACAGAGGAGATGGGAGGTGAGGGGATTTAGGAGAGGGATGGAGCAGACAGGAGGAGGAGAGCGTGTGTGTTTAGGGGCGAGCAGGGGGGAGGCGAGTCGTCCTTGATTTTGACCTCCACCAACCTATCTACAGTGTTCTTCATCACACTGCACACAGGACGCTGCCCGCTGGAAACACACACACATACACACACACACACACACACCTGTTGTCTGTGTGCCAGGAATGCTCAGCAGACACATATAGACCCTCAGGACCACCGAACAGAGGGGTTATCACACACCAGCTGTTCACTCAATACCCTGATACCTTCGTCTGTGTGAGCACAGGTCTGAACCAGGGATTAAACTCAAGGCTTGTTGTTCATTGTTCTTTCATTAGTCTGTGTGTTTTTAGGACCTCTCCAGGGTCAGACAGTATACACATGTAGACCTGCATGAAGTGAAAACCAAATCTGTCATGTGCAGTGACCTTTAGTCTTAACCACACAAACATGATATCGGGCTGGGTGGCTCCGATATATTTACCAACCATATTCACACTTTCTCTTTTTACCGTATATGATAGCCTAATGTGGTTGATATCATGATCTACGTTTACTTTGCAGCTCTTGCCAACATGCACAAGTGTATCACCAGTGTGCTCCATGGATGATCAGTAGGAGAGAGAGAGAGAGAGAGAGAGAGAGAGACGTCTGCTGTTATGTCTCTCCTTTAATGCATTGTCTGCAGAGTGACGTCTCGTGTTAATTCTGGACCTTGGACGCTGTCGTTTATGTTTACATCTGCTTTGTGCAACTGGTTGCTGCTGCTGCTGCTGTTGTTCTGCAGTCTGTGAAGCTCTGCAAAAGCACCGTAGGCGTGCACTGTGACACTGATCTGTGGATCTTTACAGACTTTGGAAACTCTGATGTCATCACAGTAATGACTGAGAACTGGACTGCAGAGTAGCTCAAGTACAGCACTCTCGAGTCACAGTCAGCTGTGACTCGCTCAGTCTCCAAAGTTCACTGAAGTTTTTCTTTTTGTAGTCTAAGTGTGCTAACATCATAACCAAGCTCTGCCGTTATCGCACTTTTGTACTTGTGTATCCCAGTCTAGTATCACTACTGATATGTTACTAATATTAATATCAGTACTGATATATATATATATCTCTCCTGCAGTAGAGCTTATTCACCTCTTACTCCTATTGTGGAAGTCTCATAATAAATCTAAGCAAACATTTGACTCCACAGTAGATTTTAAAGTGCACCCACTCAGTGATGTGTCTGTTGTCTGATTACGACACTTTAAAATACTTTCATGAATTATCGGGTTGATTTCACTGATCCCAGCACAGATCAGATGTGACTTCATGTTCCCTGTTTGCTGCTAACTTTAGATTTTGTTGCTCATGGGAAAATGGGAAAGATGGTTTACTGTCTGTTTGCATGTTTGTGTGTGGTCGTGTTGTGTGGCTGTGTGTGTGTGGTTGTGTGTGTGTGTGTGCTCTTCAGCCTGCATCTGGGGCTCATGCTTGGTCAAGCTTGGATCGTGACTTCAGATGAGACTGTGAGATGCTGAGTTTCCATCCTGGTTAAATTTGTACAGCGTGCTGTGAGCAGTCGTGATCAGAGCCTGAGATTCGGCTCATTGTGAGAGTGTTTTTATTTGACAAGAATTCCTCTCTTCAGTGACGTTCTAAAGGTTTGATGTTTTGAAGGTTTTTTTTTTTTCCAAGAGAGTGAAGCTTTAATAGCTGTGTGTTTGATTATTGTAGCATCCGGTGTTCCTGAATGTTTACTGCTCCTTGAGGAAACATAATGTCAGGCTTATTAACCTTTGGGGAAAAGGAGCAGAGACTCTACAGAGCAATGCAAGGCTGAATATTTAATGAATGAGGAGAACGTTTAAAGGGCATGATAATGAGATGAGATACAACAACTGATTCAGCCCAGCAGGAAGTTGATTGATCAATGACTGAATGTATATTTGCCTCTTGGTAGCTAATCATCACATATTGAGAGGAAAACAAACTTTTTTGTATGTGTCATAAATACTGGAGACAAAGATAATGAGTTAGTCACAACCTGATTATTGTAGATTGATCAAATAACTGAAACCCGAGGATGATCAGCTGTAGAGTCTGCTGTGGGGTTGAGGTGGTTTCAAGTTTGCATTAGTGATTTGAACACAACTGCTGCCCCCCACAGTGAGCACAAAAGACACTTTTTTGGTTTGTTAAACATTTTATGAACATGTGATCTTTTTTTATCAGCTGAGCAGATTTCAGAATAAAATAATTGTTTATGCTTTAAGAGCAGCATTGAACTGATTTTTTACATGAGTGGAGTTTTGGTGTTTTATGTGAGAAAAAGCATGTTTGAAGCGTCTCAGTGTGTGGATGCGTGCATGCGTGTGTGCGTGTGTGCAGTGTTTTATATGGAGGCCGTGTTTGCTGTCAGTCCATTATTTTTGGCCCACATCGTGATATCATCAGTGAGCGTCATGCCTCACTTCAGCCTTGACACTGTGCAGATGAGGCATTAAGAAACACACACTCACACACACACGCAGGACGCACCGACATCATCTGCTCTCCTTTGTTACCCTGTTTTCTCAAAATCCGCTCTGTTTTATTCTTGTTTTTTAGATTTTGATGAAAATTTGAGGTTTATGATGGAGTAAGGTTTATTAAAAAGCTAGGTTGAAGACTTGAGTCTCATGAGTCATCACATAGCAACAGTTCCCGGCAAAAATAGTCTGTTAGTTCATGATAGCAGACTTGATAGTTGCTATGGTAACAGAAGGTTGATAGAGATGTAATCGCCTGTGCTGGTCACACTCTGGAGGACTTGGTCTATGTGTCTGCGTTTGGTCCATGCCATAGTGACCAACACCATCATGAGCACTACTGACGTCTGCAGTACTCCACCCAAACACTAGTTGGCAGTAGGATGTCTATACTCATCATATCATCAGATGTCTGCGTGATAAATTACCCTGGGCTCCTATCTTTCAGGCCGCATCAACATGTTTGTTTTTGTTATAAAGAGGCTTTTTAGCATGAGTGTGTATGTGGAAACTAGTGCTTCTGGAGTCAGCCTCAAGTGGACACTTGAGGAACTGCAGTTTTTATCACTTACATGTTGGCTTCACCTCTTTGGACTTGCCATAGGGGGAAAATACCAAACATGTGTAGACACCTGATCAAATCAGCTCATTTTTTAAGGTTGTGCATAACCCGCGTTTGTCTTCCTCCACTTCATCCTTCTCTGGTCCTGATAGGGTTTAAACAGTCTGCAAGGATTTGTTCCTATACTCTTGTCACTGTGTGAAAGCAGCAGTAGACTTTTTAACAAGTTTTATTTGAAGGAAAAAGTCTGACCAATCCAAAGTTTTGTTTGTATTTTCTTAAACAGGTTTAATATTGACCTGCCTTCATTTAAATCGGGCTGTGTGTTACATTTACAACAACAAAATAAGCGGTAGAAGTAGATACAGCATTAAACCAGCTCATATTTTTAGAGACTATTTCTCACCTGGTTGAAATATTTGAATACATATTACAGTGAATTGAAAAGCTCGTGAAAATGAACATCCTCTCCTGAATAAATTCTTTTTGTTTTTGGAGCTTTATCACGTTACGTGGTGTTTCCTCAGCTGTTTGATGTGGTAATTACAAAATAAAAGATGGTGTTGACCTCCATTGTTGCCGTCTCCTGTGTCATTGTTTCAGATGCTTCTATTCATAATCCTGGATTTAATTTATGATGTTGTTCATTATCAGCTAGGCTTTGATTTCATTCTGTGTGCTCACTGTTTACTGTGAGAGGATGAAGGTTGAATCAGTGAATATCCTGATTAATGAGGTCGTTTTAGATTTCAGAATAGTTCAAGTAACAAGCAGAGAGCCGGGAGGACGACAGTGGACACTACAACCAAATCAGAGACTGTGATTTTAAGTGGAAAAGAACAGACAGAGACAGACCACACAACTCTCATGCTGGGTGGAAGTTTGCTGCAGAAAGCGAGAGGAAAACTACAGAAATATGCAAAGTTGAAGTTTAAAGGATCTGAACTCAAACCAGGACTCTGTTGACTGCTTTACAATCACTGGGAGCCTGAAACCGTGTTCGGAGGAACGTCTTCTCTGACCCCAGCGGTGACTCTGCACTTCGTGGTCATTTAGCTATGTAGAGCATCAAAATAAGTGTGTATTTTAATTTGTGTATGCAGTCCGTGTGTGTGTGTGACACAGTCTTGTCGAAGCTAACATGCTGAACCATTTGATGTCAACTGTTGGTGGCGACATGCCCAGAAAACTGTGTGTGTTATTTTTATTCACCGCCTGGTTCAGACTCTGTTTTATCACAACAGTTGTTAACAGAAATGTTGTTTACTCTCAAAGTGCTGAAGACTTAAATAATTCATGTGTTCGGATGTTTGTTTCCCCAAAAAATGCTCCAGAAAATTTCAGCCTCATACAACAACCAGCCAGAGCAGAACGTTCGGATCAAAAGCAGCTCAACTTAACATTATTCATAAGCTTTTATTTTGAAAGAGTCGGTTTGAAGGCCTTTAATCTGTTTTGGGGTTTATGGCGGTGTGCAACATGATATGAGCAAATCCTGAAAGCTCTGTGGGGGGTGTTTTTGTTTTTGTTTTTTTTATTCCAGCAGTTTGATTTTTAGTGCAAATTGGATCCTCAATAAAAAAGAGAAAAGAAATCTCTAACAGGCCAATGTTTCCTCTCTCTCTCTCTCTCTCTCTCTCTCTCTCTCTCTCTCTCTCTCTCTCTCTCTCTCTCTCTCTCTCTCTGTACAGGTACTGGTGACCCTGGCTAGTTGACACCCTGCTTCTCCTGCCCTTCACCCCACTCAGCCCCCCCACCCCCTGTCCTGACCGGGTGTCGGTGCTGCCGGCTGTGGATTGGAGCACTCTGATAGGAGGATTTGCGAGGTGGTTTTTCGGTCTGGCGCCGCCTCCCCCAGGGGCCGGCGTGCGCTCCCAGCAGCCCGTGGTGCCCTGTGCCCCCCCCTCCCCGTCACTGCACAACAGAGCCCATGCCCAAGGTAAGACCAGGACCAGCACCACGCTGATGCACAGGAGGGGGAGACACTGAAAATCTCTGTCAGTCATGAATCAGTCAGACTCATATTTTGGTTTCTTCTTGTGTGAAGTCTGATGTGTAGATTACGTTGAACATTTTGAAAGCAGAGAAAATCTGTTTTTATCGATGAATGAAAAATGTGGACATCACGAATGTAGCTGAACCCTAATAACCATAATATAATAATATCCTTCTGTCTTTGGCAGGAGGAGGTGTGGTGCGTCCGCCAGGAGCCATGTGCCTCCCTCACACCAACAACATGGACAGCAAGCTACAGGGGGCGGGGCCGGGGGGAGGGGCTTCACTTCGATCACGGGCAGGAGGTGTTCCACTGGAGCCCTTCATACATCAGGTTGGTACTGATGACCCCTGTTTCAAAAAGGTCAAACGAAGGAGCTCTGTGTGAAATACCTAACATGACTTTGTTTTTGTCTCAGCTGTTTTCATGGGTATTTATATTTGTCTGTGATTTCCAGGTGGGCGGTCACACCAGTATGATGCGTTACGATGACCACACAGTGTGTAAGCCTCTGATCAGCAGAGAGCAGCGCTTCTACGAGTCTCTGCCTCCAGAAATGAAGGAGTTCACGCCAGAGTATAAAGGTAAGTCACAGACGTTTGTCCTGAGTGCAGACATGGAGGAGAGCTGGGCCTGTCCGGGGATTCCCTTCATTGATTTGCTCCTGAGTTTCACTGCAGAGAAATACTGCAAGTATGTTGGACCACAAGCTTGTGTTACATTAAATAAGACCCATCGATCAGAGCTGAAGTCGTCTGCTGGTTCGACTGCTCTTTTAAATCACATCACCTGTTCTCACAGCGTTTGAACACGGTTTAGTCGGCGCAGAAAAATAATGGCCTGTCCTGTGAACCCGCAGTCTCAAAGCTGGGATCCTGACAGGTTTCTCTGATAAGTAGAATACAACATCATGGTGGGAATAAGATATTTGGATAACAATGAAGGTCTTAGTGAATGGGAAATACATGACCTGGTGGTGCAGGTTTCCAAAATAAAAGCGTGGAAAAAAACAGGTTTGTCCTCCAGACAATCTCTCTGTCAGCTCTTGTTGCAGAAATCCTCGATGGAGGAATCTGCTGTTCAAACAGCTCAGCTTTGATTCTGCTCCACTGCTCTGATAGTCTTAATCCCTCTGAAGATGAAAACGAGGTTGTGCGTGTTTTTATTATTTGTTATTATGACCGTGGCAGAATGACACACCAAGTCTCACTGAACAGTTGGAGCATCAGGGCTGAGGTGCATCAGCAGAAACTCGAGTGGAATCGCACAGAAACTTCCTGTCAGTCAAATGAGCAGATGTAAATGTAAATAATGTAAATACTTAAAGCCTAAACACGACTTTTAACTCACACTTGATGTCATGCTGCTCACCATTAACAGAGCAAATACTGAGCAGTTGCTGTAAACTAGCACTGCAAGGCGACATGATGACTAAGTCGAATGACTAACAAGTCTTATCCCACCATACATCCAGTCTCATTCTCAGTATTGGCTGTTAAAAGAGATCGTTCAGAAACAAATTCAAGGAGAGAGGAGACAGATGTCCACTTTTTTTTTACTGAGAAGGCTGCTGACAAACTCCTGCCCCATCAGGCCAAAACTGGAGTGTCCTTGTCGGATCAGAAACTAACTTTTTTAACTATTTGAACAATTAACTGTGATTGATTCTATCAAAAGTCTTGGAGACATCTTTGAACCTTATTAGGGACCTTCCTGACTCTCAGGTGTGTAAAACACCTTTGAGTTATTTATTTATTTCAATGACCCCGGGTGTTAAGGTGTTATGACAGCTTCTTTTATTATGATCATATTTTAAATGGAGCTTGAAAGTTAAGGTTCCTTTGTCGGGAGAAATAGTTTCCATCTCCGAGTTCTTAGGCGGAAGGAGAAGCCGATAGACGGACAGAGGAGACGGATGGAGGTGCGGATGTTTACTGGCAGGGGTTAGGCTGCTCTGCTCTCCATCAGCAGACACCTACTGGAGCTGCTTCCAAACATACTCTGATAGCCAGTCTACACACACACACAATCCCCTCCTGCATGTGTGTGACCTATTTTTATTTTAGCAAATTATGTAAAAGAGGGGAGAATGACGAATGTGGGAGGTCTTTGGGGAGCAGGATGGATTTGATGTGGGCACAGAGAGATGTTTTGATGGTGGATAGAGCAGGTGTAACAACAATGATGGCTCTATTCCATTTAGGTTTGCTTTAGAGTCGCAACAGTGAGCCAACAAACAGACCAGCGGGGCTCTGACTGTAAACCCGACTTATTATGATTCATTAACTTCATCTCTCTTTGAAACATCTCCAAAAGTAATGTTTTGCTTTGAGCCGATAGCTGTGTCCCCGTTCCACGCCTCAGACTGATTCTAAACCTGTTAGAAAGTTGTTGAGTCACACAGGAAAGCTGCCAGTGTGGAGACATAAATGGTATTCTTCCAGAGAAATGATCAAACTGAGTGAGGTTCCAGTTTAATTCCATGATACTAAGAATATTTGACCAGTCCTGACACAGTTTAGCCTCAATCTTTCCTTTTTTGGGTCTGAAAAAAGGACAGAGGGGGGGATTAACCAAGACTGGATCACCAGCACCAAGAATTGCTCATCTTTTTCTCTTCCAACCTGCTTCAGCTCAAATTCCAAGTCACAGAGTTCACCGCACCAATGATTACGAAGCAGCAAAATGGCCACTTTGCTCGTGTTTTGCATTTGATTGTGGAGATGAGCTGTCAGGGTCTGCATTTTTCACTCTACTGTGTTGCAGCGTTCACTTTTACCCACATATGAGCAGGATGGAGGGGAGACGATTCCTTTCAGTTTATGGTGGAGTGATTCAGAAAAGTGTGACACAGTTTTTTCACATCTTACCTCCTAGAAAACTTATTCTTACTCCTTGGCTTTTAACCCAGCATGAGAGTTTTGTGGTCTGTCTCTGTCTGTTCTTTTAATGGATTTTTTTTATTTGCTCTTACAGTGTTTTTATTTTATTTTATTTTATTTCTTCATTATTTATCTTTAAAATGTTTTTATTTGGTTTTATTATGATTCTTTTATTTTATTCTTTTTCCTCTCAGACAACGTTTTATGTTCTGTGTGTTTTAACTTATTTTACTTCACTGTGCAGCACTTTGCTAAAATTAATTGTTTTTTTTTTATTTGCTATATATATCAAGTGGATTGGATTGAGTAGAACCAGCTAGCAAAAAGCAGCTCATTAAGATTCTTAGGACAAACACTGTCATATATAAGAGCACAAACCCATATGTGCCGAGGTCGAGCCCCAGACTGATTGAACTCCTGATTATTATAGTAACAGCAATGTCAAAGTAAAGTGAATTGAACAAAAGTGCAGATTTATCCACTGGTGGAAATGTCCTAACCTGTGGAAGTTAATACTCGACTTTCCCTTTAAAACTGCCGCCCAGTTAGTACCAGCTATCAACAGACGTACGATCACACACATATGATTGGTGAAGTCGATTTCTCTTGCAGTAAGGATCATTTGCATAGAGACGAGACTGACTTTCCCTTAATTCATTCATAATGGCATATTTAAAGGTATGCAAACAGCACCAACACACGCAGACTGGGTTTGCTCTGCAGGGCCAGTTGTGGAGCATGTAAGCTTTTGCATGTGATTTGTGCATGAGACAATGTTTCTAAACTCATTGGAGAAAGCACAATGAGAAAGCACAAAAAAGCCACTCAGTCAGTACGTTTGTGATTTACTGTTTTTACTCTCATCACATTAAAGCCTCTGTTCTTATTCACTAAAATCACAGTTCTGGGCTCTTTAGTCTGCTGGTAATGCATCCCATCATTAGAGCAGCTTTTAGACAGTTTTTTGGTTGTTTGTGAAGAGTCCCCTTCTTTCAGTGTGAAGGCAACTGAGAGCAATGAAGTGTTTCCTCCTCTGGTGAGGGTGAGATTGAACTGCACTCTGTCTCTACAAAGCAGAGAGGCTAAATAAATCATAAAGAATATATCACAGTGAATTAAGCCAACGCTCAGGGTTAACGTTCGCCCTGCTGAACATCAGCGTGCAGCTGTCTTTGTTTATATAGTCGTGCTCCTCTTTAAATCTTATAATTAGGAACTTGGAAGAATTCTCATCAGAAAAATGCGAATGATCAAACTACACGTTTTGAAATGTATTAACCACTCAATGATGAGACTTAATTTGTCACACAGGTGCATTAACAGGCATCATAAAATCAGTGATTAGATCACACTCTCCCTCCGTCCTGAAGCTCACTGTTTCACTGTTCCCACGAGGACACCTGGTGGATTTATTCCCAGCACACTGACCTACAGGCACTAGTTTGTCTGTTTTCTCACCAGTCCACCTCGCGGTTGTATTGGGTCTCTCTGCCATGACAACAAAAGTCCATGAGGAGTCTATTTTTAGCCCTGGATGTCTGCCCACTACCATTGTCCTGCTTATTAAATAACAGCAGACAGACAGACAGACGGATGGACAGACAGCTGTCCAGTAGTGACTTTCTGCTCCCGTCAAGGTTGTTCCACCTGAAACTTCTTCACCTCAGCAGATCAGGTTTCCACTTTCCACTTGAGAGTGTGGGGCCGGAGGAGAAGTCTGAACGTCTGGGAGAAGAGCGGACCTGCCTCTTCAGTTTGGACTCGATGTTTAGAGTAGATTTCCCTCCAGTGAGCAAACAGACGTCAAAATTCAATTTGGTCCAACAGAGAGGATGTTCAGTGTCTCACTTAGAGAAGAGGAGATGTTCTAAAAATAACAGCTTAATGTTTCAATAAAACATGGTCAGACATTCCTGTCCAGCATAAACAGTTTCACAATTGAGTTTCCAGAACATTTATTAGATCTTGATAAACAGACAGAAGACAAATGAGCCTAAAAGCCGACTTTAAGTGTTTTATTCAAGTGTTGTTGAACCCAGAGCCTCCAAAGGGCTTCAGCTCTGGAGGCACTCTGATGGTTCCCTTGTTTGGTGTTTCTATGATGGTGTGGGTGGAAACATCAGTACAATGCTGCTTTTAAAGATTCATTTCTGTTGTTCGGTTGTTCAGTTATTATTATTATTTTTGTGCTTTTAGGTCCAAATGTCCTGTTTTTTCTGTGTCCTGTCAGGTGTGGTGCTGGTGTGTTTCGAGGGCGACTCAGACGGCTACATCAACCTGGTGGCGTACCCCTATGGGGAGACCAACATGGAGGGAGGTCCCACAGAGCACGAGGAGCGGGACCCCCCAGAGAGGGAGCAGCCAAGGAGGAAACACTCCAGACGAAGCCTCCACCGCTCGTCCTCCTCCTCCGAACACAAAGACGAGCGGACAGACAAGAGGGAGGCGCACGACAATGACTCTTCGGATAAGTAAGATTTGAAGATTAGCACCAACATTCCTCTTTTCTCTCCGATCTTTAACGTTCGATAAAAATGCTCAAAAACTCGACTTGGTTTTTAAAAATCTATTACTCAATATTTGGACCATCCAAAGCTAAGAAAGTACAGGACACCATCCTCAGTAATTAGCTGTATGTAACTGTTCAAACATTAAAAGGTATAACAAACATTCTCCCCACAGTCTGGCTGAGCTGAAGAGTCCGCGGCTCGACCCAAAGATCCACTCAGACGTCCCCTTCCAGATGCTGGACTGGAACAGCGGGTTGAGTTCAGAGAAGATCAGCCACAACCCCTGGAGCCTGCGCTGCCACAAACAGCAGCTGAGCCGCATGAGGTCCGAGTCCAAGGACCGCAAGCTCTTTAGTATCCTTCCTCAGCCAATCACATCCACCGATACTCCACATCGTTGTTATTCAAAAAAATGTTGACTTTTTGGTCACAGGATAGAAAAATCCAGTAATGGAGGCAAAAGAGGGGGGGGGGGGTATAGTGGTGAGGTGGGGGGTGCCTGAGGTCATAAGGTCAGAGGTCATGTTTTGATGTTCAGCTTCAAAGCTAGCACAATGCAGCTGCCTGGAAAACCAAACACGTGCTCCGTCCTCCATACTGTCCGCCTGTTTTCTGTCACTGAGCAAAGCTGCTGTCAGAGGACACAGGAGGTCGTCTGTGCAGACACACGGCTCACTCCGGTTATGTTCATCATAACACTGTTATTATAAGACCATCAAACAACGGGGAAAAGCGTCTCTGAAAACGGTCCTTTTAACGTGTTTTATTCTGCATGTTTGCTGCTTTTATCATCACCAACTCAGAAGAGAGGCGATGTGCTTTAAATGAGTAAACAAAGTGGAGAACAGATGAAGATAAATGAAGGTGTGAAATGTATTCAGATTGATCGTCAGGAATGTTCTTTCTCTGTGATTACGGCATTTGTAAATTAGCATTTTTAATTTAGGCTTCACACTGAGCGTGTTTGTTCAGGAGCTGGAAAATCATTTTAAAAGAGTGAAACAGACTCGTGAGAAATCAAAGTATGATTTAGTTTGATTGTTTTTTCCATCAGTGTTGGAAGTGCAGAGATGGCTCTGCCTGTCATCCCTAATTCCATGAATGGACTTTCATGAATGAATGGACTTCACTCAGATTAGTTCTCGTCTGCTGGATGCTGAATCACTGATGGGATCTGTGACAGAAAACAAAACTCTGGACTCGCTTTTTTGTTCAGCTTGTTTTCTGTCAGTTTCATAATCTAACACACACAAGAGGAGAGGATCATTAGAGATGACAACAATGAACACATCTGGTATATTAAAAAAGGAGCTGCAAGAGAGAACTTGAGTTAGTTAAAGGTGGGGTAGGCAGGATTTTGTTAAAGAGACATCTTTTTTCTGTGGTTTAAATTCAAAAAAAGCTTTTAATATCAGTCAATAGCTATTAGTCATTGATGACGTTTGAGAATATCATGATATCACTGTTTTGTTATGTCTGTGTCGTCAACATTAAAATTTTTTGAGCGCCCCGCTCTTTCTGTCTGTAAACAAAGCCGTTCTTCACCTCCCTGACCTGATTGGTTGTGAGGCAGACGCTGCTGCCCCGTGTTGTGAGGCACACTCCACGTCCTCAAATAACCTGCATGAGCCCAACAAAAGTTAGCGTGCTACAATATCGGACAGTAGAAACCAACCGGAAAGTACGGAAAATTGTCTGAATCCTCCTTTGGCCTCGACTGCCGACACAAGCAAGAAAACGAAATAAATACCGGAGACTCTGGAGGAATAACAGTCGCTTAGAAAGGAGGTAGAGCGGACAAGAGCCAAAAAACCGGGTCATAATCAATGAAGCATAAACAAATGGGGATGCTTCAGGATCTTACGGACCTGTAACCTTTCTGCTGGAGAGGAAAACCACTTTAACAAAATAATCATCATAAGCTATCATGGTAGCTTATAATTGTTTATCTTTTATCTCGTTTATCTCTTTTGAATTAATTATTCTGGTTCTGAACATTTCAAGCTTTTGTGTTTCCAGTCTCACTGTAGAGATTAAAGATCTGAGAAATTTGCTCCCTGACTGCAGCGTTTCAGAGTTTCTATTGCTGGAGAACGTGGTGCATCACTTCTCGTACCCCTGCATCCTGGACCTGAAGATGGGCACCAGGCAGCACGGGGACGACGCCTCAGAGGAGAAGGCGGCCAGACAGATGAAGAAATGTGAACAGAGCACCTCAGCGACGCTGGGAGTCAGAGTGTGTGGCATGCAGGTACGATGCCATCAGGGTCTTTCAAACTTCTGTAACTTTAAATCAGTTCACTCTTCAGAATTCCCGCAATGATGTTGCTTTGATAGATTAAACATACCTCGGCTAGGAGGATTATAGATGTCTTATTCTGTGTTTAAATGTCCAGTTATGGAGGTTATAAACTGAATGTATAAATCTCATCTTCTCCTCTAAATACAGACCATTGAATTCACTGCACTGTTTATCACCTGCAGACCTGGAACTGAAATAGTTATCCAAGGATACTGAAGAAAAATAAACAGCCTCAGACATAGTTCAACATGTTACAGCTAAAAAGTGGATGAACTAACTCCCCTGATAAAAATGACACACAGCTGAGCATCTCGACTGTTCATAATCCTTCAAATGAACCAGTTTTAGAGGGAAAGTGATAGAAACCTTTGCTGAACTGTTCTGATGTTGTGTCTCGTGTGTCTCTGAGCAGGTGTACCAGATGAACACAGGTCACTACCTCTGCAGGAACAAGTACTACGGCCGCGGCCTGTCGATCGAGGGTTTCCGTCAGGCGCTCTACCAGTACATGCACAACGGAAAGGGTCTGAGGCAGGACCTCTTTGAGCCAATCCTGAATAAGCTACGCAGCCTGAAGGCGGTGCTGGAGAGACAGGCGTCCTACCGCTTCTACTCGTCTTCACTGCTCATCATCTATGAGGGACAGGTGAGCCGGGACCGGGTCTCAAAACATCAGCACAAGCTAGTTTGTTTGGTTAAAGTCAACCAATGACCCGTCTGTCTGAAGTAGTTAATATTTATTTATTTAGTTTATTTTTAAAAGTTATTGTAAAAGGGAAAAGACCATTACTTAAATATTTTCCTCCTCTCATCAGCATCAAATGAACTGAAAGGAGGTGAGCTCTAGTTCTCAGAGTGGGTCCATCTAAAAAAACTGGTTTATGATCAAGTCCATCACATCTAGTTTCTGCTGCCTTCAGTCAAATGATAACTGTGAGAGGACCTCTCTTAATGCCGTGTCTGGTTCTGCAGGAACCTGAGGAACCTTCAGTCCTCAGCTCGGGGCAGCACACCACCCTCACTCAGAAGACTCCTCCAGCCCCAACAGAGCCTCATCGCAGCCCCCTACCCCACCCACCTCCACCCAAAGGAGCCCCCTGTGAAACGGACATGAGCCAGAACCCAGACCCCGGGTCTCTGTCCTCTCAGGGACCTGGACTTATGGCCCCGCCCTCTCCCTCCCATCGTCCCCCCATACAGACCCCGCCCACCAAATCAGACTGCCACTCCTTCCCTCTGTCCACACCTCACCCCCATCCAGACTCCTTCTCCCCTGCTCCAAGCTTAACGTCCTTACCTCCTGCTCCTCCCCCACAGCCCAAGCAGCCCCCCCTGGTGGACGTTCGTATGATCGACTTCGCCCACTCCACCTTCAAAGGTTTCCGTGGCGACACAGCGGTGCACGATGGTCCAGATCAGGGCTACGTGTTTGGACTAGAGAGCCTGGTCCAGATCCTGGAGAGCCTGCGGGATGACAACCTGCAGTAGCTCCAAATTCACACACACACACACACACACACACACACACACACACACACACACACACACACACACACACACACACACACACACACGGTGAGATGAAAGTAGGTCCAGGTCATGCAGTCCCTGAAGGTCACGCTACAGCATTCTCTAGAACTGGGACACTCTGGCTGTAAGTATGGAACAGGTCCTTCAGGACGTCACCATGGCAACCTGGGTGTTCTCCAGTCATGTAGTTACTATAGCAACAGCCGAGAGGTGGGACTGTGGAGTGGGATAAGATCTTCAGGACAATATGGAGAACTTTTCCACAACATACACTTATACACACACACGCACACACACACACACACACACACACACACACACACACACTCTTTTTTTTGTACATCTCTAATTGTGAGGACCTTCTTCTGCGTGAAGCATTCCCAAACCCCTGATTCAAAAACTATCCAAACTAAGATCCATCCCTGACCTTTAACCTGGACTGAACCTTCACCTGAACATCCTCTCCTCTCAGACATGTGTTCCTCTTCTCGTTCCTTCGCTCAGTTTTGAGTTTCACTTTGTAGAATAGCGCTGGTGCAGAGTCTTGACTCAAGAGACGGAAAGCTTCTCCAGACCTGCCGAGACACATGCAGACCTTATATTCAACCACATTTACAGTGATTTTACAGCCATGAGCAGATGTCAGTTTCAGGGGTTAAGACCATGACAGCTCTGTTAGGGTTTAAGGGTGCTCCTCGTGTCTCTTTTGTTTGGTGAAAGGTGCTCTTCAAGTTCAGTTCCTGCTTTATTTGGACAGTGCTTTTGATGGGCAGATGCAATCAAACATCTTTAAGCTTCCGTCTAAGTTTTTGTCTCAGCCCACGATGTCAGTGTCCCCAATTAACAGAGGCACTTACTCATAAACCAGCAGCAAACATTCAACTAGAGGCTGTTAGCTTTTTGCAAACCCCTGATGTTTTGAGATAAGAGCTTGCTGGTTTCCTTTTAGTTTGAGGTTTTAACGCAGCTGATATATGCCCTTAATTTTGTGAATTATTAAGCCCGCAAGGTTTCCCACATTAGTCTGTGACCTGAAAGTGCTGTGGTGTGAGCAGGTGTAATTTTTTAGTGTTTTTAAGTTTTTCAAAATCTATTTTAAAACCTCTTTACGAGAGCGGTGTGATATTTGTACCCCGTGTGAGCACCAAAGGTTGATGAGAAACTATCAAATAACAAAAGCAGCATCGGTAATCGCAGGTTAATGAAGTAAAAGGCTGTGAAAAAACTCTGTATGTGTATCTACAGGAAGTGAAACACACCTTTGAGTGCAGGATGTCTCCAACCAAACTTTAACAATGATCTTTGAAAGACCAAAACTCCATATGAAAAGGTCCACAGCTGACATTGGTCCTCACAAGGATGGATGAACAACACACAAACACACATAGAAACACACACACACACACACACACACACACACTCATCTATCCTGGGAACAGTTTCCTGTGGAGTTGTTTGACAGCCGGACAGAGCAGCTTCTCTCTGAACGACCAATCAGCTGACTCCCAGGGGCCGCCCACTGAAATCAGCCAACTCTCACTTTACCCCCCTCTTCCTCCTCTTCCTCCTCCTCCTCCTCTCCTCACCCCCTGACTCCCTCCACCTCCTTTCCCTCCTCCTCCTCCTCTCTCCTCTTTCTCTACAGAAACCAAACCTGGACAGGTGAACTGACTCTTTCTAGAGTTACCTTGACAACGCACTCAGAAACACATCCGAGCATCTGTTTAAAGCAATAGACGGCAAAGATAGACGGCAAAGATAGACGGCAAAGATAGACGGCGTCTCTTTTTTGTTTTCTTGAGCAGTGTGGAGGGCAGCGTCGCCCAGCAGGAGAGGAAGTGCAACAGAGATTTGAACGATAGACGTAGGCTTTAAGGAGAGAATAGAGATCATTTCTATAAACGCTGTACGTCCGTTTTTTGGGCTTTGTTCCAAAACGTTAAGTAGTCGTGTCCTGTAAAATCATCCTCTGGGTTATTGTGTAATATCGAGAGCATAAGTGTCACTTTCCCAAAACCTGGTCTGCTGGTATTTTTGTTACTGTCAGCAAATCCCCCCAAAAAAACCAAACCAATGAGAAGAGATCCTTCGTGTCCAAAGTCCGAGCCATAGAGCTTCACAGACGTCCTCCGACGATTAGAAACCCATCAGTGAGTCACTCTGCTGCTCTGGAGAACATCTCCATCATCACTTCAAACATACAAAGTTTATTTTGACTCCATCTCACAGCGTCGTGCTGCTGGAAACACTCACAGGAGCTAAGGCAGAAAGCAGCTTTAGCTTGAATCAACATCACTCAGCTGTGTTAGAGTTTGTTCTTTTTTTTGTATGAAGATTTATTCAGTTTCTCAAATTTCTGACCAAGAACAAAAGCGAAGAAAGGGTTCAAAGGTCATTTAAAGTGGCTGTTTCTGACCCTGGATCCCTTCAGAAGTTAAGAGAAGTTCATTTTCACACTTCTGCATCAGCTGTTTGGTGACTTCTTTAGGGTTTAAAATGCGTTTCGGTTTGTTGTTTACATCACGGGCACTTTCTCTTCACTCCATCTCTCGTTTGATTCCCGCGCAGCAGCTTGTTGTTGAAAGTATGAGTGTGGGTCTGTTTCTTTAGGCTTTGTTGGAGGTCAAAGTCACAGATGTGATACTGTTTTTAAAGCACTTTGTATTGAAAAGTATCAAAGCATCAAAAGTCTCGGCCACTTTAGTGATTTCCACGTGAAGGAATTCTATCGAGCGTTAAAGTTTGCAGCCGTAACATCGGGACCATGGGCCGGTACAGAGACAGGGCCGTCTGTCAACAGTGGCACCTGCTGGTGGGTTGGATATGATTTACAGAAAGTGAACATTTTCTCCTCTTAAGTGCCAAAAGGTGTGAGGTGGAGCAGCCCAGCCAGACCATCTCCAAACCTGCAGCTCTTGTAGGGTCAAAATCGACCTGGAGGGTCCTGAGAACGAGGTCAAGGTGTTGTCTTGGTCTCCAAATCCTCTAGATCTCAATCTAACCCAGCATCTGTGGGATGTCCAAAACATGGAGGCCCCACCTCACAGACTTAAGAACTTGGTGTGCCAGATACCACAGAGGAACACCTTCACAGGTCTGACAGGGGCCGTGTGGGGTCAGGTCCAGGCTGTTCTAAGCCTGAGCTGATGAGACATGGTCAGTATGAGTCAGGTGGTGATGAAGTCATGGCTGATGGCTGCGTGTTGAAGTGTGTAGATGAAGTGGTTCCTGGTTGTGAAGAATGGACCGGAGAGCGATCCGATTTACTCTTCGTCTGTGACTCTGAGGGTCTGATTTTCAACACGGAGCCGCTTTAATCAGAGAGTTTGTTTGTTTTGTGGAGTGGGAGGCCTCTGTGGGTAAATCTGAGTCTCTGTGAGGTTTGTTTGGTTTACAGCCTGCCGTGCTGTTGCTCCCTCACTGTTCCTCAGTGTACAGTGAAGCAGCTGAAGCAGACTGGTAGATGGGAGCTGAATCAAGGCTCTAAAATGATCATTCCACTGCCCTAGAAATCTCAGGTCAGACTCTGTCTTGAGGCTTTGTCTGTTGTGGATTTGGCCCTGATCCACAGGCCACCACAGCGGACCTGAGAGTTTCTTTTGGACCCTGAAACATCAGCAGACCAAACCCTCTGTAGTTTTCTGGTTGTTTTGGATCCTCCTCAGGGTGTGGTGTTACTCTGTCATGGTTTAATTGTTGATGCTCAAAGATGCACTTTTTAAAAAGTTCTTTGTATTTTTCTTCCTCTTTAAATTTTGAAACTTGTGTTGTGCCTAAGATAAGAAGAACTTTGTAACCAAAAGGGAAATTTTAAAGATCTCAGTCCAGCCCGTTTCCTGCTATAAGATCAAGTTTTCAGTCCTCGTTTCGAAGCCCCTGTGAGAAGCCTTCAGGTACCTCCATTTTGACAGCTTGTTGTTGACATAGCCGGGTGATTTACCTCAGCTGAACTTTTTAAAATACTTTTTCCTGACGATGGTGATTTGCAGATCATTTAAACTGAAAATAGCGCAAAGACAATGTATCAGATGTTAAAATCGTGACAAAAGTAGATCGTTTTATAATTGATATGTGCTTACATGGAATTTTATGCCTTCTTCAAAAAACTTCAAAGCAGTTTTTAAGAAATCACAGAAAAATTTTAGTAGCGATAAAATAAAACCCACCTAAAGGAGCATCTGCCAGTTCATGGGGTCAATCTGCGACATGACTGAGTAAAAAAGGGAGAAACAGCTTTAATATTAATTTGTGGTTAGGTTGTTTTAAAAAAATTAATAATAATTATATTTTTGAGTCATTTTAAAATGCGAACAAAGAAGAAACTAACTGCAGCAAAAGAGGAAGAATAAGGTGGTTTTGGAGTCGAGGGTCTCGATCGTTGGTTTTGGTCTTTTTGGGGGATTTGTCGACAACAAAAGATATAAAATAAATCCAGCCGTGTTCTTTGAGTTGAAGCTGGGTGATATGGTTGAATGACAAGAATATTTAATAAGAAGAATATTTTTCTTACATATATTATATTCATATATATAAATGTGATAAAATCACAATATTAAAAATCTGTGCAAAATCACTTAATCATCACATCATGTCCAGTTGAAGGAACGATGGGCCCGTTATTTCCCTTAATCAGAAAACAAACTTCACTTTTTGCTGTTTTTTTTTCTTTGTTTTTTTTTTGCCTGAATTTAAGAATTTGAACTGAGTCTGATGTTTTCAATAATAATAATGCTGATTTTTTTTCTTGGCCCTGCCTCAAATGTGTCCTGACACACTAAAACATCCTCCACATCCCTGAACCGTCTGCAGATTTGGTCTCTTCTAAAGATGTCAGCATCTCTCTCATCTGATTGGTCCTGATGAGACGGTTTTAGCCAATCACATTCGATCATTTATGCTTCCGTCAATGAGCTCCAGAGGCAGGCTGTGACACAGCGCTGCCCCCTGCTGGACAGCAGCAGAACCTCACCCCTCAGAGCTGGAATAAGATAGAGCAGATATGAATATTTTATTTTTGGTTTATGGAGGTGATAATTTATTTTTTTATCGTACCTTTACCCATGTGTGTGGGTGACTGTTTGTCTTTTACATGTTTGCCCCAAAATGTATAAAATGTAAAGAATTTAGAGTCACAGTGTGTAAGAAAACACAGTATTATAAGAGCCAACTCAAGTCTGTTTGACCTTCTTAGAGGAGAATAATTTACACCTCTTTTCTTTGGAGTTCAAAAATTTAAAATCAAGCTCCGTCACAATGAAACATGTTTTTAAAGTTTGACGGCGAGCAGAAGTTGGTCTTTTTAGAATATTTTAGACCCGATGATGTTTAATGACGAAAACTGAGGCGGGAAAACAGACTTGAGTCTGCTCACTGAGCCCAACACTTGTGCCTGCTGTGGAGTTGTTGCTCAGGTGGGAAGCTCCTCTGAAAGTGTGTGTGTGTATGTGTGTGTATATGTGAGTGTGTGTTAGGCACCATCTTTAGTCTTTGGTTTGTTTCACTTCACGTCTAAGGAGCCGGTAAAGAAGTGCATGCACATTAATGTCCTCCTGTTGGGGTCAGTCTCCTTCCTTCACAGCGTCGAACCCTCCTGTTACAGTCCTCACAGAGACATCCACGTGTCCTCTCAGATCATGATTCTTCATCATGAGTATTAGCCTCAATGATCGATCAGTTATTTAGCTGCATTTTCTGCATCTGACATCATCCTGACTGTTTGTTAGAACAGTGAAAGTACGTGAGATTAAATCTTTCCAGAAGCTTTTGGACTTGTGTTTTCATTCCTGACAGACTGACAAAGTTTTGTGCAAACTTTTATGTCATACCTTGATGATAAAACTGTGTAAAAAGTAACACCCACATGCTGTGTCTCACTTTGTATCAGTGGAAAAGCAGAGGGTTGTCATAGATACCAATACTCTCTATAGATGAAAATGGTTTGCATAGAAAAAGAGCGACATAAACGGTTTCTCTCAGACTACAGTTGAATGAATGGATTTTGTATTTTGCAGAAAACAGGATCACAAACTGGCAGAAAGCTCCAGAGTCTGAGTTTTAAAGTCAGCAGAAATGTTCACACTCCCTTGTCCTCGCCCCTGAATCATCCCGGCGTGCCGCTCTGCTGACCGTACAGGTCGTACTCTCTGTATTGGATGTAGTCCTTCAGTCGTCCTGGCAACGGCAGGAAGCTCATGAAGACAGGTGAGCGGAGACGAAGGCGACCGAGACACTGTCGGATCCTCAGCCGACAGAGATGCTGCAGACAGCGGACGCTCTCTGAGGAGGAAGAGGAGGATGAGGAAGACTCTGGAATCTGTCCGTTACAGCAGCAGGGTCAATAAAGTTATTCTGAATTTACCTTGCTGCCTGCAGATGTCGGGCCACTGCCGCTGCTCCATCAACGCCGCCTTCAGTTTGGAGCACAGAGTCACGTGATCCACGTAGTCCATCATGACGAGGACGATCTCACCTGAGAGGTGTTTGAGCCACGAGACGGTGATGACCTCGCAGAACTGCACTGACACACACACACACACACATTACAAGATTATACACAGTATCAAAATAAAAGGAATAAAGCTTCTGTAGAGACAACGACAGCAACTAAAATCCCTTCAAAATAAAAGCGTCTTCAAATAGACAGAGCTTCATTTAAAATACTGATACAGGTTTCATGAATTCCCATCATCGACACCATTTTTGAAAAGACCAGATAATTTAGACAATGGAAATTCATGTCAAGTCCTGGCACATTTCACCTCTACCTGTTGACCCATTGAATTAGTTACAGCATGAAAGCTGATTTAAAGGGATACTCCAGCGTAAAATTAAGTTATGGTCAAACACACAGTAACACCGAGTTAGACAACCCCTTGAGGGATGAGTGCAGCCGACCGCTGACAAGTCGATCACAGAGTGCAGTAGATCATTTCCTTGATGTAATAATCATCATAATAATAGTGGTTCTTCTGCCTTAGTGTCTCGGTCTGATTGCATTTCCATGAAGTAAAAATCACTAACGTTCTTAATGAGCTGCGAAACTCTGCTGCACTCTGTGATCGATTCATTAGGGCTCCCCCACAAACAAGCGGCTGCTGGAGGAGAGTAGGTGAGTTGTGTTTAGTCTCTTTGCTAAAGAAATCAGGCAAAGCTAAAAAGATGTTCGATGGTTTATACTTTGGCTGGGACCTTATATGTACTGTTGATAAAGTTAGGTGCTGTTCTGAGCATTATTTGTGGCTTTATGGTTGAGGTTTGCGCGTGGAGACATAGACCACTGTCTATTGCTATGGTACAGTCGTTACTAAAGTTGGTATAAGTAGACAAGCCGTCGGCAACATTCATCCCTTGAGGGGGTGTCTAATTCAGTGTTACAGTGTGTTTGACCTGTCCTGCAATCCAGGCAACAGCAGGAGACCCAGTGAGCATATCTTTTTTTTTTTGAGTTTTCAATCACACCAAAGTTACTAAACGACTAAGTACAGGGTCAGACATTCCACCTGTCCACTTGTGGCCTGAGTGTCCACTGTCAAAGTGTCCTACTGTGGACCACAAACTAACTTAAAGCTTTTGATTGACAGCTGTATATCACCAGAGTGTCTTTGATCACACTGCAGCTCCAGCCCTCGTAGTCATCGGGGATGTGGGAGTTGTTGCCATAGGGACAGTCGAAGCATCGTTTGACATCATAGCCAAAGTTACACAGCATCCTGAGCACCACCTGAAACACACACACACACACACACACACACACACACACACACACACAGTGAAGTTCGAGCTGCTTGTCCTGGAAAGATCGACGTTCACTCGTTTAAAGATGAGCGATGGTTGACCTCGTCTTTGAGGGCGTACTGCAGGGCGGAGGGGAAGTGTGTTGTGTTTACTTTGCAGTAATAGTTGACGTTGGCTCCAAACCTCAGCAGCAGGTTGATCAAGTCATAGTTGCCCATACGCAGAGCAACCTGAAATACACAAACATTGGATCAATAACAGGCACTTAGATGATCAACTGACAAACTTATAACAGGTGCTGCTTCTTCTCTGACAAACATCTGAGTAGGTTTTTCAGTTTATTGAGCTTCAGGATCTGTTTGCATCCCCCTCATTAAAATCACAGACTGATTACTGTGTGCAAACCTGACAGTTAATGCGTTTCTGGATGATGGAACCACTGAATCCAAATTAAAGGACAAAAACACTGAGACAAACTCCTCCTCTGTGTGAACCTACTTTCAACCTGACTCTGATTCTGGTGGAATTCTTGAGGCCGACTTTGACCAATGAGAAACTTCTTTACCTGCAGACATTTGATTGGGTCTTGGTTGGCCATCGCTCCGTTCTCCAGCAGCAGTTTTGTTGATGGTATGTCGTTATTGGAGACAGCGAAGAAGAGTGCTGACTTCCTCTCGTCATCATAGCTACGGCGAACCCAGGGGTGGAGCATGTAGTTGGGGTCGTAACCTGCATCCAGTAAGACCTGATGGGAGTAGAGATGACAAATCTGTGTGAGTTATCCCAAAGGTTGTAAATGTAAGGCTCATATTCAGGAAGTTGAATATGTTGTATTTATGTTTTCTGCTTATGAAGCTGTTGTTCTTTCTGCAGAGACGAGCTGTGTTATTCTGAAATATTAAGAGTACATCTGAGAGAAGTTTGTGAAAAAGACAAAAACAGTAAAAGTAGTTGCTAAAGAATAACATCGCTTTGCTACATCATAGCTGGCTCAACTATTCAATGTGAAATACTGGACTAAAAAAAACTCTTAAAGCTGCATGTAGGTCCAGTGTCTGCTGAATGGATGCCGTTTGTTCATAACACACACTGACACACACCTTGAGACAGTCTGTGTGTCCTCCTGCAGCAGCAGAGTGGAGAGGACTCATCCCGCTGTCACACACTTCAGACTTGGACGTGACAGGAATCAGCAGCTTCAGAGCTCTGAGAAAAACACGTGTACATTTACAATTTAACCGTTTCAGTACTCTGCAGAGTAAATCAAAATGTTAACCTCATGAAATCTGATGTGATTTCAGAGTTTAAAGCTCCTGTGAAGAGATTTTAGTCGAATATAAAGTCAGATTAAATTAAGATTGATACCTTTAAGTAACCTACAGAGGCATTAAACCCACCGACTGCCTCTCTACCTGCAGGAACAAAGCTACAGAGTCAACTTTTTTAGGATCCCATTATTGTAAAAATATAGCAAACAAGAATTTTACAGAGAAGACTGAATATTTCTGTTTGATTGTTTAATTTTAAAGGCAGAAAAATCACTTAGAGAGATAAAACAGGATGTTAAAGGACAGCAGAGGTTATCAAAATCAACTCAAATAAAAGTTACCTGCAGTCTGGCTGTTTTTTAAGACTCTGGAAAAGTCTCAGTTTGAGTTTTTTTCTTTTTTTTCTCTCTCATTTTACTTTGAGTTATAAAAAAAGTCAAAATTTATAAGTTAAGTCAAAAATTTTGTGAATAAAGTGAAAACTTCAAAGAAAGTTAGTTTAAAAGGATAAAGTTGACACTTACTGTGTATCATAGTTTCAATATAATGTAATGTAATTAAACCAATATCACTTTTTGTTTTTGTTTTGTTTTTGTTTTTTCGTTTTCAATTCAAAGATTTTTGATAAATCTGACTCTTAAAAACAAAATCATCAAAGAAAAAAGGAGCTGCTTTTGCCCACAGGGGCACCAAGAGCAACATGTACCTAAAGTTCCTCACTAGAGCTTTAAACATCTAAAATAATATGAGAATAAGGGAATCAGGACAGTCAAGTTCAGTGATTTGTGAACTCTAAAAAAAGGGAAATGGCTCTGAAAGGGTGAAAAAAATCAGATCATGAACTTTACTGCAGGTGTCCTCGGTGGGCGACTCGGTGGATCGGCATGTGTCCCGTGTGTTTTGCCTCGTTGGCGTCAGCTCCGTACTCGAGCAGCAGACTGATGACTGAAGGGTCTCCTGAAGCAGACGCCTCGTACAGGATGGAGGCCTCATCATTGGCCTGAGACAGGACATCTGCCCCTGAGGGACCAAGGACAGAGGGAGGGAGTTTGTGTTCCTGAGGTTCATATTACAGCTGGATGCAAATATCAGAGATTAGGGTAAAAACATCTCCACCATTTCAGGTTTCTTTGAGGATGAATTTGTCTCATATCTTACTCCCCACTTCAAAAACTGGATACTCATTTATTTATCGTTTTTAATCAGCATGTGTAAAAACTAGACAGCAAACCTTTGTCAGTCATCACAGACCTGCAGAGGACTGTTGTCTCTTTGTTTCCTAAATAAACAGTTATTTTACAGCTCTTCATAAACAAAGATCTGGACAACATTTTGGCGTTATTGGCAGGAAACTTGTCAGCTGTACAGTTTAACCCAGTGAGAGGTCTGCCCTGTAAAATCTCTCTTCCAGAGAAAGGTAGAGTCTCAGGAAGGCTCTGTATAAGTCCTCTCACCCCTCTTCAACAGAGTCTGCACCACCTCCAGGTGTCCTCCTTGGGCAGCCAGAGCCAGAGGCGTGAGGCCGTAGTGGCTGCGAGGGTCCACGGTTGATCCAGCCTCCAGCAGCAGCTTCACCAACTCTATTTTCCCCAAACGAGAGGCCTCATGGATCGGGCGTCGGCCGTGACAGCCCCCCTGGTTCACCCTGGAGCCCAACTGGAGCAGCAGCTTCACCAGGTCAGAGCGCTCTGAACGGACCGCTGCAGGGGGGAGAGGGTCTCAGAGTTTACACATTTGATGAGAGAGTATTTCAAAGTTTATAAGATGTTTAAGATCTTTTTTAGAGAGATTGCAATCCCTTGGCATCCTCATATTTATTTTAGCATCCCCATGACAGTGACATGAAACCAGGTCAAAGGAATTAGAAACCCTCTCTTGTGACTCTGAGGCGGCGAAAGGTCGCTCAGCGTACCTGCAAACAGCGGTGAGTCTTCATCCTGGTCCTGGCAGTTTGGACCTGCTCCGTGCTGGATGAGGAAGGAGGCGTTTTCTATCAGACCTTTTTCTACAGCCAGGAAGAGAGGAGTCTGACCGGAGAGAGTTCGAGTCTTCACTGAGTCTGGACCTGAAGCTGCAGGGAAAGGTACCTCACTGTTTATGCACACCTCTGTTTCATGAATGTGGTTTTATGTGGCTGCACGCAGACTCAGTCTGCAGACAGTATGGACCTTTGAAAGTGAGCTCCAGGACGGTTTGGTTTCTCTGAGCTGCAGCTTCATGTAGAGGCATCCATCCTCTGCTGTCTGTCTGTGAGAACTTGTCTTTCTGTGAGACACACAGATCCTTCAGCAGCTTCTCATTGCCTGAGAGAAAAATAGACGGTGAGATTTGAATTCTGTAAATATTTCAGCGTCTTCACCTGGCTGACACAAAAACAGAAAATAAACTTCAATATTAAATGAGTTTGATGCCTGAAGAGCACAGACATGACACTGCAAATATCACCAAGTTAAAAAAAAAGGACATAATTTGACTGAATATGACCTGCAGCCATTCTCGCTTCCTGACTTTTATCAGATGTTCAGATACTCGGATACTGATCACTTTGGTGATTTATAAGACAACTGCACGACTATAAAACCTTTAAAATCCTCACATCTAAAGGTCTGACTTGCATTATTCAAAGCTTATTTACATGAAAACATCCTCCTTGTTTCTCTGCTCTCACCTTGTCTGATGGCTGTGAAGATCTTGCTGCTGTCTGCAGACTCTGGAGCAGAGCTGTGAGGGGAAACAAGATCAGTACTATTTTACACATTCAATCAGAGTCTGAGGATGTAACAGTCAACAACATAAACTTAGAAAAGGATCTGAGGAAGAGTCAAAGTGATGCAGAGCGGTATAGAAATCCAGAGTCCTGTTCTCTGACCTCTTGTGTTCTCGGGTCACGTCGTCTCTGTGGGTCTCCTTCTGTTTGTTACTCTCCAGCAGACTCTGTTCAATCATGTACTGTGTGGCTGCATCTTCATCCTCCTCCTCCTCCTCTGTCCTGATTCGAGCTAATTCCATGACCTCCACATGGAGGATTCAGGTCCTGTTTGAAAAAGGGAAACATTAAAAAAACGTTAATGTTCTTCACTAGACATTTGACCGATCAGCAGGTCAGTGTGTGTTTTGTAGTTGAACACTTTGGTGCTGCTCTAAAGTGAAACAGGAGGTCCAGCTAATCCCGTTTAAAGAACTTCATAGACCTCACTACTTCTGCACCAACCCATCTCCCCACCCTGAAGGTCAGCAGAGACTCTTTTACGCCTCCTGTTGTTGGTCTCATTTCAAATGCATCGCTGAAATGTATGACTGGAAATGTTGGCGCTCTGATTGTGGTTCTTTTATCCTGCCAGAGCAAGAGTCTGTCCCCCCTCTCTTGTTACTAAAGCAGTTTTTATTTTATTCTTTGTGTTTGAGCAATAAACTGAAAATTCATGAATGAATTATTAAAATAAAGAAATGAAAGATTACTTCAGATTTTTCCACAAATCAGCATCTCTGCATTTATAATGTAATGGTGAAAAAAATGGAAACTGTTGTTACAAATCAGGGTTATTTCCCCAAATGTGGATTTTTGAAGTTTTCCTGAATTAAAAAATTAGTGATGAGAATTAATGAGAGAATTACTTTACAATCAGTAAACCTAAAACAAAAATAGAATAAACAGACAGACTTTTTTAACAATCTCATTTTTCCAGTCTACCTCTTTTCTGCTCCTGAAGTCAAAGAGTGAATGTCATTTTTCTAACTTCACAGATGAAGTTCATCATATGAAGGCAGAATTTTCTTATTGTTTTTTTGCAGCCGTGAAAATATACAGTATGTGCATCTGTGTGGAATAATTGCTTCCTCAGTCCTCATCATTCCTTTCCTTAGTGTGTAGGACAGTGGATAGGGTAGGAAACAAGGGAGCAAGAGTGGGGTACGACTTTCCTCTGCACACAGACATGCAATCGAACAGCTGAGCCCAAACCTACACCAACAATACAGATATGATGTTACTTCAAAGTGAATTTGAACTTTTTTTTTTTACATTTGTCGTGAACAGCAGAAACTGAATCCTTCATCGTGTTAACCAGACAAAACCAAAGTGAGAAAAAAGTTCTGCTCACCATAAACAAAAAGGATTATTTTATTTTCATGTATGAAGAATTGAACCAGAGGAAAAAGTATTTTTGCAGAGTTCTTTGCACGACTCAAGAGTTCCTCCGTATCATTTAGTGTCCTGCAAATGTTCAGCAGATTCAGACCTGCGCACATCCTTTAAAATACACCTGTGTACACCTGGAAGAGTGACAAAGTTTGAATCGGTGTGAATCTGACTGCTGGTTCTCATCCGTCTCTGTCTAAAAGGTGACTCAGTATTTTTTAAGTTCATGACTGAAATAAGAACTGTTTGCAGATTTCTGTTCATTTGAATTAAGGGTCAAACCAAGGAGAACAGGCCTTGACCTTAACCCCTCTGTCAGACCTGCAGTTCATGTTAGTGCCCTCCAAAATCAGATGCAGTTCAATCATCTCACCTTGACGTTTTCAGACTGAAGCTGCCGGGAGCAAATCCTCTGAAGGAAAAGCTACTCACACTTAGAATTGGTAAATAATGGAGATAACAGGACATTTAAACTCACCTGAAAACAGGAACGCTGTATTTTACCTGTGTCTCCGATAGTTTTTGGAGCTCTTGGACTCTTTCCTGTAGATTAATCTCTCTGATCTCTTGTTGATTTGAGAAGTATCACAAGTCTGTGTTTGAACCCGGAGCGGCGAGTCTGCAGGAGTTTCAGCTACGCGCCAAGATCCAAACAGAGGCCTCCTGTCTGCAAATCCATATGCGACCTAAAAACAGTCCCAAAGCGAATACTCTTTTGAAGTGTTAAAGCTCCTCTGCAGGAGGAATAAGTGGGTCTCACTCCTCAGTGTTTCTGCTGCAGAGAGGAAACACTGTCAACATGGGGGGGAGGCGGGGGGATCTGGTTCATGTTACTAAATTTACCTCCTCCAGCTAAGTTTATGCTCTCAGCTGAAATTCAGCCAGAGAGTGTGACACTGCAGGACTGCAGTTTAGCGACGAGGCTGGTCTTGTGATCCACTCTAGAGGGTCTCACTCCACCCACCCCTGAGGAATCATTACAAATTTTTTTAACCCTTGTGCACCCCTTAAAATTTACTGACACTTGTTAACCTCGTGGCCAAAAATGGATGGTCGAATAGAAGTGTAGTAAAAACATTATATATTCTTTTTTTTTTTACTTTAAAGCATCATATCTTGTCAACAACTTCAGACCTATCCAATGATATGAAGTTTATTTAAAAATGTTTAGGTTTTTAAGTGTCTTTAGTCGTGAGAACCCCTGATTTTTTTCAATGGGAAAAACACAGAATATGCAATATTTCCAAAAATGAGGTGCAGGGTGAAATATTTCTGATAAAGATATAACAGCCCTGACCATGTCAATAATTGATAAAAAATATTGATTTTAATGTATTATTTTTTGCACAATGACAGTTTTCAGTATAAACCATCACTTGTTAACCTCGTGGCCAAAAATGGACCCATAAACCTTTATCCTTTATTTTAACCCATTAGGTCCCTAAACTGAACATCCTGGTGCAGTCAAAAATTCACTTCTGTGACGTCTTCATTCAAGATAGAAAATCTGCGCTGTTCTTCTGAATTAATTGAATTATCCCTAAATAAAATAAGTTTTTATGTGATGTATTTTAGGATTCAAGATTGTTTTTTAAAACAGATTACCACCTGCAGTACATCCCTGACCTTAAAGTCTACATCAACTCCCAGTCTTCAAGATCCACCAATCAGTAGCTTCTCATGGTCCCTCAATTGCAGGTCAGGCTGCTTTCTGATGTTAGAATGTCCCAATCCTCTTTCTTACTTTCAAATCATGTCAACATTTTTCAAATGGACCTATGTTAAATGGCTTTTATTATATTTACAGTGTTTTCATTTTCATGTTCAATATGAGCTGTGCAGCACTTTCGTTAACTTACTATTCCTGTCAGAATGTGTTGTGTTAATAAAGTGAAGTAGCTTAATTACAGGAAAAGTTAACTAAACTGACAGAAGCACAATCACCAGCAGTTGGCAGATTTTGTTTGAATCCAAAAACAGTGTAGAGAACAAAACGGACCAAACCATCAAAGTGTAATTGAAAACATGTTTATTTGATTCTCTGCATCATCCGTTTATGACCTGGGTCTCTCCTTCTTGCCTTTGTAGAGTGCCAGCAGGGAGACGTTGGCGACCTTGACCACCTTGAAACGGACTCCAGGAATGTCACCCACGGCGTGACCTTTACGTCCGAATCCTGCCACCAGGACTTCATCGTTTTCCTGCAGGACGAGAGGAAACATCAAAAGAGGGTCAGGAGAAAGTGCCGGCAGTTCATTTGGCCTCCTTCCTCATCCAGCACGGAGCATATGCGGTAACGGTATATATCACAGTAACAGTATATATCACGGTGTGTTTTTTCCCTCTGTAAATTCAATTAATGACTTAAAAATAACCACTGTCGCATTTGTTCATTTTCCTTTTATTTTAAACTCCGATTTGACAAATACAAACAAAATATCAGACCAGTCAGGCATTTTTTTTATCATATGGTGCACCTTTGGCGAAAGACTCCGCCAAGCTCTTTTATACGAGGAGCTGCTGCAGCTTTAGATTTCGGTGCATCAGGTGCGCCACGCATCTTTTGGCTCACATATTAGAGCTCAGCGTGTTTCATCTTCAGATGGTGGAAGAGGTTGCTGGTGTTTCCACGTCCGGCAACAACAGTCACGCGACACTCTTTGTATAGTTTTGTTTTTTGATCATTGTCAGATTTTCTAAATCCGAAGAATCTCCAGACAACCGCTGTCGTGACTTGCGCCCTTTTCCGAAACGAGTTCCTCCTCCTCCTCCTCTTGGGTGTGTAGTGCTGCCTCTGTTTGCTCGGTACTGCCACTAATCTCCATGTCTGCCATGACCACCACCAGTGAAGCTGTTTCTTCTTTGTGGAAACTATACCAAGCAGTCTGCTGGACATGCTGGTAATTATAGGAGTGCACCCAAACCCGACCAATCCAAGAGAGCAAACAAACTCCGCATGACATCTACACAACTACACACTGACTCAGAGAGATGCAGCAGACATCAGCTCTCTCTCTGCTGTACTAACGGCATGGCAAAATTTCTATCAGTAGATACTCTTATACCGTCACACCGCCCAACACTACCAGGTAATAATAAAAGACAGCTTCAGTCATCAACATCTATGAAATAACGTACAGATTTTTGAAAACCTCAACTTAAGATCCAAATTTTCTGTAGGCCTCGAGGGATTTTAGGATCTGAACTCAAAGTGAACGACGCCACGCTGCAACATCCAAATCAGAGAGTAAAAACTGTCTTTGCTGAAAACACAAACAACTTTTCAGTCGCACAAACCAAACTTCTCCCACGGCGCACGTATGATCGTCAGGCTGCTCAGTTGCTTACCTCGATGTAGTTGAGGCAACCGTCGTTGGGGACGAAGGCGGTGATCTTTTTGCCGTTCTTGATGAGCTGAACTCTCACACACTTCCTGATGGCAGAGTTGGGCTGCTTAGCCTCAACACCACTGCAGAGGAGACAAACAAAAACACACTTCATCAGAACAAGTTTCTGAAATCTGAGCCCTGATTTCACCTCACCACTGAGTAAGAACACTTTCCCTTCACTGCTGTTCTTTTTTCTTAACAGTTCACAAAGCCAGCAGTCGATCAGTGAGCCGAATTTAACTCGACATTCAGACCTGTCTTCAACAATGACTGCATACTTCTCAGATTATTTGCAGGGGTGTGACAATTTCAGATCTCTCATTTCTATTTTTTGACTCTGTTTTTTGTTAACCCAACAGAACAAACCATCTGAAGATTTTAATCAACCGACCCAGTTACTTTGGTTCACATACATGGAGTTGTACGATCAAGAGCCCAGAAAGAAAAGCTGTCTACCTTTCTGCCTGTCTGTAGCTTGAATTGTGAGTGATCACCGGTAACTTGTCACTTTTTTGTACTTATGCAGGTCTTGTGGTACTCACACTTTCTCAAGAACGATTCCTTTGGCGTGGGAGGCTCCTCCGAAGGGGTTAGCCTTCAGGGCAGTGCCCAGATGAGCCTTCTTGTACTGTTTATCGTGCCATTTCTGCTCACGGCGGTGGTTACGGAGCTTCCTGGCTGTGCGCAGGCCACGACACTTTCCTGGAAGACGGACACCGACAACAAATCCAGTAAGATACGGTGCAAAGTACAATGAAGTAGTATAAATTTAAAGAAATCTGCAAAACATGTTAAAAACAACAACAAAAAGAGACAAATAGCTCGAAGCAAGAAACTTAAGGACGATGAAAAACCCAAGAATACAGGTGTGTTTTCAGTCTGGACTAAATCACCACAGAGGAAGAGGGCTATGGGGCAGCTACAGCAAACGCCAAACAGCCAGTAACAGCCGTCCATATTATATGACAGCGAACAGGGTTTGGAGAGGGTTTTTTTTTAGGTCTTAAAAACAAAAGAGCCTTTGAATCAACCCTGATTTCAAGCTGGAGAAGGTCAGAGATGCTCTCTCGTTCCGGTTCCTGTTAACAGCCTTGCTTTGGTGTTTTGGACCTTCTGTTAATGGGGTAGAGATGACCGGCTGATGCCCAGAGAGAGGGCATTACAGAAGTCCAGTTTTCTAGAGTCTAATAGGAGAACTAGAAACGGATTATGAATCTCCTTTTGGAGAAACAGGGTTTTGTTTTTACTTAGCTCTGGAGGTGAAAGAAGCAGCTTTCAATGACTGTGGTTATTTAGTCAATTTTAAAGCTGGGGATAAGGTTAGCTATACTGCATTTTTTTTGCCTTTTATCAACACAGTTTACCAAGAATAAACAAAGTAATCAGAGCAAGAAAAATATTTAGCAAAAATAAAGCATTAAACCACAATCAGAAATCTATTTTACATTTTGCCTATCAGTTACTTTCAAACTGAGAAAAAGAAAAAGGAGTAGGCAGCCTTTTAATATCCACAATTTTTAGTTTCTCCACACTTCACTTTGTTTCAGTCAAACACTTCATTTGAGTTCAACACTATAAATCCAGTAAACAGTCAAAGTTATTGGACAGGAGGAGATGTTAGAAAACAGCTCAGTTTAGAAAAACAGCTCTAACTATGAGGAAAACTTAGTTTACCCAAACATGTGAATCTGAAACTAACTGGGTTTCATGGTGTGAACAGGAACTATTTACATGAGGGTACTTTCGACATAGAACTTTTCATGAACTTTAAAAACTAAATCCAGTAATTTTACAACATCTGCCGAAATTATTCATACAGCTTCATGAATCAAAAACATACTAAAGCCGGTTTATCATGAAAAAAAAAACATCCGTGACTATAAACATTTTCATTGTTTAATTTCATCTCAGTTTAAATCAATTAATTGTTTATATATATTAATTAATGGTTTGAACCCGCTGAGTATCAGGCCACCTCTCCTATTTCACCACTTTCATAGAAACGCTTTAACAATCTCTGCATGTTCCAGCTCATCCAGTGAATTTTTTAAGTAAGCAGCTTTTTAAGTATGTACACCAATAACAGTGCAAAGTGAACGTTAATGTGTGTTGAGCTAAGCTAACTGAGTTAGCTAACGGAGCTAACACACCGCTGACATGTTATGGCCGCTCCACGTTGCGGGAGAAGACAACCACAAAAAGAGACAATACTTTCATCAAATGTGCAGTCTTTCTAACATAAAGGCATCGAAATTGTTTATAAGAAGTTTATACAACGTATCGTTATCAAAAAACGCTGCAGTAAATAAGATAAGAGTGAATTTAAAGTGAAATCAGGCCGTACCCATGATTGCTGAAGCGAGCCTGGGATGGAAAGGGAGAACCCAGGCTGCACCGCGGAAATGACTCCTCTGAGGACCCCGGGTGAGTGTGGCTAAGAAATGCCTGACTGAAATGATCACTCCGAAGTCTGACTCTGGAAACTTTTCTTACACTCACTCTTCTCTCTAGATCGGTAATGCTTTTGCTGCTCAATTTAAAAAAAGATTTTAGTTCTACTTTTGAGTGAATAAAGAGGAAAAAAACAAAACATTCACAACAGCAACATTAACAATGACGCACAGCTGTTTCCACAATCCTGTTTGGTCGCTGAGTAAATGTTAATAAAATCATTTTCAAATCATTCAACCCTTACACTGAATTAAAAACAGTGCAAAGACTACATATCAAATGTTGAAACTGAAAAATTTCCTGTAATAATTTATTTAAAAAAAACTAACAATAAATTTGATTAGAGCTTGCCACATTGTGTTGTCGTTCAACAACACTTGAATGTTTACCTGCCTGATAAAGGATTTTAGGTGCATCAGTTTCTCTGCAGGGCTCTTCTACTACAGAGACATGCTGTTGTAATCGCTGCTGTCAGAGTGTGTTTTTTGTCATTGTCTTGCTAAAATATGACGGTCTTCCCTGAAAAAAGTCATTGTCTGGATGGCAGCAGATGTTGCTCCTAAACCTGTAGATATTGTTCGGCCTTAATGGAGCCTTCACAGAGGTATAAACCATCAATGTTATGGGCACTTACAGGTACATGGGAGATGATGCTGGGTTTAAAACTGTGTAGTGATGACAAGCTTGCTGAAAACCTTTTTTTATTTGTAAATTGGGTTCACAGACAGTGGTTTTCAGAAATTATTTTGGGCCCTAACATATTCTATCATATCTTTGCACATGGTTTAATAGTTCTTGTATCATATCATAGTATCAGAATACTTAATTTATCCCAGGGGGAAATTCATTAAATATACTGTATGGCATTTTATCATATCAGCTTGTGAGAGTCCCAACCTCATCTCTTCACCTTGCTTAAATTTATTGGTTCTCCTCTATAAAACAAGCTGCATAACTCTATAATAGTAGAAGAATATATATATATAAATATAGTATACATGAAGCCACTTGTATCATTTGTTTCTAGTCTGGGGGTTTCTAAATGAACCACCTTTATGTCAAATATAGATATAGACTGTTTTACTATTCTGTGGTTTCTAATATATGTTGGTGAGAATTTGCAACATGCCGAGCGCTACTCTGTCATTAAGCTGACCTTTAATCTAATGAAATTTATTTTGTTTTGACTGAGCTGCTTTTAAATTAGAAAATGTGGGACCAGCAAATACCCAAACAGAAAGGGGCGGGGCTTTCTGGGTTCTGTTTGTCTCTTCTGTGTCCTGTTTGGCTCAGCCCCCTGTCAGTTATGGGGGCTTAAAGACAGTGGGCTGATTAAAGTAGATTACTGGGGGGAGAGGGGGAGATGGTCTGCTGGCATCTCACTCTAGTCACCAGAGCGATGGCTTCACCATGGAAACAGCGCTGCATCCTCCTCCTCCTTTCCTTCCTTCTCCTACATCTGCAGCCGTCAGCCTGCATCGACCAGCAACCTGCTCTCAGGTGGGTGAAGAAACAAAAAAAAAGGCAGAAATGGTTCCTGTCTGACTTAACTGCTTGTTGTGGTTGTTTTTGACCTCTGGCAACTCTCTAATCTTTGACTCCTGACACGTTCAGCTCTGAGATTAGTGATGTGTCACTGCTCTGTTGTCAAAGAGTCCCTGAGGGTACTTTTGCTGATTGTGTTTGCTCTTGTACAGCTGCATTAAGTGATATGTATGCAGAGGCAAAAGAACAAGCTGTAGACCAAAAACCTGGCATTTAATCAACTAATTATGTTTTTTAAAAAATATGTATAAGCAGTGTTATCTTTTCCCCCTTTTTTAACTCCACTTTGGTCTCCACCATCTCCTGAGAAACATTTCCGTCAAATTGGCTGCAGATGCTTTGGTGCAATACATTTCTAGAAGCTCCTTTGCTGCTAAGAGTACTATGGCTGAACCATATTGTAAATGAGGCCATAAAGAGGCTGAAATGTTCTTGTGGTTTCCTTAGGTGTGTAATTAAACAAGAGCTAAAGGGAGGGTAAACAGGAGGCAGATTCAAATAGACATAAACCCCAGTATCTTCAGTTGTGGTGCTGCACAGCCGACATCTATTCAGATGTTTTCAGAAATTAAAATATGGAAAATCTAAATGTAGCTTTTATTTCAAGGTCTTTTCCTAAATACAGAATTTCATTTGCCAAGAGGTGCAAAGAAAAGGGATACAACTATATTTGTGCCCTGAGCAGCTCCTTATTTTTTACTTATCAAAAGTTACACTGAATATCATGTCTTTATGCTTATAGTTGCCTCAAAGTAATGATATCACAACCATGTATGTCCTGTAGCTGTATTTATTTCCCCATAATTTTTACCTAGCGGATAAATACAACCAGAGTTTAATTATACTGAAAAGCTGCAAAACACAACATAGCATCTAAAATTGGGATCCTGCAGGATAATGGAAAAAATGCATTATGATGTTTTCATCCTGGGATATTTACTGCATTGTGGTGTGTTTTTATGCAGAGATATGATAGTAAAAATTAACAACAGCACTTCTTGTATTTTTGACTTTAAGGCTTTTTCCCTCTGGTAAAACTGAACATATCTCTTATTTTTACCATGCAAGGTTCCGCTCTTTACAACCCTAAGGCTAGTCTTAGATTTGGATATGCAGTTTGCAGTAAGAATGTTCCGCATTGTGGCATTATCATCAAAAGTGCTAAACAGATAATGAGAGTGCATATCAGCCAGAGTGTCTACAGTTTCTTTATGCATCTGCTGCACCTCCTGTTTAAGATGTTACCTGTGTTTGTGACATGTTCCTCCTGAATCCAAGATACACAAAAAGGATTTTTTTACATCTCTAAATCAACACCAGTGAAATAAGCGTGCACACTAACAGTGTGTTTGTATCAGAGAGTTAAGAGAGGACAAAGACGAGGCGGGTCTGATCTTCTTAAACAGAGCATCAGAATTTTACAAACATTGGCATCAGACATGAAATAAGAGCATTAAGTAAATCCTTCAACGTAATTAAGCTTTTTGCAGAGTCGTTTGATTTTTATCATCCATTGAACAGGATGAAAACAAATTAAATTAATAAATATATACAAAATCAGATGGTAATGATGTGGCTCTTACTCTGAGTTTTTAGGGAGTGGATAATTCAGCTTTTTATCATGTGCTATTTTTTACAGTGTGCAGCTGATGATTGTAAAAAAAAAAAAAAGAGAGAGAAACTGTAAAATCTTCTTTTGGCTGAGAGCCACCCTTCCTTCATGACCCTAACTTTGTGTGCGTGTGTGTATGCATGCATATGTGTGTGCGTGTGTGTGCGATTGCATCATTATGTAATCAATGCAATCCTTCTGACTCAATAAGGCTAAACCATTTTGGCTGCAGAGCGTCACAGAGAAAGAGAGAGAGAGGGTTGGGGAGGATTTGACGGCTATAGGCGTCATGCTGTAAACAGAGAAGGTTGAAAATATGTTATATGCTGATAAATATGTGAAACACGTTTTAATCTTCATCTACTGAGAGGATTTACACCCAGAGAGTCTGCGGGTGGATGAAGCAGCGCTGGGTTCATTTAGATTAGATGTACAGATTATTAGGTACAAAGCTGCACGCTCCTATCTGACAGTGAGGAGTGGACAGAGCAGCTATTTCTAGTTTAATTTGGTCAAATCTTCATGTAGTCAGAAATTTCCATGATTGTTTTACCATATTCTGTTAAAGCTCCTGTGAGGAGATTTTAGATGGTTATAAAATGGACTGAAATTAACACAGAGGCTTCTTTATGAACTATCAAAGAAAATAAGGCCATTGGCAAACAGATAGAAAACTTCCATTTTGGTATTTTTCAAGCCTTTAATTGTGTTGAGGGGGTGGTGTCAGCAAAATGAAGAAAAAGCATTTAAAAACTTTATTCACAACAAATACTCACATTTATTGATTATTGTTTGACAGCAGTTTAAGACTTCCTAAAATTAACTGTAATTTGATATTTAATGTAATTAGCCAAATTAATGCAATTTCATTATAATGAACTTTCAGGAATAGTTAATGCATACTGGTATTTTCTATGCTTGAAAAAAAATAACCTTTCCAAGACATTTTTTATCATCACCTTTAAAACAAGAGGGTGAGGATAATTTGACATAATCTTAGGTGGTGAGTCCTATAAGGGCAGATGGTGATATCCACTCACCAGTATGGTTTTAGTAAATCTTGCATCTTTTTCTAGTTTGAAGGTAAACAGATACCATGAACAACTTTTACTGTTCATAAACATGATATTTAAACTAATTTCAACATTTTAAAGCTCCTGTGAGAAGTTGGACAAACAGACATGTTTTTACATTTTTCATATAACATGTTCACGATAGTTAATAAATTAAACCCCCAAACATTCGCTGGATGAACTGAAGAGTATAGAGTTTAGGAAAAGCAATGACTGCCTTGTCCACAGGAGGCGCCAAAATAGACATGAACCAAAAGTTCCTCACAGGAGCTTTAATCAAAAATGTCTTTAGGTTAATTTAACCTGTTTCCAGGACTGTTGATCAAAAAAGTGATCGAACCACACCGACATACAGTCCTGGTTAAGCATGAGCTGAAAACTGCAACGCTGTTTGAATCTAAATAGCAAATGCAGTGTGCATTGTGACCCGTGTAGGAGTAAAGAGGAGGTGGTCTTCAGCAGAGACCCCAGGAGAGCAGGTCAACAAAATGCCAACCTACACAATACCAAACCTCTTACTTTAAAACCTCACTTTATCAAACATTTTCCCTTTGGAGGCATTAAAGGACAAACACTAGTGAAATCCTGTTTCACAAAAACATGAAAAAATAAACCGTAAACCCACCAGAGTGTTTTGCAGAATCAATCAGAGCTGCTGTATTGTGTTAAGCTGATTCTCCTGTTGAATCTTGGTCCATTATTTTAAGTCTTACTTCCTGTAATCTGGGTTAGAGTGGGTCATCGCTGCAATAGTACATCTCTGCTGCAGATTGATCATTCTGTCTGTTACCTTAAACACTAATCCACAGGGTCACATGGGTCACTGGACTACACAGATGCTTTCTGGGTAGCAGAAATATCACATCCATCTCCTGGTCGCTCTCTCCTCTGTTTCAGATTTCATAATGTGACAGCTCCATTTATAAATACAGATTCCTGAACTTTCCGTAAACATGGAGCTTTAAGTTGGTTTAAAGGGGACGTGAACTTTATGGAGCATGTTAACCTTTTGTAGCAGACACTGGTTAACATGAGGGACTGTTTAATAAAAGAATAATACTTCATAGAGTGGTGCTTGTGAGCTAGTTTGGGCAGGTAACTCTGGCTGCACTGATTTTGCTTTTTTGCATCCATCATCTCACAATCACTTGTCCAAAAATATCAAGGCAGTTTGATATCTATTTTATCGTTTTTTTAAATGCATCGATTTGAAGCCTCTGTTGTAGCATTCAGTAGTGTAAAATAGAAAACGAACGCCTGAAATTTCTGATTCATTGATGCTTCTGCCTCTTCTCTTCACAGTGCTGCTGTTTCTTCTCATTACAGTAAGTATCTATCTATCTATCTATCTATCTATCTATCTATCTATCTATCTATCTATCTATCTTTGTATCTATTCAAACACCCTTACAAACAAAACAGATGCATTTGTGTCTTTGCAAACCACCATTTTTCCAACGAACTGTAAAAATGGAGCACTCACTGGCTCTTCCTTATAATGATTTATTTAATTTCCTGCGAGATTTCATCCTGTCGTCTGTCTTTGCAGATGAAGGAGCGGCACACCGTGAAGACGGACTGTGGACTGAGGAGAGTTTTTCACCAGGAGAGGATCCCTCCAGACTTCTGCAGGTAGACTTGTAAAGGTTTTCTTAGAGGGCGACAACAGTGGTGAAAAAACAGACACACAAGTGTTTAATTTAAAAATAAACTACAGATTTACTTTCTTTAAGATCCAGGTATAGTTGCTGGTGTTTGCATTTGAATAAATCTTCTTAATAAAAAGATTTTTCAACTGATGAGTGTCATGATTTAAGGTCTCAACAAAGTAGTGCTTTGTCAGATAAGTTAGTTCTTTTCTTCTTCTCCTCCTCTCTCACCTCCTCCTTAGACTCCAGATGTTTCTCGGAGGAGGTTACTTCAGGCCCCAGGAGCTGCACTTCCTTTCCCTCCCCTCAAGGTGACGCTCTGCAGAATTAACCATCCATTATCACTGTGTAAAGAGTCACAGGAAGAAACATTTTCACAGTAATCTTGTGTATAGACAGTCACTTTAAACCAGTTTTGAGGTTTACATTCCCCCCTCTCACATTTGTCCACTGGCTCATTTTCAAACACAGTCTGTGCTGACTCACAAACTCTTCTCATTCTCGTAGTCCCATTCCATGTTGTCGTCCAGTAACACAACTGTCTCCGCCCACCAGGTGTTGTCCAATGGGGAGCCATGCCTCTTGTTCCAGGCTAGAAAACTGTCTCTACGCTTTGAGAAGCAGAAGCAGCTGGACCTGACAGAGAGGACGTTTTCTCCTCTAAAACCTGTCGACACTAGCAAGTCTGTCTGCAGCCTGGATAAGGCCACGTACGAACACCTGTCTTTCCCCATGACCCACCTGCTCACCTGTCTCATGAAAATGTGCTGTCTTTGAGACGTTTTCAATTAAATTCAGGCTTTAACTGATTTGCAATGAACCTAGTGCCTCACCTTTAACAGAACTGAGGTTGTATTTGTACGGTTAGACACATGCAGAAAGTCCACATAAATAGTGACTATCACCAGTGTCAGAGGAGGGTGGATCATGAAACAGAGCAGCAGAAGGTCTCAGTTTTTGTCTCTCAAGTCAGTGTGTTTGTCTCCCTTCATCATCAGGCTGGTCATGAGGTTTGGAGATGTGGAGGATTTGAGAGATCTGACCATCAAGTTAGTCATTCTGGCACTTTTTATTCAGATCATACTTAATATTTTCCATTTGAATCTGGACTGATTGTCTCTTCTCCTTCGTCTGATATCAGACTGCAGCTGTCCAACACTTTCTACGAGTCTTCGGGTCAGTGGTGGTTCTCGGTGGACGGCGTGTCTCTGCTCTACAACAAATCTGAAGAGGCTGTATTCAACGCCTCCGAGATGTACGCTCCTGCCTCCTCCTCCTATCACTGCCTCCATGTCAGCAGTCTGCAGCGCCACAGCGCCCTGCTGTTGCCAAGCACTGAGCATGCACGCCGCTGGAGTGTCACCTTCACCAACTTCCAGGTACCTGTTATTTTTTTCATCCAGTTTATAAAAATTCTTTGTTAAGCACCTAATGTTTAAATAAAAACATCTGTAAATTCCTGTTGCAAATCTAGATGTTCAAGAAAACCAGGAAGAGCAGACATCTAACAAATGTCATTCTGAGACTATTATCCTGTTCCCTCACATTTTTGATTCCCAAGAGGATTCATGTGGGACCATGAACTAAGCCCTCTTAAATGTCCTCTCCTCAGATTCAGGCATTCAACATCACCTCTGGTAAATTCTCTCCTACGAGTGACTGCGCCACCTTCCTGACACCCGCCATCCTGATGGGCCTCATCACGTCCCTCATCCTGCTGCTGGTCCTGGCCTACGCCCTGCACATGGTCATCCACCTGAAACACATCGAGCACGAAGACGAACACAAGGCCCATGTCTACTACCCTCCGAACTCTGAACAGCTGGAGCACTGCTGTGTGGAAAACACTGCAGACAAAAATGTGCTGTAGTGACACCCTGCAGACGATCAGAGACTGAAACACATAAAAATATGGTGACAGCTTCTGTTGTGGTAATAATTACTCAGCTCAGGAGTAGATTTTTAAAAATATATATTTCTATCATTTTTTATTTGCTCATCAGTGAGTTTCTGTATTTGAGAGTTTAATAAAAACATCAATAAACGCACCTTTTGTTGGTGTCTTTTTATCCACAGAAACATATTGAACAGAATGAGTTGGACTCTTAAGAGGAAACTGAAATCAACTTGTTTTCAGATGAAAACTATTGTTGTCATCTTAGCACTACGAGATTTAAAAAGATCACATTTGAAAAACAAATCTAAATTTAACCGGGTTTTTTTGCTTCCTGAGTTCGATGAAGTGTGAAGTTGTAAGGCTTCTCCGTACAGTACGGGTCAAAAGTTTGGACACACCTTCTCATTCAATCTCTTTTTTTAATGTTTTTTATATGACTATTTACATTGTAGATTATCACTGAAGGCATCAAAACTATGAATGAACACTTGTAGAATTTTGTACTGAAAACATGTTTTATATTCTAGTTTCTTTAAAATAGCCACCCTTTGCTCTTGATGACAAAAAAACTTAGTTTCTGACTCTGTCAGTCACGAAGTAACCCTGACAAGGCTCACCTGTGAGGTAAAACAGGTGACTACCTCATGAAGCCCATTGAGAGAACAGCAAAAGTTTGCAGCGCTATCAAAAAAGCAAAGGGTGGCTACTTTGAGGAATCTAAAATATAATACGTGTTTTCAGTTACTTCACACTTTTTTCTTAAGCACATGATTCCTCATGTGTTCATTCATAGTTTTGATGCCTTCACAGAGAATCTACAATTTAAATGGTGATGAGAATAAAGAAAATGTATTGAATGAGAAGGTGTGTCCAAACTTTTGGCCTGTACTGTACGCGTTAAAACTTGGTTAGGTTGAACAATTTTGGTCTCAGTGTAAAAATACAAGGCCGCTGCAATGTTGCTTCTGTCCGCTGGGTGGCAGTGAGCATGTAGTCGCGTCTAACCGACAATTTTGTAATAGGGAAGAAGAAGACGTCCCTGCTGACTTGTTGTGGAGTAAGGACTGCAAACGAGCCTATTTTTTAGAAACATATTTTATCACAGGACATGTTATCTAAGTAAAATTGTTGTCTTGACATTTTTAAGCAATTTACCTTGAATCATACTTGAATTAGCTCAAATTTAACACTCCATTTGCCGGTTTATTCTCCGGGTTAGCTTCGCCGGTTAGCATCCAGGCTAACTTGCAGTTTTCAACGTTTCCGTAACGAGGTGACGTCACTCCGCCGTCTGTTGGCCGTTTGTTTATGTGACCTTTGTAATTTGGCGTCACAGTAGTTTCCCTGCCGCCGGGGACTTCATGTTGAAGCATCTCTCCGCTGCTCTCCATCGCCTCCCCCGCCGCCTGCTGTCGTCTTCCCCGCGGACTGTGACCCGAGTCTCCAGCCTCCCCTTGGGCAGGAGGATGGAGCTCGCCGCGGTGAGGTGCCTCCCCGGGGAGCCCAAACTCACCATCTCCTTCTGTCTGGATGGCAACAACAAGCACATGCTGCGGGACCAGGACGAGGCGGTGGGGAAGGCCCTGGTCCGGATCTCTAACAACCTCGTCAAGGGTCAAGGAAAGGCGAAGAAGTCGAAGAAGAACAAGGGTCAGCAGCCGAGTGAAGCCGCGGAGCCCACCGTTGTCAAGCTGTTTTATGAAGGCGGAGAGGTGGCGGACTCGGTGCTGAACTCGGAGGCGTGGCAGGACGGAGCCGTGCTGCAGGTGGGAGAGGTGAAATACTCTGTACAGAGGAACGCACCGACCTTCACCAACGCGGAGCTCCCGGTGTCTCTGCTGGCTGGATTCCCTGTCTGCCCCAACCTGGAGGTGGAGTTTGGAAACCTGCAAGACTGCGAGTTCACCTGGTTCAAAGAAACCCACCCAGAGACGAGGTAAGTTAAGAGAGAGCGGGATTAAGAGTGAGTCTGTGTGAATGGGTTATGGTTCACTCAGCCACAGGTTGGGGGTCTGTTTTGGTCGTCAGCCTTAAATCCCCCAAAGTCGGAATCAGAATCAGAATCTCTTCATTGTTTCGTCAAGGGAAATTAGTTTTGCAGCAGGGCTCACAAAAGACAAAATCAATAACCATGTCTTTTGAGTCTCAACTCTTCTGCCACTTGGTCATGCTGTTGCAGTATGTGCTGAATGAGGTTGGCATTAACCAGCTGAATGTGCAAGGTCTTCCCTGAAAAGGTAAAATCTAGAAGGTGGCAGCCAGTGGACATTGTTCAGCAGTCATGGAGCCTTCCCAGTACATAAGCTGCTCGTGCTGGTTTTAGAACTGTGCGCTGACAACACGTGGTGGTCTCTCACCTTTTCAGAGCAAGGGAGCCAGCATCATAATTTCCAAAAATAATGTCAAGTTTTGATAAATCAGACAACAGGACAGTATTTTACTTCATCTAAGTCCATCTAAGTAGACTCAGGCTCCGAGTTGTCAGAAGTTGCTGGCATGTCTGGATCATGTCAATACATAGCAAGACTTCTGAGGCTGGTTTGAATCAGATGAATAGAGCTGATACTTGGTGAATGAATAATGAAGATGAAGCATTAATCTGTCTCTTCTTGTTCTTGCTTCAGTCCTGAATCTGCTGCAGAAGCATCTGCTCAGGATGGCGGTTGGACGGAGGTTGGGTGCGGTCGAGTTCACGTCCCCTCAACTCAGGACATTGGCCGCAGGCTCAAACTGCGGTGTACCCCTAAAGGCGGGGGTCGCAGCGGCCTGGTGAAGGAGCTGATCTCCGGGGGAGCTGTGGAGGCGGGGCCAGGCGTGTGCACATTCGACAACAGACACATGTACACAATCAAAGAGGCAGAGTGGCCGTCCGTGCGGGTGATGTCATACAACATCCTCGCTGATGTCTACGCCCAGACTGAGTTATCTAAGACGGTACTCTACCCTTACTGTGCTCCCTACGCCCTGCAGCTGGACTACAGGCTGAACCTGATCAAGAAGGAGCTGGCTGGATACAACGCTGACATCATGTGTCTGCAGGAGGTCGACAAAGGTGATCAGTGCAGAAATTATAACCTTATAATTTTGAACAGTATCTACTCTTTCTGTCTTGAATCATCATCTGAAAATTTGAGACGATGATTCCACCAAAATCCACTCATAAAAAATCTGAAGTTTTTAGTGTTTTTTCCAGTATGTTTAAGGATAACACTGAAGAAACTAAACTTCTTACACTTTTATGACACGCACCTTCATTGCTTTGAATATTAATAGCAAATTAAAAAAACCTGGAAGGGATCTATGTTTACAAGATAATATTTACCTTTAAGTTAAGACCTTAACCTGCTGCTGCCTGACCCTCTTGATATTCTCTGGACTCTTCAGGTGTGTTCATAGACAGTCTGACTCCGACTCTGGACGCCTTCGGTCTGGATGGTGTGTTTAAGGTGAAAGAGAAGCAGCATGAAGGACTGGCCACTTTCTACCGCAGGTCAGGTCTGCCGGCGTTCAGAACTACGATACAGTGTCCTCATGATGTGTGTGTTTTTGTGAGTGTGCATGCAGCTTCAGTTTGGTGTTATTCTGCTGCTCTGGGTCAGGGTACCACTGGGGTTTTTGGGCCTCATGAGAAATACCACAATGAGCCCTGACATGTCTCTACGTTCACAAGGTTACAGACCTGATCAGTCCTACACACCAAAAAGTCAAAGGATGTTCGTTTTAAAGCTGTTTGAGTCAAAGCAGCTCATTCACAGCAGTTTATAGTTTGTAACAACAGCGCTCAGTTAATATGATGATAAACTTTTTAAATCCAGGATTTAATCCAGGACACTAAAGATTACATCATGTTTTCTTTCAGGTCCAAATTTAAGCTGCTGAGCCAACATGACATCATGCTAAGTGAAGCATTGACGTCTGACCCCATCCACTCTGAGCTGTTGGAAAGACTCTCCACTAACAGCACTCTGAAGGAGAAGATACTGCAGAGATCCACGACGCTGCAGGTATGAGAAGCAGAGAGTTTTTGTTTTTTAATTGTGATCCTCAAATCGGTCGTTTGAGACACTTCTTGTCATAAAACAGCTGCATGAAAACAAGAAATTCCCTGTTTTGTGGCACTTCAGTTTTGGTGAGCACAAGCTGTGACTCATTTCTTTGCAGGTCAGTGTGCTTGAAGACCTGAACAAACCAGGGAGGAAGGTTTGTGTGGCTAATACACACCTGTACTGGCACCCAAAAGGTAAAACGATGTATGAACAGACCTAAATCAGTAAGAGCAGACTGATAAGAGCTTAAAGGAACTGACTTGAATTTGTCTAAAGGAGGGAATGTCCGCTTGGTCCAGATGGGCGTGGCTCTGAAACACCTGGGTCATGTGATCAGTGAGGTTGCACCTGGAGCCCCTCTTATCTTCTGTGGTGATTTCAACTCTGTCCCAACCTCAGGTAACAGATTGGCTTACTTTACGGGCAGTCACTCTGCTGTTCACACTAACTTCAGCCTTTTCTCCTGTCACTGAGTCGTATGGTGTCGTTGTGTATCCTCTTTGTTGTACTTCAGGTGTGTTCCAGCTGCTCAGTGAGGCCGTGGTCCCTCAGCAGCATGCAGACTGGGACAGCTCGGGGCTGGAGGACTCCTGCAGGATGGAGCTGCTTTCTGCCTTCCCTCCGCTGCAGAGCGCCTGTGGACAACCCGCTTACACAAACTACGTTGGAGGGTTTCATGGCTGCTTGGATTATATCTTCATCCAGCAGGACAGCATGAAGGTACGAATTCTGATACTGATACCCACCTTATAGACACTGGATGTTACACATGTAGGAGAAAATGTCCAAAAGGAGGAGCTGGTGCAGCAGAACCACCACTTAAGCCCTTTTCAGACCTACACAAGGTTCCTCCACATACAAACACAAACAAACAGTTTTCCTCCCTGGAATATTTCCACCTCGCCTCTTAGCATTTCAGAGTAAAGCCGAGGTGAGCTCATGCAAGAATGGATTGATGTCCTCTGTGCGTGTGTGTGTGTTTGTGCAGGTGGAGCAGGTGATTCCTCTGCCCAGCCACCAGGAGGTCACCACCTATGAGGCTCTGCCCAGTGTAGCTCATCCCTCCGACCACATCGCCCTGGTCTGTGACCTGCGCTGGAATCCCTCTGAACTCTGACCTCCAATTATCTAGACGACAAGACAATCGAACTTGACCTTCAGTGGCAGCAGCCAACACTCTTTGCTTTTGGGTTTCTCTATGACTGAGTTGAGTCTGAGCACAGAAACCTGGAGATCTTTAAATCCATTACCCGACAACAGAGTCGTCTTTCATGAAATTTTGAATGAACTGTTGTGAATGTGATCGTGCTGCGTTGTTACAGAACAGCTTTTATCACTGACATTCAGTGCTTGTGGTGTATCTGGGAAAAGAAATGAATGACATATCACTTGTTTATTAATTTATTTTTTTTAATGAGAACTCAGTGAGAACACACTCCATACAATTTGTGCATGAATGTCTGTGCGCTAAGTGTTTTCAGTTTGAGCCAGTCTGTGCTTCCAGTTCCAACAGGAGGGATTTTACCAGTTTCTAACAGTCGAGATGATTATTGGCTTTCTAACAAAATCATTTAACTATAGATTGAATATTAAAAGCTATTTATGAAATATTTAATTTTGATTTTGCTTCTTTGCCAAAATAAAAGTTCAGGTGCTCTGAAATGTTGATAAAGGTGTGGGATTCTGCAGTGGTGGAAGTGTGAGTGTGGTTTTATCAAAGCTGGTAAAGGTGCAGAAATATTCGAAAGGGTCTTAATTTATAATGGTGTGAAAACCCGTGAATTTTTATCAAAATTGTCCAAATTAAATCTGATTCTTTACAGAAAGCAAGAAGTTGCATTGAAGTTTTATATAACTCTTAAACAGATATCCCGGGATCATATGCAATGTCTCAAATGACTTCGTTGTCATAAGTCTTTGTCTAAATCTCTGAATTATATAAATCCAGTGAATGAATTCAGGATCGACCACCTCCTGTCGCCACGCTGTTTTTCTTTTATTGGTCCAGAGTGCTGAGGGGGCGGGGCTGGAGTGTTTGGAACATACCGATGTGTCACATGATAGGGGCGCGATAAAAAGTATAAATAAATACCGGGGAAAATATAGATCAGGTGTGGCGAATACGAGCGTCTGTTAACAATCAAGTTTGATATAGGACAGTAAATTTTCACAGGTTCTCCTGTTGGATTCATTTAGTACATTTCCAATTAAAAGTAGAGAATTTAACACCCCTGAGTCACTGACACAAGTAAAGGGTGGACAATAAAGTCTGTCAGTGTTGTCAGGGTATACCGGAAACGTGATGATTTTATCTTCAAAATAAAAGCGCCCAGCTCTGTTCCTCCGAATTGACAAGCTTATCTTCTCAGAGCATAATTTTTGTGTAAATTAACCAACTAATCGACCCTGTTTTTTGAATTAACTAAATCTCAGACTCATTAAATAATTCTGTGGTTAGCTAGATGTTTTCTCTTTTTTTCAACAAACAAGATATGGTAAATCCAGGTAACCGGGGCAAAAAAAATATGTAAAAAATATAATGTAAAAATATCTCATAATTCTTCGATAATTATCTCTTCGATTCTGAGGGGCGGGTTTTTTTCAATGAACGGAGTGAAATTTGCTTCAGAGGAAAACATTTCATTTATTTCAATTGTACGTTAATTGCTTCAAATGCCAGTAATCATCATTATTTGATAATATATGGTGTAATTGACTTTCCGTTAGTTCAAAACACCGAGGATATAGCCCAGATTTAGACTTGGTCCAAACTTGGTCCAAATTTAGGCGTCTAAAGTTTTTTCATTTTCAGACCTGTGGTTGCCCGATTTTAGAACAGTCGTCTAGGCTACATTCAGGCGTCTATTAGACCTCTTTTAGACCAAAAAGTGCTCAGTGGGGAATGTTTTTTTGAAGTTCACTGAAACACTAAAAAGGAAACTTTCAAGCGCTTCAAACTGGGGTGTGCTCTTATTGTGAAATCCTTATCCGGATGTTGTTGAGACCACATTGTTTGACCTGACACTGACCGGCTGGACAGGAAACCAAACAAGGAATCGGGATTTGAACGATCTTACGTGTCATTCCCAGAGTTTCAGTGATTTAGAAATCCCCGGGAGGCTTTTGCTGAAACTGCTCTGTAAGTTTAATTTATTTTAAAGTACTTGTACACAGTCTGACAGTAGGAGCAGCTAGCCGTTAGCTCGTGTTTAATATCTGTAGATAAATAGAGGAGTTATAGAGCTAGCTTTGCTAAAATGAGTTAGCTACAGTCAGTGTTAGTTTATTGTGCCAGAGTTCAAACATGAGCACAGTTTGTTCTGTTTTACTATCCGAACTCTTAGCCTGTAGTTTAGCCTCATTCATTCATAAACTGTGGGCATTTCACGGTGGAGTAAACTAAGCAATGTTGTTTTACTCTGACCACTTTGGTAGCTCCTCTTAAAGTATCTGCTCTTGTCTGTTTTCTCTTGTTAGTATTTAAATTATATCAAAAACCAAAAAATACAAGCTTCCTCACACAACAGCACAGCCAGACCTTCATAAAGAATGAATGAACTCATGGGGCCTGAGATGAGACCATGAATAAGAACCTCAGACAGTGATCATGAGAGGGTGATGAATGCTTTATAAGTGTCACGAGATCACCTGTTTTATAAGTAATGACAGTGATGGACTCATAATTAAGAAGAAGATGTAAAAATATATCAAATCCATTCAAACCTTGGGTCTCCTCTCAGAAACACCTGCCTGTGGTATCACAGCAATGTTCAGGTTAGACCAGTTCAGCAGCCTGTAGATCAGGATCTGGACCCCCACAGAGACTCGGACAAGAGGGTACCTGTGAAGTCCAGCAAAAGACAGATCCTGTTTTCAATAACTGATGGCGATTATTAGAGAGCAGGTCAGCTGATGGCTGATATAGTATAACACCAATAATACATTGAGGTTGTTTTTTGTAGTGGTCGACTGATTACAGATATTCAAGGGTCGATGATGAGTGAGCGGGTTGGCTGATGGCCGATAGATAATACTGATATCACACCTTTTCATTTGTATGTTTAACCTCAATAAATATGATGTAATGAATGTGAACAGAATAATATGTGGCTCAGTGAAATATCACTGGGAGGTAGGACTGGGCGATTTGGCCAAAAAAATGATCACAATATACTTTGTCATATTGTCCGATCTCGATTATTATCACGATTACTTTTAAACTGCCAGTTTTAAAGCATCTGTATTCAAAACTAAAAAATAAATAGATAAATACTAAATATTAACTTTTCTTCTCAACAATAACATCTTTGGAGGATGACTCAAAGTCATGGCTGACATCTATTTTACTGCCCTCAGCTCCACGTTCGGTTACTCTGTTTACTTGTCCAGCAACTTACAGAAGTGAGCAGGAAAAGCTCGACTCTGATTGGCTGTTGTGATGCACAGTTTCGCCAAGTTTGATCGAGTAAAAAAGCTCACAGCTGATCACCGTGATCGGACTGAAATTTATCCCGATCATTAACCCCGATCATATAATCGCCCCGTCCTACTAGGAGGGGCTTTTGGGTTTCTGTCCAGCAATCTGAGACGTTTTCCTGCACAATAGTAATGAGTTTGAATTAAAACACAAACAAGTAACAGTTTTAGATTATTATATCCTGTTAATGAGAGATTAGAAAAATGCATTTTTAATAGGTGAGAAGGTTACAGTGGTTTCAGCCTTGTGAGCGCCAAAGCTGATACGACATGTCAATATGTTGATAAATCAATCTTTCATTAATTTTTTATTTTTAATTTTTTTTTTTTTTGCATTTTACAGATGATGAAGATTTTACAATATTAGTCATTTTTATGTTTAAATTAAAATCAAGTCATCCTGTCTATAAACATGTGTTATAATGATTGTATTTTTTTGTTCTTAGATTCTGTTCAGTCTATTTTTTTACTTCTGTGTCATAAATATTACAATAAATAAGAAAATACCTTTTTGAATTAAATCATGATGAAGAAAAAGAAACTTTTTCACACCTGCTTATATTTCTAAAGTGATACATGTTTGCAATGCAGGTTGTAGGTAACTTTGGGCTTCTGGAGACCCAGTTTGGGGTTTTATAACAGTTCATCAAACGTTTTCATAAAGGCTTTAATTCACAGTCTCAGAGTGAACACCCAAAAGACTCTAAGATCACAGAAGCCAGCATATCGTACCTGAAGTTGCTGCTGCGTCCTCCTGGGTCACTGTGACTCTCCTCTCTCCTCTCAGGCTGGTTGCTGACTTGTCATTAATGAGGTAACGGTAACGCTCGCTAACAGCTGAGAAAATGAAGGCTCTGATCCTGGTGGGTGGGTACGGGACCCGACTGCGACCTCTCACCCTGAGTGTCCCCAAACCGCTGGTGGAGTTCTGCAACAAACCCATCCTGATGCACCAGGTGGAGGCACTGGTGAAGGTAAGGAGGTGCACTTTCATTTTCCTCCTGTTGAAGAATCTCTAAAGTCAGAAGGTTTCTGCTTTGACAGACAAACGAGGGGCGTTCTCCTCTCTCCTGCTGCTTTCTGATAACTGTTATTTTGTGTTTTTGTGCACACAGGCCGGGGTGACCCATGTTATTCTGGCTGTGAGCTACATGTCAGAGCTGCTGGAGAGAGAGATGAGAGTCCAGGAGGAGAGAGTACGTATGACAAAATATCACAGCAGTGATGTACCGCATACATACGACTCATATGGATGTTAAAAAAAACCTTTTCTCTACAGTTAACTAAACATACTTTTTAGACATAGAACAGGAAACAGGTCTGTGAAGTCATTGGACATTTTAATCCTCCAGATAGATTGTTTATGAATATTTTATCCTCTTTGAGATGTTTCCAGTTCATCGAATTAAGATTTCAGTTCTAATTCTTCAGATTTGTGAATGTTTGTCTGTTTTGTCCTCAGCTCGGGATTCGTATTTCTCTGTCTCATGAAAAGGAGCCTCTGGGAACAGGTGAGCGTCTTTGTCTTTAAAGTTGTTTTTGTTTGAGCTCTTTCCAACATTTTGCATAATTTGATTATTTGACATCAGGTTATTTATTTATTTATTTTTAACTCAGAGTGATCATGGAGATAATTTCATTATGATGTAATTGTTTATATCTTTTTTGACTTATTTTCAATAGTTTGGTAGTTTTATACACTTAAAACAACAAGGTAATCAGAAGTACGCCTGTTCTGATCAGTTATTGAAAATTCTTTCCTTTCAAAAAATAAAGGACAACTGTAGACTTGTTGTATTGTGCCACTGATGATATAAAACCAGGACTGGGTCTGTATCTTCTGTCTGCTCTGGCCTTATGTTCTTGGTTGTGTAGCTGCAGCTTGTCGCAGGCAGACTCCGACTGAATTTCCGATCTAATAAACACAAATGTGTGAAATGAAAATGTTTGTCTCTGTCTGCAGCCGGACCCCTGGCTTTGGCTCGAGAGCTTCTGAATGTTGACAACGAGCCGTTCTTCGTCCTCAACTCAGACGTGATCTGTGATTTTCCCTTCAAGGACCTGCTGCAGTTCCACCACAACCACGGCAAAGAGGGGACCATCGTGGTAAGAGAGAGAGAGAGAGAGAGAGAGAGAGAGAGGGAGAGAGAGAGAGAGAGAGAGAGAGAGAGAGAGAGAGAGAGAGAGAGGGAGAGGGAGAGGGAGAGAGAGAGAGAGAGAGTCAAATTGCTTATACACAACTGTGTTTCGTGTGTCCACGTGTGATGTTGTGTGTGTGTGGTTGTGAAGGTCACACGAGTTGAGGAGCCATCAAAATACGGAGTGGTCGTGTTTGAGACGGACAGCGGACGGATTCATCGTTTCGTAGAGAAGCCTCAGGTCTTTGTGTCCAACAAGATCAACGCTGGCATGTACATCTTCAATCCCAGCATGCTCAGCAGGATCCAGGTCAGTCTCTCTCTTACACACACACACACACAGACACCTGTATTTAAAGCTGTGCCATTACATGTAGTATATTTATGACTTTTTCTGTGAACAGCTGAGACCGACCTCCATAGAGAAAGAGATTTTTCCCGTCATGGCTCAGGAGGGACATCTGTACGCCATGGAGCTTCAGGGTAACTATAATTACTACTAACAACGCAAGAGCCACAACAAAATCTACAATAAGTGTTTCATTTATTCAAAGATGCGTCAGTTTAATATTTTAAATGATTATTTCACCTGTAAATAAACTGACTCACTCACTGATGTTGGATAGATGTTCAGTGTTAAGGCACCAGCAGCAGCAGATTCAGCCAGTGTCACGGTCCTCAGGTCTCCTAACCGTCTGTCTGTGAACACACGTCCTCATTAGACAAAGAGGATTTTTGTATTTAGAGGTGAGTCTTCTGACCCCTGTTTGGCTTAGCTGTCAAACTGTGAGCCCCCTACACAGAGGCTGCAGTCCTCATCACAGTGGTCCCAGGTTCAACTCTTAGTCTTAGTCCTTCAATGGATGTCTTCCCCAAGCTGAGGTGAGACTCCAACAAAAGCGTAAAATCACAAAAAAAAAAAAAACAGTAAAAAAGTGAGCTGTTCCACTGTCAGGCAGATGTTTTTATTTTTTTTACTTTTGAATTAAGTCTCAATGATTAGACACCAACTAAAAATGTTCCTGATTGATTTTTAGTTTAGATACAGATTCAGTTTTGGTCACTGAGAAACTCCAGAGCTGAAAAAAAAAGAATTTAAAGGGAAATTTCAGTTTTTATGAAATAAGGTGGTATGAGTTTCTGGCAACATTTCTAAGTAGTGTGTACACTTGAACTGAGGTGAGTGGTTGGATCAGGGTCTCCTCAAGTTTAGCTAAATAATTTGGCCGATTCAGCTCCATCTGCTGAAATCTGAACCGTACTTATGGACCATCTCTCAGCTGTTTCTGGCATCCATTGCTGCGAAGACACTTAAAAGCAGTATTCCTTATGAAATATCTCTTTAAAACCCTGTGAGGAGTTTTTTCTTGGTATGGGATGGACTGGAATTATTTCTGGTGCCTTTATATGAGCTACAAAAGCAAATAAGACCCCTTCTTTATCTGAAATACTTATTGAATTTATCTTTTTTAATAAGTCCGTTTACAGAGTGTTGAAGAAACATCTGTTGATTTTAATTAGAAGTTTCTTGAAGTATTAACTAAAAGTAACAAAAGGTGAAGTGAAGCTGTGGACTAGAGCTGGATGGATTTCTTTAACAGTGGCTCACTAACGAATAAAAAACATCTTTGAAAAAAAAAAAAAACTTTTGGAGTTTAAACGACTTTTTATGGACTGAACTCTGCCAGATGTTCCCAAGATCGGCAGATAATGCCTCATCATCAGTTTGTTCTGAAGCACTGGTGACATTTGAAGCTGCGAACGTTAATAGTCATGTGACGTTTGATCCTCGATATAATCTCTGACACTTTAGACTGAAGCCCTGAGGCGTTCACGAAAATAATACAAACTTCAGAGCTCCAGTATCTCTGCTACTCTTTTCAGTTTCACTTATAGTCTGTCTGCTGCTGGAGACGCCTTCATCTGAACAAAGAGATGTGAGATCGGTGTCAATCTGATCATCTTTGTTTGAGATCAAATCAGCACATTTCCTAAAAGTGATTTATGAAAAAGACATGACTGCATAATGATGATGAGGATATTGATGTTTTATGGTGCGGTAAGTTGACCTGTTTGCTCGTCTTGGACACGCAGCTCAAAGCTCTTTCAGACGTAAGTGTTTGGGTTTTTCCTCACACCTGAACTCGTGTAGTCCTCAGGAGGAATCGTTTGCAGAGAAGCACCACCACGAAGAAAACAAAAGGTTTCTTTAAAGTTTAGTAAACTACGAGACTGATTTAAAAAAAAAGTTAAAATCTGCAGGGTCCAGCTGAAAACGGTGCTTCTCTTCATCCCTCTTCCTCTCTGGGAGTGATCAGCTGTGTCTGAAGCAGTGAAACCCTCTAGAGTGAGCCGAGTAGAAGCTTTTCCTTTAGAAAACCTCCAGAGTCTGTGGTGACACACTGAGCAGCTCTTTGTGTAAAATCACTGAACAGGAATAAATGACTGATTCAGGCTCGTATTCACATGATGAGTAAACTGGTTATTTTGGAGCCAAATGTTTTCAAATGAATATTTCAATATGAACCAAAATCACAAACAGGTTTTTATCAGTGGGCCTTTCCTGAAAATCTACAACTCCAGAGAATGACGTTGGAAACTGCAGACGGACGTCTGTGTGAAGCATAATTTTAATGTTTCATCAACCTCTGTCCAAAAGAGTCTCGACTCTGGAAAACCTCAGAAAATCTGTCAGCGGTTTGATTCCTGAGATCCAAAAAGTCTCCAACTTTTAGGTTTCCCTCCAGACATGAGAATCCATTCATTTCCACTGAAGTTTACCATCATTGAAACAAAATTCATCCAATTAACACAGCTGATCTAAATCACTGTAAATTAAAAACCTCTAAATTTAAATGACAGAAACATGTAAAAACTCCGATGTTATCCAAATAACTCATAAATCCTCAGGCTGTGGTTTCACTCGTTTACAATCCTCCTCCTGCCAGTAAGTGAGTCACCTTTTGACAGCCTTTCTCAGACCGAAGATAAACTTTGTGTTTCCTTTCATTCTTTAAAAATCAGCAGTAGAGTTTTTTTTCCTGCAGCTTTTGTTGAACTCAGTTGTTTTTTTTCCCTCTGTGCTGTCATGTGGGGGCATCTTTTATAAGTAAATGTGCGTCAGTCCGTCTAATGAACTTAAAGTATAAATATTTAGGCCGAGTAATAAGACTGGGACAGTAGAGGAAACTGATCGTCACAGCTGTAATGACTAAAACACATTTGACCGCTTCTCCAGTCTCTTTTTAAGGCAGTAATAACTTTTTGAACTCTTAGTGGAGGTCTGTGTTTTTATTTATTTACGATGTGATTCTCTGCATGCTATCTGTCTGTTTGTCTGTCAATGTGTGTGTCTGTCTGTCTGTCTGTCTGTCTGTCTGTCTGCCTGTCTGTCTGCAGGGTTCTGGATGGACATCGGTCAGCCTAAAGACTTCCTGACAGGAATGTGTATGTACCTTCAGTCTGTACGACAACACGCTCCCGAGAGACTACGCACAGGGCCTGGTTTCCTTGGCAACGTTCTAGTGGTGAGTTCAGCTCTCTGCTGACAACATACGATGTAAAGAACCGTACCGTTTCAAAACTCTCTGCCCTCGTCGGCCCCTTCAGGACCCGACAGCACAGATCGGAGAGAACTGCACCATCGGTCCGAATGTCACCATCGGGGCAGGCGTGGTGGTGGAGGACGGGGTGAGGATAAAACGCTGCACAGTGCTGAAGGGAGCGCGGGTGAGATCGCACTCTTGGCTGGAGAGTTGCATTGTCGGGTGGAGCTCCTCTGTGGGACAGTGGGTAGGTGACGGACACATTCTTCCACATCGCACAAAACCGTCGTTTTACTCCCAGGGTTATTGTTTGTCCCGTCACTCACTGTTTCCATGGATACTGGTCCCAGCTGTGCTCAGGTGTGATAACGGCTCGCCTCCTGCTTTATCTGTCTCCAGGTTCGTATGGAGAACGTGACGGTTTTGGGAGAGGATGTGATCGTGAATGACGAGCTTTACCTGAACGGCGCCAACGTCCTGCCTCATAAATCTATCAACGAGTCGGTCCCAGAGCCACGAATCATCATGTAGCGCAGAGCGGAGGAAAAACAAAAACCCAGCGCCTTTTTTTATACGAACTTGACTGAACACCCAAGCTGTGCCAGAGAGAGAGTAAGAGGGACAAACAAAAGGGTGGCGTAGGGAGAAAAGGAAGAGGAGACATTTATTTTCCCATTTTTCTTAATTTGGACTCGTTTTTTCGCCCTGCACAGCTGCATCTTACTCCGATAAGAGAAACATCCAACGCTAACGGCAGACAGAAAATGTCATGCATGAATTTTGCTTTAATTAAAACCAGGTGAGGGAGGGGGCTAGTATACCTGAGCTGGTTCAGAAGGTGGAGGGACTAACATGAGGTGTATTAAGATGGAGGACATACTGTTCGACTCACTGTGCTTTCCCATCTCAATAACAGAGCATCAAAATAAATCCTGACTGATGTTTTTAGAGATGAATCATCATGAGGGACTCTGGACGGGCATGTTGATCAAAGACAGGTGTTGGTTACAGTCACAGCTTCGTTCAAAGATGCATTTTTTGGCCTCTGGGGGGCAGCAGAACGAGACGAACACACACCATCCTACATGTAAATTCACTCTGGCTAATAATGAAGCAAAGTGATGCTCAGAGGAACACTCACGTTATGTTTATACCCATCTGATGAATGTAGTTTTTTATTAGAAACGCAAGTTAGTTTAATCAGTTACAGAGGAAGTGTTTTTCTGCCATGATGGACTTTTTGTTTTTTATTTTGTCGTGAAAACTGTGCGCTTCAAGGCCAAACCTGCCTGCAAAAAGTGAACAAAGTGTAGCGGACTTTACTTTACAGGTTTGTGTTTTCAGTTTACAGAAATTAGAGACGGACGGTGGGACAAAATCTGGGACTCTTGGCTGTTCTCCTCATACTACTCAAATGAAAGGGATGGATTAGCTCATTCTGTAGATGTCTGTTTTCTTAAAGGTTCAGAGGGTTATTTCAGTGTTCAACAGGAGTGAGGTTAAAGGTTAGGGATGCAGGTCCGTTCAAACTCTCAGCAAACTCCTCCTTATGGTCCTCCGGTTATCTGTTCAGAGAGTGATGAAGTAAAAATCTCATGTCTATACACAGACCTGGATCTGGAGTTAAAAGCATGATTACAGCCGATCAGCAACCCCTGACTGATATCTGCAGAGAAAAACAAACTCTGGAACAGATTTTTATAGTAACGTTTAATGTTTTCGAGGCATTTTCACCTCAGCTTTAAAGCAGACTCTGTTTTTTTGCTCGATAGTATTCCATCCAGTGTGAAAGAAAAGTATCAGCCAAAATGCAGCTATCATCAGAAACCTGCGTATCAGTGCAGATAACGATTTGTTTGACAACATTGTCTCTCTACCTCAACTCTGTTCTTGTATCTAGAGTTGCCGGTGCTGTAATGATGAGCTGATTTAGATCTTTCTCTAACAGGAGCTGCCCCAAATGACTCTCCCTATCGAGTTCATGTTGACCAATCATGTATAAGCAGGAAAAACAGTCTGTATGGAGAGCAAAAGCAGGTGGAGCCCCTTCTGTGGTGATATCGCAGCTTCTATCAGCGGCAATCTGACAACTCCTCTTGAGGATAGACGTGACAAAGATTTAAGTTCTGCAAACCTGCATCATGATCGTGAACGTTAGACCCAATAACAGCCAGTCAGTCTCACAAAAATCTGTTTCTTTTTCGGGTTCACACATAAACCAGATAAACAGACAGAGGACGTAATGAACAAAGACAAAGTGGGAGAAAATGTGAAATCCTCTACTCTGAAGTCAGTCACAGTGTTCTCATCTCTGCAGATGCTCCCTGTAGATCTGACTAGTTACTGAGCAGGTGAACACGTGCAGCAGGTGAACGGTTGAGTGGCTCCTTGTTATTATGCAGTAAGTGATAAACAGTGTTTAGATCTCTGAACATGTTTCAACTGGATGAAGTGAAATCTTGTAATGAAGACTTTTTTTAAGAGAATAATATAATCTACTGACCACATTCACCTCTTGTCTCTTTTCTTACCGTGTTTTATCACCCGGCTTTACTAACTCGTCACTCAACACTTGATTCTTGTTACAACCCAGCTCGGGAAAGGAAAGGACACAACAAAAAAAACAGTTTCCTGATGTAGAAATTGTGATTTAATTGCCAAAAGAAATAATAACGTGCTGTTCAACATAAGTTTGAGGCGAAAAACAGAGTGATGTGGAGAACTGCTCAAAGAAACAAAACAAACGCAAGAAGAGGCGACTCTAAACTAGAGTGAAGAAAAAAAGTCACTTAAATTAACTCAACACAGCAGTTCAAACGAACGAGCAGCTCCCTTTCCTTTACAATACATAAAAAAAATATACAATAATCACCTCCACAGCAAATGTCACACAGATTTTCCCAACAAAGGATTTAATGAATGAGCCCAAGTGTCCACCACCTAGAGCTCCAATCGGCAACATACCGCTCCTCCACGATTGGTCCTGCAGATCCGGCCCATTATCCAATCAGCAGCTGGCTCCTGTAGGCTCACATCCACTCACAGACACTACCAAACATGTTAAACGGGCAACACATGTAGTTCCCCAGAGAGCGGGGACGCGGCTGCAGACACAACAATTCTGATTGGTCAAAACAGAGCACAACCTGATTATAAATCTCGTCAAATCAGATCAACCTCTTATTTAAAATCTGGCACATTCTGTAGTTTATAATTTCACCTCTTCCTGTTGACACTGGGGAAAAAAACATTGAGACAATATTGAGATATTTTTTTTATGTTACTCTCAGTTTTGAATGTGTGGACCGGTCTACAGCAGAGAGGGATGTTAAAACACAAAAGAGTCAGATAGGAAGAGACATCAACCAAATTAAAGAAAACAGAAAGCAACCTTAAAATGCAATAATGCTGCTGAGATACAGGACTAGATGAGTGAGAGGAAAACTAGTCAGTTTCAGGGAAAGAGGATCTTATACACCTGTCTCTGAGAAGGAAACTAACAAATACAGTTCAGACTTTACTGTGAAGAAAACATCAAGTTTGATTTCATTCAACTGGAAGGAAGGTTACAAAAATACTGCAGCCTCGTATCACAGGCACTATTGTTGTAGCTGCCTAACTAAATCAGTCTGATCAATAACATGAACATTGAATCAGAAGTTAGAGTCAGCTGGTTTGTGTCTTAAGTTAGTTATGGCAAGTAGAGACTCGACCAGAGGCCTGAAGATGAAGCTCCGCTGGGCTGCTCCACTTCTACACAGACTGTGGCAGGTGAAAACTTGAGAGGGAGTTCATTCAGCGTGCCGACATAAGGATAAAGTTTCTCTGTAAAAGTGTGTTTGGAGGCGTGAATGACTGTGTTTGTATCAGGGTCCAAGAAGGACAGTTTTCCTCTGTCGTAGTCCAGGTGAACTCTGATCCTCCTTGGCTTTGTCTTCACTGAGAGGACTTTGTCTGGGAGCGGTGGAGAGTGTTTACGGTACTTTCCCTCAGAATAACACAACGCCCAGCAGCCACTCTGTATTTTTCCCTTCTTTTGAACAGACTCCTGCACCACACCGATCCCCCAAAGTTTATCATCCATCACCTCAGCTTCCCAGCTGTGAGACCCACAATCGATGCCCTCAGAGCTCATGACACAGCGGGAGGAGTCAAACCTCTCCAGATTATCTGGAAGCTTCTGTCCTTCTCCAAATCTCACCCTGGTCAGATCTTCAGAGAGGATGAGGTCTGGGTGAGCAGAGTTTGGATCCAGGATCACAGGAGTGAAGGAGGCCAGCTTCTTCATCCTTCTCCAGATGTAGAAGCTCAGGTTACCCAGGTGTTTGGCTTCATCTATCAGGGCTCCTGAGACCTGCTCTGGGTCCTCCAGCAGGGGGCACTCTTGGACTCTTTTTAGTGCAGTTTTGTAGTTCTGCAGGAATGAGACATCTTCAGCTCCCAGCTTCCCCTCTGTGGCTCTGATTGTGTCTGATAGAGCTGCTATCTCTTCACCCAGAGCCTCAATCTTCTCCTTCATCACCCGGCTCTTCTGCTGCTCTTCCTCGCTTACAGCAGAGATCCTGGCCTCCTCTTCCACATCTAGAAACTGATGAAACTTCTTAAACTTCTCCCTGATCAGCCTCTCTGTGTTTACATGCTGTACTTTAATGTGAGCTGCTGTTTGGTCCCAGTTTTCTTTTACCTGCTCAAGGATCTTCAGTTTGTTCTGAACCGTCCCTAGGAACCTTCGCAGCTCCTCTCTGTGATCTTCTGCAGCTTCATCGATAGGTCTGAACTTGTGGTCGTTGTGTGTGTTTGAATCTCTGCAGACGACACACACCGGCTCCTGGTGGTCCAGACAGAAGAGTTTGAGTTTCTCAAAGTGAAGCCTGCAGAGAGCCTCAGACTCTCCTGAAGATCTGTGTTTCCTCTCTAGTAAGAAAGACTCGCACAGATTCTTCAGAGCCAAGTTACGAGGCGGATCACGCAGCAAAGTCACCTCAGCACACAGAGGACACTGTTGTATCTGTTTCTCCTTCCACCAGCTCTGCAGACAGCCTTTACAGAAGCTGTGACTGCACAGAAGGACGACAGGGTCATTGAAGACGCTGTGACAAATAATACAGCATAAGTCCTTTTCTGACTGAGAGAACATTTTCAGTCTCTGTGTAAGCAAAAATCAAACAACAGCAAATCAGATACGAAGAGAAAAATTCGTTGAATCCACGGAGTCACTCAAAATCTCAAAATGTCCCGACTGTTGGGTGAAGTCCGGAGGCTCATTCAGCAGCTATCTGATGTTTAATACTGAAGACAGAGCACAAAATACAGCAACACCACGTGATAAATTTGATTTGATTACAACTTCTGTTGAATAATTGACAGACAAACAACTCCAACCATTTAGATCATGACCAACCCAGTGGTTAGAGTTATATAACTGAGGGATGGGACCTCCAGGTGAGAGTAAATCACTGTTTTTCAGTGCGAGGGCTCCTGAGACCAGGGGACCAGGTCCAGATTATTCAGCTGGGGGGCTGTAGGTCTTTCTTCACTGCATAAATCTGTGAATGTCACCCCCCACCCCTTTGCTCTGTTTGTGCCTGAAAGAACTTCAACAAGTTTATGATAGAGACCATAAAGTTTATTGAGGAATTATTTGGTAAACTGGGGAGAAAGGTTATTTTTATGAGCTTATGCACACTAAACTTTATTTCATCAAGCTCCAGAGTTCCTTCCTGCTCCTGCTGCTGGGAAATTAAGGTCCAACCATCTAATAAAACTGTGGCACACATGGTCACTCCTCGTGAATCCTACAGTTTATAATCAGACCTACCTCTTACCTATTTTAAATCACTTAAATTCTTAAATTTACCTGGACTGCAGAGCCTGCTGTGATTTTTCCTCATGATAAAACAAACAGTTGTTCCTCTACTGTCACTGAGTATTTCCCTCTGTCTGTAACAGACATAAACTCATAAACATAAACTTTAACAGATGCTAAAATGACACAAAAAAGGACTGGATGTGCTACCCTATAAATAAGGGTGTTCTGGTTGTGACGGAGGGCACAGCAGAGACACACGATATCACAGCAGCAATGATATGGAGGAAATTGTTAAGGTGCTGACTCATCTCAGTTTTCGGCTTATTTAGGAAGAAAAAAAACAAACTAGGGCCCCGTTGGGACACTGGCGGGCCCGAGCCATGTCGCGCCCCCCCCCCCCACGCGATCGCCTCCCCGTCCCATTCGCATCCTCTGGCCATTGCCCTCTCTGGTAACGCCCATCACTACAAAGACCCTTTTCCTTCATCGGCGTTTGCTGTTCTTCCTGCCATTGCGTGTTGCTTTCACTTACACTTGTCACAGCCAGCCTTGTGAGTGCCTGGCCTGGTTTGACCTTTGCTCACCATGATTGTGTGACCTTGGTATCGGCTACTTGGGAAGTTCCACCGTCGTGGCAAAGCTTTGTTTGCGTGCTGTGCTCAACCACCTATTTTCTATGGATGTGTAAGTAAACCACTTTCTTTTCTTACACAATGACACACTCATACTTATCATTCACTGCTACTGATGTGCTCTGTTAGTATGCATGCAGGAAACCTTATGAATGAAGAAATGCCCAGACTAGCCAACATCTTAATAAATTATGAGGTATGACATCACTTGAATGGTTTCATTGGGCTATGCTTCCATTATTCTAATTCTGTAATAAAAAGAAATTTTGTCCAAAAGGACTGTTGTTGTTTTTTCTTCTAATAATTAACATATTTAACATAATTAACATTCAATATGCGCTCATTACACACGTGCACACTCTTTGATGATCTGTGAAGCAGAGCTTAAAGGACAGTAGGAGCAGCTGAACAAAGTGTATTTGTAGGAAAACCGTAAGAGCTATTGAAACGCTGTTTTCGCGGGTTGAAAGGTTAGGGTCTCCACCAAAGGTCAGAGGTCAAATAACATTTGTATCTCAAACTGTGACGTCACAGTCAAGGTCCAAAGATGGTGTGCGCACCTGTCTTTGGTCATTTCCCATTATAATGAATGGAAGGCGCAGTTTCTACGAAAACGCTCGCTGCAGAAAAACTACATGTCCTATTTGAAAAAACTCTGGACCATGAGTGAGGGCACAAACACAGCAAGGATATATCCAAATGGCAAGTTGCTCCTCTGTGTCCACATGGCTCAGAGGATAAGGAGACTGCCTGGCACTCTTAAGGTTATGGGTTCAAGTCTCACCTAACCCAAGTTGAGGTGAATTTTAATGCCTTGTGTCTTCAAACGACAGTGAAATAGGAAAAAAACAGACAACTCCTCTGTGTCCACATGGCTCAGAGGATAAGGAGACTGCCTGGCACTCTTAAGGTTGTGGGTTCAAATCTTGTACAGGGTGTGTTTTAAAGTCCAGCAGCCAAAGTTCCAAGATAAAAGGGCACGAACATCATGCCCAAATGTGGATGGTACCCGGTGGCGCAGGGGGTATGCAACTGACACCGGTGGCTGAGCAGAGGGGGTAGTCCTCTGCTCAGCCGATGGTCATACAGACCATCAGAGGGCGTCCCCAATAAGGCTTGAACCCACTGACCCGTGTGGACACAGGAGACAATCATGTTTTTTTTCATATATCACTGTACTTTGTAGACTCTAGACCTTCAAAATTCACCAAGAAGTGGGCAAGGTAGGACTCGAACCTATGACCTCAGGAGTCACAGTCAGTGTTCTTATCCCCTGAGCCACCGAAATAGCCCTTTAACGGTACATTTGACAGATACGCCCGTGCTGACTTTTTTGTAGATCTTATTGAGATACACGTGTGTGTCAAATTTTGGGTCATTTAGACAAAGCGTACAGGCGTCAGGTGAGTTTTCACCTTAGGGGGCGCTATGGAGCCATTTTTCATTTTATTGTTTGGGCGACTTCAGAATATCAAATTTTTCACCAGGCCCGGTCGTCCTGCCAAATTTCCTGAGTTTTCGCCAGTGGAGAGTGGGCCATTTTCCAGTTTAAAGCGGAGGAAAAATAATGAAGAAGAACCCATACAGGAACAAGAGGGCTCTCGCAGCTGCTTGGCAGCTACGCTCGGGCCCTAACTATTCGCTAATTTTGGCGTGGGGACCAAGATTGGCCTCAAGTGGTCACTCAAGGGAATACAGTTTTTTTTTGCTTTTACACTGGCTTTATTCCTCAACATTCTGGGGCCTAGCTTGGCTCTGTTTGGCTTTTTTTAAACATATCTGGACTTTTCTTTTAACCCCTCTGGCTCTAATGGATTTCCTTTTCAGACCTGAGTGTGTGCACCCTGTTAGTCCAGCTCTGTGGAGATTATATGCTCTGCCTGGACCCAGTATTTGGCTCCATCTGGCTCTGTTTAGTTCAGTTTGTTTGTGTTTAAATGTATTTGGCCTTGTCTCTTAATTTCACTTGGCTCCCCTCAGCTCTGCACAGCTCTGCCCGGATCACTTTATGCCTGTGGTTAACACCATTTAGTCCTGTCTAGCTTTGATTGGCCCGCTTTGGCCCTGCCTGGTACTGTGGTCTACATTTTTCTGAAGAGTTGCGGATTTAAAGGAGGAGGAGGAATCCCTGAAGCTTTGATTGGTTGAAGAGTTTTTCAGTCTCGCTCTGATTGGTTGGCGGAGTGTGTACAGGGATTTCCTCAGGGTCCTCTGAGTCTTTGTCTCAGATTAAAAACACAAACAGTCCAGTCAGGCCCTGCTGCTCTAGATAAAGTCCTGTCAGGAATCTGGGGTGTGAATTTACAGCCTGATCTGCTGTTCTGCAGCAGCAGCAAGCACAAATCATCACAAGCAGTTTGGCTGTTGTTTTTAAGACAGCAAATCCCCCAGATTGGAGAGTCTGCAGTATCATTGAAAGTACCTGCAGTATTTAGCAAAGCAGGGTGAACTCTGAGTGAGAGAAACAGAGGTCAGGGAGGGGTTTCTGTTTTTCTCTGAGCCAGTTTGACAGACTTATCAGTCCCCCTTCAGGGGCGTGTTGGAGCAAAATCAGGAGGTGAAGAAACCTGCAGAGTTCAAGTTGCAGTGGGTGGAGAGGGAGAGCAAGCTGCTGGGAAAAACAGGGGAAAACTGGAGGAGAAAAAAGCCCAGAAAAGGAGGATTTGAAAGCTGAAGAAGAGGAAGGTGAGCTCTGATTTTATGAAAGGATAAAGAGCAAACTGAGTTTGAAACGTAAGAGTTAAAAGTTATGAAATGGGGTGATGTTTTCCAGCAGGAATGAGATGAAAGTCTAGACGGTGAGAGTGCAGTGGGCTGTGGAGAGCCGGCAGAGCAGAGCGGTGGCAGGAGCGACTGTGGGCGGGGAGAGAGGAAGTGTGGTCGACAGGAGAGGAATTTAAAGTCTCATTGTTCTGGGAGAGCTGGGGAAAGAGAGAGAGCTGACAAACAGAGGAGACAAACGGACGGACAGACAGAGAGACAGAGAGACGACAACATGGATGTGAGCTCAGCCATGGAGAAGGTAGGACAGAAGGGTTTTAAATATTTCATCTTTAGATTTATAGATGAACAAAGTCAAGGGAAAGGTCAAGGGTCAGAGAGTCAGCCAACCTGATGTCTAATGATGGAGATCAGGGACGCTTAGTCCTGGACTAATGATCCTGAATGAGTTTTCAAAAGGTGTCAGTGAGCCGAGCACTGACCTGTTTCAATCCTTTAGAGAGTTTAAATATTTTAAAACAGGGTTCATTTAGTTAGAGGAAGATATCTGTGATTTAAAACCTCATTACTGCTGTTTTCAATCGACCTTAAATGTTTCAATTCATCCATTTAAATTGCTAATTTTATTCTATAGGGGCTAATTTCATTTGTATTATCTGTACTGTTATCATAATAAACTGATGAAGCCATTTAACATAAATCAGACATCAATACAAAAACCCTAAATCCATAAAGTCATATTTAAAAGTACACTATAGTACATGTTTGTATTAATACTCCAGTCTGAAGAGCAGCTGGATCTTTGAGGTGGAGTCTGTCGTCCCTCAAACTGAAGAGCTAAGGTTCGACTGCACGTCCCATGGTGTGTGAGTTCAATTAGTTCATACTGATTGGCCCTCATATGCTCTGCCATCTCCTAAACCTCGTGTGTGTGTGTGTTTGAAATCTTTCGCATATTTGCCTTTTGAGACAACAAACTTTTTTTAATCTATCCACAAAGGAAAAATATGCACATGTTGTGGCTTTTTTCTAAACTATTCCTATTGTAAAGTCAATCTTTGGTACGCAATTAAACTCCAAAATTAACACGTTTTTATCTTGTGCTATTTTGTCCCTTGTGGCACACTGTAGTTTTGCTGCTGCAGACTCTTCTTGCTTCCTACAGCCACTGTGGTGAAAAGTAACGGCACTGCTGAGCACTTGAACTGCACATTTCATTTTCAAAAAGCACAGATGGTTTAGTTGACAAGTCAAAAGTGAGACGTACTTTGGGTGAAACATCGACAAAGAGCTTTGAGTTTGAGCTGCCAACAACAAATGAAGCATGCAGGTGCAAGTGAGAGTGAGGAAGAGCACAGGTTTACTGCAGTACTCACTAAATGAGTAGCAACTGTACAAACACAGTGTTACAGAATAACCACTCTGATAGTAATCCTTCGACAGACCCAATCACTGTGAATTCCTCAAATCTGGACAGACCAAAACTAGAAACAATAAAGCTGCAGATTTATCAGGATAAGGTTTGAGGAAATTGACTTTCTCTTCCTGCCTGTCTGCAGAGGATGTTTGATATTCGAGTCTCTGCTGTTTGAAATCCATATATTATGACCAAACAGAGAGGATTCAGAGGAAATGATGCATGCACCTGCAGGACGTGATGATGCGGATGAAACTGAATCATACGGTCTTTGTTGGATGTTTTTATTATCAGTCATTCTCAGATAGGTTTGTTTTGATGTGCTGAGATTTGCTGACATTAGATTCACTCAGTCTGAACAGCTTTCTAGGCAAAACAAAAAGTTCTCCTGACAAAACTCCAAAAGATCCTCAGACGGAGACAGGCTTAAAGTGATTACATGACTTCATAATAATCCTCTTGACCCTGAAAGAGCTCCGCAGGAACAATTGGATTATATCTGCTGAATGAACAGTCTTTCATCTGGACGCAGATGAAAGTTTTTAAATGTTGGGGGAAAATCTTTTGTTTTCACGTCTTGAGGATGATGTTCAACCAAACAGGGGAAGGAAACTGAGTTCGAATTGATTCAAATTGAGAAGAAAAATTATATTTAAGATCTAAGAAACCAGGTGGTTGGAGGGCAAAATAATCTTCAAACTTGAAATAGATTTGTAGAAGTTTGTGTGCTCAGGAAAAACCTCAGCCGATAGATGCCAAACTGTCCTTTAATACGATGCTGGGATGACACAAATCAGTCAGTGAAGGTAATCCTGGACCACGAGGACCTGGTCTCCCCGCTGGGTCTATTATAGCAGCAGAGAACAGTTTGTCTCCCATAGATCCCTTCCTGTGATTCATCCAATCAGAGGTGGCATCAGGCTGTGATAGATAACCTGATGGATCAGTGTCACCTGTTGAGGGTTTGATCCCCACGTCTCCCTTTATACTCCAAGGCTGGAAATACTGTCATCACGGGCTGGAAATAACCCTCATACACACACACACACACACACACACACACACACACAATGGGCTTTAGTATTACAGGGTGATTATGTATCTCTGTAAACACAGATGTAAACCTCTGATTTTTCACACTCATTATAGACAATCTGTTAATTTCATTTCCATGTAAATGCATTAAAAACTCTGAAAATTCTCTGTATCAGTGTCTCAGAGCGTCATCAACTTCATATTTTATTTTCCCTGAAGTCCAAACAGCAAAAGAGATTTTATTTATGTTATAAAACAAATGAGGAAAGCAATCAATCTGCAAAAACAAAATGCTGAAACGGGAAATGAGCCATCCTCTGAAGGGGTAAATGCAGTTATTTCCTGATCATAATGTCACATTACAATCAATAAAATTCTCATTCTCCTGACAAGCTCAGGTGTTTACCGAATTTTATGATGTTAGAAGCTAAAAATTAGGACTTAAAGCTCCCGTGAAGAACTTGTGGTTTCTGTGAACTTTGGCGCCCCCTGTGGACAAAGCAGTCTTTGTTTATCATGATATTTGCATGCCCAAGTAGTGTCTGTTGACTAAAAAAATTATTTAGCCTTGATTTAACCAGGTAAGTCCCATTGAGATCTAAGATCTCTTTTTCAAGGGAGACCTGGCCAAGAGGGCAGCAGCAAAGTTACATTAAATTAAGAAAAAAAAAACATAAAACATAAAAAAAAGAACATACATTTTTCTTCCCCTGCTTGTGATGTTGACATGTAGTTACTGTAAGACTGGTTTGTGTTCAAGTCCTCTTTTTTTCTGTACAACTCCTTTTTTAAAAGTTATTAGGGGGTTCATGTTTTCTATGACTGACACTTGATACAGCCTATGGGCGTACAAAGATTGCATAGCTCACCCGGGGGATACGCTGTTTGAGACGAGCATCATCACAGCAGCTCTTGGCGACTCTCCTGCCAAATGCGTACAACGCTACTGTGCGATGTTGATTCAGGAAATGGAGAAAAATTGCGGATATACCGAGAGCTTTTCAGCTTCAAATCCGTATACTGGCAGAAGGCAAAACCAAGTGGTCCATAGTATATACAGTCTATGGAATAAACAAGGCTAATTCTGCAGCTGCAGGGCTGACACCTACTGTATCGTCCCAGAGTCAGATATCAAAAATGACTGTACTGAAACTGTCAATCTTGTCCCTGGCTTTTCATTTTTTTACTTATTGATATGAGAAGGCATCAGCGTAATTTTCCCTCTATTCTATTATCATTAAAAAACTCCTCATCATATCTTTAATTAAATTTTATGAGTAAAAATGTTTGCCGACAGCTAAAAACTTGTCAGGGTAACTATTGCATCTTGATTCGAAAAGCTAAAATAAGCCAGTGTAAGGTGCATAAATGTGCAGTTCTTCAAGTGTCCACTAGAGGCAGTCCAAAATCCATCATGTTAACATCCTGAATACCTTATTTCTCTTGATGTGCATATAGTATATAAAGGGAATAGGTGTTTTGCAGACATAAAGACTCAGCGTTATGCGAGATTTTCTATTTTTTTTTTACCTGTATCTCTTTTATTTACACCGGGCTAAATGCAGGTTCATTGTCTGATTTTTCTTGTACCTCAAGAAAAACAGGAAATATCCAGGATGCCATGTGACAAAGTTTTGAGCACAGGACATTAAACTCCATCAGACTGACTCTTCGCCTGTTTGACCTGCAGCTCCTTATCTCACTGCGTTTCCTGCAGTTTCCCCTTCACATAGCCGGCGTGTTTAGAATTACTCAGCGAGGCTCAGCGAAGTCTGATCCAACTACAACATACTCGCCTTATCGGGGCACTAAATATAGTGCTGCCACGCTTTCACCCTTTCTGAAGAAATGCATTTCACATTTGGCTCACATTCATCATTTGGCAATAGCTCTTATTTGGGGCAGCTAGTAATAGTTTTCAGGGTTGGCAGTTAAGATTACTCCATCAGATCAGCTTGAGGCTGTGTGGGAATAACGACAGAGAGAGGACTTTATAAATACTGGACTAAAAAGCTTTCGTTATAGAGTAAGAAGACTTAGATCAGCTTACACATGATTAAAAAAAGGATATTGGTGACTTTAGAATACAAGCAAAGATAGTTTTCATATTCACTGATTTCAAACAAAAATGTTAATCAGACTTCTGCCGTCAAACAAAAACAAAAGAGGTTTTAATCTTAAAATTGCGTGCCTCTATCTGCGGTCATTCCCTCTTGTTTGCCATGTTTTTGCTTGTAATCCATAAAAGGCAAAAACGCCCCAAACACTCAGTCATTACTTGCATCATGTCAGCTTTGTCATGGCTGGTTTCAGGCTGAGTAATGGGTTTGTTTCTTAATTACACAAACTTTTCTGTCATGTCTGGATTTTCTGTGACTCATGTGCTCCTCCTTTCACCGTTACAGTCACTACAGACTTTGAGTCACTGAAACTTTCACCTAAATTATCTCTACACCTGCACTCAGGAGGACTTTATCCTGTACAGTCTGTTGTTTTCATTGCTTGTGTTTCTTGCTAAACAAACAGGATTAACTATCACAAAGGCAGAGCGAGCGACAGACAGTATCAGGGATTATCAGAAGAGAGAGAGAAGCAATAATTATCTACTACAGATGACAGATGAGTGTGTTTAGGGGTGTGAACAGATAGATGGAGTGTGTGTAGGTGTGTGACCGTCAGAGACTGTTGATGAGCTCGTGTTGAAAAGGTCACAGCGATGACGGCTGAACAAGAGCAGCTGGAGGAGGACAAGACTTCATTACACCCCTCAGGAATACACGGACAGAGAGTCAGAGTGTGTGTTCATTATTGTGTCACCAGCGCTGGTGTTTTATGTCTTTGTTCAGTCAGGGGTGTGTCTGCAGCTGCCAAGAGGCTGGTAAAATTTGGAGCAGTGCTTATAGGAATAGAAATAACAAGTAAATTACAAATATACAGAATATGAATTTGTTTTTCCTTCTTTTTTTATTTGTCATGTAAATAGATAATTGAACGTTAAAAATTAGACAATTTGCTGTTTTGCAGTCAGAACATGTAATTTTTCTCTTCTTAAGTTAACAAAGATAAGTCAACATAATGACAAACCTCTGCTGTAATAAAAACGTCACATTCCTCACCATTCCAGCCCATCAGATCAGTAAGTCACTTTAAAGCTCCTGTGAGGAAGTTTCTGTTTATGTTAAATCTGGCGCCCCCTTTGGACAACATGATAATCTTTTTATTGTTGTGTATTTAGTCTTGTCTATGTTAAAGTGATGTAAATTGACAAAAATCTGCTCCAGCTGTCCGTTGACAGTGAAATGTATGAAAACCCACGTGTAAAGTAGCAAAGGCTGTTTCTTAAGCATCAAAAATTCTTTATAGGAGCTTTAACCCACACTGGATTTGGTCTGCTATGTTGCACTCTGTTTTTACTTGTGCTTCTACATTTTGCACTTTGATCTTCAGCACCTTCCTGCACATTTGTGCCACTCTTCTTTGCAAATGTTGCATACACTTTTTTTTTTGTGTCTGCTTTTATATTCTTCGATTGTTCCTAGTTGCATCTTTTTCTATTCAGAGTTTCTTGACCGCTCCAGTAAGGCTGTGAAAAGGCTTTTAACTTACATATAATTCAATTTTAGTGTAATTGTATTTTTATGGCTAGTGTTAGTCCATTTTAATTCTCTTTGCACCAAAACTAAGAACTCTATATATGTAACCCTACCTGCCAGTTTACACATGCATCAGTTATGATATTTCGTAATCTTCTCTCTTGTTCCAATATAAGGATGCCCTCATGCACAAAAAAGGTCTGTGGATTAATGGGTTTTTCTCTGCAGCTCTTTATTGTTGAAGAGCTCCTGCATCTTTTTTTATCTTACGTGCATGTCGGTCTCTGGGGCATGTTAATACCAGGTGACACATGGACAGGTGGACGGTCTGTCAGCGGGTCGGTTTTGCAGAACAGTGGTCGGGTTTCCTGCCAAAGGCTTTAGAAACTGTCAGTTGATTCTGAATGATGATTAGCCGGCGAATAAACTTAGCTCAAGATTAGTTTGTGCCAAAACAGAATCAAACCAGTTCAGTATCGGTTTTTAACAGAATTGCCTCATTTGTGCTGCTTTTATTTTGCTGGTTTGATAACAACAAAAAAATGACGATTTCTGAGGAGTTCAAAGACTGTAATGATAATGCAAAGAGGGTTGTGGTCATGTTTGTGTCTTTTTCTGGGGAAAAATGTCGAAGTTATGAGGCAAAGTGAGGACAGGAAGAGAAAATGAGAAGAGGAGTGAGATGAGAAAACAGAGCTGGAGAGGCAGAGGATGAATTATGGAGAGCTGGACAGATAAGGCTGTTTGTTAGTGCTGCGATCATGATGTCACTGGGTGGATCGATGAGATCATCTACAGCCAACATATGTGTGTTTGTGTGTGTGTGCGTGTTTTTCCATCTCTTCCTCCCACACTGACTGAGAAAATTTAAAACAACATCTTCTTATTCTCATCCAACACTTCCTCACATGTCAGAGGAGTCTGCGTCACTTCAGGCTGTGGGACAGATATTTAAACTAAACTGAACTTGTTTGAGTTGAAATCAGGTTCTGAGGCCAAAGTTTATGACTGAACTTTAGAAAAGTTGGTCTTTTTAGACAGACACAGAAAAATCAGTCTTTAGCTTATGGATGTGCTCAATGTCTTTGTCAAGTTCATCAAGTGTATTGACCAAAAGCATCACCCTTGTCCTCAAACAGCTGGTCTCCATAGTTTTTAAAGAAACATCAGTCAAATAGAAGAAAATAGTGCATTTGCTCTGGACTATTTTCAGCCTTAATAATACACATTTGGTGCTTTATGCGGTCCCAGCAGCAGGATGGAGAGTGTGTGACTGAGTTTACATAAACTATAAAGTGTACGTTTCCTTGGAAATGAAAAAACATGGTAGATAGTGCAACAGTATGACTCATACATGTGTTTTAAAAAGTTTTTTGTCATGAAACAAAGGCGTGGGATTCACAAATACAATATCACAGGAAATGTACGTTATTAAAACAGTGTTTGGGCATGTTTTTGTGTTTCTCAGGCTTTTGTCAAGTTGTTGTGACCCCTGATTTTCTCTCTCTCTGTATTAATAAGACATGAATAAACGGTTTGATCATGTTTAATTTTTGTGCTTTTTCTTCTGTCTCCTCTCAGATGTCAGTGAAGCAGACTGCAGGAGGATCAGCTGCGTGTCTAGTCTGTAAGCAAAGGTGTTCTGGACTTCAGCCACATTCTTGGAGGTACAGCCTGTCTGTGTTTTTCTGTTGTTTCTGCCGTTTCTGTGCCAACAAAACCAAAAACTGAAAGAAAAACTGTAAGGATGATAAAACGAGAAAAAGATAGATGGCGATACAGACCTTGTGGTTTCTCCTCTGTTCTCTTTCCTGTTTGTAAAAAACACAGTAAGATTATTGTTTTTTTTCCTGCTCTGAGATTAAAAAAATCAAGCTAAAAATTTAGCATCGAGTTCAACAGGGGCGTGTCCAGATCAGCGGTCAAGGGTGGCCAGCCCATATAATCACAATGGCCACCCTGGTGCCACTCAAAACTCCTCGAGCCTTGTCAGGAGGTCTCAGCTCGTGTGTTAAAGCTTCTTGTCGATGAAAATGGCTACTCTCCAGATTTGAGTTTCTGCAGTGAATCACGGTCTCTGTCCTCTCGTCCTTCTTGCAGAAAAGCCTGTATGGCCTGCGGCTGCAGCACGGTTGACCACGCTTCGGGGGGGAATGATGTTGAAGATGACCAGCGAATGGGCCGCCTGCTTGCAGACTCACCGTGCGCCCATCTGACTGCGAAGATCAAAGGGGGAGGCGGCCTTCGCATGTATAAGAGGAACCGCATGATCGTGACCAATCCGGTGGTGTCACGTAAAGACCCGACCTTCAACACCACGACGTACGACTGGGCGCCGGCCGGCCTCAACCAGACACTGGTGAGGATCAGTGTGAAGTTCAGGAGGTTGGTTTTGTAGGAAGCTGCTCTCATGTGGCCTTGATAAAAAAAAACCTCTTTTTTTATAACAAGAGGTGGATCAAGATGACTCTGCATGATGGAGCACCACTGAAAACGTGAAAGCTGTCATATACGTGGTGTTAAAACTCACTACACCCAAAAACCAAATCATGATCAATAATTCAAGTTTGTGATCACTGGAGGAACAATTTCACTTTAGATCAGAGAGAAGCTTCTTGTGTCGCCCAAAATCAACCTCATAGTCTGTGGATGAAGCCTGTGGAGGTCAGGGCTCAAGGGTCAGGGCTGATTTATTCAGGGCTTCAGTCAGGAGTTATTATTCTAAAAGTGATTTTGTTTCCTGTTTACAGTTTATTTACAGTCTAACTAGCAACTTAAAGAGAAAGAGCAGATATGTTACATGTAATGTCCATTAAAGCTCCTGTCAGGAACTTTCAGTTTGTGTTGATTTTGGCAGCTCCTGTGGACAAAACAGTTTTAACTTATCTTGTCCTCTGGATACTTAAACATAATCTTCAAACATAAACATCTCACCTTGCTGGTGTTGGACAGTCCAACGGTTCATTTATTGATAGTGATGTGCAGAAATCCTGCAAACATCCATATCAGACATTAAACGACATAAAAACGGTCAGTCTTGTAGCCGATGATCTCGACTGCTTTTGTTTACATGAAAAAATAGACATTTACTTAAACTTGATTAGGTTCTCATCCCAAAGATGGGCTTGTGTTGGTTCCATTTCTGCAGCGCTCTCCTTCTGTGTCAGTCTCGACCGTCTGGTTTCCATTAAAAACAGACTGGAGTATGTTTCAGGTTTCAGAGCCTGTAATTATGAAGATGACAGTGATTATTGAGCTGCAGCTCAGCAGGAGAGAGGAGGGGGACGTTACTGTGGTTGAACTTGTAGAGACAGAGAGAGATCAGACTCTGGGCTGTGCAAAATTCAGCTGTGACATGAACATGGTGAAGACTCTGATACTGCAGCTCCAGACTGTTAGTCACTATTTCACTGCAGTGATTTCATACAGAGGTGTCACTGGAACACCTGGACATGTGATGATGTCAAGAAGGGCACAGACTCTGGATGCTGTCATGCATGTCTCTTGTTAGCAAACTGAATAATATGTCCCCTGACTTTTATACCTCAGGGAGCGTGTTTAACAGGCTGTGAGGGATGTCTGTGGAAAGACGAGAACATTAAGTGAATCCAGATGATAAGTAACAGTAACAGAGATAACAGTAAAAGTATTATAAACTATTTGGGATGTTTTTATATCTGCATATATCTTTCATTCAGAACTGTAGAGTTATTCGTCTCAGGGATGGTAGTATAAATGCCAACAGGTTATAAAAGTCACTGCACATACATGAATACCTCAGCTCTGAGATTTGTGTTTTTAGATCATAAAGTTGGAGCGGCTGAATCTCTGAGCTCTTTACTAGATTTGAGATTTCAGATTCAGTAAAGGCCTTAAGTTCTTATGGTCTGTACATGAGGTCACAGGCAACCAAAGTTGATCATCACTTTACTTTAGAGGGGCAAATTTCATCGACTCCTATCAGGCGGCTCATTTTTTTAATTCACATTTTACAAAGATTGGTACAACATCAACCACTTAAGATAATATAAGTGCCGTGGGACCTAGCGTAACCTGCTCAGGTGCTATCTGAAAACTCCCATAATGCATCACTCAATAAACAACAACCTCCTCTGAGAAGTTTCTGTGAAAATAAAAGTAAAAGGCCTCCGGTCCTCCTCCAGGCGATGCAGTACATGGAGCTCATCCCCGAGAAACAACGTCCAGTCTCAGGGACGGATGGAGCAAAGGAGCGACGTAGGCACCTCTTGAGTCAGCTCCCCATCTACGACCAGGACCCCATGAAGTGTCAGAGCCTGGCCAGTGAGGAGGAGGTATGTAGACTTGGGCTGAACTCTGACACGAGCTAAATGCATTTTCTTTTTCCTAAATGTTTGTGATTTTACCTCCCAGATCTCCTCCATGCTGCTGTTTGTGAAGCACTACAAACAGGAGGTGCTTGGAGTCGGAGAGGTGGCCTTACCTGGCGAGGGCGGAGCTCTGAGGGATGCAGCCATTCAGAGGACGGCGAAGGAGGCTAAAGACCGCAGCAACAGCGACAGGAAGGATTCTCTGGAGCACAACTCGACCAATGACAGCACTGTCCCTGCTGCTGGTCCCACTAATGGGACTGCCGGCAGCGCCAAGACTGACTTCGTAAGTACATGAGGCGTCTGACAAACATGTACTTATATATCAGTTATGTAGCAGGTTAAATATATGCTTTTGGGATGTTCTTGTGCTCTAACAACAACATTGAGCCCCTGTATGTCTGCAGTGTCCTCCTCTCTGCAGATTGTGTGCCTCTCTGTAAAGTTTCTGACCCACTCAGTTAAAACTTTGGGCTCTTAAACACAAAGTTAAGGCCCATTTCTTTGGTACATAAACTTCTCACTCTCCCATGATCTGCCCTCTCTTCCTCTGTGCTCTGTAGAGTTGTACTGGTTGCCATGGCGAGGTTGCCAAGGAAAGTCCAGCTGTTTATGCCGAGCGTGCCGGTTACCACAGCGCCCTTTGGCATCCCACCTGCTTCAAGTGTTCAGAGTGTGGCCAGGGATTGGTGGACCTGGTCTACTTCTGGTCCAATGAGAAGCTGCTCTGTGGACGGCACTACTGTCAGACGGTGTGGCCTCGGTGCTCGGGCTGTGACGAGGTGAGACAACGACACGATAGACCGTGGTTAGGTTTAGATGGAGCATTCTTGTAATGTGATTATTGATTATTGGAGTAATATTAAATCCTCTTGTCTCTCTTTTTCTTCTTATTCCTTTAGCTGATCTTCTGCAAACCGTTTCACACCTCAAAGGACGGGAAAACGTGGCATCCTCAACATTACTGCTGCTGGAGGTGCGGGCAAAACCTGGACACACCCTGTCAGCACTGAGACGCACACACACACACACACACACAATACTATTTTATCACAGATTGGTGTTCAGATTTAAGAGGTTGTGACTCATAGACAGAAGAACAGGGTGCTACAGAGACAGAGGATCAGGATAAAAACATTAAACTGTAAGAAATCATGAAAAAGATCTTATTACAGGAAATCTGAAATCAACAGACGCTGATTAGATGGTTTGATTTTAAACAAACGAACAAAGTACCAGATAAATTATAGGAATAAGTAGAGCTTTGAGTGTTTGGCCGACGTTTGGTATTTGAATTAATCTCCAGATGATGTATTTATGTTTAAAATACTTAGAGCGACACTGAGGTACTTAAATACTTCTTCAGCTGATTATAGTTTGAAGTACTTTGGGAAACGTTTGACGCAGAAGTGTTTAAAGTACTTCAGGACATTTAGAATTTTTAGCACTTAAAGTTCTGACAGTGATTGGAGCCAGAGGATCTGGTTTCAGTCTGAGTTTAAGATCCAAGAGTACGTGACAGAGTGTGAACATACGAGTCAGCTGACACACAAGAAAGTCATGGATATGTGAGAGTAATTACAGAAGATGGAAATTAATGTGGACAAATATGAAATTTCAGAACCATAATAGGCTCCAGAGCTTTTAATCATTGACTAAGTGAGCTGTTAATTGGTTTTTATTCTCATTTTAACCATAAAAAATTATGAGATATTTTTACTCTCAGCACCAACAGAAAAAGTTTCTCCTTCTCTTTTGTCCTGCAAATGTCACTAAAAGTTTGATTGTTTTATAAATACTACCCTGTTTAGTCATAGCCAAATGTGCATCTAGGAGGGTGGCCAGGGGTGCCTTGGCCCTCTTCTTAAAATCTGATTAGTCACCCTGAAATCAGCCCAAATACTAAACTGTGATTAAAGCTTCAGTGAGGAGTTTTTAGTCAATAATGAAACAGACCAGATTAATTTTATAGCATTTTTTGATGTTTATAAATGTTACAGGGTAAGATGCAGAGACAGCTTTTGTTTTCTTTTTCCTCAGTGATTAATAACAGTTAGCAACATACATTATTTGACACAACTTTTGGCTGTAGAGGACGTTATAAAATAGATCGGACATAATCACTTTGTCCACAGAGTTATCTTGAAGACTTAAAACAGGCAACTGGACTGTGTAGAGTTGAGAAGTTGCCTGTTTTAAGTCTTCAAGATAACCATGACCTGGATGAATGAGAATCTACATGGACATATTTTGTCCACAGAGGGCGCCAGAGTCGACACAAATGAGAAGTTCCTCACAGGAGCTTTAAATGTTTCACTTTTCCTTATGTTTGTTTTAACATTATGGCTGAAGAAAAACAGTATGTCTTCTGTTTAATACGATCGTTAAAGACCCCTGCTCAAAAAACATGTATGTTTACACTCTCTCAGGTCATTTAAAAAAATGTTAAGAATATACTGAAGAGTGAAACATTTTTACAGTTCATTAATATAAGTAGATTTGATCAGTGGAGATTGAAAACACTATTGTGAGGCACATACTTGATGCCCTCCCTTGATTAGGGTTACAAAAATGATCAGGGTTAGACTCGACTCTTTAACGTTGGGCAACCCGAAAATCTTCAAGGATTGCATTTTCTGTGTTGTGATTGTAGTGTCTTTTAAAGAGGTAAAATACTGTGTTAACATAATGTGGTTTTAAAGTGAAGAGAAGTAAATATGAAGTATGACAGTCAGAATCAAGTCAGCAGAGTCTGTCACAAACTAAAGAAACTGACAGTGTGATTAAAAGCTCAGAGAACTGGACAGGTAAAGGCTGGAAAAGGCTTTTAACTAATTAGTTAGTATACTACATGTCATTCTTCTTCCTACAGTCATTTTACGGTTGGGTTGTTAGTTTATTGATTTTGAATAGAAGGTATTATTTATGTGCATTTTCTTCTTTCTTGCTGCTTGGTGTTTAATTTCTTTTTACTTTATAGCATTAAGTGTTTATGGATCATTGCTGCTGTTTAACTCTTGATTTCTGATAGAATAAAAAAGTTTGTATTGTGCTAAATTTTTTCTAATTTTGTCCTCCAATAAGAGAGCACTGTGAGGTAGCGTAATAAGTTTATAAGTGATTTTAAAATGTGCTAAAAGCTCTGAACCCTGATTAGACATAACTAAAATCTGAGCTAGTCATTAGCTAAAAGCTTAACTTTTGTTCATTGTAATAAGATTCATAAATAAAATCAGCTAGCATAGTATCAGATATTTGTATCTTTTTGTCTTCTCAATTGAGTGTTATCAATCAATGAAAAAGGAAAAAAAAAACTACTTCCTGTCTAACTGCAATACAGTGATAGTTAAGTATTGTTCCTATATATTGTTTTTGAAAGGGAAAAGATGATTTTGTGCGTCTTAAAGGTAAAGATGGAGGTTTTAGTGACAAACATTAGATGGATGAGTTTCAAATCAGAACTGAATCCATCCATCTGCAGAAAAAAGGTTTGACAGTTTTAACGATTCAGTGGAATTAGAAATCGGTTTTACAACAACGATCACGCACTTTCATTGAGGTGTGTAACTGTGTGTTGGTGTGTGTGTGTGCTGACCTACTCCCAGCAGGAATGTGAGGTATTCCAGTGGTTTGTCGACCGACGTTCCTCTGCAGTTACATCACTGCTCTGATCGTCTGTCAGCCGCTTCCTGCACTGAGAAAGAAAATCCAGAAAAGGATATTTTTAGTCCCAAAGAGAGATAAATAAGTTTGGTTTGGAGAGTTTTATGGCCTTTAATAGCTCTCAGTGTGATCAGGGGGTGTTTAAGGAGGACCTTCAAGACTCACTTTTTATAAATAATGCTCTTTTATCTGTACAGTGTATAAATATAAAGACATATAATGATGTTTTCCACAGATAGGATTTCTGTGTCAGTATTAGGGGTCATAAGCTCCTCATCAAAAGAGATGAACTTGGACTAAAACTGGCCTTGAAGGGCGTGCAGATGGCCAAGCTGGTCAGGATGCCCCAGGATGTGCTGTAGGTCCTTCCTCCTCTCTTTCTATCTCCCCATACTTCCAACCTGTCCTATCAATAAAGGCAAAAACTCACCAAAAAAAAGAAAAAAACTGGCCTTGAGCTCCTACCCAGCGCAGCCAACAATAAGATCTTTCATGATATTATCAAGATACTATCAAACAGCTGATGCTGACTGAATGTTTTGTTTGCAGCAGCTGTGATTTGTAGGTTCAAGCTTTCCACTGAACCACAAATTTTACCAAACAACACAACAAAGTGTCCTACAATTTTTTTTAAATATATTTAATTTATTTCACCTTTATTTAGCCTGATTAGTTTTACAGAGATTCAGGAGGCCTGTTTAAGGATGGCAGCAACAACAAAGAAAAAACAATCAGACTCATAAAGTGGAACAAAAACAAAGTAATTTAAACCATTTGTATAGAGAAACCTGGCTCCCAGGCTTTTAATACTCTCAGGTTGACTAAGTTGTGTGATTTAAAATCATTCCAGGAAAAAAACACTTTCCTCTTTAGGAACAACAAATACCACCAAGTCAACAAACGCAGACTGTGAATCCCGTTCTTCAGGGTAAATAGGTGAGAAAGTCCAGTCTTTGGCCCAGAATGGCTTCAGAATACAGATAAATAAATGTCCTCATAGCAGTCCAATGGTCTTCTTTTTAAATTATTTTTATTTATTTTCTAAATGATGATAATACATTTCTTTATAAAATCTTAAAGCTGTTTTGTTGCATAATCAGTGCTGTATATAAAAAGCCTGGTTGATTGATATTAAAGGGGATCAAACCTCGTCCCGTATGTCATGTAAAAATCATCTGAACCTCGTGGTGCCTGTTTTTTTCTTTTTTTTTTTCGCTTTTTCCAAAAGACTTCAGCAAATATCGTGTATAATATTGTAACTGCTTATAGTCCATACACAGAGGCTTTTGTCCTGTGTGTAAAATGAGACGGTGGCGCCCTCATGCGGAGCCGCAGCGCACTATTTTAACTGTCACACATGCATGTACTGAGAAGTCGGACGGTACGTGAACGCAGCAGGGTCCTCTGATTGTACTTTCCCTTTAAGCGAGGATAAAAGGCTGTTGTGTAATTTGGGTGAAAGAGGAGGAGGAGGAGGAGGAAGGGACAGCTTTATCTGACAGACCGAAGAGGACTCGGACAGGTAGGTTATACTCATGTACCGCCGGTGATAACTGCGCTATAATGTGTATTAATGGGCCAGTTTAACATCTTTGGTTGTGTTATTCAGGTAGTCAGTTTGTGTAACCTTCAGTGTCCTGATTGAGATCATGTTTAAGAGACGATGATTTCTCCTTCACGTTAGAGAGAAACATCATAACCGGGAAACACGTGTATCTGAGGAGTTATTAGTATGCTTACTGCTCATAAATGCTCCATACTATTAAGTTATCTTTCTAAATATGTAAGCTCTAAATTTTAATTTGAAAGTATCAGGAAAGGGAAGTCCGTTTCCTGATACCTTCACCGGTGTTTTCTAACGTCTCCCTGTGGTACCGATGATATCAGAACTTATGTAACAGGACCACAACTTCATTTAGGGCCACTTTACCTCTAAGTTTCAACTGAGGTGATATTTTCAATGTGGTTTCTGTTTGAACGATTTTTGTTTGTTCGTTTGTTTTTTTAGACCTTAAAGCTTCTATAAGGAAGTTTAGGTAGTTTCGAAACAGTCAGAAATGAACACTGATGCCTCTATACGGCCTGAAAAACCAATCAATCACTCAATCAATCAACTTTATTTCTATAGCACATTTAAAAGAACCACCAGGGTAGCCAAAGTGCTGTACATTGCGACATAAAAACAAATAAAACAAGCAAAAAACAAGATAGAGTGAGAAAAAAATACATAAATGCAATAAATAAATAAATAAATATATACAGGCTCACGGCAAGTGCTAAGATGATAACAAACAAAATAACACTAAAATGTATTAAAAGCCAAGGAATAAAAGTGCATTTTTAAAAAAGGGATTTAAAAACAGGAAACGAGGAGGCCTGTCTAACAACACCAGCAGAGTGATTGTTCACAGTAATTATGTATGCTTTTGCAGCTGCAGGGTAGATGTCGGATAAGGAGACAATTTCATGCCAAAGATGAACATTTAAGATAAAGTAAGATACAATTTTTTAAGTGTAGCATACAAGACAATACAAGTAAAGAGCGTAGAGGCACTGCTTTGTCCACAGGGGGTGCTAAAGGTTATCACAGGAGCTTTGATAAAATTGCAACAATTGCACACCCACAATTAAAACTTCAATTATTGATGACAGAGGCAGTGCAATTTGATGAGCATACCACCATACTCCACAAACTCACCCACACTCACCAACATCAGGACCAAGGTTATAATAGTTTTGGATTTGTCATCATAGTTTAGTTTTAGTTAGTTTTGACATTGTTTTTCTCATTATAGTTTAGTATTAATAAGTTTTAGAGTGGGCATTCTAGTTTTTATTTTGTTTTGATTTTTGTGACAAGGCTTAGCTTAGTTTAGTTTTAGTTTAGTTTTAGTTTAGTTTTAGTTTTCTCATACCTTATTTTTCAGGTGCAGGATTCAAAAAGACCAGAGTACGTATTTCGTAATACTGTTTATTTTCAAGTCCAACATAGTGCTCACTGCTCAGTCAATGCTGATACTGTACTGTTGGCTGCTGCCTTAAACACAAGAAAATGATAGAAACTTAATATAAAAAATATAAACATACAGGCGGGAGGCGGGACACTGCCGCCTCCTCCCAACTTTAGCCATTTCTTCCAAGTTGTTCCAACAACACAAGCTCCGTCGCAGCACAGCGCACAGCGCACAGCCATGATATATTATCATGTTATATGTGTGTGTGTATTTATTCTGGGATTATCTTGAGTTTTGTAAACCTCTGCAGGAGCTGTTTTAAATTAAACCCTGACAATGATCATAATTTCGAGAAAGAAAAATTTCTCAAATACTAAAGTTTGAGAAAAACATACAACACAAATAAAATGGATGAGTGTGATTTATGGTTTAAGACAGAAAACAAGTGAGGAAAACGCTGAAACATCTTGTAGCAAATGCACCATTATTATTGATTATATGGCCTGTTTTAGAGATCAGCCCATGTATACAGTAACACACTTTCATAATATTTGGAACATGTGAGAGACCTCTGTCCCAATTGATTCAACCTCCAATCCTGTCTCAAAAAGCATTTAAAGCAAGTTCACTGTGAAAATGATGTTATATAACTGATTTTATGCTGTTGGCTGATCATGACAGTTTCTAAACCGTGTGAAATGGACATTTTTAAAGTGTGACAGTGAGCTGGAAATGCCCACAAAGGTCAAAAGATGTGAAAAAAATCCCCAGTTTTATTTATAAAGATAGAATACGGTTCTGTAGGCAAGCTGTTAGATATCTAAGTTATTAATCTGATATTTTTAGAAAGTTTAGGATTTATAAATATTTAAAGGGGGGCAGACAGAGAGATAAGTTGAGCATCACTGGCCTGCGACTTTCCGGTATAAATAAACCTCTGCTTGATTCATTTAAACTCGTGTCACGTGAAAAAATGATATCCTGCTGGTTTTACTTCTCACTTTGTAAGCTGTCAGAAACGAAACAGGCAGCAGATGAAGTGAATATTTGTTTCCTGTGATGTATTTTATTTTGAAGGAGTTAGCAGCCATGGAGCTGGTCATGCTGTCAGGAGGTGTTCTGGTCGTCCCCGTCCTCGCCTTCATCACCTCCTTCCTGTTCTGGCCCGGAGCGCTGCTGAAGGTCTACAACTGGTAATTAACGCTTACACACTTTCAATTAAACTGTGGTTGGAAGGGTGTATTAAATAAAAGGTTAGGATAGGATATCTGTAGAGAGATGTCAAGTAGAGAGCGGGGAAAGTCATGCACCAAAGGGTTAAGACCAAAAGTTGAACCAGTGACGGCAGTGTCAAAGATGCCAGGACAAACTTACACATTGGAGTCAAAAAGACATAAAAGGACATTTTCTCTTTCTGAGTAAAACATCTCAAAACAAAGGTAAAAAATACTTTGAAATCATCACATTTTTCCTTATTCTTTTAGATCAGATTATGGTCCAACTCCCTGATTTTGTCAGCAGCCTCAGTAATCCCTGACCAGCTTATAATGAGCACATTTATTCTCTCTAGAGTATGAACCCTTGAACCATGTGAGAGACAACACACACACATATGACTTTAACCTACATTCGCTCGTGTATTCAACTTTAAAATCTGCATTATTGATTTTCAAAGTAAACATAGTTTACCAGCAGGGCTCCATGTTTCTGTTCACCTGGGTCTTTTATTGTGAAGGAGCAGGACTGTTTGCGTGACCTCGCCTGGTGGACTTTGCCTGAGTTGTAAAAGAAAATCTGCATGTTGGCTAATTTGCAGATTATGATCGCTGATTCAAACACACTTACACGCACTCGTACACACACACACATACACATACACACAGAGTGCTGAGTCAGAGTCATATAATGGAGTTTTTGTCTTGGAGCTTTGAGCATGAAAGAGACTAAAATTGCCAAACTCTGTAAATGTTAAAAATTGGGAGGATAAAAGAGGAGCATTGTCTCTCTGCAGGGACTCATATAAGCTTTTTTATGGGGGTACAACTGGTGCTCTGTGAGTCCAAACAGTCAGTCCGACATGGATATTGAGTTTTTTAGAAGATAACCGGCTGTTGGATTTTGGTTTAGAAATATCTGTTCTCTCAGGAGAGCAGAGTTTATTTTTAGCTACAAAATTAATGCAGCTCCGTGGAGGTTATGTCAGTGTGTTTGTGCTACTTTGATTTAGACAGTTTCAACAGCTCTTAGATAATGTTGCAGAGGATGAATCTGATGAGCTTCAGATTTCAGGGTTTTGGGGGAAACATCATGAAAACTTATCAATCGATTGTCGCTGACTTCGCTTTGGACTGTGTTTCTCCCTCGTTTTGTTCCCAAAATCTTCACCAACAGCATCAGTAGTCATTTCAGAGCTGTGTTTGTGTATTTGTATGGCAGGAGTCAAAATGGGACACCAACTTCTGCAAACGGGGCCATGACAAATGTGTCCACACCACATCTGTTTCTGCTGTAATCCTCTGCAGGTACTGGCGTTGCAGACTCGGGTTGGTGGTCCGATACTCCCACAGCGGAAATTATCGCTTCTGTTATTCCAGCCGAGGTAAACCGGGAGACGACGCACCATCCCTGCTGCTGCTGCACGGCTTCTCCGCCACCAAAGACATGTGGCTGCCCGTCATCAAGGTGAGACTCACACAGAAGCTGTTTCAATCATCATGTACTGTAGCCCCTCCCCACCTCAGCTGAGAGGGAGAACATCCTGGGAGCTCCTGATTTAATGAGTTAATTAATTAGAACCATGACCCAGACTTGCAGCTCTGTCCTGAACTGTATAGCTGGTTCACCCTGAACACATTATGCACTAAAACCAGGTCAGAATTATTCAGTAGAGAAATCAAACCTTTGATTTCAGTTGTGCGTTTGTTTTCTCCTCCAGTATCTCCCTAAAAATCAGTATGTGGTGTGTGTGGACATGCCGGGTCATGAGGGAACAAGTCGTACTGGAGCCGAGGACTACAGCATCCTGGGCCAGGTTGGCCGGATACACCAGGTCTGTAGGAAAAGTTCAGAGATCTTGTGATGCTGTCAAACTGATCATAAAGCTTTCACTCGACAAATACACTGAAACTTTTCTTTCTCTGTACCCTCCTGTTTGATCTTCTACATCTGTGCTAACTGAGCTGTGAGGGTGTTGCAGTTTTTTGTCACCTGACTTTGTTAAATACTCGATTCTGATTGGACAAAACTCTGAACTTTGCTGGTGGGTAGCAGCTAAGTTTGGAGCTGCAGACGATGCATTAAAGGGCTGAAAACAGCGTTGTTTCTGTCGTCTGTCTTTGTGCAGTTTGTTCAGAGTATCGGTCTGAATAAAAAACCCTTCCACCTGATCGGGACATCGATGGGAGGGAACGTCGCCGGCGTCTATGCAGCTCATCATCCCTCTGACCTGTGTAGTGTCACCCTGATCTGCCCGGCAGGTAAACTCAGCAGACACCTGATCTTTCTGATGTCGGAAACCTGAGACTGTTTGTGGGTAACTGATCCTCCTCATGGTGTGCAGGTCTGGTTTATCCCACTGAGACTCCTTTCATCAGCCGTCTGAGAGAGCTGGAGAAGAGTCAGCAGGAGGGGTCGATCCCTCTGATCCCCTCTACTCCTCAGGAGCTGGAGGACATGCTGAGACTCTGCTGCTACACCCCCATCAAACTCCCCAAACAGGTGATCATTTCTCATTCACAAAGTGCCACGAGACATAAAAATACACAAAAACATGAGGATCCCACAGCAGACTAACAGGCGAACACAGAGTCTGATCAGACCCAGGACAACAACAAGAAAACAAATCTATGAAAGAAGAAGAAATAAAAGAAATAAGTTAAATGAAATTATAAATATTCTTTAATGTACGAAAAGAAATGGATAAAAAAGAGCAAGAACAAAAATAAAACACTAATAATGAGCATTTTAATATCATATTACATATAGTATTTAACATTTATATATTTATTTATAATTTATATATGTATAACTAGAATAGTTTTAATTTCATGATAATATTTCATGATAATATTCATATATAAAGAGTAACACAACAGTAGGTAAAGTTTAAAGAGGAAGTTGGTTTAGGGTGAATATTACAAAAGTTCCTGACCTGGAAAAAAAAGAGCAGCAGTCAGAGAAAGAACACAAGACGGAAAACAACAAATCATGTTGTTCATGCTCACATAAATAGTTATTGGCAATATAAGGCCTCTATACAGACAAATATCTGTTTATTCTTACACTCTATAACACTAAATAATAAAAAAAGTCTGTACACAGTTGTACATGGATGCTAGGCAAGCTAAAACTAAAACATTCACAAACAACAACATAAAGTTCACAACAGTTAATTCAGATCAGGTTATTTTATTATATATTTGTGAATTAATTTGATTTCAAGTTTGGTCAGAGAAGTTTAAATGAAGTTTGATGTGTGTTTGAAGCTCATAATGTTTTTATAGTTTCTGATCAATCTTTCTTCTTTAAAACTTTGGGATCATCCGGTTTGTTTTTGTGCTCAACTTGTTTATTAGAGATATTTACAATAATGTGTGTGTGTGTGTGCGTGCACATATGTCTACTTCAGGTCCTGAGGGGTCTCCTTGATAACAGGATTCCTAACAATGGTTTCTACAAAGAAGGTCAGTGTCTTGGTTTTTCCCCCTTAAAGCTCAGACCCTGAGTTTTTTTTGGTCCTTTATTGTGGACTTTGTTTTTCTCCCTGAGGTCTCTGTATTTCTGTTTGAGTTTGTTACGGTATAAACTGGATTCTTCCTCCTTGTTTATCTGATCTTGTCTTGGTACAGTTATAGCAGCGTAAATTCTCACATCACTCATTCAACGTCATGCTCCATCATCAGGATGGCCTGTGGGGCAAACATCCACACATTAAACTGAACTGAATTAAATATGAAGAAAAACAAAATCATCGAAAACACTTGATTATTCACAGATGTACAAAACAACAAAAATCAGCAACATCCTGTCTGAAAGCAACAAAAAACATCAGTCCTTAGTCTAGAGGTTTTTCTCCTGATATCATGTCTGGAAGTTTTAAGCACCTGCTTCAAGAGGGAATAGTATTTTAAGTAATCTGATCAGATATAAGACAGTGGACAATCAGAAGGCGATCAGGTCAGATCAGGCGATCCATCTTTGGTAAACACCTCCAGTTTCAAACTTTTGAAGAGGATTTTGATTACTTTGTCAAAACAACATCAGGTTTATTTTGATCCCTGCCAGAATCCACATGACAGTAACGTGAACAATAAATGTAACAAAACTTTTGTTCTGGGTCAAATAGGATAACATTTTTAAAGCTGCTGCTAGTTTGAGCTGATTCTGGCGGCCTCCTGTGGACAAAGATGGGACCTTACGGCATTGCGGATCTCGTACGTACCAGGGTAGTCGTAAACAGTCTCAGTCTAAGTTCAGTCTGTGTCACAACCAGACAAAAACTCCTATTGGTGGCTTTAAATGATGCTGGCACTTAAAGTGACCTCTCATTGCTCCTAGATTAGCTGACAACCCTTGTTGCTTTTTTAGTTAACAAAATGTAAATAAAGTGTCCTCTGGTTGCTCCTCTCAGAGCTTAAAGACAACAGTCTGCTCTTTCCATTTTTCTGTTCTTCTGGTGTCGCACAGTTAGATTGAGTTCAGTAGAAATTAACCGTCAGAGTACAGTTTATTCCACTCATCTTCATATGAGCACCAGCTTTTCTTTGTAATTCTGCTTTAAAAACTGCTGCTTCAAGCGCTCAGAATGTTCTCTGTAACCTCTGTGTTTGTTTAGTATTCATGGAGATCACCGGGGAGAAGTCTCGTCACTCGCTGCAGGAAAACTTGCATCTGATCAAAACACCTCTGCAGGTGATCTGGGGGAAAGAAGACCAGGTAAGAATGAATCACAGCGAAGGAAATCAACAACACACAGATGAGACCGATGTTAACGAACAATGATCTTCAACAGGTTAAAGTTCTGCATGAATTTGTACGTAAATAAAATATATTTTATTTTTGGGGGAGTACCCAAAAGAAGAGTTTTCCCTCTACAGGGCGGCTCTCAGCAGTGTTTTATTATCTTATTTTCAGATTATTGATGCTTTTATAGTTAATGTGGAGAGAGTTTTGAATATTTTAGTGCAGTTTGTGGCAGGTGACCGACAAAAATCATCAAATTCAAAATAAACTGCTCATATCAAAATGATGAAATAAATTACAGCTGTATCAGAGGGTCATGGTAGCTGTCCCTAAATTCACAAAAATGCTGAGCAGCTACTAAACCACTCTCTGCCTGTTCAGGTGGTGCACTCTTCTGGGGCGACAGTCTTAAAGGGGGCGCTGCCACACTGCCAGGTGGATGTGCTGGAGAACTGCGGTCACTCTGTGGCGCTGGAGCGACCCAGGAAGGCTGCGACCCTCATCGTTGACTTCCTGTCTGCACAAGAAGTCAACAGTGAAAACTCAAAAAAGCTTTCCTGAAGTGGACTTTTAAGTTTTATTGTTGACCCCTGACCTGAAGAGGGGCGGGGTGAAGACGCTGAAGACTGTGAGGAAGACGAGGAGGAACATGAAGCTGATTGAGATTATTCCATTTTCTAGTTTGGTGTAAGAGTTTTCTATGAACTCCTGTGAACGCACAAAGAGAGGCTGACTGTCAGATACTTACACACCAACACACACAGACATGCGTATCCAAAACTCATCTCTGTTTCAGATGTTAATGTCTTAGAAAACCATTCCACGTTGGGATTTTGCACATTCCTCATGCAGAAAAACTGTTTTTTCTCCTGTTTTTATGTTTGCACTGTGTGTTGAGAGGCATGTGTCCATCTCTGATTTATTCATATTTAATATACTGTTTATCATTCTTAAACACGTTCAGGTTTATTTAATGTGTGTGAGGTAATCCCATGATTCCAGCACCAGAACACAGAGTCTCTTTACACAGATGACCGAAATAAATCTGCTGAGCAAAAGTTTCTCAACTGATTGGTTGGAATTTTTTTTTTTGGCAGTATGGCTCCAGACCAGCAGGGGGCGATGTAACATGAACGCTTCATGTCGACTGTCGAAGAGGACTGATTCATTCATGATGTATCACTCCGCAGTAAAATAGTGATCTGACATCTGTTGCGCCTGCAGCGACCAACATAGGGGGACTAGGTTCTTGAACGCTCAATGAACGAAGACGAAATCTTAAAAGAAAAAGAAAAAAACACAATTACTCAAATTGTTCCTCTTGTTGTTAATGTATATACATTAATTAACATAGCTGATGTCACCTGTTAACAGATGTTGTATGTACAATTCTGAAAAAGGCAATTTCCCCCATATCAACAGATATTGCTTAACAATTTCAAACACCTTCTGCAGAATCTTGCTTCAGTTTGTTCTACATTAAAGGATAACCTATCTTTTGCAGGTGCGTTTACTTTAAATTGGGCTTAATCTGCTCTTCAAAATAATAATAATAATAATAATAATAATAGTAATAATAATAATAATGATAATGATGATGATGATGATCAGTGACGGAGTGTGATCCCAGAAAGAAAATTCAAATGCTAGAAACATGAAAAAAGTCCAAGATGGTCAGTGGTCGACTTTTGGTTTAAATGTATTACTATGAATTATTTTATCTTCAATGACACTCAGAGTTACATTCACAGCGTTAAATTTTTGTTATCAGTAAAAATATGCCAGATAAAAAGGCTGTCTGCAGAAACCAGTTAACTGTACCTCCATCGGTCAGGGTGGAGTGATCCATCTGACTTTTCTCACATCTTCGGGATTATCTGAAGGGAGTGACAGCGCATGCGCAGGTGTACGGACGTGCTGTGCACCGGTTCAAAGTTTGCATGGACGCCTTGGGGATCATAACACGCCGTCAACTCTCAACTTAAATCTTCCAACAAGGTTAGCGGCTGAAACTCTCTGTTATTTAAATGTCGTGCAGTATCATTCAAACCGAAACGAAGCGTAACTTGCTGACAGCTCATATTTTGTGTCGTCAGCTAAGAGATAAGGGAGATAAAATATATCAGCCCGGTGCAGCTCCTGTTTGACCTCCTGTTAGCTTCATTTAGCTCCAGCTGGTGCAGACATTTGGACATTTACATGAGAAAACGCTGAACTGTCAGACATTTCGAGGCAATATATGGAATGTGTGATAACTTACTGTATTTTTCTAGTTAGTAAATTTCGCATGGTTGTCTTATGACGTAGATTTATTGATTATTTATGATCACTAAATAAGATATGTGTAAAGATGAGTGCAAGATCATGTGCAAATTAGTGTTTTTCAGTAAAGAAGATATTTTCCCACTTTTTTAAATTCATCTAGATTTTATTGTTCTGTTTGGCTGTGTGACCTTCATGTCATGATAAGAAATTAACTTGAAAAATGCACATTATTTTTAATTTGCTTAATTTTATTTCTGCTGGCATTTAAAGTCTTTATTGTCCTTTTTTTACTGAGCCAAAAAAGTCATGGTTAACTTTATATTAAGGTGCAATTTAGAGTATCCTCAGAGTATCAAGATGTCTCAGCTCTGTGTATTTTCATTTATATCGTGTCTTGTATACCTGACAAACATGCTGCCCATAAAGTGCTTTGCAGAAAATCAGACATAAGAAATAACAGCAACAGCTAAAGTAATAGAAGACTAAAGTCAATTAAAACTATCAGAAAGACAGTGGTGATAAAATACATAATGCATTGTAATTATCCTCATATTTGTTGCCCCCTCTAGAATGGATTTTCATTAAGTTTCACATCTTTGCTCTGGTCCTTTTAAATGCTTTATTATAATTTGGTCTCCCAAAGAAATGAGCCCAGGATCTTGTATGGAATGACCTCATTGAGAAAGTTTCTATAACAGTTACAGTAGACTTATCTGAACTATGAACAAACACAGTCCTGGGTTTGTCTGCACATAGAGAACCACGAGAATGAAGATAAGTTTGCACAAGTACTAAACTCTACAGTACATAAAGTAGTTTTACAAAATCACAACTTTTTAACCCAGTGGTCTTCAACAGGTAATTCTACCATAAACTATCACCTGCTAAAGGACAGAGGGTTGAAAGGGGTTGTGTGTCCAGCCTCTAAGACTGAAGGCTTTCTCATTTTCACATCAGTTTTGTTTGCTTGTTTTTTAGTGTAAAGTCAGCTGACTGACCTGCTGCTGTTCACCTCTCAGACTCCAAGCCTCTGATGTTTTAATATAATGAGACGCGAGGACGAGACGGACGAAACCTCAGTTTTCAGACGGGTTGTGTTGAAGAACGCTTCGCCGTACCACTACATGAAAATCTGCCTGTAAGTATATGTAAGCTATTTTTTTCATCCATCATCTTGTACTTAAAGCTAAAATATACGAACAATATAAATGTGTATTTATAAAACATTCTGCGTGTGTCCTTCCTCAAACCTGGATTTTCATCATACGTGTTTCTCTGTGTGCTCAGTGTGCTGGACGATGAATCCACGAAACTGAGCGCAGTCGACTTAAAGCTATTCATCCTCACAGGTCTAAAGAATCTCTTTGGAGAGGTGAGGCTTTTAAAACAGTAGTATTTAATTAAATTTCAACTTAAGATCTTATATATTCAGTTTTTAACTGTTTTCTTTCAAACATAAAGTGACTGATTACATTTAACTGTCTTGATTTAAAAAAAAGTGGCTTTTTATGGTGAAACTGAGACAAAGACCCGTTTTAGTCTGATAGGTCACCAGGTTAGGCTCTGATCAGATACTCATCTGCAAAGTTAGAAGTGAACGTAGACACGACAGCCTGTGGTTTCAGGATGTATGTAGACGGGTAAATATTCACAGACTGTGTCAAAGTAAAGCGAATAAACAAAAACATTCAGTTTTCATTCATTCATGTATTTCAGGTGGGAGCGGCTATAAGCTTCGACCTGTTGAAGTACGATGAGGACACCCTCTCTGGTCTTCTTCGTGTCCCAAGCAGGTGAGACCTGAAACAGCAGCAACATCAGGAGACTTCCAGTCCTCCTTCCAGGTTTTTCTCTCACATGTGTCTGTGTGTTTTCAGGAGTTTGGTGAAGCTGTGGAGCTCTCTGACTCTGCTAGGCTTCTACCAGAACCAGGCCTGTGCCTTCAGAGTCCTGCAGGTCAGAAAATTTCACTGCTGAAGCCTCTTTGTTTGAGAGTCACGGCTTCACTGTGTCACATATGTAGAGACTGTGAAAACGATTGTGTAAAGGAGACTGTCTTTCTCTCTCTGATGTGGTCCTCAGGTGTCTCCATACCTGCTCTCGCTGACAGGAAACAGTCGTGAGCTGAAGCTGGACTGACGGAGGAGAAGAAGCATCATTATCCTCCAGGATGACTTTCAGGTGGAGCAGCCTCTTTAGAAAATCTGGGCTGTGTCTGTCCTCCATCATAGCCGCTCCTCCTCCCTCCTGCAGGTGGCTCCACATCGGCCAGCGAGCTTCCCTCACCAAAGCCTTCTCCACTCGTGACGTGGAGCTGTTCGCTGAGCTGACAGGCGACACCAACCCCCTCCACCTGGACCCTGCTTACGCCCGCACCACCTCCTTCGAGACTCCCATTGTCCACGGCGTCCTCATCAACGGGCTGATCTCTGCCGTTCTCGGCACCAAGATGCCCGGCCGCGGCTGCATCTTCCTCTATCAGGAGATCCGCTTCCCGGCGCCGCTCTATATCGGAGAGGAGGTGGTAGCTGAGGCGGAGGTCAGAAAGATCAAGATGTCGTTTGCTTTCATCGCTGTAACGTGCTCTGTGAAGGATAAGGTGGTGATGGAGGGGGAGGTGATGGTGATGATGCCTGAGGATCAGCAGCAGAAAGGATGAAGAAAAGAAGTGCAGAGGAGAGGAGGAGGAAATCTCCACGATACTATTCCCTTTGTGTATGAATGACTTGAACTCTGATAACAGGAGGCGTGTCTGAACGATGCTTTTCAACTGTTCTTCGATGAGTTTTTGTGTTTGTGTTTGTTTCAGATCTGGTCAGTTTATTTCTTAGTGTGGGAAGTTTTGTGTGGAATAAACCCACTGGAATAAAATAAAACATTTTTCAGTGACTCTTTAACACTCATTCGCATCTATTTTTTTCCCTAATATATATTATATATAATTACATTAATGTGGTTTTATCTTAGTTTGACACCGGTCTGTTCAGTATGTGTGTTTTTTTTTTTTCTACCATCTACATTTTTTCTTAAGGCTCCTGGAAGGAACTTTGGGGCTCTGTCAGTTCTGGTGCCCCACTGTGGACTAAACACAACCCTGTATCCCTTTCCAATTCTGTCCTATATGTAAATGTAATGTTTTCTAAAACGTTGGTTCTGCAGCTGAACACCCCTGACACTCTTAAGAACACAGTCCTAGTCTCTATGATGCTACCCATTGGTTTAGAATAGAATAGAATAGAATATTCCTTTATTGATCCCCCATGGGGGAAATTTTTTTGTCACAGCAGCATCACAGACAAGCCAAAAAGTGCAAAAATGCAGTTATAACAATAAGGGTCCTAATATTAAGAACTTAAATAAATGTAATAATTAAGAAAAAAATTAGAAAAGGGAGAAGAAAAGATAAAGCTTTCTACAATATACACAATTTAAATGCCATAAAAAAAAGTGGTGGTGTAAAATCAGTTTTGTTACTGTTCATTGTAAAGTCTTATTGCAGAGGGGAGGAATGATCTGCGGTAGCGCTCCGTCCTGCAGGGTGGGAGTCTCAGTCTGCTGCTGAAGGAGCTGCTTAAAGCCCCCACAGTCTGGTGCAGTGGGTGAGAGGGATTGTCCATGATGGATACAAGCTTTGCTAACATCCTCCTCTCACCCACCTCCTCCAGGGAGTCCAAGGAGAAGTCCAGGACAGAACCGGCCCTCCTGACCAGTCTATTCAGTCTCTTCCTGTCCCTCTCGGTGCTCCCTGCCCCCCAGCAGACCACTGCATAGAAAAGTGCAGATGCTACCACAGAGTCATAGAAAGTCCTGAGCAGAGTCCTGCACACTCCAAAGGACCTCAGTCTCCTCAGCAGGTGGAGACGACTTTGGCCCTTCTTGTACAGAACGTCTGTGTTTGTTGACCAGTCCAGTTTGTTGTTGAGGTGGACACCCAGGAATCTGCAGGACTCCACCATCTCGATGTCCAGACCCTGGATGTTCACTGGAACTGTTTGAGGTGTCCCCCTGAAGCTTACATTGAAAATGATGACTCCATCTAACTTTAGGTCGAGGTATCAAAAAAAAAAAAAAAAACCCTGAATAGTGTTTGCAGATAGAGAAATTAGCTACTCAGACCATCACAAGTTTTTGAACAGGGCTGTTGATATGTCTATTTTCATGTGAAGGTGCGCTCTGTAGAAAGGGTGCATGAGACTTCAGGTGCTTTTGTAGCCAGCCTCAAGTGAACATTCAAGGAAATTCAGTTTTTAGCACATCTGCATGGGCTTCATTTCTCAAGAATCCAGGTTGCAGAAATTTACCACAAAGTAACTATATCCTCCTGACTACCAGTAGTTCAAATTATCCTCTGTGGAGGACCATTGTAAACCTCAATATCTCCCACCCACTGCATACTACTGAATTAACTCCTTTTGTTTTCTACAGAGGATATTTAGAGCTTTTCAATAATACCAAATGTGAAGGGGTGGGGCTTCAGTACTTTTCCTCTTCCCATAAAACGTGCATGCACTGATGGCAGCCATTTTTTCTGAGTGAGGAAGAAAAAGGTACTGAAGCCCCACCCCTTCACATTTGGTATCATTGAAAAGCTCTAAATATCCTCTGTAGAAAACAAAAGGAGTTAATTCAGTAGTATGCAGTGGGTGGGAGATATTGAGGTTTACAATGGTCCTCCACAGAAGAAAAATTTGAATTACTGGTAGTCAGGAGGATATACAAAAAAATCTTTCTCCTTATTGGTGGCCTGGTTTGATTTTGTAAGGAAAAACGACGCATACGTATTGATTTCAAATGAGCTTTCAACCATGTTCCCGGGTAAACTTTCATAGGCAGTTCCGCATTGAACCGGTAGGGGGCAGTGACGGCCCTCCCTGCGGTTCTCCCGACCTTTATTGATATCGATAAAGCACCTCGGTGACGTCAGATCGACGTAGCGCTTCCTGGTTACCGCAGAGCTAAGCTAGCAGTGGGTCCGCTCCTCGGGTTGTTGATGTTGCTCAGTGGGGTAATTCAGAGGCGCTTTCCCCGGAGTTTGAGTGAGTGACAGACGGACCTTTTGATCACGCTTCCATCCTTAATCCTCCGGGATGTCTTACCTGGAGAAACCGTCCCCCGGTCGGCTGCTGTTGGACGACACCGTCCCTCTGACGGCGGTGATCGAAGCGAGCCAGAACCTGCAATCTCACACGGTAAGTCTGAACTAGAACTACCAGTCTCTTGAGCGTTAACAGCCTAATATTTTACCAGTAAAATATTACTTAAAGGTCAAAAATGGCTAAAGGATACCTCGCTGCCAATACCTTTCAAATAAGTGTTTAAAAGACTGCGTTTGGGTTCATCTCTGCGTCACTGGATCCATTATCGGACACAGATGTTGACACCCATTTTTTTAATTTTCTGTAACCTAAAACTGCCCCTTTACTATAACGTGTTTACGTGAATACTAGATAAGTCTATGAAAACACATTTGACCCATACTCAGTATTTTAAAATGTTTCAGCACCTTATAGCGTACATCTCATCTCAAATGGTAGCTGCTAACCGACTCTGAATCTGAATCTCTGGCATTGATTAAATCATTTCCTGGAAGCTTGTCTGCCTCTAGATAACTGCAGATTTCAAAGGATTAAACCTCGAACATTGACATAGACTACGTAAAGGCCCAGGAGCCAAAACTATGCCTGTAAAGCAGCTAAAACCGTCGACAGTGCGTTTCTTCACCTCCGCAATGAAGAATTTCTCTAGAAGAAATCCCTATTTAATTGTTTCCTAAATTTAAACGTTTTGTACAAGCTACTAAGATGATATTTAATTTTTCTTTTGACAACGATGACTTGCTTAAACATCCGGCATATATCAGCTTCACCGTGAACGTTTAGTTTTATTACTGATGGCTGACAATGACGGTATTTGCCTGCATGAATCTCGGACCACTGAAGACCTTGGATGGAAACTCGGAGATTTCATATAAACAAACGTTGCTTCATTGATGGAAAAAAGTACCGTTAAGCATATTTTCATAAAAACATAACTCGCATAATCTCAATCTGCAGAAATTTGGGGAATCCAATAAATAATCGGATTTTCAACTGGAGTTTGGCGCGGCATATTTTTCAACATTAGCATTTTACGTTGAGATACTGTAAGACTTTCTCTGAATTTTAAAGTTTTGTGACTTAAAGTTACATTTGTATAATGAAATGTAACTTTCAAAGACCAGATAACCTTACAGAAAACATATAAGGGGGACATCAGTGGTGTGTCCGATAATGGGCTCATGAGTAAGGGGGTTTGTTGTTGACAGTCCGGCTGAAATCAGCTGAGGTAGCAGTTAGCTTAGCATGCTAATGTCAGGCCGTTAAAGATGCTGTAGCAATTATAAAACAGAACAATATCATAGCAGGGTTAACCAAAGAGGATGGTTATCATGACTGTATTTGTATAAATTCGTTACTACTGTTTCTGTTGTGAGAAGTCTGCTCTGAAAATCTGCCAAAACAACAGCCAACCTGTCACTCAGAGGTCAATAACTGCTGATTTCTGCGATACTAACCATGTCAGATGACTTAGCAGGATTTCCTAACCTGTCAGCAGCTTCAAAACTGATGTAATACATTGAGTGGAAGCCTATACACACTTACACACTGTCAATTTCGTGTCAGTCACCAATTGAAAGTCAGTCATTAACCAAAGTGAAGAGTGTGAGGTACATTTGTATTATCTTATTTTATTACAAATCCATTGCTATATCACACATGTATGTTTCTTGTCCATTTGTCCAGATGTGAAAAGTAAACACACGACCACCCACTGAGCATTTTTGGTCTAAAAGAGGTCTAATAGACGTCTAAGTGTAGTCTAGATGACTGGTCTAAAATCAGGCTACCACAGATCTAAAAATGAACGTTTTCAGACGTCTAAATTTAGACCGAGTTTAGACTTGCCAGCTAACAGAGGTCTACCAGTATATTGCTCAACGGCTATCATAATTATTTTGGTTTAGTACTTGGAGATCAGTTATGCAACTCACAGTTGCTTTTTGAAATAAATACTTATCAAATAGCGGGTTAAAGTGCAACGTCTAAATTCCGTCTACAGATATACAGAATCTAGACGGTTGAAATTAGGTCTAACAAACAACTAGATGTCTAATAGCCGTCTATTGCTCAGTGAGCACTATAAAATTTCTGTGTATTTGATTTGTTCAGAAACTCTGCTCTGTTTGCCTGTGATTCTGAGTCAGTTCTGAACACTTCCTGTTATCTCTTGATTTCAAAGCTGGTTTCATCCTGGTGACGAGATTAATCTGCTGATCAAGAAAACAAAACATTAAACTGGTTTCCATTTTAGACCAGACCCTGACATGCTATGCGACTGTTCTTATGCAAATCACGTAAGACAAACCCTAAGACAAACCCATGTCTGTGTTTGCTTCCTGTTTTTGCAGCTTTGGTATCATGTGTAATTATTATCTGACATGAAGTAAAGGTCTTGTAAAAGCAGCTGAGGTTAATTTATTACTTCAGAAAAGAGGAATACATAAAATATAACGATGCACGTCCAGTCCACTCAGGACGTGTTTTCTGTTAAACAAAAGGCATCAGGGAATCTGCTGACATCGACTTTGCCCACTTTCCCAAACTCTCATCTGTATTACTCACGGTGTGGAACTTATTTGATTATTTTACATGTTAATGAACATGAGGAAAGTGATTGTGGAGCACTTAAGAGGCAGCTTGTTGTTGGTAACACATCAAACTATAAGACTTGACAAAGAAATGTGGACTCTACATTAATCACACAGTCTGTTTATTCAGGTTTGAGCTGGTTGCAGCACCGGTTCGGTGTTCTGCTGCGTCACTATTGTTAAATATTTTTATTTTTAACTGCGTCCACGGGCAAAAGTATTGCAGGCTGAAGGTCAGGACCAGGCTGACAAACTTGATTCAAGTAGAGAATTAGCAGAAGTGAACACAAGCTCCTTTAAATATCACTTTTAGCCAAGAAGACCATTCAAAGGGCTTCAAAATACAGGCATTAGACCAAGATATACAAGAAGGGAAAGAGGGTTACAAAGATGGATTAGACCGCACTGGCCTCGCCACTCGCCGATGGTCTATTTGCATACAGGATGGCTTCCTGTTTACACCCTGAGTATGGATTGTTTGTGAAACTGCCCAGAGCACCTACACGAGAGGGTGAATGCAGGATTAGAGCAGGAACCCGAATCTGTCTGCGGGATTTAGACTGTGAGAGGATTAAATCTGGAGAATTCCATGTTTACATCAGAGTTCCTGTTTTCTCACTTTCATTTGGTGGTTTTGAACCTTTTACTCCAAGATTTCATCATGACAAAGACGGCGTGATAATAACCTTTTAATTGAAACGTTAAGATCAGTTTATTTTGGTCAGTGTCCCTCCAGCAAACACACAAACAACAGGCAAACAAACTGTAATACACCGAGGGACTCAATCATTAAGAAAAAGAATAGAAGTGTTATACAAACCAGTCGATTAATACTAATTCTTTAAAGAACGATTAGGACATTATACCTCTGAGACTATAATTCAGTGTAACAAAGAAAGTTGTGTAACATTATACTCAGATTTTTCAACCATTTTAATCATTAACTCACTTTCACATAATGATCCGTAGCTTTTATATTCATGTTCAGCATGTTTGTGACTTTTTCTGATTTTGAAAACTATGAATAAATGACTTTCAAGAAGACGTTTTTCCACCTTGTTTGTCCTTAACTTACTCTGTTAATGACTTTGACTTCCTCTCACCAGATTTTTGACATAACTCTTAAAATGCTTCCAGCTGACAGGGTGTCGAATATTTAACTACAAACTGTTACAACAATCAGAATCTGAAAAGAATAATGTTTCCCTTCAGTGCTAGCTTCCTGATTAATATTTACATTTCAATCACGTTATGAGTTTTTAAAAATGCTTAATTATGTATTTTGTTCACCTCTCTTAGGAGTACATCATCAAAGTCCAGAGGGGCGTGTCTTCAGAGAACAGCTGGCAGGTAAATGAACCAATCACAGCCTCCCAATAGAAAAGTTTTTATATGCAGTGATGAGATACTTCCTTGAACTCATAGTTGGAGCCTGCAAGTGGATGCTGCATTGGTGGTGGTGCTTCTGCAGGGCAGTATTGGCAGCAACACAGCAGAAACGATTGGCTGAAAATACAGTACACCATCAAACTGTTGGGGAGGGGGGCAGGGGGGTTAGTGAGGTGATTAATAGGAGACGCAGTCCACATGAGCTACGCTGCAGATGCTCACAGGGAGCACAAACAGGTTTTGAGGTCGGTCAATCAGTTTGTTCGTAGAAGTATCGACTTACTGAAATGCCTGTTGGACTGATGAGGCTGTGCAATGAGAAGAGTCATTTTGTCTTTGTGTGTTACAGGTCATACGGCGTTACAGTGACTTCGATGTCCTGAACAGCAGTCTGATGGTGAGTTTCACGTCTGTCAGCCTTCATTCACAGCTCAGGATGATGAAAAACCAACAGAAGGGCAGCAGATGATTGTGCAAAGTGTGTGCAGACATTTTGGAGCCTGTGCCAGAGTTATGTCCAATGCACATTTTCTCTTGTTCGTGCATTATCAACGTCAGGCTGAACTGAAGTGTTTGTCTTGTAGCGCTACCTGATGAGTATTGTGCCTGAGCTGCTGTGTCGGTTTTTGTGTGTCCCCATGAAAAACCTCTGAGCAGGACATTGATCCACTTTCCTCTGCTGCAGTAATGATGGAGCAGTGATATGAATAATTGATTAGTGCATTTACACAGTTGGTAGTTTTTTTCACCTTCTCCTTCTGCATTCAGCAGTTGTGAAACTTTCTCTGTGAACTCTTTCATTTCTGTCTCATGTCACTATTTGCTAAGTTTACAAAATCAACTTCTTTGTGTCAGCAGCTTTTGTCAAGTTTTAGATTAGTTGTGTGATGCAAAAACCGTCTGTGTATTTTGGCACGCTCATGGCTGCGTTAGGAAACCTAGAGTTCACTCACACAGGTGATAACCAGTGTGGTGTAACCATGCAGCAAGATGTCCATGTAGATTCTCATTCATCCAGGTCATGGTTTTCTTGAGGACTCCAAAATCAGGCAACTGGACTGTGTAGAGTTGAGAAGACGTTTCGCCTCTTATCCAAGAAGCTTCTTCAGTTCTCTCAGGGGGGAACACCCGGAGATGGGTTTCTACGACCCATTCTTTCCAACTCCTCCCTGTCGTTGTCTGTAAGATAAATATCTGCTCCTCACACTCCTCACGCAATATTTAGAACTGAAGAAGCTTCTTGGATAAGAGGCGAAACGTCTTCTCAACTCTACACAGTCCAGTTGCCTGATTTTAGAGTCTTCAAGAAAACATGCAGCAATTTGTTTTTTTTGTCGGGCTGGGTCTCAGTGGCTCAGGGAGAACGATAATAAGCCAGGATTTCAGTTAGGAGACAAATGTTTCGGTGGGTGACGGACTGACACAAAGATTTCTAAGTGCTGATCCACAGTAAAAAAAAAGAGACATTTGTAGTGTCTTATTTTCACTCAATGTAAAGCCCCCTCACACCCCTCAGTGGAGTGTTGAGATGATATCCAGGATGGCGGTGGAAACAACAGAGTCCAAAGCTTTTTGCTTTTATGTCGATGCTAGAGCTGCACAGTAAAATATGTCAATATCACAATATTTACCTTTTAAGAAACACAAAAATCTTGATTTCTTGCTGTAAATAAGGAATTCATTGAATATATTCAGTCAGTGTTTTCTTCTTGTACATGTGTGAAAAGGCCTTTGCACGGTGCACGTTTGATGCAGCTGTGACGCTCATTGAAACCCTGCAGAGACCCTCTGTGGCTGACATTGGCTCAGTCTTTTTCATGTGTGTTGAAGGTTGATGTGCAAACTTTAACAGTTTCTTTAAGATCCACCGTTGTTTATACGAAAGAGGGTTTTTATTGACAGAAGAAGTCCCTCCCTGATGTGCCACAACACTCAGAACATGTTCTTGCAACATAATATTTGTGTTGTTACAACATAAACCACAGGAAGCTGGTTACTGCAAATGTCACTCTTTAAGTTTTGTAATGATGTTATACTCAGCTCGTCTTGGCCAACTGAAACTTCCTTTTTCGAGAGAGTGGAGTGGCAGCTGTGGTTAGGACATCCTCCAGTCTTTGCTGTTGTGTCATAGAGAAACTCTGCTGTGAGGAACAGTCTGATTATCATTCCTCTGTTAGTGAGTTTTTAATAATGACATTTTTTTTTCACTTCAGTTCTCAGTATCATTATGAGAACCAAGCGCTTTTCCACTGTGATGAAAGACATTCGGTATTGTATCATAATCATGAGAAAACAGTGGGTGAGGTGGAAGAATAGATGATGGAAGTTTAACACTGTACAGATGAAATGTCTCAGCTCTTTAACCCTTTTTGCTTCACCCTGAGGAGAATTTTTGCTGAACGGTGCAAAACAATTAGTTTTTTTTGTGGCGCAGTAGTTTTTTAAATCAGAAGTGGGATTCCCTGATTTCAGATAAGCTCAATATTTTATTTAATTAAACTGTTTAAGTTTCCTTGTTAGAAATGTTGTTAGAAATGTAACAAACTGATGTCGTTTTTTAAGGTTAGCTCAAATTAGGATTCACGTTTAACCCTCCTAAAAACATGGTTTTATGGGAGGCTCTGTCAGCCCATCCGTCCTCTACTATAGTCCTTTTTTACATAAGCTTCAAGTGATTCCCCATTATGAAATTCCCATCATCTTCAGTCCATTGTAGTAAAACAAACACGCTGTAATAAGATTGAAAACACTGCACCTGCTACCATGAGCACATCAGCTCTGTCACAGTGAGCATGCTTGCGTGCTGATATATGCATTTAGGTCAGACCGCTGCGTCTGAGTGCTGCCTCGTAGTCAGAGCTGCTGGTGTGATTGTAAACTCTCAGCTTGTTTGGCTCTGAAGTGTGAAATACTGCAGCATGATATATAGTAACAACCACAGATCCACCGAGAGCGGCTCAGAGGGGGAAAGAAATGGATCAGTGTGTGACCAGGAGGGTAAAAAAACAAAGAGCAGACAACACAGAAGTGTGTGTCCTGAGTTTATTAAGTTAAATTAGTGCTCAACATTTATTTCCTAAAAAGTAAAAAAAAAAAATCTGCTTCTATTAGGATCTGCTATAACTTTAAATTGCCAGCAGAAAAATGTGAAAATAATCTCCATGGTTCAAAACAGCAAAGTTCACACAGGTACTACACACCTGGACATGTATCTTTGGCGCTAAGTTAAATGACTTGACTGTTTTATATCAGGCCTGAACCCTGTAAGACCAGAGCGGATACACGTTCGAACAACGTGGACTGGAATGTATGTTTTGAACTTCATTGCCCTTTTCCCTGCTTACAGATATTTTTCCAAACCCCTCAGCTGTCAGAGTTACACTTTAAACTGTCAAACCAGGACTCCGGGGTCAAAGACATTCAAATGAACTGTAAGATCTGAGAGCGCAGCTTCCTGTCACCAATGACGGTTAACCATTGATGAGTGTTAATGTGGGACAAGTAGATTACAGTGGCCTGTAAACTTCAGGTGCTCCTCTGAGATGAAATAAAATGTGATTTTGAATGATTTTCTCAGTCAAAGACAAAGTGTGTTAACTTCTAATAATTTGATTTTTAAACTGTTTCTAAGCTCCTCACTGCTTTGACATTTTAACAGAGCGTAAATATTTTTTTGTTTTTAGCAGATTTTCTTCGTAAAAACACAGGATTAAAAAAAACAAATAACGGGTGAATGACGGTTGGCTGGATGACGGCATAAATTTAAGTTAGGGTCAAACACACCATAACACAGAGTTAGACACCCCCTCGAGAGATGAATGTTGCTAAATGCTTGCTTCTTTAGTTATACCAGCTGTAGTAACGACCGCAGGATAGCAATACACAGCGGTCTCAACGCGCAAACCTTAACCAAAACGCCACTGAACAACAAATGTTGTTTTCTTGTTTGGCCTCAATCAAACAAATGAACAGAGAAGCTTAGCTGTAAACTACTCACAGCTCATAAACCTCTGAAACTTGTGACCAGGTGATGCAAGCAAAACTGCAGCAAAACCTCTTAGATTACGAGTAATAAATAATGTCAGATTATGTGGTTTACTCTGTCATAATCTCAGCCCTTTAAGGTATAGATCTGATTATCCTGCACTGACCGTGTGAGGCTGTTTGTTTAAGTGGAGATGAGGAAGTAAGCAGATTTTCTGCTGAGGTTTGGTCTGCTCGTTTCCTTTAGGGGTCTCTCAGTGACCCCGACCTCTGTCAGCTCCTGATCTTCAGTCAACAGGATGCAGGAATGTGGGAAACCTGCTGTTTGTCCATTTCAGAGTCTCTTCTGTCTTTTTACTAAACATAAAAATGTTAAAGCTTCTCTCTCTCTCTCTCTCTCTCTCTCTCTCTCTCTCTCTCTCTCTCTCTCTCTCTCTCTCTCTCTCTCTCACTCAGGTGTGTGGCATCAGTCTCCCTCTTCCTCCCAAAAAACTCATTGGAAACATGGACAGGGAGTTCATCGCAGAGCGGCAGAGAGGACTGCAGGCGTATCTGGACTCTATCACCCAGCATCCTTTGCTCTGCAGCTCTCTGTTCGTGAAGAAGTTCCTGGACCCCAACAACTACTCGGCTAACTACACAGGTTTGTCCCTGGACCTCGGTCTGTAACATCATTTTCATAAATCCTAATAAATTTGATCGGTGATAAGATGATTTGGTGCCGTCATCCCTCTTAGAGTTTGGTGAAGTGTACATGGACATCATTAGGTAAAGACAGTGTGGAGAGCGATATTCTGTCTGTTAAACATGTCCCATCTCTGTCTAAGTGCACTCTTTCTCCCTGTTTGTCAGAGATCGCTCTGCAGCAGGTCTCCATGTTCTTCAGGTCCGATCCAAAGTGGGAGGTCCTGGAGCCTCTTAAAGACATGGGTAAGACTCTCCCTCTGAATCTGCAGCTGACTCGATTGTTTAACATGACTCTGTATTGCATTACTAATAATAAATGCATTAATGCAAACAAAAGGTGCAGCCAACTGTTGTTTTTGTAATAATCTCACTCTGTTGTCAGAAGTGTTTTTTGTTTTTTTTTTCCACACAAACATGTTCACAGTTGAATGTGGTTAAAGACAAAACAATCACAGATCCTCTCATTGAAGTCCTCTGAACTAGAGACTGGATAACAATTATAAAACCACTTTAGTACTTCCTGGTAAACTTTACATTTAATCGTGAATGTTCCAGCTCTTCAGGCGCCACAAAGTACCGTTCACCAGGAAACTACCTGGCTGCGCCGCTGAGTTAGCGTACATTTACTAATATTAGTTACCATGAGTAACTGGTTATACTAGACCAGTGAAGATCGATGCAGCTGAATTCCTGAGTCTCTCTCTGATGTGTTTTGGTGTTTCTTTTACTCATGAGTCCAACTGTAAATGTGTAAATGTAGGATGTGTTTCCTCTTTGATATGAAGCACTTGTTTAAAAGAATGTTTGTTTGAGTAAATGTAGAAAACCTTGAATCTCATGCTCTCTAAGTCTGATTTTTTTTTCTTCGGTGGAGCTGTAAAGGGAGTGACGTGTTGTTTGTTTTGTCTCTTCAGGCTGGAGGATCAGGAAGAAATATTTCCTAATCAAAAACAAAGAGCAGCCAAAGGAGAGATATCTGCTGAGCTGGGTGAGTGAATCAGAAATCAGAGCTGTGGACTGATAGTCCTGCTGATACCAGTCTCTGAAACATTCAACACAAAAACACAGAGTTCCAGTAACATCTGTGATTAGGACAGCTCCATCACTAACTCACTGACTGAGCTGTGAGGTCGAGGCAGGAAGGTACGGTTATTTTCTCCTAAGCTGTTTTTTTAAATATTGGACTAAGATCCTTTGAGGTTTACGAACCTTCATTTGACTTATTTTAATCACCAGAAGGTTTTGTGAGATAACCTGCTTCAGATAATCTTTATTTTTGCAGAGATTTATGCCTGAAAATCTCATCATTCCCGTACTTTGGTGTCAAAGATAATCGGCAAACCTTCCAAGAAAGAAATGAAGTTCATGATCTAACATTTCTCCTCTTTCATCAGAAGTTAGAATCATTTACAGAGAAATGATTTTGTTTGAAGAACATCACAGGGAGAAATATTTCGTCCGTTTCTTTAAATAAATCCCAGAACACACAAACTTCTTTTTGAGGTAAAGGAAGTTTTTCTCTCCGACTGACTGAACTGAAGTGGATTTTTTATTCCAGGACCGTTTCACATACCGAGGGGACTCTCACAGTCAAGAACAGATTAAATTAGCCTTAATCTAAATTCAATCAAATGTACTCTGCTGTTGTCAGTCTTTTAAGTCCGAAGTGAAAAACGACTAAAGAGAAATGAGCTTTACAAACATTGTTTGACGTTTAAATCACATTTCACTCTGTAGCTTTCTAAATTAGTTTTTGCTCCTTTCTGATAAAAAAAAAAAACTCCAAGGGTTTTTTTGGACGTTAAAAAGCAATTTGGGATTTTAAGTGTGTTATTGAAGACTTGCCAGAAGTAGATGAATAAATGTAATTTGTGTCACTCAGTTTTTTTCCGAAGCAAATCTGAACAGAGACCTCTCATGTGTCAAAATAACTGAACCTCCTGGTGTGTGTTTCCATGTGTGTGTAGGTGGACCTGGGTCCTGATAAATTCCTGTCCGACAAAGACCTGCAGTCTGCCATGAAGGTGCTAACCAGCTTATCTGTGAGTACACAGTTTGTTTGTCTTTGTGTGTGTATGAAGTAAAAGTAGAGAGGCACTGAGGAGGATGATTGTGTACATGTGAAGGATCATCGTGACCCTGAAAACTGAAGGTACTCTAAGCAGAAAAAGACACGTAAGAAAGTCGGGAGAAATAAATCTACAGCCAGAGCTCCGAGGTCTTTTCTACGAAAGAGGATAAAGGCCACAAGAAGAGAAAAAATCATTACAGGAAGGAGATTGTTTTGATTTCCATTTCGAGATTAAAGTCGAAATTTCGTGAGCAAAGTCGAATTTAACTTTGATTTGAATTTTGAATTCTGTCCTTTAATCATCAAATGTCTCTCTTTCTCTCTCCTTCTCAGACTCCATATCTGTGTCCGCTGTCCTTCTCCAGCACCAGTGAGTCTTCAGCGCTGCTCATCCGACCGTTCAGTGAGAGAGGCTCTCTGAGAGACCACATATGCAAGGTACACTGTGAGCGTGTGTGTGGAGAAAAGCAACAGTTTACTTAAATACAGGTGCTCATTGGACGAATGAGCAGCATCCAACTTCTCCATCCCACTACTTTACAGTTTTAGTCTCAGAGTTTAGGCAAAGTTTTTACATTTCAGATGAAAAAAACACAATAAATATAAATCCAAACAGAGAAGATAAAAAAGCTTTTTGTAGCTCCATGTACAGAAAATGTTTTTGATAATGATTTGATCCTCAGTACAGTTTAGAGACACGCTGACCATATCCTCTGTCTGAGCAGGTGAAGCCCAGAGAGAGTTACCTGAAGAAGTACTGTAACCCAAAGAAGAGTCAAGGCCTCGAGCTGCAGCACATCAAGCTGTACGGACGACAGATCCTGGAGGTAGAAACACACACACACACACACACACACACACACACACACACACACACTCATTATTTGTTTTTGTCCTTTTTACAGTATATATGTTTACATGTGTGTGTGTTTTCAGGCTCTAAAGCTCCTCCATGACGGCGGCATGTTTTTCGGTCACCTACACGCGTCTAATGTAATCGTGGACGAGGGCGTGTGTCAACTGACAGATGTGGAGAACGGCATGCTGGGAGTCCCCTCAGCGCTGCGGCCGGCTTTCACTCAGCTGAGGAAGATCAATGTATGTAAACACAGTTAGTCATATATTGTGGTGCTGTACCTTTTTATTGTATAGCACTTAAAACACATTCAGTGTCAGTGAGATCTAGCTCACAGAAGTTTACTGTATAACAAACCAAAAAGTTCTACTTTTAACCCAAATCACAGTTAAACGTCACAAATAGTTATGAATAAGAAATAAACAAGAATAAAAGTTGATCATACTTGTACTTAAATCTGTTTTAAGTCCAATTTTATGTCTTTTTAACGGAACATTTGTGTCTCATGTCTTTGAAGAATGTCACAGAAACATGGTCGTATTGATGTTCTTCAGACAAATAAGACTACACAGGATTAAATCATTTCCACAATCTCTTAAAACTCCATTGTGTTCGTGTGTGTGTGTGTCTCCACAGAGCACAGAAAGTATCGACGTCTTCTCTTTTGGACATTTACTGTACGAGATGACGTACGGCCGACCTCCAGACAGCATTCCTGTCGACCAGTTCCCCCCTGTTCCCTACACAACTGTGGGTCAGTATTCAGATAAATCAGTGCACACACACACACACACACACACACACACACACACACACACACACACACACACACACACACACACAAATACACACTGTCATGTTACCTCTTTTCTTCAAACGCTGACACATCTGGATGTGACGCATTAATGAAATTTCTAAAAATGTCCAAATCATTCCCAGCTGCTCCTGGTGATTTACTGTGTTTATGGTGTGTGTGTTTGTGTTTCTCAGTGTCGGTGCTGCAGTCCATCCTCTCACCAGAAGCCTGTAAGGGAAAGATGCCGACAGTGTCGGAGCTCATGCAGACACCGTGAGTTCACCTGATTGAAATAAACAGAAAACCACAAACAGCCTGTTTATAATCAGAGGACACTTTCTTTTTATGCTGATGATGCACTGAACTTCATTTTTCTTCAGCTGATTGCACATTAAGACTACATGATGGGATGTTTTGTTGTCAAGTAATACGTAGCTGTAAATTAGCATATTGAGTCACAGTATATAGTAGTGGTGCAACGGATCACAAAACTCACGGATCGGATCGTTCCTCGGATCAAGAGTCACGGATCGGATCATTTTTCGGATCAGCAAAAAGAAAAAAAAACAAGACAAATAAAATATATAAAAGTAGTGCACAGGGCATAATATCTTCTTTTTAACATAATTATTAATGACAAACAACTTAAAGTACAATATGCAGGCATATCTCCTTCCTTTAAAATGTAACAATGAACCAAAAATGAAGTGTGTGCGCGATGGGATGTCGTAACGTGGCTCAAGCACTTTCAGCATGTTTTTAAAGCCCTCGTTTTGCACAACTGAATACGGCCTCATGTCTGCAGCTATAAACACACCGATAGAGTTTGTGAAAGCTTTAGCCTGGTCGGATTGCGCAGGAAGAGGCTGCTTAAATGCTGCGGTGATGAGCGGTTGTTGGGCAGCTTTCGTTTTATCTCAGGTGTTATGCCAAAGAATGCACCCCTGCCGTATAGTGCACCCCCTAACGGGAGCGCGGTTGAAAGTACATAACAAGGCGAAATAATACAAGTTTTCCTTACGTTGGATGTATTCAACAGCGTTTGCCTTTAATAATTTCATTCAGGCTATTCATATCAAATATGAGATCATTATCTCCACTTTAAGAAGCTAACGGGTGGAGGGGATGCAGGGGGTGCGTTCTACGGCAGGGGTGCAATCTACGGCACAACACCTGTCAGTAAAACACCCGGGTGATGTCGCTTCAAATGCGTGAACATGCTCGATGTGTTTCCACTGTCATGTGGCTTTCTTATGCCACAGTGCCTACACTCCGTCGCAGTTTTGTACACTGACCTCTTTCCTTCTTCATCATAATTGACAGGGAAGCCAAAATGCTCCCATACAGGGGATTTAAGTGTCGCGGGGCGTTCGAGCTCCTCCCTTCTCCGCTTTCAGAAATCGATCCGCGGATCACATGTGTGCCGAACCGAATACGTCGATCCGAACGGATCACGGATCAATGATGATCCGTTGCACCACTAGTATATAGGGTGTACTGTAGTGCATGGTCATATTTGAAAATGTCATACAAGAGCAGACAGATCCCGGGTTGATAGATTTAATATTATGAGGTAAAACCAATGCAGGAAAAAAGAGAGAGAAAAGTAACTGGGAGCAGGATTTTCTGTTGCTGTTAAGTCCCTTTTTTGTGTTTTGCAGGTTGTTCAGTGACGTCCAGCTTCAACACTCAGAAAAACTCCAGATCAAGGTAACCAAGGTTACTCCTCAGAATTCGTCCGTTAATGAAGAGAGTATTTCACTGCAGAGTATCAACTCAGGTAAAAATATCTGACTTCATCCTCTCCTCCAGATTCCCAGCAGGCTAAAAGAGGCCCTGAAGACAGCAAAGGAGAGTCTGGAGAAGAGGCTGCAGGAGGAGCAGAGAGTGGTAAGCACTTTTCTTATTAGTGAATATTTGTGTATTCCCCTGCCTTAAAGGTGGACTATATAAACATCTTCTGTTTTAATGTTTGATTAAAGCTCCATCAGCATAGAAGGCTGACCAGAGCTCAGTGTCACCACGGGTCAGAGGAGGAGAGGAAGAGGAGGAAGATACTGGCGAGGAAGGTAGGAAACTTCATAACATCTTAGCAAACATCTTTGCTCTTTATAAAGAAACCCTCAACAATAAAGGCTTTAATTACAAAGGAAAACAAAGACTCATGGGATACTTTTCCATTGTTTTGTGTTTGTTTGAATGATGCGGCTTAGCCTTGGATGAGAACAGAAACCCGCAGGAATGTTCGACAGACTTAAATAGACTACATGGTTTAAATGAGTAAAAATGGGACAAACTTCTGCTGCATGAGAATAAACCAAAGTGTGAAAGTACGCTGTAAAATGTCAAACTCTGAAACTATGTTTTCTCGTTTTAGCAGAAGTCCAGACAGTCGGCTTTTGAAAATGAAGAGGATGTGTCCGTCAGAAACAACAATAACTCTGGTAGGTTGATAACACTCAAAGCTTATGCATGCATGTGTTAGTTTTATAGTCGCTGTATTGTTCAGCAGTCATGCTCAATCCAATGAGGGACACAGCCTTTGTTTCCTGCACAGACCGGTCAGGCTGAATCATCTTGTTTGATTTGGTGCACAAAGAATGACTTACTGTGTTGGACTGAAGGATGCTCCTGATGAACCCTGTGCAGCTGCTTTTAAAGGAGCCTTTGAAATGAGACTGTCTTTGATGCGCCGCTGTGATGCAATCAGATTTCAAATGCGCCCTTCAAAGAAAGCAGCCCTGAATTTGGACGCAGCTACTGGAAGCTAGTTTAGGGATTTTATTGACTCCTTTATTTGTTTTGTCTTGCAGTCTTTTTAAGTCATGCAAAAAACAACTTTTAGATTGTGAGGTGGCCAGGTTACACATTATATACAGTACAGGCCAAAAGTTTGGACACACCTTCTCATTCAATGTCTTTTCTTTATTTTTTTATATGACTATTAACATTGTAGATTATCACTGAAGGCATTAAAACTATGAATGAACACTTGTAGAATTTTGTACTTATAAACAAAGTGTGAAATAACGGAAAACATGTTTTATATTCTAGTTTCTTTAAAATAGCCACCCTTTGCTCTTGATGACAGAAGTACCTTGTCAGGGTTACTTCAGGCACTCCTGTGAAGTTAAAACCATTTCAGGTGACTACCTCATGAAGCTCATTGAGAGAACAGCAAAAGTTTGCAGCGCTATCAAAAAAGCAAAGGGTGGCTACTTTGAGGAATCTAAAATATAATACGTGTTTTCAGTTATTTCACACTTTTTTCTTAAGCACATGATTCCACATGTGTTCATTCATAGTTTTGAGAATCTACAATTTAAATAGTAATGAAAACAAAGAAAATGCATTGAATGAGAAGGTGTGTCCAAACTTTTGGCCTGTACTGTAGTTAAAAAAATACAAAAGATAAATATATATTTGTGGACCAAGCATAAAGTTATTGCAGTTATTAGCTCAAAAATACATGTTGATCTTTATGATATTTGTTGATTAAGTTTTACTGAACGGGTTTAACAACAAAACATGAAAATGACGTGACTAGATTCAGAGTTAGCTGATGCTGTATTCTTGTTTTTTTTATGATAAAATCACCAACTGTGTTTTTACTCAGGTTCTGGGGCCAGCTCTCCTCCCACATGCCCCTCCTCCCCCACACCACCATCCACCACAGGTACGTCCATCTGTCCATCAGTCTGTTTGTCCCTCTGTCTGTCCTCCCATCAGTCTTACTGTAACAGAATACTAGACATGTTGGTTAGCACCCTCTAGTGGTGGCTCAATGCCGTGTTGTGTTTTGGCTCTCAGCCCAGGTCAATAACAGCATCTTTTTTTTTATTAACACTGAATTGAATCAGAATTTGCATGAGTGAATATGAAGTCTAATCACTGAACCTGCCTGTCTCTGTCTCTCACCTCTTCTTCTCTCATCATATGATTACCTGGTTTTCAGACAGGTATCTGTCTTTACTCTGATGGTGTATTGATTTGTCCACGTTGTTGTGTCTTTAGACGACTTGTCTCAGGGTGGGAAACACCGATGCTTCATTTATTTAATACAACAACAAATCCTGTGAAAAAACTCAAACCTTTAAGTGTTTTATTTTCTCCTGAATAAATGTATCATGTAACTAGTTCAGGAGTAAACTGTTTACTGTTTAAAGGAGACCTATTGTAGTCATTTGCATGATTGGCAGCTTGAAAAACTCCTTATTTGAAAACCCTCTTTCCGGAATGATACACAGTTAGACAAAGCGCGTGGTTGTTACTTTTTACACTGCTTTGTATTTTTAAAAGCAACTCCAAAGTTTTGCCTTCACGTGACGTCTGAGGCTGCCTGTTAGCAACCACCCAGCCCATCATTCAGACCTGTTACCGTCCAGTAGCTGATGTTACGTTACCTGCTGTTATATTGTTACTTGCAGCTTGTTGTTGTGAGCCTTCTCGGAGAGTCTCGATGGATGATACAGCTCCAGATTTCAGTGACAATTGGCGTGTTAATGGAGTTTGTATCGGCTTTTGTTTACAATACAGTCACAGCTACTGAACATTGATGCCCTGGAAACAGGAAAACTCTGTCTTCTGGTGTCTTTGGGAGGAGAGAGTAACGGGGGACTTCCCGCTTTTGAACGACTTCTTTAAATATTCAGAGGTTAATTGAAAAAGTGCAGAGTGGAGGAAAAAGCAAAGCAGTGAAATGAACTTTTCAGCTTCCAGGTTGGTGTTTTCTTTGACTGAGCTGCCTGATGATGGCGTCCTCTGTCAGCTTTGTCTTTATAGGACGCCACAACCTGACAACCTGACTCAGGAGACCAGCATATCTGGAGATTACATCTCTTTCTGTGTGTTTTATGGTGTGAAACTTAACTGTGGTTTATTGTGGATGTTGTCAAACATTGTAAGATTATAAGTATGTGTTAAAATAGGTATCGTAATAAAAGGTTTCCTTTCATTTTTAACAACAGCATCAGTAAACCCTAAAACAGCTCGACAGTTTTTTTTAACAGAAGGAAACAGTTTTTCTGAAGCTGGTTTTCTGTGGAAATAAATACTTTAAAACAATAACAGTGGAGCTCTTCTTAACCAAACGAAACACCAACAATGTTTGATAGTAGAAATACGAATATACCAATTTTTTTACTGTCGTCAAATGATTATTTGTTTTCAGCATGAATCGTGATGTTTGATCATAGATTGACAGATGATACAAAAGCATAACTGTGCAGTAGTTTTATTTACACAGGTTTTCTGATAGTTAACCCTTTTATGACACTAAAGTCACAGAAAATTTAACCCCTTATGTCCCCTCATGACCCTCCTTTAAAACGATTATTTGATAGATGTTAGAAATCTCTCTGTGTCGTCTTCCTCTTTGACACGAGTTGATCTTCTTGTTTTCAGCCGTTTCGATCCGTCGGTTCGACAATAAAATGGAGTTCTTGTTGGATGATTAACCCTTCGATGGTTTGGTTCTTTCATGGGTTTTATTGACAGTCTTTGTCCTGAAGCTTTCACAACATAACATGGCATCAGTTCCCCACCCTGGTTTAGGTGTCTCCTTTCCTCTCCTCACCTCCTCTCCTTGTTTCTCCTCCTCTCCCTCTCTCTCCTTCGTCCCGGTGAAACTGAGTAAATGCTGATTGAACAGATAATTATCATCTCTTTCTCTCTCCTCCTTTTGTGCCGTCTCCACCATAGAGCATGCTCCATTCTGACCGTGTCGTTGGGTAAAGTAAAAGATTTACAGCCTTAATGATGATGATGATGATGATGGTCTTTGCTGGTTTTTGAGGCTGTTGTACTCCCTGGTTTTCCCAGCATGCTCCTTGTCCAGACCTTCCTCATGATCAGTACATCTAGTGGGGAAAGAAACTAAAAAGATCCAGTGTAGAAAAGAAAATTTAAAACAGGAACCAAATTGATCTCTGCAGACTGACACGGGTTTTAGTTGTAAGTTGAGGATTTCCGCACACTGGTGCGTTTAGAAAACTGCAGTTCATTTGTGCTTCTCTAATTAAAATGGACTCAAAGGATCCCCAAAGTGGTGCCACACACTGTCGATGTTTATGTCCGAAAGTTTGGATTAAGTAAAAAGGGAGAGTGAACTTTTTCAGGGAAAAACTAAAACAAACTGATTCAGATCTACTCTGAGACTGTCTTAGTTTATTGGTGTCTGTTTTTTTTACTTATTCTAAAATCTGCTGGTGGAAACATGTCAAACAGGCTCTCTGTAGACAGGATTGCGTGATGGTGGCACTTGATTACATATTGATTTTGACAGTATCAACCTTATGATATAGATTTAAACTAAAAGAGAAATAAGTGGCTTAAACGTGGTCTGGAATGACGAGGTTGCTGCTGGCTTGGATCAGGGTGCACAAACATCCTTCTAAAAACCTCACAATCTGCAATGAAGTCCAAACCTCACAGACACCCAAACCCCCTTGCTGTTCAGACCCTCAGGTCTCATTGGAGATTGTGATCTGTCAGCTCTGTCTGTCAGTCTGCTGCATGTCTGTCTGTTTCTGTTTTCTGTCTGCTTGTGCGTCTGGTTTTGAGGCGGGTTGTCTTTGTGAAGTCTATCAGATCCTTTAAAGCTCCTGTGAGGAGATTGTAGCTGAAAATGAAACGGACTGAAATAAATACAGATGCCTTTATACCCAATTTAGCCACTATCACCGTGATGATGGATTATTTCTTTATTGTCTGAAACCGCCGGTGCAGATTTGCAGTAGTTTACTGTAAAAAGACAGCAGGATGAGATACGCTGTTTACACATAATAGGATCAAATCAGCAGAGAGGAGGTATCGCTTTGTCCACAGGGGGGCACCAAACTCAACACAAACCAAAAGTTCCTCACAGGAGCTTTAACCTTTCACTTTTGATGAGAAACTTTGTGGACACTCTCCTGCTGAATCAGGTTCAGGTTTAGTCCAGTTTGTTGAGCAGGTGACCTGATCAGAGGCCGAAGTCCTCATCACACTTGAATCCCAGTTCAAGTAGGGTTCAGTATGCGTGTATCTCTCCCCACATTTCCTGTTTCTCTCTCCCAAGCAGCTGGATCCAGTGAAGGCCAAAATCAAACAGCGATCTAAAAAGAGTTTTATTATTTTTTCATATTTTGAGGTTTCACAGACAGTTTTGCTCTGTTCAGATAATGCTTCGTCCTCAAACTTTTTGCACTTATTTTGCTTTCTTAATACTGGCTGTCTGAAGCAGGTAAACTATGAAAGGTGCACAGTTAACCTTTGAACACGTGTAAAGCTTATACCAGGATGGGATAATCCCGCCTAAACCAGCCCCCCAAAAGAATCAAAGAAAACGCATTTCTTATCTTAAGGGCTTGGAGTAAAAGAAATACGTCAAATTTCTTCACCATGATTCAGATTCCAGAAGTAGAACCTTCTGAGGTAAAGGTGATAGACACTCAAATTTTACAGTAAAACATCATCGTTTTGGTCAGGTATTTGTGTAAGTTCATTTTTCAGACGTTGTGTGTTTGCTGTGTACCGAAAGTCCAGTGCAAGGTTCAAACATGGTGATAAAGTTTTAGATTATTTTATAGATCTTTTCACACAGATTTCACCATCATTTGTGAAATGCTGACACAGCTGGACTCTCTGCAGGTCAAACTGTAATGTGAGTTCAGAGTCATGTCAGTATTCACATAAATGAACACTGACGCTGCTGGAGGTCAATCCTGGAGAGAATCCTTTATCAAAAAACATGTTATTATTGTTAATGCAGTACTGAGGTGATGGTTTCTCCAGGTTTGGACTCCGTCTGTCAGACTGACGGATGCTCGTTCATTAAGTTTCAGACAAAAACACAAAGTGAAGTCTGTGGATCCACTCTGAGCTTTTCCCCCCCTGCTTCACATTCATGTTGGTGTCCCCAACATTTTGCTTCCCTGCCTGCAACCACTGGGTCTCTGTTCAGTGTGGGATGCAAAATGGCGCAGCTGGAAGTCATGTACCAGGTTTAAATTCAGTTCACCGTCAGTTCACTCTCTGTTAAAGCTCACAGATTAAAGTTGGGCTAAACTTTACCTTAAAGACACAGAACTGAACGAACTTTGTACAAATAATTTATTGAAGAAAGGAACGAGTGTTGTCTTGAGAGTCATCCAATCAGAGAGATTCAGATTCTGTTGCCATGTGAGTTATAGTGAGGCGAAGATTGAGGTAGAGAACTGCAGGACTCTTTGCATCTTTGATCAGATTGATTATGAAATTCTAGAACTCTTGACAGCAGCTGGGGTTGATGGGTAGTGTAGTTTTAAAAGATAAACTGAGTATTATTAGATTGAGCTTTTAAAATGACTATGAGAACACTTTTGCATGACTAAATTTAAATATATTTACTCAAACCTGTTCGTGACCTATAGATGGGTTGATACTGATGGTGAACTGAGTTCGACCTGAACCCTGGTCCTGGTGCAGGAGCTGGTTTCACAAAGATAAACATTCTCCAGAGTCCTGGTCACTCTGCGTAAACAACTGAAACAGATTGTATTGCTTTAAGTCAGCCTTGAAATATAACTATGCAGTTTTAAAATTTAATTGTCAGTTAAATAAGAGGTGAAATGAGGTCGTGTTGTTGACCACGATGGCCTGTGAGGTCATTAAATGCATCAGAACACGTGGACAGAGGATTCTTGAACCTTCTAATACCAGCTACCAGCATCTCCCCTAGTGTTTTGGGTTGTTCACCAGGGTCTTCATCCATTGTTTTCTTCTCTGTCTGGTTTGAATTGTTGACTGCATTGCTCAACGCTGCCCTCCCACAGTTTGGAATGGTACTGTAACAAGTGATCAGTATTCAAAAGCTTCCAGAACACATGTAGAAAAACAGATAAAATAAGCTCAGAGTTCAGGAGAAGGCCCTGTCCATTTCTCTTTAAGTATCTGATAAGCAGTATACAGAAGCTTCAAGTGGACACAGGCCCTTAAAATGTGAACTATGACCAGCATGAACCTCTCTCTGTGAAACCAGCTCCGAGGGAAAGTGCATGTTCGACAGACACCACAACCGTTCCTCCATTTGGAAATCAACATCTAAAACCTCCTCTCATTCTCCTCTTTCTTATTTCCAGGAGGCCAGACTGCTCCTCCCCCTCCTCCTCCTCCACCTCCACCTCCACCTCCTCCTATTCTGGACTCCTGCCCACCTCCTCTGTCCCCCCCTGATGGAGCAGGAGCAGGTCGCGGCGCTTTGCTGAGCTCCATCCAGACTTTCAGTAAAGGCAAACTGAAGAAGGCGCAGACTGTGGACCACAGCAAACCCGTCATCTGACCCCGCCCACCGCCTGAACCCGCCCTCCACTATGGAGCCCGTCACTATGTCCATGCACTGGTTCTGCTCTGTGGTCTGGACTGGTTCAGGTGTTGCTTTCTGTGATGTGAAAGGAATCACTAACGAAGAGAAAACCCAAGTACCGTTTTGGTTTTTATCGTTTTTTTCTGCTTTTCCTGCTGTTGAATTTTTAAAATCTGTTGCTGTGGTAAAAGACAGCGAAGGACGGGTGGTAAAAAAAAATGGCTGCTTCAGTCTGCAGACAATCCTCTGGTGGTTTTCAGATTAACCTGCTGCTTCAGCCAGCAGCCAGTCTGCTTCTCTTCTGCGCTTTTTGCTTGTAAAATTTGCATTTGAACGTTCGGAGTTTGATTTGTGGGAGCCACTGTGGACGCTTCGTCTCATTTGAGGATGAGGTTTAACTTCCTGGATCTATTACTCTGAGGTCAGTGCGTTGACGCTGTCATCATGATCCTTGAGTAGCTGAGAAACTGGACCAAACTCCAGTTTTCCCTCATGAAAAATCATCTCGATTATTTTGACATGTAGCCTCCAGACTCTACAGACTGTTCCACTGACGAGGAACACCTCCATGAAAACTGGAGCTGCAACAAATCAGCGTTATCAAATTATTTCTGTTTCTAATTGAGCCTTTTCTACTTCTTCAGTTTCTTAAATCAAATGTAGGATTTTACACAGAAATCTGACAAGATCTCAAACATGTCTGCAACTTGAATCAAGGAAAGTCAAGCAGCTGCATTAAAAGCACGAGAAAGGCAACTTAATCTAAAAAAATAAATATGATTTTATTTATTGGAAAGCTAACAAATCTGTTTTTACTTGTTTTATGAGGTTAGGACTTAGATTACAGACAAACTGGAGCGATCAGAGGAAGTGTTGCACAGTCAAGCTGGAGCCTTTCTGCTGGTGGTTTAAGGAGGGAGAGATTATCAGTTTTGTGCAATGATTCACCTGCTCGAGATTTGTGCTGATGGCGTAAGAGAAAAGAAAAATTTGGATCCTTTTCAGTGTTCATGTGATCGAGAAATATCTGAATTCCTCTGTTGAGTTTCTCTGTTTGATCAACATCAAGCCTCCTCATCACTTATAATCGGTGATAGAATAGCTGTTTGAGACTCAATCTGCCAGCGTGTCTAGTTTACATGAGAGCAAAGAATGAAGATCAGCGTATCAAGATTTTCTCTCAATTCTTTAAACTTTGCCATATTTACAGTATATTGATAAACAAATCATTGACTGTGTATAAAGATGGACGACATGCCTCCACTGTTGTGCAAAAGTGAAACCCAGATGATTTTTAAAACGGATGTCGACATCTTGATCAACAAGTGGAGTCACATATTAATATCCCTCCAATTTTCAAGCCAATAAATTCCATAAATTTAGCAATAAAACGGTAAAAACCCCTTAAATTAAAATCACAACAGATTCTGCTGTTGGTGTTAATAGATATTAACTATAAAAAAGACCTTGAAATCTGTGGTAGTGTCTTCTCTCATCCTCATTCGTTCACAGAAATGTCAATCACTGTGTTATGGCTTTCTCTTTTGGGATCCTAAATACTGACTACAACTTACATCCTCAGAAAATTAAACATGAGGACGTAATTCAGCGCGATAAAAACTCAACTACAAAAAAAGGTGTTTCTTCGACATGGTTTTCTACTTTGATACATGTCCCATCTGTACATAGGGAGGAAGTGGGCTTATGAGTGATACTGCAGCCTGCCACAAGGGGGAGTTTCAAATCTTTTGGCTTCAAATTTGGGTAGTTGTCATGCCGTCCATCTTTCATCACAGTCCTGTGATCCACAACTTTTTTTTTTGTCTGTTTTTTTTTTTTTTTTAAGCAGTATTTTGTTTACGTGTGTGCGTTTAACTGGGAAGTTGTTGTGGTGCAAAAACTCAAACTTCTAAGTCTCAGTCAGACCAGAGAGGATTATAGGACAACTGGAAGCAAAGATGCAGAAAGCTCAACAGCTCTATCGCAATGTAAGTTCAGCCTCCTGAGATAATGTGTCCTTAATTAGAGAAACTATAGCTGATTATAGAAGTGAATTTAAGTCAGGCCTCTTTGAAGCAGCTGCTCTATGGGAGTCACGTCTTTGCTTTGCGCGGTTTCAAACTTGCACATTTGGTGTGAAACACTGTGAGGCAGAGATTCTGTACTGTCCTAAACCAGACCACCATGAATCATGGATCATGGGAGGTTCAGCTTTGACAACATTCAGGGTCTGGATGAAACAATGAATCAGTGTCTACCAGCTACTGTAGAGGGAGATTCAAAAACACAACTAGCAATTGTTCGATTTTGCTTGTTTGCACCAGAATCAAAGGGTTCTGAATAGAAATACAAAACCCATATTTATGCTCTGTATGCTTACGTTAGCTTCAAATCATATGTAGATAACATTACTGCTCATTATTTTTAGAATCATCCATCCACTCAAACAGGTTTAAGGAATTCTTTCCCCCATATTTTTATTTTTAAAAATGACCTTACAAGACCTAAACGTTGCTACAATGAGAAACCTCTTTACTGAGACTAGGGGTTAGAGAGTGGAACTGTTTTTGTTTTTTTAGAATAAAGTCCTAAAATACATAAATTATCATTCTATTACAAAAAGTCTTCAATTAACAGGAATCAAGTCAAAAAATGCTGAGAAGGAAATGTAAATTTACAAATAAAGGTCACAAATTTATGAGAGTAGGTTAATTTTTTCCAGAGCAGTAATAAACAGCAAATAAATAAAAGTATATTGAAAGATTAAAAAAATGAATATTTACAGGATAAAAAAATGGCAGAAAGTCTTGTGAAAGTTGTTACTTTATGAATTCACAGTCTGAAAACAAAATTTATTTAAAAGCTTTCACTGATGATTTCTGTAAATTTATGACTTTACTCTTCGACTTCTGTGGATTTAAGAGTTTGTTCTCAGAAACAGTGTTACATTTCTGTGAGGTGGCTCTAACCCTCTGTCGTACTTTACAGTAAAGTTGCTCTCACTGTTTTTTAAAGTTTGACAAGTAAAGTCAGGTGGTCAGAGCTGATAAAAAAAGGCTTTCAGTCCTGAGTGGACTTTTATGTTGTCCTCTAAAAACTGGACTTTGAAACAGCTCAACTCATTTGTGGGAGTCGATGTTGGGAGTAGCATTAAATGCAACACCAAGATGTGATTCACCGCCAGTGATAAAGATCCATATCCATGTGACAGTTGTGTAATTTATCCAAAATAAAATGGATCTCATTGCTGCAACTTTTAAGCCTTTTTCAGGAGAACAACCTGAAGTAGTTTGGAAAATGAAAAACATCAAATTGGGGGACTAAAGATGTGTTTGCTGTAGGGACTTTGAGAGATTAATTTACTCCCATCTTAGAAATCAGTCATTGATTTCTGATCAATAAGGTGTTATTTCCTGTTATCTTTATGTGTTTGCCTCAGATTCAGTTTATCGTGCCATATGGATCTTTGTGCCTCCTGAATGTTTTGTTTTTCGTTCAAATATTGTTTGTGATAAAGAGCTGTCTTATGGGATTTTAACACTAGAGCACACACGATATTCTACTTTAATATTGCTGTTAGATTTTGACCAGATCTGAGAGGCACCCCAGAGTGAGAAACTCCTGATTTTCATTCATATTTGGTTGAAAAACTACCTGACAAACAGTGAAGTGTTTTGTTTATTCCTGTGTGTGGAGCAGAGCTGCTGCCCGAGCAGATGTCATGATATCAGGTGAATCTGTCCACCTGAGGAGTCTGCTCTCTTCAATCCAAGTTTGAGCTCTCAGATTGTTTGTTTTATGTTTAAAGAGTTTGTTTTTTATTATTCAGTGCAATCCGGTCCAATGCGATGGTCTTCACGTCTTGAATGGTCATTGAATTGTGTCTGAATGTTTCTCTGCAGCACTTTACCCAGGGGGGCTGGAAGACAAGTCCAGAGGTGTTTGTGTCATAATGAATTCCCAGGAATGACGCTGGATTATGAGTAAGATAACTCTGAAAAACCACTCTATGATCTCCAGGTCATTTACATTTACTACACATGAGATAATGTTTCAGAATGATCTTTTTAAAAGTATCTCCTCCTCATTAAAGTCTTCATTAAACGCAGCAACAAAAGGACTCTCCTCGTCATGACTATTGAGACTGACGTCTAGCAGCCCGTCTGTAATGAGTGATGACTGTATCCAACTGAATGAACATTTGATTAAAAAGTGGTTTAAGAAAACTGTGTAAGTTATCTTTATGTAAATTCTGCTTTAAAATGGTTAATTATAAAAGGCAAAAGTGAAATAAAGAAATAGTAAAGATATAAAGACAGGAATACCCTCACTGTTAATAAATAACATGACTACAAGGAAGTATGGGGAAAAAATTACATATACAGCTGATGAAACTCAGAAACATTTCACAAAACTCAAACATGTTTCATGAAGTTGAAATTAAAAAAATTCATTAAATGCCTAAAAATTTCACAACACAAAATGAAGGCATTTACAAACAAAAAATTTCATGAAATAAAAACTTCACAATATAAATATAAAGAAGTGCAAAAAACCACAGTATGTGGTAAATGAACATTCAGCAAAAAAAAATATTTTATGAACTGCAAATAAAAAATTATAAAATACAGAAATGTGATAAAAAAAAATTTACATACGCAAAAACCTGTATGAAACGTAAAAGATGAACAAAAATGAAGTAAAATAAAATTCAAAAGAAATTACACAAAAATAATTTGAGAAAATGTTGTATTTTGACTAAAAAAGTAGTTAAAACAAAAAGATTTAAATGGAATACAAAAATATCTCCTGAACCCTAATATTATCAGGTCAGGAAATATATAATAAATGAAATTAAGAAACATTTCACAAATTAATAAAAGTCACAAGACTCCAAAATGTCAGATTAAATACAAAAATATATATACAGTTTATTCACTGCAAAATTTATTCAGACCAACAAATATTCTAAAAAAATATGTTTAATAAAACACGAAATATACATACAATCCAGTTTGTTTGAGATAAAGTTGATTTATAACATTATGTTTCATCAAACATTTTTCTGTTTGGCACTCTGTAAATTTTTTTGGAGAAATGTTTTCTATTCATGACACGTTTGTGTGGTTGATCTTCAGGGCCACCTTACCAGGCTCACCAACCATAGAAAAATGGCCAAATGCCTGAAGAGTCCTGGATCAGGTCTTCAGTCATATTTTGTCTAGTTAGTCATTTAAAAACCTTCAACCTCTCAATCATAGACTCTCTGCTCTGAATAGTGGGTGTGGTATACTGTGTGATGCACTCTGAAGCAGATAAAATAGATTTTAAGGAGTTTACTTAACTGATGATGAGATAAACCTTTTGATCTATTTGTTTATATTTCTAATTGGCATTAATAACTCTTAAAACTAGTGGATTAATGATCTTCCATGCCCAATGACAGCGCAGGGTAGTGTCCTTGGATTTCTCAAGCTTTCCCCGCCCCTTTCTCTACTGCCCTGATGCGATTGGCTCTAAATCATGACACGTTTCGACCGACGTCTAAGCGAAAGCTCTGATTGGTCGTCATCCTCTGACCTCGGTAGGGACTCCGCCGCACTTCGGCAGAGGACAGGTTCAACATGGCGGCGTCCCTGAGGTGCTTTCTCCGCTCCGGAAAAGTAAGCGTTTTTCCACCTGTTTCTGTGTTTTAACTTTGGTCGTAGGTTTGTGGGTGATATAAGTTATTAATGGCGTCTCTTTGTGTGTGTTCAGAATGCCGTGTCGGCGCTGGGACGGCGGGAATTTCACAGGAGCTCTCCTGCTGCTGTGCAGGTCAGTGTTAGCATCGGGGAGGCTAACGTCAGTGACTGAATTCCAGCTGTTTTTGCCAGATTTATTCAACTTAGAATGCAGTGAGAGCTTACAAACACTGCTGTGAACAGGAATTTGTATGTTGTAACCATTTGTGCGTGGCTGAACCTTCTTCTTTGACTGTCATGTGAAGGTTTGCTGCTGTTTACCTGAACAGGGATACGGGCTGTGATCATGTCAACCCTGATTCATGTTGGAGCAAATACTCTAAATGTTAAACTGATGATTCAGGATGAGTGTTTATAATAACAGCAGGACATTCATTTAAATTAAAACTAACTTCATGCTGTCATCCTGAGTGCTGAACTTTTGTCACTCCCTTCATTAAACTACACTGACATCTCTGGTACTGTATTTAACTGGTTTAAAACATATCTGAATGGCAGGAAATTTTACGTTCGCACTGAAGAACGCTCATCAAGAACCTATGACATGGAGTGGCGTTCCCCAGGGCTCAATTTTAGGCGCCACACTTTTTAATCTGTAGATGTTACCATTAGGAGATGTCATCAGGAGACACGGCATTAACTTTCACAGCTATGCTGATGATACACAGCTTTACCTGGCCGTGTCTCCTGATGACACAGGGCCCATTGACGCCCTTTTTTACTGTATTTTAGACGTCCAGTCCTGGATGGCTGACAACTTCTTGCAGCTCAACCAGGACAAAACCCAGGATTTAGTCATCGGTACAAGGAGAGAGAGAGAAACTGGAGAACAAACTCAGAGGACTGTCTTTTAATCCCTCAAAACAAGTTTAGAATCTGGGTGTTATATTTGATTTTAATCTCAGCTTTACGTCACACATACGCGATATCACCAAAAAGGCTTTTTATCACCGTAAGAACATCTCCAGAGTTCGCCAGTTTCTCTCTCAAACTAATGCAGAGACTCTTATCCATGCTTTTATTACCTGCAGAATTGATTATTGTAATGCTCTCCTCTCTGGTCTTCCTAAAAAGATTCAGCTCACGCATGCTGACGGAGACCAGGAGAAGAGCCCACATTACACCAATTTTAAAGTCTCTGCATAGGCTTCCTGTATCTTTTAGAATAGATTTTAAGGTTCTTTTATTAGTTTATAAATGTCTTAATGGTCTTGGTCCCTCTTATTTATCTGATTTGCTTTTACGATATGAGCCCAGTAGAGCCCTCAGGTCTTCAGGTAGTGGTCTTTTAATAGTCCCCAAAGTTAAAACCAAACTTCTTTTAGTATATTTTAACACTATTTGTTTATTTTCTTTTATTGTTTGATCATAAAACAGTTTTATTGTACAATATTTTATTATTATCATTATTATTATTATTTATTATTTATTTTTTTTTTCAGTTTTCTTGAACTGTCATACGTCACGTGTCCTGCACTGTGGTTTTGTCTTTCAGGATTTGCTCGCAGCTTTGACCTAACAATAAAAACCTAATGTGATTACTGTTCTTGTTCAGATGACAGTCCGTGATGCCCTGAACCAGGCCATGGACGAGGAGCTGGAGAGGGACGAGCGGGTGTTCCTGCTGGGCGAGGAGGTGGCTCAGTATGATGGAGCTTACAAGGTCAGTAAACACCCAGAACTCTGTCCCAGATGACTCGGTTTGAAGCACCATTTCATAACCAGGTTTCGCAACAACAGTGGTGTCAGTTTGTGCGTCATTCGCCTTACATTCAAAGCAAATTTGTAAGTGCTACAAGACAGAGAGAGAGAGAGAGCGAGAGCATATTTGAAGTGGATATGATGTGCATGACTTTCCCACTCGGCCAAACTACTGCCTCGAGTAATGAAGGTTTCTCGTGCTAGCCTGTGGGGTGGGTTGTGAATGCACTGGTGCGTCAAATAGAAGATTTTTATTCTATTCTGGGTGAGACAGGAAGTCGGTGTGGTGGTTGCAGGATTGGTATGATGTGTTCATATTTATGCACTCTGATCAGGATCCGAGCTGTGCTGTTTTGGATGGACTGGAGGTTCTTGCTGGGAAACCCGGTAAAACAGTAGTTTATGCTGGAGGAGAGGTAGCCAGCTGTTAGATCGGCGCGTGGACACTGAGGGGCCTCTGGTGGTGTTAAGCGGAGCCAATTTTAGCACCACCACTACATCTACCGTCCTCTTTTATCAGAGTTACAAAGATAACTTTTCGGGACTTTTCACACCTACATTGAAGGACAGTGGAGGGCAGAAAAAAGCAAAGGACAGTAGGTGGGAGTCACTCATAGGTCTGTTCATAAAGAGTTTACAAAACAGTTGAACTAAACCAGCAACCGGAGTTACAAACTGAAGATGCAGGTAGTGACAGAGGTGGAGCAGCTGGTTCAGGAATAACCCGGTTCTTACAGAGTTAAGAGGTTTAGGGCGGCAGGTTTCCAGCAGAGACAGGAACAAGTCAGTGAGGAGAAAGACAGAGAAGCAGTGAGACAGCACAGGAGGCGCCTCTTAGATTTTCCTGATTTTCTTTCATACAATAATAATCAAAATCTATGTTTTCTGTGTTGATGCAGGTGAGCAGAGGTCTGTGGAAGAAGTATGGAGACAAGCGCATCATCGACACTCCAATCACAGAGGTGAGACATTCGTCTTCTAAGATGTTTATATTTTCTGTCATTGTCAGCTTTGAAATAATAATAAAGTTATTGATGATGATGATGATGATGATGATAATCCCTCTCTTCTGTGGCTCAGATGGGCTTTGCTGGTATTGCAGTTGGAGCTGCCATGGTGAGTGTCACGTTTAGGACTTTGTTTGCGATGAATAAAACTTTAAAAATATAAGTTTACTACAAGAGATTGTTTTGCAAAACAGCTCAGACTTTCACCTCGTTATTCCACTGAAACTTTTTTAAACCTTAAAATGACTCATGTCCTTGATTTTTGATGAAAGATTTCAATCTGACGTCTCCTACAGGCCGGTCTCAGACCCATCTGTGAGTTCATGACCTTTAACTTCTCCATGCAAGCCATCGATCAGGTCATCAACTCTGCTGCAAAGACCTACTACATGTCAGCCGGTCTGCAGCCAGTGCCCATCGTCTTCAGAGGCCCCAACGGAGCGTCAGCAGGTGTCGCTGCTCAGCACTCACAGTGTTTCGCTGCATGGTGCGTTCACTGACACCTGATACTGTTAATACATTTCATAAGCTCTTTGTAAAGCGTGCAAAGTTGACTGTTGCAGCAGCTTTGAAAAACTGTGTGGTTTCTCTGTTTGTCTGCAGGTACGGTCACTGTCCAGGTCTGAAGGTTGTGAGTCCCTGGAACTCAGAAGATGCCAAAGGTCTCCTGAAATCAGCCATCAGAGACGACAACCCCGGTAAGACACCACAGTCTCACAGCAGGTCAACAAAATCTGTAATTACAGTCTGCTCCAACACTTTCCCTGAACTCCTTCTCCCATGTGTGTGTGTTTGTGTTGCAGTGGTGTTCCTGGAGAACGAGCTGATGTACGGCGTTCCCTTTGAGATGTCAGAGGAGTCACAGTCCAAAGATTTCACCATTCCCATTGGCAAGGCCAAGATCGAGAGACAAGGTGAGATCTGGTTTTTATACGGGCGCTGTGGCACTGAAGTCGGCCTGACTGTGAAGGCAGAGTGAAAGAAGCTTCCAGCAGAAACTGATGACTATCATGAGTTAACAAACAGGCCTGTTTACCAAAGTGTGAAATTATTATAATAAATGTCAGGTACCCATCCCTCTGATTTGTAGTGTCACTGTGATCATCCTGACCTCTCTCTGTGTTTCAGGGAGTCATGTGACTTTGGTCAGCCACTCTCGGTACGTCAGTCACTGCCTGGATGCTGCTGTCGTCCTCTCTAAAGAGGGGATCGAGTGTGAGGTGAGAAACTTAAGGACATGTCTAGTGTTATTTTGACACAGGTAACTTGTGACCACTACTTAATCGACTGGTGTGTGTGTGTGTGTGTGTGTGTGTCAGGTGGTCAACCTGCGGACCATCCGTCCTCTGGATGTGGAGACTATTGAAGCCAGCGTGATGAAGACCAACCACCTGGTAACAGTGGAGGGCGGCTGGCCTCAGTTTGGTGTCGGAGCTGAGATCTGCGCCAGGGTCATGGAAGGTAACAGCTGACACACCGACGCTCTGCCCTCTCTCTGCACTTCACACTAATGATGAGACACCGGGCTGCTCTGTGGGACTGTTTAAGGTTAATGTGACATTCAGTGGATGACTTAATCTTCCTCAAGGCTTCATACAGACATAACAGAGTATTCGCAGGAAGAGAGGAGAGCTGCAGCAGGGTTTCTGTTTCGGTGCTTCTTTTACATTTGTGTGAATCATGTGGAAACATGATGGAGAGTGATTTCAACAGGAATCAAGTTACACATTTGATCGTCCTGACTCAGTCTTTGTAAAAATCTTCTCATTTATCCATTTTAGGCCTTTCAGATTTTTAAGAAAGTCTTCAAATGTTTGTAGAGAATCAGCAGATTAGCCGTCCGAACTTGGGAAGTCCTGATGTAAAGATTTTTTAGGGGCGTAAAGTGGAGACATTAAGGTGATCTGAAATCATGAACCTTCTCTGTTTTTTCAGGTCCTGCCTTTAACTACCTGGACTCTCCGGTTACCAGGGTAACAGGCGTGGACATCCCCATGCCGTACGCCAAAATCCTGGAAGACAACAGCCTGCCGCAGATCAAAGACATCATCCTGTCCGTCAAAAAGACCCTTAACGTCTGAGATACACACACACACACACGTATATACACACTCTACCACACACACACACACACACACAAATGCAGGAAAGACCAACCTGAATCCTCGTTGTCTTTTACGCACAGATTGTGATAACAGTGTCTGATAAAACTTTAAACCATGTGTAAATACAGCCAAACGCTCCTTTGAAAACGCTCCAGATTCAAACAGCCAGATGTTGATCACAGATGTTCGTCTGTACCAGAGCGATAAACACACTCAGAGTTCAGCCAAGTCTCCGTCTGTGTTAACGGGTTCAAACTTGATTCTAATCTGTGCGGCTCTGGCTGCTCTCTTCACTTGCCCCCCTTTAAAATAAAAGCTGTTCCACCCTGTAGGATTTCCTGGGAGTTTAGTACCAACAGAACTACCGTCTGAGCAGAAGATGTGAGGGTCTGATCCGTTTGTGGATCTGAGAGTCGCCTCAGATTCTTGTAAATTTCCCGCTTTAGCTCTCTTGCACTTCTGGTTCAGGTTTTGTTCCTGTGTCTCAATTCTGACTAAACTGTGTCTGTAGAAGTGAGTATGAAGCAGTATTAACCATCAGAGTCAACAATTTCTCTTTTATTTCTGAAACGTTTCTGAACAAAATCAAACAATGATGCACTTTTATTGGAATAAGAGACGTTTGAGTCGTATGCCACCTGTTTGTTATTCTGACAAATAAAAAAAAAAGGTCAAACATGAATATCCCTCCAAACTAAAAGTCTCAGATTTAATCAGCCATCCGCTGAAAACTGATTTAAAACTGAGCAAAAATCCAAAATGAGTTAAAATTCTGAGTTTGTTCCCCTTTCTTCTCAGTTTTAGACTCTCGGGCTGGTTAAAAACCTCATCTTAGCTCCGTGTAGTTCTGTTGTTAATAAACTCCACCTTAACTTTAGCCACAAAAAAACGTTAGACTTGGTCTGTAAACTCTGTCTATCCCTCACACTGACTCCAGTCCGTCTCTAAAAACTGCAGCTATGAATGAACGGGCTGAGAGCCGCAGATGGAGAGTGGGTGGGAATATTTATTGTAGCTGCAGCAGCTCTGTGGATGTTTTTGTTGCTGTAAATTAATCTGATACAGAAATAAAAACCTTTCAGTCTCCTGAGCTGCCTCATCTGTCGTGTTTGTTTTATTTCTCTCTTACATCAGGGTTCCTACGCAAGTATGGAAAATTAAATAATAAAAATAATAAAGTAAAAATAATAATAATAAATAAAAGTAAATAAATTTGATCAATTTCCAGGTCTTAAAAAGTATGAAAAATGAAAAGTAAAGTATGCAAAATTATCTATGTTTCCAGACGTTTGCCACAGCTCTAAAATAATGTTTTCTAAAATAGAAAAGTAGGTATTTCCAAAAATAATTCTAAAAAGTAGAGTATGGAAATTCCAACTGTGTAGGAACCCGGTTTGTCATTTTCTCCTGCTCTTAACAGATTAAAGCCTAAAGTATGTGATGAGTTAAAAAATGTTAAAATCTTTGGTGACAAATCTGCAGGACAGAGGCTGACAGGTGTTTAGATTTCCAGACTTCCTGGGATGCATCAGGTATAATGTTTTCTGCTCTCAGGGACAAGCTTGATGAAGGTTGTATTTTTCTTGAAATAAATCTGAATCCTAATGTTGATTTGGGCCAACTCAACACCTTTAAAACTGCAACTAGATCACATGAAAATCTGTTCCCTTTAGGACTTACACTGCCGATGTGAGCCAGAATGAAGCCTCTGTGTGGCTCACTATTTACGGTGAAGCTGAGACTGATGGACAGGCGCTTCTTTAGGTAATCTACCCTCCTCATTTCCAGTCTGTCTTCAGCTGTCCTATCTGATGAAGGTAAAACACCCTTAAAAGAAACTAAAACACAAATCAGAGAAGATTTAAGTGTTTTTATTTGGTACATTTTTACAGGAACCAGCAGAAATCAGACGATCTGCACCAAACTGGCAGAACGTCAACAGTCAGGAGTCGTCTCCCTTACAGTCTTTCTCAGCTCAAAAACATAAAAATATAAACATTTTTCTAATGCATCTTTGAAAAGTCAAATAACAAACCCTTATTAGGGGAAAAAAAACTATGTCGTACAGCATCTCCTGTTTCTTTCTGACCAATAAGTTCAGCCATGTTTCTACAAAATGGAAGAAGTAATCACCAACAATTAAAATCACTCACTGATTCATCGGTCCTTGTTTGATTTAAAAGAACTGGAACTAATTAAAGCAAGAAAAAAAAAACGGACATATGTAGTTTCCAGGCTGCTTTGACTTAAACATTTAACCTCCAGGAAATAATAATTAGGGACGGTAAAATCATCACAGACAGGACCCCAAATTCTGAAATGTAATTATCTCATAAGCTTGAATTTTTGACCGTTTAATTTTCTTTAACATCTCTATAACGATAGTTCATGTTAAGTTAATGTCACAGAATTTACCAGCTGCCTAAACCTGTCATAGAAAAACCATAACACACACTTTGTAAGCTCTGACAAGTTAGACTTGGTGTGTGAGAGTTAAACATCGATGACTGTCTATGTTAGTCTATTTAAACGGTTATTTATTGGCTATGCTGTGATAATGTGATTAAACCGTATTTTTAGTAACAACTAGCTAAACTCGCACAACCTTCTGGAGATCTGAGTTAATAATAATTATAATAATAATGTGGGAACTCATAGAGAGAGGGCTTGAGCGCAGATGGTTCAATCAAGAACAACCGAAGCCTCGTTGACCTTCAGGGTTCAACACCGCCCAAAAAAAGTAACACAATGACAAAAACAGAAATAAAAAGGAGGCTGTTTTAACACTCGCTCTGCTCCTTCAAACCCTTTTTTACACAAGAACATAAAAAAACAACTTTATTCTGTAAAAAAAAAAACAATCCAGCACCGAGCATTCAGAAAATTTAACAAATGGAAGAATTGAAAGTTTATCTGGAGGAGCTAAACTCGGGTGTAACAGGACTGTGGTTAGCCAAAATGGATTTTAACTCCAGAGCTATTGACTGAAAGATTTGATAACTGAGAGAAATCTGTTCACTTTTTTAAGAAGTGCCTGAACTCTTCAGTCATTTTGTGCGGTCAACTTTCAAACCTGTTGATTCTGACTTCTTAATATGAGGGGTTTCTGTTTGTCTTTATATATGATGGGAAATGAAGCATCTTTGGGGTTTGGACTCTTTGTTTTGGCATCATTCAGACATCAGCCCCTTTCAGGCATGCACAGAGTTCCTGAAAATTTCCAGAGTGAGCTGTTTGTGTGAACGGCCAAATTATTTACCCCGACTTCACCCCCAGTATTTCCTGCTAGCCCCCCCTGTGCTATCATATGAGGGAAAAGTCCAGCCTCCTTGACCCCCAAACACCCCGCCTACGAAAAGAGTAACCTCACAATGTCAGGTAAATCACACGGTCAGAACTCAAGAGTGCATGTTTGAAAACTGCTTTCACTGTATTCACACAAGCACAAACTCCCCAAAACTAACAGAGATTTTCAGGGAAGGCCACATGTGTGAACATCGAGAGCGGAAATGTTCACTCTGACTTTCATCTGAACTTTTCCCACAGGTGAAAGAGTCCGTGTGGGAGATGAGAGCCGTAAAGATGTCCACTGTTTAAACTTTGCACAAATAAAAATGTCGGTGTCTGTCTGTCATCATAACGTTAAGTTTACACTGTGACTATCACTGTGAGGTTTGGATGTCCCGCTGCCTGAGATTCATATTCCCTCCTCTCCTGTCAGGGAAAACTTAAAGCTGTAAGGCTGGAGTAATGTCTGGAAGTTTTCAGGAGTGCACGTGAAAGAGGCTGTGATAAAAAACTGGGTTAATAATCTGCAGATAATAAGGTAAATAACTGCCACTCTCAGCCCAAATTTTGTCCTTAATCCAGAGTTGAAGTTTTGACTAACTTTTGGATCTGCTGTCACTGATCTGTCAACTGGTTTACCACATAAACCTTATTTTTTCCATCCGGATGCTGATTTCTCCACACCATAGGACCTTGTTTAGTTCAGGATCTGTTTCCAACACCTAAATAAAACCGTGATATCTTAATAAGGACCTAAAAAACAAAAACAGAGTACTGATTTTGAGGTGCGATGAAGGAAGTCTCAAAAATAACCAAACATTTTTTACAGTTTCTTTAATCTTACTGATGCTAGTCCTTCGTCTTCTCCTCTTACTGTTGGTTCCAAATTTAGACGGCTTGAAATCAAACTTTTCTAGGATTATAAAACCATTTTCTTAATGGGAATTTCTTTTAAACTGTGGGGTCAGTTCAAGAAACTCCTTCCAAACGGTGTTGTCCAGAAGCTGCTACCATCCTAAAGTGATGCTGGTACAAAAGAGAAGAACTAAGATGACAAACTTGACCATCAGAAGGAAAACTGATGAGATAATCCTGGGATTAGTAACCTGTGGATGTTTTCTTGTTGGTTTCAGAGGAGTGGTTTTTCCACCTGGAGTCTTTCCCAGTCTTAAATGAAGACACATCGCTCATATTTTAAAGCATTACAAAAACAAACCCATGAAAGTAAAGCTTTTGGAAGTTCTCTCACAGTTATTGGCCTCCTCCAACTCCCAGAATGTCTTCCACCACCCCTCGGTGACGAAGTGCCCGTCCCTTCTATTTGGAGGCCGGGCTTGTTGAGTTACTGGGTGGGGCTTGTTGATTCTCAGGGAGCTGATAGGTCGGATCGTCCCACCTCTGAGTGTCCCTTTAGCAGACCGAGTCTCACCACCACCACCTTCCTCTTCTTCTGCTCTGACCCCTCGTCATCCTCCACCATCTCCTCCTGCTGCTGCTCCTCTCTCGCCTCTGCCTTTCTTTTCCCTCTCTCCTTCCTCTTCTCCTTCTTCTGCTTCTTGGCCTTCTTCCTCCTCCTCTTCTTCTCCTCCACTGTTTGATCCTCCTCTTCTGCCATTGGTACTTCCCCCTGCACCTCTGCCTCTTCCACTTCTTCCTCTACTGCCATCTCTATTTCTTCCTCCTCTTCTTCCTCTTCATCCTCCTTCAACACCTCCTCCTCCTCCTCCTCTTCCTCTTCTTCTTCTTCCTCCTCCTCCTCTTCCTCCTCCTCCTCCTCTTCGTCTTCCTCCTCAATATCATCTTCCTCCACATCTGTCATCTGTTCTCCTTTCATCTGCATGTGTTTCATCCTCCTCTGTTGTCCGTTCTGTGACTCCTGAGGGGAACAGAGAACAAAGTTAAGAAAGTAAACATCTGCTGCGCTGCCACCATGTGGATTAAGAAAGAACTACATCCCTGTTATCTAATGATGAAAGTTAACCTGCCACTGAAGCTGGAAAAGTTGTTCAACTCAAAATACTGAAAAATTATGCTGAGCCACCAATTTACCATCATGTGGAGCAGAGCATAACAGCGTCATTAACCTGAGCTGTAGTCCAGGCCAGTGGCAGGATTACAGTTTAAGTCAATGATGGTTTGGATAAGAACTCCCCAGTGAGAAGTTTGCCATCAAGTGTGCCAATTAGCCTAGCTGTGGAGTGTTTTTTCTCTATGAGGAGAGTATGAAAATGTCAAAGTCATTAGCCAAGAGCAAACGGTCTCAGCACATCGGCTCCTGTGGGTGCGGCGCTACTGTCTCTGGATCCAGTGGAGATGCCGTACTCAACCTTCAACCGACAATAAAGGAACAATTTACCAGCGTGCTGTTGTGCCACTGGTGAGCGAGACTGAGCAGGCAATAACTAAACAAAGGAGTAGGTTAGAATCTAACTTTTTTTCTGGTGAAATAAGAGAATCACCCCTTTCTTTTGAGAAATTGCACAAGATATTCTGTGGGTCCTCAAAGATACAGAAATTTCTATTGCGGTCAACAGTGGCACTGGGAGAAAACTGCATAAATTAACCTGGCACAGAATGAGATAAGCACAGCCACAGTTACTCACAGTCTTCTTATCTCTGAGCCGGTGCAGCAGTAACCTCACGGTGTCCTTGTTCTGACACAGTCCCATCGTATTGAGGGCATCGAGGGTGGAGCCAGTGCAGCCCTGCTGGCGGAGTTCGGCCCCCAGAGACGCCTGCAGGAAGTTATTTTTCCAGACGTTTCGAGTGAACAGAGGGATGGAGAGCGCCACCACGGCCCGGCGCTCCAGCAGCGTCTGACACTGCTCCTCGGTCAGCTGACTGCACACACAAACAGGAGAGAGGGTTAGGAGGAGGAGGAGAAGAGCTTTACCACTGACTGAGAAATGAGCTTTCGAGGTGGACAAAATGGAAAATGAATTTAACGGAACAAAAAATGTGCTCAGTAATTTTCCTCATCTGGGATTCACCTAACTCCTATTATAAATTCTCCCTTTTAATACAAAGTAAAAGTAAAAAAGTCCAACATTTGGAAGCATGTATTTTTACATTTTTTGTGCTGTGGGTCATAGTGATCAAACTTCACATTAAAAAGTGCTTGAGACACTTTAATTTACATGTCGTGTATATTTACATTTTACATTTTTAAGTCTTGAGAATATAAGCTAAAATTGGCCCAAGTTGAAGCTCTTTAGCCGAGTGTACCCTGACTCTGACTCACTGTCCACTCTTGGAGAGCGCACTGATGTCTGGAAACAGCGAGGTGAGGCAGGTAAAGACGAGTGGGGCTTTTTCCTGGGTCCAGTCCAAACAGCGGCGCCATGGGAAGGACGACAGCGGCTTCTTGCTTGAAACCTTTTCCTGGAAAGGACTGTCGGTCTGTCGTGTCAGAGTCTTCATCTGCAAAGCATCAAAAACAACAATCAAATGGAGATGAAACAGCAGACAGAGGAGACTGAAAGCAGGATATGATTGTTGCATTGACCAGAGTAAGAATCCGCCCCTCACCTCCTCCTTCAGCTGTTTTCTCCAGAACTCCATCATGGGTTTGCGGGCTCCTTTAGCAGACCAGAGAGTTTTCAAAGCGGCCCTGTAGCAGGATTTGCTCACCAACAGCGCAGCCTTGCTCTTCTTCCCCATCCTGCGTTCGGTCTTCTTGTCTTTCACTCTTGTCTGCGGTCACCAAAAGAAAAAAGAAAACACGATGATAATGATCATAACACTGTCATACTGGGCTGTTCTCTATCTTTACATTCTGCAGTTTTGAAAGTCATCTAAGCCTGTATCTGTCATCTGTACTGCCATGTTTTTTCAGTGGCACACCTGTTGCGGAGGTTTGATCCACAGAGACCTTTTGGCGCTCTGTTTGCGTTTGCATTTGCTCCTGATGACCTGGGCGCAGGTCTCACACAGGAAGGACTTGTCATGCACGGTGATGTCCGGGAAGACCCAGTGCGCGGTCTCCGGGGTGGTGAAGGTGTACACGGCCCTCCGGTTGAAGCTACGGCCCTGCCGCTCGAACTCCCGATTACAGCTGCAGCAGTGTCGATCCTCCGGCCGCTTTATGTTGAGTCTGCGGCGGCTGCCCGGAGGTTCACCTGCAGACTGTGGCCGACAGGACTCCTCCACATCAGGTCCACCTGGACAGTCCACCTCCGCACCCACAGCCGGTTCCGGGAGCTCCACGGGCAGGGTGGACTGCTCCGGAGCAGGCGGCTCTAGCTCGGCCGGTGAGGTGAAGCTTCCCTGGGTGTGTGTGGCGGTGCCTTCAGCCCCCGGTGTGCCGGATGTGGAGCAGGGCTCTGAGGCGGCAGAGTTTCCAGCTGCTGTGTGGGCATAGTCGTGCTCGTTGGTCTCGGAGTTCGATCCGTTTTCTCCCTCGGTGGTCTGGTTTTTCTCACTGGTCATTTTGTAATTGTAAAGTGTCCGGATCAGTTCAGAGTCAGAAAAATCAAATGATCAGAGGTCCCGGAGCACCAGGCTAGAACCGAGCCCGCCAGAGGAAAAACCCGCACAGCCACACATCGTTTTAGAGCATACAGACGGGAAATCTTCTGAGCGCCTTTCGCTGCCTGTGCAGAGAGAGTTAAACAGGAAAAGAGGACACAAAGAAAGAAGATTTGAGCAGGAATCACTGCACAGTAAATGAAGACCCAAGCAGAGTTCAGAAGAACCGGATGTAGCCACTTATAAACACATTAGTTTCCGTGTTTCTGTTCACCCGTAAGGTTGCGGGAGCGCCCTCTGGTGGCTGGAGTAGGGCATTACATGATAGAGTTATTCTACAACTTTTTTTTCTCATACTCTAAAAATTTTTATGCAGCATGAAAACTGACATTCTTAGTTGAGAAAGGCAAAAGCAAACACGGAAACTGCAATGTATATCTGCGAAGCAACTCTTAGATCTTTTTATCATTATTTACAAAAAAGAAAAACTATTATTACACATGTTGAATCCGCACAATCACGTCTGTACCTTTCCTTTTATTATTATTATTATTATTATTATTATTATTATTATTATTAACATTAAATAATAATAATAATAATAATAATAATAATAATAATAATAATAATAATAATAATAATAATTAAAAAGTCTGTACCTTTCCACATCAACTTTATATAGAATGGACAGAGTCTGCCTCCTTGCTGGGTGAAGCCACTCTGAGAACAGCACCCTCTGTTGACAGGCTGCAGTATAGGTCATAAATCCCGCCTCCGCCAGAAAAGCTTATGGGGCTGTGGACAAAACTTTAGAAATTTATTACACAGAACATGAATTTTTCTCCCCCCTGGTTGTGATGTTGACATGTAGTTACAATAGGACTGGTTTGTACTCAAGTCCTCTTTTTTCTGTGAAGCTCTGTTTTTAAAAGTTATTAGGGGATCCGTGTTTTCTATGATTGACACTTGATACAGCCTATTTGCGTTCAAGGATTGCGTAGCTCACCTGGGGGATACCTGTTTGAGCCGAGCGTCATCACAGCGACTCTCAGCAACTCTCCTGTCGAATGCGTACAATGCTACTGCGCAGCGCTGGTTTCAGGAAAAGAAGAAAAATCACGGAAATACCGAGAGCTTTTTGGCTCCAAATCCGTATACAGGCGGGAGTTGGAACCAGGTTGTCCATAGTATATACAGTCTGTGACCTTTGCTGACAGAAATTTAAGACAGTCAAAACTGGATACTCTCTCACTTTGACAGAGCGATTAAAAACCTTAAGGTGCTCTATAGGAAGGGAAAATTAATAAGCCTAATAAGTCTTTCATAAAACGTGACATGGTTATTATTCGTATTTGGTGACCAGGTGGGTCAATGGCACAAATATTTAAGAAAGGCAATAAAAAACAATTCATAAAACTTGACAACAAACCGAAAAGATTTTACAAAATTGTTTCACATGAACCCAAAAATAATTAAACTACTTGGGGAACACATGAAAAGAAAAAAAGAAGACTTGAAAAATCAAATAAATATAATTCTAAAACCTATTAGAATATAACTCATTTTAGAAAATGGAAAACATTTCTGACTGAAAAAATATATTCAATAATTGACCTTTAACTGATGTCAGTTATTTTGTTTTGCGCAAAGACCAAATCATGTATCCTTGAGACCAGTGGCGGCTGCTGGTCTTTCAAGGAGGGGAAGCTCGTTTTTCTGGCCTACATCATAATTGTATTTGTTTATTAGTATGTAACAGAACAGAGTCGCCAAACACAACGGCAGTCGTTCTTAACAAAGACAAAAGTCGCTGAGGATCGGTAAAGTCTCCGGAGCAGTTAAGAACAACGGAATGAATAACTTGGAAAATGCTCTGGTAGATGTTTTATTCTTCAAGATCGCTGATTCGCTTGTTTAGCTGTCAATCAAAAAAAGATTTCGCCTCAGACAGCTCATCCAATCATGGATGCAGAAGCTTGGAGTCCGGGAGAAAGTCGGGACCGCCCTCTCGCCATAGAACTCCAGTGAAGCTGGGCTTCCGATGGGCGGGACAAAGCCCAGCATTTATCCAATGAGCGTCTAGTTTCGCTGCTGGAACAACCCACTTTGAGCTTCCACATTGAAGTCAGCAGAAGCCCAGCGTCCGGCTGTTTAAAGCGCTGAGGCGCTGCGAGGATGAATGAGAACGAAGTTTTGCCGGTTACCTGTAATTATCAGCTTCTTATCACAGTGTCTGAACAAAAGATGAAGGCTTTCTAGTGCGTATTTAGTTAATGAAATGTACACACAGCAGTACGTATTTCACCACTTTTTCTTTTTTTGGGGGGGTGACATTTTAAGGGAAGCCGAGCTTCCCTTGCAGTCTTAGAGCAATCGCCACTGCTTGAGACCTCTCCAAATTACCTCTTCACTTTTCCCAAGCTTTTCTTATTTTGAAAGGAATTACCGGAAGTCTATCACACTTAATAATTTATCTTAACGACCGAGTCTAACTGTCAATGGATGATTGCTGAGAACTTCCACATCTAGGTGTGTTTTTACGGCGACAGTCATGGAGCCATCGCAGGTAAGAGTAACAGACGTTTGAAAATGTTGTTTAAACCGTCTAAATGACGATGTGGTGGACGAATTAGATTGTTTTACTGCGCTAACGAGCTAGCTACCGTTAACCGCAGCTGGACACTGATTAGCCTCATTCAGACAGAGGGGGTGGGGGGTGGAGGTTCAGAACAACGTACCCGGCAGAGGGTTGGCGTCCGTGGCATTATAACATGTCAACAGAATCTCCTGGCGTTTTATGTCGTTGATGAACCAAATTCTCAGCAAATACTCACGAAATACTGGGCGCAGGAATCGTAAAGTACAGGCACAGCTGGAGATGCTCCACAGTGCTGACTCTGAGGTAAGTGCGTGTTTTTTGCTTTGATAGTTGCAGTTTACAATTGATCTAATGTCGGGAAATTGAGATAGTTTTGCAGTATTATAGTTGAAAATGTTATCATAATCATTTTTATCAATATTTAGATGAACAAGAGCCATGCTTTCAGTTCCACTTTTGCCACATTCCAAAGTCAGCTTAACTAATCCAAATAAACTAGGCCAAAAATCAGATCATTGCATTATATGAAGGCAACATTTGACTAATCAGCTATAACATTATGACTACTGACGTGTTTAAGTGAACAGCAATGATTGTCTCTTTACAGTGGCACATGTCAGTGGGATTTGTGAGGCAGCAGGTCAACATTTTGTCCTTATACTTGGGTGTGTTGGAAGCAGGAAAATAGGTGAGTGGGAGGATATGAGCAACTTAAACATGGACCAAACTGCACTGGTGATGATGTTAAAGTTGATGTCAGAACACACAGTTCATCACAGTTTGTCAGACATGGGGCTGTGTAGCTGCAGGCTACCCAAGATGTCCATGGTGTCCCCTGTTTACTGCTGGAAGAGTCTACGCCGGACATGTGAGAGGCAGAACTGGACTTTAGAGGGACAGAATAAGGGGACCTGCTCCAAGTTTTACCCAGATATTATTCCAATCAAGCATCTGTGGGATGTGACAGACAACAAAGTTTGATTCGTGGAGGTCCCACCTTGTGTAACTTCCAGGTCACAATATTATGGCTGATTGTTGTCCATACAAGTACACTAAATTACCCAGAGTTAAATCATCAGATTCTTGTTTACACTTCAGTTTGGTGAATTTCTGCTGATATTAAAATGTTTGCACTCAAGTCGACCTGGGTTTGACCCCCACCCTTGGCCCTTTGCTAACCCACCATTTTCAGCTCCTCATCAAGACAGTGTGAAGAAATCAATGTTTACATGTTGAAATATGTACAAAAAAATCTTCCAATAAACCTACTCACCACCTTAAAGGATGTTTTTTTTTATTTGCTCCCACGTCCTCTTTTCCCCACTGCTGTTGCAGCTGAAATAAGAAGGACAGTGATGATGGTGATCACACACACTACATGACAACATATTAGGGGACCATAAATCTATGAACGCACAAATGTAATTTACACAATTTTCCTTTTTTTTTGCTGGCAGTCCCTCCAGCTTCGAGCGGCTGCAGCAGTCTTGGAATGTTGTTATAATGTTGCGGTACTCCTCATAATTGCGTAAAATAATGCTCTGTCTGCTGTGAAATATGACACTCGTGCAGCCTTCTCCATTGTGTCTGGTGGCGCTGACCCCGCCTCCTTTACATGTGCGTGCACAGATCTAGATCGGCCACAAATGGATTCAGTTATCCATTATCATAAATCCTGCTTTATAGTACAGTTGATCGAGATTACGGAGATCTGGTGAAGTTGAGCGAGTTGTCGCAGAGTTATCCTGTGTGCGTTAATCCAGCTTCGTTGTACAGGCCTCTGGTTTGTGTCAGCGATGTCTTGCTTTGTTTGTCCCTGATATTTTGTACACAGAGCAGGTAATGATGCTTTTAAGAAATACTTGCGTGGCATAATATTTTGTCAACAAGTTTTTTAAATCAGTGTACATCATAAAACATACATAATCACTACTTAACTCAATCTCAATGCAGTTTAAATTAAGCCTGTTTCTTCAGTCATTCATTCATACTGTATCTCACAGCTTTATAAATACATTACCAAACCTGCTGCCACTCTTTAATGTCGTGTCTGTTGTGTTGCTCACACAAGTCAATGACAAATTTCTGTTATTTTCTATTCTATTCTTCTTTATTCTTTTTGATATTAATCAGCCAGTGATAGTCTTATTTTAGGTCCACTGCAGACGATCATTTTCACCTACCGTCTTCTATTTTTTTAGACTTGCACCATGCGGGTTTCTACCTGAACTGAGTCTGATTTGTGATGTAATTAAAATGCTCCATGAGTTTTATTCATCTTCAGCTGGAGGGTTTATTCATGTTTTAAGTCTGTGTCTGTTTTGGGGGTTTGTTAAAAGAGATCCACAGCTCCCCCCCTAGCTGTGGTTCTCACTGGCAGCTTATGGACAGATCAGGGACGCCAGGCTAATCAGCCACATGATGTCTGGGCCGTGGCAACACAGCATCAGCTGGCTGACTATCTCCATGGTAACCATCTCACAAGCTGTTCGTCCTCTTGTTGCAGGTGTCGGTGGGAACAGAAATGATCTCCTCAACAGTCTGACCTTAAAAGAACCAACAGAGAGAGAGAGATAGAGAGAGAGAGAGAGAGCGAGCCAGACGCCCCAGAGCTGCTGATGGAGAATGGAGACCTGGGTCACATGGTGCGTGTGTATGTCTGTGTGTGTTTGTGTGTGTGTGTGTGTGTGTGTGTGTGTGTGTGTTGGCTTTTATATATTGGCATTTCAAGGCAGGATATTCATGGCCCTGTTATGCCTCGTCTGCAGTGTGGGATGCAATTAGGCAGAATATTAGGGCAGAATTATACATCTTTGACCTCCTCTGGAAGGAAGTAACAGAAGCTTTATGGAGGGAAGATGGTAAGATGGTGGTGATGATGGATAATGTCTGGTGGAACCGCAGTGTGTGTGTGTGTGTGTGTGTGTGAGTGTGTGTGGTAGAGCTGGACGATTTTGGAATATAATCTGTTTTGCGATTTTACTCCTTAATATTGCAATTGCAATTAAATATGCAATTTTTTTAAAGGTCCTCTTCTAACATATTTTTCAACAAACACAAAAAATAAATCAGTCTGTATTTTAGTAAACAATGTCAGATTTATTATTCATAAATTGTTCTTTCTGGCAATTATCATTTCACATACACACACAGGCTCATCTACATACTGATGGCGAGATGTAATCGGTGCCCAAAACACTGGAGTCTGGACTGTTTATTCAGCTGTGCTGCCATCACTGTATTGGATGAGTTTTCGGTTGCAGACATAGTTTAAAGTTGAAGCACTGGTCGCTGGTGTTTTAGCCATTCAACTATCTTACATGGCTTTGTTGCATTTTTTTTAAGTGTTAATAAAGGTTTGTAGTGTTACCTCCTGATGTAGTAACAGTGGCACAACAGGTTCTGCGCACGTTGAGCAGCAGCATCTTTTTATTCAAAAAATAAATCCACACAACTGCCGTGCTGCTCCTCTTTTGTACTAAACGAACAAGCGAACAAGTGAAAAGGTTTTTAGATAGCATTTCACCCCGCTTACACCGTGGATGAGAAGATGCTGATTCTAGAAGTCTAGAGGTGGATTTTCTCCTCTGGAAGGACACAATCTACTGCTTATATGATTATGTGACTGTCTTTATAGAGACAACTAGCTATTGCAAGAACCTGCGGATTCATGTTTAATCACGCGATTCCTCACGATTCCAGCTGTCCGTAATCTGCCATGAAATTTGCCGCACAAATGGATCTGGTAAGAATTGGCGGACAGCGAAAATCGCCGCAGTTCTGGATGCAGTAGAAATTAGGGGTAAGGAAACATTCGGCCTTAACATTTTCAACAGCTAGTGTTCACATTTTCAACACATTTGGCTGTTGAAAGAAAACAGAGTACAAATGAAATACCTGAAATACCAGGGCAGTAAAGTGAAAAAATACACACCTTTGACCAGAGGGGGCGCCAAGATTGACAAAGAACAAAAGCAAAGGAGAGTTTTTTGTGGATCACTGACAAAGTGATCTTTAACAATTTTTTTTTCATAGATTATTGTTTTCTGAAGTTTTTTTATTTAGGTTGGGGCAAAAGTTGAAGAGAATTCACAGTTTAAATTTGTAAGACCATTTTCTGTTTTCTCTGACTGCTGGTACTCCTCTGTCCAGATGGGGGAGCCAGTGAGTCTGAATGTGGGCGGCTGTGTTTACAGCACGTCTCTGTCCACGCTGCAGCGCTATCCTGATTCCATGCTGGGAGCCATGTTCGGAGGAGACCTCCCCACCGTCAGGGACTCACACGGGAACTACTTCATCGACCGTGATGGTCCGCTGTTCCGGTGAGTTTGTGTCTGCTTGATATTTGATATTTGTGTCCACATGGTAAAATTATCTGACAGGCAGAAGAATCCCTTTGACCCTGCAGTAATATGTTGGTCAATTAATCACCTATATGCAAAATGTTGATGGTGACGTGTCAGTAAAAAGCAAAGTCTGAGATGTTATACAATGGCTCATGCACAGAGGATAAACCCTTTTATTCCAATAAAGTTAAGATATGCTGTCTGGCGCCCCCCTCAGGCCTACTCTGACCCATCATCATCATCAAAACTCTCTAAAGCCTCAGTTTAGTGTTTTTTCACGACAGGACACTCAAAGTTTGACGTGTTGTGCTTTCAGTGATCCTCATCTGTTCATTACTGTTTCTAAGTGAAGTGTCTGACTCACTGAGACTTTACTGATGTATTAGTGATCCGTTTTTACTCATTTTTTTCCACCTGAGCCCTGTCTAAACCTGCTCTCCTTTGCTGTTATTATCCTGTAATTGTTGCCTGCAGTTATGCCGTGTGGATTGCTGGTAGAAAGGGTTGTGTAGTTTTTTTTATCCATGAAGGAGACTGTTTCTCTTGTCCCATTTGATCAGCTACATTGACTCATTATTTGACCACATATTGATCTTTTTCTAAACCTAACCAAACTGTTACCATCAGAGCCTTAAGATGTTTGCTTGGATCTAGAAACCAAATCTACTTTGTGAGACTCAGGAAAGATAAAAGAGATCCAGATTTTTTTAAAAGTGTTATTTGGCACAGGACGCAATAGTCACATTTAAATCAGTCAAACACAGCAAAGGTAGACAGGATTAGTTGGAGATGTGACTAGGGAAAAAAGGCCAACTGCAACCAAGATAATGTTATGATGTTGAATATCATGGTCTGTTTATCCAGATGATGATTTTTGCTGTACTGGAGCAGGTCGAGCACCGGCCTACATTAAAGAGGTGAGGGTCAGACCTGATAAAGGAGATGAGGTACCCCAGGTGTCTCTGCTGTCCTGACTGTATCTGACTGCTCCCAGTCTCCCAGAATTATCAGCTCAGCAGTCTGGATTGATCCGGTCCTTGTTTCTGCTGTCTCAGCTACATCCTCAACTTCCTGCGGACGTCAGAGCTCACACTGCCATGTGACTTCAAGGAGACTGAGCTGCTCAGGAAGGAGGCCGACTTCTATCAGATCGAGCCCCTGATTCAGTGCCTGGGAGACCCCAAACCCCTGCTGCCCTACCCTACAGACACCTATGAGGAAGTGGTGGAGCTGTCCAGCACCAGGAAGCTGTCCAAGTACTCCAACCCTGTCGCTGTTATCATCACTCAACTCACCATCACCACCAAGGTCAGTGCCAGAGGGGTCATTGGAGGTCATTGGCTTATTAAGATGGTTAAGGGACCGACTTCACTGCAGTGTTCAACACAGTCTTTGGAGGTGAATACTGCTATCTTTAGGAATCTGCACGCAAACTTGACTTCAGCAATCTCTTCATGACTTTAAAGTTGAAGGTGTGCAGCACAAACAAAAGGGGGCTGAGCATGCAGCCTTGGAGTGCTCCAGTGTTGGGGGAGTCTGGACTCCATATCCAAGGTGTTAAATGACTGTTTTGAAGTCCAATATGCAGATGTAGGGTTTGTTTTGATGCCCAGGTTTTCATGTGGAAAACTGAGCTGGTATCAGCGAAAACAAACATATCTTAAAGATGTGTTGAGACTGAGCAGAACATCCTCTGCAGATCCTTCGGCCTTGAGAGTGCAGGCTTGTTGTGTACGCTGTCTCCAATAGTGTGGAGAGTCTCTGTATTAAAGGATGAAGTGCTACAAGTGGGGAGTGATATAACCAACTGATGAAAACGACACAGTGCTGTATGACACACAGTGCTTACTTCACATTCGTTTTTGTTCTACCATTTTGTCAAAGATGCTTTTATTTTTAAAGCATGAAAAGAAACTTCTGTTGTATTTAAAGTCAAAGGAGTAAATGAGAACAGCAAAGAGATCCACAAACAATGAAACATGTTTGATTTCTAAGCACCACCTGAGGATTAATCATCTCTCAGACTGTCTGTTTCATCTCTGTGTCGTCTGAAGAGCAGGTGTGGAGCTGCTGCTTTCAGTCTGGGAGTGTGTGATTAGAAGATCTGACCTACTATGAGAAATATCACTTATACATTAACATTGAAATTACAGGGTAATGTGGATAATTAATGGGTAAAAAAAAAAGAATAAAAGCTCCCTGCAGTTGCAAATACCTTTCACAGAGGCGGTGAGGGAGGGAGGCAGACAGGTGGGGGACTGCAAGCAATAGTTTAATGAAATGGTGACCTTTTGTAGTTATGGGGTAATTTAGACTTCCTCTATGAGGCAGGGGAGACGCAGCTGAGAACAGTGAAGCAGTCTCTCTGTTTCTCTCATTCAACTACAAGAAAAAAAGAGTGTATTAATGCCTGATTAAAACCCTTTTAGAATGAGGATTAAAGCTCTGGGTTTCTCTCATTGTTGGACATACGATGTGTTAGCCTCTTACTGAGGTGGTTGTCGATTGTTTTGGACTTCACAGGTCACTGGGAGACAGTGAATTGTTAGTATCTGAGAGGGATCATATCATCAGAGAGTAAGTGCCCTCTGCTGTTCAAAAAGAGTACTGCTGTTCATTTTTCATCTCGCGGATTCCGGTCATCCCTCATGTGCGTCAAATTTGAACCAACCCTGGTGCTGTAATGTGCCTACTTCTCTAATTCTAGGGAACTGGGATGATGATAACAGTCTTGAGGTAAGCAGTGCCACTGTCCCACAACAGTCAAGAGTTAAAAATGAGGTTTATAACACAGTTAGGGTCCTTATTCGAGCCTTCAGTTTTACTCAATTTCTTCTCACCTTGTGGATTCAGACAATAACCAGCCGAATGGAGGAGGGGCCGACTGGCAGCTGACGCTGTTTTTTGAGCAAAGCAATCACAAAAGGTGTCAGGCCCATTTGGCAGCAGGGGCTAACACCATTGTGACGACTGCTTTGATGGTTTGAGATAATGTGGGCTTTGTGATGCACGTGTTTGGTGTTGTTGGTGCTCAGTTTACCGACCATCTGTCTTGATGCCTTTTGTTTTAAAGCTAACTTTCTGTTTTTTTGAGCTCAGCTCTGTGACTGCTAACATAAATAGGAAAGAGGACATCTATTGAACCGATCAAGGATTATATAATCCCTCTGTTTATCACGTAGTAGCTCAGAATCTGCTCATTTGGAGGCACTAATTATTTGATCAAATGCTTTAAGATAAAGAAAGCAGAAGAAGCAGCAGAAATACTAAGTTGCACAGAAATAAAATACTGGACTAAATCACAAGTATCTCAGGTTTTATTGTTTTAAAACTAAGTTCATGTTAGCTAGACCCAGGTCAGGGTTAGTGCTACTACACTCAGAGGCGTAGTGCCAATGTTAGTCATTACCTGGTGCTAGCTGATAAGAATCAGAAGTGTTGTTTGGTCTTCAGCTTTGGTCTGATGTCCCAGATTATGAAACAGATTCCTGCTCTCCTCCCTTGAAAACCTCTGAAAGGTAGTTTGGTGCCTTTATTACTTAAAAAAAATGTCATGGAGGAATGTTAACAGCAACCGCAAAACTCCTCTTGGTTTGAGGATATGTTTGGCATCTTAATCGAAAGGTTCTATCCTTTCTTTAAAAAAAACGCTGAACAGTTTTTTTATATGAAACATCGTATTAGATGAGCGCACTGAGATAAAAAAAATTAGCTGGGTACACGGTCTGTATTCCAGAACAGTTGGAACTCTGTGTAAAAAGTGTCCAAAAACAGACTGTGATGGTTTGTAAAACATTTTATGTTGTTTTTCTGCCACATTTGACTTTAGTTGACAGGACAGCTGAAAAGAGATCGATCATGTGGAAGAAGGACAAGCAGCAAAGGGTTATAGCCTGGAGTCATGTGGCTTGGCGTTAAAAACAGACATGACTCTGTTTTGGAAATTGCCGTATTAGCCTAAAATCACTCCAAAAGTCAGTGTCTGAAGACCCAGACGTCACTTCATCAACAAAATATGTATAAAAACAATTCAGCTGAAAGAGGAAACCAGAGATAAACATGATCCAGCGCACTTGTGACCTAACTGGGCCTAGGACAGACTTAGGCAAAGTGGAAAACTGTCCAGGGGTCTGACCAATCAGAATACGGCATGTCCCCTGATCTAAAGAGGAGAGGGGCTACCTGGATTTTTATTAGTTCACTGTTTAAAACCCAATATCTGTGATGGTGTAGGGATGCATTAGTGTCTACAGCTTGGGTAGTATACACATCTGGAGAGACCAACCGGGCCGTACCATATCCTGTGTGGTTGTAGAAAGGACAGATTCAGGTGCTGAACTGGTCTCCCTGCAGTGCTGACCATCGTCCCCTGAAAACATTTGGTGTGTCATGAAATAAAAAATCCGACACAGGAAACCCTGAACTGTTAAGCTGCTGAAATCTCAAACCACACTTGAGAGGGATGATACTTCACTTTTCAAACTCCAGGAACTGGTCTCTTTGGTTCCCCAGCACTTACAGAGAGTCGTGATGGACCACGATGGTGAACATGTCCCAACTGTTCTGAAATACAATATATAGAAAATATTTTCAATTAAATAAAGGGTGTAAATACCTTGTAAACTATCATCTTCTGTTGATAACAGTGAGTAGACTGTAAATAAAAACAATAATATCTAAGAGAAACAGAAAAAGGAGAAAAATGACTCTCCCTCCATTTTTTAGGTCCAGGCTGTGTTGGAGTCCATCTCCAGCAGTTTCACAAAGTGGAACAAACACATGATGGACACCAGAGAGTACCAGGTGTCTTTCACCTTTGGACCATGTGATCACCAACAGGAAGTCAGCCTGCGTGTCCACCTGCTCGACTTCATCTCCAAAGCAGTATGTTGCAAACATGTGAAACAGAAATAATCAAAACGAAACATCTGAATAGTTCTACTGTGACGTTTTTATGTGTGTAATCAAATGTTTCACTGCTTCTCCAGGGATTCACGATACGGAACACACGTGTTCACCACATGAGCGAGCGGGCCAATGAGAACACAGTGGAGCATCACTGGACTTTCTGCAGACGGACCCACAAACTCAACGATTGATGGATAAACTCATGAATGGACTCAGACAATGTCGTCGGAGTGTCTGCACTCAGAAAGAGACTTGATTGGTTTTCTTCTTCATGTTTTCTATGATGTTGTATTCTCATTTTTCTGTCTCTTCCGAGCTGAAGCACAATGTGAGGTTACTTGAAGGTTAATATAAAAGCCACTTGTGATATATTATCAGATTCAACCCTTACTCTGTCATCTTCACAGTGTGGCCTAAAGTATGTGGAAAACTCTTTTTTGTGTGTGTGTGTTTAAAGCTCTTCTAAAGAGATTTTATCTTGTAATGATTCAGACTGAAACCGCCTCTCATGGTTCTGTAGACCTACAAAAGCAAACAAGGTCAACATCTACACACTTGGTCCACAGTAGAGGTCGCCGTAATTGACACATCCAAAAGTCTCCCACTGAAGCTTTTACTCTGAAGCTTTCAAATGATGCTGTAGTCCAGAAAGTGCTTCCAACTTCATGGCTAAGATTTTTGCAAATACTTTTACCTGTATTTAATACTTGAGTCACTGGAAAGTGTAGGAAATACTCTCAAATCAAAGTGATAAAACTATACCTGATACCCTTAAAGTGTAAAAAAGTTTTGACTCCGGACCAGTTTCAGCACTGCTGCTGCTGCTGAGTACAGGATCACACAGACATAGGGGGCTTACAGTTCCACTTTACCATTACAATCAGGATACATGCAGCGATGATAATTCATGTTTATTTCATTTAAAAAAGTTTTGGCAGACCTGAGGATATAACACTTAGTGAATAGAAATTAAAACTAAACCATAATTTTACAATGTGAAGCAAGAACGATGATTTCATATCACTGAAACACGAGTTCAAGGTTTCAGGGCTAATCTTTGTTAGAGGATGATATTAGATTTATTCAAATGAAAAGTCACACAGAAAGACACAGCATCTCCTTCCCTACTCTTAGTCATCTCTGTTGTGTCAGATTTTTTGAAGCAGTTATTTTCAGAGGATGACTGCTTATCCTAAACATAACCCTAGCTGAGGTCGTCATCCGAATTTAACACTGATCTACCACGGTGAGCTATGAACCACTTTTAAAGTACAGAAAATCTGGACTTCACTGTTACTTTACAGTCATACGCCAAAAATCAAACACTTCCTGATACAGGCCCCTGATCTTCACCAGAGGATAAGTCTGAATTCTTCACCAGCATTTAAAAACAAAGTGCCTCAGTAGAAGGTTTTAAAATGGAAAGAAAATGTACAAAATCTTTGAGCAGTGGAGTTTCTTTTGTTCATGTCACTGATTTTGACACACCTGAGCTGGGTTCTGGGACAGATATTTGAGCCTCTAAGAATCGTCATGTTTGGTTGAGCCTCCATGCTCCATTGCTATAAAATGACGGGGTAGTCCACATACTTTTGGCCACTTGTTGTTTGGTACAGCAAGGTTCTGGCTTATCAGCAGCAGTATAAATGTGTTTTTGCATCAGTTCATGTTGATTGTGAATAAATTAGTAATAAAAAAAACCCTGTTTGCCTGGATCACTTCACTCAGATTCCTCCAGTCTGAATTATTTTTATCATCTGAACTTACAGAAAAGATTTAAGATATTTTTCAAACATGTTTTCTAAGACAATGGTTCTGTGCGGTCCTGAATGAACTTAGGTTCACATTATTTGAGACAGAAAGGAAATCGAGTTTACATATGAATCACAGGGTAATGGCCAGAAGTTGAACTACTGCCCAGTGTATTAAGGACTGCAGCTTCTGTTCATGCAGCATCTGTTCTGCTTATCTGAGCTCACTTAAGAAATTTCAAGGCTTCAAAACTGTGTAAGACTTCCAAGTTTCTTTTTTATTTGAGCTGCATAGTTGCAGACACAGAATTCACTGAGCTTTTACAGGTTTAGGTTTTACAGCACCTTCACAAAATCTACAAGCTTTACTTCTAGGCTGTTGTTTATCTCTGACAGACATTGAAACATCTTTGCATTTAGTCTTTAAGAGGAAGAAAAAAACTCTGGGCGTAACCAGCCGCCTTTTTGTAACACGTGATTATTACTTTATGGAAATGCAATCAGAGTTCTTGTGTATCTTGTATCTTAGCATCTCGGTCTGATTGCATTTCCATGTAGTAATAATCATAGGCTGTGTCCGAAATGGATCCCTAACCCCTATATCAGTGACTACATGGGGGTTAGCGCCATTTTGAGGGGTGTCCGAAACCTCAGTGATCAATTCCAGTGCCCTATATAGGCGACTCAAAATTTCCCATAAAGCATTGCAAAATGTAGTGACCATCTGCAATGTAGTGTCTGAAACGTCCGGTGACTGAGTTCACTACATAGTCAACTATATAGTGAAATCCCATATAGGGGTTTGGGATTGAGTGATTCATTTCAGACACAGCCATAAATTTCTTCCTTGAGCTGCAGAGTTCCACTGCTCTCGGTGATCAACTCGTCAGGGCTCCCCCACAAACAAGCGGCTGCTGGAGGAGAGTGGGTGAGTTGTGTTTGGTCTCTTTGCTAAAGAAATCAGGCAAAGCTAAAAAGATGTTTTCTGTCTAGTACTATGGCTGGGACCCTATATGTCCTGTTGATGAAGTTATGTGCTGTTCTGAGCATTATTTGTGGCTATAGAGTGGCTTTTTTGGTTCACATAAACCGCTGTGTATTGCTATCGTGCGGTCTTTGCTGACATTGGTGGAACTAGAGAAGCAAGCAGTCAGCAACATTCATCTCTCAAAGGGGTCTAACTCGGTGTTACAGTGTGTTTGACCATGACTTAAACTTACACCACAATATCCCTTTAAGACAGGCTCAGATTGTAGGATGTCATCTTTGGTGTATAATACCAGTTTGCAGCATTGCACTGTAGGATACTGCACAGAGTATTGCACACTATTTTCATGTGTGAAACCAAAGTGGTCCACCATCTGCACACACAGATCTATCATAGTTCAAAAGTTTTGGTATATTGATGCAAACGAGGTCAAGGTCTTCTGCACACTCACTCTTCTGCTGATATATCTGCACTGTGGATGAACTTCATCTCTGCAACAGTCAAAAAACCAAAGTCACATCTCTGAGGTCTGTGTAAATACATCTTTTTCAGTGCTTATCTAGATCTGGAGAAATATTTAAAGTCAAGAGTGGGTGGTTGTGCTGACAAACTTAAAGCTAGTCAAACGGCTGCCTCATGTGGGTGCCACTGTTACACCCCCACATTTACACTAATATCAGCTCCACACGAAAACAAACAGCCCCCTCATTCATTTCAATGGGATCGTGTTGATGTAGCGGCAGGAATCCTGGCAGAAATAAGAGTTTACTTTGGCAGAAGTACAATGCAATTTCATAAAGGAGAAAGCATCACAAATACACACATGCAAGTCCATGCTACAGGAAGATTATGTCACAAAAATAGATACAACAACCCAAAAATTAAGATATTTTAAAGGTGGTGTAGGCAGGATTCTCTTAAAGAAGCATCTTATTTTGTGGTGTATATACAAAAAGCTTTTAATATTAGTCAATAGCTATCAGTTATCGATGACATTTGGATAATATAACGATATCGCCGTGTTTTGTTATGTCTGTGTAGTCAACAATTTAAAATTTTTGAGCAGCCCGCTCTTTCTGACTGTAAACAAAATTGTTCTCCACCTCCTCTAACCTGATTGGTTGTGAGGCAGACGCTGCTCCCCCGTGTTATTCACAAGCCCAAACAAAGTTAGCGTGCTACAATATCGGACAGTAGAAACCAACCAGAAAGTACGAAAATTGTCGGAATTGGTTAATAAGTTAATACCGGGGACTCTGACGGAATAACCGGCACTTAAAAAGGAGGTAGACCGGACAAGAGCTAAAAAGCCAGGTCAACATCAATGAAACATAAACAATGGGGGACGCTTCGGGATCTTACGGACCCTGTAACCTTTCTGCTGGACGGGTAAACTGCTTTAACAAAGTAAGCAGAAGTGTTTCTTGTCAAACGGACCTGCTGTAGCGTGTTGTAGCGCCATCGCTAAACTGTCCTCCCTCGGGTCCTGGACTATGTCACTTTATCCTCGTTGTAGAAGTCCTGCAAACATTGTGTTTGCTGGTAGTCTGTTGGCATCTACAGTAGCACCAATGCTTTTGACTTTCACCTTGACTGGGCCCCATTTGTAATGATCTGAAGTATTTATCTGCATTATATCTGAATTTAATTGGAACGATACGAGCGAGCAGGAGCGTCTGTTTGTGGGCGGGGCTTGCTGGAGCAGAGAGGGAGGGGAGAGGAGGAGCTGAGAGGAAAACTGGTTGGGAGGGGTTGTGTTTACATTCAAGATTTATCCCAGATTGGAATTCCTCAGATCCTGCCTACCCCACCTTTAAGTCCTTTTGTTTGAATTTTGATAATTATGGCTTACGGCTCTAAAATCTCCTATCTCAAAACCCTATAATACTTTGGAAAAGTCTGTTTTCTTGTCAGGTATTTCAGTCCTGAAAAGCAATCAACTAATTAACCCTGAACACGTGCAAAGGCTTACTGAGGCTTTATGCTCTCACCCTGGTTCAGCAGACACCACCACAATCATGGGGAAGACTGCTGACTCGACAGTTTTCCAAAAGACGATCACTGATACCCCCTACAGAGGCTGGCTGTTCACATAGTCTGTTTGGAAGCAGATTCATGGAAAGTGGACTGAAGGTAAAAGTGATTGAACAACAGGTATGAGCCAGGCCTTAAAGGGATATTCTGGCGTAAATTTAAGTTATGGTCAAACACACTGTAACACCGAGTTAGACACCCCTCAAGTGATGAATGTTGCTTCTCTAGTTATACCAGTTATAGTTATACTTTAGTAATGACCACATGATAGCAGTACACTGCGGTCTATGGATCCACGCACAAACCTCAACCAAAAAGCCACTCTACAGCCACAAATAATGAGGCTCAGAACAGCACCTAACTTCATCAACAGGACATATAGGGTCCCAGCCACAGCACTAGCCACCAAACATCTTTTTAGCTTTGCCTAATTTCTTTAGCAAAGAGTCACACTAGGTGTTACGGTGTGTTTGACCATAACTTAAATTTATGCGGGGATATCCTTTTAAGAGGGGTCATCAAACAAAGCAAATCCAAGAATTTAGGGGAGCTTCACAAGGACTGGACTGAAACTGGAGCTGGAGCATCAAGAGCCTCCACACACAGACGAGTTCAGGATATGGGCTACAAGTGTTTTGATCTACTGGTAAACCACTCCTGGACCATAGACAAGATCATAAGAGTCTCACCTGGACCAGGAAAAAAAAGGACTGGACTATTGATCAGTGGTCCAAAGTCCTGTTTTCAGATGAAAGGAGGATGGGGGGCCCAGAATCCAAGGTGCTTCAAGTCCAGCATGAAGTTTCCACAGTCTGTGAAGGTCTGGGGTGCCATGCCACTTGCTGCTGTTGGTCGACTGTTTTTTTATCAAGTTCAGAGTCGATGCAGCCTAAAGTCTAACAGGAGGTTTTAGAGACCTTTATGATTCCATCTGCTGAGGAGCTTTATGGAGATACAGATTTCCTTTTCCAGCAGGACCTGGGAACTGCCCACAGTGCCAAAGCCACCAGAAATTGGTATTACTGTGCTTCATTGGACCTGAACCCCATAGAGGATTTCAGGGGTGTCATTAAGAGAAAGATGAGAGACACCACAGCAACAATACAGATGAGGTGAAGGAGCTCTCAACGTAACCCGGACCTCCATGAGACCCATGCAGAGACGCCGACTGACAGATTCTTTTTCAGATTTTCATGAGCTGCTCCTGTATTTAAAAACCCATTAGCTACCACTAAAAAATAGCGTAGGTAAGTATTTAACTGCTTTAAAGTTTGACAGAGTTTGTTGTTTCTTGTTTGTCTGTGGTGTGTGGATGCAGGAAGAGACTTTGTGACACTGGCTTGTTTGTATCGTAAAATATTTATTACAAAGACCACACTAGTATTGAACAAGCACCACAGATGCTGGAAGATGACTGTCAATGATGTCTTTCTCCCAGATTTCAGTTTCAGCACCTCTACTATAGGGTTGAAGGGCGCTTACACATCACACATGAACTACTTCCTGTTTACTTTCTCTGGTTGTAGATGGTGAGGAACCAGTTGTCACTGGAACAATTAATCATGACAGGAAATGCTTCCTCTGGGCATTCGATGGAAACTTCCCAATGAAGCAGAAAATTCACCTTATGAGGTTTTACATCAGATACCTTAAGATGCAGAGTATAACTGGAATAATCCGTTATGTTTTACTTTCTGTAAATATGTCAAAAATAATTGACAGACACAGATTGATTGGTTACTGAGACTATTTTCACATTGACAGTAAAATGTGTCGTATTTTTGCTACTGTGAACTTCAATATAAATGTCACTGAGGTACCAAAATAGTATCAACATTGAAGTGCAAAGGTGTGATGGCAGCGGCTGCTGACTTGCAGTGTAAAACTTTCAAGACACCACTCAGGATGGCTGAAAAACAAATGGCTGAAAGAACTTTTTTGAAGGTCTTTTTGCCTGTTTGACTTAAGGTTTTTGTAAACAACCCCTCTAGCCAGTTGACAGGAACTCCTGTGTTCCTGTTGGAGGCTCTGCTGACTGCTGTGTTGCCTTTGGGCCCTGCTGACTTCTTTCGCCCCATTGGAGGCCCTGCCGACTGCTGTTTCCTTGTCGCTGTTTCCTCCAGTGCCTGCTCCCAGTTCGGCTCCCAGGCCTGCAACCAAGCTCCCAGTGCCAGCTCCCAGGTTGGCTTCAAGGCTGGCAACCCAGCTCTTGGTGCCTGCTCCTCTTCTGGCTTCCAGGCTGGACACCCCGTTCTCTGTGCCTGCATCCCAGCCTGTGCCTGGTTCTGGTTTGGAGGGCTGCCCTCCTAAACTGTTTGCCCTCAGTGGACAGACTCCTGGCTGCCTTCCTGAATGTACCAGGTCTTTTCCCCCAAGGCCACTGTAAGGATGCCTAGCCCAGGTCCGCACTTGATGATCAGTTTGACAAATTTTACTGGTAGCAGATCTGGGTTACAGCTTCATCATGCCACAGGTGTAACAAAGACTGGCCTGAAAGGGTCGAGATATGTATAGCTGTCCACGTTTTCAGACATCCTCATGACATCTTGTTGACAGTATACAGAGTACATCTAGGGTTATAACAGAACACAACATATTTTGGGAACATGAGTAATTTTAAACTAGTGTAGAAGGTCTTCATTTAGGATGGTTTTCGGAGGCCCATGGCACCACTTGTCTTGCACCAAAATATCTGTGGTATTCAAGTTACACAGCTCAACCACCCTAAATGCTGACATGACCGGGTAAAGAAAATCCTCCTAACAGCCACAGTCCCTCCTTCCAGACCCCCTCTCTCCACCCTGCTTTGAGTTGCTTTTGGACTTTTTCCCCTTGTGTGTTTAGTATAATTTTACTTCCTGTGTTTTCCCTCTCAAGTGATTGTCTGCACCTGTATCTTAGTGTCCCACCTGACCTGTTGCTCGTAACTCAGTGTATTTAGTGTATTTAACCCTGTGCAGCCTTTCCTGTTTGTCAGATTGTTGTCAAACCAACCTCATGGTTTCCCAGAGCCTTCTTGTGAGATTTCTAGTTCCTGGTGTTTTGTTTGGATTTTTCTGCTGTAGTTTTTTTTTTTCTTTTTGGACTTTCATGTTTTGCCTTTTGTTTAATTAAACCTTTTAAGTTCTGCATATGGGTCCTCCTTTTGTTTCTGTTTGAAAAGTGACATTGCTTCCTTAGCACAAATGTATTCATGAGGGGAACAATGCAGACATTGGGACAGGTTCCTACACAGGAATAATTCAGGGAAGAGGTAAGTCCTCCCATTTTGTCCACAGGGAGCGCCAAAGTTAACAGAACCACAATGTTTCCAACAGGAGCTTTAAGTAGCTTGGCCTGCTGCTATCAAATACTTACTTTTGTACTCATGTTTTTTTTAGGTACTAGCTTGGTGGAATAAAGTGGTTGGATTAATTAATATGACCCCAATGTTTGAAAGATTATAACATTTTCGATCTAACTTCTGAATTTTATTTATTTTATTGAACTAATTCAAAAAGATAATAACAGAGACAAGTTTTCAGGGAGTTCAAGGAGGACAGAATAACAATAATAACTTAATGGCGTACCACACTATGGCTCTGCATCCTTTTCCGCAGCCAGGTCTACAAGTGCTGACCTCATCCCATGAGATGCAGTAGTACCTAGATAGTCCAGAAATGGATCCCAATCTCGATAGAATAGAAAGGGTTTGTCCTTCAATGCTGTGGAGAAGGTTTCAAATAGAATAATACTAGTCGCAGTTTGTTTCCACTGATTGAGAGTGGGAGCTTTATCAGCGATCCATAAGGCCATGATATATTTCCGGGTACTGTGCAGAAGAATGTGCAGAAGGTCTCTATTGTGAAGATCAAAAGGCAACTCAACCTCTAGTCCCAGCAGGCATGTTCTAGCACTCAGATGTAGATGGCGCTTGAAAATTATATTGAACTATTGAACAACTATACTCTGAAACTGTAGGACATGAGACAGCTCCATAAAGAATGAATAAAGGAACCAAAATTAGATTGACATGTAGAGCAGAGCTCAGATAAGTTAGGATTCATTCTGTGTCTGGATTCAGGAGTTATAAAGAGCCTATGCAAAATCTTGAATTATCTCTCCCATGCCGAATTAGACACCAAAACCCTGGAGGGCTGGCTGCACACGCATCCCAGGCCCCAGACTCTATTGCACCTAAATCAGATTCCCATCTGCCTCTTACTTTACCCAAGTATATCTACATTTAGGTTACAGAGAATCTTGTAAAACTTCTTAGTAAAAGGAAAGAAAGCATGCGTGAGTCTGTGTACAGTTTAAAATAGACCTGTTTATCTCCTATTTATGCTCCTGTTATTTTGGTTATGGGAAGTATTTCTTTTACATTTAAAGAGAAAAACACTTTAAACTAAACACTGTTATCAATCTGGTACATATTTATAATGAAAACTTACTTATACCCAACAACGCTACAAAGCTGTCGCAAATTAATTTCATCTGCCAGGGGACAAGCAAATATTTATTTTAGTGGTTTAACTTTTTAACTCCAACACCTGATGTCTTTGCACAATGTAAAAAAAGGAGTATTTTAAATATTTGCAAACCATCATAATTTTTATCAATGTATTACAAATGCTTCCAATCTTTTTGGAATATGACGTTTTATGAAACAAACATAGATAAATAAAATCCACTCTCTTTTAAAATTGATATTTATTGGTATTTTAACGGTGTTTTGTTTACACATTGATCATGAATGGAAGAATTTCTGTTGTTGTTTCATTGAATATTAATATTAATATTAATATTAATATACCCATTAATAAAGCCTCTGTTAAAAGTTCATTGGCACATTTTCCGATTTTCCACTAAAATATTTTCTTCCAAAATTCTTATAATTTTATAATTCCAACTTAATCCCTGTAATTCTCTGTCAATTTTGGTCATTTAGGCATAGTTGGCAGATACAAATTAAAATTAACGTATTTTTTTAGTGCTTGTACCTTAATTATCTAGGCTGCCTTGTTTGCTGTTAGGTTAGACCACAAACACAAAAATAGAAATAAGCCCCGCCCAGTCATTACGTCACATGAAATTTGCTCTGGGTAAGCTTATGTTTGTTTGTAAAACAGATAAATGGTTATCCTATATTATACAGGTTTATGAATTCTATACACATCTCTCTCACTTTTCTACAAGTGATATTAGATAATTTTACGGTCAGTTTAACCTGAGATTATTTCTAGTCACTGTTACCCGTTCCCTACCCCCACCCCTCGGCGGGGTTTCCAGATCCCGCCCCCTCTGCTCTCTCCCCGGCTGCCTCCGCCTCTCCTCTTTGGTCTGACATCCACACCGCTGTTGTTGCAGCCATTTTACCGTGGAGCGTCGGCAACAGCGGCAACCAGAGGATGCCGAAACAGCAACGTTAAAAGGTACATTTCCCTTATTGTTGTGTACTCTCAGTCGCGTGTGTAACCCAGACGTTACCGACATAGTTAATCGGTGGGATAAAGAGTGGCGGGCTGAAGGCCAGGCCGATCACAGGGCTGAGGGAGCCTGTAAACTCGGAGCTGCCCAGACAGAGGAAAGATTGCTGGGAGAGTGTTTGGCGACCAGTGCTTGTCTCTGGCAGTTCACAAGTCTGTGTTAAAAATGGCGACGTTTCTTACCATACCTCTGAAAGTATTAATTAGCGTCCCTGCAGAGAATTCGTTGGTGTTTATTTGGTCAGTTTAAAGGTGCAGTATGTCAGTATTATCTGAATACAACTGTTTCTGGCGCGTTCCTAAAGAGGGCGCTCGAGCGCAGAAACAACGTAGGTTTGCGCATGTTTTTTTAGCTTGACGCTTACAGGTTGGTTTGCTTCTCAGCTTCTTTGGTGTACTGTTATGAAGCTTTTTCAAGGTTTCTTTGTTCTGTTCAGTCAAGCGGTTTGGTGTTGTATTGTGTTGCCAGTTTGAGTTGAACTAGCTAGCTTACAAGCACTAGCCTGCCTCACCCCTCAAGGCTGTAGCTGCTAGCTAGCTTGTGGCTGTAACTAGCACTTAACCAAAAATTGTGACTTGTAAGCTAGTAGCTAGCTGGTCACAAAATGGTTGTGAAAAGCTAGCCATTGGTTAGTTTGTAGCAGCTCAACTGTGACTTGCTGAGTAGAAGCTAGTTAGTCACAAGCTTTGTCTTTACCCTGGATCTACATCTTTCACAGGACTTGACCCTTGTAGTGTGCATCTGCAGGTTTGGTAAGCAACTTGAATAATGCCCCACTTTTGATCGTCACTGCCTGAATTAAAATTAAGATAACTTTGTTGTCTAATTCATGTGGGTAAAATGGCAAGAATTTGATGTGTGATGCTAATAGCCATATAAACTAGGAGTGGATTGATTGCTATTAGGCTACTTGAAGTTTGTGAGGCTCTCCTGCTGCTCCAGTAGCTACGCTGTTACATTCATGTTACATTATACACTACTCGCTATACAGACCGCGTTTAAGCTTAAACGTTACCCTTCACATTAGTGGAAGAGGGTCAGACAGGATTTGATGCACTTGTTGATGACTCACAACAAAATCGGAAATAATGTTGTGTATTGATGTGCTCACACAGTGCCAGTAGAAATCATTAGTGCCGCACTGATTATAATGCTACTAATGCTGTTAATGCTACTCACTATATAGACCGTATATAAGCTTAAACGTTACCCTTCACGTTAATAGAAGAGGGTCGGACAGGATTTAATGTGAAAAAAGCGATGTGTGTTGTTGTGCTCACACAGTGCGATTAGATATGAATGATCATGTGAAATTTCAGTATTGGCACTCGTAACCGCCGCTGATGAATAAATGTAGGGGAAACACTGCTGATACCTATGAGTCCGAGGTAGAATTACGTGAGATAAAAACTAAGTTTTTTTAAGGGTGGCGGCCTTTATTTAACCATGGCGGTGCGCCACAATCAATTGCATGTAGGGGAAACCCTGCATTAAAAATGACAACAATTCAGTCAAAATATGATTTGAGAACTGCAAACTATAACACAACCTCGAATTCGGTGTTACTCGACACTTCTAACATCATGTGGGTTATGTGGGTTAAAAATTGCTTAATTACATTTAAAGTTCAGTTGCACAGATCACAGGGTTGTTTGATGCCTATCCAGCAGGTAGCAGAGCTAAAGTAGCATATTTCTTAGATAATTTATTTCATCAGCCTTGGGTGAAATTTTAGTTTGATATAAATATTTGGATACGTACAGTATTTTAACTAGACGAGAGTAAGCTGAAGCCAATCACTGTTCTACTACTATAAACACATGGTAACATGTAAAGCTGAATGATTTTGGAAAATAATCTACTTGTGATTGTTTTCCTCAATACTGCGATTGCGATTTCATATGTGATTATTTTTCAAGTAAATAATAACAAATCAGGAATAATAATTCAATCTGTATCAGGGTCCGACCGATTTACCGGCGAGCCGATTAAATCGACCAATTTTAGCCCGTTTGAGACTAATCGGTAATCGGCCAAAACTCGCTGATTTTTTGTCATGCGCTTAGCTTTACTTAACTGTGCATGTGAATGTGCTGAGTGTACAAAAACTTATGGCATAGGTTATGCTTAGAAGGATGCACCAGATCTGCTGCCCATTTAAATTAGGTCATATTTGTTGGCTGTATTTCTATAAACATTCAAAATGGAAAGGGGCTTGTTGCACCTTGTTGCAACAAGGGGCTTGTTGCACCTTCTATGCACAAGTTCTGCTTGAACTATGAGTTTTAAGCCCACACTTAAACATACATTGAAACAGGAGCTGCACAATTAATCAATTTTGAATCGTAATCAGATTAATAAATTATGACAATGTTAAAAAATTAAAAGTTTGTCTAATCGATATTTCTTTCTATCATGTCCTGTGTCTCCAGGCTACTATAGGCTCCCTCTTCCTGTGAGAAGGCAATAATCCCATGAGAAAATTTTCAGACTGTTTCATGCAACTTCTCTCACTCTAGCCGATGATGTCATCCACTCGGTCATGAACATTCCATATAATCTCAAAATTTCTCTAAAAATTATCATGCTCATTGAACAGTGAATGAATATTAACTACTATACCTATTGAACAGTGGATTAATACACCAATAGACAAGACTTGTTTCTAGGGATGTCCCGATCACATTTTTTTGGTCCCGATCCGATCACGATTTTTTAATGATGGGTAATTGCAGATCCCGATTTTTTTCCCGATCCGATCTTTTTTCTTACCTTGAATAAACTGAGTCCACTGGATTCAGACTTTTCTTTTGGTGCATTGCAAAATAAATTGGATTGTTTGCTTCGATGATCAATCCATACTTTTCTCTTCCTCAACGTTTTATTTTACAAATGAAGAACAGTGAGCGTACTATATAAAACATAAATGAAATATTTATTGTCATGCAGTATTACGTGGACTCGCTGTTTGTCAAGCCCCCTCTCCTGCAACATGTCGCTGATTGCCTGACGCACGTTATCTGCCGTTTGTGCACCGCGGAATTTGTTAGCATGCAGAACAGCTTGCTTCATCTCAAACGCTGAATTAATCCAGTGCGCCGTGAGGCTGAGAAGAGACATCAGGCAGACGTCGGAAGTCCAAAGATCTGTTGTGAATGAGAAGGCAGCCCCATCTGACAGAAGATCCAAACTTTGTTGTAAAGTTCCGGTATTGCTGTGCTCGTTATGAAGTGCCTAGAGAGTAGCTCGTAGCGTGGCTCCAATAACTCCAAAAGCGACAAAAGTCGGTGTTCTCTACCACGGAAATGGGCTGGTCGCCCAAGCAAAAAACTTTGCGAGCCTTTGGGTAATTATCCTGGCTTTTTCTCCACCGCGAGGAAACTTTTAAACTTTTAAACTAGCAAGCAGCGTCTGCTGCTTCAAACCAGCTTTTGATTCAATAGAAGCGCTGTATTCCTTATATTCTGCTTCGTGTTTCTAGAGATGCCAAATTAAATTAGTTGTGTTATAGGAAGCTCTGTTGCTGCCACAATGTGAAACCATTACCTTGCAGACTTTGTATTTTGCTGCGGGTCTGCATTCGTCTATATTTTAAAAAATTGAATGGAGTCTATTGGTGAAGATGTTTGAAAAACTTTAGTAATTGCGCCTTTTTTTGCCTTGTCCCATTGACTTAATGCAAAATTTATCAGCAGTTTTTCACAGCTTACATCGTTGAAAATTCATCTACAAAACCCAATCCGAAGTTGGGAAATTGTGATAAACGTAAATACCAACAGAATACAATGATGTACAAATACTTTTCAACCTATATTCAATTGAATACAGTACAAAGACAAGATATTTAATGTTCAAACTCATAAACCTTTTTTTTTGCAAATAATAACTCAGAATTTCATGGCTGCAACATGAACCGAAGTAGTTGGGACAGGAGCATGTTTACCACTGTGTTACATCACCTTTCCTTTTAACAACACTCAATAAACGTTTGGTAACTGAGGAGACTAATTGTTGAAGCTTTGAAGGTGGAATTCTTTTCCATTTTTGCTTGATGTACAGCTTCAGTTGTTCAACAGTGCGGGGTCTCCGTTGTTGTATTTTACGCTTCATAATGCACCACATATTTTCAATGGGAGACAGGTCCGGACTGCAGGCAGGCCAGTCGAGTACCTGCACTCTTTTACTGCGAAGCCACGCTGTTGTAACACGTGCAGAATGTGGCTTGGCATTGTAATGCTTGAATAAGCAGGGGCGTCCATGAAAAAGACGTTGCTTGGATGGCAGCATATGTGGTTCCAAAACCTGTGTGTACCTTTCAGCATTAATGTTGCCTTCGCAGATGTGTAAGTTACCCATGCCTTTGGCATTAATGCCTCCCATACCATCACAGATGCTGGCTTTTGAACTTTGCATTGATAACAGTCCGGATGGTTCTTTTCCTCTTTGGCCCGGAGGACACAACGTCCACTATTTCCAAAATGAATTTAAAATGTGGACTCGTCAGACCACAGAACACTTTTCTACTTTGCATCAGTCCATCTTAGATGAGCTTTGGCCCAGAGAAGCTTGCGGCGTTTCTGGATGTTGTTGATAAATGGGTTTCTCTTTGCATAGTAGAGTTTATACTTGCACTTACAGATGTAGTGAAGATCTTTCACTGACAGTGTTTTTCTGAAGTGTTCCTGAGCCCATGTGGTGATGTCCTTTACACATTGATGTTGGTTTTTGATACAGTGCCGCCTGAGGGGTTGAAGGTCACAGGCATTCAATGTTGGTTTCCGGCCGTGCCGCTTACATGCAGTGATTTCTCCAGATTCTCTGAACCTTTTGATGATATTATGGACCGTATATGTTGAAATTCCCAAATTTCCCTGCAATTGTACTTTGAGAAACATTGTTTTTAAACTGACTATTTGACTATTTTCTCACGCAGTTGTTTACAAAGTAGTGAACCGCGCCCAATCCTTGCTTGTTAATGACTGAGAATTTTTGGGGAAGCTGCTTTTATACCCAATCTTGGCACCCACCTGTTCCCTATTAGTCTGCTCACCTGTGGGATGTTCTAGATAGGTATTTGATGAGCATTCCTCAAATATCTCAGTATTTTTTGCCACCTTTCCCAACTTCTTTGGCACGTGTTGCATTCTGGACAAGTTGGAGGCAGGAATGAGACCTCTGCATAATACCGGAAAGAAGTGAGTTACAGTAATCAAGGCGAGTGAAGATTAGGGTGTGAATGACTTTGACCATGTCTGGCTGGGAGAGGATGGATTTTTAACTTGGAGATACCCCTGAAAGAAGCAAGACTGTGTGATTTTATTGATATGAAATGCAAAGGTGAGGTTAGAATCAAATTGAACTCCAAGATTTCTGGCTGATTATTTGATATTTGATGAAAATGAACCAAGGTTATTACTGATTGTGGTTGAGGAATTTTGTAAATTGAACATGATTATATCAGATTTGCAGTTGTTTAGCTGTAGGAACTTCTGTGCCAGGCAGTCTGTAACAGCAGCTAGGCTTCTTGGGTCTTCGGGTCTCAGGGGCAGGTATATCTGTGTGTTGTTTGCATAGAAGTAAAGGAGACCTTATGATTCTAAATTATTTGACCAAAGGGCAGCTTATAAATAGAAAATAGCTCATTAACAATTTGCATCTGAGTTGTTGGCAGAGACAGTGCTGCTCTGCACACTCCTCTTCATGTCAGCTTGCAACCCAACATTGCCGGCGCAGCAGAATTGGCGGGTAATATAGGAGTTATTCAGTTCTCGGACGCTGACATCTTTGGGGGCATAATGAAAGCTAATATCATAGTTGGCTTTCTTATGAGCATTGCAATCCGCTACCGCACCTTGTTTCCGCTATTGTCGTCTCGGATGCAATAATCGCAGCATCATCAACTGCTGCACAACATTTAGCAGCTTCGACTTAAATATATTACCCTTGGATTCAGTTCTCTTAAACAAACACGGTCATCATTAGGACTGGGTTCTTAAATGATCATGATTAATGATCATAATAAATTTTAGTTTGATCACGGTGATGAGCTGTGAGCATATTTACTAGATCAAACATAGTGGAAATGTACGTGATAACAGCCAATCAGAGTCGAGCTTTTCCTGCTCACTTCTGTAAGTTGCCGGAGAAGTAAAAAGAGGAAGTAAACAGAAAGACTGAACGTGGAGCTAAACGTGGAGCTGAGGGCAGCAAAAAATGTCAGCCATGACTTTCAGTCATCCTTCAAAGATGCCATTGTCGAGAAGAAAAGTTAGTCAACATCAAATGTGTGGTGGTGCTTTGGGTATCTCCAAAGTGACGCCCAGCAATTTAGCTGATGTGCAAAGTATGTCGGTGCCCTCACAAACCAGCAACACAACAGATCTGTTTAATCATTTGAAGAAGTTCTTCCCGAGTGATCATGTGGAAAGCATGATGATGTGAGCGGAGTCTGCACAGCCTGTCACTGCTTACGGCACGAGTAGCATTAGCAGTTTAGCCACAACTAGCGGTGTGACCACCAGACCGAAGCTGCGATCAATCGTATCATCTACATTTACATCATCTAACATTAACATTTTAAGGCGTCTTCATAATAATAATAATAATAATAATCAAGATTGGACTATATAACTATATTGTAATATTTTTTTGCCAAATCTCCCAGTCCTAGTCATCATATCACTTGTGCTTGTGAAAGTTCTCCCTAATATTTTGGCCTGGAATCTACTTTAAGTACATTTAATACACTCATGTTTTGAAGGATTTCACAGTGACCAAACCAAGCAGTCAGTTTCTTTTAGGTTATTTGCCTTTGTTGACAGGAGATTCTGGATGGTTAAAAGATAACTTGTTTATCCAGTCTTAACACCCTGACTATGGTTAGTTTTAAACAGGTTCCTTCCATCTATAAAGAACTGCACTTTCTTCTGTTGGACACAAGAGAGTGGAGTAAGTGACCATGGTGGCCAGAAGCCCGGCTTCCTTGTCTGCAGAGCAGTGAAAGAAATCAAACTGATAAAATGTGTGTTGTTGAGTGCTGTTGACTCAACAAACTTATATAAACCTTGTAGGAGTCTTTTTATACACAGGAGCCATGGAAGTAACCATAAGCTAGAATTTAACCTTGGCTGACTGTTCAAGGCATAACCTCGTTATATGGGGTGTGAAGACTGATAGGCCACCAGCACCTTATAAATTGATCTTTTAAAATCCTGATCCAGTCCTGATATCCGGGCTTTGTTTCTCTGCTATTTGGTACCAATTGAATGAAACTGATATTTCTAATCTCTGTTTAGCAGTGTTGATGCACTCATTGTGACTCATCCATGTCTATGATGTCATGTATTTCACATGCCTGTCCCTACATGGACTTTTGACCTCTATAAAACTCTATAAAACAAGACACTTTCAAACAGGAATCACAAGAGTATGTGTTTTAATATGACTAAATCCTCCTCTCAAACATAGGCATGTGCCGATTATAAAAAATTTGATATCACAATATTGGTTGCCCAAAATATCACAATTCACAATATTATCACGATACTAGCACATTGCTTTTAATGTTATTAAAAATGGCAAAAAAAAATGCAAAATCACTTCTCTCTGCACAGCATGACACGCACAAACAATATGAGCAAGAGGCAGCTAACGTGACGTTGGGAGCATTAGCTTTTTGGTAGGGATGCACGATATTTATCGGACCGATAAAATATCGGCCGATTTGGGGGGAAATTACGTCATTTTTTATCGGTCCGATAGGTGCATTTTTCCGATAGAAAGATCCGATATATTAATGACATTACGAGTAACGTTTGCAGGCGGAGTAGCCGCCCGTCCGAGACGCGCTGGTTACGTCATCTATCGCGCCTTACTCGCAGGTCCCAAGCCTGACCCTGTCACTACCTGACAGATAATAAAATGTCTTCACCAGCATGGTCGTTTCTCTCAGTGGCAGAAGATGACAACAGCATTGCTATATGCAAAACCTGTTCAGCGAGGATTCCGAGAGGAGGAAAGAAGACGTCAAGTTTTAACACAACGAATCTGATAGCTCATCTGAAAAGTCGCCATCACGGCGGAGCAGTATTAAAGGACTATGAGACAGCCGCCGAAGCTGCTAGCGGTACTAAAGCTAAGACAACAACACTACGGAGGATCGATGTCCCCATTCAGCAGGCGTTGAAGAACTGCAAAAGTTTCTCAAGAGACAGCGAAAAGGCTAAAGCCATTAACGACAAAGTGATGGGGTTCATAGCGGTCGACGACCAGCCTTTTCCGTCGTTGAGAACCCGGGTTTACGTAAGTTAATAGCACACTTGGAGCCACGTTACACTCTCCCAAGCCGCCGCTTCTTCTCGGATGTGTCTCTTCCTGCACTCTATGATATTGTCGCCACATACATTCACAACCTGATCGACAAGAACGGACTACACGTGAGTTTTACCACAGACATATGGACGTCAGATGTTAGTCCGGTCAGCATGCTAAGCCTAACGGCTCATAATGGCTCCTTTACAGTTTACAGTTCTGTTGAACAGTTCAGGGGATCAAATGAAGTTCTGCTTTTTGCTCTGTTATTGTTATTTATAGCAAATGACTATATTTGAAGAGCCAAAAACTTTTCTTTGTTGTTCTAGATAGGCCAGAGCAACAAAAATATCAGTTTTCAATCGCTGCATCCTGCACAAACTGCAGATTATATGAAGATTATAATAAATGTAAAAATATGAATTTATCGGTTATCGGTATCGGTATCGGCCATGAGAAGAAGAAAATTATCGGTTATCGGTATCGGTTGAAATTTTTCATATCGTGCATCACTACTTTTTGGAGCTAAAGTTAGCAGAAACGTCACTAACGTTGTCAATAATAAGCAGTAGAGTAGACCAAACCTGTTGCGGTCATGTTGTTTTTACCCACAAATTATGATCTCATATGTTCAGTAGATCGATCTCAGTTTTGACTCTTTCTTAAATGTTCTCACCTGTAGATGCGTGGGCTAGCTGAAACTAATAGATTCAAAACAGCCCTAGTTCACATGTACACCCCCACCCAGACAACAAGGTGAGTTTTTTTTTGAGTTTAGCATCACAGCAACCACTGAAATAATGCTGCTGACCTGGGATCAGTGGTCTTGAACCAGTTTTGGCCAGTAGGTTTATCTTTAAGGATAAGTATTAGTATATAACTGTGTACTTGAGATTGCTGTACAGATAATGATTCCCATGCCAGTTACCAACCAATAAGGGGAGTGTAACACGAGGCTGTTAATCAAAAGACTTCCTCACAGACACCTGCAGTAGCCCTTACCGTCCACCCCATCCCCCCTCGGCTCGTCCTTTTATCACATTCTTCCAAGTGAGAATCTCCTTACAAGTCTCATGCAGCCATGGTGAATCATGGGAAGTCGGCTGGTTGGAGTTGCATGGCTCTTTGTCTTGGTTTTATAACCTCTTGCTTTTTTTTTTTTTTCACTTCTTCCCTTTCACTTCTGTCATTCCTTTTCAGTTCTCTGTTGTTTACAAAAAGAGTGTTTGTTGCCTGTAAAAATAATGGCAGCAGAAAGAGTTTTTCTGCACCTGATGGCAGCTCCCTTTAGGAAAACTAACAAGTATACAGCCAATGTGTAAAACGTGACGCTCCCGTGGGTTCATGAACAAGTGTAAAAAGTAACCAGGTGACTTCACCTACGTCCAACAACCAAATCAGACATAAGCAACAAATTCTAAGCTCAATACAGCTCTTTATATTTTATCTTGCACATCCTCGAGAATGGTCCCTGACAGGTATACAGGTAACTTGATGGATAGTTAAGTTTGTATAACTTAACTATCCATCAAGTTATACTGTATGTAAGGATGAATAAGAACAGCTTGTGGAGACTGAGATAAACAGCGATTTAAGAGTGCATGCTAGCTCTAAGCCAAAATAAGTTCCTTGTGATTAGGTGTTGAAGTGGTCCTCCACCGCACTAAAATCTTAGGCTCAGTGGATCAGCTGGTTGGAACTTGATTGCTTGTTGAGCTTCCCCTTGGTTAAAGCATGTGTCGGACAGAAATGATTGAAGATCGCTCTCACGTGTAAATGAGGATGCCAGCTCTGAGCTGTCAATGCCATCCATCACTGTGAAGTTTGGGGGGATTCTGACAAAATATGTTCCTGATGTTCTTGTTTTTTTATGATGGTTAATTAGTTGATGACATCCTCTGTATTCTTGTGGGTAACTTTACTGTATTGAAGCCAAAGACTTGCTTGTAGCTAAACCCCACATAAGCGATGTGACTGGTTTTGTCCATGTCCAGGTAATACTCTTGATCCAAGCGTTTCCTTGCTTTGTTTTGGTAGAGTTTTGGATTTTCCCTTCTGGTTTGCCAGATTTACAAGATACAGAGCAGTCAGTCTCTTATGAATTATGTCTGCTGTTGCCAAGAGGGCTGTTGCAAGATAGAGGTTTCCAAACAGTAGTGGTACTTTGCTTTGATCGTCTGAAGACAAAGGATTGGCGAAGAACTAGCAGACTACTAGTAAGGTAGCGTTAGCACCCTTTGAGAGATGAGAGAGAGAGAGAAGTTTTAACGTGAATCTTAAAATAACATTACAGCTTGTACCACTAAGGGTTTTTTCTATCAGTTGAACATTTATACCTCCTAACTTTTTTTGTTAACTGTTGCCATTCATTTGGATAAGTTACTATCTCCCTTAATCGTAGAAGTATAGGGGGGCCATGCAGGAAATAGAGCGACCTTAACCAAGACAGAAACAAATCATGAGAATTTTCTATGAGGCAAAGAAGTTTGAGTCACAGGGCTGGTGATGAGGATGAATCACATCTTTAAACATCATTAAAACTAGATGATGGTATGTAAGGTCATTGAACATATTAGTAAAGTTTATGACATATGTTGTTCCACCCCTTGTCTTGCCTTTCCTCAACCTGACTCATTGGGTTGTTTCAATGTCCAGTTTTCGCAAGATGTGGAAATGATTTTTTTATCATTTCAATTTTCCTGAGGGAATCTTCCCAAGGAGCCAATGAAGTTCAATCTAACCTAATCTAATCTGATAATGATGTTTTATGGCCATAATAATCCTGAGGTGACAGTCTGATATTGTGGCAGGCATGATAGCCACAGAAAGTCAAATGTGGTATATTTTTTATGTTTCTTGTAAAATTGTAATATATATTGAAAAAGAAAACAATCACCTAAAAAAATGTGAGTTTAATTCTTCTTGTGCGACTTCCTGTTAAAAACTGAATCCTGCTGATTTTACCTGCAACTACAGATCGACATATTTTCCATTTTGTGTCCTCAAGAACTAGGTCAATTAATTTTTTTTCTATTGGGGGGGAAATTATTACAGGGTGTTACTCCTACAGCCCCAAAGGTCCTTGTTGCTATGGTAGCTAATAAAGCTCGTTAAGATAGGGGGCATAGAGGTGTAGAACTAATGCTGAACTGAGCGATGGTCACACACAGTAGTTTCTGTCCGTGGGCTTCGAGTAACGAGCCAGCTGGGGTCATTTCTCTCAGCAGATGTGCAGCGTTACTGTTACTGTGTGTTGATGCGGTGCTGCGAGGTGTTTGATTACACTGCTGCTGACAGTTAACGAGCTTCTCCCCTGGGCATTAAAGTACCTATTAAAAATCTCCAGACTGTGTGTTCACAGCTGCGGCGGTTCACGTTCATGTCATCATTTTGTATCTGTTTGACCCTCTTCACGAGCATCATAGTGTAAGCTCGGCTGCAAAACAAGCTTCAGTGTGTGGATCGAATCTAAGTAACACAGTCAAAACCAGCTCAATTCATATATGCGTTTGAAGTACTTTGAATAGATGTAAAATATTTTTTGTTGCTGACACTTTTCAAAACCGATTTCAGCAGGAGATTTTAGATACCATAAAAATGCACTAATTAAAAAAAAGAGATGCAATAGTGTTTGACTCTGTTTTTTTTAATCGCCCTTTTCATCAAATCTTTGGCAGCCATGTCCTTCTGAGGTTGCCCTCAGTGTCCGAGGCAAAGTATTTTTGCTTTCAAGTGATGCAAGTATATTCCATTGCTGCCTGATTGATCATACATTCAAAGGGGCAAATGGTGGTAGAATTTCATAAGGCTATCATGTTCTCGTCTGTAGTTTTATTATAACAAAGACTTTCTGTATTATCCTGGCAGGACATGAAACATGGATGACGCGGTGCGGGGTCCTGTGGTTGGCCGACCACTGGCCTTCACCAATGAAGATCGGCGGGCGGTTCACTCCTGGTCCCGGATCTCATCAGCGGGGCAGAATGTCCTCCTGGATGCTCTGAAGATCCTCAGCCCCATGTCCCGAGACCTCTCGAGCAGCGAGGAGCTGGTTACCTTCCTGCAGGAGCTGAGAGACGAAGGCCACAAGCCTGTTGTGTTGGGCAGCAAAGATGTTTACCGCTACCGCTCCTGCACCAACCAACCCCTAACTGTAGACAAACTGAAGCCAACCACCAGGAACGTCAGACCCAACACCAAGAAAAGGGTCAGAAGGCCCTTGACCAAGAAGAGGGATGTACACCCATCCTGGAACATCTCTGGGAGAAGCAAACCCAGAATTCATGGTGTGCGCCCTCCAGAACTGCTTGAGGACCATAGGGCCATGATCAGCAGCAGGACAACCAGTCGGACTGTAGACATGTCAAAGGCCGCTCAGGTGCAGCCATGCCTCAGACTGACCAATATTGAAGGCCCGTCTGGCTTTCATACAGCCAGGCTTCAGATTCACACTTCCTGGGAATCATCCTCTGAGGTGCACTCTGTTGCCTTTTCACAGCAGAGGCACCCTCCAACGCTTTCAGGAATACCTTTGCAGCCTTCTCAGAACGGTGGTGGGGCACCCACCAAAGCTGTGGCCTTGTTCAGCCAGAAGAGCCTGTCCTGTCCCATCCGGTTGGACGGGGCACTCATTGGTGATTCTGCACCGGTCTTTTATGCCAATGGCCGGGCATTCCCAGAGACTCACACAGAGCTGACCAGTAATGGTTGGAGGAGCAATGGCCTCCATAGGGATGGCCAGAGTCCCAAGAATCTGAACAGTCCAACCCCACAGAGGAACGGCTGGAAGGACAAGAAAGGTTTTAAATGGAAAGTGATAAAAGTGGATGATTCTCGCTCTGTGGCCGATGCCCGTAGAAAAGCTCAGAAGATTCTACGGGTCGACCTGTCTCCAGTGATTCAGATCCAACCTCTCCAGCATGTGCTGAGAAACTTCAGATACCTGAACAAATGACAGCTCCCCTGACACTCTCGCACATTGTCTCATCTAGCAGATGTTAGTGTTTTACATCCATTGGCCTCAACCTGGCTGACCGCCAGTGTCCATGTCAGATGTGTTTCATGGGTTTTTGTGATCTCTGCCGAGTGTTGGGGGTAGACTAGTTAGAATCTGTCTGTGAAGGTTCTGGTTTCTGACAGGGTCACTCAGGCCCAAAAGGCATTTGAAGTGAGGTGATGCTTTTCCCAGCAGGCTGGGAAATGACTGTCAGCCAAATGCTGGTGCATTTTCACTTTTCTAAGTTAGTTTCAACCAACCAACATTCTGCTTTCAGTTGTCTTGCTGTTTGCCAGTATTGCTTCTGCGTTTCTGGGTGCAGCCTCCACTGTGACTGTTAAATCTGACAACAATATTCTGTCCTTCGAAGAGGCACTGGGAGTGGCTAACTGCTGTTTAAGGAGTATTTATGACTCATTTGCATTACGGCGCCATTTTTTTCATGTATTTTATACTGTGGCGCTTAAACCAGTGCTGTCACTCCAGGGTTTCATTTTTCCCACTAAAAAAAGGTCAAATGAAGTCGTAGTCGGGACAGTAGGATCCCTTTCGACTCCAAGATGAATGGTGGGCAAACGGCAGATTTTCAGACATTGATTGAGTGGGCATGGTGGTTTGTTGGTTAGTTGTTTCCCGCAAAACAAATACACGAAACATGGAGAGAAAAAGATGTTCAGTTCATCTTCTTGTTTTTATTTTTTGTTGTTGTTTTTTTTTGTTTTCACTGGAAATCAGAAGGCATCAGCAAGTTCAGCAGGAGATCAGACTCACAACCTATTCAGAGACAGATCAATATTCGACACCTTCACAAAGTGTTCCTTTTTGGTTTAGTTAACCCCCACATGGAGGCAAAAGACCAATTATTTTTGGCTGTTGGTAAAAAATTTTGTCTTAGTGTTTGTGGTAAGTCTTACAAACCACAAACAGAATCAACTTCTGAAAACTGAGAGTGTGGGAGACAACTTAGGCCATGTTAAAATGATTGGACTCCATAGATGGGTCTTAACAAGTTAAACGTGGGAAATGGACACTTCTGTTATTGTTGAAAGTGGTCAAGAAATTTAGGTTGTGTGCTCATTATTTAAGGTGACATCTTCCCGGAAGTTCTCTCTATTCCATTAAGTCACCCAGGTTATTAGTTTTTATATGTTCTCAAAGTTAAGTGTGCTTTAGCGCACAGGGAAAGGATCATCAGCCACTGGTTTAGTGCTGCTGAATATTTACGTTTTTTTCCAGGACGTTTCTGTTCTTTGCAGTCTAAAAACTCCTGCGTTAAGATATTTGTTTGGCTAACTTAAAACACTTTGCTTCATTTGTTGCTCCAAGCTACAGGCCTGTTCAATGAAATTTAAATCTGCAGCATCGTAAAGTTTTATCCATCAGCACTCCCCCTTATTTATCTGATGGCAAAACAAAAATGTTAAATTTGAGTTCTTTGCTGTGTTGGATATTTTTGGGCCTAGGTGTAAAATAAAAAAGCACTTTGAACGTGTGACAGTGCTTCATTGTCGCTTCCTATGACATAATGTCTTACTTCCAGCCACACACTGAAAATCTTCAGAATAATTTCTCTCTATATATATTTTTTGTAACCCACATCAATTTTTGCTCAAGGTGCTAACTCTGCAGCTAGGATGCTGAATCAAACAACTGGCCAAGGAATGTAGACATGGTTTTCTTCTGGTTGACTGGGGGCATTTTCACTGGGACTGACAGCATTGCTGTCCTCTACAGGTTGGGATGAGTACATTGATTTTTGAGTGCTTTCCAAAGGTTTCTACTGTGAAGAACCACGTGAATCCATTTTTCATTCTGTCATCTGTGAAAAAATTCTGTGTGTTCCCCTTAAATTAATTGAAGATGTTTGGGCTAAACCATATCAGACTAAACAAAGACAGTGTTGTTAGTGCTTTGGTTGAACTCAGAGTCCTTTTAGTCCCCCTTTCTGAGGTTCTGATAATCTTTAGTCCATCAAATGTGTTATAAATCTCTGGGAGACAGCAGTAAGAGGACCTGCATTTACATTTGACTCTTTTACCTCTCATGAAAAAAAAAATCACTCTATACTTTTTTTCAACAGTCAAATAGAAATCCTGTTTTTAGGAAAGAAAAAAAAACTCAAGTTGAAAAGAAATTTAAAAATATTTTTTGTTCCATATCTTATAGTATTCTGGATTCTTTTTAGGGGCAACTTGAAGAACTACACAGATTTCAAACTGAAATCTGCTTTCTGATTCAAGGTCCATGGTCTATTACTTGGTAGTTCCCCGTCAAGACTGAGACCACATCAGTGTTTGTTGGTCTGCTGGTTCCATGCCTCCCCCCCTTCTGACCCCTCTGTACACAGTCATGTTCATGCCCATCAACAATTCCTCTTTTCTGGGTCTTCTTTCTGTTTGTCATGTTTGTGCAACACTTGTATATTATTGTATTTCCTACATGATCTTTGAAAACTTTTTTGTTAAATAAAGCTGATATGAAAATGATTGTTTTTCTCTTCTCAGCAACAGTTTCAACAGGCCCCAAACAATCCCAGGCATTAAAAACTGCTGTTTGTTTAGATTACTTGATTGTTATTAACTCAGACCTGCGACTTACAGCTACTTTCAGGCTTTGTTATTGGGCTGATTGCCTAGCATCTTTGCTTATTGGTCAGGTATGTGTGCACATTTAAGGGACCGACTCGGGTAAACATTGATCTCTCAAAATCAGTGAACTTAAACATTATACTAGTAATGACGATAATTCAACCTCAGACATGCATTTCAAGTTACATATAACAAGACTGCGTAAAGCAATAGTGCGTTCTGGATTCAAAAAAAGAGCTATAGCCAATTTAAAAGGACTTTATGGTAAAAATTGAGCTAGTTTTATAAGTATTTTAGTGAATGTTATTAAACTTTTGAATGATGATATGTTTTAATAATCTTTTGTGGTGGTAGACTTTCTGTGTTTCTGTTATATATAGAAAGCAGTATATGCCATAAAATTGTTTATTCAAACTATTATCAATAAGTTTTGCAATTGTTTATTAAAAGAACATTCTTAAATGAACTTAAAAATGCATATTTATGATGGATCAGCTGTGTTAAAGTCATTAATACCGACACACAATACATCTTAAAAATATTGATTTGGTATTGATTAGACCAATATGGGACATACTGAACAAATGCTTCACGTCTTCTTTGAAATGCACTGAAAGCTGTGTTGTCTGCAATTAAAAGGTAGGATTAGATAATGTGATTTATTATAATTAGCAACAGAAGTCAAAAGGATATAACAAAATGGAGTTTTCACATAAACAATAAACAGAAATTTTAAGAAAAGATGCTCAAACTCAGGTGTAAAAATCAGGTTATGTAGCACTAATGCTGTCCGTTTGAGAATTGAAAAAACTGGAGTTTTAAAAGCCATTCACTTGTGTGTTACAGCAAACGTGTTTCAACTCGTGTAAAATTGAGCTACATGCGCTCTAAAGTTGCTTTTCCTCCTTTCACCAACGGGCGGCTATCACTTCCGGTTTTTCATTTTGTCTCTTCCGCCGCCATTTTGGAGCAAATTCCGGTGTCAGTTAAGTTCAAAGTAGGGTGAATATACGTCCTCTTTTACCCGGGCATGTCCTCTTTTGGGGGGCTGTCCGGCCTGTCTGGAGGGAGTTTATATAATCTTTCAAATGTCCGCTCACTGGCAGAAACGGGCTCCCTTCCTAAGATTCGAGTTTGTGTAGCTTGTACTTTTTCTTCGCGTCACAGACCATTGTATTTACCATACACGTTCAATGGTCCATTTGAAAACACACTCTGAGACATTAAACCCCGGAACGTGTATTAATTCATTATTAATCAGTGCAGCGCATCAGTTTTCTCCACAGACTGTATATAGAATGGACGGAGTCTGCCTCCTTGGTGGGTGAAGCCACTCCGAGAACAGCTCCCTCTGGTGAGCTGTGGACAAACTTTAGAAATTAATCACACAGAACATAATTTTTTCTCCCCCCTGCTTGCGGTGTTGACATATAGTTACAGCAAGACTGGTTTGTCCTCTTTTTTTCTGTGCAGCTCCGTTTTTAAAAGTTTTTAAGGGGTTCATGTTTTCTATGATTGACACTTGATACAGCCTATTGGTGTTCAGGGATTGCGTCGTTCACCCGGGGGAAATGCTGTTTGAGCCGAGCGTCATCACAGCGACTCTCCGGCCGAATGCGTACAATGCTACTGCGCAGCGCAGGTTTCAGGAAATGAAGAAAAATCCCGGAAATACCGAGAGTTTTTTGGCTTCAAATCCGTATACAAGTGGGAGGTGGAACCAAGTTGTCCATAGTATATACAGTCTATGGTTTTCTTAGCTGCTCTGCTCCTCTGCTCTGTTCTAAGTAAAGCCACTGACGAGACGAATGCATGCATGCACGCACTGTCTGTCGGTGAGCGAAAGAAAAGGGAGAAATGTTTGTATGTGACTGATAATTTCTTTGAAGAGAAATGCTCTAGATAAATGAATATATTGTTTATAAACGCAACTTTATGTGAGTATTTTTCAGTATCTCCAAGAGGCATGGTTAAGGGTGTTTTGGTAATTCAGAATAAGCCGTTAACTGGGTTAGAAACACGTAAAAACCACTCAAAATTTTGCATGTGCACAACTCTGCCCCGTGTAGTAGTGTCCTCTTTTGAGGGATTCAGAATATGGTCACCTACCCTAGTTCCAAGTATGTACAATTTCAGAGTGCTCTGCGGCTGACACTTGATTAAGCAAACAAATGACGGAGTAGGATGAACTAAATCAAACGAAAAGTGTTTTTGAAACACCTCTTTGTTGGGAGTGTGTAAAGTTTGATAAATTATGATAAATAACAGCTAGAAGAAGGTTAGCCCGAAGCAAACTAGCAGCAGACATAAGGAGAATAGACGACCTGTGGTTAATTTATGTTTGTTTGAAGTAGTGGGAATTTCCAAATTCTGGATCTTTCAGCCGCTCTGCCTCTGTGAAGCAAGAGAAGAAAGATCATCTTAAACTGTGAGTAAGTATGTCATTGTTGTGATAATATAAAGGGACTTCTTGTTCCCTTTGCCACGAGAAATTGATGACGGTATTTATATTGTCCTTAATTTGAGACAGGCTAAAGTGCTGAATCCTTGGAAAAAATTGATCCAGCTTACTTTTCTTAAATTATCAAATATTGTGCCGTTCTAAACAAACAATGTGCCGTAAAAGTATTCCAAAGATTATTTGTTGTCAGTGGTCAATTTAAATGATTAAACGATAAGTATGCCATGGTTTAGCCGCCTGAGTTTGAGGATTTAACACTTTTCTTCACCTCATTGACTTTTGATTGTTTTAATGGCTTTTGAAGTGTGAATTAACATTCTATCTTAGGCTAGTATTTTAAATGACTAAATTATTCTGGCAACAACCATTCAAAATGTCAGTATTCCCAGATATGAATGAATGCAGATGACCTGATGATGAAAACATGGGATAATCTAATGTGGAAATCAGTCAGTCCATAACCTTTGGATTTACAAAGATCCTCATAGACTTTGAGATTTAGAGTTTGTGTTTTAATTCCCTAAACATCTGGCTCTGCTAACTGTCTACCTGAAGAACGCGAGTCTTCAGATCCACCTGGAATTATAGATATGTTGACCTGAAGACATGATCCATGTAAACCAGGATAACCCTCAAAACCGTTTATAATGAAGGGCATAATCAGCAAATATTTTAAGGTAGCATTATAATCATACTATACAGACCACTTATATTCAGCTAAATCATCTAATATTTCTTTAATCTGAACGCTAAATGTTCTTGAAGGATATTTGAGAGAGTGAGGTTGGCTCCTGCTTTTTGTCTGATGCTGGTCACATCCCAAGTAGGAACTCACCTGCTATCATACCAAGCTCATGACTCTTCACTTTCCATTGACTTTGTGACTCATGTTTCTTTGGCTCAAACTGGTAGTACTGGTACTTCTGTCTCCAGACTTCTTTAGGAATGTTTGTCTTCCCGAGTTTTTTTTTTTTTCCTCAACAGAGCAACTTTCTGCTTGTACTTAAAAACAGAACAAAATTGTTTCAGGTATCACAATAAGAAACACCCAAAGTATTGTGATGCTAAAAGACTCTACTACTTGGATATAAACAGAAACAAAGTAACATGGTATCTGGTAGGGCAGCTTGGTTAAACAGTAGTTTTAAAATAGAGATTTGGTTGTATGTATACCGTGTCTTGGTTTTACTTGGCTGGAACAATGCAGTACCAGTGCAGGCATGTGGATATTTAGCCGCAGAGAGGACTAAAGCCTGGTGGTGGTGGTAGCTCTGCCAACCAGTTTGACTTTGTTACCTACAGACTCTGTAAGCCCTCTGTTGGCTTTGGTGAATCACTCAGGCATAGCTAGTTTCTGTTCTTAATATTTGCCTGGTTTTCCAGTAAAAGGGTCATACTGATTTGGATCTGCTGTAGCAATACACTTCACAGTGATAAGTGCCACATCTAACCCCAGTCCTAAGGAAAAAGCAGAACTTTCCCTCTAGTTTGCTGATATATTTATTCATTTAGAGATATGAATTGGTCCAACTCTCTTGTTATTGGATATTAAAAAATGGGCTTTCTTACCCACACAGGTAAGTGTTGCAAAAGCAAGGAAGCAGCCACATCCTTAAAGAATTATTTTGCTTATATTTGTTACTCGGGACAGGCCTGTTTGAGATTTTCCACACAGCAAGTCAGTAAGAAGCAACACAACATGTTTAAGTACAATGGAAACTCTCAGAGAAGATAGCCAACAACTCAAACAGTCGGGGATTAATTCATTTCATTTTGCTATATGTTTAGTTTTAGGTTCACCTAAACACCACATGTTTTGGTGTTCTTGATAGATACCACATAACAGCTTTTGGGTGCCGAAAGAGAGAGCAGCACAGAGGGCTGTCTTTGTTACAGACCACAGGCTGTTACAGGCAGGGGCCGAGGCTAGAATTTACGACTGCTCTGGTCTTTGTTTCTGACTCCCTTTTCTCCTCTTATCTTCGTACACCATCAGCTGTTCTCGAAGCTGTAGTTTCATCCACGTGGATGATACCAGCAGGATGGTCTGTGTATATCATGTATAGTTTAGATGTTTTGTTTTAGGGTGAATTTCGTGAGAATCTTCCTGTCAGAGGGACCAAACAAACTGGCTGTAAAGGTGGTTTTTGTACCTGACAGTCCCAGAGAGTACCTTGTGGGTTGTGCCATGGTGAGAAGACAAGGCGAACGCTGTCTGGTAACTGTAGACAACACCATTTAGTGTTTTTACCTGAGCTTTTCTTCAATACTCAGCAGATTTCTAGATGAGAAAAACAACTACTTAGGAAGTGAGCCAAAGAGATGAGGATGAGGGTGAGGATCGCATCTTTCTCTGGTTTCAGCGACAAATATGAAACCTGAGGAGCTGTATCTGGAGCTGGTGTTAACTCTCAGGTTAGAGTTAATTAATTCCCAAGTGTAAAACACCCAATTATTTTTATGTCATCGGAGCTGTGACACTCAACAAAAGACACGAGAAAGCCAACACTTTTACTCCCTCTCTTACTGTTGTTTCTCCAGACGGGATACCCTTCAACCCAAATCTGAACTTGGGGCTAGGATGATCCCTTTGCATTTACTTCTGTTTATGCCTAAGCAGTAAATAATACTGTATTATCTTTTAAAATTTGAGGCAACAAAGACAAGGACAGTTTGTCATCAAGTCTGAATAGTCCATCTGCTGTCCAGTTGAAGTGTCTTTCCTGCTTGACCGCGTTACTGCAGAGAAACAAACGTTAAAGCTGAAGGTTTGTTTTGTTTTTGTTGATGACTAGTTTGTTGAATTAATTACCTCAAGCAGCCTGATACTCAAGTTTACCGTAAATCCTCAAATATACACACAGTCTTGCGTTTGCTTTTATTACCAAGAGTACCAGGCCTTTTTACAAAGAAGGCTTGTATTTGAGGCAGGCCTTTATATCAAATCTCTACATCTTAAGGTAAGTTTTCATATTTTGGTACCAAGTGAGGGCATGATTTACAAAAGGTTTGCACGCTTACGTTAAAGCCTCTTTATTTCCTCCATGGTAAAGCTATGCTATTATTTTGCAGTCGACCACCGCTGGTAGATTATAAGTTGTGGGACTGAATAAAAAGTTTAAAAACTGGTTAGAAAGATTAAGCTCGGTTAAATTTATAATGAATCTTGGATTGTTGGTTTTTAGAAGTGACTCATCCAGCCATCTTGCTGGCAGCTGCTGCTTTTCTTTGTCTCTCTTTTGTTCTTTGGCAAAAAGCAGAAAGGATCTCTACTGATGGCATCACTGTGTACTGATTGTGACCGTCCTCATTGGCACGATATCCTCGTCATATTGCACAACTGTACCGTGTTCCCTTTGATGTTATAGGCAACAAGAAAAACGAACAAATTTTTTTAGCAAGTATTCCTCGGCTGAGAAAGTCTTTCCTTTGGTCGGCCACATGCCTCCGTTGAAGATGTTGAAAGAAATCTTTAATCGTAACAGCCTTCGAGTAAACTTTACAGCAAACTATGGTTTGTTATTGCTGTGAAATCGAACCAGTTACCGATAACTGACAACACTGTGCCTTTAAATGGGAACACCCCCTTAAATCAGTGCTGGCAGCCATGTTATTGTAAGGGTGTCTGTGTTAACAAAAGGGGGAAGGGTGTGAGTTACAAGAGCCCAAAGGGAGCAGCAGAGGCGGGTCAAGAGGACATCAAAATTTTCAGTTTTAAGAATCATCCTAAACCTTAAACTTTAAGGGTCCAGCCCTACTTCAGATACACTCCAGGATGGGAAGGTTCTTCTTACTGCATGCTCTATCCAAGTAACACTTTTCCTTTGAAACAGAGCGGACACCTCAGACATGAACAACCTCTCAAACCTGATTCTCCAGAGATTGTTCAGAGATCTTTTGAGAAAATTGGCCCCAAATATGAATCGGAAAGGAAAATAAGGGAAAGGAAATCGTAGTTGTATCAAAATTAAAATCCCAAAATTGCCCTTTAGTGATCTACTGAAATCTAAGTCATGAGATTGAAGCACGAAAACATGTACGATGCGAAACAGTTGCAGAGCCAAGCATGTTGATTACACGCCTACTCTAGACAAATTAGAAGCTTCAGTCTCACGAGGATCGAGTGAACGATTGATCCTTTGTGGGTATGATCGCACCATTAGATTCGAGTCCTTTGGTTGCCCCGCCCATCAGAAACCAGCTGACTCATCCAGCTCCATAAATCAAACAAAGACTTGCTCTGGAGTCAGAGGTGAACCAACAGCAGCAGTTTTAAATTTGGTCAGCAGTGGCGGCAAACAGTCATCCAGCCTGCAGAGTGGAGGAGGTCAGGGTCTCTGGTCTTTATGGCCGTCCCCCTGCCCCCCCCTCGCCTTTTCCCCCCACAGCGTCGCTTCTCGGGCAAAACCATTTCCAAGCTGCTCTGCTCTGCCGCTCAGCTCTTTGTGTGTTGGGGGAAGGGAGCTCAGCAGGCGGAGAAACGCTCGGAGCAGAAACCTCCACAGCTGCTCGCTCTCCATCTTGGAAAGGTTACCTCCTCACAGATACTCTCATCTCAGTTTGGCCAAATGTTTAATTACACAGCTCTGTGTACCTCGTGTCTGCTGCTCTCTGCTGAACTATCAAACCAATAAACTGTCTGTCGGCCATGTGGACAGCAGAGGGAGGAGGTCAGGCTTGTTTCTGTGTCTTGAACGTCGAGCGAAGAGAGGTGAAAGCTATTTTAAAGAGAAGGCCCACAAAGAGAGAAAGGATTTAAGGTTTTCAGTTTGGTGGAAGCAGCAGAATAACAATTTCTTTTCCCGCCTGGAGAAACAAACAGAAGAGCTGAGGAGAGGGTTGGGTGGTTACAAACAGGCTGCCACCATTATCAAAACATGGCTGCTCTCGCTGGAAAATTGAACATAAAAAAACGTCTGCTGGCTGTGAAAACCAAACAGGCCGTGAGGAGGAGCTAAAACGGGGAAAAGACAAGACGTGGAGACCATAAACTAACACGTATGTCAGATACAATCAGGGTGAAATTCGAGACACGTCTCCGGAAACAAAAGAAATCCACAGTTTACCAGAGCTTCGACTGAAGATTGACAGCAATGTTTGAGTTCTGCTTGTGTTAGCTGTGTGGCTCCAGTGATGACGGGTTTTGTTGGTCCATACTGTTGCTTGAAAGATTAAATCTGAAACAGAACCATCTGGAATTAAAAAACCCAATCCATCAGGTGATCCAGATTGCTGTAAATCCCATCAAAGAAAATCTGACAGTTTACCTTTGTTCAGTTACAGATTACCAGCCCACTGAGAATTTTATGGTCTAAAAGAGGTCTAATAGACGTCTAAGTGTAGTCTAGACGACGGTCTAAAATCAGGCTACCACAGGTCTAAAAATGAAAGTTTTCAGACGTCTAAATTTAGACCGAGTTTAGTCTAGCCAGCTAACAGAGGTCTACCAGTAATTATTTTGGTTTAGTTCTTGGAGATCAGTTATGCAACTCACAGTTGCTTTTTGAAATAAATACTTATCGAATAGCGGGTTAAAGTGCAACGTCTAAATTCCGTCTACAGATATACAGAATCTAGACGGTTGAAATTAGGTCTAAAAAATAACTAGATGTCTAATAACCATCTATTGCTCAGTGGGAGTGTTGTAAATAAGTTGATGTCCTTCACACTTCGTGCCAAAATCCACACAAAAGATCCTTGCAGTCAAAGTCCCTGTACACTAAAGAGATATATAATCACGTTTGCCCACAGACTCAGGTTCAGTTTTCTGAGTTGGTGCTCATAATCCTGTCAGTGGATGCAGGTCTCTGTGGACACTTTCCCATCGGCACATTTTGGTTTACTGGTGTTTTTGTGAGTCCCCTCTCATCAGATGTACCGCTGGTGGTTCAGAACCAATAGCTGTGCAGAAATTGATGGTCTTCTTGTGGTTCTAGTAAAGCTGGACCACCTCTGTCTGTTTTTCAGGAGTGGATGGACACAGTGTTTCCTTTTCTCTTTTTCTGAAAGTGAAAGACCCACAGAGTCACCCTCACTGCTGGCTGATTCAGTTTTTGTTCTGGAAATTTTCGCAGTGAAAAGCAGCAGACCTGGTGTGTATGCCGTTGTTTTACGGGATCACAGATGCAATGAAATCTGAGAATAACTGTCTCAGGGCTTGTTAGAATAATGTGCATAAATGTATATAGAAGTTATTCCTCATATTCTTATGTAAGAGTTTATACTACAAGTATAAACTGCGTTGACATCTTTTTATGCATTATATAAGAGTATTTTTATCATATAAGAGTGTTTCCTAACTTCTCTCTTCAATAGCTTAACTACACAGTACACAATGTTTCTTTCAGTTTTCTGTGACCGTGTTTTTTCCTATCAGCAGGTGTGGGTGTGGGGGTGAAGTATCCTCCGCTGTGAATCATGGAAATTAGAGGAGGAGCCGCTCTTATCAGAAGGAGTTCGTTAGATGCCGCCTTGACCTTCACATATTCACAGTTGTTCATTATTATGTTTTATGAGAGTGCTTACTTTGCTACACAAATTTTTCCCCACCCTTTAGAAACATTGTGTGACCAGGGACAACCCTAAATAAAAGAGACTGGGCGGAAATACCTTTCAGAGTGTTTTCGAGATGGTACCTGAAGCTATCTCAGTCCATTCTCCTCCAGTATATACCATTGTCTTTCTCTTCTTTATATGTTATCAGGTAAATGTTGCAGGTTTTAGACCCAACAGGGCTAAATGACTGAAAATAATTTGGTGATTTATTTTAAAATGATTTAACAACCCTGAAGTTTCCCTCCTCCACGCTGGATTAACCAAAAGACAGCTAATGAAGAGCTAGGTTTAAAAAGTCTTCAATATCAGCATTATTGACAAAAAGTTGCTGACATATTGTCATTGTGATCCAACATGAATCCGGCCTGTTTGCTGGGATCAGAATTATCCTGATTATTTACAATCAAGATCATTTATCCTGCAGGAAAAAGCTCAGACTGGAGGTTATCTGGACAAAAACAAGATTACATTCACTAAAATAAATCCTCCTTTTCTCTTCTCAAAAGCTCATTTTAGGATTTGATTTGATCTGGTTTCTTAAATCTAATGAAGAAGCAGAAAAACTGAGCCCAGAGGATGATGCCTGTTTAGGTAAACCTCCTCCTTAACAACCAAATCAGTGATGCCGACATGTCGAGCCACTGTTGGGGTGATACCCACAATGCTTCAGTCGATGACAACAGATGATGCTCTCAGATGTGTGTTTTGATAGTGTGTTGAGATAAACCCTGTAAAGTCTGTTTTATTTAAGGCCATACCTCTGTTCCAGGCAGACGATGATGTCATGAGAGTCCGTCCCATTCGTCATTTTTATTTCACCTGAAGCTTCACAGATTCGAACCTTCTGTTGTAAATGTCCGTGTGGAGTCAGTGTTTTAGGTTTTATAATTAGACCACTGTGTGCTTTTTAAAATTCAGATTTTAGTGTTTTGTTCGTCTACACCTGACTGACTAATTTTTTCATACTTCCCTCTCCTCCCTCTCCTCTCTCTCTCTTTTTAGTTTATGATACTCATTAAGCCTCAGGTTAAGTACAAATGTTTTGGGTCAGGCCGAAACGTTGTAAAGTTCCGGCACCTCGGGGACATTTGGATCTCAGTATTTTCTGGACTTGGTGTGTGAAATTGCACGGCCTGTTTGATCCTCTCCATGTCGTGTCTGAACACTTCTGAACTCTTGCCTTTTAGTCAAGAACGCAGAAAAAAGTGCAGGGATAGCTTCCTGTGGTGAAAAACACCACATCCTAAAAATACAGAAACTGGACTCAGCAAAAGTTTGAAAGGTGTATTTTTGTTAAACTTTGGTAATTTTGTTGGCTGATTTGTTGTCTGTGTTGTTAAAATTTTGTTGATTTTACAGAGATACGAGACAGAAAATAACTCGGGGGAACCACCCTGAAGTTTCTCTGACAGCTGAACATCCTGTTTTACAGTACGGACTCCAGATTGCTGTTTCTTTGTGAGTTCAGTTGTACTGTCTATGTTGGACAGGCCTGCAGAGATTTACTGTTAACTGATAAACTAAACACATTCACAGGCTCCCTGTTGATGGCAGATCAGAGGAGAGATTAGGTCTGCTCAGTGATTGGGACCTTGATTATAAGCAGAGGTGTCAGACGCCTGATCAGCAGATTTATCAGATTTTATCATTTGTAATACTGAGCATTTCAGAAATCAAACATTTTTCAGTTGTTTTGTCTGATCAGAACAGAAAACTTCACACTGCCAAGGAAAGGATAAGAAAAATACTGATTTTATTTCCCTTCAAAGACAAAAATCTGGTAAACAGCTTTTTAAATTCAGAAACAAAGCGATGAGTAAAGCTTGACTAACCAGCTGACCATGAGACCGGCAGCGGGTCAAAGTGGTGTGTAAACAGACATTTACAGTCTTATTGCTTCTACTGGATCAGGTCCAGAATCTTTGGAGGTTCTTCCGGCTCTGCTGGGTCTGTCCCTGGACCTGCATCCTGTGGAAAGAGAGCAAGAAAGATGACCACTAGATGGTGGTGGGGACGATAACACAAAGCCAGTTTGGGATTAGGTTGGATTATGTTTATTACGCCCTAGTAATTGTCTGCAACTAGTTTTTTAAATCACCTGCTGACCCTGAAAGTCAAAAGCTGTGGTGCCAGGCAGGTGCTTTGAGTGTCTGACAAAAACATTGGTCAGCTGTCAGCAGTTGAGAAATCCTACAGAAAGTTGACGCACAGAGACAAACCTGAATTTGACTCTACAAACAGCTGTTACGCCGCTCTTTTCAAAGCCGGCAGACTCCATTAACTAAAACAGTCATTTTAGCTCCCAGCAGTCGACCAGCAGCTTCTCTTCTGAGCGCTAAAATGACTGTTTTTGAAAACGCTTCAAGGGGAGTGATGGAACAGCCTTTTTCAGTTCCATGAAAGCATCTTTTTCTTCAACAAAGGGGACCGTTTGTTTGTTTGTTTGTTGGGTTATTTTCCATAATGGTGGAAAACAAACTTGAGGATGACAAACTGAGAAAAGAAGCCGTATAGGAGGATGAACAGAGATTCATCCTCTTATACGGCCCCATGACTACGCTACAGCTAAGACATCAACAACACAGGAAGTAGCTTTGAGTATTCTCTTGTCATACAGTCGTCAATAACTTCATCCACAGATCGATGTGTTGTGAACTTTTGCCGTCTTTGTGAACAGCTGTGCTTCTCTCTTATTGTCAAAAATGCTCCGATCGCTTGATTGGCCAAAGCCAGGAACTAACAGATGGAGAAGGTTCATAACGGTTAACTCTGTGTGGTAGAGGGAAAAAAGGTGGCAGTTCCTCTAAACGCTTCACTCTGCCGCCTTTTCATGATTGGAATAAGTGGAGAGGGTGAGCTCTGGGCAGCAGAGTGAAAGAGGTTCAAGGCTCTGTATAATGACAGTGAATAAAAAATCATCTGTGAGAGCCAGTCACTCAAAGTGGTCTGATCAACAGTATATGGTGTTAAACTGACCGTGCTTCATGTTGATACCTTCAGAAAGTAAGAACTGTAAAGTACCCGTGGTAAACTAGCCCACATTAAAAATCTTCTTTTACTGAAGTAACATCCGTCACAACAGGACCTCTCATGTCGTTTCAGTTACAGGTAGATTTTTGGTCTCAAAGCCGTTTAGGACCGTATCTCGGGTTGTTATGTTGAAATGACTCGGAGCACCTCAGACGCTCCTGCTGGGATTAGCATTCAGTGGGACTCTGATTGGTTGACTCACCCCGAATGGCTCACTAAAAGCTCTGGAGCCGCTGTAGAGAGGGTTGGGAATAGAGACCAGCGTGGGCTTCTTCCTTCCACCTGCACCGTCCTCATCCTCATTCTATGTAAAAGAAATAAAAGAAATGTGACTGTTTGCTAGCTGATAGCAGTCAAATAATAGACGACCATCTTTTATTTAGAAATGAATTAGAATAGCAAACTCTTCTTACTCTAAAATCTGCTTTAAAAGAACTATTGGTAAAATAGTAAACTCTCCTGTGTCTGTGAATTAAAAAAAATACTGGAAAAACTCTTTAAAAAAGTCAAGATTAAAAATTGAAGGGTCTTATTCTCGATATAAAATGAGCTTTAAGTGCCCTTCTACTTAAGAAAGCTGTCCCCTTGGTTTACCTAGGTTCAGCTATTGAGTTATGTTTATTGTTGTGTACAAGGGAGTACAATTCAGAATACAGATTTGTACATTGAGGAAAGAAGGATACACAGAAAGAGAAATTGCAAAATGCCTAAAGGTGTTTAACAAAGGAGTCCACTACACTCTGAAGAGACTAGAGGAACCTGGAAGTTGTGATGATAGAAAAAGGCCGAGATGAAAGAGAGTTACTACAAAAGCAGAAGAAAAACAGCATCATCATCAGTAAGAGAGATCGGCGAAAGACAGCACCACAAATAAGGGAGGAAATCAACATGACAAGGTTGAAACCCATATCTCTGACAACCGTGAAATGATGTTTGAGAAAGGCTGGTCTGAAGGGTTGTGTATCTGCGAAAAAACACTTCTTCGTCCACAGAACAAGAAAAAGAGATGTGAGTGGGCAAAAGCTCACAAAAATTAAACTTATGATGACTAGAAACAAGTTTGAACTGTTTGGTTCAAAACGCAGAGTCTATGTCCGCAGACAAACTGGTGAACGTCTGAAAGCTCCATGTGTTACACCCACAATTCAGCATGGAGGTGGTAGTTCCATGGTATGGAGATGTTTATCAGGTGATGGAGTAGGAGATTAGTTTGAAGTAAAGGGTATCATGAAGAAGGAACAGTACCACTCCATCCTCCAGCACCATGCTGTTCCATCTGGACTCAGACTTGTGGCTCATAAGTTTGTTTTGCAGCAAGACAATGACCCTAAGCAGTCTGCCAAGCTCTGTCAGGGTTACTTAGACAAAAAAGAAGAGGAAGGTGTTCTTCAAAAGATGGTTTGGCCCCCTCAGTCTCCAGACCTTTCTCCAACTAAGCTTGTGCGGGATGAATTGGATCGATCGGTCAGAAAAACGTGTCCCACGAATCAGCGTCTCTTTTTAATGAACTCAAGAAACCTTGGAATGTAATCCCTGGAACAAACCTTAGAAAACTTGTGGAACGAATGCCTGATATATGCCAAGCTGTTGTTAAAGCCAGAGGAGGTTACTTTAAAAAAAGCAAAGTCTAAGCAACAATAACTCAAATACCTAATAATTAAAGTCAAAATGTCTTCTGATAAGTTACTCTTTACACAATAGTCATGTTAATTGTCTTGCATATTATAGATATGAAACTATGATCTTTTTTTGTACAAATCTGATCTTTCTTCCAAACTTTTGGCCTGTAGTGTACATGTGATGGGCTGTCCCCGGTGTCACTACATCTGCCTGTAAAAGTTACCTGCTCTTTGGACCGGACGGGAGGCAGACAGTGCATGTTATCTGCAACTGCAAAGTGTAATTTGTCAACATGTTTGGCATATTGTGCCTGGGTAACATCAGCTTTAGACGGATTTTAATTTCAGCAGTGTCATTTACATTTACATTTGTGTTTGGGTTGGTTAGCATGCGTGCGTGCTTGCGTGCATGCATGTGTTTGTGTGTGTGCGCGTGCCTAAACTTTCAGGAGGACAATTTTGTGTCTCCACCAATGTCAAAATCAAACCTACTCCCTTGGCTGTGCACATAATCTGTATAGTTTGTGGATTATTGGTTTTTTTTGTGGAAAAAAATTATAACAACAGAAAGGAGTTGAGTCCTGGTGTTAGCAGCAGCTCTAAACATGAAAAAACAGTCTAGATGAATTTAATGACACTGCCCACATATTGTATGTGGTGTCTAATTCTCCACTAAAGCCGGTGACACAGCTGAGATCAGAAGTCCCGCCCCTTTTCTTGTTAATGAGAGAAATGACATTGACGAGTAAAGGTGTGTTCCCAAAGATAATCTGTGTTCATCTGACAGCATCAACAATAACAACAAACAGCTGATGCTTCTCTGTGAAAATAAAATGCTGTTTGTGGAAACCAGCCCTAAATTTACAGCGATAAATTCTACTGTGTATTTATATATATATGTGTGTTTATGTGTGTGTGTTTATGTGTGTGTGTTTATGTGTGTGTGTTTATGTGTGTGTCTCACCCTGAAGTAGTGGAAGCGAAAGGCATCAGTCTTGTGTTTGAAGACGTAGTAGCCGAGTGCACCCAACACACAAGCCAGCAACACTGAAACTAAGATGGCCGACACCGTGCCGCTGGAGTGGACGTAGCTTCTGGAGGGGAGATGAGAGATCTGGAGAGGCAGGTGTGACAGAAATGGTTACTGCGATTACACGTTTTACCGTAACAGTGCTCACACACACACAAACACACACACTCTCAGTTATAGGTTCTTATTACTATGGCAACAGCTACAGTTCACTGCACTGTCACCATGGAGATGTTACTCTGTGCGTGATCATCATCGGCCAACGGCAATAAAAAAACGTACCAGGGTCTAGGTCTATAAATATAAGTAAATATAAGAAGTTATTTGAGTTTCAAAAAATATTGCTACTGTTTTTATCATGAGTTTGGTCACTAATCAGGTGGGGTTTTTTTTTTTGTCAGTGGCGTCACATTGTGCTGTTGTTGTTTTTGTTGTACTCTGGGCCGTGAGTGTTGTTGAGAACCCGCTGACCTTGAGTAGACGTGTGATAACCTGATGGAGCTCAAACCTCACTCCTGGTTTTAACCCTTCAGGCTCCTCAGCGTCTCTGTTCTGACCAAATTTAACGAAATATCTTTAAACTACGGTGGCCCTGAAGTGCAAAACACAACAACATTTTGCAAAACATGACATTTCACAAATCACAACAACATTTCACAAAACACAAAAACATTTCGCAAAACACAAAAACATTTTGCAAAACACGACATTTTGAGAACACAAAAACATTTTGCAAAACACGACATTTTGAGAACACAACATTTTGCAAAACACAACATTTAGAAAACACAAAAACATTTATCAAAACACAAAAACATTTATCAAAACACAAAAACATTTAGAAAACACAAAAACATTTAGAAAACACAAAAACATTTATCAAAACACAAAAACATTTATCAAAACACAAAAACATTTAGAAAACACAAAAACATTTCGGAAAACACAAAAACATTTCTCAAAACACAAAAACATTTCCCAAAACACAAAAACATTTCTCAAAACACAAAAACATTTTGAAAACACATTTTGTGAAACACAAAATACATTTTACAATACACATTTTACTGCTCAGTCATATATATAGCTCAGTGCTTAAGTGTATGTTTTAGACGTGGGAAACAGTTTTTGTGTTTTCCTAAATGTTGTGTTTTCAAAATGTTTTTGTGTTTTCTGAAATGTTGTTGTGTTTTGGGAAATGTTTTTGTGTTTTCAAAATGTTGTTGTGTTTTGCCAAATGTTTTTGTGTTTTGCTAAATGTTTGTGTTTTCTGAAATGTTGTTGTGTTTTCAAATTGTTTTTGTGTTTTCTGAAATGTTGTTGTGTTTTTAAGATGTTTTTGTGTTTTTTTGCAAGATACTTTTGTGTTTTGGAAATGTTGTTGTGTTTTGTGAAATGTCGTTGTGTTTTTAAGATGTTTTTGTGTTTTTTTGCAAGATACTTTTGTGTTTTGGAAATGTTCTTGTGTTTTGTGAAATGTTGTTGTGTTTTGTGAAATGTCGTTGTGTTTTGCACTTCAGGGCCACTGTATCACACTCTAGTCGTGCCACTGCAATGAAACCATTTCTGATAAATCACTTTAACAGCCAAGTTTCTACCAAATGCATACAGAAGTATGAGTTGTGTTTAGGCAGAACGTGGGAGAGATGACAGCAGAGATGGTAAAGAAAGAGTTCAACAGTTTGCAGCTTATTCTTTTGTGCTGAACAGATAACTTTAAAGGCCAAAGTTTGATGCAGATCCTTGTTTTAAGTTAACAACTTGTTAAATAAAGATCATATAGAGGGAGAGGGGAACTGAGGTGAGCATGATTTAATGATGTTATAAAGCTGGAGGCTTTAGATCTGCTTCGATATGTCCTTCATGAATATTGATCAGAGAGCTGATGTTATCGGAGAGATAACTCTGCTGATTGAATCATTTCCTGAACACTGTGCCAAATAGCTAAACACGGCCGTCTGCTCTTCTGTTGCCTGGCAACAACAGAGCGATCATCCTGAGGAGAAATGTCACACAGCAGAGAGAGCCTCACAGCACCTCCCCATGGCTGTGATCAGAACTGCTGCAAAAGTACGATATGTTTTAAAATAAACACCGCTGTTGTGTGCATGTCCGACTGGTTTTTACAAAACCCAATTCCATTGAAGTTGGGAAATTGTGATAAATGTAAATAAAAACAGAATACAATGATTTGCAAATCCTTTTCAACCTATAATCAATTGAATACACTACAAAGACAAGATATTTAACGTTCAAACTCATAAACTTTATTATTTTATTTTTGCAAATAATAAATAACTCAGAATTTGAATTAACAATAATGTTAAATAATAATATGATAATATGAAATTCTTTGCGGACACTTTTAATAATTAATTTTTTACCAATTTTTCGATTCGTTGTTGCGACTCGAGAAATTTTTCACTCAAACCTGTCGAGGAGAAGATCGGCACAGAGATACTTACGCTTACGGTTGCACGACTTACATGTTTAAAAAGAAAAGTAAAGGCAAGCTGAGCACATTTAAGCAACCCCCATTTTCAGTGTAACCAAATAGGACTATTCTCTAAAAGATAAGTAAAAAACTGATAATAAAAACATAAATTACTGAAAAGGGAGAGTCTTTTATGAAAACTGTCTTAGTTGTTTTGTGGCTGTTGAATCTGATCAGCTGAGGATATATTAGCTTTTGTTGTAGCTGGATGATTTGCTGGTTCACAATCAGAGGAAGACACCACTCCATTATCAGCAGCTGTGGGTAAAACCATTGTACTTACTGGTGGGGGTGGTGGAGCTGTGAGCGGGGCTTCGATAACATGGATGATCCCATTAATAGCAGGGATGTCCCACTCCAGCAGCTGCCGCTTGTTCACCAGCTTAACGCTCTGAAAAGACAAATGAACAACAATAAAGCTACAGCAATAAAAACTGTGATGTTTATATTCATCAATCTGACGGGTTTGTTTTGGTTGTTTTTATTCTGACCTCGTTTTTCCCGTGTGTAACAGTCAGGTTGAACCCGAGCTTGGTTATGATGACTTCCTGGTGTTTGAGATCCTTGAATGTTCGTCCGCTGTTGTTAGCTGAGATATGATACTCAAGATCTCTACCTGATAGAGTCTTTAAACACACACACAAATATTATGTTTATGATCCTAATCTTAAGTTTGGAGTTCCTCAGGGCTCATAATGTGGGCCCTTTATTTTTACCTTAAAAACTGTTCCTGTGAGTCAACAATAAATTTCCCCTCTAATACTCCAAATCTTCGTTGTTCATGTTGTTATGTTTTTTCCTGCATTTCTTATCTTTTGTTCAGAGGACTTTAAGCATAAAAATAAACAATCAAAAAAGAAAAAGGGAACACTGATAAAACGTAGCTGGTAGTTAAGCCAGTGCACAGATCAGACAAGTAATAATTAATTCAAAAATATGTTTCTGTCAGTGGTCTCAATCAAACATAATAGTCTCTCACCTTGTTTCCAGTAAAACCAGCATTATGAGGGACAAACAGAGTGACCACAGTCTTCCTGTGAGACAGGAAATCAACCAGCTGTTGTCCCTGCGAGGAGGAGATGCTGTAGTCCATCAAATACTGAGAGGAAGAGGAAATAGTCAGGTGAAATATGTTTATACAATTTGAGTTACAGAGCATTCAGCAAAATCTCAGGACTTTAACTCAAGGGTCCACCTGTCACACTCACTTTGTAAAAAATGGAGAAGTTACTGTGGGTCGCGAGCACGCTGGTCAGGACGCCGTTACAGAAATCTCCGTTTCCGATGTAACCAGCAGGACACACACAGGACACATCTACACAAACACAAAAAAACCATAACAGTCAATACTTTTTTTTTAACATCCACAGACTCACAACTGTCCTTACTTTGGGTCTTCTACTAATTTTTTTGAAGTGATGTTGATAAAATCCCATTTTTAATTTTTTTTAGAAATAAATATTTTAAAAAACTATCAATACGGTGAATTTTTATGTTTTGACCCAAAGTTCTGTGACTAAGATGTACATATTTCATCTTTGAGTCTCATTTATAAAAGTGTCAGAAATCATTTTGATAATGATTGTTCGTGCCATCCCAAGATCATAAATCCAACATAAACAGATGAAACCAGGACATGGTACAGAGCAGGAATAATCTCCAGTGGTATCGACACAGAGTTAGCACAGATACATCAGCAGGGTGGAGCAGTCCTGTCTGCCGTCATTCTACCTTGGAGTCTGTAGCAGTATGCGTCGTACTTGAGGCTCACATCCACGGGTTCTTTGTATATGACCAAGCCAACATGGTTTCCTCCACACCTGACGGAGGGGAAGGTAGTTGGGTATCCCGCCTTTCCGCCTTCAAGCCAGCCGGCCACACACAGATGCATCCCCAGCTGTAAGGATGTAAGGAGATATAAATGAAGAGAGCAGTGAATAAACATCAGCAATACCAGCATGCTTTGCTGCAAAGTAGATTTGAGAACAAAGAGTATACTTAACAATGAACTGTAGAAGTTATTGCTGAGTGCAGCTGTGAGAATTACCCATCCAAAGAAACTTGTGTGTCAAGAAAAGTGCACCTCCAACTGCACATCAACATTTTTTACCTCAGTGAAACACAAGCTAATGTTAGCTAGCAAGAAAAATGATGTATGGTAATGTATAAAAACTTATACCCACAGAGTATTCTAAGAGGACTAAAATGAGCCAGTGTACATCATTCTACAATTTTAAATAAGTAAATTATGAGCAATCCTGCAGACAGTGTTTTCCTTTAGTTAGCGACTTTTTTGATAATAGAATTTGATAAGCAAGAGTGTTCGTCATTTAAATTTTCATAAACTTGGCTTAAGGTTTCAGTATTTTGGAAACAAACACAGCTTCATTTCCTTTAAGAGTGAGGTTCAGTATTTTTTTAAATGTTAACAACAACAAGAAGCTCATTGACTCTCTTTTAAGGTGAGCCTCTGAGAGCAGGTGTACCTGCTGTGCATCTCCCAGCTGTTTGAAGGTGGCCAACGTGGCGCTCTCGGCTTGGCAGGCAGCATCAGCTTGACTGAAGTTCATCTTATACTTCCCCTCAGGAGAGCGCAGGTGGAACACTCCGGCTGTTTTGGCTGAACCACAAAACACACAGAGTGCTTCGATTAAACATCAGTCTGACAGACACTGTACCGTTTTTAACCCGAGTGATATATTTATTTAAATGTGATGGTGAGAAATCTTAGCTGATCACAACCCAAAATGATTTCCACTGCAGTGAATAAAACTGTGCTCTCCGATTGGCTGTTAGGTGTCTGTTTCAATTCTTAAAACCTACATTAGCAACTCCCCCTTACGAAAAAGCACAAAGCAATCTGCATGTTGATTGGTATTCCAGTCAAGTCCCATAAAAGCAATTTTAAACCTCTAACTGCTTAACAGTGTTCTTCATCGCCATGGTAACATAACCACAGTAAAGGTCAGTGCAGTGTAGTTAAAATGTATCGTAGCAATAGCAATGAAGACTGGATCCTTCAAAACTCCCACTGCAGCTGTAATAAAACATCATGTCACTGCAGACACAGGCTCCTCCAAGTGTGTTACCATGGTAATGCAGGTCTTTGCATGTAGCCACGGGGTCACAACCTCCGTTGTCCTCTAGGCAGCGGTCAACAGGGGGCACCACTTTCTCCAAACACTGGACGCCATTACCTACATATCCCGGCAAGCACTCGCAGTCTCGCTCATTCTAGAAAAACATAACGGTAAGAGATCGGGTCAAAGCAGGGAATTAATCATTCGTTGTGTTAAACCGCCCCTAAGAATAAATTCAGAGCATTGGGGCATAAATCAGCAGCAAGAGAACGAACTATAACAACAGACACCAACTGTGAGGAAAGAACATCTATCATGTATTTTGATTCGATAGACTAACTCATGTCCCATCTGTTTACATGGGGGAGGCGGATCTTCTAATCTATACTGCAGGCAGTTTGTCGAGGTAATTGAGAAGTCGTGTTTAGGCATCCCTTTTGGAGAGCTCACATGTCATAGCTGTCATTTTTTTATACAAGTTATAGTCCAGAAAACAGTCTGCCCTTTATCAAAATTAAAAAAATAAGACGTAATTTAATAACTGAAGTTCATAGGAAAAGATTGTACTTACTGGGCCAGTAAACTTGCAGGAGGCAAAGTCACTGCAGCCTCCATTATCTTCAATACACCTGGAGAGAGACAACAACAGCAGCTGTGGACCTCCTTCACACTCTGTAACTGGTCCAAAAACCACTGAAGAGAGACAGGAATTCAAATCAGAGAAAATGACAGGGCGCACCCACCTGTTGACGGGCTCACAGGAGTAGCCGTCTCCTTGGTAACCGCTGCGACAGGTGCAGTTGACGAGCAGTCCTGTCTGGTTACAGTCTGCGTTCTGGTGACAGCCGCCGTTATACTCGGAGCAGAGGTCTGGAGCTGCAGAGTTTAATAAAGCCGTCATCTGATGTAGATTCATGTCACAACAAAGGGTTGAAGCTGATCTGTAAACGTGTCCGCCTCATATCTACACATCCCTCACATTATTATCCAATATGTGGAGAGCCAACAGCTTCATGGTCGGGTTTCAAAACTCATTCATCCAAATTTACAACCTGTTATCTGAATTTTTGACGACTGTTTCTCTGGTTTGAGAATTTGACTTTACTTTCTCCTAATTCATCATTTGCTAGTTTAAAGTCTTAAACATTTTGGCATGATGTTTACTTTGTAAATAATGTTCCGATAATGACTCTGACAAGGGTGTATCTAGAAGGGTAAAAAGAGGTGACACTGGCCCCCCTGAGGTCTGATTAACCACCTCGGTGCTTCACAAATACTTCATTAAATAAATGGCCATTGGAGATTAATGGCTATTACATAACAAATGCTAATTTTAACTAACCTCTTTTTAACAACACTCTGTTAACATTTGACGATCAGGAGACAAGTTTCCGGATTTTTGAATGTGAAATATGATTTTTCAGCTATTCAACAGTTTTTTTTTTAAATAAATAAATAAACAAATAAATAAATTTATGATATCTTTGGCTGTAAACTACGTTGGTAGTCACAGCTGCCCTGGGGCAGACTGACGGAAACGTGGCTGCGAGTTTGCGTCTACAGCCTCTCCAACTGTCACCCCACAACACTCACATTCATACACCAGTGGAGGACAAATATATACACTACAGGCCAAAAGTTTGGAAGCAAGGCCATTACAGGCCAAACAGTTGGGAGTAACTTCAAGTTTTTGTTCACAATGCTTTTTTTTTAAATCCAGCATGAGTTTTATGTATTTTGGGATGTATTTACTCCATGATCAGATGTTGCTCACATGGAAATGCACCATTTTACTCCATTTACCTTTAGATATACATCGATGTTAACAGACCATTGCTAAATGTATGTCAGCAGAGGATAATAAGGGCTTAGTTTTAGAGTCGAAAACATTTGCAAGAGTCACAACTTCAGTGCAAAAGCAAAAAAACAAATCACAGTTGGATTATTCACTTCAACTTTTTGGCTCGAGAGTCTGCAGACAAAAATCCTAATAAATCTCAACTGCGTTCAAACTACTGCAAAAATGGCTAGAAAGAAGTAACTGAGTTAAGACACAGAAGTACAGATTTGTACATTAAGGAAAGAAGGATACACAGAAAGAGAAATTGCAAAACGCCTAAAGGTGTTTAACAAAGGAGTCCACTCCACTCTGAAGAGACTAGAGGAACCTGGAAGTTATGATGATATGAAAAGACCTGGATGAAAGAGAGTTACTACAAAAGCAGAGGATAAACAGAGCATTGTCATCAGTAAGAGAGATCAGAGAAAGACAGCAGCACAAATAAGGGAGGAAATCAACATGACAAGGTTGAAACCCATATCTCTGACAACCGTGACGTTTGAGAAAGGCTGGTCTGAAGGGTTGTGTATCTGCAAAAAAAAACACTACTTCTTCCACAGAACAAGAAAAAGAGATATTGTAAAATAGAAACTAAAAAACAAAATTTGGTGACTGTTGAACCAGTAAGGGGTCTCAAAAATACAACATTAATGTCAATGCAGTGAATTTGTTACTGCTGTTGACCTTAAGAAATCTCTCCTTTAGTCAGTGACTTTATCTCACATCACCATGTCAGTGTTTCACTCTTCAGGAACAGACTGAGAGCTGATCTCCCAGAGGACGCAGGAAGTGATGCTGGCTCTCCTCCAGACCTGACAAGAGTGTCAGGGGAAAAACAACAGGAGTCTGATAACTGTATTTGAATTCTGTTAGCTGCTGATGTTTGAGTTTTATTACTTTATTAAACAAATCCTTCACTTCTTGATACGATCATTGCCATCAATGATAAACTGTTGTGACTGTGCCATGCAATAGATAAGTAACATCACATGATTGACTACGATGGTCAATGGAGCACCACATCTGACTCTTAAGTTATATTAAAATAAATGTATTTAGAGGAAAATCAACATGAGCAAATGGGAAATAAAGGGAGATGGGTGCAGGAATTATCCAGAAAGAGGGTTTCTCTTTTCTGAAGAAAGGGGGTCCTGTTAGCAGAGAGGGACTACCTGCATTTGGTAATTACTGAGCAGAGGGTTATCTGGGTTTTTTCCATGACTGCATGGTATCAGGAAACATGGGGTCTTTCCAAAAGACTTGATGTAATAAGACACTGTTAGATCTCACAGCTGAGGGTCTATGAAGACATGTTTCAGCAGCATTAGGTCAGTATGATCTGCAGATCTGATCAGGTTTGATGAGTCTGCAAAGAAGAATAAAACTTTCTGGATTCAATTTTGCTGGACTCTGGTAATTAAAGAGTATCCTGTTGACCTTGAGATTTCTACAGAGACTTGAAGGTTGCAGCTAGTTGAAATGACCACCCCCCTAAAGTTAACAGTCAGAACTGAACTGCTTTAACATCTTGTTCCACAGCACATGAGAAAGTACTCCTGAGTGTTTTCTAACTTCTCTGACCTTGTTTCTCCAATTAGCAGGTATGTGTTTTGTAACCTCCGCTGTGAGACGTGGGAGTAATAGTAGAGGAGGAACCGTTCCTATCATAAGAAGGAGATTATGAAATGTCAGCAAGGTCACCTCACCCTCACAGATTGTCTGCTTCTTAATGATTATGAGTGATGTAAGCAAACACGCTGCTGCAAGACTGTTTCCCCACCCTTTAGTGCATGCAGTGTTTTGTAACTAGGGACCACCCTGAGGATATTAAAAAAGAGAGGAGACGACAAGATCAGAGCGGTTGGAGATTGTAACTGAACGTATCTCTGTCCGTTCTCCTCACGAGTAAGAAATCTAATACCGCTGTCTTTCTCTTCTTTGTGTTTGAGTCATTTGTTGCAGGTTTTAGACCCAACATTAACCCTTCACAGTCAGAGTGAAGTTTGAGCTCGCTCACAGGAGGATTTGCTCTTGTCAAGTGTTGAAGGTTAGAGTTTGTAGTTTCTATCAAGTTTGTTAAAATGCTTTGGGCAAGTCGTGCTGGACGTGGTGTTGCAGAGACGACCACTTTCTCACCTCAAACAACCCAGAAGGAATGTAATGTTTACATGTGGTCACTGGAGACGAGATGGTGTGACCCTTTCACACCAAATCATGGTCTTTTTACAACCTCCTGTCTTTAGGAGATAACCCAGGAGTATCCTCCCAAAGGGATAAACATTTTGTCCTTTCCATTTCAAAGAGACAAAGACAGGATTGTTTATTGCCAGCAGAAAAGAGCTGCAGGACCACCTTATCGAATAAACATTCGCTCTCTCACCTTGACTGGGAAGTATCAGGTTTATCAGCTCAGCCCTCAAAGGGGGCATGTGAGCTCAACCTAAGAATGTGTTGGGGTCACTCGCTCCCAAAAACAGACCCCAACCATAAATTCTCAGTCTGGTTGATTTTTCCTGTGTTCACTTTGGGTAAAAACCAGAGAGACTAACTACAGCTGGTTTAATTTCAGGTTTGATGGATACTTCACGATGATTTTCTGTCATTCAATATAACCAGAAAAACTGTCTTTGTCCCATTTGCCTTTCGTGTTCATACGCCATACTGTTAGCTTAACTGCAGATTCAGTTACTGTTATACTCCAAAAACCAAATCCACACTCAGATTACTTCGGTTTAGATGAGACTAAAACAGAAATCACTGTTTTCAAGCTGATAGTGGGCTGCATAATTACAGCATCTCCAGCTGGTGAACTTTTCTGGAAGCTGCAGAATACTCACGTGGCTCTGGGCTGCAGAAGGTGCCGTTCCCCTGAAACCCAGATTTACACTGACAACCAACACCTGGCACACAGTCGGCCTCAGAGTGGCACTGCCGACACTCCTCTGGGATGGAGCCTGAACACGAGGGCACATGAAGATGGAATGAAGGTCTGAGAGTACAATTTCAAACAAACTGGAGTCGTTTAAATAAACTGTTCTCATACTGTAACATGGGGGGTGGGGTGTTACTTACCCATTTTGTTCTGGCAGCGATCGCCCTCCCACCCTGGCGTACATGTACACTTCCCAGACCCTTCAATCCCTCCTTCACACCTGCCCTGAGCCCCGCAGCTGCAGGCTGAACAGAGAAACAGCACAAAACACCTCCTTCAATCTGATCAGATGATCTGTAGATAATGCTGAGGAGTGATTTCAGATGTCAAAGCTTCAGTGCTGTTCTTTTCTTTTAGAGGGATATCAAAACAAGTGGATAACAATGTTGATTTGTCAATGCTTTAGGTAACCCATTCAGTATGCATCATAATTTGACTTGTTTGTACACCCTAGTCTATCGAGTCCCAGAACTCACTGACTGATCTTAATTTGTAGCTCACAGCTGGCCCAGATTTCTCGACACCCTATTTTTTATCCTACTGAGATCAAATGATCAGGATTTTTCTTGTTTGACCAACAGAATGAAGTGGAGGAGGAACAGTAAAAAGACACAAATCAAACAAGAAATCAAGAGTAATCGAACTTTTCATAAGCACAGATATCTGCTTTGAGAATCTGTCGTGCTGTGTTTACGACGGACACAAATTAAATCATTTGCACGAGTGATTTACACACAAAGATGCGATTAGACACGAGAGATTATACAAATGACTCCTTCATTTGCTTATCCCGAGAGTTGAAACCTGGAGGAGGGTCATGAATCTGGAAAATGGAGATTAAAGGGTGTGAAAACATAACGCTGCAGCTCGGAGGTGACCTGAAGAATTTTTGCTGTGTTATGGTAAAGTTAAATATTTGTGTTGGCCCGTGACAGGAGCAGGACGTCAATACTGCTGCTGCAAAGACCTCGAAATGTCATCACTGGTGTCACTGGGGTATTTAGGTTTTGGTCTTGTACGCTGGGAAAAGGTCCATCTTTATGTGTGACACTGACTTGTGTGTTGGGAGACATCTGAAGAGAAGATGATCAGCAGCTGGTTACACGAGCTAAAACCTGTTCTTAGAAGGTAAACCTGGGTGAAGACAGTTGACGGTTTAGTCTGTTTGAACAACATCCAGCTGTGTGAGGGTGAGTAAAGACCGTTGCTATGGCGACAGACTGAAGTAGAGCTAAAGGGGGTGAGGCTGACTTCAGACGGGGTTTTTTTAGGGTGTGAAGAGGAGTTAGATGACACTACACCAGACTGGTTCGTCCTGGTCCTCTCAAGTTCTTCTTGAGAAGGTCGGATAAAAAGGATCCTGCGAACACTCGCCTCCTGAAAAATCAGTTACACATTTATATCGCGGTGACAATGGGAACGATGCTGTGTCTCAATTCAAAATCTTGGTGATCTTGCCTGGCACGAGATGTCCCAAATAGGCTTCTGTAGTCTAAGTCTGCTCCTCTTTATTATGCTAAGTGTTGAGTCTTCTTGAAGAAAAGCATGCAGATTCAGATCAGGAGATGAGTCCGGCCGGATCCCGCTGCATCCAAGAAACTTAATTCAACAAAGTCAATGAGCTAGACTTCTGCAGGATTCACACTGAGCTAACAGAGCACAGACAGTCCTCTCATAGCACATCTTTGTAGGCGTACACCTACACCCACGATCACGGGTCAACCCCTTTTCCCTTGATGTCACTCTGAGCTGCTGGAGATAAAGTTTCCTCCCTAAAGTACAGGGTATCTTCAAACCTTGGCCAAAGTTCAGAGTTACTTTAGGCTTTGAACATAGCGGTGTCTTTAGAGGCCAGGACCATTTTTTCTCATATGGATCACAACAATTCTACGCTTTAATTGAGGATGGCTAATTGTGTTGGATCCGGGGAAAAAGAGGACAGCCTACTTCTTTAACAACGTCTAAAAATACATCGAGGAATGGGATCATTTTTCACCGCTCCACCACCACGTGAAGGAGCCCCGCCCCCTTGACTTGATGGAGGGACAGTTCTATGTAAGAGCATGGTGGACAAAAGGTAAGTGTTGGGTTGATCTCAAAAAAATAAATAAATAAGTAAAAGTTTTTCAGTTTGAGGATTAAATAACTTGTCTTGTGTGGTTAGGTGTAAGTTAAAAAAGAATTTGCAAATCTTTGTTGTTGTTTTTTTTTGTGGATGCTGAAAAAAACTTGAAAGGAAAACTGAACACGAGATGTTGAACTATCCAGTGACCTTTTGATCATCCAAGTAGAGGGAGCCACAAACTGAATTTCATTTCCTCTTAAAAGAACTCTTAAGAGATAAAAACAAACGGACAAATATTTATCTGGAGGAATTTTTACTTTTTCCCTTAAGTAAGTTGAACTCAAAGTTTGAATCATCTTTTCTTTCTGTGTTTCTGAATATTTACACCTTCTGTGCTGCTTGAGATGAACCTCATTTCATTTCCTTATTTCTTTATTTGAACTCCTAGTTCTAGTTCACACCGTTTACTCATATTGACATTTAATTTAGGGTTAGTACTTTGTGTTTTTGAAGTCAACAGCTGAGGACAAGACAACTTCAGAGGTGTGCTCAGGCTGCCTGCTCTCAGTTTCTTGCACCATCGATCCAGAATCTGGATTCTTATGATGATGTGGGGCTAATAAGCTTAGAGTCTGAGTCTTCAGTTATTAATAAAATCCATCCTAAAATATAATGTCACATCTGCTCTACATTCCCTGTTTTAGTGCAGGTTGCTGCTCTTCTTATCTCCCTCTTCAAAATAACAAATAGACCAACAACGACCCAAAGTTGCGATGTTCTTTTACTCATCAGACAACAACCCTACTCCCTTTAAATCTTTGATTTTACTCTTTTAAATATATACATTTCAACCTACAGCTCTCATGAATAGACAACTCTCATCGAAAATGTCATTGTCCTATCAGCACAGCAAACAGGAGACATGATGATTTTTGACATGTGGTTCCTAGACTGGCCCTGAAGATGGTGCTGTGAACACTGTGTGGTGTTAAGTGATACCCATGAGTGAGACCCCTGTGCCCTGTGATCAGACTGTGGGATATTTTTGTGTGTGTTGGTCTACCTGTGCAGTTGGGGCCGTAGAAGCCGGGCTTACACAGCTCACAGGCCTTTCCTCTGAAGCCGTCTTGGCACTTACATATGCCTGAACCGAATAAACCGTCATCGCACTCGCCGTGATTTCCACAAGGGGCCTCCAGACCACCTGGACAAACTGAAACCCACATAAAGAACAAGTGGAGTCAATTGTTTAACAGTACCTAAAAAGGGCTTCCTTCTCACTACAGACATGCTGTAACAGAATCAGCCCCATCAAGTGCCGTGGAGACGTCATTGACACCTGTAAATACCAGAATCTGGATCCACACCCATTATTCTGCAGAGCTTGAACACACAATGGAGAGGCCACACAGAGAGAGAGCCAAGATCAGACTCTGAACACTGGATGATGAACCCAAAAATGTTTCACTTAAAAGCCTCTTTTCTTTCCATACCTTCACAGTCACGGCTGTAGTGGTTTTTGCAGCACTTTTGGGACCAGGAACTAAACTGACATATTCTCCTACAGCCCGTCCCACCAAAATCCATGTCCATGTAAGCCCAGCGGGAGTAGCCGCGTCCAAAACCAGAGCGTAAGTGCAAACAGGTCTCTGTGTTTCCCTGGAACAAGACAGAGATGGTGTTCCAGTTTGGATGGTTTATGTATCATGAGTGTATGCAGGGTTATTTAAGCACAGAGAGGCAGGTCTTACCGTGTCTTTGTTTCGAAAGGGGCAGTGTGGAGGATTCAGACAGCTCCCACAGCGACCCTGAGACATTTCGAGAAAGAAAGCTTCAATTCAGCTTCTAAAACAAGGACAAAGGTCGGCTGTCAAACCAAAAAGCGGCCATATTTGAAACTGCAGTTCTAGTGAGGGCAGTGTTTGTTTCTTTGATTCATTGAGCGCCATCTTCTGGGTAGAATGCTGTAGTGCAACAAAACACCTCTTGGCATTTTTCACTGGTATATTGGTTACACCTGTGTAAAGGACACAGCTCAAGATGACAAAACGTGGATTGTGTGTCTTATACACAGGATTTTACAGTATGTCTCATATCTTAGAGAGATTTGTTAATATATCTATTTTAAGTATCAGTGCTAGCAAAACTTACCTTAGTGGTCTTGTTCTGCATGCCGTCACAGTGCGCTCCCACACCAGGTGGTTCCAGCAGCTGGTCGATGCCAAAGGCCACGCCCTCTTTGAAGTTCATGTAGCGCTCCACTATCTTGGCCTGGTTTCCGTTAATCAGCACAGCCCCCTGAACACACGGACACAGAGTCAGAACATTCACGTCAGTTTAAAAACAGTCAGTCAGCCTCAGCTGGAAGGTAACCGAATTGCTGCACAGGTTTAATACCAGTTACAACATTTAAGTGTCTTCTCACCACCAGGGTCTTGTCACATGAGAACATGAGCTTGGATCCATGCATGGTCCTGAACGAAGACAGTTTAGATGGCTGACTGACACTCAGTACCTACACACACACACACAGAAAAATGTAAGTGGATTTGTCTTATCGACGTCACGCTCCCTCTTCATCCTCCTAACCCTACAGCTCCTCTTCGAGTCACGAAGAACTCCAGAATTATGGATCTCGGTGGATAATGTGAGAAGGAATAAAAACTGAGAGGACACCCTGACCTCCCTTTTTAATCACCTTTGAAACTCTAAAATTTCAGCATCATTACAGGTAAACAGGAGCATAGAGGGGAACACTGTGGTTAGAAAACTGCATTTAGGTTGTTAAATTCTGAATATTTGAACTTCAACATGTCTGTTTTCGCAAAAGTGGAGAAACAACCACGTGATTTGGATCCAACAAACAACTGCTTCAAATCAGTAACATAATTCCTTATCTGAAATTTAAAGGTGAAGTGTGTCACATGAGTATGTTTAAATCAGTGTACAATCACCATACAAGTATTCTTTGTTAACTAAGAACAAGCATGTATCTGCAGCTACACAGGAGTGGCTTTCCTCACACAGAGGGCGCCATCTTGCTCCACCATGTCTCTACAGAGGCGCATTAAAAAGTGTTCACATACATGTTTTTGCATTGATTAAGTGGAAATCTGAAATGCAGTGGTTCAAAGAAGAGGTTGCCGTTGTGTACAAGAGACAAGAGATTTCATATTGATAGAAACTTTTGATGGTACAAACTTGGCAAATGGATGATCATATTTTGCATGTATTACAGCAGCCTCTTGGCCTTAAAGGTCCCCATTGGTGGGGTGAGCAAGGGGGCTCGTGAGCCACAAAAATCTGCTTTTCTCATTATTGCATCAATTGTTAAATTTTTAAGTAAAAAAAAAGCAGGAAATCAGTTGCTGAAAAACTCTGCATTTATCACTTAACACTTCTCCAACGACCTTTGAGTTGCGTATCATGTGCGCCTTCACAGTGGCAGCCAGCAGGTTCTGGTTGTCTGGACTGGAGAGCCAGGTCTTTCTCTCAGCTGGCAGAGAGTCGAGGGCTTGGTTTGTGGGCCAGAACATGGTGAATGGCTGGTGAATGCTAGTCTGGACCATGGGCATTAAACCTGAATCCTGTGAAGAGAGACGCAGTATAGATTTTACATGTAATAAAAATATAACAGGTCTAGTCTCTAATCTCATTTGTTTCCCGCTGAGACAAAGTCTGCTCTCATCCCTATTGGTTAAATCTATCAGGACACTTTCACAATGTGAAGGAAGAATGTCTTACAAATTCAAAACATTAGTGTCTTGACTCAGGGAATGTGTTTGCAGTTTTGAGTGAATTCCTGGCTAACATCAGAGTTGTCCTCACAGTGTTTCTTCTGTTGTCAGTACTGATAAGACGAGGTGAAAAGTGCAGAGGGATAGTTGTAGGCGGATGCAGAAAGTCGTGATAAAAAAGATGTGAAGGACAGAGAGAAGTAGGTGTAAAAGGAGGATGTGAAGATATGGGTGGGGGGACTTTCATTGATTCATGTCTTTATTTCAAGCTGAATCGTTTCTTACTGAACGTTTTATTGGACTCACAAAACCAAAACACAGCTTATAAATCATCTCTGCCTCTAACCCAAACTAAGGAGAGGACCTGCTCTACCTTTTTAGCCTCCAGTCTTCATGTATTTCATTCAATTGTTTTGGTATTAATTGTTTTGTCTTAACTATTGTGAATTTCACCTTTTAATGATTTTTGAATGTTTGTTTTTTTTCTGACCTTTGTAATTCTCCATTCTTTAAACACTTGGAGTGAAGCTCCTTGAATTGCAAAAATGTGATGTATAAATAATATTAACTCGCCTCGTATCTCGTATATTCGGTCTGCTTGTAAAGTGTTCATATTTGAGAATCTGATTTATTTTCACACATTTATTGATTCTACTTGATTTGTGTTTACAGATGCCTCTCTGTTTTCCTGGGATGAACAGCTCCATTGAGCTTTATATCCTTTATTTACTATTGCCCTCTGTAGACAATCAAGTACATTTGATCCTGTCTTGATACTGAGCAAAACAAATAGATTTTATTTTTATTATTGTTGATTATGGAGGAAGAGGAGTAATAGAATATATTATTGTAGAGGGCAGATGAATGACAGGCGAATAAAAGGAGAGGAAATAAAACCAGAAGGTGCAGCTCATTTGGTTTGTTTACCTCCACAAGCTTGTAGAAGCGGGTGTAGCCATAAAACTGAGCTGCAGAGGTGAGATTCATCTAAACGGAGCAACAGAGAACGGTCACTCAGTTTATTTGTCAAACATGATTGATCATCCATTTTTTATCATTTTTTGGTAGAGCTCAGCGCACCTTATTTACGCGGAGGTTCGGTTTGTCATGCAGCTTGTAGGGCGTCAACATGTTATTAATTCGGTGGATGATTCCATTCGATGTGGTGTAATCGCTCGCCACGATCTTCGACACGTTGTTGACCCAAAGTGAACCCTGCAAAGGGAGAGAAACAGGTGTGGAGGGAAGGACAGGTGAGGCACACATTTACTCTTGTTTGACTCATTTCAGAGTTTCACATTTTCTTTTTGTGATCTAGTCTGAGTTCAGTCTTCTGCTGGAGGGCTGGACTTCTCAAAGATAAAGACATCATTAAAATTGTGGATTATTTTTACTGCTCATAATGATGAAAGAAACTTGGGGACGTCGAATGACAACAGCTATTAAGAAAAAAACAGATTTCATTTATAGTCAGTTTTCCGTTTTGCTCAGTGTGTGTGTGTATGCGTGCGTGTGTGAGTAAGTGTGTGTGTGTGTGTGTATTACATCCTGAAAGCTGAAGTGAAGTGTTTCCCCGGATGTAGAGACAGCCGTCTTGGTGGTTTTGAGGTCACTCAGAGTCAGAGTCTCACAGGAAACGATGTGGTAACGAGTCAGTTCATCAAGACGGCCACTGGCTTCCCATTCCTCAAACTACACACACACATATATACACACATAAGCACATTTATACACACACAGACAGAAGAGACACTCTAGATCAAGAAAAGCAGCATAATCACTGTTTTATTGGATAATATAAAACAGCAGGTTCTACATACAGCAGATTCTGGGTTGCTTTGGGCATCAGGTACAAAGACAGTGAACGGTCCAGAACCGGATAGAGCATTAATGTTTGATTTCTGAAAAGAAGAAAATAAACAGTTCAGGTAAACTAGACCTCTACAGATCTGTCTGCAAAACAACATGAGCCTATCTGAATTCAATACACCGCTCTACTGTAAAACTAAAAATGGCCTTCCTGGGATTTCTGTGAATTCTGATGTGTCTCAATTTCTTGGTGCAGATGCGAGGCTGAAGCTGTCCCTTGAGAGGACCTGGCCTAGTCTAAGTGTTGAGTCTTCTTGAAGAACAGCATGCAGATTCAAATCAGGAGAGGAGTCTGTCCGAGTTGCATCCATATTCACCATGCAAACAAACAAAGTCAATAAGCATATCTTCTGCAGAATCCAGACTGGGGTAACAAAGAAAATCTCGGTCCTGTAAAAGTCCTCTTTGGTGGTGTCACTCTGAGTCCCTCAAAGTAAAGACTCCTCCCTAAAGTACTCACAATATTAAGTCTCTTACATAATGGTACCTCAGAGAGTTCTTAGTCATGATAATAAGGGCCTCTTTTCTTTTAGATCCATAGCTTTATTGTTTGAGTATCCTACAGCGGCAAACAGGAACCATCTGAGACACACAGCTTCACTGTTTCAATACGTGGTGATGGTCCAGCACTTAGTTCATCCTACCCTTCTGGTCCTAGTCAAGCATCTGCTGTTTTGGTGTGGATAACTTATTCTATGTTACAATTGGACAATGGCTGAGTGGTGGATCCAGGGAGGAAACACAGAAGTCTGTTCCACAGAAGACAATGACAAACCACATTCTGCAGGATTACAACAGCGCGGCTCTGTAGTAGAAGAGTCCTGCTGAGAAACTGGACTGCCCTAAACCAAACCATTCAAATCTGTTCTTACAAACTCTCATGGTTTTAGAGGTTTACATTTTAATTGGCTGACATCGATATGACTCACAGACATCATCTGGCGGAAGAGGGAGTTTTCTGCTTGCCTGAAGATCTCCTGCAAGAAAGACAACAGAACTTTCTGTGAGGGGGGGTCATGGGATGGGTCAAAGATCAGAGAGTACGCCGAAGGTCATGTGACTCACATTGTTGGTGGATCCACGGCATTCAAAGCCATCACCAATGTGACCTCTGTTGCAGGTGCAGTTCCTCCGACCCTGAGTCAGATACTCACAGCGAGCGTACTTACTGCAGCCACCGTTGTTCTGCACACACAGACACAAAGGGTCGCTTTCATTTCTGATACGTAATACAAAAACTCTACGGCATTTTCATCCTCATAAATGATTCATTTTGTTCCTGATCAGCTGAGTCAGATCATTGATTACTTCTGTTACAGTAAAGTGACTCTAAACCACAGTAAACACTTGACAGTCCTGTGTTTAGCTGTTAACAGTTCAGTCACTCGGTGCACAAATACTTCCTCTTCGAGTGAAGTGTGAAAATAATCCATATCTTTATTTTTGTTACTCAAGAAGAGCGCCACCAAATAAAAAGGATAATAATGCTGTAAGCGCTTATGAATCCTTATAATCCGTTATGATGGTTGTTATAAAGCCTCACAGATGCACTTATATAACAGTAACATAAAGATTTACAGTGCAGAGAGACACAGGAAGAGTTTCTGACACTGATCTGCTGAAAATAGGCAGCATTAATAACTGTTCTTCAGACCTGGAGATGACTATGAAATGCATCTGTATTATGTGCATCAACAAACCAAAATTATGTTTCCAACTGTTTTAAAAATACAGACAATTCATGATCCTGTGATCCTGTCAGAGATCACAGTGAAGAAGAATCAAGAGGAAGTAGTGACACTCCCTGACTTCATCATCACACTAATGCAACACAGAAACCTTCCAGGCAAACACACACTTAGACGTTTATATTCAGATTAAATAGGCATGCCTTTAAAAAAGACCACTTCAGGCCAAATAAGTGCAGAAAAATGTCCCAAAATTCAGAAAGACAGTGGAAAAGTTTGACCCCGTGGCAAAGTTTAATTTTTACAGCTGTCCTTTTCACTAGAATGGCACATATTGGCTTTATGACAAAAACCTGAAAAAATACGTTTAAATGTCATTTTTGTCCTTCCTCTGATTTTACAATGATCAAGATTTCTAAAAGATGTCACATGTAACAACCTCGCCCCTCCTTACCTATCTGACCTCCTCCACATCGCCACTCCAACACGCCACCTCCGTTCCTCTTCCTCTCTCCACCTCTCTGTGCCCCCTGTTCACCTCAGCACTATGGGGGGCAGAGCTTTCAGTCGCTCTGCCCCCCGACTCTGGAACTCTTTACCATCACACATCCGCAACATAGACTCCCTCCCCCTCTTCAAGTCCAAACTCAAAACACACCTGTTTAAACTGGCCTATCCCTCCCACCACCCCTAACCCACTTTTTTAAATTAAATTTCAATTGGTATTATTAATTTCTTTATTTATTCCTTTGCTGTTGTTCATGTTTAATGTTGCTTTGTTGATTTTAACTGTTTGATGATTAATGATTTTGAATTGTTAATAGTGTTTTATTATTGTTTTTATATGTTCTGTAAAGTGTCCTTGAGTGACGTGAAAGGCGCTTCAAATAAAATGTATTATTATTATTATTATTAAACTGTGTTTGCTTGACTAAGTATGTTGATGTGTGTCTGACTCTGCGGTATGGAGGCTCTGAGGTAAAACCCTGAGAGATCTGGGCCTTCTCAAGTCTTTTCATCTTCATATGAAGTCTCCCAGCCCTCCAGTTGACTTTCATGTTTCTTTAAACCGGGCTTGTTGAGGACAGGGAGTTGAGCAGAGTTTTATCTGCACACCGCTCCGTCCACCAGCCCTCCCCCGCTTTAAGAACAACTCTGAGGCCGGTATCTGCCTTAGAAACTTGCTGCATCCCTGTGATAGTGGGGACCAGCTGAGAGGCACAGCTGCCAGACCCTGCCGTACTCTGAAACCATCACACTTCTCCGGCAGGCATCACCTCGCTGGGGGGCCGCCAAGTACAGCTAAAGATGAAACTACATTCTGGGTTCAACTCAAACACTTTCATCTGGTACGATCCTGCAGAAATACTGTGAGCAGACATTTCATCAGCTGCTGTGACAGTTGATGTCAGAGTGCTCTGAATCCTTAAATTTGAAGCTCAAAGAAGCTGGACTCGCCTAAATGTTCCCTCCTACCCCAGTCGATCTAAAACCACACGCTCAGCTCAGTTTGACATTTAGAGAAACTCGTCAGTGCAGAGAAGATGGGTGGCTGTTGAGATGAGAATAATGTTTGTTTCTCACTAAAACCACAAAGACGGGGAAGGAAAATGTTTAATCGGGCGTTAGGCTATAAACTGTCAAAGATGATCAATTAGGCTGCATCTATTTAATAACTATGGTACTGTACGGTACTATTCACACTGAATTTGGCATGATGTTTAGTTTTCTAAATTACAAACATGAGTTTAACTCAACTGTAAACAATGAGCTAAAAAGTAACTGGCTTCCATACCTGGACCAAATCATGAGAAATGAACATTGTGTTAACATCTTGACGCGCGTCCAAAAACGTGATTGACAAAATAAAACTTATTTTTAATCAACTCTTCTGTTCAAATGTGGACTACCCCAAATAATTCTCAAAAGCTCTCAAACTGAACTACAGGCCTTTGTGCAAATAAGTACAAAAAATACAATTTACGAGGTAGAAAAATGAATAACATGTTGGCACATTGTTTTTTAAGGACTCTATGTTCGTGGTTTATTCTTTTTGATTGTGTATTTATTCTAATTTTTGTATTTCAATCTTTATTGTACCAGGCTGCCTCAGTGAGATCAAGATCTTTTTTACAGGAGAGACCTGGGAATATAAGACAGAGTTGAGCCTCCATGTTTTGTCTCTTCAGTGTTATCAGCAGCCGAATATTCAGGTCCTTTTGATAAGCATTAATAAGTAGATAATTACCCACCTGTAAGACCTTATAAGATGCTTATATAAAGATTTATTATTGCACCTGAGACATTATTGCTTTGAGAAGTTTGTGAATCTCATTATAAAACTACTTCAGGGATTTACTAATCCCGTCAAAACATTAATCATTACCTTTTCAAGAGTTTTTCATGTCAAACAATATTTAAATTAAGTTAAAAAGTGATCTTTAAACTGTTCACAGAATTACAGGGATTGCTTCAAAGTGAGCTTGTGAGCAAAATTAAAGTTATAAGTTATAATTATGACAGTATAAAAGCTAAAACAGTTGAATTACTGTCGATAAACTTCTCATTTAACCTGGAAGTTGTATATACTATAGTCTGGATGAAGTTCCCTGCAAGTGTGTTATGAGCTGAAATAATATCATGTTCATTAATCTTTAATTGATCCTTATAACGTCTTATTATTGTACATAAACTGCTTATTGATGTTTACAACTCGTATATAAACTGTATATAAGTTTCTAATGAGAGTGTCTGAAAGCAATAATAAATGTGTTAATGACTCCTCTCTCCGCTGTATAAAGGCCTGAGTATTATAATTATGATTTCACATCAATTTTTAACCAACAGGTGAAGCTCAGTTTTTTGACACCCTCGATTATTTAAAAGCAGCTGAGTTTGAAGATAATCTTTTTGATTTTATCAGAACAGAATGATTCAGAAACTCATGATGACGCATGCTTACGGTATTGCAGGGGTTGACTGGATAGCAGAATCGTCCTGATCCCTCAAAGCCCATCCGACAAACGCAGGATGTCTAGAGACGAGCACAGAGAGAAAAGTCCAGTCAGTGGTTTATGGAAAACTGAAATGAAGACAAACTTTCTTCACCAAGAAGATGATAAAAAAAAAAAAAATGTTTAATTGACACAATCATCCAGATGCTACTAAACCCAAACTGAAATGAGACCATCATAACCCAGCTTTATCAGACCTGAACAGAGCTTAGTCTCAGGTCCAGTTCTTTGGACCAGAATTTTACATTTTACATCGTGATCATGCGACTTTTTCTCCACACTACAGTGTTTTCTCACTATGTTAGGGCCCGCTCTGATGCAGTCTGCTGATGGGTGGCAGCCTCCATTTTTCACCAGACAGCCATCAACCTCTGTGAGAACACACCAGACAGAAAAAATAAACATTCATGATAATTACAACATGAATACTTTTTAAGTATTGTCTGATGGTGTTTTCTGCTACAAGAGCTGTAACTAAGAGTTTTAAACCCAGACCATTCTGGTACCAAAGAATAATACTACATACCTTTTTAATACAAAGATTTAGAGTCATGGCTACATACCCAGGCAGACGACCCCATCTCCAGTGTAGCTCTCTCTACAGGTACAGGTCCTTTCACCTGCGGAGACCTTTGTGCAGATAGCAAACTCTGAGCATCCACCGTTAGACCTGCTGCACAAATCCAGCTCTGAGAAAACCAGAGAGATTAAAAAAACAAACAAAAACTTTTATTTACACATAAAGGATACGTATGTGTACATAGGTGTGTAAGCGCCTTTTTACCTTTACAGTGGGTTCCATTGCCTTCATATCCAGCCATGCACACACACACAGCAGCTGAACCCTTTGGTCCTGTTATACAGCTGCAACAGAGGACACACTGGTCAATAATGTCACAGGTCGATCATGAAACCCACAGATCATCAGATGATCTCAACATCAGCCAGGATCAGCTGACAGAATGGACACTACGTCCTCTATAAACCTGCCTCCACCTCAGCTCCTCCTCATAATGCCTGATCTGATTCACTAGTGTCACAAGTATCATCACTGATACCTGCTCTGCTCTGTTCTGTAGGTCTCTGCTGCTGCTCTCCCTGCCTCTCAATCAGACATCTCAGCTGATGACCACATTGGGTTTATTGGTAACAGTAGCTCATCCTGCTCACTGTGGCTGTGGGTTTCTGGACTGACTGTGTTCGCTCATTTCACTCAGCAGGAAGACTTACTTGGCGTTATCATCACATGCTCCTTGACAGGCGTCGTCCTTGATTTCTACGACGTAAAAAACAAAAAGATTTCAGGTGATAGAAGAAGAGTGGACTGTATTCAAATTGAAGTCTTTGTTGGTTTGTGTGTCAATATGTGTGTGTGTGTGTGTGTGTGTGTGTGTGTGTGTGTGTGTGTTTGTTTAAGTGTGTCTTACCTACAGAACAGGAAGCTCCTTTCCAACCTTTATAACAAAGACACTTGCCACTTCCTGCGAGGCCATCGTCACATTTCCCATGAGCACATGCACACTCTGTTATAGACACAGGAGCATGTGCAAACACACACACACACACACACACACACACACACACACACACACACACACATACACACACACACACACACACACACACACACGTTTACTTGATAGTTGTTTAGTGATTGACTAAAATGAAATATCTGCTCACAGACTTCTTGATTTGATTTGAGACGAACCCACAGCCAGGGTCTGAACACTTCTTAAGTTTACACACATTTGTGTTTTTTAACGTTTTTTTTATGGTAGTACACATGGGTACAAACACAGGAAATATGACTGAAAAAAAAACTAATACTTTAAAAAGAGAAGAAAACCAGTAGTGGGTTAAATAAAAATTCCCTCCCTGTACAGTGTGTGCCGATAGATAGAGGAAAGAGCTATACAAGCAGAAACAGATTTTGAACCAGCAGGTAAACATGTTTGTGTTTCCTCTAAAGACGGCTTTTTGAAACGAGTGTGTGGTTTGTGGTGCTTCTGCAGACAATATCATACAGGTTCTCTGGAAAGAAACGTTTTTAGCTTCATTTCTAAAGACCAGAGGTTGCTGCTTGTGGATGATAGGATGGCGGTCAAAAATATTGTTGCTCTCTGCTCAGAACCGGAAGCATCCATCCCATAACACTCCTCTTATTATCAGTGTGATCCTGGTATGTATGCTGTGCACACTTCCTCTTCAAGATTGATTGCTTGTGATTGGCTAGCATTTCATAGCACAAAATAATCCTCAAGCCTTTGAACTATGGACTTCTACTTGTTTAGTATTTGCATTTTTAAGTCACATTTACTGCTGACAAGACAATCCTTCAGTTTAGACACTTCTTATTTTTAACAAAGGTTTATAATCACTCTTTTTTTCGTTTGCATTCAACAAACAAGAAATCATTTCCAAGATATCTGCTCTTGCGGTACAATCACGCCATGACTCTGTGTGTGTTTCTGTTTGTGTTCGTTACTCACTCGAAGAGCAGTTGACTCCGTATCGTCCTGGCTCACAGTCCTCACACGCGGTGCCATGGAAACCTTCGTAGCAGCGACATTCCCCGGTGCCAAAGTTACCATCCAGACAAGTTCCGTGATTTGAGCACCAGCTGCCGATGTCTCCGGGGCATCTGTAACACTCATGACCATAGTAACCGGGGCAACAGGAGTGATCCTGCAGGACGTGACAGACCAAACGTTTCAATGTTATCAAGTCTGTTTGTCATACCACCAAAGAAGAAGAAGAACTGTTGTAGTTGTCTAATGACTGTTTCTGGAGTCAATTAGCAGTGATTTATTCTTACCGGGGTTGTCTTATAACATGTCATGACGCAGCCCGGTACGGACCTCCTCCTGGTTCCAACTCGCTTCCTGTATTTACAGTTGGATCTCATGTTGGGTGGAAACTGCTGTTTGATCTACATAAGAAAGTCACACAGAGCTGTAAAGGCGCACAGCTGATTGAAATGGACGGATGTAGGAATGTCACAAAAATAAAACACTTGGAAACTTTTAATACAACAAGTTAAAAACTACTCAAGTTTTGTGTTCAGTGGTACCAAAAGGTGCGTGAGCTAAAACATCCAACCGAAACTTGCAGGCATAAAAGAAAGAGAGCGGCTGTGGCAGAGTAACACAGAGAAAGAGTGAGGGGAGCCAACACTGCCAATGAAGTATTCGTCTTATAATATGGACAAATTAATACTTTGAGAATAAATTTATAACTTTGTAAGAATAGAAACACATCTTAAAGAGAAAAAAGGTCATAACCTAGTGCGTGAGGAGTCAAACAGTTTAGTTTACAGTTAGCTGTATGTTATTTTGTAGAGAAAGATCAGATGAACAACCAGAGGGCTTCAATGAGGAGTGTGAAGCACGGTGCTAACTGAATACTAACGGTTTTGGAGTTCACCCTTACAGTCAGGACTCTGAAGGATTTTGCAGGATCTGAGTTTGTTATAAAGAACTTCTCCAACTGCTGTGTGTCTAGGGTTGTTGATGATCCGTGATCCCTGCTCTACAGCAGCTGCTCTCCTCATGTTTCATTTATTTATTAATTTATTTGATTAGGACAACGCACATTAATCAAATTTCTGCATTATCCTCCAATTACTCAGAGACTAATCACAATCTGTCCTAACTGCTTTGTTCTCATCAATTCACAAGATTGACCCTCTAAAACTGAGCGTTCATGCTCGTAAACCTGCAACTTTCATAACGTGAATTTCCAGCTTTTATTTCATTAATTCATGATTCAAGACTTTTAAAACTTGATGATTGTATATTTATGAGTTTTCTTTTCTTATATTTTTGAATTTTTTTTCTTTTAATTCTACAATTCTTTAGTTCTTTATTTTTTTTAAACCTAATGAGATCCTGAAACGTCATCATAGTTCTGCCTTTCATTATTTATTTTAAATATTACAGACACACGTTCAGTGAACTCATTCTGTTCAAGTACTGTTTATAGGTGGGTCATTTAAAATAAACTTTTGGTGAATAGGAGTTTAAACTCTTCTGAAGGTAATTTTTAGCACTTTTTGATCTTATTGAAAGGCGGCCAATGAGAGAGGAGATGTGGGGAGCAGAAGAAGGATGTCCAGCAAAAGGAGGTCACAGGAGCAGAGCCTGCAACCGCTGCAGGACTAAAGCCTCTGACAGGGAAACTGTACACCTGTGTGTCACCTGAGAGGTCTGATTTTTGTTGCTGTGGTATGAAGCAAGTATTGATTGAAAATTCTGGTATCATGACAGCGCTCGGCTGGTGGCTATAACAGTCCACAAAACTCAACATGTTGTCCAGGACCAGACAACACTGTGTGATGAAATCTGATGCAGTCCTTTCTCTCGTCACTTTGTGGATGATGACATTTGGCTCTGAGGTCTGGTCCCAGAGGTAATATTTCAAACCACTATGAAGACCATGTTTGTGGATAATGTTGCACAGGTGTTCGTGTTATTGTGTCAACCCTCATTAGGTAAGGCTTTCTCACCGGTTTGTAGCTGTACATACATCTGGGCACTCCTTCACAGTCTCCACATCTTCCCTGGAGACAAGAACAGAGAGAGAGACGAAGATGAGTCGGACTGCCTTGAGAACTTTCATGTTATTTTTCTTTTTTTTTTCCACCGTTGAAATAATCAGCTGGTTGAAGATGTGTGGTGTTCAACCATCTGGGGCCTTGCTGTTATGCTTCTCTGTGATTGGTGAAGCAGTTGTAGAGCTATGAGTGCAGTGCTGTGATTGGCTGACTGGACTGAAATATTCACAACACTTCATTTGATTTCAAAAAAGCCTTTTGTACTTCCTGCAGCTGCATGAACAAATAACTGCCTCGTCCTCTCGTTCATTTATCTGTCCATCTGTCCATCCTCTCATCTCCTCATCTATCCAGCCTCCCTTTTATCAATCACTCCCCTCCGTACTTACACTGACTTTAAGGATGACCTCTTTGCTGCATCTGTTACGGTGCACTTTAAGAACCTGAGGGACCACAATAATGACACCGTCCAGAGTGTTGATGTGGCTGCCGTCGAGCGGGACATCGTTCACAATTGTCTGCAGGTGAAAAGTAGAAGTAGACAAAAAACAGACTTTTTAATTCAGCTAGCTGGTGAATACTTGACTACACAGATGCTGAGATGACTCAAAACAAACCATGAGGACTGCAGTAATGAACTGACATTATGAGAAAAGCCTGCAGGTGAACACAAAGAGAATGAGGAGAAGCTCGGTCCTGAAGTTTTTTTTTACATTTAGATTAGTGAGTTAGTTAGAATTTAAGTTTCCTTTTAAACCACTTGGAAATTATTGCTTTAGAGAAATACCTCTGGTTTAATCGTTATCTAATCTGGACAAGTTTGAAGGAACAGTCCAGATATTGAACCACATGTAGGAGCAAGAAAGGGAAAAAAAAAATCATGTTATTTTACGAAATAAACCTAAGGTATAAAAAAAATAAATGACGGATTTTGGATTCAACACTTAGAGGGAGCGACACACAACCTTGAAGGAAAATTGACATCAACCACTTTGTAAACAAACTACATGGACCCAGAAAAAGGGTGAGATGTCCTTGGAAACAACATCAGCTCTTCTCATCACTTCCTGAAAGGACTAAAATAAAAATCTTACAACAGGAGGCACACAAAATCAACAATCTGTTCCTAACAGACCAGCACACAGTCAGGTTTGTGACAGGGCTCTGAAGGTCAAGATGTTCTTACCTGGTTTTTGTCATTTATGTGGAAATGGACCTGGTACTCCATGCCTAGCAGAGTGCTTTTCAACGTGCCGTCGGACAGGTGGTCAGGGAAGAGCAGCTCACCGACAACCACGTGATATTTGAACACATCAGGGTCCTGGACGGATCAAAAATCACCACAGATGGATCTGAATTTTCTACTTTAATGCTGGTTTAATGGCTGTTGGTACGCAGACTGCATGTCCTACATTTAAGATTATTTACACTTTGTTACACTGCATGTTATATTCACCCTTCACATACAACCACACTCTAACGTAGTCAAATCCTTCCCATAAATCCCTTAACAAAAGTTTGGGAGTTGTTTTCTTGCCCATGGATACTCTGACAGTTGGTCGAGATGAGTAGGAGATCAAACTATTCATCTTCTGATTGGACGGCAGCTTGCTCCACCTATATAGCTTTGCCAGCTTTTAACCCACTTGGACAGACTTAAAACTTTATAAGTGAAATTGAGAATAACATTTTTTCATCTTTGAGAGGAAGCATAGTAGATCATTATAGACTAAGGGGTTGTTAGTCATCTTACGCAAGTCTTTAACCCCAACTCTTCTGTGCATCTTACTGTCAGAATATTTGAGGTAACAAGTTTCACTTCCACCATCTATGACTATAATAATAATAATAATAATAATAGTTGTTGTTGTTATTATTATTATTGTTAAAGTTATTCTCATTCTTATTCTTTATTTGTTGTTCGATCCAAACTGTCTTTTTTTTTCCTTCTCGTTGATTTCAATAAATCTAAACTTGTAAAATCATCAACCTGTAAATCTTGTTCTCTTACTGCATGCAAAGGTTGGCTGGTTTAAACGCTGTCTTCAACAGACAGGTGTGATTTCTCTGGGGCCAAAGAGGAAATTACAAACCGGAAAGGCAAAACACATTGAGGAGATCGAACCAACAAAACCGGAAATCTATTGAACTCAAGTTTCTCATTTTTGGTTAAAACTAAAACACAGCGCACGTGATGAAAATGTCAATATTTATGTTGTAACCCCAAAATTAAAGTTAAGTTTAACATTAAAGCTCCCATTATTTAAAGCAGGGAGGGGTTTAGGCTAGAACCGGCTCACACAATCCTGGACCTACCAGAGTGGAGGAGTTAGTCCTGCTGAGGTGCTGCCTAATGGCATCGTCTGTTGGCAGCAGGACGGTGAACTCAGAGTCGCTTAAATCCACTGAAAGATTGTTCAGCTGTAAAAAACAATAAGATTTAATAACTGACCGCATAGAAAGATGGATGAGACGTCTCCACCTCCTCCTGTTGGACTAAAATGAAGCCAACTTACAGCCACTGGGGGGCATTTAACATTCAGTTTAGTGAAGTATGTAAATAAGAAGTCTATTCACATCAGTGAAGGACAGCTCTGCGTGTTTTGGCTTTCACTTTTATTAGTCCATACAGCCCATGGCTTTGACACACTGCAAACAGAAACGTTTGATCTCACCTCAGCAAAGCGTCTGAAAAGAGTAAAGTTGGACGAGGAGTTCAGGAAGGCCATCAGAGTGGGGGGCTCCGGGGGAAGGTCTGAGAGGGGTGGAGCAAGAATCTGACCACACCCAAACAGAAATAGAAAAAATAACATTTAGCTAAATTGTGCACTGACACTCATTCCTCCTCACACCTCTGTCCTGATCTTACAAACTTCATTAAAACAGTCAAGGAAATCACATTTGCCAAATCCATTTATGATTTAAAGAAAATCCCCAGATTTTTAAGATGTACAGTCCCTCTTCAACAAATCCACATTCACATAAAACCAGGAAGTAAAACACTGTTTAAAGGCCTTGATAGAGTGAACCTTTTAAACAACCAAATGACATCTTTTTTTCCATGCATCTCCACAGGTGAAGCTACAAAATAGAAAAACAAAGGTAGCTAGTTGATAAGAGGTCAAAACTCACGTTGTTGATGATGTGGATGTAGCCATTGATTGCAATCACGTCCGGGATGATGATAGAGGCGTTTCCAACATAGATCAGCTGAAACAAAGCAGTGACATCTAAATAAGACACTCAAACTGATCTGAAAATGTGTCATTCAAACCAGAGCCTGACTTAAATGGAGTCATACTAAATCCACCTGTGTATTTAAATCCGTCCAGCCTAACTCTTGTCTTACCCCACTTCTGTTGCCTATCTCCCACTGGGTGAGGGGATTCAGGGTTGGAAGCTTACTGCCCACCAGTCTGTCCAGATCTTCTACAGAGTAGACCCCCCGCAGACAGTGAGCCCTGAAACCAGAACGGGAAGAAATAAAGAAAGAATGTTAAATTTACTTATACAGCACCTTTCAAAACCTAGAATAGCTGGTTGGCTCTTCTTATCAACCATCAACTCTCAACTTGCTCCTTGCAGATTTTAAATACGGCTTCAAGTCTCAGATTTTCATCACGTTTACTGTCGTGGTGTTCATTCTAATAACACATGACAGATGTGTCAAGCCCAGATCAGGCATGTTTGATATCAGTACAGTCATAATAACTAAGCTGGTTCCACAGACAAAGGAAACAAGCAACACAAATCTGACCGCAAAAAGTAAGGCAGGTGGTGTCGGTTTTTCCAGAACGCAACCTGAGATGGGGTCATGTTCCGAAAGGCTTCTCTGGACGGGGCCAAAACTGTGAGGTTTCCACTCAGTTCCTCAGTGCTGTGGATGTATTTCTGAGAAAAAAACAAAATCATTACTTTTTCTTGCTGTGAGTTATCCATGTTGCTGTGCTGCTGGAGTAGATACATCCTCATAAAAAAAGATATATTCTCCATCATGGGATGACATGAAGTAAAAAGTGGTTAATTGGTAGGATTTCTGAGTTTGTTTCATCATCAATATTAGAGAAATGGTGTTACTTCAGAGCACCTGGATCATTCGGCTGAAACTGTACAGCTTCGGGTGCGTTTCCACCCCCTACAAACACAGAGAGAAATTCCATGAGGATTGAAATGTGCATGAAACAGATTCAACATCGTTGTCAGCTTTGTACTTCATCTGCAGAACAACGCCAGGACACTACTGTGGTCTGAACACTCAGTGGTTTGAGGTTTCAATAACTCACACAGTGTAACACATCTCTTTTTTTTTATTATCTACAACTTCGACTAAGTTTTATCTTTTTTTCTTTTTTTTTGCGTCACATTTCCACACAGTGAATATTTTCTGTGAAATAGATGAATCAGTGAGCCCCAAAAATGGACTGAATGGACTGAGGCTAATAGCTTGCCTGAGTACTAATCAACATCTGCCCCTGCTATCTGCTCCATCTAAAGGTCTCATTCACAAAGCTGATGGGGTTAACAGTAATGCAGCTTAGAAACATTCACAAAGCTCTGTGCAGTTTAAATGAGAAGAGATGTCACTCTCAGCTCCTTTACTCATCCACATATTTAACAGACAGAGAGTGGAGGACCGCGCTGTTTTACTCTGGACCTGATTCATGACAGATGTGATAGACTGAGGGGGCAAAAAGCAGCTGAGATCTTCAGATGAGAAATTGACTTTAGTCACAAACATATTATATCGGGGTCATTCAGAGGTGGAGCTGTTGTCTAGATCACTGAGGAGTTCAGCGTAACAATCCAGTGCACTTGCCACTGGCTGCCAGCAGATGTCATAAATTTCACTCCATATGCCCGTGGCTGTAAGCACCAACGTTAAGTGGATCAGGTTTTAGTTGCAGTGAGACTCAGTTGCATAGTAAAAGGCATATTTTGCTCCAAATGCAACACCAGCAGACAGCATTGCTATTTGCTCAGCAGCTTTTGGTGCATTCATAAATAATCCTGTGCATGCGCTTTGTGACTCTGACAACATCTTCCAGCTGCAAAAATCTCCACTCATTGTGAATCAGGCCCTCGGCACATTTGCAGATATCAAAAATAAAAAGCACATACAGACTATTGGGTGTACCTATAAGACTACTTTTACATTCTCCATCATTACTTACATCCAGTAATGTCCCGTAGCAGGTGATTCCATCTCCAGCGAAGTCATCAGGACAGCTGCAGTTGCGGGTTCCATTCCCCAGATACTCACATTTTGCCTGACAGAGTTTAAAGCAGAGAAGGACCGTGGGACCTTTAGCCAGCCGAGTTTGCAGTAATCACAAACATGGAGGACAGTCTCTGCTTTCATAGTTAAATGAAGAACCCTTGTATGGTCAATCGTAATATGAACAGCGTAATTGTTTTCAGAATTAATGTCCTGGTTAATCCACAGACATTAATGTTGACTGCTGTGGGTAAAAAAAAACAAATCATCACAGTTGTTATGATCAAACATTAGGTCACTGTTTGAGAACGAATCTCTGCATACTTTTGGGACTTAAATATGAACTATTGAATGATAACTTTATGAAACATTCAGAGCTTTTTTGAAAAGTTTGATGGATGTAAATGTCAAGGTTTAAGTGGAAGGAACCAGCGTGATAAAGAAAAACTTCAAATATATATATATTTTTTTGTTTCTGTGTTTGTGAGTGGCTGTAAGTGTTTACCAACTCATGGCAGCCTCCGTTCATCTTGAAGCAGGGGTTAATAAGGTCACACACGAAGCCATTCCCCATGTAACCTGTTCGACAAACACACTCACTCTGCAGAGAGAAAGACAATCATGTCTCATCAGTTTCATTCAGTATTTTGAACTGCTTTTATCATTATTCTATTACATTTTATTTCACATTTTTACATTTTAAGTATCAGGGCTGTCACTTTTACTTGAAATTCAGACCTTAAATACAGTCAAGGTGAGTTGGCCGGCTCCAACGCCATTCACCAATAAACTAAGACGTGTCGAAATTTTAAACTCCTGTGTAATGACTGACTGAATACCTTGACCTAAGAGATGCTAGGGTTAGAAACATTAGTGGAAGGGAAGATTATAATTTCCAAACTTACAACAAAAATGCAGAGTTAGAATGTTTGGTGTCAATACTAAAAGATTTTAAAGACACAGCAGCTAAAACAAGGTTGAAATTAGGGTTTTCTAAGACACCAGTGTGAGAAACACGAGGCCCAAACCATGTAAAGCTATCAAAGAGGTTGCAGGAAGGTAGAGCCTGAGAAAACCCCCTCTTTAAAGATACAGCATGTTACAGAATATTTCTGTATAATCTGGTGGACTCCTTTCTATTGCAGATTTAAAGGGTTTCAATAAGGCTGTAGAGAAACTGCTGCTTGGTTGAACCGATGAAGGGCAGTAACATCAGACAGGTGCAAAGTGAAAGCGATAAGAATCTTATTAAGAGGTAAATATTGTAACTAGCCCTTTAATTTTTATTTGCTGACTCGTGCTTATGACCTCTTAGTGACTGTAAATAATAATGTCTGACCTGTCCTGGTCCAATGTGGGTACAGTAGGCTTTGGAGCTGCAGCCTCCCCGACTCTCCAGGAGACAGTTATTGATCTCCCCACACACTTTGCCATCTCCCGTCCATCCTTCGGCACACACACACGATGCTTTGCCTGGACCCGCAAACACACACTCTGCCTGTGGAGAGACAGAGAGAGAGAGAGAGAGAGGGGGTGAAATAAATAAATAAAGCTGTGAGACAGTCTGATAGAAAAAGACAGGCAGGGGGCGCTGGGAAGGCTCAGTGGTTAAACTGCATGTCCCATGTATGGATGCTTTCTACCTTTAAACAGACAGTCAGAGTTTGACTCCAACCCTTGACCTTTACTACATGTCTCTCCCTTTACTCTCTCTCTCTCTTTCTTGTTTCCTACTCTATGCTCAGTTCTATTCATCCATGAAGACAAAAAGGCAGAAAGGTTTCCCATCATTTTAAAGCTCAATCTTATGTCACTTTTCTATCAGGATGGTTTTATTGCCAAACTACACACACAGAAAAGCAGCAAGTCTTACGTTGGTGTCGCAGCCTCCCCGGTTGCTCTTCAGGCAGGGGTTGATGGGAGAACAGGAGTGACCGTCACCATCATATCCATCCTTACACACACACCTGCACACAGACAGACAAGCTGATAAACAAACTCAGCAGCTGATCACAGATCATCCACTGATATTAATCACATGCTGCTTTAGATGACAGGGAGCAATGATTGCGTCAGATGATAATCAATCTCAGCTTGTAGGATTAATATAAAATGATGTTTGGATGAACAGTCTTCAGGAAAAACACTCTGTGATTAAAATGATCAGAGGGGTTCAGATCGCTTGGTGTTCTTGCTGAGGTCAGGAGGTTTAACCCTCTTGGAGCTTTTCATGAATATATTATGAAAAGTCTTGGATTTCAGTAACACACCAACATCAGGGCCATCTGAGGGGCAAAGTTTTTCATTATTGCTAAAAAGTGGCTGAATAATGGTCAGATTATTTTACAACCCTACAATCGATTTGAGAAGATTATCGACCGAACAGCTGGGACAAAATAACAACAACTGTTCAAAGAAGGATGATGTAAGAGTGTTTTTAACAGGGTTAAAGTGTCAGAGCTGGACTGGCTGATAAAAGTGTGTCTGTTCGGACTGAAGGGGCAGCGTGGCCGCCAAAATAAAGGTTATTTTGAAAATTGGACTGAAAGGTTGCAGATGAAAAGAAAACTAAAAAAAGACAACATTTAGTTAACTTCAGTTTTAACAGCTGGACTAACATGTTCTTCTGCCTCCAAATGAAATGAATTCATACATGACAGACTCATAAACAAAAATGAACACCACGATTAGAAGTATCTTACATAGTATTGAGTCCTGTCTGTGTACAGTATGCATGGATGTGGCACTGTTCATGCAGCCCGTCAGCGTTGCAGGGGGTGGCGGTCTGGTCACAGTTCTCTCCAAAGAATCCCTCTTTACAGGACCCACTCCGACACGCTCCACTGCTGCCTGGACGGTTATCACACTCGCCGTGGACACAGCGACACGCTGAGAGAACACACACACACACACACACACACACACACACACACACACACACACACACACACACACACACACACACACACACACACACACACACACACAGACACACACACAACAAAAATGATCAGGCAGAAAAATATAGTTTAACAGTTTCATGTACAGCTGTGCTTTGCCACGTCTTTATTCAACACACTAATATTTTCAGAGTGGGTAAACTTTGTATGTGCAGCTCCTCTTCCACAGGAGTAGGGACACTATCATCCATTATTATCTGCGACTGAAAGGTTATCAAACAACATCAGGGTTTCTTCCTGTTTCAGTGTGTATGATTCCTGCTCTGATTGTTGGAAACACTTCAGGTCAATCAAGACTGAGTCTATTTAGGCAGGACTTACTAACATTCTCACTCTTTCTCTCCACCTCACAGAAGCAGCAGCACCTCTTAGTTTGTTTGCAGGTTTTGTTTCCATTTCTGTTTATTCTTGAATAAAATTAAATATAAACTTAAACCTTTTGTGTCGTGTCCCTTATTACGGTTTTGATTCTACAGAGACAAACATTCAGTCTGAGGTACAGACGCAAGAATGTTGGGGATTGCTTCGGAAATAAACAAGATCCAACACCACGCAACATTTAGACTAACAAGTGTTTTCTCTTATTAATATTTACGTTTTAACATCAGATTTAAACAGCAGCTTATTAAGAGGGAATGAAGGAGTGATTTGGTCTTTTTAAATGTCTAACACGCAGCTGGAGCTTAAACAAGTGTTAAATTGCTCTCCACATGTAAGCAAAGAGAAGCTTTTACCTTCGTCACACTTGTCTCCGTGCTTTGACGGATCAGAGCAGATGTGACAGGCGACACCCTCAAATCCTGGCTGACAGCTGCATGAGCCGTTGCCTTGGATACCGTCAAAGCACTGCATGGGGTGACAAAAAATCGGAAAAACTGAAGCAATGAATCAAACTACATCGGCTGAAAGACTTGAGTTCAGTGATGGAGACGTTTGTATGCTGCTCACTGTTCCTCTATCGTAGCAGGGATGCTGAAATCCTCCAATACAGGGTTTACAGTCTGGACCATAGAAGCCTTTACAACACTCTGCTACCTGTTAAACACACACACACACACGCACGCACACAGAGTTAAACAGTAGATAAAGTCTTCCTACAAGGAACACAACAACCATCTGCTGTGTGAGTGTCAGTGAGTCCACCTCTGATATCCCCACTGCTCACCTGAGAATCACTCTGTAGATCAACAAGTTCATAAAATCTGACAGATAAACAGTGACCCAAACATGCTGTTTGTTTAAAGTTGAAGTTCAGTAATTCTGACCACTTTTGATATAATGTACTTGTAGTTTCACTTTCACTGCCTAAGTGCAATTTAGACAGTTAAAACCTACAAGAATGTCAGACTCAGTCATTTCTGGTACTTTTACTCGAGTATGGCTTTCAGGTACTTGCACTACCAGTGACAAGTGACCAGTGACAGTAAACACTCTGTTATTTGCTCAGAGCTGCTGAATTAAGCTAATGACAGTTATTCTGACAGTGTTCACAATCTCACCTGTTTGGTGGCGTTGCAGTATTTGGCACATCCTTTAAGGGGAGTGTTTGTATGAGATACAAAAATGGATGGTTCTACATCACAGCCACGCTCATGGTTCTCCTGCAGACACACAAACACACATACACACACACACACATACATAGACACACACACGAGAAATATTTTAAGCAAGACTGCTAAAATATAGTTTCACAATGAGTAGAAAAGCAGGATATTATTGGTTATAAATTTAAGCAGTTTAGTATTTGTTTTGACGGGTACATGGAATCACAGACTGACACCTCATCTCTATACCAATATACTGTTCATAATAAACTGATTAATATCAAATTAGCTGTAAATCAGTTCCTTCTCTAAAATCCAGACTTTTAGTGTCCTTTTCCCATCCCTGACTGAAACACTGCTTCATGAAAACTGTCGTTTCAGCACTTTATTATTTCCTCCTTTAAACTGGTAAGTATAAGAAAGATCAGATTATGCCTCAGATGTTTGTTTCTCCATGAACACTACTCCACAGTCGACTCTTTAAAATACTTTTCACACCACTCTTGACCTGTGCCTCCTCCATACTCCGTCACTGTATAAAAATCAAACTGTGCTTCCATGGAGCCACTGACAAATAAAAAAAACAAACAGGTACTGTGTTGCAGCAATTTTGATGTGGTTTACCGTTTCAGTGGTTCCTTCTGGACACTCAGTCATATAGAGGTAACTGCATAAAACACACCGACCCTGAAAACACAAAAAGCACTTAGCGTTTAACGTAAGCATTACTGTCAGCTTCAATCTTGAGTTTGGCCCTTTCTATTCTTCTTGTGTGAAGAGGTAATTTTGTACGAATCTGTAAAGTGTCCAAGGCTGCTACAACTGTAGAATCTACAGTTTAACTCTTGCAACACAAACCCAATTCAGTGTTTCCCCTACATTCATTCAGCAGTGGCGGTGTGCTGCTGCTGAATTACGTGCGCCGCTACAAATTTCTCGAATACAAAATTCTCAGGGAAACACTGCTTAATTCCAGAAGAAGTGGTAAATACAATTTGAAAATAGAATGTAATGGTTTGTAAGATATTTAGACCCTGGATTTGATTTAAGACACAAGACAACATATCCTGTTTTATAAAAATATTATCTTCTTTTAACCTTGATGTCGACCACATGTTTTCAAAAAGGTAAGGATGAGGACATGTTTTCTACTGTGCTGCATCACCTCTTCCTTTGACGACACTGTAGCTGTTTAGAAGCTGAGGACACTGCTTTATTCACAACAGCGTTTACTTCACTTTGTACGATTTACTTTGTGTGTGTTCAGCCTTGTCCCTCTCTAGATACTCTGAATCTGTTACTGATATTACACACTGCGGATGATCTGATCCACACATTTCTGGGAACATTTTTCTGAAATTGATGAAAGATTTGCTCATGCAGTGGTGGACCCTTCTCCATCTTTACTTCGGAGCGGTTCAGGCTTTTCTGATCCACCAAACAAAACAAAATAAGAGTTAATGGCAGAATAAGCTGTTTGGCATTGGCAGAGAAAATTTGGCAACTTTAGTCCAGGCGCACCCCACATCTTCAGCTCTGCTGCTCATCGCACAAACGCATGTTCCTTAAATGTGGCGCTGTTAAAAAGGAAAACAAACAGGCTTTCCAATGGTTTGAGATTTACTGCCAAGAAGCACCAAGCCAAAAATCCACCAAACACAAATGTCCTCACTTTAGTACTAAGTTTATATTCATGATGCACCAAATATTTTCAATGAATGGCATCCATTATCCCTAAAGGAAATACCAAATGTTGATTTGTCAGGACAGGACCACTTGACTTCAGTCCATCTTACATGGGCCCAGAGAGATCACTGGGTTGTCTGGATTGTGTTTGTATATGGTTTCCTCTTTGCATGGTACAGTTTCAATCTGCATTTTTAAATTCAGTGACAACCAGGGACGAGTCATGTCTGCTTTTAAAGCAGTGCCACCTGAGAGCTTACGGTTCAGGGCTGTCTAATCGTGTGTGTGTTCAGCCTTGTCCCTCTCTAGATACTCTGAATCTGTTACTGATATTACACACTGCAGATGATCTGATCCACACATTTCTGGGAACATTTTTCTGAAATTGATAAAAGATTTGCTCATGCAGTGGTGGACCCTTCTCCATCTTTACTTCGGAGCGGTTCAGGCTTTCTCTAACCCTTTTTTTTTTTTTTACACCTGTTGCAGATTTACTTCAATAGATGGGAGATGAACCTTTTTATTAGCATACACACAACTTTTTTGGATGTTTCATTTTCCCTCTCCCTACCTTTTTGAAATGTGCTGCTGCTATCAAATTAGAAATGAGCAAGTTTTAACAAAACAATCAAATTTTTCAGTTCTAACATTTGCTGTATTTTACACAGCATCCTAACCTTGTAAGATGAGGTGCTGTAGACACTTTGAACCAAAACATGTCAAGTATATTCTCCTTTTTTATGACTGATCCACAAGAAAAGTCTGTCTGATATGATATGAAATGAGTGCAGACCCTGACCAGAGCAGAGTGATGCTTCTGTCAAAAATAGGGCGAGTGGGATGACTGAGGGAAATGCTGGGTAACTCCAGTTTTTCTGTTTTATTAACCTTTTTATTAACCATGCAGAATGTTAAACAAAGTAGATGTGCTGCAGAGGGTTTTTCTTTTAGTGTATGCTGGTGTAGTGCTGTGAGTCACTGATGTGAAGAGCAAACCCACTGTTTAAGTTGCTTCAGTAATGTGATTTATCTTGTCTGGCCTTCGGTTCTGTTTATTTCTCATGCCTTGTTTTCAGTCTACATCACTCCTCTGTATCTGTGAGTTCAATTCTGCTTCAGTCTTGAGTGTATAAGAAAAGGAGAAATTGAAAAAAAAGGCAGTGTCTCAGGTCTCTGTCTGTTGCTGTTTCTTCCTGTTTGTCTATTCAGAGTCGCGTTTTACTGCCCCCCCACCCCCCCGCTCACCAGAGTGATCTTTTTCTCGATGACATCACAGCGGTGAGGCAGAATAGGAAGGATGGAGGGCGGGTAGAGGAGTCCGTCAATCATGTGGATGATTCCGTTGGATGCTATAATGTTGGTGCTCTTCAGGTGGATGCCTTTCTCACCAAGAAGGAGCTCACCCTGAAACAAGAGGAGGGGGATATAGGACCCTATTTCAACAATCTCAAATAGTCTGAAGCACAAGGTGAATCAGGGCGTGTCTGACCACAGTTTCCAATGTAAGCCCTACCCAATCAAAGAGGTAGTAAACACTGTAGTCCATTGACCATTTAAAGGTGTTATTTTGGCCTAACATGAATCAAACCAATCATTTAGTCTGCTCCCATTCCCTTTAAGAGTCAGTGGGGCCCTCGGTGTTCATCTTTAACAGCCTATGTTAACATTATAACAGCCAGGATAGAAGAGAAGTCATGAGCACTTACGGTATCAGATGCAGAGATGGAAACAAACTGATTGGCCATGGTCTGAATCTGAGGGAGAGCAGCCAACTCGTCGACCGTCAGCTAATGAGATAAAACATAATTAACATGATATGTGTCTGTTCCATTTGTGAGAGAGGTTGTGTTCAAGGAGAGTTCACGGAGTCATAGAATCAAAAGGATATATCAGATCAGTAAATGCCCTGATAATCTGTCCTCTGTGAGAGGGAGAACAATAACTTCATTGAAAGGGTGAGGAGGTGAAGTGTCTTACCACAGCCTGGGTGAAAACGTGGTGTCGAAGAAGTTCCTGAAGTTTATGTTTGGCCTTTAAAGACACAAGAAGATCATTTAGAAAGCAAACTTTAAAGTTTAAAAGCTCAGTGTTTGGGTGGTTGATGACTTTGAATTTGGAAAAACAAACTTTATCAATTTTCTTACATTTTCAACAAGAAGGAGTTAAGAATACGTTGGCTGAGAACCCCGTACAGAATCAATATGTTATCATTTGGTTTGTCAATAAAAGTATGACGAACAGCTTCACAGTGATGTAAATATTATCTAGACTAATCACAAGCACTCATATTCAATGAAAAACAGAGATATTAATCACACTTACATCATGCAGCATGTACAAGATGCTGCCGTCTCTGGCTCTGTCCACAGCCTCATTAGTGGGGACAAACACTGTCAGGGGTCCTGGACCCTTCAGGGGGGGAGGCGATCCGCAGTTCTGCGAACAAAGACATAAAATTAGACATAAAAATAAAAATAGATTGTGATAAAATAGATTTCTTTGAAATATTTCACTTTGTCTTGATGAATCGAGAATCTATGGAAGTTTCTCTTTTTGAATTAAGATGTGGGAAACATAAACTTTTTCAGGATACTCCAGATTTTGAGCTGTTTGTTTTCACATGAACACAAATAGATTGTGGGCGTAAAAATCGATGCATTGATGAACTGAATGAACTGTTACACCCATAGCTGGTAGAGTATGATGGGATGATAACTGCTCAGGGGCAGCTTTTGGCTTTGTGCAGGGGAAAAACTGAACACTGAGCAAATAAAATACTTACATCAACAAGAGACAGGAAGCGGTTGAATTTATCATCCTTCCTCAGGATCTCTCCGATGGTCTTGTCTGCATACTAGACAGAAAAAGGGTGACCTTTATATGACTGATATTTACAGCAACAGTTCACAAAATCAGCTGATTCAAGAGTCAAGTTTGACTGTCCTGAACACACTCACTGGGGTCACATTTCTGAGCCGCTGTAATTATTGATGTTTCATTATTTTTTTATTTCTGCATTTTTTTGTCAGTGTAATGATCCTGTAACACACCTGCTCATCACGAATGGGTCTTTCAGAAAGGCTGCCTGTGATTGGTCGGTCAATGATGTGTATGATCCCATTGGCTGCTGGCAGGTCTTCCTGGATGACAGTGTACTGTTTGCTGGGGTCTTCCATCAGGATGAACTTCTACATTCAAAGAGAGTCGGGGGTGTTAATGAACACTTGACTGCAGGTCAAACTCGAATCAAGGTTCAAACTGTTACTCTCTCTATATATATATATATTACACTGCTCTCTTCATCATGTTAAGAAGTTAGACAATAATCTGCACACAAGCTTTGAACTTCTCAAGGTCAATGATTTCAATTTCTAAAAAAGTTTTAACTTTGGAAATCACCTGATTAATTCACATCAGGACTTATTTTGACATAGAATCAGGGAAGGATGGATTTAACCCTTTTAACTGCTCATTACTGCGTTACTTGTATATTTTGATTGTGTAAAGATATAAAGATCTTCTAAAACAGCAAAGACCAGACACTGACAGTTCAGATCAAGTGTCAGCCAACCCACACCCAGTGTAATAAACATGAGCTTATCAGTCAGGAAATATTTTCAATCAGAGCTCCACCCCCTTCTGACTCACACCAGATAAACAGGAAAGGCAGTTTGTTATTCCTTGTTCATGAGAGAAGGCAGAACACGAGACTCGAAGTAGGATAAACGACAAACCCACCCAAACAACATCGACTGAGAGGGGACAGGTGCAGGAGGGAACTCTGGATTAACCGACGTACTTCACACTTGTACTTCAACCTGCTGCTGAAAGCACCAAAAATAACAGAGGGAGCGACACCTGAAAGTGAAAGTAACGTTCAGAGAACTTTCTAGTCTAGAATTATTCTGTCTGCTTGCTGTGTTGGAACGTCATTTGGAGATAAATATGTCCTCTGGAGCTTTGGATGAACTCTACTGTCCCATCTGCCATGATATCTTCAAAGATCCAGTCATTCTGTTGTGCAGCCACAGCTTCTGTAAAGACTGTCTGCAGAAATGGTGGCGGAGGAAAGAATCTTGGGAGTGTCCGTGCTGTAAGAGAAAATCCTCAAAGAGTGATCCACCTCGAAACCTGGTGTTAAAAAACCTGTGTGAGAAATTCTCCCAGGAGAAACATCAGAGATCTCCAGGAGAGTCTGAGGCTCTCTGCAGGCTGCACTCTGAGAAACTTAAACTCTTCTGTCTGGACCATCAGGAGCCGGTGTGTGTCGTCTGCAGAGATTCAAAGATGCATAACAACCACAGATTCAGACCCATCGATGAAGCTACTCTGGATCAAAAAGAAGAGCTACAGAAATTCCTGAAGCCCTTACAGGAGAAACTGGAGATCTTTGAACAGGTTAAAGAAAACTGCAGTCAAACAGCAAAACACATGAAGGTCCAGGCACAAAACACAGAGAGTAGGATCAAGAGGCAGTTTAAGAAGCTTCATCAATTTCTACAAGAGGAAGAGGAGGCTAGGATCTCTGCACTGAGGGAGGAAGAGAAGCAGAAGAGCCAGATGATGAAGGAGAAGATTGAGGCTCTGAACAGAGAGATAGCAGCTCTAGTGAAGACAATCAGAGCCACCAAGGCTGAGCTGGGAGCTGATGATGTCTCATTCCTGCAGAACTACAAAGCTGCAGTGAATAGAGTCCAACAGCACCCCCTGCTGGATGACCCAGAATTGGTGTCAGGAGCTCTGATAGATGAGGTGAAACACCTGGGTAACCTGAGCTTCAACATCTGGAAGAAGATGAAGAGGGTCATCTGCTACAGTCCTGTGATTCTGGATCCGAACACAGCCGACCCCGAGCTTGTCCTGTCTGAGGATCTGACCAGCGTAAGGTCCGGAGAGCGGAACCAGCTTCCACAGAATCGTGAGAGGACCAAGTTCTCCTGCTCTGTCCTCTGCTCTGAAGGCTTTAACTCAGGATCTCATGAGTGGGAGGTCGCTGTTGGAGCAAACAAGGACTGGGAACTGGGTGTCTTAGGAGAGCTTGGATTGTGGAGAATCATGTTCTCTGACAGTAAACTCACCGCCTTCTCCTCATCAAGTTCAGAGAAAGATCTGCCAGTGAAGAAGCAGCTTGAGAGGATCAGAGTCCATCTGGACTTTGACAAAGGAAAACTGTCTTTCTTTAATATTGACAGTGACACACACATTTACACCTTCACACACGCTTTCAATGATACCCTGTTCCCGTACATCTACACTGAGAATCACCTGCCTGTGAAGATACTGCCAGTCAAGATCTCTGTGAAGGTGGAGAAACACAGACAGAAATCATCCGGTAGGAGATCAGCTAATTAACGTCATCTCTGAGAGACCAAATCTATCAGCAACGGTCTCAACGTTTTTGCTCTCCTTTTACCGATATCTGTGGTCCTATTGGACAAGGGCTGTTTGATTAAAATGTTGGATTATCTGGATTATTACATTGATAATATGCTCATGTTTTTACAGATTAGGGTGTTTGTTTGTTCCTCAAGGATCATGAGTAAAAAAATACCAGGGTGGCAGATGATGTTTTATAGAAAAGGCTGTTTATCAGTTTTTGTTGTTTGTTTTAAATGAATTGAATCTTCACAATGCATGACTGAACCAACAACCATGAGGCACAACTGTGTGTATGATCAGGATGTAGCGAGATTCATTAACTTTGTGAAATGAAGTGATGAGGAGCAGCTTCAAAATGTGCCTGAAGGATAAATCTTGGTGGTGTGTGTAATTCAAGATGGCAGAATCACTTTGAATAATGTACTGTATGTGTAATCAAAATTAAAGTAAAGGGTTTTGGTGTGGGTGGACCTTCACAGTGGCAAAACAACAGAGTTTATGATTTTGTGCCAAAGATAGGAACCTGATTTGATGTAGATAAGATTATGATTCTGATGAGATAAATGTGATGTTCAATCGTTTTCAGGGAGTCATCAGAGTCCTGCTATAATACTGAGACATTATTGGGCTGGACAGGTGATTTATATGATGTGAATTGTTTTTATTGAAGTATATTTCTTACTTGTAGTTGTGGAGTTAGAGATGCTATCAGAACAGGAATATTTCACTATGAAATTCTTTAAAACAGGGTGTTGGGATTTCATTTACTGCTGACAGAGAGAAAGAGCTGAACGACTCGTGGTACTCATCAGCTGTTTTGAGAGTATCTCCATTACTGATTGAATGATTTAAATAAATTTCTTTCTGTGCAGAAAATGAATGTTAACATGAATTTTTAAAATTCAGGTTACAGCGGTTTTGGTGTACCATGTGTTGTTTCTCTGGACTCATATGAGGTTTGAACATTTAAGCCTTATATGGACTTTACTCTAGATTCACAGCTGACCAACATTTAGACTTTATTTGACTTATTAAGACAGAAACCAGACTTATTCTTCCAACACAGAATAAACAGCAATTTTGACATTCAGTCTTAAAACCAATTTTAGTTCCTACTTGGTACCTGAAAGACAACTCAAGTGAAAAAAGAAAAGTTTTTGTCACTGACAAGAACTTGTTGTGTATTGAGTTAAAGAGTGACACCTCTACCTTGTTGCCTTTGCTCCTGAACCTGGTTCCACCGTAGAGGTTGAAGTCCTGTCCCTCTAAGTCTTTGTACAGATGCTGGCCCATGATGAGGTGGTTTTTACACACCTGCTCCTCATTGACACCCTGCAGTGACAGTTTAGGGAGAGCACATCAAAAATCTGACAATCTGTTACACATTATTTGACTATTTGACAATCATTAAAGAGGTGCTGTCTATGCCTTGTCTTTTGAGAGATGTCTAAATCATAGCTGTACATAATCAAAATTTGCAGGATATGACCAAGGAGAATTACAAAAAGAGAAAACACGATCAACGGGCAAATAGTTTTAGTTTGAAATCACAGCATTATAACACTACTGTGTGCTCCACATTCAGCTTCAGATTACACTTGTTTGGCAACTCCGTTGATAGGTTTTGTTTCTCATCTTTATTTCTTCAAACCTTTTTGGACACATGGACCAAAACACTGATTTCATTCAGCCAACGTCCTTCATATAAATCTATTTTATCGACAACTGAGAAACCCTGAAAATACTGACGACCTACTGTGAGGGGTGTCCTCAGTAATGGGATGAAAGCTGTGAAGGGTCCGTTATGACTCAGCAGTGGTGAACAACCTTTTTCTAAAAGACAGAGACAGATACATACCAGAGGTCAGAGGTTACAGCAAATAAAGGGATCAAGACAAAAACTATTTGTCCTTTTCACACAATTTCTTTGGACTTCAAAATAAGATCTGTCAAATATTTTCCACCTGGATAAGTAACTGAAACATATTCACATTACTGCTCATTTAACTGATGTAAATTCAATTTTGGTCCCATGGTTCTTTCATAAATAAGAAATTCAAACGCCTTCAATCCATATCTTATTATCTAATTTGGTAAATTTCTGATAAGCCAGTGATCCCCACTGCTGTTGTGTGGCAGTACATGAGGAATTACCAAACAGTGCAACAGCTCCGGTCAGATTCCCCGTCTGTCTTCCTCTCCTATCCAGCTCTATCAGCCGCTCCAACAAGTTGCCAAAACAACGTTGGCCATCACCAATCTGGTCGGCTTCACACACACATCTGGAAAAGACGGGGACTCGTGATGCCAAGGTACAAATCACTCCATGAGAAAAGAACAAACAGGACAAACTATGAGGAGGTTTTTTAGCAAGAATCCCTCAGTGTTACTGTTGGCTGATTTTACACCTGGTTCACCCTGACTTTTGGTTTATTTCAAATCCCAGCTCTAGTTCTGGCTCCCAATTTAGTTCATGTCTTTGAGGATCCGCCTTTAGAAGAAGCGTTTGTCCTAGCTAGACCATTTTTTTTTGTTTTTGTTTTTTTTGACTGATAATAAACCTAACTCTACATTCAATAATACTGATCTAAACTCTAACTTCAGCTGAAGGGATGAGGATAGGTAAAGAAAGTGGATCGGAGTCTGCCTCTGTTTTTCATCCGGTTCTGGTTCATGGGAACAATATACAAGAAAAAGTGTGTTACATTGGCTTTCCATCCAGTCCAGGTTGACAGGTAGCTGAGAGGTCACAGGAATGTACTGAGCAAGTGGAGATCAGCTGACATCCAAACGCAGCATTGCCACCTATGGGGGTCATGCCGGACATACACTCACAGCTGGACTGAAAAGAAAAGAGAGATGGGTTAAAGTTAAAGTTTCAGGATGTGGTCTTGATTTGTTTCTGCGCTTCTGTTCTCCTATCAAGTATCTGTATTCACTACATTGATGTTTATCCTTCTTCTGGTTCTAGTCGAGAACAAGCCTTGTTGTACACACTGTCCTCAAACTGGTCCTGGTCCAGGTCTAACCTTGTTGGGTCCTTTGAAGACACAGATGGTGGAGTTAATGGGACACCCCCCGTTGTTTTCAGAGCAAGGATTTTTGGGGATGCAGATCTTGCCGTCTCCCTGGTAGTCAGGCTTACAGGCACAGCTGACCTTTGACCCCTGTGCAGAGCACTGGGCATTGACATCACAGTCCCTCCCTGAGCAAAAACCTGAACAGGAAAACAATAGTATGTATTATGACTTCTTTAAATACTTTGCTCCAGTGATGCAAATATCAGTGGAGCACAGAGATACTATTTGTCCTGCAGCACAGTTTGTCGGGGCATTTAACCCTTTCCCTGCTTGTCGTGAATCAGAAGAATTCAGTATAGTTTAGGGGGTGACAATGTTGTTGAATTCTTTTGAAAATTGAATAAAACAAAGAATTCTGAGGTGACCATAATTCTGAGTCTTTACTTGCACATTTGCCCTGTGGCATCTTCTTATGTCCAGGCAAACATTCACAGACGGCGTCCCCTCCTTCTCCTTTGCAGTACGAGTACGGGCTGCAGTTACTGCACCTGTTACCTGGCGCCACTGTCATAGAAAAAAACTGTGGTTTACAGCAAGAACACTTGAACATCCTGCACATTAACAGCAATAGCAAAGCAACATTAAGAGACTTTTTGTACAGATATATATTCAGAGATGAAACTGTCATGATCACTGAAGAGTATGAGGAGAGATAACACTTATAGATGCCGTACCACTATTGCTACCAGCTCTCAGCAGGGGTTTAAAAATTCCCTCTAAACTGTGCAAAGCTTTAAGTGCTGGGATTAGTGAAGAATTCTGTGCTTATTTTTGCAATGAGACCCATTTATATAGGTAGAGGCATGAATGCATAAACACTCATTTTAAGAAACAGAGACAATGCAGTAACACAACAGCTCTATTTGGCTTGCAGCTTGGTGTGTAGTATATTGAGAATTGAATGTCTTTTTGATCTTCTGAACAGGTTAGTGTATGCAAAAGCAACACGACCCCTTTGCTAATTTTGGGCCTTGATTTTATACATCTATAAGAACAATTATTGCATACTTCATTGACAGGGAGAGCATGATATGAAAGCCTGCCTCTAATGCAAACTTGTTTTAAGTAAAGGCCTGGTAACCCAACAGTAAAAGCAAATAAAGGTCATGGTTTATCACTAAGGTTTGCAGTTACTTGGTTTATGATAACTAATGCTACAAAAGTTGAGAGGGGTCAAAGTCTTACCTTGGTCACACCGTTTCCCAGTGTACGGTGGCTGACACAAACACTGTCCATCACCCTCTGGGCCTTTATTGCACACGCCGTGGATTGCAGTCACACTCTGTGCACACACAAACAGAGAGTCAAGTCTTTATTGACAATGGCAGAATGTTCCCGCAGCGGTTAAACTTGCAGGGGTTTGTTATATTCGATTTTTTTTTCCCCTGTTTTTTTCATTCTTAGATTCAGACTCTAGTTCATGAAAACATTTCCCCCAGAAGTGGCTAAGAAGTGAGAGAGTGTACCTTTATCACACTTTTCTCCATAAACATTTGGATTCTTGCACTCTTGACAGGCAAAACCTGAGAAGCCATCCTACAGATAGAAATACATTAAAAATACCACTCACAACAACACAGAGCAAACACTTTCAGACTCCTGTTAAACATGCAGGCTGACACTGAGAGGATTTAGCAGAAGTCACTAAATCGTGAGGTTTATCCAAGGGCACAGTCCATTATAAATACATTGACAATATCGATCTCTGAACTCTTTTTCAAACTAGAAGGACACTCAAAGAGAGAGAGAGAGAGACACAACCAGAGAGACAGGATACTCACATCACAGACACAGGTTCCATTACCAAGGTCTCCGTCCTGACAGGTTCCATGGTAGTTGCAGGTCTTCCCTGACCAGCTGGGACAAGCTGCAGTCACACAGAAGGACAAGCAGACAGAAGGGTGAACAGAGGGCATTTTGCTTTTGTCCAAGGCACCCATGCCACATCGGCAATCTCAGAGGCTGATGTGTCATGGCAATCATTGATCTGTTAGAGCAGGGGTGTCGAAGTCAAATTGACGGAGGGCCAAATAAAAAATTTTGCTACAAGCCGAGGGCCGGACTGATCGAATGTTCATTGAAAATTTTTTAAATGACGCATATAGTCTAGTGAACCTAATTGAACCTACTGAAAACCTAACAAATATATTCCAATATGATCAGATAAATAAAGCAATATTTTCTTATGGCTCTGTCAGTAATCTTTAATTTTCAACAGACACAAAAGACAAATTTCCTTTATATAAAAATCCCCATAACATGAACATTAAATGAAAGAAACCGGTATTATTCAAGGCACCATCAGTAGCCTATATTTTCTATTTTAGCAAAAGTGGGCTAAATTTACTTCAAAGAAAAAAAAAATAATAGCAATTTTCTATCATCCACTCAACTGAAATATTTTAAAAATATAATTGGATTGAAATACAATAAAATAAAGTGCAAAAATCTATTAATCAAAAACAACACTTTCTTCAAGGAGAAGTAACATGCATTTTTGATGGGTATCTGAAAGTTAATTTTACTGTTATGCTGACGACTGCTGTGCTAATAAGCCTACTGCTCGGTGCGTCACCGTTGCATTGTGGGAAATGTAGTATTGGTGCGTGTAAAAGATCTGCGGGCTGCCGGCTTGCTGCGGTCTGCGGGCCGGTTCTAATAATAAATCAAGATCATCCCAGGGGCCGTAAAAAACCTTCTCGCGGGCCGGATTTGGCCCGCGGGCCTTGACTCTGACATATGTGTGTTAGAGGTTCAAGTAAGGAACAAGAGCAAAAGCAAGGAGAATGGAGGGAGAATGCATACAGGAGGGGGCTGCAGATATAATGAGGGATTGTTTTGTCAGGACTGAAAACATTACATAATACACTTTATCCCTCAACCTAAGGAGTAGTTTATGTCTGTGTTTGATCGAAATCAAGAAGTTAGGTGAAATCAACAGCAAGCTGTGAGCAGCGGTTTGGTAATAGACCAGACATCATCAAACACAGCTGACGGACGGCATCACACAGCTGACGGCACAAAAGCTGTGGGAGAGGAGATTTACTGACAGGAGTTCAGGTGGGCGAATGTTTATTCCCTATGACCGATAATCACTGACATTAAGTAACAGTTGTATCTGGTATCTGACAGCATCTTAATCCACAAACAAACTACTCTGAACTTCAGAGCAGTAACAGATTTCAGTGGTTACACACTTCAACTTTAACCTGCTGTACAGAGCAGGGAAACTTCTTTAGCCATGATAAAACACAAAGCCAGTCATTCACTTATATCCAGCTATAGATGGACCCAATACAACATATAATTATCAGGCGCAGCTCATAAGCAATGAATGATTCTATGTCTGTGGTGAGTCTATGGTAAAGAGTAAAATTCATGTTAAACTCACAATGGGCGGATTTTTTTATGTGCTTTCTTTCATGGTGCTGAAGACATGCAGCAGAAACAGAGGAGAGAGAAAGGTAGGATGACATGCAACAAAAGTCTGAGGCTGGAATAAAACCCAAGCCGTTGTTATAAAGGCTCAGTCTCAAGTGATTTTAGATTCATTGAGTGTATCTTTGAGTTAATTTGGTGGTTACAAATAAAACTTTGCGTGTCTGTGTATGTGTTACCTAGACACAGTGGTCCCCAGTGCTGAGAGCAGCAAACGGGGTGCATGAAACTCTTTGCACAGTCATGTCTACATCCAGAGAGCTCCACATCCCTACCACCAATCTGCACCACATAACTGCAACACAGAGTAAACATCAGGTGAGGAAACAGTCTCGTTCACATCACATTCCACAAGTCAAACTAAAAACCCACTTTTTATAATATTGGTGACTCATTTATGACACATTTATGGGGGTTATGTATATATGGCTGCTTTCTGATTCTATATAATCTTGCTCCTACCTGCAGGTGGTCGTGCCTACTTTGCTAAAACCGTGGGGGCAGCTGCTGGTGGTGACTGCGGCACAGGAGGTGCAGGGGGTATAAATGTCCATCCTCTGTTGGATATCACACCGACCAGGAGGAGCAGTCTGAGGGATAATAACATGACACCACTTTATCTTCATGTTACTAAACATATCGCTGTAATTTCCAGCTCAAATATGCAGATAGCACTGCAGATTTGATTTAAACATTCACTTTCAGGAGTGCTTAGAGCATAAGAGATGGTCATAGCAGGGGTTCAAGGACATGAGCAGAAGTATTACTGAATTAACATTATAAAATATATAAAATATATAAACATTGAAGCATGTGCACATCTTCAAACACAAACTGTTTCACTACTCAAAGGCCATGTATGATCATTGGAAATAGTTAATCAGGACAAGATCATCGGAGACCTAAAAAAGAAGTAGTTAGAGGAGAAGCTTGAATTACTTCACTGATAACGAAAGGCAGCAACATGAAGCAGTCAACTTTTACTCTGTGGCTGGATCAGCTGAGGCCTGGTGTTATTCTAACAAGGCTGAACAACAGCAGGACCCCTTTTTGAGTCTGACTACATCTGACACTCAGTTGTTGTTGGTCTCAAACTAAAAACATTTAAAACTCTACTGTACAGAGTTTTTTTGTTGATTATACTGGTTACATATTTGTTCTATTTTCCCGGTAGGCCTACTATTGTTACATTTGCTCTACAACCATTAATTCATGCACTATTCATTCATTACACAACTATTTTTGTGCACCAAGGCCTTTTAACTGCATTGGGGACAAATACATTGAATTAAATGAAACAGCATGACATAAATTGGTTTGTTAACCAGCTCCACAGGGTCGTTTAGTGTGATCCCCTCAATCAATAAATCTGGATATGTCAAAGATACCCAATGTTTGTTGAACTATTATCATAGTTTTATGTCTGCCTGTCAATCTGCATCTATCCATCCCTCTTTCTGCATTTTCCCGTGTCATGTCGTACCCTTTATTCGTACTTCCTTATATTTTTATGTTCCTTACAAATCTCTAAACTTTTTCAACTCTCTTTTAACAGTTTAATTGTAGTACTCTTTAAATGTTCCATTGTGTTGGGGATCTTTGTAAGGAAAGGCAGTTATTGATGTTTTAATGCAAAAAGAAATTCAATCTAGAGTTTTACTTGCTGCAGAAAGCCGTGGCAGAGTCCACGTGATCCAAAAAGTTCCCATTATGTGACCAACAATGGCAAACGATTTTAATCTGACCAGCCAATCATCTTGAAGAAAATCTGTGAGTGTATCTGCATTTGACAGACCGTAAAGTCGGAGGTGTCTTACCTGTTCCTGCAGTGAAGTTTGCAGGCAGAGCACCAACAGGAACAGTAGCAGCAGCATGGCTCTAGGTGTCACATCCAAGGGGGGGATTAAATCCACCAGCCCAGTGCCCTCCTCAGCCGGTAGAAAAAAAAATCCACTGATAAAGTTGAGGAATGTATTCAGGCAGTGCTCGGTCTTCACGTCAGCTTTCTCTTCTCACATCTAGTCTGAACCTTGAAAACACACTGCTTTTTAAACGCAGGAAAAACACACAGATAACAACATCCTGTGTGAGGAAGAACAAAACTACTAGAGGACAATAGACACGTAATCCAGCAGTGACACTTGCAAGAAATATGAAAGCAAGAGCCTGGAAATATTGATCTATTCAGCGAGTAAATAATTAAAACAGCAGAATAGATTCCTACATTTTTGTATCATAATCACTGCTCTTCACTTATTTTCACCACAAAGGCAACAATCCCAGATAAACGGCTGCTCACAAACACATTAAACCTAACAAAATAACTCCCAGCGAAGCACAGAGCGGTCAGAGAGGCTGGAACGTCTACAGGCGTCACGTCTTTTCCTCTCTAATCTAGGCAGACAGAAAAAACAGAAACTGGCATACTGGGAACCTCCCATCAGAGGTCATCTCCTCCTACCAATTCCTCCCTGGCAGGAACAGCAGCAGCACCAGGGTAAAAGCACGAGTACAGAGCAAGGTATAGCAGAAGTAGCACTTTCTCAAGACGTTGGTCAGCCTTTATTAAAACCAAAATCCATTTTGGAGCTGGAAGTGCCCCCATGAGGGCCTGACTGACTTCTCTCCTCTCGAACAACAACCTCAATTGCAGTGCATCTGATTTTCTCCACAGTAAGGTGACAATTTGGAGGATACTGTCATGTTTTCTGGGCTGTAGTGGTCATAACTGAATAACCTTATCCATCAAGGAGACGTCTTAGGAGACTTTTTTGCTGCAAATTCTTCATGCATGTGCTGGACAAACAAGATGATACATTCTTATGAAAGAATTTCAGGCACTCCAAACGAGAGTTACTTTGAGGATTTCTTATCAAATCTGTGTTCTTTTTCCATGAGGAGTCCTGCAGGTTTTTACTCATCTGGCTTGCACAACTCACAAATAAACAGAAAGACGTGACTCAGACATTAATTTACAAGCTTAGACAAGTTAGCTGTAAATACCTGTTGAAGACTAAACCACAATCCCTACTTCATGTGAGTGCATAGGTTGCAAAAGTAGCATCATGCATTTTACAGATGGACACGCACTACTCTTCATGATGTGGAGGCAATTCTTTGCAGGCTGGTTTTAATGGACTCAGGAGCTCCTTCTGTGAGCAGCTTCAGTTTTCTACTGGACGACTTAGTCATTTATTTGCTCCAGCCGGAGTCACATTATCAGTTATGGTTCTGATACGTGGATGTAAATCTTGTCTTAAGTTGTTATTTAATTGTTGTGTTGTTAATATGTACAAAATCAACTCCTGGGGATCCAGTGAGCAAGACAGAAACCCCAGAGCAGTGCTGCACACATAACATCTGTCTGCTTCCTGCTATTGTTCTGACTCCTCATGGTTTAACCTTTGACCCTCTCTCTGGTCAGATTCACCCCAATGTGTCTGTCATTTCTTCATCAAGTCAGAATATATTAAAACAGGAAAGAAACCTGGTTTTCTCATTTGTTCGTTTTTGCTCCGAAGCAGTCGCAGAGTTGTGTCAGCTGACCAGGAAATCCGTAAAAATTACACCGCCCTGTTGGGACAATCAGGGGGGCAAATCCGTCCCAAACTTCCTGGCAGGAAGAGAAGAGAACATCTCACAATCCCTCTTTTCGCAGACCCAGCTCAGAACTAGAGGCCAGAGTGTAAGAATATATACAGCAGACATTATTTCCACTGCTTCTGAAAATGTCTGCTCTATTTCTATCATCTGATTTCAACTCCAGAAACAGCTCTTGACCCCAAACTCGGCAAAGCCAAAGAAAAGCTCCTCAACACAACCTGACAGGAGAAAATCTGCAGGAAGGAGATTCAGAGATATCTCCTGTCCTCAGACAACCTGGTAGGAAGTGAGGCTTTGGAGATGAAGCTAAATCCCAAAAGATAAACAGAATATGTGTGAAATTCAGGAAAAGAAAAAATAGAACAAACTGTGATTTCACAGTTTTTTCTTAGATCCAAGATTAGAGCAGAATGCAAAACTTGTAAAGATTTTTCGTATTAAATTTAACTGTGTAACACAGTAATCAAGTGCCCCAAAACATACTTTAAATATGGAGGTTCACTTACTCTACTTAAAGAAGAGCTCAGGACTGCCCGCTGACCTGAAAGCATCCAAATCCTCACAACTTTTGAATTTCATTACTATGATGATATCATAAATTTACACGGTTAAAACTGTCAGCCTGTATAATGGCAGTAACATAGATCCAGCTGAAGTGCCTTTTCAGATGCCTCTTGGATACAGTTAACATGATTTTGTTACAACCACTGCAGCTCGAACTCATGATGTTCCCCACAGTGACATGGAGAAAACTGAACACACCGCAGTCCAGATTTGCTATTGAGGGGAAGTTAGTTTCTGCTCCCGTCACTGCATCAACATTGTGTTCAGCCATTCCTTTATTTCTTTGATAGGAAATGATAATAAACCATTTTTTCTTTTTGTATGTCCAACTGAATTATAGTTTGATCAGTGATTTCTTTGTCATAATGTCAGTTTTGTTTTAATGTTCTTCATGTTGTGTTTTTTACCCTCCAACTCACTTTAAATTACTCAGTGTTTGCTCACACAATTTTTATATCATATTTTTATTAAATGATGTGGTTGTTACATTAACAGTCTTGACAATACAGACAATGGGATAAAATTATATCCTTTTTACAATAGCGCTAGACCAGTTAAAGCAATTTGTTCATCAAGTTTTATCAAGACAACATTTAAATTTCAGTTTATTTAATAAAAGAGATTTTTTTTCTATTTTATTACTTTATCAAAAACTTATGAAAACGTATTAATGAACCTACACAGAGACAAAGTCTCTTATTGGTGCTTAAGTTATCCACAAGTACCCCTGCATGCATTCACAGAGCCAAAAACCTTAGTCTAACACGTTAGCATACAGTTTCTATTTTTTTTTTTTTTTTTATGAGCCATAAACACACAAGATGTAGCCCATGCCAGAAAGAATGCCACTAGTTTTGCAGGTGTTAATTTATTTGTTTCTTTTTTTCCAGATGACCAAATGTAGAATAATGTGATTACAAAGACTGATATTGGTGCCTTCATTATGAGTTAAAAAATTCTTCTTTGGTCTTTGTCTTTGAACAGGACAGATAGACAGGAAACACGGGAAGGAGGGACAACATGCCCAAAGAGGCCCAGGGTTTGTGTTGGACTCAGTTCCTGCGCTTTAAGCATTTTGTCTCTGTACATGGGGGCAAAGCTAAACCAGTAACCCTGTCCACACAAAGTTTTGAGTCAGTCTATCTAATGAATGTTGATAATTTTCCATTCGAACCCAAATGTTTTCAACTCTATGGCTGACCCTGAGGTCAGCAGATTCTGCGAAGCATTAAGATTTCTCATCTGACATCTGCAAATGTTTGTAGAAAATCCCCTTGCAATTTTGAAAAGTTGCATGGATAATTTATTTGGACAAAAGAGTTAGACCAAACATCAATAATTTAGAGAAACTTACACAAAGTGAAAATAAAGATGGTAATTGTTGGTCCTGCTTGCAAATATATGAGCACTGAATGGTTGACACTGCTTCAAATCTGGTATTTTCTGAAGCTCGAGAGCTCAGACTGACAAAAACAGGGATTACTTTTTGACCCAGGAAGGTTAAATAAATTCTGCTAAACATGCTTAAAAGAAAAACACTGTAAAGTTTGTTCCTTAAAAACAACAGCTATCACTTCCATGTTTAAGTCCTTTTACTGTAACAGTTTAAGAAGCCTTCTGTGTCAGCTCCTGCACGTTTTTGTACTTAAAATACTCAAAGTGTGCTGAATGGTTTTGGTATTTGCTCATCTTTGCTACCTTGAAACTGTCCTTGTTAATATGAGACAAATAATAGGAATACTGCAGAAGGACACCATGATAATTGTTATCTTTGTTGCATGACATACTAACACACACTTTAACACATATATGGTGCACTTGGTTACTTACTGCTGACCTGGTTGAAAAACCTGAAAGACCTGAATCCAGGGGGGGCCGTGTCAGAGGTCGTGCTTGTCTCTGTGCCCATGTCCTGGTGACCATCTCAACCTCCAGAAATGCCTCCAATCAGCACTCTGAGCCGGAAAACAGCAGGACAGACGAGAGAAACCATGAAAGATAAGAGGAAGCGAGAAAGGATTTACTATCAGTGTCACATCCCTCTGGTGGTCCCTGATGTCTTTCTGCTCCAAATGTTTTTCAAAGTAGACTTTTACTGAAGTGAATCCGAATAAACTTCACCCCGCTACGGTAAACAATGACATTATGAAATTACAACAGTGACTTTAAACTGAGTTTAGATACTTGTGATTTTCTTACCGTTTGCAGAAATCTAATGTAAAACATACATTCACTTAATGTGCCTGCGTGACGAACTGTAATTTCTAAATACTTTTTTTAAAGACAGAAACTTTGAGAGTTATAAAACTAAATCAAAAATACTGCACTGTTAAGAGTAAATAAGATGACTTACCTCCATAATCCAGGTTCACGTTGTTCTCTCTTGCCACTGCAAACCGCTTTGTGATATTATCATTTAGCAGTTTCTTCATTGAGCTGTTAGATAACCTCGGAGAAATGCTTCTTTCAGACTACAAGATGACAAATTAATAAATGGGTTTTAGGCTGTGTCGAATTAGCCGCTGAACGGTTAGCTAACCTGATGTTAGCTAACCAACCTGGCAGTTGAACAAACATTTTCGAGGCTTACTGCTGAGAAAGTTGATAAAATATTGGCCTCACTGAAGTGAAATATTCTCCCTACTTACGACAACTATTCACTAACCTGTCCAACATATTTGGCACCTTTACTGAACTGCTAGCTTGCCAGGCCTAAACTGCCAGCTAATTAACCAACTAGTTTAGCTACAGCATGAAAAGTGGGCAGCCTTACATGGCATTAACTAACGTAATAAACGCTGTTTCTATTGGAAAATGTTCGTCTTAAAACTGACCAAGTGGCTAAGTTAAGCCAATCTAAAATGAGTGTATATTTGTCTGTGCTGTTAGTTGGCCTGAACGGTGGTTTAGCTTTGCTTGTATATTCAACTCTTTTAATGCCCCTAAGTTACCTCTTAAAAGTGCATTGTCATATCATGTTGGTATGGTGTCAATTTGTTCCAAACAGAGATCCTGTTTGGATCCAGCCTCTCCATGTGATGAATCATCAGACAACTGAATTACTTTCTGATTGTCATTTTACCCTCCACAGTGAAAGCAGGCCTTGGAACTAAAAAAATGTTCCCATTAGATGGCTGACCTGTTGCTCCCAGAGAGCCATATGGAGGTCAGCCTTCCAGTTTTGCTGATGAGACACTTCCCTGTACAGTATCTCTGCTCTCAGTCTGTCAAAATGACCCCAAAAGGGAAATCAGCTAAATTTCATGAAGAGCTCCTCCAGCAGACAGGAAATAGAGGAAGTTAAATGAGTTGAAAGGTGGCGGTGCATTTCGTGCTGCAGAACTGCCAAGTCATCAAAACCTCAATGAGCAGTGAAAGAGTGAACTGCTGATGGGAGCGTTTGGGAAATTCTTTCTCATGTTTTTACAACATTTTCCTGAAAAAACTGATGGTGTTTGACCTGATCATGAGACTGAAAAAAGAAGTAAGCGATCCCCCAAGATCCTTCATTCAACAAAACAACAATGAAAATTATCTAAATGTGTGAAAATTTCTTTTTACGTATATTTCTTAAAAATTAAAACTCTGCGAGCTTGCTTGGACCACTTCACTATTACTTAACTACAAGTGCAAAACACAGGAAGAGGTAGACATGCAGCAGAAAATGCAGCGCTTAGACTACCTGGTCATCAGCGCCCCACCTCCCTTATCTTATGTTTGATTGTGCCTCATAAAGGGAGACCGAGTTTGATCCCAGAAACCATGTCACTTCCTGCTCTTTCACCCCATTTCCTGCTCTATCCACTGTCCCATCGTCTGAAATAAAGGCACAAAAAGCAAAAACGAATGAATGGCACATATCTGAACTTCACAGTAGCCACTTCATGATATGGGTTTGTATCAGACACATTCACAGAAAGATGAAGTAGTTGTTTCAGTGGTTGCATTAATTTTGTTATTTGCTGCATCAGCTGAAAAGTGCAGACTGAGGTAAACCTGCTGATAAACCAAGGAATAAAACCATTGGTATTAAATAGGAAGTAACACCACAAGCAAATCTTTCATTTCACTTTAATTAAGTGGCATTCCCCTTTAACAAGACAACATGTAATGTAAACAACAGTGGCGAAGAGTGGGAGGGTCCAATAACAGCTGGATTCCCATTTGTCAATATTACTGTACAAAAACATAATAAAATAAAACACAAAGAAAATATAAAAAATAATACTCAATAATAATAATACTAAAGATGACATTTCAGAGTCCATATTGGAAATATTAACAGGATCTTCATGTTAAGTACAAAGTCTGTGTCATGATAGAAAACATCCGTCATTCCCAAAGCAACAAATTATATTAATATCATATTAATAACAATATACAGTTCAGTAATACTGCCCCATCAATTATAGTGTGCAAGAAATAAAATGTTCGGAGAGCAGATTGTGCCGAGCAGCTGTGTGTGTGTGTGTGTGTGTGTGTGTGTGTGCTCTTTAAAACAGTCCATTATTTAGGATCATCCTCTTGTCACCTCACTCAGAGTCAGACGGCAAAAATGTACAACATGTAAATCTATAAAAGTGATTTTTGGTTTTAAGAGCGATGTCACATGAATATAATGTAACTCAAACAGCTTTGGAGTTCATGTGAGTGAGTTTCTTCATGAGGCTAGGCTAGCAGTTCCCCCTGATCTACAGTCTTTGTGCTAAGCTAGGCTAACATGTCCAAGAATTTTCTTTGTACTGGACAGGAAAGAGATGAACCTTCTCCTCCGATTTGACTCTGGAGAGGAAAGAAGACAAGAGGATATACTAGGAATGAAAGCTGTTTCTGTACGGTAATATCAATTAAAATCAGGTGGAACTCCTGTGGACTGTCTGCAGCGCCCCCTGCTGTGCAACACCAGCTTGTCTGTCTGTCAACGTGTAATAAGTAGATCTCCTCCATGGAGGTTTTGCCGGGATCTCCCACTGTTTCTGCTCCATGTGAGGTCTCAGGCTTCTTCTTCTTCTTCTTCTTCTTCTGTCTGTAATGTCCCAGGTGTCTGTTTTCCTGCAGTGGACTCTCAATCGTCTTTAGGTAGTGCTATATCCCTTCTAATTTCCCAAAAGGTAAGTTTAAAGGTTCCAGTATGATTCAAACTAAGAAGTTTGTCTGACTGCATGCCAACCACCTCAAAATACACGCATCATTCACATATTGTTGACTATTTTTTGACATTTTCTCCAAGATCACTCAACAAGATTGTTGCTCTGTCTTTGGAGATGTTCTGGTATCTTTTTTTTCTGCCCAGGCATACACTGACTCCAATGTCAAAGGTTGTCAAAGCCATTAAAAAGCTACCAATGATATGATCATGTGTATATAATTTTTTAACAGCTGATCTAGACTTTATGACAACAGGAGCGACAAATTAAACTTCTATGCAGAGCAGTTTGCAGGTAGTATTATCCTGGGTAAAATATTACCAGATGATGTTACTCTTGCATTTCCAACACATTATTCCAAACATTGCTCTGTATGCTCTGTATGCACATGATTGATCTAAAAACAGCTCTTTTTTGCTGTTCTCAAGTAGAAGTTTGAAGAAGCAGAAAACACCTGCATGGCGGCTGAACAAAGTGACATGTCAGGTGTGTTTGTATTTTTGAGGAGCAAAGAAGGCTGATACAAATAAATCTTATTCATCTATTACTGACCCTGCAATTTAGGCTGAATAAGAGCCGTATCTGAACAACTCTATCCTACATGTAAACAACTGAGTACAATCCATCTATTCCTCCCTGCACAGACTTATTGCAAACACACACACTTACAGCCACAACAAGAGGACAAACACTTGGTACTATATCCTTTGAGGCAAAATGAGTCATCTTGATCAGTTACTCTGCTACTGAAATTGTTATTGAATGTGGATGCCAAGCAAAGAATTCAACAATTAAACACTGAGCCAAAGGTGAGAAGTTTAACTTTGCTTCACCTTGTCACAACACTTCATAAAATACATCCTATTCCATATGCCCAGAGAGTAATCCTCAAAGACTGAGGATTAAACCACTAAAATATTACCTTCTGATGTGGCAACAAGTAAACAGGATTTACCTTCTATCTTAAACTCTCTTTTTTCTGTCTTCATACAACTTCTTGTACCTGAATGCCTTCATTAAAAGACTAAAAGTGTGCTCTGTTACCCCCATTTCATTGATTCATCACACCTTGTCATTTCTAGAGCAGCTACAAGCGGCTTTGACTTCATGATGCCAGACAAAACCTCGTAGTTTGAAGCATACTGAGGCCTTTGAAAAGCTAAATCAAGCTTTTGAATTAAAACTGCATGTTTTAAATTCTCCCTGCCATTCATCAACTCAACCCTCCACTGACCAACAAGATGCCGAAGAGTCCTGCTTTGGTAGCCAGCTGTGACCACCAATCAGCCTGTAAGCTCCACAGGAAGCTCCCGACTGCACAGCGCCTCCCATTGGCGAGCAAGGAGCGAGATCAGTCTCTCTCTGCTGTCGGCTCCCGGGACAAACACGCACCACTGAACCTCGCCTTCTGCACCCCCGCTGGCTCCTCCCCCTCTGGTTGGGGTCTCTTCCCCTTCAGCAGTGAAGTGGTCCATAGTGAGGTGGCAGAGTAGGTCCGGGCCCGGCAGGTCATCAAACACCAGGGTCAGAGCCTGCGGGTAGGTCTGGTACCCCAGTAAGACCCGGTCTAAGTCCCTGATCCTTCGGGCTTCACGTAGCTGGTACCGCTCTCTACAAGGGGACACAATGAGGATGAAGATGATGAAGAGAGCAAAGCATGGCAGGTTTATTTATACAACACATTATATATACGGCTGAGGCATGTCCACTCATTGATTTGTCAAGGACACCTGCTCAGGACCCGTATGGGGCGGAAGTCTCCTGGTGACATTGATAGGCATAAGTGTTTGTAGTCTGCACAGTTACAGTGACTGATTTTGTTATTTTCTATAGTATAAAACAGTGGGAGAACGCAAATGTTAAACAGAAGTGGCCCCAGGATGAAGCCTTGGGGAACTCCACATTCCTCTAAAACATACAACAGTCCCAATTTTCCAAAGTGAGGCAGTGAGAATGTTTGCTGTCTTTGAAGTTACAGTGATCTATTTTGTAATTTTCTGTGTTCAGAACCATTAGAAGCATATGGATGTCAAACAGAAGAAGCCCTGGGATGAGGCCTCTGGGAACCCCACCTTTAATCTTTCAATAGGAGAGGATGACAACAACTGCCATATTGTCAAAAAATTACAAAAAACCTGAAAAGCATCTTTTCAAACACGCAAAAGTCCTAATTTTCACACATTTAATGCCTCAGCTGAGGTCGTGGATATTATCTCACAGTTTTAAATAGTTTCCAGCTGATCTTCAAATGCTTCCCTTTTAAATGTTCCTCATAAGTCCCCTACAGATTGAGGTTAAAGTGAAAACTGGATGAAATCTAATTGTACTCTTATAGTGATATGTGTCATTTATTGGGAGAATGATCCCGAAGCTGTAAATGAAACTGCTGCAGGAAATAACTGAGAAATAGTTCAGTTAACACCCCACCTAAAATGAAAACTGCTGCCAGAAACACACGTCATTCTTGGTAATACTAAGGTCTGACTGCATGTAAGCAGGATAATAACCCAATCCAGCTGACATGTTTTCAGGACCAGTTTGCCTCTGCAATCATCCAGCAACTCTTCCTTTTTAATGTAATTTCTTCCTTTACATTAGTCTTGATGATTGGTCAGGTATCTCTGTACAATTTGTCTCGTCTGTCAGACAACTCACGGTGTAAAAAAAATCGTAACAGGACTGACAAAAAAATCAATCCTTCAAAGAAACAGACTTTTGCTTCTGAGTATAACTTCCACACTAAGCCTGGACCAAGAAAGTTGTAAATGAGTTATTGGAAAGTATCTCGATCGCTCTGTTTTAGGCTTCAATGAAAACACATTTCACTTGTTTATTTCCTGGGTGCACTTTGTCCCCTTTGTCTAAACTTTCTCCACGTCACACTGTCACTTGTGTCTCCTTTTCTTCCTCTTTTCCTGCAGCAGACAAACACAAAAATAAACCTCTGCTGCAATCAGGGTAGAGGGCATGTTTTTCTGTTTTTTTTTAAAATGCTGATCAGACCTGCCAGCTGACCCTGAAGAAAATCACCGTCATCAATTGTTCTCATAAGGGACCCTTACTGACCACAGTAAGCCAAATGAGGAGGGAGGCGCATCCTGTGTGTTCACCTGGAGGGAGGTTCTTTGGCAAAGTCTGGCAGAGGATAGCTGACATAGTCTTCATCCAGTAGGAACACATCGGTGCTGGTCAGGATCAGAGTCCTGGGCTGGAGGACAGGAGATGGGGGGGTCTGACCTGGCAGAGAGGAGCCTTGGTTGGGCTGACTGCTGGGGACCTGAACCTGGAGGAAAACACAATATCTTATCTTTTAAATTAATTCTCAAACAAACTGCTTTAACTGAGTTTGATGTTCAAGCCTTAATGACTGATTTCATTGACACTTGTATGAAGTGACAAAAGGCTTTAATGGTTTTCATGATGATTTTTACACATCTCCGAATTAGATGTATTTCCATCACCCTGAGGTTAGGGTTAAATATCATTGAGCCTGAACCAGGACTAAAACCTGCACATACGCCTAAATGTCTCCACACACCAAGCACGAGTAAAATCATTCAGGTGAATGAATTATGTGTTAAGTACATGCAAAGATGGGATTAGATGCTCCGACTACTCTGGCGGCGCGAATGACGTGAATTGGGCAGGAGCTGAAAATGTCTCAACTTGAGTGGATACTTGTGTCACGATAACTACTCAGCAAAAAGAATGCCAGGTGACGTATGAAAACAGACGGTTGTTCACTGGTATCTAAAATAGAGGACAAACTGATCGTGCTGGTGTGTGAGTGCCCCGAGTCATATGATACCTTTTCTTTTAATTACAGAAACCGGAATAAAAATTAAGCTCACCCGGAGGCAAGTGAGTGAGGAGGTCGGATTATGTGGTAAATTGTAAAAACCTTTGTCTGTCACTTGATCTCACCAGTTGAATTGGCAGGGATTACCATTGAAATTACCGTTGACGTTAAAATGAAGCGAGTAAATACTATTTATTCACGCGTCTAGATTCTCACGAATTAAGCGAGTAGATGATTTTACTTTACGCTTGGTGTGAGCACCCTATAAGACGATGCACAAAACCAGTGGAAAGGAACAGATTTATTCCATGTTGCTCCTCTAGACGTAGTTCAGCGCACATACACTCTCCTCAAAAATCACATTTGACAAAAAAGGAGGACGGTCTCACCTGAAAGACCAGCAGGTAAAGCAGGACATTAAAGGAGCGTGAAGACGAGGATGCTGTGCTGGCTGCAGTCTTCCTCTCTGCCACTATGAAGGTCAGATCTCCCATCTCCTCCTCACTGGGGTAAATAAACTTCACCCTGCTACTGTGGACCAGCTCGTAGTTCTGCATCTTACCTGCAGGGGGAGGGAAATCCCATCACACAACAGAGCTACAAATACAGATTTTTGTTCCTAAACCAGAAAAAGATTTTTTCATAGGATATCTTGAGAGAGAGAGAGAGAGAGAGAGAGGGAATACAGAGAAATAGGAGGACATGACATGAACCAAATCCTGTTGGCGTCGTCTTTCAACTGAGCTAAACCAGCAGCCCAGATCTTTCATATTTAAAAGATACAATGCGTTAGTGTTGAGTTTCTATTTAAGGTCAAAATAAATAAATAAATAAAAATAATAAAAAACTTTCCAATTTTACATAAATCCCACCTGTTGGCAGAATATTAATAATTTTTACTAAATATAGAGTAAATAGCATTTATAATGAGTGCATCATGAGATTTTACATGTCGAGACAGATTTTGAATCTTCTCTGACTAAAAGTGTCTCAGCACGGCTGCTCACCTGTGTTAGTGTTGGTGAACTGGGAGTAGAAGTCCTGGTCTGACGGCTCTGGAGGAGGAAGCTGCTGCTGTAAACTGAGAGCTGACATCAGCTCCTGGAGGAACAAACCAGTCCCATAACTGTCCCGACTGAGACAGCACACGATGTGATCAGCTGAACGACCTGTAAAAATCAGAAGGAGGGGGTCAGAGATCCATCAAAGGGCCTTGAAAAAAAGATTTAACATCAGAAAGTCAAAGGTTTTTTTTATGATAATGTGTGTGTTTATAACTAAAAAAGGTGTGTGATTATCCACTGACCTACGACCCTGAAGTACTGGTCAAACAGCCCCACATTAACAGACAGCAGGTCAGACAGTCTGATGGATAGACAGCAGCACAGAGAGACGTCAGGGTCTCCAGAGTCCGTCGTGTCCAACACTGAGAGAGAGAGAGAGATGAAGAAAGAGAGAGAGGAAGAGAGAGAGGTATGGAAGAGAAAGAGAAAACAATCTTCAACGGCACTCAGAGTCTGTGGACACAGTCGACTGAGGACTAAACAACAACACTGCATGTACATGCTCTGAAAAATAACCAAAAGTTCATTTATCTTTATAAGAACCTGAAATCAGTGAAGTATCTCAAAATCAAACATGCTCATAATCAAAGACATTTTTTTTTTTTACTTTTTCAACCACAGGCCAAAATCATCAAAACTTCAACAGAGCATGTTTGATAATTTCAAGTTTGTTTGGAATTAATCTAATTATGAAATACTCACTTTCTCTCATAGCTGATGGGAAATAATGAACTTGAAATAAGAGTTTAGAAGGAAGTGAAACAGGCTGAAATAGTACTGATAATGGTTTATGGCCTACAGGGGCAGGTTAGGTCTCATCATCAAGACTGATCATTTTAATTTTTTCCTTTTTTTTAACAGCTGAAACTGCTGCCACAAGTGAGGCGAAAACAAAAGCCAGATTTTTCCTTTTTACCAGCAAAGATGTTAAGTGGTGCTGATTTGACTGTAAAAAGGAGCAGGATGACTGAAAAGAGAAACGGTGTCACCGAGTCCACTGGGAGGAACCAAAATGACGCTTGTTGATTTGATCCCTGAACATAACATCTAACTTTGGAACATACTGAGAGAAAAGCTTTTCCTGTTAAAAGTTAAAATCTTGTTGTCTGGCTAACAGAAAATCACCACATTGTCAATCTGAGATCAATATATCATTTTCTGACTTAACCTACAAATGCTTAATAACAGAGTTTGCGGTAGAACAGTTTGTGAATCTAAATAAATTTTCTTCCCCAGTCTGACTTTAAGTCTCACCTGAGTGATGTCCGAGTGTGGAGGCGGAGTCTTCTAACAGGAAGTAGATTGTGTCGGTGGAGAGCAGCAGACAGCAGGTGAGCTCAGACTCTGGAGACTTGTAGAGAACCACAGACAGCCACAAGACCTGCCGCACCTCCTCTGCCTCAGTCTGGTATCAGTGATAAAAACAGAAAAAAAGGAGTTCTAATATTTTCTGCTCGAGTGAAAATAGACGGCGATTGATGCTGATGTGGAAAGAAACATTAGATTTAACACCAAACAAGCTGCTTACAAACTCTGTACGTGTGTGTGTTTGGGTCCTACCATTGCTATGTTTCTGTGGAAGTAAGCCAGCAGATGTTGCCCTTGGAGCCCAGACAGGAGCTTCAGTCCCGGGGTGAGACCAGGTAGGAGGTGTGGGGAAGGTTGGCTCTCCTCCAGCTGAGGGTGTTGGGAGTCCCAGCTGAGAAAGAGGGAAGAAGAAGATGGAGAAAAGTGTTTAATGAATGCTACATGGCAGCGGTCACAATGCGGCTTTTGAATGAAACGGTAAGTTCAGGTTCAAGACAGATCTTACCTGCTGCTGCTGCTGCTGCTGTGAGATTTCCTGCTGTTTTTACAACAGCACTGATCTTTAGATCTGCAGCAGCCTGAAAACAAAAACACAGGTCACCAAACCTAAACGATAAAACCAGTGAGCAAATAAAACTAACAGATAATAAAGGTGAATAGCAGCTAGTTGGTCTTCACCTTGTGTGTTTTGCCCTTGGTGTGAGCAGGACGTGCAGGGACGGGGCAGGCCGACCATCTTCAGCCCCTCCAGAGAGGCTCTCCTCTGGCTCAGGTCCCCCAGGAAAGAGCTCCTGTCATGGGTCAGAGGGAAGAGCAGCAGCAGCTTCTGACCGCCCAGCAGCAGTTCCACACTGTGACTCCTCCTGAACACAACAAGATGGAGACGAGACCGATAATTATGAGGGTCAGGAGTAATGAATCCTGGTATCAGTGCAAACTGTAAAACAAAGATGACTGTAGGTTACACAACAGCTACACTAAGACATGTTCCAGCATCAAACTTTCACCTGGGAGTCAAAAAACTTTTGATTTAGATAAAAGTGCAAGAAGGGTTCCCATCCTTGATTTTTGACCTCAAGCTCTATTGGATTTTAGACTTCTAAATTCATTGGGTAGCATGAATTTAGTACTACTGGGATTAAGTTCATACAAAAAAATCAGGGAAACACTAAATAATTAAACGATAAAGGCACTGAAACACTGTGCTCCTTTCTCAGTTTGGTAAAAATACACAGAAATCCTAAAAGGTAGAGCGTTTCAACATCCGTCCACCCCTCACAGTCTCTGTACCTGTGCTGGTGTTTCGGGTCCTGGCAGAAGGAGTTGCTAGTTCTGTCCCCAACCTGAGAGGCTCTTTCTTTGGGGTGAAGCACCACAGAGCCGAGGGGCACACGGACCAGCCTGCACCAGGAGGTAGAGGAGTTGGAAGAGGAGGAGGAGGAGGGTTGATGACGGTCAATGTTACTTTTCTCTCTTTCTGTCAGCTCTTTAAAGTCCATCTTCAGCACCCAGAGGTGTCGCTGGGAGAGAAAGAGGAGAGAGAGGAGGCTGGGCTCCTCGTTCTTGGGTAAAAAGTCTGACAAGAGGTGGTGGGTGTCTGAGGCAGAGGAGGACGAAGGAGAGAGGAGGAGATGGGCAGGATAGCCTCCTTTAGCTCCCTGACTCTCCTCCAGCTCCCAGGAATTAATGAGTGAGCGAGGAAGGAGCTGAGGAGTGTTAGAGGGCTCCAGCTCAGTCTGAGACTCTGCCGCCTGGAAATAAGAGAAGATATTCAAGTTTCCGTTATAAAGTCTCTGCAAAAAGTTAGGCAAAAAAAAGAGAGGCAAAAAAAAAGGAGACAATACTTCAAACACACAAAAACATCAGCAAACAAAGAGAGAAATGTCACTTGCTGATATTCTTTTACTTAAGCAGTTTTTTAATTCTGTTTTCTTAAAGCATCTGTGATAAGTGTCTTCTCGAAATTCAGATTTTCACTCTTTCAAAATGTTCAAAAGCAAAGAGGTCATGGACGCAGCTGAAGAAACACTCCTGTTTTTACAATTTCTGCATTAGAAAAGTCACAATAAATGAAACATTTGACTGTCGAAAGTCAGCAGGATTACATTTTTGGGCAAAACTCTCAATTTAAACTTGTAGGGGGGAGGATCAGCACAGACTGCTCTGCCCTTAGGGGGGCGCCAATACTGACACAAACCCGAATTTCTCACTGATGTAGAAGAATAGCGCACAAATTTAAGTTATTGCTCATGAAACTATCTTGAAAAGAAGCTTAGGTCATGAATTATTAATAAAACATATAGTACAATTTTATATTTCACCATAGAGGCCAAGTGTACAAAAAAATTAAAATGACTCAAACTGTGTTCATCATAAAACTCTAAGAGTCTTCTGGACTGCTCTCTGACCTGGATGAGTCTCGTCAGCTCGGTCCTGGTCAGCTGGAGCTCCTCGTACTCAGAGAAGATGTACCACAGGGTCGGTCTGTCTAAGCTGCCAAATGAGAGGCAGGAATCAGGGAGCTCTGCACAGGAGGAGAGCAGGAGCTGGGAGTGAGGCAGCAGGAGGTCCACCTGCAGGCTGGATAAAACCTCCTCAACTAAGGGTCTCTGCTCCTTATCTAAGAACAACAGACCAGATTAGGATTAAAAGTTAAGGACACGGCAAAGTCACTCCTAAACTTTCACAAACTTAAAATGCAAAATAACTATTTAAGTCCTGGCTTTTCTAGTTTATCACAGTCCAGGGTTAACTGAGACTGATGTCTGCTCACCTGCGTCCTGATTGGTCCAAGTGAAATCATCTTTCAGGTAAAAGAGACCCAGCAGTTGCTCCGTCAGCACCAGACACGCCCTCTTCTCCTCCACCTCCTCCTTCATCTGAACGCAGTAGCACCACAGAACCCTGCAGACCTTCACCTCCTTCTCTTCCTCCTCCTCCTCCTCCTCATCATCATCACATGGCTCTTGCTGGTGGTTAACAGGCTCCTCTGCAGGAGGACCGGTGGAGGAGGAGCAAACGGACTCTTCAACAGAGTCGTCCAGACCCATCTCAAAGTACCCGTCCCTGGAGCCGGGACTGAAAAAAGGAGCATGGATCAGTGATGTAACAGGGTTTACTCAATTCAACATTTCCTCATCTCATCGATTCATTATGCAGAATATAAACGTGCATTTATTAGACACAGTCCTGCAGAGGAATTACTCAGAGAAGGACATCTTTTAGGATCCTAAAAGCCTGAAACTTGAAGTTTGAAAACACTTGAAAACCTCAGACACCCACAGAAAAGTCCCAGAAACGAATCCTGGAAAGCACTTTGAAGAAATTCAAGAATCCTGAGGAATTCTACAGAAATGTCAGAAACGCTGCCGATCAAATTACCTGGGAATTTCTACCTCAGTGCCTTCAACATGTGACTGAACCTCTCTGGATTCATACCGCTTCTCCTCCTCCTCCCCCTCCCTCCCCTCCTCTGACTCTTCCTCCTCTTCCTTCTTCTTCATCTTTCTCTCTTTCAGGTTGGAGCTAAGCAGAAGGGAGAGCTGGGTAATGAAGTCTTTGTTGGAGGAGGAGAGGGAGAGCAGGTGAGAAGGGAGTAGAGGACATGAGAATGTGCTGCAGGTGAGACAAGCTGTTTCAGCGGGTCGGGGGGACGAGGAGCAGGCAGAACTGGAGGAGAGACAGACGAACACTTTACCTTCATCATTTATGACCAATTGAAGTTAAAATGACTGGAAACATGGCAGGTGAGAAACCTTTTAACACAATATTTAAACCAGCGAAATAAAGCAGAGACCAGAGGCAGGGGACAAGAACTAGAGTATTGAAGCAAAAAGAAGTAAAACAAAAGTGACTTCTCCAAGAAATGAGGAACTTTGCTGTTAGAAATTTGAATACTCACCAGACAGAAACCGAAGAAGTTGTTGCAGAAGTACAAACACTCGTGGGAGCTCCACTTAGAGTGTGTTCAGACAGACTAACAGCAGGTTGTTGTACCTGCATAAAAAAAAAAAACAGTGTGACTTTAAAACCTTTTAAATACAAAGTGTAAAATCCTCCGTATTTGTCAAGTATTTGAAACTGGAGACAAACTGGGGACTGACAAACTAATACGCCTGATTTAAGTCAAGAAGAGGGAACAGAAAAAAGGCAGATTTGTTTTAGTAAACCCTCATTTACAAAATCAATAAATCCCAACACTGATTTAAGTTTCTGTTTTTTTTTTTTATCATCCCCCCCAATCACACTGCTCCATGATCCCTAACTGGTTTCCAGAGCCCTCCCCTCCCTTCCCTGGTGTTAAGGGTGTGTTCCTGACCTGCACGAGGTCAACAGACAGGAGGTGTGTGTTTGTGTTAAAGCTTGCAGGGGGGGCTGCAGTGTCCACAGGAGGGGGGAGGACACTGGGGGGGACGGGGGCTTCTTCTCTGCTCGTCATTTCTGAAACAGGAAACCAAACAGATAAAGAACATGCTGTGAAGAGGAGCCCACTCAGCAAACTTTGACCGACTCTATCTATAGAGTGGCCCTGTCATATTAGGCCTCATCTTTGCTCTTTATTTAAATATTAAAGCTTGAACCTTAGAATTTTATGATGTTTGAGCATTATTGGTATTTTACACACTTTTTCTATAAACCAAGTAATCAAGAAAACTTTCACCCCAGATAACAGGTTCAAAAGTTGATGGATAACATTTATGCTTCACGGGTATGTCAACATCACAGTCTCACCTTGTTACACTGGACAGACATGAAACACCAGCATGCATTTAGTTACTTCTGTTAAACTCAAACTATTGTGCAGGTCTGTAATTTAGCAGAGCAGATATTGAACGTCACAGGAGGAGGTTAGTGAGCTGAAGCAGGGAGTCACCTGAGCTACACCCCGAGTCATTAGAGGGTTAGTGTCACAGCAGGTTATTAGTCATCATTACTCCTGTAATGACTCTGCAGCTGTTTGTTAATATGTCATTCAGCCGTTCTGTTTAAGCTCCTATAAGAAACTTTCTGTCAGTGTTGAATCTGGTGCCCCCCTGTGGTCAAAGTGATACCTCTCTCTTTTTTGCTGATCTCACCTCGAGTCAAAATCTGAAGCCTTCTTTCAGCAGCAAATATGTCCCCAATCATTCCTATCTGCTCATTTCATTAATGTTAATATTAAAGGCCTATTCAAAGGTTACAAAAACTAAACCGTTTTATATTCAGGTTAAAATAAACAAGCTGATGAATACTGTACTTCACTCCCCTCAGGTCTGCTTTGCTGCAGCTTAATACTTCACACTGCACCTTTAACTTGCTGATATATTAAGAAGGACTGACGCATACTGCAACACAGGGACCTCATTTGTTAGCAGAAGCGTCAGTCATTATGTTATATATCTGTTCTTAAATAATCTAATACCTCATCAAATTACATAAAACAAACACTCAGACATAAATAAGTGTATTAAGAACTATTTTGACAAAACCATGTTTGAGAAACATTAATTATACCTGTATTTTAATTTTAAAAGTTGACATTTACAGCCGAAACCTTTTGGTTTCACTTTAGGGAACTGTCATGTTGTCCATCTTTTATACAGTTTGTACTTTGAACCTGTTTGAGTTATATAAGAAAGCTCTTTGAAAGCTTACAGTTTAGTCGATTTCTATAAAGTGTTACACTTCAATCAGGACTATCAGCAGGCTGCTGTTTTATAGAACATCCCTAAGTTTGGTGTTTTACTGACTACACAGCAGGCAGATTGATTTACTGTGAAAATAATCAAAAGTTGCAGGCTAAGCAAGCACAATCAGCTGTTTCTTTTTTTTTTAATCACTTGTTTCACAGACAAAGAGCAGAGAGTTTAAATTGTCTGGATGCTGCCTTCAATCAGAAATAAAAACCCGCCCCTCTCAGCCTCGCACAGCCTGATACATACATGATTACCTTGGCTGGAGCAGGCAGCCTGTTGGGCCGGGCAGGTAGAGGAGGAAGAGGAGGAAGAAGAGGAGGTAACAGCAGGAGGAGCAACAGCAGAAGAGCAGCAGGAGGAAGATGAGGAAGGGGGAGAAGAGGAGGAGAGGTGAGGAGGTGCAGGTGCAGACAGCCTGGTCTCCTCACTGATCTGACGAGAGGACAGAGAGGAGGAAGCCTTCAGAGAGCAGCAGTCACCTTCATCATCGAAATCCTCAAACCTGCAGACAGCAGCTTCTTCAGCAGCAGAGTCAGCTGGACTTTCAGATCCACATCAGAACTGAGACTTTTTCAGGTTGTTTAAGAAACCGAATGTGAAGTAGGAACTGAAACCTGTGCGCTCAAAGTTAAAACCTTAAAAAGGAATTTCATGTCACTTTCTGCAACTCCAGTCTCATTGGCATTTAGATCTCTTACTTTTTCTTTTTTATAATGATGTTTTTTATGTTTTAGCGTGAACTTTGGTGTTTAACTTAGGTAAAACTTTAATCTGAACAAATCTCAATATTCACATTTGGGAGCCTTTGACTCCCTCCTGTAGAAATCTTTAATAAAGGTTTGTGTCAGAGAGTACTCTATGAATTATTTTCCTACAGTGGCATCAGTTTATCAGTATCTGTATCTGTATCTGACTGAATGGTTTTATAGGTTTATTGACCTATTTCCATTAGCCTTGTCCTGAAGGACAAAGTTTTCCACTCAGATTTTTGATATTACTCTTTGTTCTTAAAGCAAATGAAAAAGATGATTGTTTTTTTTTTGTTATACAGGCCTGGAAACTCTACGCTTACAGCTGATGAAATACACCAATATCAGCTTTCTGTTTACGTTTGAACACAAAGATTTAAGTCACAAACCTCACTGGTAATTTTGATAACTCTCCAAACTTTTCAACCTCACAGACCTCCAACAACTGAACACGTGTAATTGGCTTGATCAGTGTAGCAGCTAACCTCTGCTGATGACAGTTAAATAGTGACAAGAGTCCCACTGAAGCTGCTGATCTGCAGGTGATGAACTCAACACACACTATAGCAGCTCATTACTCATGTAATAAGATAAGAAGCTGCTGTAGCGACTGACAGAGAGATAAACAGACATTGAACCTTTTAGTAGTTAGTAAAATTCTAATCCTTTTATCTATACATCTATCTTCAATCAGGTTAGAACTACAAAACTCACTATGTTATTCTATTCAGAAGCCGTGGTAATACAGTATACTGGAGTAACAATCAACACTGGGGACTGAGATTAAGATTGTTTTCTGATTAGAAGAGGTCAAAGGTCAAATCTAAAGGGTCAAATCAAACCTCTTGTAGTGGTAATATTTGAACATAATACTCAGCTGGGTAAAATCCTCTTATTTGAAGTACAGAAAAGAAAAAAATGTCCTAAAAGTCCTAAAAGAGATCCATGGATTACTCACTTAGACTGGTTATCTGATGAAGTCACACTTATTTTATTTTCTTACCTCAATAAAACTGACACATAAATATATACAGACAGTTTATAAACAGGTCTCAGCAGGTCTGGTGTTGCCTCAGCGGGACTGAACGTACCTTCTTGTCGCCACTACTCTTTCTGTCTTTGACTTCTTTGGCTTTCTGAATGGCTTTCAACACTTCCACTGTGTCCAACTCCTTCTCTGTTGTTACTTTACTGTCCAGACAAACCTGACGACACAGAGACAAAGGATATTTAAAAAAACTCCAACACACATCCACAGTTTTTGACCAGAATCAGAATCAGAATCAGAAGGGGTTTAATTGTCATTGTCGATGAACAGGATTCACAGACTAGGAGTTTGTTTTGGCATGATGGAGCAACAATAAACAGAAAGTAATATAAAATACTAGAATAAAAACTAATAAGAGCATGCAAGAAATATCTGAAGTATAAAAATATTAAAGGTTATGTACAATGCTATGTACAATAAGTATAAAAGGCTATGTACAACTATACAATCCAGAACAACAGTGCAGTGGGAGGAGTGCAATTAAAAAATCCAAAGTACATTAAGTTAAAGTGACCAGTGATAAAGTGACAGAGTAAAAGTGACTGAGTTATAAAGTGTTCATGAGACCAGGAAGTGGATTTAACAACAAGTGAAGCCGAGGTGGTACAGACTGGTACAGGCAGCGGAGATACCAGGTGAAGTGACAGTCTTATCAGCAGAACATCGAGATAGACTGATAAACCTCTGTTTTAAATCTGACTCAATGGTCGTTTTGTTGGTGTACCTCTGCTGCTCGGTCTCCAAACTGGGCCAGGACTTTGGTTCTGTAGTCTGGGATGATGCACATGGGGTTACTGGACAGGTTGAGTTTCTCCAAACAGGGCAGAGAGCCGATGTTCCTGATCTCCTCCAACTGAAAACACCAAGAATCGACTTCAGTGAAAGAGGGGGAAATATTCAAGTAAAGAACATAAGTGTGGCTGTTTCATCCACAGTGAGATTACCTGGGTCAGCTGGTTGTGACTGAGGTCCAGGTTGACCAGAGAGTAGAGCTTAGTGAGTCCAGTCAGCTGGTCCAGCTGGTTTCCAGCCAGGTTCAGAGTTTTGATGTTCCCCAAACGTGTGTGAGCCGCTTCAAGGACCTTCAGGCTGTTATAGGACAGATCCACGTGGACCAGATTGTACAAGTGCTGCAAGAACAGGAAACATACTTCAGAATTTCTCCTTCATTTTTGTCTCTTAATTCTCCTGCCAGGACCTGATACAGGATGCAGCAGCTAAACCTGAGTTTGAGTCCAAGTTTCAGGGTAAATTCAAAAGTGTTGTTCTGACGGACACACAGTCTGTTCAAAATAAGAGACGAAAAGTTTCACAGGAATCATCGCTGGTGTAAATGTTTTGATTTTACTTCCTATCTGCACTCTTATATTCAACAAGACTTACTAATGGATGACAACAACCTAGGTATAGGTTTGGAGGTATAAGGAGCTTTGTTAGGACCATCTTTGAATGGTGCAGGGTCAAAAATTGTATATTTTGATAACCCTGGAAATGCACAGCCTTAAGGCAGAGCTGATATACTCTTCATCACACTCTCACATACCTGCAGGTTTTCCACTGTGGACAGCTGGTTGTAACTCAGATCCAGAAACTCCACTTTAGGAATAAGTTTCTGCAGAAGAGACAAACTCACTGTCAGCTTCTTTCATTATCTCACATAACAGACACATAACAGACCCCCACATAACTCACATAATCATCATTTCTGCTAAATTTAAGCAATTTAAACTGCACAAATTTTTGCATATAATTATCTGGGTTTTTTTTTAACCATTTCAAGAGGACTTATCAGAGCAGATGCGAACCATTCATTTAGCATTCAAATTCATCGTCACATTTAGCACTTTTCTTCTCGAGTCTTACACTTTGCATTTTGTTTTTTTTTCAACAAAAAGTGGAAAAGGATTGCCTTTTCTTGCTTTTTTTTGCAAGATGAGCAAACATAAAAACTTTGTATGAATAAATAAAACCATGATAAACTATCTGAGACATCGTGTGAAGATCCCAGAACCAGCAGAGTCATTTCGAGGAAATCAGGGAAACTTCAGCCACTGTTCACTTTGTGTTCACGTTTGGTTAGAGTGTTTTACCACTGAGGAGTCAATGCTGCTGATGCAGTTGTGGCTCATGTCCAATGTGGTCAGGTTTTTCCACACAGGGATCACAGCAGTGACGGGACAGCCAGACTCCGCCCCCTCAGCTTCCCACTGCGAGAACTCGCTGGCCTCAGGAACCAGGATGGACTGCAGAAAACCCCGGAGTGACAGAGCAGACGTTTAAACTCCCACATTAGTAGAAAAAACTAACACAGATGCTGAATCAGTACAAGAACCTCATGTGAACAGTACCATCATGGATTCTGTGGAGCGGTGGAGACTTAAAGTTGCGAGACTCGACCTCAGAGACGACAGACCTTGAATCTGCTGAGAGTTGCAATCGCTGATCTGCAGATAGAGAGTGAGACAGAGCTTTTAGAAGAATAAACTCAGCATTCATGGAGCAGTAACAAAGATTCTGCACAGCTGTCTGTCTCCCCTAAACTTTGCCTCCTACAATATAAGCAAAGCCGACAGTAATGAAGGATTTTCTCTCAATGTGCATCAAAAAGAGAACAATCAGAAAAGTGAGGAGGCAAGAGTGGTGCTGCAAGGACGGTATCTGTGCTGCTCGTGCCTAGATTGACTGTATCCAAATGCATCTGCAGAAATTACTGGTGAAGAGATCTGACTTTAAAGCTTCAGACACAAAAACACTCAGCCTGTTTGTGCTCATTAAAAAATAAAAACTTTCTGTGAATCAGTCAGAGTGACAGTTAAAGAAAACAAGTGTCATTACAACACAGAAAGTACATCACATGTATATGTTTGTGTGTCAGCGCCTCATACATTCATTTTCTGTGGTTAACCTGATGTTCATGGTACCAATATCATTTATATGAAATAACCACAAAGCTACTACAACAAAAAAAGGTTCAAAAGGGAAACAGACAGTCACCTCTATCTGCAGCAGGGATTTGAAAACCGACAGGTCAAAGGGGAGGCTGCTCTCCTCGATGTTACTGGTCCCCACTGGACCTCTTGTGCCAGAAACCTGATCAGCAGAGACAAAGCCAGAGTGAGATTTAAACCACCTCTTCTCCTTCAATGAGATGAAAAAATAAACTAAAATGTATGATGCAGATTCGGATTAAATCAAAAGCTGTTCCACCTTTAGGTATTTCAGCCTGCAGGTGAAGTCCAGGATGTGTCCCAGGTCTGTTTTGGCGTCTCCGTTACAGCAGGTGGGTTTGGCCAGACGAAGCTGCTGGGTGATAGAGTATAGCTGCAGAGGATGGAGAGAAAACACTTCGCCAGCCTGGAGCAGCTGCTCACCTTTAACAATCAAACACAGACGGACCGAGATTAGACCCTGAACACTGCTGAAAATTTTATCTGAGATACATGCAGTTTAATGAGCCTGTAAGTTCACTGTTTTCACATCATGTTTACATTATCTAAAGAAACAGAGTGCAGTGGGAATGTGTATTTTATTTGGTCGCTGTTGTATACAGGTGTAGAAATAAGAGAGGGACGAAGCATGAAGCAGATCTTTGTCTCATTTCTGGAAAAAAAAAGTCTCAGTAGACTCAATAAAAGCCTCATTCACCTGAAGTCTAGATTAACATCTTATTACAAGAGATTACAAACCAAATATAAAACCTGATTAGTGTGAAATAAGTAAAATAATCTGTGCATGAGGTAAGAAAAACAATTTATTCTCATTTCAGGAAAAAAGTTCTTTCTCACCCTAAAGGACAGATTTGTTCAACTTGTAATGAGTAATTCAGGTCTTACTTTTGCACCACTTTAAAGTAAGATGTAAATTTATATTTCTCAGGTGATTTTATATCAAGTCTGATAAAGACAAAAACTCTTGCTTTGTTTTGAGTTTTTGAGATTTATGCAGCTTTTAAAAGAAGTGGGATTATCTAGAATATTCACAGTGAGGGGTTCACTGTTAACGGAGGCAGGATGAGATTTTAAGGCAGAAAAAAACTACTTGTGCATGTACAGGAGGAATAGGCAGAGCTGTAAGCAGTGCCACTTTGTTCACAGAAGGTGCTAAAATCGACTCAAACAGAGTTTACCTGCAGGAGCCTGAAGTTTTGGCACAGTTGTCAGTAAATTACAGGAATTAAAAGAGGGGAAAGGTCGGAGAGGGAGCTTACCTTTATGGAATAATTCCTCAGCCAATGCTGCTGTGATGCCGTTAATCTCCTAAAAGAGAAAAAAAACAGTTAAATGTTACATCACTTCAGAAAAACAAAGTTCAGGGTAAAAAGTTCAGTTTCATTTCTTTATTGCTCATAGCTGGTGATATTTTTCAAATATTGTGAGTATGTTTTGATTTTCCTCTTTTTTTTCTGCACAGTTTTGTTAAGTCTTAAATTGTATTAGAAAAAAATATGTCAGTTTAAGAAATAAACGGATCGTTTTTGAAGGTTAAAGTCATTTGAGCTTGGATTACTTACACAACCATTTATCAAGGAGGGCAAAGAGCAACGCTTGGCTCAGGCAGTAAATATTCAGCTGTTTTCCTCACAGCTCTATTATTCGGGTGTAACCTGCTCATCCAGACATAATTTAGTTGAATAATGAGAAACAAAGTGTCATCTGTGCTTATTTAAACTCATCAGGGACGAGTGTGCCTCATTATGTCATGTCACATGAGCCAGCAGAGTCCCGGAGACCCTGACTACACTACTCTGTTGTTGTGACTGTGTCATATGATTAGAGTCACTGACATCACAAAGCCTGAACTTGTATCTGAATGAAAAGCATTAGTTGTGTCAGTGTTTGTCTACACAGGGACTACAGATGGTAGAGTAAGTCCTGCAGCGTCTTGCCTCCAGCATGTTGTTGTTTTTTATCTGCTTGTAAAACTAAATAAATTCAAAACTATTTCTCCCTCTGTGATCATATTTAAAACATGATACTTAAGATTTGATATATCTTCACAGACTTTTTATCTTTTTATTCAGTCTGATTATTTTAGTGTTCACTTAAGTTTGTTTAGCTATCAGTTTGCTGTTCACTTTTGTCTTTAATGATGCACAAGTTACTCTGAACAGATTGGCTCTCCAGAGATTTTTTTTGTTAAATGGAACTGATTTAATTTGAATCCATATAAATCGGGCAATAAATAACATGATTTTCAGTTAATGTTTAAAGCACTCTTCTGAAAAAGATGAAGTCCACAGATTTACAGAAAGATAAAAAACAGATAAAATAATACGAAAAAGATAAAAATTGAATTTTTTTAAAAAAAACATCACAGTTTGCCTGTTTAAAAAAAAGTGTTTCAAGCTTTAAAACAAATCAACAGGCAACAAAAGTTTAAGCAGCAGCTTAAGCAGTAAGAGTTGGTAGAAGACGCTCTGACTAATACTGGAATAAAGTGCTTTACAGTCATTTAAGGAAGAAAAAACTTGTACCTATGGTAGACTTTGATATCTGAAAAAGTAACTACATGGATGCTGAGATTTGAGGATATTGGTAACCAAAGGTTTACTCACGTAGAGGTGAAAGTGCAAAAAGAAGGCAAGGGGTTTGGGTGTGGCCTGTGGGAACTGTTGAAGCAGCGTCTGCAGGTAGAGCTCCAACTCCTTCTGCCTTCGCTCCACCAGACTCTTTGAGTTCTTTCCGATCATCTTCTTTGGAGGAAGCAGCCGCCGGTCCACCTTCTTCTCTACTGTGAGCTGAAGATGAAGATTTAATATTTATTTACTCATCTAAAATGTTGTGAATTCTTGAGTCAAAGATGTTACAAAGACTTCTTCATGATGCTGTTGATCACCAGGAATGATCAATCTGTTATCTATGTAAACTTACTATCTCATGGAGTTCATGGAAGTCACTGTAGCGATGTTTTACAGTCCACTTGTGCTCTCCATCTGTCACATCTATGATGTAAACCTGGAATAAGCAGAAACACATAAATTTCTACACATTTATAGCAGCAATGGTTGAGATTTCATATCAGTTCCACTATTTCATAACAGTGTTTTTGAACTGTTTCATCCAAAGTCACATTTTTAAAAATCATAATTCCAAACAATGAAATTATTACTAATGAAAACTAACTAAAAAAATTGGGAAGGACATTTTGGTTTTGTAAAATAAACATTGAAGCAAAGGTCCAAGATTGATGATAACAAACTATTACACATGTTTACAGTTGGAACTACAACAAATTAAATCACAAACTTTTGTCTCAGTCCCTGTAAAATAAACTCGGACCCAGGAGAGTCATAGGTGTCTCTGGATCACATCTGTGTGTGGTTTCCTCTTTGCATGGTACAGTTTTAACCTGCATTTGTGGATGCAATGACTTACGACACTGACAGTGGTGTTTGGAGGAAGTTTTGACTCAATGCGGTGATTTCCTGAAGAGTCATGTCTGTTCTCAGAGATTCCCACAAATTCTCTTCATCTTTCAATGATATTTTGTACAGTTAATGATGATCCGTTAGGCCATGAGGTTTTGGGCTGAGAATCATTATTTTTCCAATATTTACTTATTAAAAGCACAGCAAAACTTGATTTTGTTGTTAGGACCAAACTGAAAGTGAAACAAAGGGTATAAATCAAATGATTACAGCAGTCATTCACTGTGAGAAAGCTTTATATAATACACTTTAACCTTTATGACTGTCATATCCCGCCCACACAATCTTACATTTGAAGAGATAAGAAACTCAGGGGCAGAGGGAATGGGGATTTTCCTATCATTCGTTTCTGCGTCTACGACTAATCAAAAATTACAATCCTTAATATTAAATCCTAGTTTAATATACAGCCCATTACCGGACAGGGAAAGAAAAGGCTGCAGAAGATAGTCAAGTTTGCAGCCTTCGGATGAGACCTTGCAAACACACTGAATCTGTGACAGCTAAGCTAACAGGGCAGCTAAGCAGTCACCAGCTTGTCAGTAATGACTCTGTACAGTTCAGACTCGGGGACTTTAATTAAAAAAAAAACTGACGGAAAAACACTGTCAGCTCAACAATTTGTACAAATTCCAAAACAGATGATCACTGTGATAGACTGGAGCTGAAGTAGCTAAAAGCTAAGCTATTCAGCTTTAGGTTCAGGTAACCTAGGTGTTCTGTCGAAATGTGCGACCCACCGAGATATACAACTGAGTGAATCCGCGCATGCTCACTGGCAAGAAGCACCTTAAGGGCTTGTCACTGGGGGCAATAGTGGACAGTTATATGTAGGTCAAGTATCACTTCTCATAAATTTTGGATAAAGATTATGTAATACATTATGAAACATACTCCCCGGGCTCTGATAATACAAGCAAAGGGATAAGCGGTGCAGTATAAAGTGAATCTGTATTGGGAGAATTGCAGGGTAAGGGACATAAAGATACGCTTCTCCTAAATTCTTAAAAAAAGGAAAATTCAAAATCGAGCGCCATACATGCTCCCCAAGTTTAAGATTGCACTTGTCCCCGCTTGTAATAAATATTTGACAAAATGACAGATAAAAAGCGTGAAATGATATAATTCGCTGTCGTCTCGCTCTGCGGTCGCCTTTTTTGACTCAGTTGCACAGATCGTCAGAACACCGGACGTAAATTAGCTTACTGTGTAGTTTTCCACCAGCTCCGACCCAACGACACACACTTTTCTCTCGGAAACCTCTTCTGGAAATGGACCAGGGTCCATGTTGAAGTCGATACGGTATAGTACTATCAGGTACGAAGCAAGAAAAAGAATAAAAAACGCTTCCGACAGGATTTCCAGAGGTTCTTCTCCGTTAGCCGCCTCCTCGCGCCATGTTTGTTGTGATGCTGCCGACCGAAGCAGCTGACTGATTTAAAACAGTCCAACTTTATTTACAACAGAGCATTGACAAAGAACTCACGGTGATTTGCCTCAAAAACTATCTTGACAACAAACGCTTGCTGAATATCTGAATATCGTATCAGGAGCCGAAATTTTGTCCGGCACCTCGAACAGCAAGTATCAATTAAAACCGAAAGAAAGAGAAGAGCGACCTTTGGCAGGTAATCGAGACTATCTGTCAAATATTTATCGCGAGAGTTATGAAACGTTTATTAATAACAGCCACAGTGAGGCCGTGACGTTCGCCCCTGCCTTTGTTTGTGGATGTCATGTTTCAAGTACATAATGTTCCTGAATGTTTAACAGATGGTAAACCTTATGAAAATGTAGTTTTGTGATACTTTGATCGCCATTAACTTGAATGTAAAGGACAGAAAAATAACAGGATTATGAGAACAGATGTCGAAGTCTGTCTGTATTAAAATGGTCTCAGAGTCTCTGTCATCAGAGGAGTCAATCGTGGCCTTTTGTTGACTGATCATCTTCTACACCCTGATTGTGCTGCAGATCATTCAAGACTCCTCAAATCACAATCAGTTCACAGCAGATGCAAAGTCACACTGCCCTGGACTGATATTTTCTTTGTTTGAAATGTTACTCAACCAAACATACAGTATTTAGACCTTGGTATAAATAGTGAGCAGTATGATTTTACAGTATAAATAGTATGAAATTAGTACTCAGAGTCTCCTACAACAATGATAAAATTCAGTTAGATAATGAGTTAACTATTTCAAGGCTTTGATGTATAATCAGGACTTTTACTTAGGACTGAACCTAATAAGTATTTCATGGAGTATTAAACTACTGGTAGTTTTTTTTTCTGTTGATGGATTTACTATTTGGCTTGTGTTTCTCAAGAAAAACTGGGGAAAGAAAGAACTCCCATTCTGTCATTAAACCCTGTGTAACTGTTGCTATTTTATTTTCCATATTGCAGAATATTTTTTGTTTATTTTGTATGAGAAACCCACTTTGAGAATTACCAGGTTATTTCTGTATTTTATTTGCATTTTATATTGAAGTGTAAGGGTACTTTTATTTTGACACTTACGTTGAGCTGCTAGGCCAGTAGCGTTCTGGGTAACGTCAGATGCAAGCAAGCAGAGGTCGTGTGCACAGCTCTGACCCTTTAGCTGTCAAGTCAAGCTACGTTAAGATTGCTAAAACTTACGGTAAAGTCAAACTAATACTTCAAAGCTGGAAGATAAGAAGCCTACAGATTCCCTTTCATAGTATGCAGCCAACGAGGTATTTGTTTGTCTTTATTTTCGTTATGAATATTTGTACATGTGCATAGTAAGTGTGCTAACTGTTATTCCAATACTGTGTATTGCTAGTTTCACGGTTTGTGGAGGTCTGTGGATGATTATGAAGAGGAGAAGACTTCATTAAACCCGTTAAAGAAACATTTGCGTCTGGACATGCTTGGGGGGAGTCACAGTGAAACTCGGACTGCTCGACGATGCGAGTGAAGGTCGGCGTGCTCACCGACGCCAGTGAGAAGCAAGCCCAACGACGAGCTAATCGCAACTTCGTGGCTACAGTCGTCAAAGGACCGGCAGATGAGTGCATATTTAACACGTAGTTGACAGTCATTAAGCACGTGGACAATAAGAGTCGGCTAACTAATAAGAGTTGATTTAAAGGTTCATGGAAAGGATGTCTGATTTGAACTAATGTGTTAATGGCTATGCATTTATCCAGTCAACTTTGAATTTAAGCTTGGTATTAAGTGCATGTAAGTTTAAGGTTTAAAGCTAAAGGATATAATTTAAATGCTTGGAAGTTAAAGGTGAATTATTTCATTTTCACAATTTAAAGTGTATTTTGGTAATGTAAAGTGAAAGCTATTTGCAATTTTGATATTTGAATTTTCTGAACGGTTCTAAGAGAACTAAGGTTTATTTAAACAACTTTTTCAGTTTGTAAGTACATTTTTGAGCTACTTAAGCATATTGCTTGTGATAAGTACAGCATATTGTAATTTTGGTTTGAGTACATTGCCAAGTATAGTGTGTGACATTTAAACACAAGGACATTTAAGAGACATTTACACGCAACACAAGAGTTTTAGTGAATACAGACTTTATTTACGTTTTTCATTATTGAAATAGACATTTCTTGCCAGTTTAAGTTTAACATTCAATTATGGCAGAGTTAAGTGAGTCCACTACTCAGGTAAGAGATAGTGTTAGGGAAAGTGAAAATCTACAAGGCCCTCCAGAAGATGAAGTCGGTGATGCTGAGCCTCAGCTGGACGAAGCACAGCAGCTCAGACGTGGTGAGCGAACCCGTACTCTAACAGAGAAGGGTAAAGCAATGCAAGACGAGAAAATTAAAGCACTTCTGCATAGATTTGACTACATCTACAGAAAATGGAGAACACATGTTAAATTCTGCAAGCAGTCATTATCTCAGTCATCTGAGTCTTTATCAGAAGGCATGCTTAATGATATCCTTGGAGATGTTAGAGGCCTTTCCGCAGACGTTCAGCATGTTTATGAAGAATTGCGGCAAGTCTCAACTCCAGACCAAGATGTGCGGCGAAGAGTAGACCTGTGTGTTGAGGTTTCAGGCTTCATCGTTGCTATAGCCTCTAGCCACCTGGATGGAAAAGTTCCAGAAGGAGACCCAGAATGGCCAGAAGCAGGCTCTCTTTGGGACGCAAGCAAGAGTGAATTTGGTTCAGTTACCTCTATTCTGAAGAATGCCTCAGAGCAAACAAGAACATCTTCCATCAAGCATCAAGAAGCTGCTGCGGACGCTGCAGCAAGCCAAGCTGTTCTGAAAGTGTTACAAGAACAAGAAAGAGAGCAGTCGGAACTACAGCGTCTAGAAGCGGAAGCTAAGAGGAAGATAGCGGCTGAAGAGGCAGCGGTTATAAGGCGTCGCTTAGAGAGAGAAGAAGAGGAAGCAAAGATTAAAGCTCAACTAGAGGAAGAACACACAGCTCTACAGATGACTTTAGAGGAAAAAAGAAGAAAAATAAAGAATTTGGAAACGGTGAAGGAGCTTAGTGCAGCACAGGCAAGAATGCAGGTGTATAATCAGGGGTTGGACATTAAAGAAGAACCGAAAGACATTCTAAGCCATGAGATGGTAGCAGACATCAAGCCGCCATGTCCTTCAAGCCGTCTGCCTCTGTCTGCACCTTCTGCCCCACAACCTGTGATCACCTCCTCGAATCAAAGCACAGCAGAGCTCATTAAGGTACTCGCTGATGCTCTAAGTGCCAACAGAATTCCAGTTCCTGAACCTTCAATATTCAGCGGGGATCCGTTGAAGTACAGTGATTGGAAACTGTCGTTTCAAACTTTGATTGACCAGAAGAATATGCAAGACAGAGAGAAGATATATTATCTCCGTAAATATGTTAGCGGTCAAGCTAAGAATGCAGTGGATGGCTATTTCCTTCTTGGAACAGAGTCTGCTTATGCTGCAGCATGGGAGATTTTGGAAGAGAGGTATGGAAACCCATTCACCGTTGCGAAGGCATATAGAGACAAACTTCAAACATGGGCCAAGATTGGACCTAAAGATAGCTCTGGACTTCAAGAGTTTGTTGATTTTCTGCGTAGCTGCGAAGCAGCTATGGTCCATATCAAGGCACTGGAGATTTTGAATGACTGTAATGAGAACAGACAGCTTCTCGCAAAGCTTCCAGATTGGCTAACCGCAAGATGGAACCGGAAAGTCATGGAAATGGAAGAACAGAGTGGCCAGTTCCCTTCCTTCAGTCAGTTTGTGAGATTTCTGACCAGAGAAGTGAAAATTGCTTGTAACCCAGTTACATCGTTGCAATCACTGAAGCAAGGTGAAACTGAAAAGCCGAAGCAGCAAAAACAACAAAATGTTAAAGCTAAGACACTGACCACCAGTTCTAATGAAGAGACTGCTAAAACATGCCTCTTTTGTAAAAAGAACGGCCATACTTTACATGTATGCAGAAAGTTTGCAGAAAAGGAAGTGCCTGACAGAGTCAAGTTTGTTCAGGCTGAAAAGCTATGCTTTGGGTGCCTTAAGCCAGGTCATGTCTCAAAGAGCTGCAACAGTAGGAGTGTTTGTGACACATGCAAAAAGAAGCATCCTACCTGCCTGCATCAAGAGAGAGACAAAGAAGAGCAAAAGGCATCGCAAGTTAAACAAGGCCAAGCTTCAGAGAAATCAAGTAATCAAAACGAAAAGAACAAAGCAAAGCCTCAAGCAGTGCAACCTAAAGAAACAGCCACAGCTTCTACTACTCTGAGAGTTATTCAGGATGAAGCTACTGTGCAGACAGCGGCAATAATTCCTGTCTGGCTTTCGTCTTCCACTCAGTCAGCACAAGAGGTGCTTGTCTATGCACTCTTAGATTCCCAAAGTGACACTACTTTTGTGCTAAGTGAAGTAGCTGACGCTCTGGAGGCGGACAAAGAGGAAGTCAAGTTGAAGCTCTCTACTATGACTTCAAGAACTACAGTTGTAAAGTCACAACGAGTGAAGAACCTACAAGTTCGAGGCTTTTATTCAAGCAAAAGAATCAGCTTACCACCAATCTACACGCGTGACTTTATTCCAGTCAACAAAACTCACATACCAACGGGCGAAACTGCAAAGGCTTGGTCTCACTTAGAGCACCTCCAAGATGATGTAGCACCTCTGCAGGATTGTGAGGTAGGCCTGCTCATCGGCTACAACTGCTCGCAAGCCCTTCTCCCAAGAGAAATCGTGTCGGGCCAAGAGAATCAGCCTTATGCACAACGTACTGACCTGGGATGGAGTATTGTCGGCCATGGCAATCCCTGTTTAGCATATGGAGACGCTATCGGAATCAGTCATCGCATAGTAGTCAGGCAAGTGACGCCAAGAGTTGACTCTACTGTCAATCTGAAAACAGAGGTTCATTATGTGAACAGATCCAAAGTCAAGGAAGTGACTTCTTCAGACATCTTGAAGATTCTTGAATTAGACTTCTCAGAAAGAGCTAGAGAAGAGGATCCTGTGTCTCAAGATGATCTCAAGTTCCTGTCCAAGATGAGAGAAAACATAACTCAGAAAGACAATGGTCACTTTGAGATGCCATTGCCGTTTAAAGAGGATAGACCAGTGTTGCCTAACAACAGAATATGTGCAGTGCATCGTTTAAACTGTCTTGAAAGGAAGCTAAAGAAGAATAAAACTTACTACAAAGACTATGTGAACTTCATGAGCGACATAATTTCCCGCGGTGACGCCGAGAAGGTCCCCAAGGAAGAAATTGAGAACAGCCCGGCATGGTATATTCCACACCATGGAGTATATCATCCGCAGAAACCGGGGAAAATACGTGTGGTATTTGACTGTTCGGCCAAGTTTCAGGAAACATCTCTCAATGACCATCTGCTCACTGGACCTGACCTGACGAATACCCTGGTGGGTGTCCTGTGCAGATTTCGAAAGGGCTCAGTTGCAGTGATGTGCGACATCGAAAGAATGTTTCACCAGTTTCATGTGAAAACTGAAGACCAAGATTACTTACGGTTCTTATGGTGGGAGAATGGTAACTTGGAAGACACGCCATCCACCTACAGAATGAAAGTCCACTTGTTTGGAGCGGCTTCGTCCCCTGGCTGCGCCAACTTTGGCCTAAAACACCTGGCAGCTCAAGGGCAAGGTCAGTTTGGCAAAGACACTGTGCGCTTCATACAGAGGAATTTCTACGTAGATGATGGGCTCCTGAGTGTTCCTACTGAGAAGGAAGCCATTCAGCTCGTCAAAGAGTCAAGAGAACTTTGTTCTACCGGCAAGTTAAGACTTCACAAGTTTGTTTCCAACAATGAGAATGTCATGGCATCCATTCCAGAAGAGGAACGTGCCACAAGCAAAGATCAAGACATGGCTTTGAGTTTACCTCACATGGAGAGAGCGCTTGGAGTAGAGTGGTGCGTCTCGTCTGACTCATTCAGATTCAGAGTTCAAGTCAAGTCCAATCCATCGACAAGAAGAGGTGTACTCTCTACCGTAGCCTCAGTCTATGATCCGCTAGGATTCATGGCACCGTTCGTTCTCCATGGAAAGCAAATTCTCCAGCAGATGTGCAGAGATAAGATCGGCTGGGACGATGAGCTTCCAGAGAGCTTAAGACCTCAGTGGGAGTCTTGGATTAGAGACCTACCTAATCTATCTGAAATGGAAGTTAGAAGATGTTACCTACCTTCAGGGTTCGGCGACATCAAAGGCTATGAACTTCACCACTTCTGTGATGCAAGTACCTCAGGGTATGGTGTTTGTACTTACCTGCGCGTTGTCAATGAATCCAATGAAGTCCATTGCAGTTTAGTGATGGGAAAGTCAAGAGTTTCACCAACCAAAGTGTTGACGATACCAAGACTGGAACTGTCTGCGGCAGTAGTTGCAGTTAGAGCCAGCGATATGCTCCGAAACGAACTGGAAATCCAAGACCTGAAGGAATACTTCTGGACGGATTCAACAGTCGTTCTAGGCTACATAAACAATGACGCCAGAAGATTTCAAGTGTTCGTAGCCAATCGCATACAAAGAATCAAGTCAAGCACAAAGCCTGAACAATGGGCCTATGTTGCATCTGAGGACAATCCGGCAGATCATGCCTCACGAGGGTTGACTGCAGAGCAACTAGAGACATCCAATTGGTTTTCTGGACCGAAGTTTCTTTGGCAAAAAGAATTACCTGTCCGAGAATGCAAGGTGGGAGAAGTTAAGGAAGATGATCCTGAGCTCCGTAAGGCTGTTGTGTTTAACACGAAGGCAAAGGACAGATCGTTGCTCGACCGTCTTGAGAAGTTCTCTGTTTGGTTAAGGGTAGTTCAAGCAGTTGCCAGATTGAAACGACGTGTCAAGGAACACAAAGGTGAGAAACGACCAACCAATGAGAGTACAAGTCTAGAAGAAAGGAAAGAAGCAGAAACTGTGATCATTAAGCTAGTTCAAGAGGAAGCGTTCCTAGATGAGTTGAAGAGCTTGAAAGCAAAGGGAGTTATAGCTAAGACCAAGTACAGCAAGCTGAACAAGTTAAGTCCAGTTTTGGATGAAGAAGGAGTCTTGAGAGTCGGAGGACGCTTAAGTAAAGCTGCGTTGCATCCACACATCAAGCATCCAGCTATACTTCCGAAGAACTGTCATATATCAGCTCTACTGATCAAGCACTTCCATGAGAGAGTTCATCATCAGGGACGTGGAATGACGTTGAACGAACTGCGAGCTAACGGATGGTGGATCCTGGGAAGTAGCAGCGCAGTATCGTCACACATCTTCAAATGTGTCAAATGTCGAAAGTACAGGAGATACACCGAAGAACAAAGAATGGGTGACTTACCTCAAGATCGAATGGAAACAACTCCTCCGTTCACCTACACAGGCATAGACTGTTTCGGACCCATCTATGTCAAAGAAGGAAGAAAAGAGGTTAAAAGATATGGACTTTTACTTACCTGTCTATGTTCAAGAGCCATACATGTGGAAATGCTTGACGACATGACCACGGACGCGTTCATCAATGCGCTAAGAGTGTTCATTGCTATAAGAGGAAATGTTCGTCAGCTTCGAAGTGATCAAGGAACCAACTTCGTTGGCGCAAGAAGGGAGTTCGCAGAGCTCATGAAAGGAATGGACGGAGAGAGAGTCAAGGCTCTAGGATGTGAATTTCTAATGAATCCCCCAGCAGCAAGTCATATGGGCGGCGTCTGGGAGAGGCAAATCAGGACCATCAGGAGTGTTCTGACAGCCATTCTCGACAAGTCAGCGCAAAGATTGGACAGCTCATCTCTGAGAACTTTCCTATACGAGGTGATGGCAATCGTCAATAGCCGACCACTTACCGCTGAACATTTGAATGATCCATCCGCACCTGAACCATTGACTCCGAACCACATTCTCACGATGAAGTCCACCATAATCCTTCCTCCGCCTGGACAGTTTGTCAAGGAAGACCTGTATCTTCAAAAGCGGTGGCGCAGAGTTCAGTACTTGGCCAATGAATTTTGGATTCGCTGGAAAAAAGAGTATCTGCTGAGTTTGCAGCCAAGACAAAAGTGGCAGAAGAACAGAAGAAACCTGAAGGCAAATGACATTGTGCTTCTGCAGGATGATCAGGCGCCACGGAACGAATGGAAGTTGGCCAGAATAGCAGAAGTCTATCCAGGGTCAGATGATAGAGTGAGAAAGGTCAGGTTGCTAGTTAGTGACACCACATTTGATGCAAAGGGTAAACCCACAACCAAAACAGTGTATCTTGATAGGCCTATACACAAGCTTGTCACACTGATTGAAGCAGATTGATGCTTAATGTTTTCATCATTCCTTGTTGAGTGGTAAAGTTCTTTCAATGTTTAAGAGTTGATTCGCAACAGTCTTTAAGTGTAGAGAAATCCCACATTTAAGATTGGTGAGATTTGGTGGGAGTGTAACTGTTGCTATTTTATTTTCCATATTGCAGAATATTTTTTGTTTATTTTGTATGAGAAACCCACTTTGAGAATTACCAGGTTATTTCTGTATTTTATTTGCATTTTATATTGAAGTGTAAGGGTACTTTTATTTTGACACTTACGTTGAGCTGCTAGGCCAGTAGCGTTCTGGGTAACGTCAGATGCAAGCAAGCAGAGGTCGTGTGCACAGCTCTGACCCTTTAGCTGTCAAGTCAAGCTACGTTAAGATTGCTAAAACTTACGGTAAAGTCAAACTAATACTTCAAAGCTGGAAGATAAGAAGCCTACAGATTCCCTTTCATAGTATGCAGCCAACGAGGTATTTGTTTGTCTTTATTTTCGTTATGAATATTTGTACATGTGCATAGTAAGTGTGCTAACTGTTATTCCAATACTGTGTATTGCTAGTTTCACGGTTTGTGGAGGTCTGTGGATGATTATGAAGAGGAGAAGACTTCATTAAACCCGTTAAAGAAACATTTGCGTCTGGACATGCTTGGGGGGAGTCACACCCTGTCTGTGGATTATTAACCATGAATTATAACATCTGTACAATGTTGTTTCTGTCTAAATCTTCAAATAATTCAGTGGCAGTATTCATTTTCAGGTAGTTGGGACACTGCTAGTCAAATTACAAAAGCTTAAACCATGAGTTCAAAATAAACAATCAGTTCTCTGAACAGTTTTCACCTCCTGACAGAAACCCTACTTTACAGAATTCAGTAGTTATTCACAAAAATAACTGCCCTTCATTCATTTATTCATTCTTTCGTTTAGCATAGACATGCAGAAACATTGATGCAAAAACATTTAACAGTGCACAACTGCCATAATCGTTACACTTAATAATTTTAGCTAGATGCTTACATGTAGCACATCTTCATTAGAGGTTTCTGCAAATTGCATGTCATCTTGGATAATGTCCACTGACTCCGTGATGTGCTGGTTAAACTTAAAAGCACACTCAGCGACTCATTCTAGTAAAATGCACCACAGAACGCCACAGAAAGTCATTCTCACCACCATCATGAACGTGCAGGGCTCCTGATGTGTCACATGCTCTGTCTATTTTTACTGAAAAAGGTGGAAACTTCTCTGTCACACACTTCATTTATCTGAACTGTGAAATCCGATTGAAATCCAGTAAAAAAAAAAACATCTCTTAATGTCTGACTATTTAGTACTGTTTTTTCAAATTGTTTATTTCTTGTTTGTATTTCTTTCTATGATCCTATTTCTGTATTTTTACTTCTATTATTCTCTTTTTTATTGTGTTTACGAGCAGCTGTAACAACTGAATCTCTTCCTGGGATAAATAAAGTATCTCTGATTCAATGAACTCCTGATCTGGGATTAAGTGCTCTGACGGACTGGTTTACAACAAAGCGCTTCAGTCTGACCTTATAACAACCCATAGTCGTGTATCTAAGCTTGGGATGATCATAGTTTACACCATAAATGTGAATAAATGAGATTATTTTAAAGTCTGTGCTTCAGCCTGGACATGCTTTTCTTATACTCTGCATCTAGCCTCAAAAATCTGACCTGGTTCTCATTTGATCACTCAGTTTAGACTTTAAAAGTACAGAAACCTCAAATTTGTGAAGGTCTACTTCTTATTTTACACCTTTGGCTGTGAGTGAGGATGGCACACACCTGTGAATCCATCCATTCTTGGAGTAAGTGTCACATTACTTGCAACACTAGTGCTACAGTGGTAATGATCCAAGAATAGAAAATCACTCAACAGTCAGCACTGTGCCCCTTCTCTTCTCCTCGAAATACACATCACGGCCACATGGGGTCACTAGTGAAGCTGCGCTCTTGTAGGTGCATTATGTCATCCTATTGTGTGTGTTTTGGTGAATTTAACTGACCCAAATACATACAGAATTATAATAACGGGGACGGTTGTGGTGACGGTGGCTGCAGACAGTAGAAGACAAGGAGAAATTCTTTGTTGTAGGAACTGGGCTAATTTTAGAAAGATGTGGCTGTTAAATTGATCATTGTTTATTGATTGATAGGCTTTATCTGCTTGGTAAAATGTCCTAAAAGCATGTTCGGTCTTCTGTTTGGATGACTGACTTAAGTCTCAATAGAAGCTTATAACAGCTTAGTTGTGCACAGTAATGTTGTGAATTTAATGGTAGTATTTAATGGTAACAATATCAGCATGTCATTTTTAGAAGATATCATCCCAATATTCACCATAATCAACATCCTGACATTCGATTTGGACACAAAGCCCAGCTGAGCATGATGGCCCTGTCTTTATTTTTGCAGGTGCAGTTTACAACACTAATAGATTTTGACCAGATGATGGTGCTAGATGCAAACTCAAAGTATCTCTGAGCTGTGCTGAGGGGGACGTGACTGTCTGACCCAAATTAAATGGCAAACCTTCAAGGAGTTGTTTACATTTTCCACTGAAAGCCCAAATGTCAACCTCATGGAGGCGCTAGATGAGAATCAGAGGATGGTCTGAGTCTGATGGGTGTGTTGTTCAGGGAGAAGACTGTCAAAGAAAAAAAGGCAAGATTTCTACTCAAAGTGAGGTGTTGAAGTCTGGCATTGAAGTTGGTAAAACTGACACCCCTGTAGCTGCGTAGGGAGGATGGAGAAACTCTTCAAGAAGGTTTTTCAAGGGGAGTCTCTTTAATGCAAACATTTCTTTGCACAGATTCAGAAAAAGTTTTGAGTTGGATATGATAAAACTTAATGTCAGGCACATTTCTCCTGATTTAAACAGTTTTTGGGGGTCTTGTGAGTCTTGTTAGTGGATGTGGGCTGGATTCTTGAACACGTGCATGACACAATAACTGACTGCTGTTACTGTTATTACAAAAACTACCACAGTCCTCCTGCCCCAGTGCTGCTGGTTGTTGATACTGTACTCTCTCTGTGTGTGTGTGTGTGTGTGTGTGTGTGTGTGTGTGTGTGTGTGTGTGTGTGTGTGTGTGTGTGTGTGTGTGTCAGAGGGGCGGGCAGTCAGAGCAGCAGCTGTGGATCAGATTTCAGCTGCTAAAACCGAAGCGGACTGAACCATCCAGCTGCAGGGTGTACCGTATTTCTTATTTACATCCAAATCAAACAATCTTAGAAACCTATCGGCAGACTTATGTTGTATTTCATTTATTTGCACATGCAGAGGTGATGTCTTATAGAAACTATCATTTAATGGTAAAAATAACCTGCAGAGGGCAGGTCTGCAAGTCCTGAGCCCCTCCTCCTCTGAAACCCTTGAATGGACTGTTCCTGCTCTTTATCCGAGCTATGAGGAGGAGGCAGCGCCACAGTCAGTGTTGGCCACAGCTTAGTACTGTGAGTTCCCCGGCCTGAAACTGAGAAATAACAAATTTAAATCGACAAGAAGACGCTTAAAACATCTCCCCAGCTCACCTCAATTCACCAATCAGAGCTGAAAAGAGCTGATTTGACTTCCAGAGAGGTGAAGAAGAGAGATCAGTCAGACAGAGGAGGGCGTGACAGGGAGCAAGCCGAGCAGGCAAGCTGCTGCTGCAAGAGGAGGAAGAGCAGGCAATGCACCAGCCAAAGCCAGAGGTCAAGAAAAAAAGTGAAAGAATAGTGAAAAGGTAGACTCAGAGCGAGAGGAGCTCATTTGTGATCTGAGCTAGAGAAACAGACACCAGCCCCTCTTTGTTGTTGCCACTGAGCGACGAGGAGGATGTGAAGGAGAGCAGCAGAGAGGAAGGGAGGCCACAGCAAGACAGACAAGAAAATGCTCTCAGAGATGATGTGCAGGAGGAGCTGCCAGCAGCAGCAGCAGCAGCAGCAGCAGCAGCAGCAGCAGCAGCAGCAGCAGGATGGCAAAGGGGCTCTGCAGAGGGAGCCTCACAGCCGCAGGAGGCACGGCTGGTCCAAGAGCTGCAGGGGGCGCCTGCAGGGACGGAGAACAGGAGGGGGAGGGTGGCCAAGAGGGCGCAATCACCACCAGCAGCAACAACACCCTCAACGTCATCATCCTTTTTATAACCAGCCACGACACCTCCACAGACAGGTGATGTCTCTACGGCCTGTTAATGTCAAAGGAAACAGAGCGAGGGGGATGAGAGCCCCGAAGAACACCAACCAGTTTCTGATGCACGAAAAGTACCAGATGCTGCACATGCGCTCAGACTCTGTGGGGAGCGACAGTGGCAGCAGTTCAGACAGTGACGTGGAGCTCACAGACATGGACTCATACCTGGGCGTCCTGGAGAATGCCAGAGGAGCCCTTTTGGACAGTCCCAACCCACACGGTTCAACGACACCACCAGGGCAGTTTGTGGTACTGCATGAGGACAGTCTGCGTCTGCAAGAGGACAGCATGCAGTATTTCCCCTCTGAAGATGACCTGATCCAGAGCCAGAACTTCATGCAGAGGGACTTTGTTGAGTTCTGTGACATCCTGACGTCCTGAAGGGAAACTTTCAGGGAGCCATTTTGTTGTCAGCAGCGTGAACCTCGAACCTCAGACTGAACGGGGTCAGGTTTGTGCTGCTTCATGTTCACAGACGATAAATCTTCATGTTCAAGTCGTTTTGCCTTAAAGTCTTAAGAGTCCGCTCGCAGGGTGAGATGATTCCACCAGTTTTTTGTTGTTTTTTTTTGCTGAAAATACTTTTTAGATATTTTTAAACATTTATGTTCCTCAGCTCCTGTGCAGAGATCTTTCTCTCTTTGTCATTACTGATAAAACTTGCACTGAGGTTAAGAAAACGAGGGGAACTGCACTGAAAGGGTCTAAATTGTCTCACCCTGTTTGTATTTTTTAAGGTTTAAGATGAAATCTGAATGTGAAGTGAAAATGACTTTATGACGACATGTTTTTTTACATAATATTTGGTTGACGTTGGTTACGTATAGTGTGTCTGGATGCTGTAAAGTGCTGCCTTTCTGTTGTTGTTGTTGCACACAAAGAGAGATTGGCTGGGTGGTGGGAGTGAGCTCTAACAGCCAATCAGCACCAAGCTGGCTATGTCAGGCTGCAGATGATTGGCTGATACAGACAGTCATGGACAAGAAAAGCCCTAAAGTGTACAGAATAAAACAAACAAAAAAAAGCTTAAATAAATATCTGATTGTTGTAATGATGGTGAGTGATTTTTTGTGGGTGTTTATGAGTGTGAGTGAGTTTATTATTTGATGTCAGTGTAATGAGGGTCAGTGTGTCACTGAGCCACACTGACTGATACAGTGAAACAGGCAAAAAAAATGAAACACAAGAGTAGACCACACACAGCAGGTCACATGACAGCATGAGGGAGGAGGAGCAAAGTTAAGAAAAACCCATGTGAGATAAACTAAATTAGAGATCAAGAGAGGAACAAAGACTGCAGTATAAATAAATGAAAGATGAAGTTGATTAAATTTTATTCTACCATTAAATAAAACATGCACACAATGTTTTCTTGTCATAACATGTAGAAACACACAAAAAATGGAAGAACAATAAAACATCATTCAACAGAAACGAGATTTTATGATTTATAAAGATTAAATATGACACAAGCCCAAATTTTCCACCTGGAAATCATTACACAAAGACAACCAAGATAAGATTAAATCAAGTTTATTTATATCAAATGAAACACAAGAGCAGTCGAACAAGGTTAACAGCAACAATTAGAGGTAAAACTTTCAATATTGAAAAGGCAATTTTACAAATACAAATATGTTCATTAAAAATATTATGACTGCATTAATAAGCTAGGTCCACAATGACTGACTAAATAAAATGAATTATTAAGAGTAAAGATGCACCAAAAGGAGAGTAATTAAGCCACAGCTCAGGCTTTAGCTGGCTAATTGTGTCAGTTAAATAAATGTCACTTAAAAATAAAACAGATATTTCTCTTACAGTCATTAGACTTAACTCGCAAAGAGAAAACAGTACCATAAATAATAAATAAAAATGAGACAGCAAGGAGCAACTCCAGCTTTTCTCCCACTGAACTTTAAGACCAGAGTTTTAACGTTACTGTGCAAAAAAAAAAAAGGGAGAAGCATCAGAATTAGAACTAAATCATGAGCCAAGTTTTTCATGTACGAACAAACACCTACAATAAATCTGCTGTCTTGTCATGCCCTACTGACACACCTGTTACTCTCTTATTTGGCACATTTAATGCCTTTAAATTTCTATAACTAGAAGACCTTTTTGTGAACTGTTGAATGTCTTATGTGCCAGTACTCAGCTCTGCGGAAACAGAAATTACATCACAGTGGATTCCTTACAGTGTTACGCCCCTTTCATATACAGTGAGAAGCATTAAAGGCGGTAGGAGGGGGATACACTATGTTCCCGCAGAGCCGTTGAAGTGGATTACATAAAGTAGAGTGGGCTGGTCACACCCACTGAGGACAGACAGGGAGGTATAAGCCTCTTTGTGTTTGTGTGTCATAAACTAATAATGGTAACAGGTCAAAGTTTTAGAAAGGGGAGGGGGGTACGTGGTTCACTCTGGTGTATTTGACCTGTAATTCTGCCCAAAGACGGAGATCAACTCCATGAATCAATGTTACTGAAAGATAGACTCCGAGTCTCAGTCACTATTTTGCCTTTTGGGAATCGTAAAGTGTGACGGGAAAAAGTAGAACAAAATGTTCTAGTCATCTCAAGTTTCTGTTTGAACTATTTTTAAGAAGATTAACTCGACAATGATGCTTTAGATCCTCCAAGTAATTCAACACTATGACTAATAGGCAGAGAAAAAGGGGGCTTAAGGGTTAAATGAACCAAACAGATTTACCCTCAGAGGCTGGCTTGTTGGTTAACCTGCTGCTGCTGTTTTAAGCAGGTCCAGTTAGCCTTGAGCAGGAGTAGCCAAGCTATTTCATCTCTGTCATGACTGTGTATTCGGCTATTGGTGTGATTAAATGTAAGGGAGAAAGGTGAATTAAAATGTTCCACAGTGAAGTTTGTGTGTGCGTGCGTGCATTTGGGGGAGGGGGTGTTGGGGTTAGGGTTAGGGTTGGGGGGGTATGACTGGGCTTTTGCAGGCTGGTTGTGTCGAGTCACCTTATTCATTTGATATCACTCCATGTCTCATGTATCAGCTTTCAAATCAGGCTGAGATTCTTTTCCTTTAATAAACTTACAGGGGGGAGTAGTTTTATATGAGTGATGAAGAGATAAATAAAATGTACTTTCTACTCAGGTGGTTTTAAAGAAAGTAAATTCATTTAAATGTCATGATACACTTGGAGGTGATAATTCAGAGATCTAGTAATGTACATTCCCTGGATCCTTTGCTGGCTGGTTGTGTTAATCCCCTCTGTCAGCTTTAACTCGATTTAATAACTCTCTAACTCTTCTGTTTTCACTGCCAAAGTTACAGCTGCAGCTCTGCATAACACAGAGTCTTTATTCTCACTTTATAAATGACAGGTATCTTTAAAGAAGTAATCAATAGTTAAATTAATCAGAGAAACAACATAAACTCCTCTTCCTGTCAGAGACACACAGCTCCTTCTTTTCATGACAACAATAGCCTTCAGCAGGACTGGGTGAGCAATCCTTTTGAACATTATTATTGTCATTTCTATTTATCTATTCGTAAGAATAAAACAGACTCACTCCATTTAGCTTCATCATGGTTAAGCCAAAAAAAAGTTTTGCTTCTATTTGTGTCAAAACTCCCCAAAAAGCTTTGAGAACAATAACTTAAATTTGAGATGTGGAGTAAAATGTAGTCGACTTACCCAGGTTTTCCTGCAGTGTGGAAGGTTATTTATTAGCTTTATTATTTCAGTATAACGGGGTCCTTCCTTGATGAGTATAGTCATTTTATTGTCATTTCTATAATATTGTATTTTTAGTGTACACTTACACAAGTGACATTTTCAGCTTTTCTAAAGATTTACTGTGGAATGTGTTACTTGATCAAAGCTACTGAAGGGTTGAAACCAGGTCCAGGACCAGGTGTGGAATAACCAGCTCATGGGCCTGAGGCAAAAATGAGCTGAGAGGTTTTTCTCTCTCGCTTTCTTTTCTACACCTTTCAGTAATTCATGCTTGTCAGGCAAGAATCTGTATATAATAGTGTATAAAGTAGCCAGATCAAGTTCTGCCACTGGCCTCAAGAACACCTCATAATCCTCATGTGGACAGCCCAGGTCTGACTCCAGCCTGATGTCCCTTTCCTGCTGTCTCTCCTTGTTTCCTTCCCTGTCCACTTAAAGTGTCCACTTAATAAAGAAATCTTGCAAAAAAAAAAAAAAACAATTAAAGGAAGACACAAGCCTGAGAAGGAAACCATATGACACCGGGAGAACCTCCAACCTAAATATCAGGGCCATCTGGTTCTGGTCCCTATGGTGAACAAATAATAACTTATGGATGGTGCACATACTGGTGGATCATCACCTGAAAGCGTTTGTGCCTATAATATTCACTCAGTGACTCTCTGACATTTAACACACAGTGTGTGGTGCCGTTAATGGTTCTTGAGTCAGGGTCCTGGAGCTCTACACCTCATTGTCTGAATGATCTAATCATACCAATCCCAAATGTCACATGTTAAAGTCTGGCATAAAGGTTTAAATACCCGGTTTGACCATCGACCTGTCGCTTATCTTATCAAGCGCCAAACACCAGTGCAGTGTTCAGGGGCACAGCAGCAGGTCACAGCTGTTTTGTATCGGTAAATTTAGCTCCTGTTTCTACTTCTCTGCTCTTGTCATCAGCTCCCACTTTAAAGTCTGAGCTGTTGTTGCGCAATGCTGCTTCTGATTGGTCAGCTGAATCAGCCAAACAGGAAGAGAGGGAGCAAACACACACACACACACACACACACACACACACACACACACACACACACACACACACACACAGAAGTAAAGTGGGTTTCTGTGTGATAAATTAAGAGAAAGTAGATCAGCATCCTGCTAATACTTCCTCTGTTAGAAACGTGACTACTAATATGCTGACATACTATACTTGTGAGGACCATCTGCTACATTTTCTCTCTAGATCTTAAAGAAAAACATTGTCCCCTTCACACCCACAAACTCTGAACAGCATGTTTAAAGAGGAAACAGCTGATATTGTATATCTTCTCTCTGTAAAAGTGTCCTCATAATGTGTCAATATCAGAAATGCTCCTCACATGCAGGAGCAGAGAGGTAAACACTAACTTATTGTGAAGTGTTAATGCTCGGTGAAGAGGCAGAGATCCAACAACAAGTTCAGACAGTTGAATGGCGTGAACGGCAGTTAGAAAGATCAACAACACACCCCCAAACATGCACGTGCTGATGCCCTGAAATCTGAGGCTCAGTGTTTGAAGGTAAAAGTTTCACACAATAGATGTTAATGATTACCTCCTTCTTTTCTCTTACTGAACCAAGACACTGAGTCACAACAATGAACGGTTTCCAAGGATCATGGAGGGACAGATAATAAATGACCCAGATCTTAGTTTCAACGTTTTATGCAGCCTCTCTTTCGTTGTTTACTTCTTGTATACTTTGTCATCGTAGCTTGGTTTTGTCTTTCATATACTCTCTAATTTTATGTATTTTTAAACCCCCGACTCTAAAGTAACAGTATTGTTTATACCTGCAACAAACTTCCTATCTTGTGCCAGAATTAAACTGGGAATTACCTAAAATGTTTCTGGAGTTTTTGCTTTCATTTCACTGATAACATCATAACCTTAAGGAAAGGCTATGAATCTGATTTACAATCTTAAATACTTGAAATATTTGACATTTTTCCCTGTATGCATTTGTCAGGCTTATACACACAGAGGGGATTTTCCATTGGCAGTCCATCAGGCTTAAGATCTCACTGAAACCTGCAGAAATTAGTGCATCTTAGTGCAACAGAGGACAAACAAATATAGGGGACGATAATAATAAGATGAAGAATTCAGGTGAAGCCCCGCCAAAAAATATAATAAAATAATGAATATTTTTATTCACATTAAAAAAAGGATCAACAGCTCTGACATACAGGCAGAAGCACAATACGAAATAAGAACCACAGTTTAATCTGTCATTATAGGAAACTATAACAACCTGTGAAAGTCCAGACAACACAAGAACCCAACAACATGAACAAGAACTGAGACCAACAGGACCAAAAAGTGAGATGATTAAATTAATGAAAAGTTAATAGTTAATGAAGAGGATCTAAAACAATAAAAGCAGGTATGAAGCAGTAAAAGAAAGTTAGGGTGAGGTAACTGCAATAAAGAGAGAGAGAGGGAGACATTAGTATTGATAAAACATTTAAAGATAAGGCCGTAAAAACAAGTTAGAAGAAGTGAGTAAACAGAGGGCAATAACTAGGAAACATTACAATAATTAAAAAGAGTTAAACTCAAGATAAATATATTAATCAAATGAAGAAAGGAGCTCACTCGAGGAAAATGAAAAGTTTTTAGTTTTGTTGTTTTGGCACAAAACACACGAGGATTATGGATTATTTGAACATTAAAAGTTTGATGACCAGAACACATAAAACTGAGCCTAAGAACCAGGTCTGGCTGAATGAGAAAGAGTTAACAGCAACAGGGTTTACCAGTCAAATCTGAAGGGGTGTACAGTAGTTCATTGATAACTGATAATATTTAAATCCCCAAAACTGCTCCAAAAACCGGTTCATGTCTTTGTCCAGTGTGACATACTGAACTAAAGGAGGTTCAAATCCACGGTGTAAGTTTTAGCGTTGAGTTGATGTGATATGTCCAGACACCAACACCAATAATCAAAGCAACTGCAGTCCATTTAACTCTATCAGATCGACAAGCTGACAGATAGATAGCTGCACTTAATTGACCTCAAACGAACAAACACTGAGTCAATAAACCCCAGCAGTACCAAGACAAACATATACCTTAAGGAATTCCACTTAACTGTCATAAATAATCAACTCTAATGAAGAAAATATCAAATATAAAACTGTGAACTCTATTTTAAAAGGAGGTAAAAGTTATAACGTATACAATTATATTAGAGAACAGAGTTGTCAATGAAATCAAATAAAATGTTACATTTTTATTTGATTTTTTTTACTGCGCCTTTCTCTTGCTTATGATTTTTTCCCGGTCAAAGTCTAAACCGGCATGAGTTCAGACATGTCTGTGATAATAACAACAAGACAAAGACACACTTCCTCGATTGAGAAATGCTGATGGCAGAACTATTGACTGAGAGTGCCCTGAGTTAACACGGCAGTTCCCTACATCCTCGTTTCCTTTCCTCAGCCTTTATTTCTCGCCTGCCTCTACACAAACTGGTTAATAGAAAAACGACTGCCAAAATAAACAGATGCACTTGGATGATGATGAAACAGCACAGCCGAGTATCAGAGCTGGAAGTGGGTCACACTGGACCCACTTGGTATCAAACCTGTTGGCACACCCGGGACAATGACCTTGGATCAGTTTTAATGTCATTTAGACCCCGTATTATTTATGGCAAATCCTAGATGACATAACTGCTGCCTAAAAGTGAAGCCAAGAAGCAGTTTAGGTCTTAGTGACCTCCTCCATGTAAACAGATGGGGCATAGGACAAGTTTAAAACTGCAATAAATGCCAAATACCTGCTGGGATCCTAACAAATACTGAACACTATACCGACTCCCATTTTTGACCCTCCTGCTGCACGCTCTCTACTCCCCACATTTCCTGTCTGTCTTCAGCTGTTGTGTCTAATAAATGTAATTTAAAAAGAAAATTTTAGCTTAGACAAAGTATGATTGTCTTACATTACACAGCTTTTCATGTGATTTTAATGTCACAGATAAATTCCCAAAGTTGGGATAAAATCATGAGAGTTTTGTTGCAGACAGAGCGTGCTTCCATGAATGATTGCACTTGTTTGGTTGAAGGTGGTTTTTAATGCAATTAGGACTGATTTAAGGCAGTCTTTTTACTGTCCTTTCACTAACATTAAACACAACATGTTTTTTTAATCAAAGGTCTTAAGTCCTGTTGATGTAAATCAGGATCTTCAGTGACATAGACATTGTCACCAACCACATCAGCCGCTCACAAAAAGTGACTTGTGAGCACATAGTCTCCAAATGTGTGATCGTGTCTGACGTCAATGTCAATGTCAATGTCACGTTTATTTATATAGCACATTTATAGGACAGGCCAGACAAAGTGCTTTACAGGAGAAAAACATAAAATAATAAAAGCTACAGGTATGGCAACATTAAAAGGGAAACATACAATAACAACAATAAAAGAAAAGCGTACGCGAGTAAAAGCAAGTGACAACTCAACCAAAAGCTAGGGTAAACAGGTAGTTTTTTGAAAGTTTAATCAAAATCCTCTGGTGAATGCTAGACATTGGATACAACATATATCTAGCACTGGAGGCCCATCATAATAAAGATTTTAATTTTTTTTTTTATTAATACCCCCCCCATTTTCTCTGTCCATTTTGGAGATTCAGCCCTATTAGCTACAAACTTTTTATAACTGCTATAAAGTCTATCAGTCTCTGCAAACAAATAACTCATGTGAAGTTTTTTACATGTGCATGTCAACCATTTGCAAAGAAGTATCTGAGAGGCTGGTTCACGTGCGATACAGATAAAATCATCTTCAGAGTATGAATTTTAAAAGCCAGAGGAAGTCAGGTCTGAGTTCTCTGATGAGGTCAAATGATGACATTAGAAATAACTATGAAATCTCAATATACAGCACTTTAGATGACAAAGGGCATAGAAAAGAAAATGCTCCTAAGATGCAATGTTTTAAATTTGGACAATAGAAAAGGTGTCAGCTAACAAAGCAGTTATTTAAGAGGCGTTTTAAATGTACCGTAGGTGCAAATACAGCAACAGATAAAGCAAAAATAAAGAGTTAAAATGTCCAAAACATGATACTGTGGTAATGAAAGAAGTTTTCTTTAACTTTTGGAGTCATCTCCAGCAGAAACCACAGTCAAACAGAGGACAGTGGGTTTGTTTTTGTCCCAGAGCTCCGAACCAATCAGAGAAGATCTTCAGCTGTTGTGAGTCTGAATAAAACCAAAAAAACCCTGAGGAAATCACTGTTGCTTTAGTGCGAGTGTGTATGTGTTTGGGGAGGGAGGGTATTGTGTGTGTGTGTGTGTGTGTGTGTGTGTGTGTTATGAGTAGATGAAGTGATGGAGGGAGGAGGAGGAGGAGGAGGAGTGGACGGAGTTGGATGCTCTCAGTTTGGAGTGGAAAAGTACAGCTGCTAAACTCTGGGGGCGGGGACTTCTCTGTTGAGTATACACGCCAGCCAATCAGGAGACAGAATAACACAGTGACGGACAGCAGAGCACAGCAGTGTGACAAACCAGCAGAGAGGCTGTAACTCTGAAATCTGTTTTCATATGATCTCCAGTTTCCTGCTTTTGAAGAGCCTCAGATTCAGAGACTCTGAGGTTAAAGAAACTGTTTTTAACATGAACACATTTCTGTTCCTGTTAGAGGATAAACCGAACTGTAAAAATGATAGAGCAACTTCACTGAGGAAGTTTCAGATGTGATGAATAAATTAATGAAAGATGTTTTTTTTAATTATCATCTCCAAAGCAGTGATTTGTCTTTTTATATAACTCTAACACATTTTTAGAAGTTCTCCTGGTTGAATAAAGGAATGTTGTCAATCTGTGACAAAGCCCGCCCCCCAAAAGTAGCTATCCAATCACAGCTTAGCATCTATGAACGCTATAAGACTGGGGGTTATGTAAAGCTGCTCCTACACGTCTCAATGTTTGCCAAGGTGCTGTAATCAGAGAGAAACTCAGATTTTAGAGAGATCAAAATGGTGTGAATGTCTTTGAAACGGACTTTCTGTGGCCAAAAATAATGAGGACCAGGAAAGTTTTGAACAGTTTGTCTTGTTAACAAACAACAGAGGAACCAACATGATGCCCCAACAGACAGATGCTAATAAAGGGGGATGGTACAGGTTGATTATTTGGGCACTTTAACAAACTTTTGATAATGGAAATGAAAATAATTGTGTACAAGACTTTGATGAACCAGACTTCTTGGTGGAAATGCAGATCTAATAAGGAATACTTCATTCAACCCGACTACAAAAAAGTGAACTATCCCTTTAATCCAAAACGTGAGACTGGTCTTAGTTTTGTGAAAGCCTAGGATGGGTATAAGTGTTGATAAATAAACATGGTTTATGTTCTTTGTTTTAGTTTTCCACATTTTGGCAGGAGAACACACACACACACACACACACACACACACACACACACACACACACACACACACACTGATCTAGTTCATGGTACACTCAAATTTTGATAAACCAGCCTCCAGGCCTCAAGATGTTAGCCGTCTTTTTATATGACAGCCTGTGATCTGCCTCTTGCTGTTCCACTGACCTGAAATCTCTCACTGCGCAGAAACAAACACACAAATGGTCATAAACACACACAAACACACAAATGGTCATAAACACACACGAACACACACTGAAGAGCTCAATTCAAGAGATGAGAGAGAAGAGAAGGCGTTGATATCCTCTCAGCAGAGTGGTGAATGTTTCACGGGACTGACAATCCCCCTCAAGGTACACACACATGCTCGCACACTCACACGCATGCACACACACACACGCACACATGCACAGATTCCAGTGGCTGTGTGTGATTAGCTCGGATTGAAGAGCAGAGTGAGAGACGCTCAGGCTCTGCAGTAGATCCTAAGATTTAAAGAGAAACTGGTTCATTTTGGCTCTGCAGAGAAACTAAAACGTCTTTCTCAGAAAAACTAGACACACCACGATTAAGCTCTCTACAGGACACTCTTTTGAGTCAAGAAAACACGATAGGAGAGTTTTACTCATTCTTACTGTAGCCATAAAATATCACAACAATGATAATATTGAGATATTTATAGAAAACCTAAAAATACAACTGCACAATTAGAAAAATGAAGGACGGAAAGATAAAGGTGGAGCAACACATTACTGCACTTTGCTTTTATTTTGAGGTTAATGCTTCCTGTAGATTATAAATTACAAAACAGAGTGAAAACAGTTTAGAGAATTGTTAACAGATTTAAGTGAGGAGGCATAAACTTGAATGTTTTTTTGATTCACAATAAATCTTGAATATCAGTTAATAAAGTGTTTAACAATTTCTCTGTGCTCCATCTAGCTCACTCCCAGCCTGCGACTTCTTCTTCATCTCTCCTGTTTTATGATCACAAGTGTAAAAGACCCCCACCATCAACTTCAACACCATATGCTTATTTGTAGCTCAGTATCTTATTTTTAAAAAAACATGACTGATACTCTTAGTGACAGGATATTGCATCAGCTGGATAGAGATGGATACTTCAGATGTAAAGTTCAGTAGTTTAAATAAGCCAGAATTTACAAAGCTGGTTTTACTTACATGACTTTAAAAGATTGTTTGTTTGTCATTTGTCTTTTTAATTTGCTTTACAATGTACTTTTTTTATGTTCTGTTTGAGCACTCTGAGATTTGCCTTAAATATAAAGTGCATTAAGAATAAAATATGTGTCACTCCTTGTTATTTTTATCATTAAAGTAAGAAGTGTAAATTTGTATCAGCTGTATAAGACTTAAGATTGTATGTAACCCAATAACTGAGTTGTATGAAAACACAGTTTAGTATTTTATTATGGTTTTTATGGGAATTGACTCACTGTTTGAAGGCAGCCTCTAGTGGTCATTCTAGGAACTGTAGTTTACAGTCAGAGAGGTTTTCTCCTGGAACACCTGTTTGTCCTCCTCATACCTCCACATGGTTAAATGGCTGATTGCTCTGTTTGTGTTTGAAGTACAAAGGTGCGGTAGTCACACTTTAATCTGAGACGTACAATAAAATAATCTTCATTCTTGAAGTTATCTGAACTTTGATAAACGTAGAGTTGAAAGATGTTTCTGATATAAGTGCAAAAACATCATATCTGTGACTTATAATTGACTGCAGGCCAAGTCACATACCTCCAGTCCACAACTCGGGTTCAAATATGACACAGCCTGTAAAAGAGGAAGCACTTTGGAGTTGTGATGAATAGGACAGAGTTTCTAAAAGATCCTTGAAAAAGTATAACTCAAGTTTAATTAAAACAGGTGACTAAATTGAGATGAATTGTGGTTTTCTGGAGCCAGGTGTGATAATATTTGAAGAAGGTAGAAGAGCAGCACAGGGTTGGTAAAAGCTGAGTGAATAAAGGTTCAACAGTCACGGCTCACAGCTGATTCATTAGCCTGTGAATAAGCTGGTTTACTCTGAGGTTTTCCACAAGTGAGAGTCTATTTATGGTGGTGGCTTAAGAGAGTTTATTCAACACTCTGAATACGCTAAGGGAGTGAGTGTAATGGAGTACACTTACTGTTCACATTTATCTCTGAGAAGGGAGCAGCAGGTGAACAACACAGACCAGGTAGTTTTAAATAACCAGTTTGATTAACTCTGACTCCTTTTCACCGACCAGACAAATAAATAAATGAAAACACACCGAATGATCTCACTGTCAGACAAATACAGCAAATTATCCAAAAAGACACACTAACAAACACAGCCAAGAGGTGAAGTTCAGAGGCCGTTATCATGAGGCAGCAGCCAGCAGATTCCACCTGTCAATCAAAGTAGCCACACCCACAACTATGCAAAACTGTAAGTTTTAGGATAGCAGAGCGAGAACATAGAGGTACAACACGTAACAAGTAGAGTATGTAGATATAACGAGGGTTTCAAAGGGCTCCTCCTGTCTGTGAAATGACGGTGGCCTTTTAGTACAAAAAGTTTCTGTGATGCGTCATAAGTATGGCCCTCTATTTGTAACATTTAAAAAAAAACTCTTTTGCCCACAATGAGCACTTGTTTTATTGCCCTCTGGCTTTGCCACTCTCTGAAAACTAAAAAGCATTTGAGTCAGACTGTTTCAGTTTTGGTAAGACAGTTTTTAGAAGGGTACAAAACAAACAAACAAGAAGATTACGATGTTGTAATTTATTTTTAATTCTTGCCCTTTCACGTCTTCATTTATAGACCGCTTGTTTTATTCTTGTTCACGGCTCACCTCGATCCTTCTCCAGTTACACATTTGAAACTGTGTGCTTATATTTATATCTGCTCTGTTGTTGTCTGTACTTGGGCCCCGTTGTAAATTTGGTTTGTACCTCAATGTGTTTTCAGGGAATTTAAATCAAATATAATAACAATATTATTATTATTATTATTATTATTGATAATAATAATAATAATAATAATAATAATAATAATAATAATAATAATAATAATAATAATAATAATGATAATAATAATAATAATAATGATATGTCATACTCATTTTGTGCACATTTTCTTTTTGGATAAATTTGCATGTTCAATCAGAGGAAAGTGTCTGCAGCTGTGAAGTTATGAAAATGTAACCATGGTTGATCTCTGTCATCTCTCATAATAGAGCTAATGTTGGAAGTAAAGAGCACAGTCAGGCGATAAGTTATGAACTAAGATCAAATTTGCATCATATCTCGTGAGCTCACATATAAGTATGTTTATTAGAGTCTGTAGTAACCGTAGTTGTCAGTTACACTCGTGCAGGAAAAGTACTACAGTAAATGTGTGTCATTAAACTTTGGCTCGATCAAAGTGTGTCAGTTGTACAGTCTGAGAACACAAACAACACAACGGTTAGTGTGTAGGACACGTTGGTCACGTCCTGCTTGTGTGTGTTTGCTCTGAGGAAACACTCCAGGAAGTGAAACAGGAAACCTCAGCCTGTGATTGGCTGGCTGAGACACACACAAAAAAAAACCTGCCCAGCTCCTCAACTGCATAGTGACGCTGAAAACACACAAGATCGGCACACAAGTCCTCTTTCTTTCCCTTCCTGTATTCCCCCTTGGATGAGCAAATATGCTGCCGAGTGTTCGGTCTGAACATGCACTCACATTCAGGAAGCAGCTCACCTGATAGAGAGACAGCTGCCAACAATATGAGTCCTGTTTTCAGGTTTAGAGGTGACATGAAGCAATTTATCTGAGGTGTCCTTGATTTAATGCCAGAAAGAAACACTTTAGACACGTTTCCAGATCAAGTTGAAATAAACTCATGATCTTAAGATCTCTTCTGCAAGTACAGTAAAACACATTTCTTCTGGCGTAGTGAAGTTTAGTTAACCAGGGAGGATTAATGTTTAACTTAGGAGGAGTCCGTTGTTGACAGGAGGATCTTTTCTCATTGATAACTCTACACTTTAAAGAGACGAAACAACCGGCAGACCTCGGGCTAAATCTGCTTTTTTTCCCTCCTTTATGTAAGTTACATGTTTCAGTGTGGATATTTGGACTGTGTGACCTTGTGGTGAGGTGGAAAAACTCACAGAGACGCTGATAAAGAAACACCTGGTCTGCACACACTGTTCAAGCCCTGCATATGTAAGACCTCTGTGAAATAAAAGTGTACATTATAAAGGCAGGAGGATTTAGTTTGAAACCAAATCATGAAATCTTTGGACATCATCTAAACAAAGGATAAAAAAAAAGCAGCAAAACCACAGAGTCAAAATGCAGAAACTTCCTGCACTCTGACTCTGATCTGCTGACACACTCACAGAGGTTATTGACATACCACATTGTGTAGTAAGACATTCAGCAGCTCTATGATCTAAAACTGAACCCTAAACCTCAACAATGTCTGTCTAAATCCTCGAGCAGCTCTTTGAAGCAGTAGGGACAGGACTACATGTCTCCATAACCATTAAAAAATGTCCTAATTTTCCTGACCTTTCAAGCTTTATTCAAATGTCAGTCTTATCAACTTTTGAGCTCCTCCAAACTTCTCTTAACTCGTAAACATCGCCTCTAGTTGAGAAACTCCTCCCTGATTTACAAATTAAAGTCTGGACTTTTCTCGACTCAGGAGGATTTAAAGTAGATGGTCCTCACAAAGGCAGAACAACAAACCACAAACACTCTCCCAAACAGAGCTGGGTTTTAGTTTCTGCTTTTATTCAGTTTGTCAGATTTTAAAGTTTTCTGTTATCTATTTATCTATCCAGACTGAGTTTGTAAATGAAGCTTCTTCAATCAGAGGTGAACTGAATTTAACAGGATAAAGTCATCACCCCAAACACTCACACACAACATGATATTTTAGTTAAAATGGCTTCAATGTGAAGAGTTTTAACATTTGTTTGGGTGAAACTGTAACATCCTGGTGAATTTGGAGTTGTTCTTCACTTTTCTTCTGTTTATTTTTTAGTGGAGGGTGAACTCCGGCAGAGAGCCAGATATTGGCTGCTTCTGGATCAAGAGTTTGTCTGAGGAAATAACAGCCGGAGTGAGACACCTGATGCCCCCTTCTGGTCAAATTGTGTCATGAAAAAATTAAGGCCGCAAAATATTTAAACTTGACGGGTATCAACTCATACATCACGAACAAACAAATAAACAAAGAGTGGTAAAGATGGAGAATATTAATCTCTGTCAGGGTCTCTAAATAAATTTAATGTCATTTGATTTGTCTTTTCCTCACGACTCCAAACTGATGTTTTTTTTGTGTTCATAAATATGCAAATATGAGTTATAAATAAAGATTAAATTATTTAATCACTTCATCTGGTTTGAATGGACCTGATCCTTCCTTCTCCAGCCAGACCAAAGTCTTGGAGGATGTTTGTATTTAATATCTGAGGAATTTATCATCTAATCTGGTGGAAACAAAAACAAATGCAGCAGTTTTTTTAATTTGGTTATTTGGTCTTATTTTTGTCCCTTTTCTCTCCTTTTGTTGCACACGATGTATCATGGACGCCAGCTGTATCTTAGTGAGAAAACCTAGGCAAAGTGAAGTTAAAATAAAGAAAAAATGAAATCCAATCATTATGAAAATTCAGCTTTGTCCAACCACCCCCTTCAATACACAAAAAAGTGACAGAAAAAGTTATAAGGGGTTTAATAACAAAGTTATAATAACACATCAAGCTTTTGTACTGTCTGAATTTTCAGATGCAAAGAGGTTTATGTATCCACGTGTTTTAATATGATTGCATCATAACTTTGGACAGAGGTAAACTCTGTAATCTAGGGGATAACTAATAAACTATTGCTGTCTCCTCTGTTTGATTTATTCCTTAAAGCTCCTATAAGGAGTTTTTTTGAGACTTATGAAATGGAAAAAAAATACATACTGATGATTTTTCATGACATCCATAAGCAAACCGGACCATAAGAAACAAGACTGGAGGTTTTATCTCCTCATTGTTAACACCTCAAACTGGTGTGAGGAGGTGGGTGTTGGCCGAGCAGATAAAGATGCCGCCCCATTTATCAGATTTTCAGTTAATGACACATTGGATGGTCAAGAGTTGGCAGGACACAATTTTTGTGAAAGTATGTTGGAGACAAGTTAAGACTGCTTTGTCCACAGGGGGCGCTAAAATCAACGCAAACAGGAAGTGGACCAACATTCAATAAACTTTTAGTATTTTAGTTATTTTGGATGTTTTTTGCATCAATCATTGAGTGGTAGCATGGAGCTCTCTGTCAACAGTCTTTTTTTGGGGATTAATTAAAAATATATAGACAATGGTACTTAAATTGTGTTGGTACTTAAATTGTGTATATTGTATATAGTTTTATTTTCTTCTCCCCTTTCTCCTTTTTCTAATTTTTTTTTTTAATCATAACATTTGTTTAAGTTCTTAATATTACGATCTTTATTTTTAAAACTGCATTTTTGCACTATCTTCTGTGATGCTGCTGTGGCAAAATAAAATTCCCTCATGGGGGATCAATAAAGGAATATTCTATTCTATTCTATTATATTCTATTCTATTATTCAATGACAGAGGTCCTGAAGGGACTCATTTCCAAGTTGTTTAAACCAACATTTCATAAACAATCAGCTGACGAGACTAAAGGTAAGAAAACTCACAAAACAGAATCAGGTACAATAAATTAACCAAGGCTACACAAAGAATAACTAAATCTGTAGGTGAAAAATATAAAGATGTTTTACTGGATGGCGAACACTCGCAGAACTAACACTAGCAGAGCTAACACCACAAGCTCTCAGCCCTCCGGCCAGGTGAACGTCCTCATACCTGTGCTGTTCACACATGCAGCTGTTTTAAACCAGTTTAACTACATCCTTCAAACACTTGATAGATCCTAATACAAACAGACCACTGACCACATGACAGGCATGTCAGTCCGACAAAGTTTAGGATACTGACAGTTTGAGTAACCAGGTGGTGATCAGGGTGTCGACTGATTGGGGTGATGACGGTTGATCATTTGGTAACATGCACAGAACAAGAAACAGTCCGACTGTTGTGTCTTATTAAATTTAATGACTTTGTTTTCATCAGCTGTGCTCACTCCCTTCAGCTCTATTTGTCACTGACCACCACTCCCTCACTCTCATCCTCACACAAACTTGAAAAGCAGGTTGAAAACATGACTGTAAATGTATTTTTTCACAAGCTTTCATAAGTTAGTGTTCATGTATCACTCCAAAAGCAGCTACTGTTGGAAAGGCAACTTTTAAACTAACTCATGAACTGAATCCTGAATCAGACCCGGTTTGGAGACTGTGGAGGTCTTTGGACTCTTTTCTGAGGTGATAGAAACTTTTACCTGTAAAAATGTAGGTTTACTCCATGATATTGATTTATTCTAGCTTGTTAGTGCATTTACAGTACATGTACATGCACTGTATGCACACATCTTTGTTGTAGTATTTCTCTATTATGTGTATTTGTTTACATTCTGTGCATCTGCTGCTAGTTCATGGAGGTAAAGTTATTTTATTCAGTTCAGTTTAGTTTTCTTCTCCTTATATTTTTTATTTCCTTGTAATCTTTAAAATCTGGAAAAACAGAAGAAATCTCACTGAGAGGACTGTCACAGGAACCAAAATTTAACTTGTGTATTTTCTGCACAAACAACAAATGTCAACACAAATTCACACTAAATTAACACTAGTTATTATTCCTGATGTCATGCGGACTCTTCTTTGGTCAGATTCATCTTTAAAAGCCGAGTTTAAACCAGACTCTGTTTTTCCTCCTGTTCTCTTATAACTCTCAGACATTATGAAACAGGAGCTCAAGTTCAGACAGATGACAAGAACTGCTCTTTGCTCAAGGCGTTATTTCAGGTTAAACCAGCTGATGCCTGTGAGGAGTCATGAAACACTCGCGTCTTTTTACACATGATCACTTTCTTTCCTCTGTCTTTGACGGTGGGACACAGCTGCGTTTGTGAACAGATATCAGAGTGACTCCTCATGATCCCATGCTCATGTCTGGATGCCAAACAGTCACATGGCGGCTGCAGCGTAAAGTCAGAAATCTCCACGCTTCCTTCATCGTATCAGCCCGGTCACCTGTTCTCCCTCTGTCTCCTCTGCAGCCTTCCTCTCCTTCTTCTCTTCCTCCTCCTCCTCCTGTCTTATCCTCTCCTGCTCTTTCTCCAGCTCCTGTTCCTCTCTCATGTCAGCCTCCTTCAGCTTCACCTGCACATCCTCTGGGATCTCCACCTCCATCAGGTTCTCCATCCCTTTCTCTGGTTCGTCTCCTATCAGTACCTGAGTGGACAGATGAGTTTCCAGTTTGAAGATTTAACTCAAACAAAAAAAGATCTTAATTTTATCTTTCTTTTAGAGGATGTTCTCTTCTCAGCAGACACGGTCATGTCAAAGAAAGCTGCGGTGTAACTTAAATGTTAAATCTAATAACAGAGCTCATACATAGATTAGTTTTTTCTCTTCTTCCATTGAACCTACAAATATTTTTTTTAAGAATCAAACTTTTAAACCAGCAAACAAAAAGAGTTCCCCTCAAAACAATGACTAATGCTGCTGCTTCTCCTCAGACTTGTGCAACAGCTTCATGTTTTCATCTTTATTTTTCTCCTTTTACAGTTTTTTTGTGTGCATTACAGTTCTGCAAAAATTGTTGTTTGTGGTTTTCTTTGGTTTCTGTTCCTGTTTGCATGGAGCTTGATGTTGGTTTATAGTACTCTTATTAATCAGTACAGTTGTTTTTTTTTTTATTGTTTTGATGGTTTTTAATAGTTTTTGTTCTCTTGCTGCAAAACAAACACGGTCAAAGTCATACAGAACTTGACCCTGAAACAAATGTCTCATGGAAGGATAAACTATATTGTATCGTATTGTTCTTTTCCCTTTTATTAAAACTACTGATTTTACAATTTACCGATTGTACACCCAAAATTCCCCAGTGGAAAAAAACACCTGTAAACTGCTCCTTACACTAAACCAAGAGTTCAGAACTCAACAACTCTTCATTTGTGTTACCAGCTATCATCACAGTCAGCGAATCTAAACATTAAAGAGGAAAAAACTCACAAAAGACGGACTTTTTTCTTGAGAAACTTCTAAAAAGTTTGATATTTCAGTTTCTACCAACATCCAGCTGTACTCATGATTTCCTCTGACTGTCTAAAAAATCCTTTTCATTTCCCCTGCTCTTATTTTGGCCATAGGACAAGCTGAGCGCATCTATCTCATATTTTAATACATGCCTCTAATGTAATGAAGTCTTACATGTTCATATTAAACCTTAGCAGAGCTTCTAAACATGATCAGATTCATGGAAGTTGGATTGAATTGTTTCCCAGGTACCCCAAACAGGACATTTCAGTAACTCTATAAGATCTGTTTTTATGTTTCCAAGACAACAGCAGCTACACCGAGGAAGCCTCTGCTCGCCACTTCACAGGCTGGATTTTTGTTTGTTCTGTTAAAGTAAACCTGAGGCTGGTGGTCGGAAAAAATCTACCATGAAGGGTTGGAATAACAAGCTGTAAGAAACACAAGTTTACAGTTAACATATAATGAGGAGCTCAGTAGGGCTTAACGGCGACCCTGAGAGGTTTCCTGCAAAGACTTCACTTCTGAGTCGTTTCATAGCTGTGTAAACGGTAACACCCCCAAGCTGTAAATGAGTTTTTTGAGTTAAGCTACTAAAATGTGTTTGATGGTTCACCTTGAATAAGAAAGCACAAAGACACATTTCATGAGATTTCTTATCTTAATGCTATTATGAATTCGTCAGAAGTCCTGATGTGTTTAGAGAACCGATCTCTCCTACCTGGACCAGTTTCTCACAGGCGGCGCCGACGTGGACGTCCTTCTCCCAGCGATGAAACTCTCTGATGATCGGATAGACGCTCTTTTCTTTCAGCATCTTTCTCCCTGTTTTGGTCGCTGTGAGCTTCACCAGAGAAACACAGTTCACAGCTCACAACTAGAACACAAGTCTACAGTCTGTGTGTGTTTGAGGTGTGTGTTTTTGTTGTCGTACCAGTAAAAGTGTTTCCACAAGCATCTTCCTGATGTCGGGGTCTTCTTCTCGCTCTTTGTCCTCTGGGAGGTACTGCAGGTCCACGGGCAGGCCTGGACATCACATCAACATGTAACAGGGTAATGCAGCTTGGTGTCCTTTTAATAACGCTGCTCTTCACGCAGAAACTCAAAAAACTTATTCTTAATTCAGTGACCTGTCAGGTGATCATGTCATCAGCACCATGTTCAGTAGAGAGACGCTGACCTAGAAGATGCTGATGTGAGGAAATTTTGCAGAAGTTTTTTAAACTTTCTGGAGCTGTGTGTGAGAGTGAAGGGCCTGTAGGAGCAAGATAATTCATCTCTAGAGCGTCCTTCCTCTGAGAAACGTGCAAACGTTTGTTTAGAGAGGAATCTGAGGAAACCAGACACGTGTTTGTGTGTCAGTACTGACTCTCTCACTCCGCCTGGAGCTGAAGACGTAAATCTCAATAAATCTTTGACAAATATGCTGTTTCATATTTTAAACTTGAGTAACAGCTTTGTGGTTGAAGCCTCCGCCCATCGGTCGAGCTGCAGTTTGCATTTCGTGGCAATGAAGTGTTGCTGGGCAGGAGATGAATTTGATTATTGAAGATAATAGAGATCTACATGATGGAAAAGGTTACCCTTCATTTCAACCTGAAGCAGAAAAAGCTCAGGAATAAGGCTGAGACTAGTTCTGGTACAAAGCAGTTTTATTTTTCTCTTTTTTTTTTGTTTTTCAGTAAACCTGCCAGGTTAAAGCAGTCTAGATTCTTGTAAATCTAACATTCGTCATCTGTATTTAAATACCAAACCGCTCTTAAACAATAAACATGGAAAACCATAAAAAACAACTCTGAAAGAGTGCGCATGAAAAACCGACAATGAGCTTTGTCTAACACAAGAGGACGCACCACATTCAGTCAATCTCAGAGAGAGGACTGTGTCTCTGCAGAGTGTGCTGATGCAGCTGCAGAACACTCAGACCTCGAGGAGCAGAGAAAAAAAAAGACCATTTCTCACTTTTACAAAGAAAAATTTAAACGAAAACATCTTTTCCTTCCGCCTGATATAATGTGGTGGCCAGATGTGGAAAAACTAGATTGGCTGTTTACATTCGATGTGTTAAAACTTGGGAAGAACAACAAGATATCCTCCTTAATTTTAACCTCTTTAATCTCACTCCGTCCTAAGGTCAGAGTGGACATTTGTTCAACATTAAGGAGGACGTTTTTACAGGAAATCTCTTTTTAACACGTTCATAAGAATGAGGGTTAAAACCTGACAACATGATTTCTTCAGTCACGGCTGAAAATGATCAAAAACGGTCCTAAAACAGCTGGAGCTTTTGGTTTGAGTCATGCTGCTGCAGAAATATTAACTATAGTGTGTGTGTGTGTGTGTGTATTCTAATGAAGGAACATCTCGCCCGCTGCACCAGAGTGACTCATGGTGTAATTTTGGACAACAGCAGAGCTCAGGCTCAGAGGAACAAGACAGAGAGAGGTTTAGAAGATATGAGTGTTTTTTGGAGGGTTGTTTTTGTTTTTGTCTTTCTACTGAATGTGTTTATGTAAGGAAGTATGTTGAGAGGGAAAAGGTTTCTGTAAAGACACTCAAACAACACAGATAATGTCTGAAATCTTCTGATCAAGCTGTTAGTTTACCAGTCATGATCATACATGGAGAATTTTAAAGAAAATTAAAGTACAAAGATGGTTGGTAACATCCCTCAGCAGTCTGCCCAGGTCTTACTGACTTGTTAAAATCCCTGAAACAGAAATATTTGACATTTACCTTCATTCTCTTCATCCGTCAGCTCCTCTGGGCCGGCCAGAGGCAGGAGCAGAAAGGGCAGGATGTCCACAGCTTCACTCAGCAGCCACTCATGATGAGCTGGAGAGATCAAGGAAAGGGTTAAATCAGGTGAGTTACTTCAGTGAGGACAAATCCGGACAAGTATCTCACTCCACTTCATTCATTCAATCATCTCTGCCAGTCAGATCACAGTCATTTTGGTTACGGTCATTCAGTGCAAACAGAAACCTATGCCTCTTCGATGCACACGTGTGTTTTTTTGGACACATATCCACTGCAATTTCCAGCACTTTCTCATGAGCCTCCTTTCTCAACCCTGGAGGTCGATCACACACTTATCTTGAACCCACCAGGAGGCGTCCAGATTTCCTCTCCTCTCAGAGATGCAGAGGTATACCTGTCCCAGGCCGACTCAGTAATAAGCAGGAGTGATTGGACAAGGATGCATCTCGTTGATTTTGAACCTCGTATTTTGCAGAGTCGTGTTTTCAGTGCCTTAGACACATTAAGGAGTACACAGGATGTGGGCAACTTACTGTGGTCAAAACAACAGTTGCGCAGGGTGCCGATGACTCCGCCCCTCCTCACCACTGACGCCTGGAAATGAGTGAAGGGCAGCAACCTCTGGACCACACATCTGTAACACGCACAGACAAATAGTGAGCACACGGTGGGTTTATTTGAACATTTGCAAGAACATGCATGTCAAAGGTCATGTGTTCTTCACTGTCTCAGTCACCTGTCTTTGTCCAGGATGTAGTTTCTGGCCTCAGGCAGCTGTGTCAGATTGGACAGCAGAGGACCCAGGTAGTGGAGTTTGGCCTGCTTATTAAAACCTTCAGTACAGAAGATCTCCACCAGCTGAGCCAGACTGAGTTCCTCCTGGAGGACCTGAAACAGCAGAAACACCCAGTCCCTTAATGTCCAGATTGTTATTATTACCCTCATCACCCAAGAGGGCTTTGTGGTCCTGTACAAGACTCCCCACCTGTTTAAATGCCTAATCCTGTCACTTAGACCAACCTTGAACACCGTCTTGCAGGTCTTCTCATGGCGGCTCAGGTTGGACAAGATGGTGCAGATCTGATCAGCGAACGGGTACTCGGGATCCTGGAGATTCTTTAACAACGCTGGGAGGAGGTTTACATCTGACACCAAAACCTGAACGAGACGTTCAGAAGAATTCTCACTTAGTACCCATCTATACTGACTCTGTTTTGATTGGTCCAGTGTCTGTGATTACAGAAACTCGGCAAATACTCAGAGGGTCATTTAAGTCTGAGATCAAGCAAGACTGGTCACCTGGTGTAGAGTCTCATCAGCTGACAGGTTGATGAAGATGTGGTAACAGTCCTTCACTATAGCAATGGAGGGGTCAGAGGTCAAAGTGAACAAGGCTTTGAGTAAATCTGGTTTAGAGCGGCAGAAGTGGCATCCATCCCTGCAGAGAAACAGAGACAAAAAAGAAGGAGTGAGTTCGAGGTTTTAGCATCATTTGGTGTCAATGTTTTAAAAGTTTTCAATGCAATATTTATGAGAAGCATCAGAGTTACACTACACTATCTAACACAATAAAATCACACATAGAGTGTCTCACAGGATGCTTCTAAAATCAACAAAATAGTTCATTCAGCTTTATGTCACAGAAGTAAAGGAGACGGCATCAAAATCCAGTCATGTTTAAACTGGACTGACAGTTGTAACTGTGCAGCAAGCAGAAAGAAGGCTCTAATAGTGACATGATACAGTGAAAAGAGAGACTATCTCTTCTATCATTATCATCATCCTCTTGCTTCAGCACCCACCTGTGCCCCGACAGTCCCAGGATGTACCCTGTGGCCTGACCTTTGACATCAGGGCGTGTACGGGGGCTCAGGAAGGAGAGCAGCTCTGTGGCTTCAGAATCACTCAACATCTTCAGGCAGAGTCTGGAAAAAGATGAGCCATTTTTTATATTTCGGATCACTGCATCAAAGCAATCTAACCCCGTGTATGGGGTAAGTTGATCCGTATCCCTACGAGTGTGTCATATAGCTGTAAAAAAGGCCACCCTAACTCATCTTTACTGTTTAGATACTTTGATGTCCATACTTGGAATGAAGAGTATGATACGATTTTTTAAATTGCTTTTAACACCTTTAAAACAGCTGTTCAATTATTGGCAGCAACTTCAGTCTGAGTTTATCGTTATTTTCTGTGTTATGACGCCGGGTTGTTCAGTAATTGGTTATCTACTTTACCAGGACCTACAAAACGCAGGTAATACCATTAAAAAGCCTCCATATATACTTTAACAAAGAAAAATCTCTGATATTTAAGGCAATGGTTAAATTGATGCTGTTGGTAGCACAGAAATCTGATTTCACGTGTAGCTTACTAACAAACCGGCTAAAAGTAACGTAAACTAAAGCAGCCAGAGCTACTTAATAATGACAACGTTTTACCTTCTTTCCACACATAAAGATGATGGTTACAGGAAACTGTTATAATCCTTCTCTTTTGTTTTCTCCTGACATTTAACTACATGTGTGCAGTCACATGTGGACGCTTCGGGATCCTACAGTTAAGCCCTGCCTACTTCCGGGTTTGTCCCCTTTCTTCTTCTACGTTTGTAGCAGCGCATGAACATCACTGCCATCTACTGGCAGAGTGATGCAGCTGTCTCTGGGTAAACAACCTCAGTTTGATGTCGTGGCAGCTTCTAAGCATGTAACACTGAAAGCTATTTAAAACCTTCTTTTTCAGTCTGGCTTTTAGCCTTTGGCTGATTTTTGTTTTATTCTTCTTGCCTCTCTTTTAGTCTACTCTTTTGAGGATTTTAGTATATATTTTTTTGGTATATTTTAACACTATTTGTTTCTTTTCTTTTGTTTATTCTCTTTCTTTTTATTATTATTACTATTATAATTTTTATTATTATTATTGTTTTATTTTCTTTCATTTTTTATATCTTGTCATGGTTTTATCAGTTTAGCTTCAGCTCCAGTGTTTCCCCATTTTAGTTTAAGATAGCGTTTCCTAGGTCCTCTGTGGCTTCCTGTTGAGCCCTGACTTGGTGTCCCGATGGTCGTGAGAGTGTGTGTGTGTGTGTGTGTGTGTGTCTGTGTCTGTGTCTGTGTGGGTGGGTGGGGGGTATCTCAGTTACATTCAGGCTTGGATGGTGGGTGTGTGAGGTTTTTGCAGTTTGTATTTTATTTTGTATCCCCTGTGTACAGCACTTTTTGATACAAGCCATGTATGAAAAGTGCTTTATAAATAAAGTGATTGATTGATTGATTGATTTAGGATAATAAGAGTAATTAGAATGACATTAGAACTCTCATACCAAACTTCATTAGCTCTGTTTGTTCTGTTCAAGTTATGAAGCTGTGCCAATACAACTTTGACACCTTATTATCTCACCTCTACATACAAGCCGCTTTACAGTTTAAAAAATTAACAATTGGCCTTGTCAAATGATCCCTAAATATCAAATACAGCCAGATATTATGTATTTCAATATGTACGAGTGCACATCAGACATGAGCACCAATTTCATTCACTGTTTTAGAAATTTGCGAACCTTTCTCCTTTAATATTAGACAGTGTTTTATGGAACTGTAAGGAAGCATTTGATTAATTAGATTAATTAAGTCGTGGTTCACTGTTGCTTTTACCAAATTTCTCTGTACAGTCTTGTGAAAATATGTTAAGTGCACTTTTTTCTGACCCTTTACAGTTTTTGTTTTTTGGTGGCCATTTATTCCTGCTCAAAAAAATAAAACTAGGGATTTAAACACTGCTGGAAATGGTTGAATCCTTGGTGTAGGTATTATTTATACCACATATTCTGTTGCAAAGAGTATTGAATTTTTTACTTTGCACATAGTCAGTATACATGTAAAAGCAAAAACACAAAATAACTCTCCTATATAAAGTCAGTTTATCATCTGCAGCTCATTTACTGTTCTTATGAGTGATGTCTTCACGTCCAACTTTGGGAATCACCACACCCAGACATGCTGCAATGTGCAAAAACAGACTGCAAATCATCATCCTTTCATTCATGAATTTAAAAGATATTCTACATAGTTTTTATAAGGAGCAAAAGAAAAAACACTTTTGAGTGTTTAAGAATTTGTGTTAAAGAGGAAGGACGTGACAACTTAAACCTTTCAAACTACTTTATTAATATGTCGAAACAAAAAAACGAGACATCCACATAGTGTAGTCCAAACAGCAACAGCTCTCTCTCTCTCTCCAAATGTTGCATTGAAATGCTGATATTGCATTCAAACGTTCACAAATGTTGCCTGCTCAACAGCTCAGCGCTCACCTTCCTATGAGGGCACATTTTGACATTTTCCACATGAATAGCTCAAACAACAACAGGCACTTTTTCTTTCTTAAATCTTGGTGGAGTGCAGCATCTTAACTTTTCACACTTGCAGAAAACTTGACATTTAAACAATAATATTCATACACTCCCCAAAAAAAACAAACAAAAAAAAAAAACCTCAAAATAGTTGAAGAACAGGTCAATAGCTGAATAACAGTTCACTTAAACTAGCATTGCAAACTCACAAACTAAAATGCCTGCTAGCTTGGCCTTGGCTTCACCAGACTCCTTGGCTGCTTTTCTGCCACTTCAAGGGGTACAAGAATCTCCTTGAGCACATCTGCATTAACGGTTTGCTGCTGCTCTTCTGCCGGCACGAACCCCCAAATTATAGATTGCTGGTACTTGAACACCACCTCCTGTGAGAAGATCAACAGCTCTTGGATTGAACTCTGATGCGAATCCACGCATGAACTGAACCAGGTTTGGAAATCTGCCCGCCTGGAACAATATGGCTTCAGGACGCTCGAGGAATCTCACATACGGGCCGTATTCCTTCAGCTCAACATATGCTACGCAGGCTTCTTTAAAGCGAGTTAATTCACAATTGAAAATGTAAAATGTTAGCTCTGGCACTTTTTGGAGTAGCAGATCCCTAATCAGGACGAACACTGCTATGCCTGTGTCCTGCACGTACTCTGACAAGTACTTGACCACTTTTATCCAGGGTTTGGTGTGTTGAAGTTCTACTTGCAGTGACAAGCCAACCACCACCCATCTGACCGTCATCTGACCACGGATAAGTTGGGCCAACGTTGTCATCATCCGCCTGCTCAAGAGGTAAGACTGATCAAGGTGTGCAGACCCACCGTCAACCATAACCCCGATTCGAGTCAGAGCATTGTCGATGGCCGAGTTGTAGCAGGACACTGCTTTGATCGCCAGTGCAAACGTAAAAGCACAAACTGAGGCCAGAATAATGTCTGGAGTAAGGTTGGCACAATTTAGTGCACCAGGATTACGCACACTTTCCAATCTCCTTTGGTTGAAGGCTGTAGCGGCCTGTGCCATGGCTCTACCAAGGGTTGCAGCTAAGGGATCATTGTTGTCTTTAACTACAAGGAGTCCTCGCTGGATCACCATGGGGTGTGATGTGGAGGGGCACTCCATTTTTTTTACTTACTTCAGCTAGGAAGTTATCAGGGCTGTGAATGCCTATCGTCAGGATAGCGTTTAACAATGCACCACTGACCTCTGACTCTACAGGCAGGTGAAGGAGAGCTTCGACTGCAATCACAAGAGCTCGGGCTAGTCCAACCTCTCTCCTGCAGTCTGGGCTAATGAAAAGCATTGTCCGCTCTCGAACATGAAGTCCCACTGTGCAGAAATCACCTGTCCTGGAGAGTCTTCTATCTGAAGCTGACATTAGGGCTAGTTCATAAAGAGGGATTGATGACTGCATTTTGATCTTTGAATGGTGGTGCTGGATTGGATTGTTCTCTTTTTTTACTTTCATCAGCTATGAGGATCCACAGGTCGACCAACACGGCATCCCTGAAGTCAAGTTGCACTTCCTGAAACACAACAAGAGGGCAAATATGTCATACACATATACTGAAACAGCGGCGTGGTATGTCCTCAGCACACAGGCCATCCCTTTTTATTATTATTTTTTGTATGAAAAATAATATAAAACAACATGAACAGTTCAAACAGGCCTGAAACGGGGCAATAGGGCAATATGTCGAACAGAAACAGCGGGGTGGTCCCTCCCTCCCTTTTTAGCGTCACTTTTATCGACCAAACCCAACTGTAAAAGTTATTGTGGCAAAGGGTGCCATTTTGTTCACAATTAGATGATATTGTCTCCAACCAGCAACACCACCTGGGGACTTGCACCCCAGGAAACTGTACTTTCAGACTAAAATCATAACAGGAAGCTAAAATAAGAATAAGGCAACACAGGTAAATTCTGAAAGAGGCAGAGACAGAGTTCAAAATATTTCAAAATGTTTTAGATCAAAAATGAAGTTAAACTTAAATATAACTGAGAAATTTAACCTAGGAGGGAAAGAAAGGGATAAAGTTAAAACAACATAACAAAACACAGATAAGGGTCAAGAAAGTTAATTTTATTTCTATAATAATTTAAAACAAGGCCTTCTACAAAAGTTAAAAACAGTTAAAATGTACAATAAACCCAACTTAAACTAAATCAAAGAAACCCAAACTAAGTTAACTTAAAATAACCTTCAAAAAAAGAAACAAATTGGTGTAGTCTTGTGACCCCGTGTCAAACTCATGCAAAGGTGGAGGGCCCTCACCCGGGGTGCCTAGCCTCCCAAACTAGTGGGCTCAACTTCTGAAATAAAATAAAAGGATTAACCAAAGAAACAAACAAACCAGCAACAGCGAACCCAGTTGGTAAAACTAGAATCACTAAGGAGAAAAGCAACTAAGGGTAACTAAGAACAGAATGCAAACTAATGGGGGAGTAACTGGGTAAAACAACCAAACTTAGAGGTAGAAACAAACCAAGTAAGGGGGGAAACCAATCAAAAGGGCAGAAACAACCAAAGTAAACAGGCAAAAATAACGACAGTTAATGGGGGCAACAAAACAGCAGCAGGTCTACCACCTATAAACAAAAAGGACATGCTGTTAAAAGCAATCATAAAACTCTAAAGATTAAAAGTTACCAGCCACCCTACTCACCAGCACTCCGAGCAGAGCAGAAGGCCGACTGCAGGTGAGCTGCTGCGTTTTATTCAGCTGACCTGGTTAGGGGAAGAGAGGGGTTAGAGGAGGAGGGAGAGCTGCAGTCAACAGCAGCAAGGTGCTGCCTGCCACATTATATACATCGTCGAAATAAACCCACGATACATTTTAATGCGTGTTAAGACACATTAAGCAACTTTCAAACTTACTAGCTTGAACACTGAAAGAGAGAGAGTGAGAGTGAAAGATGTCTCACTGCAAGTCTACCCAGAACAAAATCCTCCTCATTTTTACCGTGGCGCGCGCAGCTTCCTCGCAGAAGAGTGTCTCATTAATAAAGTCCCCCCCACCCGCTTCCAACAACAGGTTATGCGGAACCAAAGATATTTACAACATCGCTTTCTAAGTAAAAAAGATGCACAGAAATAGTCCTTCGGCTTATTTAAGAAGCAAAATATGACAAGCAAATTTAGAGAATTTTCACCAACTAATATAGCACAATATATTAAGATAATATATTGTATCAGCAATGGCATATGCACTAAATGCCTTTGAAAAACATTGTAAGTCGTGGTTCATTGTTGCTTTTACTTAACTTCTCTATACAGTCTTGTGAAAATATGTTAAGTTCACTTTTTCTGACTCTTTACACTTTTTGTTTTTTAGTGGCCATCTACTCCAGCTCAAAAAATTAAAACCAAGGATTCAAATACTGCTGTAGATGGCTGAATCCCTGGTGTAGGCATTATTTATACCACAAATTCTCTCACAACTGTTACTATTTTACTTTGCACATAGTCTGTATACCTGTAAAGGGAAAAACACAAAAAACATTCCTATATAAAGTCAGTTTATCATCTGCAGCTCATTTACTGTTCTTGTGAGTGAGGTCTTCACATCCAACTTTGGGAATCACCACACCCAGACATGCTGCAATGTGCAAAAACAGACTGCAAATCATCATCCTTTCATTCATGAATTAAAAAAATTCTCAACAAGGTTTTTATAAGGAGCAAAAGAAAAAACACTTTTGAGTGTTTAAGAATTTGTGTTAAAGAGGAAGGACGCGGCAACTTAAACCTTTCAAACTACTTTATTAATATGTCGAAACAAAAAAACGAGACATCCACATAGTGTAGTCCAAACAGCAACAGCTCTCTCTCTCTCTCTCCAAATGTTGCATTGAAATGCTGATATTGCATTCAAACGTTCACAAATGTTGCCTGCTCAACAGCTCAGCGCTCACCTTCCTATGAGGGCACATTTTGACATTTTCCACATGAATAGCTCAAACAACAACAGGCACTTTTTCTTTCTTAAATCTTGGTGGAATGCAGCATCTTAACTTTTCACACTTACAGAAAACTTGACATTTAAACAATAATATCTGTGTTTGAGACCTGAGCCCAGAGTCACTGCACTCATGATTGTCTTCAGTCATACATTTCAGAAAAGTGTTCGTATATGCAGCTCCGGGGCTGCTGGGTAAAAACTCTGCCTCAGGCTCTTCCCAAGGATTAAAAGGAGGTCAGACACAGAGCGGGCTGCAGACTGAAGAATGTTTCTGATCCTCCGCTTCAAGCACTGAAACGTTTGGTAATGTTTTTACAGCAAACACCTTTCTTTAGACAAAGATGTTTCGAAAAGATTTTCAATACAAGATTAAAAATCAGCATCTTTATTCAGAAACATCTCACCAACATGTGTGTAAGTTTGTAAAGAGTGAGGAGAGGAAGGAGGACTGGAGCGGTCTCAGTCTGGACTGTAAACAGATAAAATATTCAGAAAGTCGTCCACTCAGTTCTAAAGTGGATTCCAGTCTATGTAACCTGCCTGGAGCCAGAGATTCACTTCCAGAAACAAAACTCCAAGCTACATGAGGAACTTTTGATGAAATGTTTGAGTGACTGACAGTTTCTTGTTATGCTGGGTTGCCATGGTAACAGAGTACTGTAATATTGCGTGCACTGAGTGTGGCATCAAAGTCTGGATCTCGGCATGTTCAAGATCAAAAAACGGTATCAGAAGGCACTGTGGGGTTTGATTGACAGCTGGCAGTCTCTTTCTGTTGGCTCAGGGTGGGGCAAGTTCATCATCATCATCATCATCATCTTCAACATCATCCTCCTCTTCCTCTTTACTCAGCCTTATCTTTCCTCTTGGCTGTGAACGGGACTTTGCTAGCTACTGTCGATCCCACCGTGGAGACGCCGCCGGCCACAGCAGAAACCCCGCCCTTCACCAGCCCCACCCCCATTGAGGGCACTGTGGTTACTGCAGATTTGGTGATCTCCAGGCTCTTGCCGCCTACCCAGGCGACTCCACCCACTGCGGCGCCCACGACTCCCTTGGTCACGTTGAAGAGGCCGCCGGTCACTCGCCACATCATGCCAGGGGGAGGAGCCTCGTGGTCTTTGCCAGCATCTGAAAAACAAAGGAAACAGACATGAAGTAACGCAAGTATAAATATTCTTCATTCATGCAGAAGCATTGTTTCTTTTAGGAGACAAAAGCGGGTCATAGTCAGGGAGCGAGGCGACGCCAAAGTAGAGGTGCAAAAAAACTTTAGTTCCTACAGCGTCCGATAACGATTGGCTCCAAATGCTGAGAAATCTCTCCTTGGGTCTCATCTTCCAATGCCTGAATTTACTGCATAAATAAACATGTTTAAAAGCTTAACAATAAAAACCAGTTCCGTCTTCATAGCTGAATTCTTCAACCGTATATATTATATGGATAACAGCTTAAAACAAATCTCCTCATGATGGCTTTGAATTGGAGTTCAGTGCGACAATTTCTGATGTTTATTTGACCTTTTTTGTGTCTTTTTTCTGTAAGACAGCCAGCTGCACTGCAAGCACTGGTATTTTGTGAACTTCTGCCTCTCCCACTGAACATATATGAGATTAATTTGGGAAGAAAAATAAAGTCAATCAGACACTGAATCAAAAATATTTATATATACTGCTATACCCATAAATAAACTTTAAGACTTGAACAAAGACTTTTTCTTTAAAGTTGAAAAGTTCTCCTGAAAAGCACTTTTTCATGTGTTTGTTTTATCCAAACTTTCTGACCACTTTGCCCAGTCTGTCTCTCTTCCCTAAGTCTCTCATTCCTTTTAAAAGATGCATCGCTCCAAAATCAATCACTGCCAAAAAGGCCTCAGTAATTACCCTCAACAGTAAAGTAAACAAAACGAGAAGTGTATTTTTTTTGAGACTTTTTAAAGTAGTGGATCAATATGTTCCTGTTCTAGAGCAGAGGAGCCGGACTGACTGAGTCAACATAAACTACAGCGTGTGTGTGTTCACAATAATGAAGGGACTCTACGGCAACAGAGGTGGGTCTGTGAGGCTGTTCAGAGCTGAAATGCTCACAAAATCAATCTGCTGTGCTAAAGTGCTTCAACCTTTATTTAGAGAAGCATTTTAAAATACTCACGTTTACAATGAAGTACCCTTTAAAAAAGGGGAAGATACAGAGACAAACACTATGATGACAGTTTTGTGTTCTTATCAACTTTGTGTCTCCTCAGTGTTGGCTGCTTTTATGTATCCTGTTGTAAGATGCTCTTCAAGGGTTCACACCAACCACATGATAAAAGTACAAAACACACTTTTGACTGGGAAAAAAGGTGTTAACAGCATGTCTTATACACCGAGTTCTACAATAACTGCTTTTCATTCATTTGTGTGCAAAAGCACTTGATGCCACCACTGCATAAGTCAACACTCACATCAGGCCACAAGATTCAAATGAATCTGGACATGCCCCTGACAACTAAGATCTATTTGGAGGTTTTTAACAATTTATTTACCATAAAATACTAAATATAGGGGCAACAAGTATATCAAAAAGTCTGTTTTGGAAGTGCTCCCAGAGGTAAAAGGTTTTAATGCTTCTACTGTGTTCAGCTATGTGCAGTTTTTGAGCAGATGTGTTGCTCTCTCTAGTACCCTCTGTTATCACTGCTCTGTTTGTGACTTATAGTGGAGCTCAGTCTGTGGTTAAATGAGATATAGATAGGCTCACTTCCTGTGATCAATCAGTATGTTTACATGCAAATTAAGTCCAACCTTGCTTACAGCTCCATTAGGCGATTTAACTGGACGACTGTCCTTCTCCCAGTTGGCAAGTGGCTACCGCTGAATGATGACAACACAGTCACCTCCACAGCCCTGTATCTTTTGTTTGTACCATATGACAGTTTTAACTTTCTTGTATCTTTAAAAATAGGTTTTGTTTACTACCCGGCGTCTTAGTGACACATTTATGCAATTTAACTTCGGGCAGAACACTTAGACCAGTTTAAGTGCAACAGAGGTGCAAAAAATCTGTTTCCAACCGTATTCTCTTGTCATTTTAATTTGACTATAAAAAGTGCTGAATGTACCAGCTCTCTATGTCAGGTTTTGGGTGGCTAAGTAGTTACTTGCTTCCTTGAGCGCCATCTTCTGGGTTACACCCTGTGTTTTATGTAGGTAAATAAGTCAAACATGTATTGAACACGGCTCACTTTTTGGGTGTCAAAAAAAGTGTAAACAGTGTGTCTAATTTGGGCCCTGGTTGGGCTTAGCTGGTAGAGTGGGCACCCCATGTACAGAGGCTTTAGTCCCCATCACAATTCTCTGTCCGGACAAGACTGGGTGAATAAAATCCCCAAAATATGCATCTTATTCCCCAAATCGATCTTTAACAATGTTGAAACCTTTCAGCCTGATAAGTGACAAACACGAGACCTACGGGGGATTCTGTCATTTAGAAATTAGATTTTTCCACATTAATCCATGTTAGGGTGAGATAACATAAAAGTGTTGTATCTTCCAGTTTGAGCTGTGATGACACCCCTGCGATGGTCTGAAACTTGTCACCTTCACTTTAAGGTTCACCAAGAATAGATTTATGCTTCATCCAATAACATAAGTGATGTTTACAGTGAGCGGCAGAGGGGGATTAAACAGAGCGATCTGTCATGTTCAGAGGACACAAATAGCAGATCTGAGCTGTTACACAAACACATAAACTCCCCTGACAAACACATTGTTTCTGAAATAGCAGCAGCAACATGTGAGCGCAGATTGCACCATATTCCCCGCTGATGTTTCAGCGTTTAGTTGCAGCCTTGGGAGTTCGCTGCTTACCCTCTGTGGGCTGGATAGAAGTGGGTTCAACTTCGTCCGTGGCCAGGCTGGTCCCGGGCTGGGGCTCTGAGATAACGCTGTTCACATTCTGGAAAACATGAGAAAAAACACCCAAGGTCAAATACAGACAATCTGTCAAGCACAGAAACGAGGCACCAGATGAAAGGTTACTGTCACTCTGGTTTCTTTCATTTGATCTTGACTTCAAACCACAACTTGGCAACTTTTTCTCTAGATTTATCCAGATAAAGATCAACACGTTCTTGAGAAATATGCCAGTTGCATTATGGGAAATGAAGCTTGTGTAATGCTCGAAACCAAACAACAGGACATCAGGGCTTAAGCTTGACAGATATCAAAGTTTTTTCTTTAAGGGGGGTATGATGAGCACCTCTACAGGTCACTCTGTCCACTCTATCAGGTTAAAGTTTCCCACTTTGGAGGCTGTGATTTGTAAAAGAGGTCAGGTGATTGTGTTCATAATAAATTGTGTGTCAATAGGAGTGTCCTTAAATAAAAACAGGCAAAACCTCAAAGTCAGTTGCAGTATCACATTTCTAACCAGTAAACAGATGCTGTGTCTGGACTTGTATCTGGATGACAGTGTCCTCATCTTTCTCTTGCATGTTCACCTGTATTTTCAGTGTGATCTCATAAACCTCACTGGGACTTAATCCTCAGAGAAAAACTTGTGCTTGGAGCTCAAGTGACACTTCAGTGCATATGCAGAGGACTGCACCAACATGGACTTGAAACTTTTCAGGAAATTTAACCAGGAGGAACAGCTCCTGTTTGTGTGAAACACCCCTGGGCTTGGTTTGGTCTACTATCCAAAACTATGTGAGGCACTCCTGAACAAAAAGTTGTAGACGAGGAAAGATGGGGACATAACAGTTCCTCTAAAGTGAGACCAAAACACTCAGAGCTCCCTCTAAAGACTGGCTGCAGAATAGGTGATAAAGCCTGCCTCCTTAATTCGAACAAATGGGACATGGTTCACACCTCTGCTCTTGAGAAATAAAGCTGCTCACTGCATCCACAGCAAGAGGTGTGAACTTTTTATAATGCGTTTGTTTGGAAGAGTCACTATTACTAATATGGTGGCCACCAGGGCTGCAACAATTAGTCCATGTTGTCAACAAAAATCGATAATAAAAAAAGTCGACAATGAATTCCATTGTCGACTATTGTCGCCAGACTTGTTTTTTCCAGCAGAGTGAGGTATCCTATTATATCATTACGATCTCTGCCTAGAGTCACACATGTGCAATAGTGTCTCTGCCGAGCGGTAGGGTATTCTAATATGGGGCCGCCGGCGTCCCATACAGCAGCTACGAGTATGCGCTTCAAAACCTCTTGAAAAAAACTTGCAAGGTTTGCAAGGCAGTCCTTGCAAACCACATCCCAAAAATTGCAGTACCATGAGTGCCCACTTGGGGCTACCTGCAATAGCCAAGGAACCTACATTTATTGTCATGTTAAAATGTTGTTGTTTTTAATAGCGTACTTAAATCTGATTAAAAAAATAGCTGATTTATTCATTTGTGCACCCTGTATAGGGGAGGATGGTATTAAGGGTAAGAGTGATACATAGATATACATGACTAGGGGGTGACTGAGTTTACAGACAGATCCATGTTCGGCAGCTGTTTTCCAGGAGGGTAAAGCTCCACCAGCTTTTGGTGTCAGTACAGAGAACTAAACCCTGAAAATAAATAACCTTTTTGTCCCTCCACTGCTCACATAATTAAATGACCAATGTTTAGTGTCAGGGATGAATTTCTAGAATAAACTGTAGATTGATGAAGCTGTTTTTTTTATTCTTGGTACTCTGCAGGTAAATTTTAGTGTTTAACTGTGATAAACTCAGTACAAACACTTTCATATCTCTCTATCTGTCAGAAGAAAATTTACAGTTTCCCATGAATTATAGATTTGAGTGTCTGTGGAGTCAGCCTGGGAGCCTCAGTGAAAACATGTCATTATCTGACACACTTGCCACACAAAGATGACCTATATCTTAAAACCCAGTGCACTTTTCTCTCTTCTCTTTTGTCTAAAAATGTGAGATTGGAGAGTTATTTTTACACATATACGGTTTTGTCATAAATAACATTACAGCTGAGTTATCTCTAGGCTTTCTCTTCGTTTTAATAACTGGCTTTCTAAGTTTAAAAGGTGCTCAACAGGTAGCTGCAGCACAGACAGACAGGTGTTCACGTCACTATTGTTGTCTTAACCTCTTTAACCTCTGACCCTTCAAATGAAAAGAGCCATCACTGTCACCACAGCTGAGAAGCTCCAACCAGACCATGACTATTTGATTTTGAAGTGACATGTGAGCTTCAAAAAGGTGCATTTTTTACATACCTGCTGTAAAAATAGAAACGCAATTTCCTTCAATGTGAATCATCCTTGGAGAACAATCACCCCACCCCCTGCTTTTTTTTTCTTGTGACCCACAAACAGGGCCTGTACCCTGACGTTCAAGTCAGTCTTGCTAGGTATTTTACATATTTTGGCAACAAGTGGCTCTGCCAAACCCTGTTAAAATAAAAGAGACGTTATAAATAAGGATTTGGCAAAGCAGTTCAAGTGTTGGAGTAACATTTACAGGTAACTGAGATGCCTCCTTTTAAAGAAACTTGGGGGAAATTTCTGGAAAGAGAAGAAGAAGCCACACATCCAAGGATAGATAAGATTAAATGTTATTAGTTTGACTTATCACCCATTTAAACTGCTGCTGATGTAAGATGCACTCAAAAGGATGCAAACAGTTGAAAACAAAACATTTACATGCAGGTTTGGAAGCATATTTTGGCGTTATTAAGGATGCTGGCTGGTCCTTACCTTCACCATTGTTCCCAGTGTTTCTCCTGCAAACACACCTGGCAGAGAAACTTGAGACAGGAGCAGCTTCTTGTTTCAGCCTCCGAACCAAACTCTGCCCTTAAATCTGTCCGTTTCTCTCCGTCTGTGGGTGTAAAACCTGATATTCTGTCTGTTCTGGTGTCTTTTTTCTTTCTCGCATCAGCCTGCTGCTGTCTAACTTCTGCTCTCTCACACTTACAGGCAGAGCTACGCACCTCTCTTTTCTGCCTGCTGGTTCTGCCGACGTGGCGCCCTGAACCGCCACACACACACGTACAAACTCACACACTCACGGACACGCACACACAGGAGGCTGTAATGCACACATGGCAACGCACTTCACTTCCGCCCGGGACTTTCACAGTTAAACTTTTTAAGTGTTGAGGTGGACGACTTTTGGAGTGATAAAACAAGATTTAAATTTAAGAAAAAAAAATCATAGGCGACAAGTATTTTTTTTAAATTATGAAAATAATAAAATTAATAATGAATAACCCCCCCACCCCCGAAAAGAAACATAATAATAATGATGATGATGATGATAATAATAATAATAATAATAATAATAATAATAATAATAATAATTGTAATAATAATAATAATAATAATAATAATAATAATAATAATAATAATAATTATTATTATTATTATTATTATTATTATTATTATTATTATTATTATTATTATAACAATAAAAATATAATAATGATTAAAACAAAAATAAACTCAGCATTTCAACAGGACTGTCAGGGATATAGAAATAAGATCAAACCTTAAAAAAAAACAACAACAACAACAACAACAACAATATACTGTATACTAAATGTAATGTATCCGGTGTTCTGAAGTATCCACCTTAACCTGAAGATTATTCACTTTTCTTAAAATTTTATATGCACATATTTTTGTTTTGGGCTTTTGCATATGTTTTTAAAGTTATGTTGCCTGCTTTTACGGTACAGTTCTTCTCATTGGCCCTTGTCAGCCACCATACCTGAATTTTGACGGGGGAAATGATTATGAATGGGGTGTTGATGTTGTTTAAATCATTCGAGTTCCTGCAGTTGCCTGGTAAAATATGAGACAAACACAGAAACACTAAATTGTATTGATTAAGTATAAGTCAGATTAATATAAAATAAATACGATTATAGTTGCATACATCTCATATGACAGTTTTCTTCCCATTGTAGAGATAAAGAGCCAATATTTGTGTCATTTAAAGCACATGTTCTCTTGGCTTTTATTGTGAAAAGAGGAAATCGGTAGTGAGCGGTTGTTGCGCGTGGAGCTCCGGATCCAGCTCCGGATCCTGCTTCACAAGATACGACCAAGCGTTCAGGAATGAGTGTTCTGTATGAGTGACTGTGACTGTCCCTGATATCTAATTCTGTTCAAAGGGAGACTAGCAGTGAAAGTTTAACATGTAGGTCAGTATATAGAGCAACTTCTAGACTAAAGCCATAAAGTTAAAGACCGTCTGTAGATAACAGTCAAGGTTCATAGGTGGAGTGGTGATGTTGGCAGCTGTTTTGGTTCACTCGGAGTGGAAAAGGCCTCAGATACACCCCACAAATACCTCCAATACCTCGGTCTGATGAACCTGTTATAAGGCTGCAGAGTTAAATATGCTGCTGGGCCCCCTTCAGGGCTGATAAATAACTAAAGACCAGTAATTTTCTCTCACATTTCCTCTTCTTTTGTTACTTATTCCTCCTCTCTACAACACTTAAGAGAACAAGTATTGCCTGTTGTCAGCTGATGGTAATATCAAGTCATTATAAAGTCATTTTCATCCTAAGTTTGGCAGGCTGAAAAGCATTCAAATCACCCCCAAATGCTTACCCTGTAATCATTATGAAAACAGAACCATTAGAATATTTTTACTCTGAATATGTTTGATGCTGATACTTGTTTACCTAACGCTTGGAGATCAATATCAGCAAACTGTGGCTATATGCTCTGGAAATTGTAAAAAATGGCATCCTTACCAGCTTGTTATTGACAAGCAGAAACTTCTTACAGTAGTGTTAATCTATTAGTCAAATTCATGGCTTTGTGACAAACTATTTTTTATTTATTTTTTTACACAAACTATATCCTGAAGACAATACTTAATAGTACCACGGAAAATAAAAACAATGTACAAAAATAAACAAATCATTAAATCCCATATCTAATAGACGGCTATTAGACGACTAGCTTTTCTTTAGACCTAATTTCAACCGTCTAGATTCTGTATATTTTAGACGGAATTTAGACATTACACTTTAACCTATTATTTGATAACTATTTATTCCAAAAAGCAACTGAGAGTTGTATAACTGATCTTCCAGGACATAAATAATGTTAATAGCTGTTGAGCAATATACAGTGTAGTATAGATATAGCCTATATTTAGCCTTGGTCTAAATTTAGACATCTAAAAACCTTTAATTTTTAGACCTGTGGTAGCCTGATTTTAGACTCGACGTCTAGGCTACATTTAGACGTCTGTTAGACCTCTTATAGACCAAAAAATGCTCAGTGGGTAGGCCCACAGTCATTTGTGTTGCCAGACTGTCATTGTATGAAAACGTTGAAGGACCTGAAAATTTCAGTCATGAATAAAAATCTATTTTTCAAGCATAGCAGTCAGAAATCTTGCTTGAAAGATATAAGTCATGTAGTCCAATGTTGTTTACTTTCCCCTCTATTAGAAACAGCGACGACCCCTTTTTAAATATTACAGCCCTTTCGTTTTGCTCAGGCATATTCCGGGTCGTGTTGTTTGGGGTCCTTACTGAGAGCTCGGCGCCAGTCTCCCGGTTGTTAACGGTGGAGGAGAATCCGAGTGAAATTTGGTGAATTATTCCTTAAATTCTTGCAGCTAAGGACACCTGGGTCCTCTTTGCTCCAGCGATGAATCTGGAACTGCTCGGTAATGAACAGATACATTGTTTTTCCTCCGTATACCCCGCTATCGTCGCATCATTATTGTTGTGTTCTTGTTGTGGTTAGCAGTGTGCACTAGCCTAGCATGCTAACATCAACCGCTCTAATATAAATTATTATTATCTGGATTTTCCTGAACTAATGGATAAAATACTGAGTTGAATAACATTTAAACACACTTTAAGCTTTATTCAAACTCTTTATGTCAACATTCGTCCCGAAAGTTTGTGTATTTTATGAATAGTAGCTGATACCGTTCAGTCTCTTGGCTCTTATCGTTTCATATATGAATTAAATGTTTGTGTTTAATAAGACATGTATTCAGTATTAGTATACATATTTTCTAACTAGCGTCTGTCTTCATGATCTTAACGCTACTTGAATCTCTGTGTGAAAGTAATAAACTGTGTATGTGACTGAAAAAGTACATAACTGATGTTATTATAAAGAGATGATAAAGACGGAAACTGCAGATTTTCAGTTTTAACAAATGTTGGAAAAGTCTCACAAAATTCCAAATGTGTTCAGATGAAGCAGAGACTCCCCTTCTTAAACTTCTCTATGTTCATTTGAGCATTTTAAAGTGTTTTACTCATTATAACTTCAAGAGGTCTCTAAAGATTTGTCCTTCCTGTGTCAATAACTTAAAGTGAAACAACCCTTTTTTACAAATCCAATGCTTGTTTCCAACCTCAACATGCTCTCTGTCATCGCAATGTTTTGCATAAATAATTTGATTTGCATTTGATTGTTTTTGTTCTGTGCAAAGCATGCTGAATTTGCATATGTATGAGATGAGCTGTACATATGAAAACAAATTGAACCAAATTGGCCCCTACACAGCTGTAAGTGAATGCAGGGAGTCTTGATAGAAATTTAGGGTATGTATCGATTTGATGAAAAATACATCAAACAGTTTTGGTAACCTCAGTCTGGACTGGTAATTACCACCAAGTTGAAGTAAGCACTCAGTACTCAAAGTGAGTTTGAAATAAAGTATGTTTGACTTTTGGATCCACAGGCTGTTCAGTTTTATCTCCACTTTCGTTAAGTTTCAGCAGAGTAACTTTTTTTAATTGCTCTTTTCACCTCTGGTGATCTCTGCTTTAAATTATACCCCTACTTTACCTCTGAGTCAGCTGTGACTTCAGTAGATACATCCTCTATAACTGCCTCTTTCTTGTTTACTGCTTCACATCTTCTTTCTTCTTTCTTTCCTAGAATCGTTCGGGCAGAACTATCCAGAGGTAAGCCGCCAGCTCCATACGTACACTTCAGTTTGATGGAAGGTCTCAGAGTGTTGTAAACCTTTGTTTCATTGTATGTTTACGTGTCTGCGTGTGTTTTCAGGAGGCAGATGGCACTCTGGATTGTATCAGCATGGCCCTCACCTGCACCTTCAACCGTTGGGGCACCCTGCTGGCTGTGGGTTGTAACGACGGACGTATCGTCATCTGGGACTTCCTCACACGAGGCATCGCCAAAATAATCAGCGCACACATTCACCCAGTCTGCTCGTTATGGTGAGACAGTCATTCAAAAGTACCATTAAATGCACTAATGGACAGAAGGCTAAACACCTGTGTGTTCACAGCTGGAGTCGAGATGGCCACAAGCTGGTGAGTGCTTCTACAGACAACATTGTCTCGCAGTGGGACGTCCTGACTGGAGACTGTGATCAGAGGTTTCGTTTCCCCTCACCCATCCTGAAACTCCAGTGTCATCCCAGAGACATGTAAGTGACCACAGAGAGTCTTTATGTAAATGATTTCGTCACCATTGGCAGAAAATTGCAGACTTTCTGTTTTAAAACCAATTTGTTATGATACTCTCAGGGATAAGGTGCTGGTGTGTCCCATGAAGTCCGCCCCCGTCCTGCTGACTCTATCAGACTCCAAACATGTTGTCCTGCCTGTGGACGACGACTCAGACCTAAATGTGGTGGCAGCCTTTGACAGGCGGGGGGAGTACATCTACACCGGCAACGCCAAAGGAAAGGTCAGACTTATGCAGCAGTGACTTTTTTTCAGCATGGCTACAGACACAGCAGCTGCGATGTCGACCCGTATTCATGCGCATGAAAATAGTTTCAAATTAAATGACTTTGGAGTCCTTATAGACAGGATTATACAGGTTTGTGTTTGTCTCAGTTTACAGCTTATAGAAAATAAAAATAATTAATGTCACAACACAGAAATTTACTCACACCTGTTATTTATTTACAAACCAGAGTACTTATTTACCCAGCCTACATGCAGCCTGTGAACATTTGAGTTTTCTGGGCTTTTTGAAAAAACCTCCAGAGCTCTTTGATAGTTGAACTCAGCAGTGGAGGGGGCCATTAATGCTCACACTCATGCAGATGGCAAGATGCTCCTCTTGTAGCCTGTTCCTCAGGTCAATCTTCACCTAGAAATTCTTGTGTTAACCTCTACTCTGCGCCGCTCAAGGAGCTACGCTGTTACGTTCATGTAACGTTACGTTCTCTGCGCTTCTCGCTGTATAAATAAGCTGAAACGTTACCTTTTACGTTAATGGAAGAGGGTCCGACAGGATTTGATGACTCAAAACAAGTCGAAAATAACGTTGTGTTTTGTTGTGCTCACACAGTGCGAGTAGAAATCATTAGTGGCGCATTGATGTTAATGATTATGTCAGTCGCGGCGCACATAATTCAGCAGTGGCAGTGTGCCGCTTCTGAATGAATGTAGGGGAAACACTGTGCAGTATGCTTCACATTTATGTCTGTGCTTCTTGAAAGAAAACAAATGTTACATTGAAATAAAAATCTCAGTGCTGTGTAAATGTGAAAAAAAAAAAAGCACCTCCTGAAAGTGGTCAACTGAAACAGTTCATCATCTTGTCTCTGTCTGCCTGCTGTTGCAGATTCTTGTGTTGAAGACAAACACTCAGGAACTTGTTGCTTCCTTCAGAGTTACAACCGGCACCAGCAACACCACCGCCATCAAATCTATTGAATTTGCACGCAAGGGCAGGTGAGCGGCTACATGATTAAACCTGGAGGAGAACATTATTGGGACCCCTCACATATAAAAATGGGCAGATTATTGTCACAGATTGAATTTTCTTTAAAAACCAGTGCTGAAGAATTTTCTTCTTTTTGCTTTCCTCCTTGTGTGTCTAATCTGACCCTGGTTTTTGTCTGGTTTTCTGTGCAGCTGCTTCCTCATAAACACAGCAGACCGGATCATCAGGGTGTATGACGGCAGGGAGATACTAACCTGTGGCAGAGATGGTGAGCCTGAACCCATGCAGAAACTACAGGACTTGGTTAACAGGTATGTCTACACTGAACCCTGCTCCACTTCGTCTGCTGTAGAAGATCTTTTTTCCTGTTTAAGTCAGCTTGTTTTGTTTTGCTGAAGGTTGAAATGGTATTCATAAGAAATGCAAGATTGCTGCACACTTGGAAACATTACATGTTATTACTGAATCTTGGTGCCGTGGGGTTAACATTGATTGTGTAGTAGACCCACATCTCTTTCCTCCTCTGGTCTCAGTCTGTTCTCGTCCTCTGTCTGTGTTTTTCTCCGTCCAGGACTCCCTGGAAGCGTTGCTGTTTCTCTGGGGATGGTGAGTACATTGTGGCCGGCTCGGCTCGGCAGCACGCTCTCTACATCTGGGAGAAGAGCATCGGCAACCTGGTGAAGATCCTCCATGGAACAAGAGGAGAGCTGCTGCTGGATGTCGCTGTAAGACTCTCAACGCTGAAAGTCTGGCTCAGACAAACACAGTATGTGTCGATTTAAACGTTGACACAACACTAACTCATTTCACCTTTGACCTTTGTCCAGTGGCATCCTGTCCGCCCGATTATCGCCTCCATCTCCAGCGGAGTGGTGTCCATCTGGGCTCAGAACCAAGTGGTGAGTGGACAGTGACAGTAAAGGCTGAACAGATGTTTTTAAAGGTGTTTAAGCCGTCATGTTTCTATACTAAAAGACTTTTCTCCGTGTTGTTAGTCAGATCAAAGTTTGGAAATTGGGCCTTAAATTAAGCAGTTAAATCCCCACTGAGTTTAAGTGACAATACCAAGTTGACACTGGGGTTTGTTCTTTTATGAAGGGTTACTCATAGTAATTAGTTCCATCCTTTACAAAGAGCCTTGAAATAAGATGAATAAATTGTACAAACTAAACAGCAGTATAATAGTATGTACATGTTGGAGTCAATGAACACTGTTTGGTCTGCAGGAAAACTGGAGCGCCTTCGCCCCGGACTTTAAAGAACTGGATGAAAACGTGGAGTACGAGGAGAGAGAATCTGAATTCGACATTGAGGATGAAGACAAGAGTGAACCTGAGCAGACAGGTAGATAACAAACAAACAAACATGCACCTGCACAGACACTCAGGTGTGTTCCACAGACCTTTTTGACTGTTGCTGTGTTATTGTTGGAATGAGTTGGAGTGTGGAGGGGACTGTGTAGTAGTCATGACTTAACAAACTAGTTTTTTTTTTTTTTTTGGACACGCGGTTCAGCCAAACCACCAAGTGCCCTTAAAGCACAACTGTGCCGGAAAAACCACTTCTGCTCCCTCTGAACCCTCTGCTGCAAGACAGAACTTGAACATTTCACTCTTTAGTAAAATGCAAATAAAAGTACGACAAAAAAACTACTAATGCTGGTGGCAATGAAGCGTCTCCTAAAATCTACTTTAAAACCTTTGGAAAGTACTGAGCGTTTCTACAGCTGATCTGACTCAATAATCTCATGTACGCTCTCTCTCTCTGATCCTTTTTGTTTTCCTGCGTTAGTTGAGACAGCAACTGCTGGATCGCCCTGCATGTCTCCAACATCCAACATCTCTCAAATCAAAATCACGCTCATGTTTCAGGTGCAGATGCAGCTGAGGACGAGGAGGTGGACGTCACGACTGTAGACCCTATAGTTGCTTTTTGCAGCAGGTCAGAAAAAAAAAAACATTGTCTTTGCTGCTTCTGCAGACCAATCTCAGTCGTCCTTTTCAAAACAACACGATGTCTCTTTGTGTCTCTCAGTGATGAGGAGCTGGAGGACTATAAGGCCCTGCTGTACCTGCCCATCGCTCCAGAGGTGGAGGATCCAGAGGAGAACCCCTTCGGCCCTCCTCCTGATGCCTCAGTCCAGACTGCTGCCACAGACGACGCCCTCGCTGGTGGAGACAAGAAGCAGAGACAGCCTTCGTCTGATGGAGGCCCGGCCAAGAAGAAGGCTCGCACCACTACTGTTGAACTACCAGGGGTGCCCAGCGATGGTGAGGGGAGGAAACACTGTGCTAAAAACAAGCTGGATGCATTTACAGAGCCAAGTTAATTTGGATTTACACGTTCAGAAACAGGTGAATGTTTTGTCAAAAGCTGACTGTTGATCCCGGTCCTTCCTCTCTCCCCAGAGGTGCACCCTCTACTGGGTGTGAAGGGCGATGGAAAGTCCAAGAAGAAGACAGCAGGCCGGCCCAAAGGCTCCAAAGGTAAAGACAAAGACTTCCCCTTCAGGCCCAAGCCCTACAGGGGCGAACGGCCCTCCTTCCCCATGGAGGCTCTGGGCAGCTCTGGCCCAGTAGGAGGAGGAGGAGGAGGAGGGATGAAGGGGAGAGCAGAGGGGGGCCTGGCCACAGGTAAGCCTGCCACAGCCACCTGCCCCGCTGCTGCTGCTGAGTCTGGGAGCTCTGCTAGTCTTGACTGACACCTCACCAACCCGGCCTGTCTCAGAGGTCCTGTTTACACCCGGTATTAACGTGTGCTGAGTGATCGGATCACAGGGAGACGGCTCTAAGCACAGGTGTGACACACAAGATCAGGTTACAAAATTCAGAGCTTTAAACTTCTCAATGGTAAATAGTCATGGATGCACAAATATAAGGTCACATGTGGAGCAGAAGATGCAAAGAGGATAAAAGAGTTAATAAAGATCAGAAAATGAAACTGAAAAGACGAAAAGGTGTGTAAGAATTCATCAGGAAATAAACTTTCAGCTCAGATTTTTTGGAGAGGCCCTTTAGATCTCTATGTAACCTCCCCTGTATTGTGAGGCTCTAGATCATCAGATTATTTAGAGGTGTTTACTAATCAGATCAGTCTTTTTACATTTAAACTTGTAGTCCATATATTTATTTACAATATGCCACTTCCATATCCTCGTAAATGACACACCAACCTGTCTGTAGTTCAGCTCGTTCTGCAGTGTGGTTCATACACTTGCAGTAAAAAGACACAGGTCAAAAGAACAATAGGATCCTCAATGACAGTCAAACCACAGATGTTTGTGTCTGTTCTCCGCCCACTCTCCTGTTTCCTCCTCTTGTATTGAGAGGGAATAAAATTAAATCTGAAAAGTGAACCGCCACACTTCGAGGTGACTACTCGTGATCAGACCAACCAGGATGCACATTAATACCAGGTGTAAACACGGCCAAAGACACCCCTCTCCTTGTACTGCTTCAACCCAACACCAACCCCCCACACCCCTTTCAACCCCACCGACTACACCCAACATCCCAGCTCACTGACAGAAACCTGTCGCAGCAAAGCCTCAGTCTGGAGGACAGAACGTAAAATCTGACCTCTGAACTTTCTTAAACTGAACAGGAGGCAGGGTGAACGTGTTGTTTTTAATCTTTGCTAGAATACTAGAATCAAAAATGGAACTTAAAAATCAAACCCCTGTCTTTATGTTAGTGAGATTTTACATTTTTCTTGTACTCAGAGTTTCTCCTCAAGAGTCCTTGACCTCAGTACGAACTTATTTAATCGTATTTCTCAAAAAAAGAAAAACTACCGACTCCTTTCTCTCTAACGTGGGCCTCAGCAGTAACATACCTGCTCTGACGTCGCTGAATTCCAGGCCTCATGTTTTGTAACACAAAGTTACCACTCGGTCAGACTTTAAGCCACATGCGGCCTCTTTCTGCTGCTATTCTGGGCCAAGAAATCTGCTTGCTGTTAAGTTTGTTGGCTAAGTTTAGTTTTGAAATATGTGAACAATGTGGAGCTCAAAAACTCTGTTTGCAGAAACCCTGCAGCATCTTTATCAGAGAGGTGAGAGTTCTCGTGAAAGTGGTGAGTGTAAGCGTGCCCAGCAGGTGCTGCGGCTACATTAAAAGACCCTGAAAGTGCTGCAAACCAACATAACTAAGCTCACAGCTACACTCAGTGAGACACATCCCATGTTCAGAGGCTGTAGTCCTCTTTTCAGCAGTCATAGGTTCGACTCCTGGCCTTAAACCTCTGTTGCATGTCCACTCTTTCTCTCTCTCTCTTTATGACCCTCACGTTTCCCGTTAAATCCAAGTAACACTTCCCCTTCAAAATCAGTCAGTATTTTTCCCTGATCTATGAATATCACACACACTCGTCTATATATTTAAAGCTGCGGCCACTGAGATCAGAGCTTGTTATGTTTTAATTCCATGTGTAGTTGAAGTCCATGGCTGTTCAAGAGAACCACACTGTTACACACTGACTCACACTGAACTTATACTAGGACTGTGTTGCCTGAGTTAGGATGTATTGATATTGATTAAAGTTATTTCTGCAGTGTTAAATCCTGTTGTACTTCTATAGCTTAATTCCCTCCAGACTGTGGCTTTCTGACAGAATAACCTGCTAACTTTAGCCTCACTGCGACTAATTTGCCTTCATTTTAAACTCTGGTGAAGTTGGTTTGTAGTTGGCAGACGGGTGTTGACGTGGCTGAACGGTGGGATGGTGCAGCTTGTTTCCCTGCGGGCTAGCTGGCTAGTCTACGTCTACTTCCTGCTTGGCCTCTGACCCTCCTGCTCCCGCTCCCACCTCGCTCCTTTTGGGCTTTTCATGTGACATGAACGTGTGTCTGTAGCAGCGCTGCTCAGGTCCTGTCTTCTCTGTTTTTCTGTGTCTGACACATGTTGATTATGCTGTAGTTTGTTTTTATGTCTTAACATATCCTACTAGCACCACCCAATTACGGAAATCCATTAAATCGTTGTATCAGGACTAAATCATGAGACGATAAAACAAGGGAGCATGATTCTATCATGATGAAATGCTTATAAATCAGATTTTAATTGTTTTTAATCATAACAGCAAAGGTTGGACTCCTGATAGTTTTGCATTAGTCTTGTTATTTTTGTGTTTAACTTCTCCTTAGTCATAATGAGTGTGAGTGATTATGACTAGGGTGATGAGATAAAGTCAGAGTTTAGTAAAACTATGAATAGTTTCAGTGACAGAGTAGATGAAATGGACTGGAGTTTCTATGAAATTAAGGATTATGTTCCTCCAGACGGCATCAAAATCTAACATCGACCATCTTACTGAAAGAGAAAATCAGAATCCACTGTTTTGTGTGGATTTTGGCGTCCTCTTGGACAGAGTGTTTAGTATGTAGTCCTGACAAGAATAATCTGAATTTGGTTCTCTTTGGATCTTATATGAATCAGGTTGATCCAGTCCAGTTTCTCAGTGCTTTACCTCAGCGTCTGATTGCCGATGATGTGACGATATGTGTGTATTTCTGCAGGGAGTCTGGTCTCACAGTCGTACAAACAACACGACATCGGGGGGATGGACTGATGGCTGCTGTGTACAGTTGTGAAGGAGCACCAGCAGGCTGAAACAAAGAGACACAAAGCCTGATGTCATGTACAGACTATGTGAGTGAGCAGTCTGGCTCATGTGCAGACTGTTTACCTCTTCAAACCAGAGCACAGCGTCACACGAAAACTCCTCTCCTCTGCCCAGATCACTGACAGGAGCCGGCAAAGACGGTGTGGAGCAGCTGAGACGTCACAGTAGAGATCATGTCCTCTGTCTCTGTAGGATTCAACATGTATAGATACACCTGTGACCTGATAGTGTGTGTGTGCGATGTGTGTCTGTCGTCTTACTCGTTGTTTTTATACGTATTAAAACATTTTGATTTATAAATAAAAGCCTCTGAGTGGTTCAAAATTTATCTGGAGATCCTTAAAATATTATAAAAGGAGGAAAAGTTGGTTCATTTTTAAGATATGGCATCAACATTTGCTAACTAATATTTTCTCTATAAGAATTGCCAACACTTTTTTTAAATGTATTTGAGTACCCAGATGTTTGAAGAGACCTGGAAAAAAATAAAAAAGACGATTGTTTTCTATTTTTCTCGTTTTCTCAAACTGCACCATTGTCTCTATCCTGGGACAGTGTTAGCTGATTTGAAATAGAGGCCCATTTATAAATTTTAATATGCTCTAAAATTACTCTAAATCCTCCAAACAGTCCTTTTGCATGACATAAAGGTGGCCTATCATCACCATTGAAATAAACTGTCTCAAGGGTCTGCAAGCTGAGCTGTAGAGGGTATCAGCTCATTTATGAATTACAGTATGCTTGATATTTACTTTAAAAGAAAAACCCTGGTCATTTTGTGTAAAGTTTAAGCGTCCTTTTCGGCTTTGTAGTGAAAACTTTTTATAGGGGGTCTGCTGCTGAGCTACAGTGAGTACAAGCTTATCCTTAAATTTTGACATGTTTCATAGTCTCTTAAATTCTAAAACAAGTCTGTTTGCATTAAAGAAAGCTGTCTCAGCTTTACAGTGGACACTGTGTTGAGGGTCTGCTAGCTGAGCTGCAGCAAAATTTAACACAGATTTAAACTGTCATAACTAAATAAATAAAATGTCACCTTTAAAACTTGTCAGCTAGATGAGCTGTAATGCATAAAAAGTTCATTCAAAGATTTTTAATATCCAGTCTTGTTGTCATTCAGGTTTTTATGTGTGAATGTTTTAGTTTCCCTGGTTTGACTTATTTGTATTCCTTTATTTACTTTTATTTAAAAGTTGCAGACTGATGTGAATGTGTTCTCTTGCAGCTTTGTATAAAGTAAATTGGCTCCTGTTGCTAGATCTGTCAACTGTGGGTAAAAGATTAATCAACTGCAGCACTTGTGAAGTAGGAAGTTACAAAAAGGGACCGTGGATGTTCATGCACGAATTTTCCTCAAGTTAGAGAGACTCGGGACTCCTGAGTGTGGACAGTGAAGTGTACTTTCCCTGCTGCAGAGTGATTAGAGCTGCTTTTTCTCGTGAAAATGTACACATTACTCACTCATCACCTGATCTACTGTACGTTTCCACTTCTGAATCCCCAGTCTTCGTTTGTCACACTGTCAAAAATAAACGTCCACCCCGGTTCCACCTGCCCTGTTACCTTTTTGGACCAATCACAGAAAAGGCGGCACGTTATTGGCCAGCAGCGGCGACGGAGTGGCTCCTCGGCCTGTCAATCAAACTAGCCGTTCAAGGTGGACAGAGTTTCTCAGACTGAAACAGGAAGTGCATAAAATTAAGAGCACAGCATGTCGTTTGAGGTTCAAGTAAATTAACACTTGTTCATATAAAATGGTACTTCTCTCTACTGTCTTGCGAGGATTTTTCTTATAATGTTTAAGTTGAAATAAAAACTAAACAAATCATCATAGATTTCAGGAAGGGCAGAGCGTACCCAGGGACTGTGTGGAAAGGGTCCATACCATGAGATTCCTGGGTGTGCAGATATCAAAGGACCTTTTCTGGACCGCAAGTACTTCTGCGGTGGTGAGGAAGGCCCAGCAGCGTCTCCACTTTCTGAGAATGCTCAGGAGAAATAACCTGGAGGAGAAGTTGCTGGTGACCTTCTTCAGAGGCCCCATAGAGAACATCCTGACATACTGCATCACAGCTTGGTATGCGGGGTGCTCTGCAGCCGACAGGAGAGTGCTACAGAGGGTCATCTGCTCAGCCCAGAAGATCACAGGCTGCCCTCTGCCCAGCCTGGAGGACATTGCCAACTCTTGCTACCTGAGCAGAGCTGGCAACATCATCAAGGACTCCTACCACCCTGGAAACCACCTGTTTGACCTGTTACTGTCAGGCCGAAGGTACAGGTCACACAAAGCAAGGACCAACAGACTCAGGGATAGCTTCTTCCTGAGAGCTATCACTGCAGTCAACAACAACAAGTCCAGTTGAACCCGTCCCCCTCAACAAACATATATACTGATCACATTGATCAAAGTGCAATAAATGTATCATTAACGTGCAATAACACTGGGCTTCACTTGTGCAATTATTGGGTTTCTTATCATTCATTCCTGTTTGTTTATATTTTATAATTCATATGTATACATATATATATATATATTACAGCCATTTTACTTGTCTTTCTTCTTATTCTTACCTTATCTTTGTGTTTTAAATGGCTTCCATTTTAGTATTTATTTATTACTTTTGCTATGCACCAAAGGGAGTGGCGCTCAAATTTCATTGTACTGTGTCCAGTGACAATAAAGCCGATTCTGATTCTCATTCTGATACTGAACTAATGCAACAAATGGCTTTTTTGAACATGTAAACACACTTTATTCTCTAAAGGCCATTTTGCTTATTTTTTGTATTCCCCACAGTATACAAACCTCTAATGTCATCCCTGCCAACGGTTTGCTACTGAGAAATAATGGTCCGTTGCTATGGATTATTGACCAATCCGAATCAAGCACACACTCCTCTACCGAAGTAACCGTTGGTCCTCCCGTCAGAGCCGTCCACTCTTATTTTGAAGGGAACCCGGATGTAGTTTTTTGTTGGTTAGCTTGGCTCTCAGGGGCCGGGCAGCAGTCGGTCTGTCGGTCTGTAGTACTTGTGAACTGCTGCGAACAGTCAGTCACAGTCGGAGTACTCGTATGTCGCCGTGCTGTTCTTTGTAACTCTCTGGTCGTTAACGGGAACTCAGTTCGTGACCGTGGGTGTGATGGAAGTGGACAAAATGGACGAGAACGACTGGAGGTACCACGGAGAGGGGAACAAGAGCTTAGTGGTGTCACACGTACAGGTAAGGATGCTATGCTAACATGAAGCTAATTCAAGTTCAGTCAGGAGTGTAAATGCTTTAGGGGGGCACCGGCCGCCTGCTTCTCAGTTTTTAACGGTCAGACCCGTCCAGTCGAGTCTGTACCGGAGGACAGTTCTGGTTTAGACATGTTTAGGACTTTAAGGTGACATGTCACCCACCAAGATTTTATTTATCACCTCCACACTGAGCCAGTGTTTGCTAGCTTGGTGGGCTTGCTAACCAACAGCTAAGAGTTTGGTGAAGTCCTATCAGTGATCGAGAGTGTTACAAAGAGACCAAAACAGCACAGATGGTTTTATTATCAATATAAATGAAGGGTTAGTAACAGGACGGGATAACTGTTAGTGTTGGGCTCCAGATGTGTTGGGTCCTAACCGGCTGTTTGGGGGCTAAGTTAGCCGTTAGCAGCTCTCAGGGTTTTTATCCATCTGCTGGTTGAACAGAAACTCTTGACCGCCTCTCTGCCCAATGAGGGTCAGACAGTCCGGCTTCTGAGGTCGTTTCCATGCAGGTTAATCCGTGCTGACAGACGCTGGACTGACCTGAGGACAGTGATGCGTGCACTGAATAACCTGTGGGAAAGCCTGACCACCTGAACCGGTGTGGAAATGTTGATATGACGCAATCCTTGACTTGGTATGAGGGCTTGGCATTAGATCATCAGGGGCTTGAATCATCCCAGCAGCTGTCAAACTTCACAGAACTTTTGATTGTTTATAATCAATACAGAACAGTAATGACAGGACCGATTCAGCTGGAGTGACGTGATAAAAGTGGACGAGGAGTTCATGGGAAAGTTCTGACAAGGAAATCAACACATTCGCATAGTAATACCATAAATTCTACTTTTAAAAGGCTCTTTCGTTTTTAGTTTTTGTTGACAACTGTTGTTTATATTAATTATTGAAGTTGTGATGGATGGTACCGGTGTGCTGGAGTGCATTATATTAGGGGTTTTCCTAGGACTGGGCAATATATCGATACATTTTTAAATGAGATATAGAGTTGGACCATATCACATATATCGACATACAGATATCAGATGCTGTGGTTGACAGGCTGGTGTTTCTCACACAAAATCTTTAAACAAAGGACACACTTGTCTGTCCTCTAATGTCTACCTCAAGACAGCACTAACCGTTTATCAAAGTAAAAGAGGAAGAAGAGGGGGAAATGTTTAATGAGTGTATAGTCTGTTATAGCCTGATCATAGTCATAGTCTTGTGCAGCTGGTTGAGACAGTTAAGAAGATAAGAAGGACAGATAGGTAGTTTTAAAATGATGTTTAAAAACAATTTTCTTAAACGGAGCACTTTATTTCGTTCTGTCGTTAGACATGTAAATACTGCCCTTACTAGGGTTTGTCATATTTAATTCTTCTGTCGTGTTCGTTGTTTGCACCTGTGGATTTGTTAGAGAGAAGAAGAAAATCTGCTATTTGATTTTAATAGGCCATTTATAGTTGTCAAAATGTTGATGCTTTTCTTATATAAATACATTTATTTCAGAAAAAGATTGGCCTATTTTACTTTATGGGCTGTTTTTATTTAAGATATATTTTTCATTGAAATGTGTACCTTAAGGAGCTCCAACAACAAAAAAAAGTACTCCTGAAAAGGTACTAAATAGAACTACTTGTGACATGTCATATTTGGCTTTGACTGTGACTAAACATTTGCTCTCACTTTGAGAAAACAGTACCAGGATATGTATCGTATATTGATATTCAGCCTAAATATATCAGGATATGACTTTTGGTCCATATCGCCCAGCCCTAGGTTTTCCTAATACTTCGTTCCTATCGTGTTTGTGAATAGAGTGGACAAAATATATGGAACTCCTTTACCTATAACCCACTTCACCACCACCAATAACTATGTTAATTCCAAGTATAAGGTGCAGTAATCACTTGTCTGATCATGACAACAAAAACGGAAATTTTATAGCTCTCTGAGAGTAAAATTTAAGGTAGTGCTGTCACATTGAACTGCATTAAATTGGCCCAGGTGTTCCTATTATTATGTCTGGTTGGTGTTTATTGCTTCACAGGAACTTTGTGGTGAACCTGGTTTAAGTCACTGAGCATAATTGATCAGTAACTCATCTATATGCTCTTGGAAGCTGTTAGTTCTTTAAGTATCAACATTAGGGCACAGCTCCAACCTGCAAAATCCACCAATCAGCCACGGCATCTTGATTTTGACAGGTGATGTGAAAAGCATTGATCAACTCCTTAATATGACATGTGTCATTAACATTTGGTTCTCAAAGTTGACGTTGGCCATGGTCGTCCAAAGCTCAGTGAGGCTGGTCCAACAGAAGATCTGGTTCTGATGGAGCAGTGTCAGAACACACACTGCTTCACAGTTTGTGCATATAGAGCTGCGTTCATGTAGATCTGTGCTCCTGATGACGCTCGTCTAGTGCAGGAAGTGCTCACGTTGTGGATATGAGCACCTGAACTAGATCACAGAGTCTGGAGAAATAGCTTTAGGTTTCCTGAGATCTCAGTCCAGCACCCAGGTCTACTGGGGTTCTCTTCACAACTTCCACCCTCCATAAAGAAGTTGTGAAGCGGGCCTTGGTGACATTAAGAATCTGGTGCTGACATGTTGGTGCCAGATACCAAAGCACAACTTTAGAGGTTCGGTGGGGTCCGTGTCTGGTCAGATCAGGGTTTAGACCCTGAGCTGACAAGAGGGGGACCTTCATGACGTTAGACAGGAGGTCAAAAAGATTCACTTGCAGATCCCTTTGTCGCTCAGACAGAATCAGCTCTTCTTAGCTGGACTTGCATAACAGATGTTTGATGCTCTAAAACCTCATGGTGAGGTGAATTTCTTCTGAATGAAACATTTGTAAAGCCTTGTTATGACCCAACCCTGACTCCATGGCTCACTCACTTCCCACTCAACAGGTGTGGTTATGTAAGAGGGGAAAACTGTGAAAACTGCATGACAGAAATATCACAAAGAGATTCTCATGCTTCAAATAACCTGAACACCTGTGATTAGGATGTGGTAAAGTTAGTTTTTTTGTGTGTAATTACAAAAATCACATCCATCTGTTTGCATGCTCTTAAATCCTTAAATGCATTAAAATCTGTGTTTTTTGAATTCATCTAAAGGAAAATTAAAAGGAAACTAAATATGTTTTTCCTTCTTCTTCTCGGTAAACTCTGGGGTTGTCGGAAATCATTTTTTAGATTAAAGCAGCAGCTGAAAAGGGAGAGAAGAGCTGCAGGCTGTGAGAGGAGATAATTTCATATATTGACAGTGATTTAATTAAAAGACGGACTAAAACTGACACAAAGTTGTACCTAGAATAGAAGGTGACACAGAGTGGACCTTTAATCCATCCCTGTCCAATTCCTGGATGAAATAATCCGGCTCCATCCTGTTATCGCTTGTAAACCAGCTGCCGGAGCAGACAGCATTCAATGAAAATAGATGACGCACTAACAAGTACTTTGTCTGAATGAAGAAGAGCCGCAGGTTCACCTTTGAAAAGTTAATTAATGTTGTTTTCATCCTGCAGACTCCTAACACCATGAGAGTCGAACAAACTCAGCTTCACCGCAGCCTGTGACTGAACAAGTAGATGCTGAATTACTGCACCACGTTATTTTGATCCGAACAAGGAGAAAGTTCACCCCAAACCAAAGCTGATGTGACGCAGTGTCTCGGTTTTCTTGCGTAACCTGGTCGTCCCTCTAAAAGCTCCCATGATCGTGTCTGTCAACATACTGCGGCATGTATGGATTTCCTTTATTCCCTCACATCCACATGCTGACGGAGTGTGATTTGTGGCAGCGGTAATATCCAGTGCTTTGTGTTGGAATGTGTTTTAAACAATCAGAGACTCTTGTCCCAACTTGCACTATGACGCAAAAGCTAACGATGCTAGCTTGTGTGGATAGCCCATAAATTCTTTTCTTAATCCACCCAAACTTTCCAGAATGGACTCTCTGTTCCGGTTGGATTGTGGGAAATCTGTATCAGTGCATCTCAGAGATGTTTCTGGGCTGACTCCTGGTGTGGATGACGCTCTGCTGATCCTGAACGTCTCTTCTTTTCTCTTCCTTCAGCTCTCCAGAGTTTTACGCCTGCTCAAGTATCCTGCAGAGGACTCTGAAAACCCCCCACAGGTAAATATATGTCTGTATGTGACACAGGTTTGTCTGGACCAAAATACTGCTCAGTGGAATGTGAACCTTTGCTTTCCCTCTTAGCCCTAACTCTCACCCGAGCAGAAATGAATAACAAGTCAGACCAGTAAAATAAAAGAGTTCAAAAAAGACGTTAAAGTTATTTTTCCAAGCATCAGAAATAACATAAATAATATAAATAATCGCAACAACAATAAAGAGTACAGATAGACAATTAAAGACGAATAAAAGCTCTAAAAATAGCAGAAAAATTTAAATTGACCAGCAGTCTATGGGAAGGATGGAAGGTTTGATTATGAGTAAATACGTCGGATTATAAGTTGCCAAATGTCTCTGAAAAGAGCATCACAACTCCTCCTCAGTTGTTGGTCAACCTGTCCTACTTCTGTACAACTTTGGACCCCGTGTCTCTTCATCTTTCAAACTTTTCATCCCCCTCACCGTGACGCTGAGTCACAGCTGGCTTTAGTCATGAGGGACGCTCTTAACCTCACTGAGATGTGGTGCAGTCTGCAGAAACAAACACCGACGATCACTAAACTCTGAATATGAGACAATCTCACACGATATCAGCATGATTATCAGTTTTTACACGTTCCATTTGTTTATTTATGTAATCAGTAAGTGCTGAGACTCTGAACTACAGCTGGTTATCATTTGGAAACATGACGAGGAAAAAAGACAAATATAAACAAACCACTGAGCGACAGAGTTTGAGAAATGATCCCGGGTCCAGACTCTGATCCACATACTCTCTCTGACAGGAAAACACCATGAGCTGAAGATCTGACTGATCCCTCTGTTATTTATCTAAGTGAATAAGCTGTTCAAAGAGCCAGCAGACTTAGACTAAATAAATAACACAGGAACAATAGCTCTGAACTCTGAAGTCACAGGTTTTCACATGCTGCTCCTGAAGGAGGTACACACGGTCGTTAAACTGGTTTTATTCTACTCAGCTGCGAGCAGGACTGTGGGGCATAAGGGTTCAGACTCAGATTAACGTCTGTAATCCTGATAATGTCTCTCAGACTGATTAATATGATGGAGAGCAGAAACAGACTCAGGAGGAACTCTAGGTGATGTTTAGTGAGAGCTGCTCAGAGAGGCTGAAGACACACACAACAAAAAGCGGTTTTGACTTAATATCTTAGACGGTCACATGGCTGCGCGGACCTCATGCTGCACCTGGAGGCAGACTCATGGATGTTGGGCTGGTTGTATCATAAATAGCTGATTTTCTGCAGGGGAGTGAGAGTTTAAAGGGCCAGGAGTTTTCTCGATAATGTCACTCAGGTTGATCAGTGAAGACGGAGAGGAGGAATCAGATGAAGGATGACATTTACCGGGTTCCTCATGCTCTGGACCAATCAGCCGGGACTCAGTCCATGTGTGGTACCTGTGCGTGCTGCTCTTACATCCTGGTCTGGTTAAACCCCGGCAGCTTCAGTCTCTGATCCGTATGCAAACATTATGTAAAGTGTTGCACAGCCTCATCCCAAAATTCCAATTCACACAGAGCTGCTCGTCAGCTGACTTGAGGGTTGTTTACAGAGCTCCTGTTTGCAGACGCAGCAGGATTAACAGGTGATGAACTCCTCTAAACACAAACAAAGATAAGACAAGTTTAATGTTCAAACAGTTTGCACATCAGAACAAATACTGAGGACATTCTACAAACCAGCATTTCTTTGTTTTGTTAAGTAACATGCAAGCATGTAAACGAACGCCCAACAGGACAGCATTTATAACTGACTCTAATTTGAAATCCCTACAAAAACAGACGTATATGTCAGTATGAATTTGACAAGTTCTTTACTGACTGGTCTTTATATGAATTCATCACTTCTTAACCTGTTAGCAATTACAAAAAAATGTCGTCTATCTTACTTCAGGATCCCCCAGTTTTAACCATAGACTGTATATAGAATGGACACTGTCTGCCTCCTCGCTGGGTGAAGCCACCCTGAGAACAGCACCCTCTGGTGACGGGCTGCAGTATAGGTCATAAACCCAACCTCCTCCAGCAATCCCTATGGAGCTGTGGACAAAATTTTTTTTATACAGAATATAAATGTTTCTCCCCCCTGGTTGTGATGTTGACATGTAGTTACTGTCAGACTGGTTTGTGCTCAGGTCCTCTTTGTTCTGTACAGCTCCAGTTTTAAAAGTTATTAGGGGGTTCATGTTTTCTATGACTGACACCTGATACAGCCTATGGGCGTACAAAGATTGCATAGCTCACCCTTTGAGTGTCATCACAGCGACTCTCCTGCCGAATGCGTACAACGCTACTGCGCGGCGCTGGTTTCAGGAAATGGAGAAAAATCGCAAAAATACCGAGAGCTTTTTGGCTTCAAATCCGTATACAGAGATGTGGTCAGGTTGTCGTAGTTTGTAGGTTATGTTGAAAGATGGATCAGTTCTTCCACCCTTCACATTCACGAGTAATTTGACCTTTTAAATCTCTCAGTGTAGGGCTGGATGATTACGGCAAAAACAATAATCACAATTATTTTGACTGAAATGAAAATCACGAATAATAAACATGATTATTCATTGATTTCAAAACTCGAGTATTAATTGAACCAACAAAACTTAACTTGAAATATAACTTCTAAGGACAGCCAGAAATAAATTAGTAACAAGTCAACAAGTAAAAAAATAAAAATAAGAAAAATAGTCAATTGAAATAACAATAGCAATAAACACAGTAAATAGAAATAATTACCAAATCTATATGCACTCCTGCAAACCTTCAAGATGCAAAGAAAAACACGAATAAAAGCCAAAAAACTCTGAAGGTTTTTCAGAAACCTTTTTTAAAGGGACCTTTATGTGTTGAGTGACTCAGGAAGGGCGCGGGGTGTGGGGGTGAACTAGTGTGATCGCTGATAACTTGTTAATGCAAATACTTGGCGAGTGCGTGCTGCGCAGTGAAAGCGCAGTGCAGCGCAGCGCCCATGTGTGAGCGCATATACTGATACACATGAGTCTGAGGTGTGGCGGCTGTTATTCAGCCGTGGCGGTGCGCCACGGTCAGTTGCACAAAGAGGAAACCCTGAAGTTGGTCGTGTTGCCTTGGGGAGCAGACACGACAGCGTGACAAACTTTGCAAACAATTTCCTTTTGCTTGATGTCTGTCAACTTGAAGCCAAAATGTTTCCAGATAACTGAAGTTGTCCTCCCTTTCTTCTCAACCCAAGACTTCCTTTCTGCCATGTTTTTAATCGATCGCTCCTCATATTGTTGTTCCACACACATCATACGCTTACAGGGCAGCATTCAAAGTGTTTTCCCAGCACAGGAATCTATATACACACATGAATCATTTTTCTGTAATTATAATGTTTTTATGATCGTGAAAAGCCAAAATCAGAATCATGATTAAAATTTGATTAATCCTCCAGCTCTATCTCTGGTCTCTGGACCTGCTCAGGGTCAGGAAACTTGACCTCTGTATCATCCAAAAAGTCTTGAAATAACAATGTAAAGAGTTTAACCTCAATGCTTCGCCTGCAGGCCTGTCTGTGTGACTGTTAATGTCTGTGTTCGTCCCTCAGACTGTGGAGCAGGCCTTCAGGCAGATCCAGAACATCGTCGACTTCAGCTCCAACGTGATGAGCAGCCTGCTGGGAGAAAACTTTATCCACAGCGGGGTAAGAAGAAGACACTGCTGTGATCAGTGTTCAACATTCCTTTGAATTTCTGCTGGATGGTATAATTTTAAAAAGGGTAACCCACCAAAACCACCTGCTTCTCTAATTGGTTGGGTGATTGTGTTTGCTGCAGGAAATCTACGAAATCTTGGCGTGTGAAATCGTAAAGAGGAAACTCTCTCACACACTAACCCGCAGACCTGTCTGACCGTTTCAGTTCAGGACAGATTCGTCACACCAAGTCATTGACAAAACATAATTCATCTACCCTGCAACAACAAAAAATGGTGAAAGGCAGCAGAAGTTGCAACACAACAGTTGTGTATGTGTGTGACACACTAGTGGCACGTTAATGCACTTAGGCGTGTCACTAGATGAGGAAACACAACTGTCCTATTGTCTGTTGAGAGGCACAGATTTCATAACTTTCATGGGAATGTTTGACGTTCTGATTCACATATATGGTGTCAGAGAGACTCGCTCTGTGGCTCAGCTGAGTCGTCTTTTGATTTAGTTTTCTGAAAATCCTTTAATTAAAGGGAGTCATGAATTATTCTTAAAAAAATCTGTTTCTGTTTTTTAAGGTCAATTTTCAAACGTAGTCGTTTTTATTCACATTTCACTCGCTGTCAGAGGTGGATGGAAGATCAGACTTTTTTCCTTCAGCAGTAACTCTTGAAAACAAAGAGCGTCACTGTTTGAAGTCTGGAGGGTTTTTAGCACATGAACAGCAAACGTCTGATCAGATGCTGATTAAATTTAGATGACGTTTTAAGCCGCAGGTTAATGAATGAATTCATTTTAAATCCACGCCAGGTTTGAACACTAACAGCAGCTTTTAATGAAATGAACCCAAGTTTGTATTAATACTGTATTAAGAATGGACAGTTTTAATTATGTGACTCATCTCTATACATGAACACTAATGAGGACCTGGCAGATGAACCGCTGTGCCCTACATGAAGTAAAGGATATGTGGAGGTGGGCTCTGTTTTTTAACACTGGACTAAATGACGGTTTTTGTTCTCCATTCAGGAAGTGGTCAAACTGCCACTGGAGTTTGTTCGACAGCTGTCCATCAAAGTTCAACATCAGAGACCAGGTAAACTCATTTAAATCCTCTCTTGTGAAGAAAAACCACTTATCTATGGGGATGTGAGGTTTTTAAATTCAGGAAATCAGGTTTTATCTGTTTTCATGTGGATTAAGATGAGAAGAAAGTCAATCGTGTTTCTGTAGCTAATAAGTGAGGCTGGGCTGATATCTGATTCGCTGATATTTCAAAACTTATTTTGACTGATATGGACATTGATACTAGGGCTGGGCGATATGGGAAAAAGTTGATCACGATATATTTTTTTCATATCACGATATAAAAAATGAAATTTAACAGTGCTTATTGGTAGCATGTCTTTTGCAATACAATAAACTTCTGCGTCTATGAGGTCTTTGTGTCTCTTTGACGTTTTTTTGTAAGGCGTTGCACTACAGGAAGTGGACTGAATGGTCGGCTGCTTCAGCTGCACAGGCTCCCTGCTCCACTCGGGGTTTGTAACCTTTTGCATTGCGCGTGCTCTGCTGCGTGGCGCTGCATCAGTGCTGTCGACTTCATGTGTTAAAGTGCTTTGGTTGCGTGTAGCTGCAGCCTGCTACAGCGCAGTTGTTTGCTACTTGGTTATCCCGTTATCGTTTTATCGCCCAGCCCTAATTGATAACCACCTTTAGTCCTTATTAAAAAAAAAAAAAAAAAGATTCTCTGACCTGTTACTCTTATTGTTTGAATCACTGACATGTATTTAGAAATACCGACACTTGGTGAATAATAACATGCATCCCTAAAGTAAGTGTAAAGATTGAAGCTTCTGTGAGTCCTCTGTGTAGATTTCAATAACTCTTCTGAACAAAAGCAGTTGTTCTCATGTGAAGACGTGTTTTTCAAACACCAAGAAAATCCCTGTTTTATTTGAACCGTCAAATGCATCAACTCTGCAGAAGCTTTGTAAAAAAAGAAGAAGAGGCAGCATGTCCCTTTGTCTGACATGTATCCCAGCAGAGGTTTCAGACTGAAAACTGACTGTATAGAAACATCAGTGATACTCTTGTCTGTTTTCGTACGTCATCAGGAGGCATCAGTATCAGTTTCAGCCGGTTTTATAACCAGATCAAAACTCCTCATAGAGACTTGAACAAGGAGAGCGGTTTAGAGCAGCAGTGCAGCGCTTTGATTTGAGGCTGTGTGAACAGAAATGTGTTCACTGATTTTAAAATATGACGGGAACAGCTCGCCTTGTTTCATACGGAGGTCAAATAAACATATGGGGCTCTGTATTTAAGTTTGAGAGTTTGGAAATGTTCTTCCTGTTGATGGAAACGACATATCTAATCAGACTGAAAGTTCATTCATTCACAACCAGAACTTGGCTGACCACAGCAGAGAGGCAGTGCAGGAGGAGGCAGAGCAAACCGCAGCCTCATAGGTCAGAATGATAGAGACTGCATGTTCACAGCACGTCTTCAATACAGCAGAGCACGAGTAAAAGAAACACCCGCGTCTCCTATAATGGACATGGACAGAAGTTATACAGCAGCAGGACTTTGAGAATAACTCTCGAGTTGGTTCACGTTTCCTTCAAGAATACAGAAGTCTTAGATGTTGTACATTGACGCATAGAGAATCTGAAAGCATAAACTTTAGGCTGTTTTTGTTGGTTAGCAAAAAGCATCTGAGACTGAAACCATGTGACCATAAACCATGAGATTATTTTTGACTGCAGAGCTCCAAATTTATGGAAACCATGAACAAAAGACATATCTGCTGAACAATGTCAATCTAAAGCTGCATCAATAAGTCGATCACATGATTCGTGAAACAAAAGGGAATTTAACCTCAGCTCAGCTTTCAATACATTATAACTTACTGTATGAGAATTTTAAATCAGAAGTACCCAAACGAGTAATCTGAGCTCTGGAGTAACGGAGGCTCTGTGACGAGTTTGTTCAGTCTTTTCTAGAGTCATCTTAAAAACATGAACATGAATAAATCACAGTGATGAATTCAAGAGAAGCCTACGATCAGATTTAGTCCGAATTATATATGCATGAGAAATACAGTATACACACACACACACACACACACACACACACACACACACACACACACACACACACACACACACACACACACACTAAAATTCTTGTGTTTGTGTTTTAGCGTGGCGTTGTGATAAGGTGATGGACATCTACAGCGGCTGTGCTCTCTGTCTGCCCAACCTAACGTCTCCGGTCCTCCACCAGCCCACACACACTCCTCCGCTCTGTATCGAGATCAAGGTACACTCACAGACACACAAACTCACAGACACACAAACTCACAGTCACAGTCACAGAGAAGGTGGATCAAACTACAGTCGGCTCCGTCACTGTCTCAGTTTTTATTCTCATGTTGTCACAAATTAAAAAAGTTCAATCACAAAAAGCTGCTTCAGGTCCAGAGTTGTATTCCTGTGAATCACTCTCATCCAGACAAACAGAGCTCAACAGTGAATCACATGAGTGTTACTCTCAGTGTGTGTGTGTGTGTGTGTGTGTGTGTTAATCAGCTGATGTTTTTGTGTCTTTGTCCTGTTTCAGCCTAAATGTGGCTTCTTGCCGTCCTCCAAACACGTCAGCAAAGACATCAAGACCAAAGTGTGCCGCTTCTGCATGCACCAGCACTACAAGGTAACTGCACCTACACCGACTACAGCATGACTGCAACCAGTACAGAACAGCTACAGCAACCGGGGAGGGACAAACTTCAGGAAGACAACATGTACTTGAGCGTGTCCACTCTGAATACATCATTCTTCCACCCACACTGAACGACACAGAAATAGGAATAGTTGGAAACTGACAGCTAGACTGTAGGGTTTCAGATCGAAAAGGTTTTCTCTGAGTCAACAAAAACCAAACACTTTTACATTCAGGTGATTTGACACGACCTCTCTCTCTCTTTCTATAGGTGGCCAACGGGAAGTGGAAGAGACGTAGTCTGTACTGTCCTCTAGACCTGTTCTCAGGGTGAGACTACTGCTTCTGTTTACCTAACTCGTATGAGAAAGTGATGCTCATTTGTTTTCCTATTCAAAAACGTGTTTATGCTACACCCATGAAATGCAGATTTTTTTTTCTGCAGCCATAATTAAATCATGATATTTTAAACGTAAAGACACTCTCTAACAATCGTGTAAACGTGAGCTCATTATTGTTCCTGGAGCTCTGTCTGTTATTTATGTCCGATCCAGTCTGTCTGCTGATGTTATTATCTGAGACTGTTTGCAGGTGGACATCAGAACAAACACCTCTCAGGACGCTGCAGTCTTTTATACAAACACCACAGCCTCAAGTGTTCCTGGGAGGGCTTCTTTCTCTGTGCTGATCCCACTCCACTCTGCAGATTTGTCTGCTCCTATTGAAGCTGCTCATTGTTCTGCAGCTGAACATGATGTTCTGTGTGTTTTCTCTTGTGTTCAGGAACAGACAGAGAATGCACTTTGCCATCAGGCACCTCATAGAAGAACCTCAGAACAACTTCAAGATCTTTAAGGTAAGAGAAGTTACAGACTCGCTGTATCATGTGTGTAATCAGCAGAGGTGGGGGCTTGACGACTCGACTCGAGACTCGAGACTCGACTTGGACTTAAGTCCCGTTTTTGACTTGCTTGATGAAATCAAGAAATGACTTGGACTCGCTTGGGACTTGATTGCTAAAGACTCGAGACTTGACTTGACTTGACTTGAGCCCAGTGACTTGAAAAGTCAAGTCAAGTCTTTTCAAGTCACTTAATACCTTACAGCCCAAACCGTTTAAAAAGTGTCGCATCAACTAATAGTCACGAATTACAGCCGATGGTAACACCGTGTTGTGTTGCCAAGTCTGCTTATTTCGCTTGTTTTTGGCTTGTTTCTGGAGGTCTGTTTCCTTATTTCTCTCATGAAACTTGGCAACACTGTCTCAAACTCTAGCCTCTCTCATAACGACAACACTGGGAGGACTGAACATAAATCGCTCACTAGTATTGCCCGCCTGTTTCCACGTGTTGCCTCGTGTCTCTTTTTTGTTTTGGAACAGTGAATTAAAGTATCAGTTTAATGTTTAATTGTATCTTAGTCTTCCTTATTTTTGTGCATTGTCTAAGTTTCCAATTATTGAAGTTTATCTGATTATTTTTTGTATGACATGTAAAATAGTTTGGTTAAAGCTGCACTATGTAACTTAACACAAACAAGAACCCTTGTTTAATAATAAATGCAAACAGTGAAAAATGCTCATGATTGATGTAAATCTTCACATATAACAAATGGTTTATGGCTTTGATACGACTTGTTTTTGACTTGAAAGAAACGGTAAGGACTTGTTTGGGACTCGAAACAAAAAGTTCAGGACTTGGACTTGCCTCAGACTTAAGAGCAAAGACTTGAGACTCGACTTGGACTTGACTTGAGACTTGTCTGTGTTGACTTGGATCAAAACAAAAGTCTGCAGATCCTTGCGTCCTCTAATACAGACTTCACTGTCTGATGTGTGAAATGAGGGACAGGGTCTCTATTCTGAGCAGAAGTTCGTGACAATATTCAGCTGGAACGAACACTCAGATAAATCGCCCTGTGATGTCAAATCAGTGCGATAGCCTCCAGAGATTCCAGTTATTTTAGCACAGGCTTCCACTTTGTGTCATTATTGTGGAATTTTCTTGAAGTACAAAGACTCTAGTCAGTGTTAAAAACACCAGAACATCCAAAGATCCCATCTTAGTGTCCCTGTCAGACTTCAGAGGCCTTAGATGAGTTTTAGATAAACTCAGTGATGCTCTTCTGCACGAATCAGAGAAGTTAAATTCACTCTGATTTGAATCTCTGTTTTACAACTCAGTCAGAGGATTTTCAAGGATAAGTCAGAATAATTACAGTATTTTTTTATATGTATGTCTTCTGGAAAAATAGAGCAAACAACTGAAAATGTTGAAGACACCTCCAGTTGTTGCTCAGCCTCAGATTTTCCTCACAGACTGAAAGTCACTTGAGCTGATTTGGAGTAAAACTGCAGATTTCTGTCAGGTTTTCATAACTAATCAGGTTATCCTAATGCTGACTCTGTGTGTGTGTGTGTGTGTGTGTTTCAGGGCGGTCAGTGTATTTACAGCAGTAAGGAGGGCAGTGACGACTCCATGGACCTGAACTCTCTGCTGCACCACCTCAGACCGTACTTCCAGTATGGAAACAACAGAATCAACAGTCACATGACTAATAAAGCCGTCCTCCATGATTTCATCCAGGTAAGACCACCAACACGTCAAACGACTCTTTGTCATAGACGTAAAACCGCTCAACAGAAACGATTCAGAAAACACAGATTTTAGTAGTGAGGCTGATAACTGTCATGAGGGAAACTGACGCCTGCCTGATGTTTTGTAATCAATATTAAACTAAAAATACAGTCAAACTCATTTATAACTCAGCTGTCATTTGAATCATGTCTTTAGTTTGAGCCTCTCTGCAGTTACTGGTCTCACGGCTTTAACTGGATCATTCAGACTCTATAGAGATGCTACTATCAACCCGTCTACAAGGAGAAGATAATCCAGGTGTGATCAGATGCTCTGTTTTTCTGTAGGTCCTGGTAAACGCCCTGCTGAGTGGTGGAGGAGGAGACGGAGGGGTGGTGACAGACAGACGAGGGGAGGGGCGGAGCTTCTGTGAAGCCAGTCTGTTCAACAAAGAGAGGATTCGTCACGGTCAGAACCTGCTGGATGACCGGCTTGTTTTTACTCTTCTTCAGTTTTTTTCCTGAACTGCTCTTTGAGTCGTTTATATGAACCGCTGGAACCAAACGCAGCAGATCTGCTCCTCCGTGTCGTGTTTATTCTTTTTAGTTTCCTCTTTATTTATTTTCTTAATTGATTGAATTTTCTTCAGCCAGAGTTACAAACTTTCACCACTTTGGTTTCACACGGCTGTGACATCTGTTGGATTCAGCCTCTCTGTCTGTCCTCTTTAACAAAGGTTTTTCTCATGCTGCAGCCTCCTTCAGAAATTCTTGAGGTTTGGACAAAGCAGCTGGATGGTTTATGTGAACACAAACAACAGGGCTGTAACATCTGAGTCCGATTATGTAAATGTGTGAAACTGAAAACCTTTAAAACCAGAAATCTGACCTGTGAACATGCTTCTCTTCTCTCCCTCTCTGTCTGTGTTTAGGCTCTCAGGGTTTACCCAGTGACAGCGTTTTATCCAGGATCCTTCACACTCAGATGTTGGACACTTTGGACATTGAGGGACTTCACCCTCTGTACCGTCGTGTGGAGCAGCACCTACAGGAGTTCCCCAAGGAGAGGTAAAACACAGCTGTATGAGAGGGTGTGTTTAGGTACATGATCACTCCTAATGGAGGTCATGACTTCACCTTCTGTTTGTGTCTCTGTCAGAGCTCGGCTTCAGATCGACGGGCCGTACAACGAGGCGTTCCTGGAGAAGCTGCAGAAATGTCCGAATGAGGACGAGAGCTCTGTGGAGTACGCTGTCGCAAAGGTCAGTCCAACTGTTTCCTGTCGAAAGCAGGAAGATGCAGAACCAGCTGAGTTTTCCTAAAGGAACATTTCTCCCAGTCTGAGCTGACTGTCTGCTGGAAAAGTAAAGGAGTATGAATCACTGAGCTGGAAAATCTCCACCTCGACTGAAAGAAGAGAAAACTGTTTATGAGGCTTCAGAGGAGAAGGTGAAAGATTACAGCTTAGATTTGTTTTGACTGCAGGTCCATCAGTACCGTGTCTCCATGACAGCCAAGGACTGCTCCATCATGGTTGCCCTGGTACCCAGCTGCGAGGAAGAGGAGGATGATGAAGGGTAAGCCTAAAGCTCTGAGAGGAGATACAAAACATCAAACTAAGTGATGTTTGGAAGTCTTTGAAACAGAAATAAACCCAAACACGTTCAACTTATTTTCCTTCTGTGGGAACAGACTGTTCTGTATCCTGTCACGGCCCGGCTCAAAGATGGTGACACAACTGCAGACACATGAGCTGGGGTTTACAAACCATTGATTTAATAAGAGAAAAAGCCAGTAAAGTCAGCGTGACACAGAGCGACTGTGTGAGTGCTGCTCAGAGTAAACGTGTAAACGACTGAAACCAAAATGCTCGCTACACCGCAGGAAGAGCTAAAGCAAAGAGTGGAGGGTCAGAGAGACTGAATCAGGGGGGCAGGAGATCTTTGCAGGAGACCCCCAACCAGGACACCCCCCAGTGACACTCACACTACCAGTCTTTGAAGATGCAGTATTCATACTCGCACATAACTCTTAAAACTGCTGAACTTTTTTAGGATTAAGATAAGAATAAGAACAAGAAGATCTTTATTGATCCCCAAAGGGAAATCCAATATTAAATTTAATATTCGATCAGTTTCATGTGATTGAAATCATCAGGATGTTTTTCCTGCCAGTAAAATATGAAAAAGTGAGAACAAAGTAAATATTTGGGAAAATTCAACACCACCAAGCCAGTAGGGGTGATGACAGATCATGTGACTGTTGCTGAAAGAGTGACTCACAACAGGATGAGGAAAAACATCTGGGGTTGAAGAAGGAGAACTGAGTTAAAGAGAACAGAGAAGACACGTTTGTCTCGACTGATTTTAAATAGTGTCGGACTCTGCTGAGGTTTCTGACGTTGTGTTGCACTGTAACTTCTACAGCCAGCTTTCCATGTCGTACCCTGGCTACCGAGACTCAATCCCCACCAAGAGAGACTTTACAGAGTAAAAAAAACGTGTGAATGTGAAACTGCGGCAAATTTCAGCCCCAAAGTTACTGAAAATGAGTCTCTATGGGATTTAGACATAAATAAAAGATGGGTTGAATGTAGGGTTATTTATCACAAAGTTACTGAAACATCTATAACAGTTTTAGCTTCTTGAACGTACACTGAATGAATCTGTTTGAATTCAATGAAAACGGTAAAAATAATCTTTCAGTGCAGCTTCAACTTGACACTAATTTAAAGGCAAGGACAGTTTTAACACTGTAGTACCTGATCTAGTCCACTAGGGGGAGCTAGACTTCCAATGGTATGTCAAAATGCAACATACGTTTTTGTTGTCGGAGGGTTATTTTCGGGTGTTTCTGATGCCTGAATGAGGGAACAGGGCAGTGGATAGAGTTAGCAAAGGTAGTAGAGAGAGGAATGATGATGTCTCTATCTTCTCTTCCTTAGTCAGAGACGTCTCAGGGACTTCCTCTCCTCCAGACCTCCTGCTTTCTCCTACTCTGTCTCCATCCTTGATCTCGACCCCAAACCGTTCGACAGCATCCCCCGTCAGCTGCGCCTGGACCAGAAGATCGTCTCCTGCTACCTGAGGACTGGAGGGTCTTTACAGAGAGGCTCTCTGCCGCCGCTGCCCGGTATCTTCTCAGCTGCGGAGAGGGAGGAGTGCACGCTGCTGTTCCATCCTGTGTGAACGACGCTGAAGCCTCAAACAGAGAGGAGAGACGCCATGTTTGATACAGAGGTTTAAAATCATTTGATAGGAGAGCTGTTTATCCAAAACTCTACCACTGCACTTTCTCCTCACTCCACTCACGCTGACAGTCTTCAGCTCGGGCTGATCGGCACAATAAACATCTCCAGGAAGTCGCTATGTCAATATGAGGCGTGTTAGGGACTTACCAATTTTTCTGTTACTGAATTTTTTAGTTTTTGTGTCAACATGGCGGTCAGCTCCTCGCTCCTGTCCGGGAGTAAATCTCACCATCAGCTCTCAGCTCTGTTATGACTCATATTTATTAGAAAACTCTCTCTGTTCTCTCTTCTGGTGGCGGGGGGCGGGGTTTACCTCCTGATAGGACCTCAGCGGTTGTTGTCAATGCTGCTGACGGAGGCACACACAAAAATGAGCAAAAGGAGAATGTAGTGTTGCCGAGGAAAGCAGGTTGTCGGGCTGTGATGTACACATGATGTCATTTCCTGAATGTTGGCGGGCCTCAGAAAAGGAGACCAACATGGCTGCTCTGATTATCCAACAGTCTGACAGGGGGAGTCATGTAGATCCTGGATTCTTAGCTTTAGGTTTTTCAGTCAAACTCGTTGCAGCGAACAGCTCGTATGAAGATGAAATGACTGAATATTGATTTGTATTGAAAACCTTGAGGAAGTGGAAGTTACTGTGAGGTCTAAAACAACAGCTCGTCAAACGTCTGCTTCGTTTTTAAATCAGGGAGGCGAGCGAAATGTGGATAAAGGGTCAGTCCACTCAAATACAAAATCTTTGAAAGACTTCAGACTTGTGCCAACACCCTTGTCTTAAAGCAAAGCCTCATTTCAATCAGAGCAGCACGAAAACTGTCTTCTGTGAGTTAATAATATACAGCTGTTGAATTTTAATGCACAATCATTGGGATAGAAATGAAAAAGTTGAGCCTTTAGACCAGTCTGCCTCGATATGCATCGAAAACACTTTGTGCACAGACAGACTCCTGGATGAAATACTGTTACACCATTAAATACCTCTCTACTGTTAATGCTAGTACACTTTTTGGATGGCTAAAAAGTAATTAAAATACTGTACACTAGGGCTGGGCAATAAACCGAACATTTATGACAATAATCGACGTCATTTTGCCCGTGTCAGGATATTCCGTGTCAAAAAAATAAAGAAATAAAAGTTGGTCTTGGATGTTTGTAGGTAGGCTATGGTCTCGTGTCCCTTTAAGACGCTGTCCTACGTTGGTAACAAAGAGGGAAAGACAGGTGAGGAGATGGAGGACGGTTCAAAAGTTGTAGCGGCTGAAGTAGACGAAGTAAATGTGGGAGGGGGACGAGAAGTTAGTCGAGTAGTTATCGTCCATTTATCTTTTATTGAGGTGAACTGCTCGATATATCGTGATATTGATTTGAGGCTGTATCGCCCAGCCCTACTATACACTGAATTACACTTTAACAGTTTCTGATATTAATTCACCTCACGTTTTTAACATATATTATTTTGAAAATCGGGGCTGGTGTCAATATGCATATTGAAAAAAATGATTGATCTGCTGTTCAAATCAGTCAGGCCATCATTACACCACCTCTGAGTGAGCATACATTCAAATTCACCAAATTAGTAGTAATTTAACACACAAAATTTTTTTTACAAAGTAATTTCCTTCATCAGCCTTTCAATCACAAACCTTGTAGGGAGTAATTCTCAGCACTCGCTCAGCACAACAAACAACCTCATTCGTGCTCATAAGTGCTGTTTTGTTACTGCTAAATTAAAACAATACAGAAAATGACGGAAAAGAAGTCAAATGAGAAACATATATATGTCTCTCTCTCTCTCTCTCCAGCTGTTACATTTTTATCTATACTAATTATGTTTCCTGTGTTCTGGAAAGCAGAGACCTCACTGTTGACGTCATGGGTACCAGCTGCCCAACATTTCATACACCAACCAGTGTAATTGGTGAATGTCACATAATCTGCAGAGAGTGATAATGATACTCAGCTGAGATATTAATGCATCAATAATATTCTTCTCATGACTGATTTGAGTGGACTGACCCTTTAAAATCCAGTTTCTGTTGAGCTGCCTCTTTGCCCTGACATAAAAGCTGATTTGAAGTTGTTGTTGTCGTCACGATCAAGATTCATTCTGTTGGAAGAGAGATGACGTTTTAGGATTTGTTCTAACAGTCTAACCTGGTAACACATAGCTTTGTTTGAGTACGGTGATATTACACTTCTGCTCCTTTTCAAACCACAAATTCAGCCTCCTTTAAACTGATGTCAGCCAATGTGAAACATGAATCTGCTGAGTTCAGATTCCGGATATGCACATCCACACTCAACTTCACTAAACAGAAGAATAATGTGACCGTACGCTTGTAGAGCAGGAAGCAGAAAGCTAAGCAGAGGATTTTATATCATGAGAAATGATGGAGGGTTTTACTGGAGCAAGGGCTGCTGGGTAAAAAGAAAGCAATCCTCTTCAGACAGGCTGAGCTTTGTGCTGCTGCTCCGCTGGTTCTTTGTGCCAAAAGTGGCTTTGGTGTGTGTCGGTGGTGCGTGTTTGTCCATGTGCCTAAATGTTCTGGTAGGACTGGAGGATGGGGTGTATCTGTGTGTTCAATAAACTTTGTTACAGGCTGCGTTCACAGCAAAGATATAATATAGTATCAAAAGATTTGGAGTTGCTGTGGATGTAGCCGTCGACTCTCAGTACCTCAAACCTGAGACGACCTGAAGCTCAGCTCAGCAGAGTCGTCTGACGTTTGAGAAATGGTGTGTGCAGGAGCACTGGGAGGTTTCTGAGGATGATGAGACTCTGATACCATCGGCAGAGGAGTGTTGGATGAATCAAGTCTCAGTTACTCATGACGTCCTGTCCTCTCATTGTCCTCTGAAACCTGCAGCGCTCAGATTAACTGGTTACACTTGACCTCAGTTCCTGTTTAGTGTCCACTCTCCAGCCTCCACCAGCCAATCAAATGACTGAATTCAAACCACACTACAAGACTGTAACCTGACACAACATCACTCTGATCTCCTGTCTGCAGGGTCCAGCGTTTCAAATGACAGGTGACCAGATTACAGCGGTCAGATTGGATCAAATCTTTGCCGGTAGTCCAGTCCTGGTTTTTCTTTCGTTTGGTTATGATTGGGCTAATTTTGATAATCTGGATGATCCCGATCCCATCAGAGGGTTGGGTGTGCAAGAACAAAAGAAAACTCAAGAAAAGCAAGATTTTGTTAAGATGATAAAAATCTTTTCAAATCCTTTAAAAAGTTTTGCTCTTGAATTGTTGAATTGCCATGACAGTGCAGAAACGAGACATTTGAATTTTACGAGTTTAAAGATTTGGTTTTCAGAAAGTATTTTCTCTCAATAGCTGTAAACATTAAATTTCATTGCAGGTATTAGCGCCCTCTGTTGTAGAAGTATATAATGCGCGCCTTCATCTTGAGCACTGGTTAACTATATAAATCCAAACCCATTTTGAGTTGATCCAGTCCAGTTTTCTTTAAATAAACTTGAGATGGACTCTCTGATCCAGGAGGCCAAAAAAGTTGATGTTCAAATCTTGATCATTTTTACCCTTCAGGGCAGCCGGTCTTCTGTTAACCGGATGTTTTTGTGAAAAACAAACACTAAAATATTTGGTAAAAGTTACATTTGAACTTTGTTTTCATGGAGGCTGGAGAGCTGAAGAGCTGGAGAGTGGACTGCAGAGAATTGAACCAACCACTGTTGTTCTAATAGTTGAATCAAGGACGGAGCAGGCAGCATGTCAAGAGAGCAGAGGCAACCAGACGCTTCTTAGTTAAAACTTCAAAAGATGCAGCAACCCTGATACTATTATTTTAACACCAGAACATTGAAACGTTGCAGCTAAACCTGAACGAAAAAGTGAGTCATGAAGATTTCTGATATCCAAACTGCATCAGTATCTGTAACCTTTAATCTGGATCACAAAGTGACGCCTCAGTTTACTTCTTACTTTTCATTTCACACAGCTGAACCTGCATTTCATGATTGACGACAGACTGACTTTTACGGCTCCGAGTTGTCAGGCAGCTGCTTAATCTATAAAACAAACAGTCACATTCATTTAATTTGCCTTTCAGAGGTACTTATGAATCATGTATTCAGATTAAATCCCCCAAAATAGTTAGCAGCACTTTTTATTTGCTGAAATGACCTCGACTGTGATCACCTCTTCATCAAGTTGAGGTTTGAAATTCAGCTCTCACACCTGAGAGAAATTTAAGAAGAGATTTGCAAACTGCACAGGTCTCTCTTTCTAGTGTCAGTCATCAGAAATGATCTAAAAGGTAAATCCTGAAAATGCACTCAAACAGACTTAAAGATTTCTATCTGGAGATAAAAATTAACTTTTGTTTAGTTTTTCTCAAGTTGCAATGTAATCTTTTTATCTTATAAGACAAGAATAACAGGTTCACTTATTTTCTTCAAGTGGATTTTTATTCCTAACAACAATACAGAACAATCCTCAGGAGAACCTGGGTTTTGCTTTCTTCTGTAACTAAAAAAAGACTGAAATTTATTCAAAGACAGTTTAATATCACCCTCTGAACTCCCCAGAGGAGCTTTAACAGAAAAACACTGACATGTTTAGAAATTTGAGCAGTGCTGAGAGTCATGATAACGTGTCTTTCCTTTCATGATAAAGTGTTCATCATTAGTATGGACCCTTAGAAGTAAATAATTCACAGGCAGACAGAATATTTTTAAGCACCATTTTACAAAATTCTGAGTATAGGTGTTGTCCTGACCGCTCTGACCTGACTGAAAGAAGCTCTGACAGGTGAGCTGGTTTCTGATTGGTTGGTTGTCTCTGCCTCCGCCTGCTGCCTGAGCGCCGTCCTGCAGAAACATCACAGCACTGTGATCCCTACAGAAAACTGCGTGTGTAAATAACTGAGAGAAGAAAATATCTGAAAATACAAAGGCGACACTGCTGTCTGGCATTTTGTATTTAAATTATTTATTTTTGTAGATTTTGACCGATGAGCTCTGCTGTCACCGACGTCACAGTGGAGCTCTTTATATTGAATAAACATTTCTAAGTGACTAAAAACTCAAGTGTGTGTCTCCTCATTTGTGTGTTCGTTTCATTTCTGCTCAGATAAAGAAAATAAAAAGTCATATTTTCTGTTTTAACTGGAAGATCTTCACGGAGACGATCGATGACTCATGACTCCTCTGAAAGGCTGATGGCTCTGATGACCGACTCCAGGGCAGCTTCAGGTCCCAGAATCCTCAGCAAGCTCTCAAAGGCCTCATCAGCGCCTCCAAGGGCCTCAGAGGGAAACAACTGCAGAGCTGCAGAGACAGAGGGAGAGAAGAAGGGCTGAATCAGACTGGTGCTTTTATTTTGAAATATGTGCCAGTGCAACAATTTGTGCCGTACAGAATATAAACTCGTGTTTTTATGAGGCCCAAACAAGGGAATAAGAACAACAGTTTAGTGAGAATAGACAGAGTTAAAATAATCTTACCTTTCTCTGGGATCTTCGTCAGCAGGTTGATCTTTGGAGTCACTTCCCCCCAGCTGGAAACCTTGACTGACCAATGAACCAACAAGCCACAGCTACAAACAGAAATGCTCTAATTTAGAGGTCAGAGGAAGAGCTTTTACAGTGATATCGGTCTCACTGAGAATCTAAGTGTTCTTACCCAGGAAGCTCAGGGTGACTCAGGGCCATGACCTCTGACCTTCTGTCTCCTAGAAAAGAGACGACATCCGGATACTTGTCCTGCAACGACACAAAGAGAAAAAACAAAGAGTCAGAAACTTTTCTTCAGTCGAAGCTGGTGATGTCAGTAGGAGCACGCTCAGTGTGGATGTGGGCTGTACAGTCATCTGCTCATTGCCACTTTAAATGCTGGACTAAAATGGCTTCAGTGTACAGTGAGTGAGGGTGTGAGATGGTATAAAAATAAGGACAGTGGGACACCTGGCATGATAGGTTGCCAGAAATCAAGATGTGTGCATCATGAAGTAATAAAATAAAGCTGAGCATGGATTAACATGCAGTCAAGTGTTGATGTATTTTAACAAACTAACAAAAGCCTTAAAGGAATTAACCTCAATCTTTTGTGAATATTCAACTGGAAACAAAGACTCTACAAGTCTAAATAAGTGATTCAAACAAACTTCTCATGATTTTACTGTCCTAATTTAATACTACCAACATCAAGTCTTATTCTTTTTAGGATTATGAATGAACAAATATATCCAAGACAATGGAGCAGCTGCACAAACAAGCCTTTAGTTTTTCTAATATTGAGACAAAGAAACACAGAGCTGTCTTGAGGTTCTTTAAAAGTTACTGATGAGCAGTTATCATTCAGTTAGTCTGCACTCAGTGAGAGTGAGAAAGCTACATGAATTTGCATTGAGACACTTGGTGTAACGCCTCCATTACTGCTGTTTTCCATCATGAATAAAGTTGTATGAGTTGGCCCCTGGGGGGCGCTACAACATCTTTTAACTGACCAAACCACTGAGACTCATTAATCAGACGACTTCCACAAGTCAGAACATGAAGACGTACATGAGAGAGAAATGACCTGAGAGGAAACAAGGAAGAGTGAATGTTTCAGGGATGAGGTTGTGTTTACGTCTGCTGTTACGTGTTGATGAATGGGAGAAAACTGCTCCAGGTTCAGAGGAAAGTCTCTTTCCATTTCCTACTGAGACAAAACTTGATACACGTGAACTTTCAGACTCGGTCCAGTATCATGAGGGAAGTGATCCATCTGTGTTCACGGATATCAAGTCCAACCGTTTTACAAATGGGATGGTGCTGATTGTTTAAAATCTGAGCTGGACGGTCCGTTGCTGTTGATTTTCTTTTGCATGGAGACATTATTTAGATTGAGCTCTATGTACATCTCCTAGAGATGACTTCCCCAAACACTGAAAAACACTTGCCAGGTCTCAAACCCCCCCCAGAAATGTTTCCATATCTCGGACTGAAAGGATAAAAAAATGTGCACTAATCCTCCCAAACTCATTTCTATCAGAACAAACTTATCAAGCAATACTATAAAAATATAAAAAACTCTTTATAAGAGTTTTTGAGTTAAAGAACTGGTTTGGTCAAAGTGCATGCCTTGTGCAGAGGGTGTAGTTCACTGGCCTTTAGTCTGAAATGTGTCCAGAGAAAGAGTGCCAGATCTGGGACACAAAGCCCCTCTGGTCTGTTTTGGGTATATTTCAGTCATTACGGGTGTGTCTGACAGATGAAGGGCTGTCTCTCCACCTGATTCAACTCAGAGGTATTTGCAGTTTTGGGTGTGTGTCTGTGGGCTGTAATCAAAAGTTTTTTCTTCCAAGTGAACTTCAGACAAAGTGGAGGAGTTTCCTGCTCCCCCACTCTCATCTATTGTGAATGGGATCAATATTCAGATATGAGGCGCATAAAACCAGAGAAACCTTTGTCCTGCTCATCCTATGGTCCATCCTTTACTTCACTGCTGTTGAGTGTGATTGCTTTCAATGTTGTTTGTTCAGCACTTTTTGAAAGTCTTGGGTCTGCACAGCTAGGACCTTATCTTTGAGTACAAACTAAACTGAACAGCTCCTGTGAGAAACTCTCTGTACCTGCAGATTCTGGCACCTTTTGCATTATTTTCAAGTTATTAGGCTGTGAAAGTCAATCATTTTGTCTGACAACTAGCTCATGACGGCTCCTCCACACATTAAAATGACTCCAATGAAATACTGTCATTACGCTGATGGTCTTAATGGTTTGTGAGTCATATAGAGCAGGAATTTGCATGCATAACTGGCTAAAAGGTTAAAAGTTTTAATGCTGTTTGCTGGCAAGAGAATCACAAACAAATGATATCTTTATTATTGTCGGCTTGAAATGCCAATCAGATGTTGTGTTTATGGTGTAGCCTAGCTGTTGCTGGGGCTGCAGCTTTGGTTTATGGTGTCGAAATGCTTTAATGCTCCACCATCAGGCTGTAAACATTCATTTTCTAAGTTTTTTCTTTCACCTAGTCCAATTTAACAAGGAAACTAGTTGCTCCAGTGCATCCTAACCTAATCCATCCAGGCATAACATTCAGATCTGTCCATTTCCTTTTTTATCAAAAAAATCACAGATTACAGAAAAAAACTCTGTATGCATCAAACAGGACATGGGTGCTTCGTAGTTTAGTGTACTAAACTATCATCTATCATCCCTGAAACCAACATCATAGAAGAGATCTACACTATTTCAACATTTTGACAAAGAAGTATATTTTCATGGAATAGATGATACCTGATAATAACAGATGATAAATGATGCTGTTTGGTCTAAAGGTGAAGATCTGACTCAACACTGCAGCTCTTCACCGGTGTTGTGTGAGAGTGTAATTTACTCGAATAGTTGGAGCTGAAAAATGTTTCTGTGTTTTTTCATGGAGAAAAAAAGAGTGGTTACAGTCTCAAATGCGACCGACTCACTACAATTGCAGACAAGTCAGGACAGAATGAGCAGAAACATTTAATCTGTCAGTTTAATGAACTTGCAGGGTCTTGCTTTCGTTGTGTTTTCTCCTTCGATATCATATTCCAGTGTGGGTTGGATGTCAGCTGGTAAAAGTAACAGAGGATACCCTCCCTGCGTCTTTATTGAGCACAGAGTTCAGTGGATGCAGCTTGAGGACAGACCTTTTGAATTTTAAGGTTATGCGCTATAATGAATAACAGCAGCTGCATGCACAACATCATCACAATGGAAGATTTCAGGCCCACTGTTTACATGAGATGGATTCTCCTCCAGTCTGATGTTTACACACACTGACACAGTTGATTAAAGCAGCTTTATGAAATGCAAAGAGAGGATCAAAAATGTGCATTGGTCCTCCCGAACTCCTTTCTTTCAGAGCAAACTTATCCAGAAAGACGATAAAAATTCTTTAAGAGTTTTTGAGTTGAAGTGCTGGTTTGGTCAGCGTGCACGCCTTCTGCAGAGGGTTTAGCTCAGGTCATATCAGGTGAAGGTTTCTTTGGTGCAGCTCTTACCTCACTCTCTACTCCTCAGCTTTCCTGAACAATAAAGGAGAAAAAAACAACTAAAAAGTAGTTTAAAAAAGGAGGACAAAGGTTGGGATCGGTTTAATCTTTGTTTGAAGTTTATATGGAACATTTTTTACTCTGTTTTGGCCTCTAGCTGGGAGCTTTGGCTGTGTGTAAACATTTTTTATAAAGGGACCCAGAGAAATAAAGCAAAGATTGAGACTGTCCCCCTTATTCTGAAAAAAAGGAAGACTGAGTCTGTGTGGTGTCAAGCAACGTCCTAGAATCTCTTCTTGTGTGGATTAGAGTTGATGACAGATATGAAAAAATCCCTGAGTTATTTATCAGGATGTTAAGCTTCACGCTAAACTGTGGCTTTTTATACCATGGGGATGGTGCCAGATGAAAAGTACAGTAAACACAAATAATGTCTTCATCGTGTGGAGTTAATCTGAATTAAAACTTATTAACTATGCTGTAGTTCTTAGATATTTGGGCACATAAACAGGGATATGACCATCGGAGGAAATGTTGATATATTGTATCGCTAAAAAAAGGCAAATGGTGCGTCTACAACTGAAATTCATCAGTGAGTTTCTCTGTAAAAAAGTTTTACAAATATAATACTTCAAGATTTCAGACAGTTACAGAGGTCCTCTAGTGCGATTTGATCCCTTTTTAGGTTTTTACAGACTAATAATAAATACTAATTGGAAGACTATCACTTATGGAAATACAGAAAGAAATCCATGAGAGCCTTCCTGGAGAGGCAGCAGCTGGGCCTCAAACCTGGAGCATCAGTTTCACTATCACCTCGGGAGAGTGTTGGGAGTTCTGTCCAAGCTCAAACTGCAAGACGTCAACATTTCCAACAGATAAACACATCATATCTAAAAACTTAAGAACAGTTTATGGGTCCAAGAAAATTGTAATAAACGTAAAACCCCAAAGAAGGGTTCATATGAACTTCAGACTGCAGTTTCTATCAAAAGCAAAGATCTCTTCAGTTAAAACTCCAGGAGAGATGATGGTAGATAATGATCGATTCACACACGCTGCACAGATCTATTCAACAAACTCTTTTCCATCATTTTATCACTCAGCTGAATTTGGACCTGCTCCGTCTGTTGAATTCACAGACCTCTGGGTTCTGGGGTTTCATTCGGACAGTTTTCAGATCTGAGTCATTCTTGGCAACACTGAAGTGTGATGTTTGGTCTTATGTGACCTCTGACCTCTGACTCAGATCAAGACTCCACCTCCTCCTGAGACTTCTCTCTCGTTTTTGCAGCAGAAGTTGATCGTTCTTCATGTTTTATGCTCGTCGTATTAAACTGTCAGCTGTGCTCTTACTTTTCACTGCTCATCATGTGAAGATTTTCCCTTTGTCGGCTTATTTTGACTGTCTTTCAAAGATATCCTGCAGCACATTGGCTGTGTCCTCGCTCAAACAGGAAGACAGATGTCAGACCTGTCTCTCGCTCTCTCCCTCTCTCTCCCTCTCTCTCTCTGTGTCCCAGAAGCAGCACAAATCCTGGCTTTCCTCAAAACTCCATCAGCCTGCTCTGCTCGCTCTCAGACACACCGAGAACAAGACGCACATACACACATCATAGGATCATCACAACGGGACAGACACACACACACACACACCTCTCCTGGAGCTCCTACAGAACCAGAGGAGGAGGAAAGAGGGTGGAAGAAGTTGGCCTCAAGTCCTGCAAACGCCTTCAAACTGCTGGTAAAGTAGAGTTAACGTCTGTCTGTCTGTCCGTCCTGAGCTCCTCCCCTCTCTCTGTCCATCTGTCTCTCTCTCTCTCTCTCTTTCTGTCTGTCTGACTTGAAAGAATTTGTAAACAGCTGATTCAGTTTCCATAGACAATCTTCTTCACAGGGACGAAACAAAAAAAAAAACTCCATGATGCTTTTACTGTTACTTGAGACCTGATAAGAACCTGATGTAACCCAGAATGGACCAGAAGGAACCAGATTCAAGAACCCTTCAGATCACGGACATGTCCTTTTGTTTTCTGTTGAACAGTTTTGATTTAACTCACCATAACTGTCCCCTCAGCTCACTGATGGTTGCCTGATGTGTATGAGAACATGAAGAGAGTGGAGGACATATGACGAGTGCTTAACCCAAACCTGGCAGAGCATGGTCATGCATGTTCTGTGCTGAACACGCTAACGAAACTGTTTCAGGCTGTTTCTCACTGAATATTTTCAGGGTTTCTAAAAAACCTTTGTACCAAACTATGAAAAATGACACAAGTGCCTCCTCTATGACTTGATGATGTGTTCTTCATCAAAACTGACCTTCCAGAGTCAGTAAAGTATTAGTAGAGTGCCTGTATTTCCTGTATTTCCACTTTAATCTTTCCACAAACCCACATGGGCTCAGTGTCCTGTTGGATTCTTCATCTGTGCATCTTCACTTCCAGCCTGTCCTTATCTTCACATGTTGTTGTATGTCTGCATTTCCCTCGTGGGTGACCCAGAATAGACACTTGCCCTGTGTGTAATGTAAAAGCAGCATATTCTCTGCTCTGTACTTGGTATCTGTAACTCTCCTGTGACTCTTCAGAAAACACTGACTTCTTCACTGGCATGAAAACTAGCCGTCCTGACCTTACGCAGTGAGTCCCATCAGCATGGTACGCTTGGCTTGCTAAGCAACAGCTACGCACCAAGATTGATTGACACATGAATGGACAAATCAGGACTAAACTTTGACTGTCAAATCATTAGTGTTGTTTGTCTTCTGGGTAAAACTGCAACAGCCAAGGCAACAACACTGACTGACATGTGCTGTATACAGAAAAGTCTGCATTTGTTTTGGTACTTCTAAACTTAGTGATTATTATAAACAAGAAAAAAAAATCAGTGTTTTATTCGTAATATCTGTTGATTGACAAGATTCAAAGCTGAGAAGAGTTCTGCACAGCCTACAGCTGAGACCTGAATCTGATAGATACAGATATACCACAAAGAAGAAGAAGAAGGATGAACAATAACTACGGACTACTTAACCTCTTGGGGTCAAATAAATCCGCAGAAAGAGAAAGTAATTTGACATTTAGATGCAGATAAAGAATTGAAACTCTGGTTGGATCTTTAAATGGCCAAAAATACACCTTGAATTATCACAGATCATCATTGAAACTAAAAGGTTTTAAAGATGAACCACAAGACTTTGTTGCTGCAATAGATCTGTTGAAAACTGATCATTAAGACAATAACAGACGTGGATATCATCTTCCAAAACTGCACCAAACTCTTCATACAAAAAAAGCTGAATCAGACGTGCCTGCGTGCATGATGGGCTTTTTTTCAACTTTCAAGACAGTCCGTGTCAAGACTCACGGTGGAAATATTCAATCTTGTTAAATACATGACAGGATTGTCAGGGGAAAACTTATCGTTATGTTTAACAGCCAAAAACCTGAAGCTGACCAAACCAAACAGGGTTCAGCTTCGTCGAGTCTTCCGTTTAATTTAAGACAGTTTGACCACCACAATGACTTTATGAAGTACTCATCTGTGAAATCTTATTCAGCCAAAGCTTTAGTGTGAAGAAGTCCAGGTATTAATCCAATTCTGAGGGAAATAAACAGACACAAAGGCTGGAACATACTCCAGTCTAAACACAGTCCTAGTTTCATTAAAGTGCAGATAAACACAGCCTCCAGGTTATTTTTATCCCCTGCTGTTGCTGCTGGAAGTCTCTCCGTCTGAGCCTGCTCATCCAGAAACTGAACTGCTGAATATTTTCCATTTCTCTCCCCTCCCTCCTGTTTTCTTTCCTCTGTCTCACACACATGGATCTCTCTCTCCCCCTCTCTTTTTTTGTCTTCCAGACAGAGTTGAGTCCTGATCTCTGATTGGATGGTGCTGTGTTGGGGTGGGAGGGTCTCTGAACTGGCTGACTGTTTTCAGACCTCCAGTCAGTGGAGCTGCAGACTACAGTTTTGTTTTTATCCAAATGTAAATGCAAAGTCATTTATATGATTAATGTGAAGAGGGCTTGGGCAGTTGGCACAGACAAAGAAAACCCTTCAGAGAGACTTGTAATCAAGACAAGTGCTGTTACTTCAGCTCAGGAAACTTCATGGTGGCTGTAGTTTTTGAAAGAGATCATTAATTTTGGTTGTAAAGCTGCATAAACTCGTGATAAAAATCTGTCTAAACACCCTCCTTTACAGCAGGGGCTCTTCAATTCTGATAGCAGTGGGGCCAAATCCAAAAACTGGAGGGTTGGAGGCAGTAGAGGACCGTGTCAGTTAGAGACTGGACTCTAGTAATGAATTCCTCATCACAGAAAAGCCTATCCATCGATACGACTGCTACGACTCAGTCTACTCGCATTTTTTCAGCTGACTTGACTTTTCTCTAGTTCGGACAGAGACATCATGAGGTTGTTAATAGGCGAGCTAGCCAACCTGACTTCATGTTTGAACTGCCAGTGGGGAGTTGAGTTCATCGTGAGGCATCACTGTCTCCAAATGATAGGTGGGGGGGAAGATGTCATCAATTTTCTGCTAATGAGAGTATGTAGAAAATCTGTCTCTGCAGTTTATACTGGGTTGGCGGCTGTAGTGGTTGATGGGACACACTCACTCTTTCAACAACTAAAAAAGATTTTAGTGTGTGTTTTTGTTTTTTGGTAAAGCTGTGAAGTGATCGATGTAGACGGTGTAATTGCCGATCTATGAGCTCTTGTTTGGTCGTTATCAACAATCCAAGTGTTCACTTTTATTCAGAACAAATAGAAGACAGAAAGGTTTGTGATTGACATGTCAACTGTTTCTCTTTTTCCTTTTGTTTTTGGACACTTTCCAACAAATCAGAGGCAGCTACTCTCTGACACTCCCATAAGTCCCACCAACAACAGCACGTGTATTACTGTTATTGAGACTGATACAGAAAAAACTTGTTCCATCTCCTCCATCAAGAGGGGGAATCAGACTGAAAACAAACTATCAGGTGTGTGTAGGCGTGTGCTGGTTTCAGATCCCTGCTTTAATAATGACAGGACTGCTGTGTGTAGACTAGTCATTACACAGACACACACGCACAAAAGCAACCAGCCATTAAGACCCCAGCAGAGGGCTATATGAGGGCTAGCTGCAGTACTGACTGCTCTTTATGTCTGGGAGTCTGCTGCAGGTAAAAACCTTTGCCTCTATTTTTCTAGTCTATACTATGGCAAAAACAAACGTTGATCCGTATTTTTGGTTCGACTTAGAAACTCAGCATTTAAATTCTATCATTTCAAACTAAGTTTCAACATTTAAAACATCAAGAAAAACTTGTTCTTTTCTTTGGGATTGAAATGCCTATTTTGGGGGTGACAGCTAAGAGATGATAAAAGGGACAAAAGAGAGACTAGGAAAGAGGAATATAAGTTCTCTGGAACTAAACTCTGGACATCATGGTCAGCTTATTTATCCAAAAGTTATGGAGGGCACCAGAGTTACCAGACTTTTTACTTTGAGGAATAAGCTGTTATTAACTTTGGCTTTATTGCTTGCTGACCGCTCCTGGGCAGAAACTGAAGTTAGGGGCTGTGTGTCACTGGGAAGGTGTAAAAGCTTCTGAAAAAAAGCAAAAAAAAAGTGCTGATTTAGCGAAGTGCACAGGGTTGACTCTATTCAAACAACCAGTCAATACCAAACCCTGATAAAGTTAAGTGTTCCTGTCGGTCATCTGAAGTTAAGTCAGGTATGTTGTGTTCTGTAGGGATGAGGTGGTGGCTGGTGGTGGCCAGTCTGTGGCTGCTAGTGGTGCTGACCATTGTGGATGCTCAGGCCGGACCTTGGACTCAGAACGGAGGAACCCGCCGGGAGAAAAGGAGGAGGGACGGACAAGGTAAGACTCTACGTATCATGAAGAGTACACTTAGAGAAAACAAGCTACGGATCCATCTGTTACATATGACATCCCACAGGGCAGTAAGATGGGTACCCTTCTTTTTCTATTATGCAAGTACTCTGTCTTAATTAAGGGTGAGAGTAACACTTGATTGACTTGGATTTCAGGTCATAGACGGGCCAGAGCAGGACGCTTAAGACCAATGAAGATCAGACTGATTCCTGGACCCAACATCCCAGTGGAGCCTGAGGACATCCATGGAAACACTCTTTTCTTGAATCCTTACAAAAACATTCAAGAACAGCACTCAACCTACAATGTTATCCCAGGTCAGTGAGACTGTTTGTATTACAGCCTTAACTCAGGTTAGTGGTTGGACAGAACAGTAGAACAACGTTAAACAAGATCACTGAGGATGGATGTTGATGACATTGAAAACACCAGATTCCAAAATTGAAGTTTGCCATAATCTGCCTCAAACTCAAAATATCTTCATGCCATGCCTAAAAAACATGTAAAACACTTCAAAACTGTAAATTCCCAACATACTCAACTATTGACCACTATTAACTTAAGAATTACTGATTACAATGACATACTTCAAGTACAAATAACTGCTTGCCTAACAACCCTCATCGGACCTCTGTTGCATGTCTCTTGGTCACCACAGGCTCTCTCACACACTATGAATGTTTGAGTGAGGAGTAATTGTCATCTGGTTACTATCTGCATCTTCACTGCTGCTATATCTCAATGGCAAATTGATGTCATATCTAAGGTATTAAAGGACATAACATATTTGAAAGCTGCCAGATGACACCACAGCATGATATTTGTGTGCAAGCAGAGTGACATATTCCAGGCTTTACTCTGAGGCATCCAAAAGTTATTCACCATGGCCATGTTATGATTGGGAGAATAAATCATGAGGGTTTGAACTTGAAGTGGTTTTGTGAAGGCACGATATCTGTGCCATTAATGTGTCCAGTTTCCAAAACGGTTTAACTAGTCCATCGGTCTCAGCGTATGGCAATGCATGTGTGGACCGACATGGGAAAAAAGCTGTTTATCGCTGCATTTTAAGCTTTTAAGTGGTGCTTAATAACAGTTTCTGAGTCAATAAAATAAAACACAATTAAATTACATGGAAACAAAACAATGTAATCGAACAAGATGTATAAGTGAGTCTGACAACAACTCTGCATGGCGCTGAGGCTTCGTCTTCCTCTCGTAATGAAGCTGCTTATTATTACAGCTCAGTCGTTTAATGACGAGTCATCAAATTCCATCATGAACAGAAGGAAAAAGCATCTGTGGGAAAAGATCCGGTCAGAAAGTCAGTCCAGAAAATCCCACATAGAGAAGAGGAAAGACTCCACAGAGCAACCTCAAAGCCACGTGGAGCCCACAGCCTCAAACAATGAAGTCAGCCTTATGTAATTAGACAGGACGATAAAGTTGGTGGGATTCTGTTGTTCTGAGCTTCTGGGGTTTCTTGTGTATATTCAAACTGCTACGTTCTGCTGTTAATTGTTGTTTGGACTATAACAGTATGACTTTTGGTTCAGACAAGCAGACAAAACGGTAAAGTTGCATCAACCGCAGATCAGTTGGCAGTTTACAGAAACAGAGAGTTAAAGATGTCAAGCTGACTCGTCTGTTGAATCACAGCTTGTTTTCTGCTCTGATGTACACGTGGCTTCTCTAGGAGATAAACTGGTTCCATTTTGAACTTGTTGGATTCTCAAATGTCACAAAGATATGTGACCAAAGTATTTCAGATCCACTCTTTACTTTAATTTTAGAAGATTACAACGGCTCTTCACTGAAGGGCCACCAGTGAAATAAAACAAATACTCGTCTTTTTAATCCTGCAGAGCACAGCAGTGTGAAAGTTTGATCCGGTTTCAGTGTGAACCGACTACTCTTTTTTTTTATTTTTTAAACTGCAATCTTAAACCTCTGCCTTTCATTGCTGTTGTCCCCCAAATGTAATATTTACAGAAAGTATATACTTTAAAATTTTTTAAAAACTGTTGTTCACTTTGGAGACACTTCCTAAGGCTCTACTTCTAGTTTCTGATACAAACATATTGTTCAAATAGAATGACAACAATACAATTTCAAGAGGGCCTGAAATGATTTCTTATGTTTGGGACATAAAGTAAAAGCCACAGACATGATCTTGATGATTTTTACTGATCTCAATATTTCTTGTTGTGTTGACATATGCTTATTTATACGAGAATGTCACAAACACTGAAGCCGAACACGTTGCCACAATAAACAGCAGAATTTTTCCTACGATTATAAGACTCGGGCGCAGCGTCAAAGAATAAAACCAAAAGGAAAACTGTGAGCTGCTAAAGACGACAGCTCCTGCTCATGAACAAATGCACAGACTTAGACGACAGCAGCAGACCATTCAAAGAGAAAATATCCTGTTAATTATGACTAATTTATACATATATTCAGATATCTGCTTAAATCCAGCAAGGAATTTAAAAAAATGAGATGAAATATTTTTGATTTCTGGTCTAAACAGGACGGTTCCAACTTGGGAAATGCTGCACTTAGTCTGAGTGAGATCATTAATGTGAAGTAGCCGGTACGTCAACTTTCTTTCCAAGCAGTGGAAACCAAAAAGGCCAAATCTCAAAGTTCTTCCAAAATATAACCACTGCATCCACAATCTGAGCCAGATAAAAAAGCAAAGTTGAGGTCAAGAGGGCTCTCTGGAGGATGTCTTTGCCCAACATTGAAAATAGAGACATTCCCAGACCAGCTACCCTATTATCTCAGTGACATATTTCATGAATACAAAAAAATCACATTACTTATTTGATTTCTGAACTCCAGTTTGAGCCAAAATATTAGAATATTGGTTAAAAAATGATACTTATGTGACATTTTATGAGGTATTGGTTATCAAAATTGTCCTGAAGGAGTCAACAGGTCAGTGGCTTCAATGGACTCGTTGGGGAGGGGACTAAGAAATCTCATATTTTGGTTCAGCTAATGGCCTTTCTGTTGACAGTGATACAGAACAGCAAAACAGTCATCTTCATTTTAGAAAAGCTGCAAAAATTACACTTGTTTTTTTTCTGGTTAGAAACTATGGATGAATTTTTAAAACTGATGTAAATTTATTGTTTAGCAATTAATTGATCAATAAATTGTTTCACTGCCAGCAAAAGCAGATGTGAGTGTGCGCTTGACACAGAAAGGAGGTGACACAGCTGAGCCTCATGGCTGTCTCGTTTAAAAACATCCCTGCAATTTATGAGACAATAAAGATATTGTTTGACGGTCAGTGGATATTTCACAGAGAAAAGAAAAGCTCTAAAGTAGGAGTGCTTCAGCAGAGATGACAGGGTGACAGTCCCTTTGCTCACAGCAAAAAGAAAAGCCGGGGGAGAGACCATATTTAAGAGAAATATCCTGAGCCCCTTAACTACCTGTGTTTCTATAGACCTCACAAAGAGGATACCATTAGAAAGGATAGATGACAGACAGAAAAGACCTAAAAAGAGCCTCTTCCTGCTATATCATAGTGGTTTACAGGGGTTTTCTACTGACTCATTGCCAGTCAAAGCCTCGTCCTGCCCCATTTCTAATTTTTGAAGGTGGAGTAAATGTAGAGGGAGGAGTTGAAATGCAACAAAACACTGCTTTGTGTCGTTCTGATAGTAAAGTACAGGCTTTGGATCTGACTACATACACAGCAATTACTGCACAAGGGCTGTTACTGCAGCTGGGGAATAACAACGCATGTCAGCATCTTAGACTAAAGGTGTGCCCACCAGGATGTTGGTCTGTGTCTACCTGGCTGTAGACTTCTGAATCACTGCCCATTTATCCAGTGTGTTGTGTCAGCTGAGGGGCTAATCGACAGCTGTTTCCTCAGTTGGAAAACCAACAAAGTCATCCAAAGCTTTACAGGAAAAAAATGAAGCAGGGGCTTCATCTGCTGTGACAATGGCCACAAAAAACACTAAGTGGGGGTGGCATGGTTGGAGCTACAGACTGCAGTTCTTCAGTAATACTGAGTTGTTGAAAAGAATAAAAAACTGCCAACAGGAAAAATCGTGACCACTAGGCGCTCAAGAAGCTTGGCATCAAAACAGACATAACTCTGTAGTGGAACTCACATTATGACTCCAGGCAGTCAGAAGCATATTAGTAGCCAGGTTGTTGTATTATAAACCTAATGTCTAACACCTATTTGATTAAAACATTTGGTGACCAACTGATGTCCAAAGGACTGGTCAGCTGTTTCATTCTTTTGTTTACTTGAGCTCAAATTTCACCCTCTGCATCTACAAAGTCATTATGCAGAAAAAAAATGTCATCTGGTTTTCTGAGGGTTTAATGTCAATGTGTTGCAGACATAGAGCAGAAATGTTGATGTGACAGGCTGAAATCAAAGATATTCTGAATTTGTAACTGAAAACTAGCAGATTTTACAGCTGAAAAATGAATCTTGCTCCCCTCTCCAAAACATCGCTGTAAAAATGTTTAGAAAGTGACTGAAAAAAAATGAAACTACTTGTATAACTGTAATATGTCTGTGTTGTTTCAGGTAAGCAGGGCCACTGTGTGTACCAGGGTCTGACCATGTTTGACCAGGCCGTCTGGTCTCCAAAGCCCTGTGTGACTTGTCAGTGTACCAGAGGACGGGTGGTTTGTGATAAGATCAGCTGTCCCGTCACAAACTGCCACTTCCCCTTCACTCCTGCTGGGGAGTGTTGCCCTGTCTGCATGGAGCCAGGTAGAAACACAACATGTGGAAAAGCCATGATGCAACATCCAGAGGCAATAGAGAGGTGACATGTTTTCTAAGCTGTTGATTTAGTGGTATTTCAGTTTTAGCATTGACTTCAGCACTCTTCATTTTGGAAACATTCTTTCAGCTCCCCAACGGGACAATAGGACATGGGAACAGACAGGGTTTCATTCTCGCCTCACCAGAACACTTTGGAAGTGAAAATGAAGCAGTCATTTTCAGTAATTGCCCAAACTATTAAGCTTCATTTCTCACTGGTTCCACATTCACGATTTTACAATTAAGCACACAATTATGTCATTATGGTTGTGTTTACATGAAGTCTCTGGCAGTTTACACACAATTATTTAAAACCAGGAGTTAGTGTCACTCTAAGTTTCAGAAATACACAGAGGAGTGCCAATGTGACCTAAACTGACCGGTAAAAAAAAAAAAAACACTGCAGAATCAGTTTACTCTGAAAGCTTTTTGTGCACGACCTCATGTAAGTCTTTCATCAAATATAGAAGTGAAATTGTGTTGTTGTTGGTGGAATTCTTTTTCAAACAAAATAATCCTCTGAAGCCTCTGTATGTTGCTTTCTGTCCTAATCATGGCTTTAAAAATGTGCTTAAAACATTTTGGTCTGTTTGACACACATGTTGTGAAATTTTTACTGTTTCTTTGTGTTGGGAGATATTCAGGTTGTTTTCAGGTTGTTCATGATTGGTTTCAAATGACTGTTCACTCATTCTCACCAAAATAAGGACTAGGTGAATATCCGATTTAACAAGAAAAAACAGATCAATAGATAAGTTTCCCAATAACACTATTGTAATATATTTGTGCATCTTTAAGGGGATGTGATTTTGAGATAACACTAAACTCCACAACCTGCTTAAACCAGTGAAGTTCAGGGTCCAACAATCGTTAAAAGCATCTAATGATCCAATCAGATTTTTGGGCTCAGGATAGGGAGTAAATAACAGTGTGATTTGACTTCCCAACATCCGTGCAAAACTTTGTATTAGTATAGAAGTATGAGTATTTGATCAGGCTCTGTGAATACTGGTTTACTGATCAGTTTAATCCAAGTATAATGTTACAGTCTGGGACTTGGTGACGACTATTAGAGGTGGCAGATTAACAGCTTTGGATGGAAAATCACATGATGTGTTTAAGTAAAATATTAAAGCAGGTGACCAAAGCTTCCTTTCATGATCCCGAGGTGTAAATACAAACTCTGTGTAGTCTCAGTTATTACCACTGCCACTGGCAGCTGTTTTCTCAAGAGTACTGTGTATCATGTTAGTTTAGTTTGGCCAAAGCTGAAAAATCTCGATCAGGGTGAGGTGTGTAGAAACCACAAGGTTTCTAAAATCTGAAAGTATAGGATACAGATTTATTTCAACTGGTTTTGATATTGCAAAAGTGACAGCATAACAGTATTTTTACAAATGCAAAGATAACAGTAAGAAGTTTTCTTTTGTACCTTTTGTTTGTGTTGAACCTTACACATGAATTACAGCTTTAATTGTTTTCATTGATTTTATAATTTTAGAAAGCAGATTTTGTTGTATGATAAAAATTTACGTAGTTTGATTGTGCACGCTGAGGCAACAATAGAAACATTCCTTTTGTCCCAGTTTTGGCAGGCCTCACATGTAGACATGAAACAGGGTTTTAACTGGAGATGGGAACCAAAAAGTAATGCAAGATCAGAACCAGTTACAACAAGTTGGAGCTATTGACATAATTTGCCCAAAGTTCAATAACTTCCTTATCAAAGTCTGATACTGGGCTGAGAGAATGCACAATGTTGCTGTTTGATGTTGGCAAACCTTAACTTGAAAAGTGACAGAAATTCTGTTGAGAGGAAACATCCTTGTATCAGCTCAAACATGTTCACCTGTTGAGAGGACACAATCTGTTCCAACAGAAATTCCATTCAGACTAAACTCTGCCAAAATGTGTTTATCATGTTAGGATTCAGGACCTGCAGATACAAACATCAGCTAACATGAAACAACCAACTCGAAGTCCTATTGAAGAGCGCTTCAATAAGATCTGCCTCTGACTGGTCTACAGCAGCCGTCTGCTCTGTAGCTTCAACAAGCTGGGCTTGTAACTGTCAGACTGGAAAAATGTGGGTGTCTGTGTATTTGTCTACAACACTAACACAAAGTCGTCTCTGTCCATCTCCTGTCTGTATGTCTCTATGTCCAACTGTCCTCCTGTCCCTTTGTTCTCATCATTTGTTCTATCCCTGTCCTGCATACTCTTCTAGTTTTCTTCATTTTTCCACTTGTTCCCTCTCTTTTTCCTGCCATCTCTCTCCTGTCTTCTACTTTTATTTTCCATCCTTCTTTCTACTTCCCTGCCACTGAATGGCTGCCCCACACCTCTCTAAACCCACCCCAGACCCTGATCCCAGCCTTGACCTTTCTGGTGACTCCCCAGTTCCCAATGACCCAGAAGACGACATAATCCCACTGACGCAGGAGGAGATCCAGCGAATTCTCTGGAAGGAAGAAGAGGAGCATCGGGAAGAGGAAGAGCGTCTGAGGAAAAAGGATGAGGCAAGGAAAAAGAAGAGGAAGCAAAGGAAAGAGCAGGAGGAGCGGCAAAGGAAAATAGTGGAGGAGAAGAGGAGGGAAGAGGAGGAAGCTTTGACGGAGCAGTTGGAAAGAGAAGAGGAGAAGTGGAGGAAGCAGGAGGAGGAGAGGAGGAAGGAGGAGGAGGAGAGGATAAGAGAGGAAGAGGAAGATATAAGAAAGAGGGCAGAAGCAGAGAGGGAAGCAAGGGAGAGAGAAAGGGAGCTAGAAGAGGAAAGAAGGAAGCATGAAGAAAAACTGAGGGAGGAATTACAGGCTCTAGTGGAAGAGGAAGGAAGGCTTCAGGAGGAAGAAGAGTGGAGAAAGCAGGAGGAAAAGAGGAGAGGAGAGGAGGAGGAAGATAGAAAGAGGAGGGAGGAAGCAGAGAGAGAAGCAAGGGAGAAAGAAAGGGAGTTAGAAGAGGAAAGGAAAGAGCAGGGGGAGAGGCTGAGGGAGGAACTCCTGGAATTGTTGGAGAAGGAGGAAGAGAAGCGGCAGGAGGTGGTAGAGGAGGAGGAGGAGGTGTGGCTGAGGGGGGATGTGTTTCAGATGCCTCCAAAAGAACCTGAAGAACCTGAAGAACCAGACCTACTCCCCCTTCCGATCCCAAGGCCTGCTACACGAGAGGAGCTGGAGGAGTTGGAGGAAATTGAAGCAGAGGTGGAGGAGGAAAACGAAATTGATGAGGCAATGGAGGTGGAGGAGGAGGAGGAGAGGGAGGTTGTGGTGAACCAAGACAGTCTCCCTCCAGGCTGTGGTTTCTCTGATGTCACAGTGACATGTGATAACGCCAAACTCCTCTACTTCCCTGTTCTGATCATACCGGAGCTCAAATCTCTGAGTCTGGAGGGTGAGTCTTTGCATATGTATGGCATTATTTTTAAGGAACATGGGTATTTTCACATCTTTGCACAACACATGGTACAGAGTTCAACACTTTCATATCCCCTTCTGCAGAGCTAAAAGGTTAAGAGTTTAAGTTCATTCTTCAACATTCAACAATTCAAATCATACTAAAATCAATCTGAAAGAATTAAATCACATTCAATCATATAAAAGCATATAGAATCATCTAAAGCATGATAACTTTTTATAGGTTTTTCCATCACAGTAAGAACCTTTCTGCAGCCAGCCAATAGGGGGCGCTCCAAATGTTTTGGCCTCATAGTCTGCCAACAGTTGTAGCATTCATTTGAATATACAATCCATGGTTAGTAAGGTTGGGGATAAAGACTGCTGATAGGAGTTTAGGATGTTTTCGTTTCTCTGCAGTGCCAGTTTAGAGCAGCTGGTGGAGCAGGTGACCCACATGAAGAGGCTACAGTCCAGTTATTTGGAGCCTGCCGTCCAACCCCCTCTTCCTCCATTTCCCGTCTCTCATAAGATGTTCCATCAATATTGAAATTCTAACTTATTTGCCACTCTTAAAGAACAAGATTCGTACTGATAAAAAAAATCCTAAGGGAAGACTAAAACAGATAGTATAAATTGCCAGAAGACAATATTTTCCAAGGCCCTTCCCTGACGACTGCACTGACGTAAAAGCTCCTGTGTTTTTACTGACTACATAAATATTTTAAACAACTCACAAATATGGTTTCCTGGCTTGTAAAGTTTCCTAAAACAGCTGGTCACTGTAATTAACAGAAAACAACACTCTGAAAGTAGAAAAGCTGTCGCCAGGGCTACATTCATCAGCACATTAATCCACATTTGACGTTTTGAGAGTACTTCCAGCTGGAGGATGGCGCACGTGAGATTCAGCCAAAGTAGATTGCAGTGTGATAGTACAGGAACGTGTCTCCCAGCGCAACAGTGTGACTCACTGATGTGTTTTTAATGGGTTTTGGACAACAACTGAGCTTCAAGGCTCAGAAAGAGGACGTAATTAGGCTCTGGCTAAACAAGCAAGATTTGTTAGTAGATCAATAGATTATTGGTGTGGATTTGCATCTGGATTACAAAACTCCACCTGTCAGCATTGCGTTTTGTTTTCACTTCATCATGGCCATAATTACCAGTATTTCCACAGCCTAGATGCCCTGCTTTCAGTGCAGAATTGTGTTTTAATTAAAAGACAGATTTTAATGTCTGTGCTCATTTTCTAATGTACAAAAACACACAGGGCCTTTTCTTTCCTTTAAGAAAAGTTGGAGAACTTTTCCCCTTGGTTTCCTTTTTGTTCACACTCATGTGTTTTACTCTGAATATTTTTAGAGGCCTATTTTTGCTCTTTGATCAGAGAAGGTACACTGTTTGCACAAGAAGAGCCTTCTGACACAAACGAATAAGAACAAACCCAGAAAATTTGTCAACAGCTATAAAGTACAAGACATACAAGAGTGTTAATGTTTCCACAGAAAGCCTGACAAATTTTTGCTCTCACTCCTCACTGTCTGAAACTTTTCCAACCTTCAGGCAACAGCATCAGCAGCATCCCAGATGGAGCATTTAATGGCATCCCAAACCTGGAATGGATCAACCTGAAGAAAAACAAACTCACCTCTGCCGGCATTGATGCTAAAGCCTTTAAAGTAAGACACGCTGACACACTCCAGTGTTTTGGGACTGAAAAGACTTTTGAAAATCTGATCCTTTTTGTGGCACATAAAACAGGCAGGCAGAAGCAAAAGGCACATTTGTGGTATAGACAGGAGCAACTATAGTATATTGGCAGATATGAGATATATCTGTTAATGCGTCTATATTTGTGTCAGGGTCTGAAGAACTTGAGGCGCCTCTACTTGGATGGGAACCTTCTTGAAGCAGTGCCATTTGACCTTCCTCCCACCCTGCAGGAGCTGAAGATTAATGAGAACGCACTGAAAGGAATCAGCGAAAACAACCTCAAAGGTACGGCCACATAATGATGCACCATCATACTCGGTCGGCTGTTGAAAAACCACAAAGTAATACAGAGTAGTATTTGTGTCTCCAGGAGATGCGTGTGAACACACCAGCACAGAGAGCCACTGATTGATCAACTCAGATGTACTTCACTCTATATTTTGGCCAGCTTCCCTTAGACATGAGTCATTTTAAAAACTGACATCTGCTCGAAGGTTTAGAAATACAAAGAAGAGCAGACTATTGTTCAGATGTTCCTTATTTATATAAATTGTGTGATGAGGACCTGTCATGCAAAACAAAAGTTGTTTGTGCTCTATCATTAAGGACTCTTGGGGCAGATAGTACCCAAACTTTAATGATTGTCACGCACTATCACCAGTGGAGATTTACCACATTTTGTGTCAAGTCACTTCCGTCATTTGATGTGATTTCAAGGCGCATAATTTGTCAGTGAATTAACCAATACATCATGTTTTCTCTTCTTCGGTAACTCCCCAGAGCAGTGCAGAGGGTTTAATTTATTTTAGCAGTTCTCAGTTTTGTTCACTTACCATATACAATCCCTTTCTTTCTTTAACTTCATAAATGAGAATCTGCTGTTGTTTTCTTCACAGTAACTTAGACTCAGGGACATATTTGCAGCTGAGGAGCAGTCACATTGATCTGTTTTTATCTGAGCAGGTCTGAGCAGCTTGGTGATTCTGGAGTTGGAGGGAAATCTGCTGAGTGAGGGGAATGTAGCCCCTCTGGCATTTGCTCCTCTCACCCAGCTCTCCTACCTCAGAATGGGCAGAAACCACTTCCGTACCATACCACAGGGCCTTCCTACAACATTACTGGTATGAAGTGAATTCTGTTCACATTTCTACTGTATCACTTTACCTTAACACAGGAGTCCCCTACCTTTACGACAACAGGTAGTGTTGGGAGAATTGTTATATATAACCCTGATTCCCCACACCAGGCAACCTCATGACTTTGTCTCTTTGACTTAAGTGCATTAAAAAACTCTAGTCCAGATGCCCCAATAAGAGGTCCAACGGTTATGATGGTGCTTAGAAACTTTTAAATGATGTCTGCACCATTTTCTTGTCTAAACTTTGATCTTGCAGCTACAATTTCAGTAGCCTTTTAAAACTCTTTCAGTACCAATGACGGATTTGGACAGATTTTTTTATTTGCCCTGAGTGCCACTGACGGATTTGGATGGATTTTTGAGTTTTTCCACCAGAGGGCACTCCTCCCCGACATGCAATGAGGTTTGGGGTCGTTCTTAACGCAGAAAAGTCGACAAGTACCTCATAACCATGTTACAATAACAAAAACAAGTACTTGCCAGTGAGAAGTTTGCCATTAGCCTTGCCAATTAGCCTACTTGTGGAGTGTTTTTTTTTTCTATGAGAGAGTAGGTAAATGTCAAAGTCATTAGCCAAGAGCAAACCATATCGGCGCATCTGCTCCTGTGGTTGCGGTGCTACCATCTCTGGATCCAGTGGAGATCCTGGTACCAAACCTTCACATCGTCAGCCGACAATCAAAGAAACAATTTTCTGGCGTGTCATTGTGCCTCTGGTGCCAGTACTGGTGAGCAAGACTGAGCCGGAATTCAGTGACAGTCCTGGCAAGGAGGACATGAGCAGTCCATGTGGTTTACATCAAGGTGTCAGGTTCTCGAGAGCCAATACGACTCCCAGACGTCACAAAGTGACCTATCACAATCCAACCTCGAGAGTGATGAGGAGTGGTGTTTGAGGAGGGAGGACCTTGATGCCACCGATGAAGTAGTTTGAAGTGAAATAAAGTAGATGATCAGATTCTGCTTGAGAGTCTCTCCTTTGTAAAAATGTGTTTTTCTCAGGTTTCTCTTTCCAGATCAGCAAAGATAGTACGACCAGGCTGCATTGAGCAGGCAATAACTAAACACAGGAGTGGGTTAGAGACTAACTTTTTCTAGTGAAAGAAGAGAATCACCCCTTTGTTTTGAGATATTGCACTTAATTCTAGCCCAAGCACAAGATATTCTGTGAGTCCTGAAAGACACAGAAATTTCTATTGCGGTCAATGGTGGCACTGGGTGAAAACTGCACAAATGAATTTGGTACTGAATGAGTTAAGCAGCTGGATGTAGTCAGTCAGTATGTTAAACTTGCTTAACGAACTGGTATTTTTATTTTGGCTCTGATGTTTCAGACTTTTCTGCAGAGTAAACCTTCCTTCTACCTGTGGGAAACCAGTCCACTCAACCTGTAATTATGGCCTCTGGTTAACCACAAACAGTACAGTACAGCGGCTACACGCTGCTGCTGTAAGCACACCTTCAAACAAACCAGGATGTTTTCCAGATCCCCTACCCTTTTCTCACCAATCCTCCCTAAGTTTGTATTATTCTACATATAACATTTGTTTATCAATCAGCTTTTGGAAACAACAGAATTTAAGCATTCAGCTGTACATGACCAAGGGTGATTGTGATTAATGGCTTCTGTAAAGTAACTGAGCACTAACTCAGTATTTGTAAATTTTAATGGGCTGTAAGAACAACCCAAGACTGTAAGTATAATAAATGTGCGTATAGTTTAGGAGTGAATTTTGCTCTTGTAACCCAAAACACTCAAAATAAAACAAAACAAAGACTCGTCTGCCAAGATCTTCAACCCCAAAGCACCCAGCTAGCATAACTGTTTAATGTCTCAAATCCAATCTTGCTTCAATAAAAGCAAAAATGCAGGAGTTTACAGGAACCTGTTGTAAACCTGACAATAAACTGACCGAGAGTTTCCACTAATTAAAACATTGTCCTTTATGACCTTCATGACATCTAACATTTTGTTTTTTTTCACTCATTTTCTCTCCATTGTTCAGGAACTGTATTTGGAAAACAACCTGATTGAGGAAATCTCAGAGACAGTTTTTAATCAGACCCAAAGTCTGAATGTGATTTCTTTAAGACACAACCGGCTGGATGAGAGCAGGATTGCCCCGCTGGCCTGGATCAACCACAGGTCAGACTGAACACACCTCATGATTTTGTAGGCTAACAAAAAATCACAAGCATTTGTTTTAGTCATTATTCTCACTGTCCCCAACATGTCTTTAATTTCACTACCATATTTACTTGTGCTGTTTGCGGCTGTCAATTTTATCAGTATCTTAATATCTGCACAGATTTATAAATAAGTCTTTCTGTCCCTCTGCAGGAACCTGGAGTCTATAGACCTTTCACACAATGAGCTTTACCTTGTGCCTTCCTACCTTCCTACATCTCTGGTTCACTTAGTGCTGGTGGGGAACAAGATTGAGAGGGTACCAGGTAAGTGGAGAGTGTTGGTGAAACACACGGTTCACAATTATGACAGCATGCTGGTGGGAAGGTCCAACTATTGGTAGGTTGGCATGATACCTGGGGGCTTCCTCAAAAACTTTCAGCAGCTGCAGATCGTCACAACTATGTTAATAATTTCAAAATGGAACTGAATAAGACAAAATGCATGGAAAACCTTGTCTGTATATCAGGATGCTTAGACAATAGCAAAATAACACACTTATAGAACCCAATTTTTCTTATTCTGTCTGATTTGGGAACCGACTTCAGGAAGTATTCAAGTACAGCACAGAGATACTTTAGACTCTTTCAGGGCACTGGCTGTAATAATGTTAACAAGAGCCATTCAGAAGGAGTATATGTGACAAGGCTGAAGAATATGATGAGAAGATTTCTTATCGTTTGGTAGACACACATAAGTAGGACAGAGCTAAGTAGTGCTGGAAATATTTAGAGTGTAAGTCACAGATTCAGGCACTTTTATGAATGAATGAATGGCGACATTTCCAAATTATGACTTTAAAGAGGCTGCAGTGATACTCTTAAAAAACAGCAAGACACTAAGTCAGAGTTGCATAGAGCAAAGAGCCATTTAGAGAGGATATGAGTCACAAGATTGAAGAACGTGATAAAGAGGTTCCTCATTGACTGATAGGAAATGATAAATAGGACACAGCTGAAAATATTTGAAGTATAAAGAGTATACTTAAAATAACATTAGAAAAGGTTCATGATGAGTGCAGTAATGGAAACAAAAGAGGGCTGCCATGTTGGAGGTTGTTTTTCTGAGGAACCAGACATTCTGTGGATTCCCCACCGGCTTTTGTTTATGTTTGAGATGTGGATATGAAAGATTCTGCCATTAGCTTTGCAACGCTTGTCTTTTTAATGATTTTCAGCTTCAATCACAAATAAAACAGATAATTTAAGAACAGCATTAAAATTTTAGGCCGTTGTGATTAATCTAAAATCAGAAGAACTCACAGTCCTAATGGAATTTACAAGCACAGGGTTGTGGTCTCTAATAGTCACACTGTTTCTTGCCAATACATCCACAGGTTATGTCTTTGCTCATATGAATCCTGGTATGGAGTACCTCTACCTCTCCTTCAATAAACTGGATGGGGAAGGAATCGAACCAGAGTCTTTCTTCGGCTCATACAACTCAATGGTGGAGCTGTGTCTGGATCACAATCAGCTGGTCAGTGTGCCGTCTGGCATCAACGAGATGACCAACATACACTTCCTAAGACTGAACAACAACAATATCAGGTATGATATCCACATGTTACGGGGTTTAAGGGTTTCCTGAAAAATGTTCAGTTAAAACACTCTTAGCATGTCCATAAATCTCAGCTGTTATCTTTAAAAGTGCAGATAGAAACGGACAAAAGAAGAACCAAGACCTCAGTTGTAAAGAGTCACTGTTTCAAATGACTCTGTACAATCCCATCTCAATGATCAATGCCTTGCTTATTAACTTCAAACCAAAATGTTTTTTCTCTCTCGGACTCTACACACGTATATAAGAAATTTATTTCATTGGTCTTAGAGACAACAATCTACATCAAATAACAACAAAACCAGATGATTTGAGACAGTTTAAGCTGTTTGAAATGTCTACTTAGTACAATCCTCTAAGACCACTGATAAAGACAGCAGACAAGAGCTGACTCATTCAGAGCTGACTACTTACTCATTCAGCACACAAGACAATAGCAGCTGGACGTTAGCTGAATGGAGAGTTGTCTTGACGACAAGGAAAAAACAAGTTTCCTCATGTTTCCACCTGAGAGTCACCCTGAACCACCTCATTATTCACTCACAGGTCTGTTCATGGTACACACAGTCCAGGTATTTGAACAGGTTTATATAACATTTCCATTATGCTGTTCTTTTATTGTGGCCAATATGGCTGACCCTTCATGTGGGAAACTGTAATAAGCCTTCTGGAAATCCTGCAGATAATCAAATGCAGAATAACAAAACAAACAGCAACCCTCAGTAAACTCAATGAAATGAAAAATAGTTTTTAAGCAAACTAAAGGCCCTGGTTAATAATTGTTTTATTTATTTATTTTTCAAGCAAAAATCTTTCAGTAAGAGAGATTGGTATCTATTTTTGTATGTGCATCTTCAACTAAAGTTTCACTAAGCCATTTACAGTCCACAGACTTATGGAAGTGCTGTCATTGTGGTTGAAGTGTTACAGAGACAATGATTAACTGGTTGTTTGATTGGCTGGTTGACTCGTGTCATACAACAGAAGATAGATGATGAAAAAACGGAAACTGCCAGTGAGCAGCTCTTTAAGAAACCAAAAATATTAGAGCCTGAGCCTGTTTAGGTTGCTTATCAATTTAACATTTATACATTGTTATTTCAGCTATTCTCACTCAATCCCACAATTTACGATCACCCCGAGGTAGTACACTTCAAAATAAAAGCATAGTTCTACGATACAGGAAATAGAGCAACTTAAACTTGAGACAGTTAAAACTATCAAATAAAAACACGACAAACAACTGTTTCATCAGACAACATCTTCTCCAGAAAAGTTTAAGTGGTTCGTATAATCATACATTTAAACCTGCCTCCATTGTCTTGCCCTTCCTTAACTGACTGTTTTTTTGTTTCCAAGTTTCCCATAAATTATGTGGGAATATCACATAATAGTTATGACAAGATAATCATAACAGTCCTTTTGACAAGTGAATTTAACTGCACTCTTGTACTGTGTCCTCCAGGAGTATCCCTGAAGACAGCATCTGTGACCCTGACCAGAGTGGAGACTCCACCCTGGTTGCAGTAAGGCTTGAAAACAACTACATCGACCCCAAGAAGATCTCCCCATCGGCCTTTTCCTGTGTGCGCTCCTCCTCTAGCGTGGTCTTAAAACCCCAGAAAACCAAGTGACCCGAGTTCTCACAAATAAAAAAATCTTCAGAGACACTTTTTTAGACCCTAAAAACCACACAGGACAAGATTGTTTTTTATATGTGCCAAAGAAAAAGTTAAAATGTAAGATTGATTCTCCCCGAACTAGCCCTCATGCTGTATGTTAATGACATTACACCCACATCATGACTTAGATACATGTGCTCAGATGTCTGATGTAGAGGCTGAACATGGAAAAACAGAGAACTCTACTGTCAGAGTTACAGCTGATGTAATTCACCATTTGGGAAGCTACTGTCCTGTCATATCCTTGGCCTGAACTCTTTGATTTGGAAAGTTGTTTTGCAGCGTTGCCTGGCCCACCTTGAACTTGTATGAAGGAAACAGAACACCTTCAAATATTAAAACCAAACCTACTGCTTCTCCAGTTGAACGTTCACTTCCCTCAAATGGAAAGAATTTCTGCACCATGCACAGTAAAATCAAAACGGGAATAAAAGAGTGGAAAGATTTCTGTGAAGTGAGACTACAAACCCAACACATTAGATTTAACAACCTCACCACCTTCATGTTCCACTTCTCAGCTCTGTTTCTTCCAATCCCCTCTTTCATAAAAAGCTCACAAGGAGTGTGAGAGGTGAGACCCCATGTGTTACACAATCCTTTAGACTCTCTTCATTAAAGATTCAGAAAAGGTTCAAAATAAAATGATGAAGTGAGTGTTGGAGAGATAATCCATGTGACAGGAAATGGAAAAGCATGTGCAATTAATGTAATTACAGGTTGTTTTATTAAGCATCAAATGTTGATTAGTAAAGCTGTGTGGCCCACTTGATCTGAAGTAAACAATAAATAAGAAAACCCTTTCACTCTAGCATTTGACATTCAGGCATCTTAGAAGGCGATCAGGGTGAGATTTGGCAGGAATCGTTTGCTTCATGAGTATATTTCTATGTGTCATTCTCATTTGTAACTTTGATTTTTAATGTATTTCCAGGTCTAAATCACACTATAGGTCTTTGTCTGTGCCTCAACTATCAACCTGTGTAACTACAGTGTAATATAACAAGTAAACATCATCCTTGACTATGATTAAAAGACGGCTTCGACAGCATGTGAGAGGGAACCCTTTGGCTTCGTGTTGAGATTTTTTATACAGTTATGAATTGTTGTCAAACTAAACTGACCTTTTCAGAAAACCTGTTTTTTTTTATTAAAACATTTGTATTTTAATAAACGTGCCCTGTAGTTTGCTCTTGGCTGGCCAATATGCATAAATTATACATCAAAGTGTTCAGTTGTTTTGTTTCACATAATGCTACAACACACATTTCAAATAAACTTTTTTACATTCCCATCAAAGCCTCATCATGCATATAAATAAAAATATGATTTGCAATTAAATTTTAGTTTTAAGTAACTACTGACATATAAGCATTACCATGAGGTTCTAACATTGGTAACCCTGATATTCTGTCTCAAAATGTACCATCACATTAACTCAAACAACCTGTCCAGCTACAATGTGATTTAACTTTTCATTAACTTTTTAGAGAGAGGGCAAACAGGAGAAAAAGTGGCAAATAACGTGCAGCAAAAGGCTGCAAGTTGGGATCAAATCCAGCCTGCTGTCCAGAGGATTACAGCCTCATACATGGAACACATAGTTCAACCACCAGGCACCCAACGTCAGAACTATTTTCATGTATTAAATAAATAAATAAAAGTTATTTAAATGTGTGCCTTTATGTTTCCATCTGGAGTCCCACTCAACAGTTTTCTAGGATGATTCAAGTTGATACTAAATGCAAATGCCCGACTTGTGAGCTGTACAGGATGATTCACATGTATAAATGGAAGTGAGATTGAATTCCCCAAGATTCTCCTACTTCCTTCACTGTCAGCAAACCCACTTTAGGAAAATATATAGCTGTACAGATGTTATCAGATCAACACCCAGGCCTCAGGGAGGAGATAAAGCCATCGTATCTACTGAAGACTGAGTCATGAGAAAATGTTGTGATCTTTGCAACACATGTCGATTGCCCTCAAGAAATACATATTTAAACCTGTCTTTTCAAGGGCTGCAAGCCAACTTTATCATCATATTTTCCCCAGTAGACCTAAGAGTTAGGATCATTTACTTTGGTAGCAGAGAGATCAAAAGACAAAAGGAAAAGCTCGATGTGATGAATTAGAAATACAAGCTGTTTATAGACAGACAAAAATAAATCTAAAAGTAAGAAAGCAATAAAGTCAACAACCAGTAATGTTTAGCCAGTTTGAAGAGGCTGGAAGTTGTCATGTTATAGTACTTTCAGTGGAAAAAGGTTTCCAATGAGCCGAAGCTCAAAGATTAAAGGTTTTCCTTCAGAAAGGAGAGAGTTCTTGTTGCCTGCCAACACGAACAGCTGCTGTGTTCATCAGTCTCCCAAATCAACACATGGAGGAATAATCTAATAGTCATTATTCACATGACCCCTTCAGTGTTTTCAGGATTAGAACATCCAGGTTCATAGATAATTCAAATCTGTCCTGATGTACTCAGCAGATAGTTTATAATGTACAAATAGATTACTTTAAGGTTGCACCCTCATGGAGGTCTGGAAGAATCCAGTCTCAGGTTTTTATAGGTTTGGGATGGCAGGTTCATGCTGAATTGAACTGTCACCACAACGTTTGTTTGTTTGCAGAGTTTTTGACTGACAGGTGAGTAAAGATTGGTTAACATATTGTAAGTAGTTGTCATCTATGAACCATTGACACATTGAAACCATGTGTAAGTGTAGGTGTCTTAGGTTAATTTAATATTTCGTTACCAATCAACAGTTTATCCCATTTAAGATCGGTATGCTATCAGCTTTGGACAGTAGTAATTTTGTTAAATCAGCACTGGTGTTATGCCTTTGTTCTGATGTTGTCTTGTAGTTCCAGTGAAATTGTAGTCTTGGTAACTCCTGCATAAACTTGTTTTTTGTCTGCACATATGCTGTTCTTGCTGTCAAATTTGAACCCAGATTAATGGGTAGCCAAGGCCATGAATGCACGCCAGAAGCGAAGGCTGCTTTGTATGGTCTTATCCTATACAAGAGCTGCTGAAGCTCAAACACTAAAAACTTTGTTGCTGGTTCTTACTGAAAGAACTAAGACAGTTGTGTACAGGACTGCAAAGCCAGGGACTGCTCAGGCTGGCTGTGCTGACCTCTGTCCAGAGGTCACAAAAAGTGCCTTCAATGAAAACTGGATCATAGAGCAATGAAGAAGGCCTGAAGGCTACACAAAGTTAAAAGGTATTGACTTTCAGGTCTCAGTCCAAATGAGCATCTGTGGGATGTGCTGAACAACCGAGTCCAATACAAGGTGGCATTATCTCTAAACTTGTTCATGTCTCGTCTGGCTAGGATGGTTTTGGCTGAAGGTGAGTTTCCACAGTATAAGGCAGGTGGTCAAAGTTTCTGCCTTATTAGTGTATTCATTTAAGAGGACCAAGTAAAACACTTTGTCCTATGTTTAATATCGAGTCACTGCTATGATACAACACTCAGTCTATTTTTAAAGAATACTGTGATGATATGATGCATTTGAGAATATTGTGCTTTGTGTAGCAAACCCTGACTTAATTGTAAAACTATAGATAGATATGATTGTAACTTATGCCGTACTAATATTAACAGCTTCAAAAGTGTCACCATCATGTGAAGTCATGGTGAAGTCGGGCTGGTAAACAGTGGTCTGTTGTGTCGCCTCGCTGGATAACATTCCCAGCTGCAGGTAACATGCTGAGTTCTGACCCAGCCAAAGTTTTACTAGAGTGTTTCCTGGCACTACGGCGCTCCGGTGGCATTAAAGCAACATCAGTGCTGAGGCAACTCCTTGGCAAAATTGCCCAGCAAGTAGCCCCAGTGACTCACAGCTTTGAAGGCCCAGCTGGAGGAAATTCTTGTCAACATGAGCACACAACAAGTTCCATAGCCGTCACAGACGTTTGATAGGTTGGAAAATATGACATCCTGGAAGAGAAGAGACATCCTGACAGCCTCCCACCACCAACACAGACTGACTACCATTAGGAAATAATCTCTAACATTTAATTTGCAGTTTGACTGCTGTAATTCAAACAATTACGCCATAGATTTCTTTAAACCACAAACCAGTTTCCCTCTTCTATCTATCTATCAAATCCTTCTGTGGCAAACCAGTCAGCTGAGAAGGATCAAGTTTTCTTGCACAAGATCCTCCTTTAGAGAAGTTGATAGCATGGCAGACATCTTTCTTTGAATACAAGCTGAATATTTTAATGATTGGTTTTGTTATTGTGGCACTTTTAGACAAATAGATTAAGAAAAAAAAACAGACTGGATTCATATTCATGCAAACGTAACAAATATGTTGAACTGTGAGCATTTCACTCTTTAAGCTTTGTCCTCTAACAGTGTAAAGAAAGCAAAACGCTGTCAGGTTCACATCAGGGTCCAATCAGATCCCTGAAAAGCTTGGGAAAATGGTATCCTTTAATCTTAAAACTTGGCTCCTGGGACTGTATTGTTTCAGAGCTACGAAGCTGTGATTACGAGGCACTGGAAACTCAGCACAAGGTTTAACAGGAGAACCGTAAATGTGGACTTGCTTACATATCAGATAATTGAAGCTTTCCCCAGGCTTGCTTCTATAATGTTTTTTACACGTGAGGTAGATAGATCATGCTCATGTTCCACCCTCTCAGTTTACAACCACCAGACAGTGGAGGGCTTGTCCATCTTGAATTTAGGGACTGGAGAGATCTTGAGCTTAAAAAAAGCTGGTGTAACCGTGTGTTTAGGTTTTAATATGTCTACTGTCATGACCTTAGTAAAGTCAATGAAGAAAATTATTGGCAAGAATAGTTTTTCCAACATCAGGACAGCTGAGCTCAGCCTTCGAGACAGGGTATGGAGCTCAGACATGCAGAGGGGGCTTGGAGTCGAGCTGCTGTTTCTTTGTTCAAAAGCAGCTGAGGAGGTTAAAGCTTCTGTCCAGAGTGACTTAAAGAGACTGTGTTTCTAAGGATAGTCCTTCATTGCATCAGGACTGCAACTTCCTGAGCCTCGTCCCATTGCAACATGCACAATTAGATAATAGGATCAGACCTAAAGACATGAAGGTGACTGGTATGGTACGGGACAGCTGTAAAACTTTACATCATAGATTTTCACAGCATATAAGATAACCAAAGTATGTTTATGCAATCAAATTTCTGAATGTTTTATTGGTTTGCATTTAATCAGAGATTGGGAAGCTTCTTCTAATAGTGATAAGTTTGTTCAAAATGCTTAAACAGCTCAAAAAAATGTCCCACAGTGTTTGTTGAACATGGAAGGGCTTAGCAGGCTCCTTGTCACTGAGATGATCGTTTAACCAGATCATTAATGGTTTGGAAAAAATGACTTCCCCATAGAGTAAATGCATTAAAACCAGAACACAGACCAGCTCCAGTTTGGGTTTATCTCCCTGCCAAACCAGGGCATATTTGGATGGTCTAGCTCCCCCATAAGCTGCTCCTCAGAGTGCGGTTCCAGCTCAGCTCAGCAGAAAATACCAACACTGAATGGAAAAAGACATGGTAAAACACGTGAACCCACAAGGGAGCGAGCTACTGTTAGCTTTTCCATTCTTGGGAGGTATTTCTCATTTCTGCCTAAGGTGTAAAACTTTGGACTTTTCTGTAGTGCCTTGTCAAGATACACATCATGCCTAACACTCACTTTCACACATACACACGAGAAGAAAAAAACTGTGGGGCTGAGTAGATATTGTAAAGCATCCCCTAAGAATCTCCTCTGAGAACTTTGTTTCTACTTTTTGAGAATGGAGGAAAACAAAACAAACATACAAAACAAATAGAAACACCAATTTTCAGTGAATGGTTGTGCTTGATAATTTTATAAGCTTCCTTTTGGGGTGGGATGATGCTGTCCATCTATTCTTAAATTCTAATCCATTCCTTAAAAAAAAGGGTGAGGTGGGGGGTTAGCATTTTAAGAATTAAGTAGAAAAAAATCAGCATTTTGTTTTGTCTCTCTGTTGCAGGAATCTGGTTCTGTCCATCAGAAGTGGACTTTGATTACATAACAGTTCTGGTTGTATTCAAGCATGACTATCAGATTACAGATGGATCAACAGTTCACAGTAACATATTATTTGGCAACTTTAAAGGAGAGCAATCACCAACAAAGTAAAGAAGGATGCAGGGTGAATGTGTTTCTCCTACATTGCATGTAGTTCAGTAAGCAGCCTTAATCGCCTTTCTCTTTTTAACCCACAGAGGCATTTTCCCACTATTGTTACATCACTTATTGAATTTTGATGCCCATTCTTCAATGGCAGTGGCACACTCCTAAAATGGAACATTTTATTTTGGGATTCATATCTAATCCTTTTTTTGCAAATGATGTTGGGTGACTATTTGATAGCCAAGATGTCCTTCATGCAGAGTTACTTAAAATGCAAGGAAGACCAAATCAGCTAAGTTGACATGCATAAATCTTTGAAATTTAAAATGGTATGAAATAAATCAGCATTAAATAAAATCAGTGCTGTATAATTTGCCCTGTTTATTAGTATTTATCATTTAGAGCTGCCCTCTCAGACAGAACCCCCTGACAAAAGTGTCTAGCATGGTGCATTTACACTAACATAAGCAAGGTCTGTAATTAAACTTCTGATTCAAATGTACTGACATTTCTGATTAAAAACACTAAGACTGCATGTCATCCACCCTGTTTTGGAAGCAGCGTCACACTCTACAGCGACGTACAGCCTGCTGCAACTGATGTAAAGAAGATGAGGTCTACCTCCATGTATAAACGTCATCTTCTTCACATAGGTATGTAAAAAAGATGAAATTTTTCTGCCTTAAAGAACATGCAGAAAAATGTGAAAGAAACAAATAGCCTGGTTGCTAAGCAACAATAAAAAAGGGACTGCACTCTTTTTTAATCATATACAAAACAGCTGTATCTCCCATGGTGCACCATGGTAATTTGACATAAATTAAATGTTACACCCTGCATACTGCAAAGATTGTTATTCATCTAGTCACTTTTAGTCATCTGGATGCCTTCATAAATTTGATTTGCTCTCCAGAAATCTGTCTTATGTTCAATGCAGCCTTGATCATGTTTGACTGTAAGAAAGGTAGTGAAAGCTGCAGAGACCTTGTTAAAATAATTAATGTAACAAGAGGAACCCCTTAGTGTGTTGGAGTATGGTAGGAGATTATTCTCTGAGTTTACACTTTAATTTAATTCACATGGGTTTGAAAACATAGACGTCATCCTCAGTTTAGATTTAAATGGTTTGAGACGTAGTGATGTCTTGGGATGCTTTTTTAAACAGAAACCTTACATCATATATCTACAAGTACTTTAGACCAACATGGAGCACCAACTCTTTGGCTTTGGCTCACCTCCATCATTAGCATTGACGTTTCACAGAGGGAACCTAAACAGCAACAACAGCTGTACAGTCCTATTATTCTTGTTGAGCAAATGCTCTTGAGATTTAGTCAGACTCATTCATGCTGATGTAAAATATTTAATATGGCATCATCTTGGTGAAGGGAGGTGAGGTGACAGACCTACCAGTTTGATCTATAAAAAGACTTGAGCATTCAGGAGTCTGAAGCTAACTATCCTGGCATCACTTCAAAGCTCCTGATGAAAAGCACATGACTAAAGTCCTAATAACTCCAGTCACTGAGACGTACAGATGGTGTGATGAGAGAGGGAGAGAGAGTGGAGAGCTCCTGACTGAAACTGAACCCCTCACCCTAAGCAGCCGAGGTTTTCCGTCAGTGGGGGGGGTTAAGGAGGCTGTTTTTTCCTGGAGAGAGAGAGGGTGATGCTGTTCTCCTTTCACTGGGAATGTATTGACTGAGGATCCAAATCTCTGCCTTCCAGCTGGACCCTGCTGTCACACATCTCACTGCTTGGGGTTTATACAAGGACACAAAACACACCTGACGGCTGAGGTAGGACACACCCTTGGTTTATTTACAAAACAGCGACCTCTTCTTTTTAAACCTCTAGCTAGACAATGCTACATGTTTTATTTTCATAGAATAAAACACCTCTAGGGTTGTGGGAAAGTTTACTAGACTTCTGCTGAATGCATTAAAGGTGGAGGAGTTGTTTGAGGACAGTCATAGAGCTGGTTTAAAATTTTAGTCTGATTTTCTTTCATTTACCAGATGAATTACCTTTTAAAAAATAGAAAAGAGGAAATCTTTTAATTAAGAACTTTTCAAACCATTTTTTAAGCAAATCAGATTTTTAAGCAAACCTTTGAAGTACTTTCAGATTGTGTTACTGTAATGTTTATATGTCGTGGGTTGTGTTTCACGTAAACTAAATAAATGGCAGATTTGAGGGGATGAGGATGTTTAGTCTTTCAGCTTTATGTTGTGGTCTCTTGTGGTCATTTCTTGTCTGGAGTTTTGTTCAAGCTGTTCTCATCTCACAAAAACTCAAAGACTACAGACATCGCAAAGTAGTAAATACAAACATATGAGGGACATTGTTTGAACCACCTCAAATTTCCATAATTACCTCAAATAAAGAGCAGATAGACGTTAAACTTTTATTAGAGCTTCATCTACGGAAAACTTCTTCTTTGGCTCAAAGTTTATCAGCAACAGCTAATACAATAATCAATGACAGTGATACAAATGACACCACAACTTTGAAACATATGAATACCTCATGTTCTTTGAATTTTGGATGCTGATCAAACTAGATGTTGTATCTTGCTTTGTTGAAATAGGATGGACACTTCATTTCATACTGTGACTGAAATCCTGTGCCTGCATCAGTCTGGCTGAATTACAGAAAGATTTATAGGATCCATTTTAAGGACTCTTCTGATTAAATATTAAATATGATTATTATGAAACTGAAACATAAGGGTATTATCTACATTGTACTGTAAGTTGTGACATAAACCTCCCAAAAGTTGCCACATGCACATTAAGAAAACAGCCTCTTTCAGCTAAATGAGCTCATGTGGAACAAAGACAGCCTGGGTGCAGTAAGGGTCTTTGCTGAGCAGTATTTGCTGTCGCAGCAGGATGCTCGACCACCATCACATAGTTGTGGGTGGACTGAATTCATCAAGATTACCATGAGCACGCAACCAGACAATCTCAGCCCCTCTCTGCTGGGTGAGTGTGTAATGGAGAAAGATATATAAATCAATGCCTGAATCACCACCGATGCTGAAAAGGTGAGAGCAGGAGAAACATTTATGTTGGCTGCAAGAACTCATTTCCAGTCGAGGTTTTCTTAGCTTCATGGAAAAACGGATCGAAAAAAGAGCAGCACTTACTGAAACCAATCATTCTAGGAACTCTGCGTGCCCTTTCACCATGCGCTGGTTTGGCCAAACATTCCTAAATCACAATCATCTCAGACTTTACTTTCATCAAAATATTTCCAGTGCTCTTTTTTTCTGCTGCTGTATTTGAGATTTTTTTGTTTTTGCTCTGATAGCCAGCTGCTGTGACATCACCACTTCTCAGTTTGGTATGAAAACCATTCATCCATCAATCCATCCATTCATCCATCAGACCATTCATCCATCCTCTCCAAACCACTTAACATTAGGCTTTTTGACTCATTGCACAGCTTCTCAGTTGAACCAACAGCAATTAAACTTATTTGTTCATTTTCAGTGCTAAAGCTGAGCCTTGATGAGGAAGCGGTCAGAACAACTAAACTGCAGGTTGTTTGAAAAGTTAACGAATTAAAAAGTGTTTAAATGTAGTCAAAGCATTGGAAAGTGCCCGATGTGAAATGTTGTGACAGTGTTTTGTGTTTATTGTACTTGAAATATGAAAATTGTAGTTAGAGGGATACATGTTATATCAACAGCATTAATCTCTGAGGCTGTTTTCCATTGTTACCCTGCAATACCAATGACCTCACATCAATATATTACTGTCAGAGACCAGAGAGTTTGGCAAGTACTTTTACTTTTGAAGCTTTAAAGCACCTTGGGGTGAATAATTACTGCAGGATATTAATTTGACTGGTCATATGAGAGGTTTTATTGCAACCTTGGTTGTTTATGCTCCTTTGTTGTCATCTTAAATAAAAGATTGTGATTGGGTCAGTACATCTGCCACCAATGGAAAAACCTTTAAAATGGTGATGGTTCCAGACCCACATGCCAGTGAAAATGAATATGACTTTGCTGATGTGTCTGCAGATAATTTTAGGATAAATTTGTTACACATTCAGACTGAAAGACACGCAGGAGGAGGATGACAGACAAATTCACAATGAACTGTTTTAAACCAGATTTCACAAAAAAAAAAAAAAGAAAAAGAAAAAAAGGAAAAAGAAAAAAAGACAAAGAAAAAAAAAAAGAATCCGATTTGGCATATCCCACTGATTATACAGTATACTGAATATAAATGACCAAAACTGAGTTAAAATATGGTCAAACAGTCAAGTTTTTGAATTTTGCGGCACAACTTCAAACCTATGACCTCTTAAACCAATGTGTCTCTCAAAGATGTTAAAAGATGAGGAGTGATGGTGTAAATCTGTCAGTTGTCATTATTTCATACTTATGTTAGTTGCTCTCAGTAATTAAGTCAGATCTATCCTGAAACAACATGGATCTGCGCGTCTGGCCTATAATGTTACTATAAACAAACTAACTAACAAAACTTTTGTCTGTCTCTACAGCTCTCCCTGGTCGCTCATTCACTGACCAGCCTTCTAATACAACCATGAGGGTCTTCCTCCTACTTTGCCTGTTGGCACTAGGCAATGCTAAACCTTACCAGCCAATCAACGTCATGGACTTTATGAAAAACTATGACATCATGATGGCAGACTCAATTGATGATGATGATGACGACGATGATGATGATGAAGATGATGATGATGATGACGATGATTACGAAGATGAAAACTGCCCAGCTGGTTGTCACTGCTCACCCAGAGTGGTGCAGTGCTCTGACCAAGGTCAGAATATGCATAGTATGAATACATCTGGATCCACATGTCACTGTAAACAGAGTGTTGACAGACGAAGAAGCGCTCTTGTTTTAACTCTTACTTGGCCTCTTACTGGACACAGAGACGAGGTAGCAAGCTGACTGCTGAAGATGATCACAGATGTGCTACTGACTGTAGAAAACAGTTCAACAAGTGGCTTATAGATCTAAAAAAGTGAAAGTAACAACAGCTTATTACTTGGTGTTGAACTATAGATTTATTTGGCTCCAATGACACTGATGCCAAGCAACAGACTGTTTTAACAATAGTATTTTTCATGCACTCCTGAAACAGCCAGTTAATATTAAAGCATTTAAACAGAGTTGAAGTTGATCAAGCTTGTCTTGATGGGACGGAGAAGTCATAGAAAATTGAGACCAATTTCTAGAGAAGTATTTAAGATTCACTGTAAGAAAAGGATTTTTTCTGAATTGCGTTCTCGGTGTACAGGTGATGCCAGAATTATAAAACTACAGTATCTAGCATTGATTTGCCAATTTTGCTTCTACCCAGGTCAAATCTCTGTCCCGGAGAAGATCCCTGAAGACACTGTGTTGCTTGATCTTCAGAACAATGACATCACTGAGATTAAGGAAAATGACTTCAAGGGCCTCCACAAGCTTCATGTAAGATATACGTTCAAACATGGACCGCCCTGCATGCAGCAACACTTCAAACAGTAACGTAAAGCAGACATACGGCACATCTGCTGTCAGAGATGTAAAGATTAACATCATTCCACTGAATAAAAACAAAGCACAACAGCAAATTAATTCCAGTAATATCATAATGAGCGCCAATCTCTCCTCTTTCAATTAAAACTACCCGAAGGACAAACAGATGGTGTCCACACATCACTACAGTTCAGTTCAGCTACATTTGCAGGGACTATAAAGCAACCAAAGGCGGTCTCTGTCAAATACAGTTTGACAAGAAGTGGCTCGCTGAAAAGGGGCTGCTTTGATGCTGTTGTCAACAAGACTCGGAGTGCACAGCTAAGTTATTGAACGAGGAAAAAAGTACAGCAGTTGCAGATTCTCAGAGAGCTCTTTGTCTCTCAGCATTCAAACAGTATTTAGTAAAGCACATTTATGCTTCTGGGATGTAGTTTAAAATGCAAAAATGTGCTTGACTTGTGTTTACAACATACAAAAAAGTGTTAAAAAGGGCAAAACACAGCCTGAGAGAAAACATCTGGATTGTTCAAAGTGCACCGCGTGTTTAGTCAGATGTGTGTGAGAAAAATCAAAGAGAAATGATTGGGGAAAATGAATCCCTTGTTTGTTGCCTCACTTTATCTTAACATCGCCCATTTGCTCTACTGCACATTTATTATTTATTTGTTTCTAGACCAACAAAAAGTCTCTGCTTTGTCAACAACAATGTTTTATTGGAGCTTTTAAAGAAAATGTAGAGGAAGGCATAGAGGAACAGCTCAGTTATTGTAGAGTCTGCAGTCTAAGGAGGCGATGGTCCCTCTAGATAAAACCCTGATAGTTCCTCTAGATAAAACCCCTACAGTCCTTCTGAATAAAACCCCGATAGTCCCTCTAGGGCTGGGTGATAAACTGAAAATTTACTGATACTGAAATTTACGACAATAACCGATCATAATTTTAAAAAAAAAAATAAATGGATAAAAGTTGGTTTTGGATGTGTGTAGGTAGGCTATGGTATCATGTTCCTTTAAGGCGCTGTCCTACGTCAGAGACCTGACTCCACCCCATCCAGACAGTAACAAAGAGGGAAAGACAGGTGAGGAGATGGAGGACAGTTCAAAAGTTGTAGCAGCTGGAGCGCCGGCTGAAGAAGATAAAGTTAATGTGGAAAGGGTTAGCAGCTCGTGGAGTAGTTATCGTCCATTTATCGTTATCAGGGTGAACTGCTCAATATATCACGATATTGATCTGAAGCCATATCGCCTGGCCCTACTCTTGATAAAACCCTTAAGGCTCTGTTTTCATGCCCGCCGAAAGGCGCACCCCGCGCACTGGTTATTTCGACTGGCGGAGTCTGGCGCACAGCCAGTTTAGTTTTTCTGTAGACTGAGGCGCACTGAGGTCTGCCAAGCTGGTGTGGTGGCGTGGTAGGGGGAGGTGTCGACAGAATCAGCTGGCGCACTGACATATTCATGCCCGCCAGTGGCGTGGAAACTGTGCGCTGAAAGCTCGCTGAATCAAACCCAGTTAGGGTTAGGGCAGTTGGAGAGCAGCTGGTCTAGCGGTATTTTGGTAGACCGGCAGCGTAGTGTGCACACGTCACTGATGCCTCACCGGCAGGTTTCCACAGTGTCAGGCACATTTCAGTGCAACAAATGTTATTTCGACTGGCGAAATGGATGTTTCCACAAGTAACTTACACCGCTGGAAGGTGTTAAGTTAGGGAGGGGGGATACTTATGCTGGGCTGTGCTGCTCACCAAAATACCAAATTGTGCTTGGGCACGCCTTGTCGACGCAGCGGACCTGACTTACCCCGCACCTACGCAACACCGCCAGCGAGGCATGAAAATAGAGCCCCTTGGTGTGAGCGAAAGGACCCTGACAGCTGGTCTGTCTTTCATCTGGCTTTTGCTTTCATAGCAGGGAACAAACCAAATGAACAAACCAAAGTTATACTGTTATGTACCTCATATGCCATGAAAACAATGTGCATGCACTGCTTTGTGCTAATACAGTGGTCTGTCATCAACTGCGAGTACAATGTCTTCATTCTCCCACCTGTTGTGAGTAAGGAAGCACACAGAATGTATCTTCTAACTTTTATTTGAATTTATGTCTTCCATAACAGGGTCTGTTTCTGATAAACAACAAGATCTCTAAAATTCACCCCAATGCCTTTAAAAACATGGACCATCTCAGACTGCTGTACCTCTCCTACAATCTACTGACTCAGATCCCTGAAAACTTGCCTCCTAATGTTGTTGAGCTACGCTTTCATGAGAACAAGATCAACAGAATCCAGAAGGATGCATTTAAAGGCCTGAAGAAACTTCATGTGTTGGGTGAGACTTGGTTAAAGCTTCCTGTGTCAAATTACAATAACCTCTACCCAGAACAAGTTTGGTATCACAGAGTCTCCTGCCTATGAAAAATCAATGCGCTCCATGATGATTTTGAAAACGTGAGAAAGTCTACCAGATCTCCTAGAGCAACTACTGCAAATGTCTTTTCATATCACTCCTCCTGGAATGCACTTCAAACAAGTTCAATACAATTACATCAGAAGTGTTAGTGGGTTTTTAATAACTGTTCTTGTCCAAACAGAGCTCGGTGCAAACCCTCTTGCCAACAGTGGAATTGAGCTTGGAGCATTCAACGGTTTGTCTACTCTGTATGTTGGTATGGCAGAGGCAAAACTAACTGCTGTACCAAAAGGTAGGTGGGCTAACTATCAACTCATGTTAGGTCGATTCAAACAAACAAATGGCACTAATGTCACTAAGTAAGATCCTTTAACTGAAGAGTTTGTTTGTAATCCACTATTAGAAAAAAAGGCAATGACCTTGGCATTTTTTTTATCGATCTTTGGGGTGATTGGATTTGGTGTGTTTTTTATCATCTCCAAGACCTCCCAAGGTCCATCACACAGCTGAGCCTAGACTACAACAAGATCCTCAAGGTGGAAGTAGAGGATTTCATCAGATACAAAAACCTGCAATGGTGAATATGAGTGACATTTAAACCAAAAACACCTTCAGATTTTTAAGAAAAGCAACATTTTCTCCCAGATACCGTTTAAAGAAATTACTGTTTATAACAATAATTGCTGTATTTATTAAAGTTATTATATTTTCTGTCTTATCTTTTTCTGGCATTGTTAATTACTTTAGTACCTCGCAGGCAAACGAAATTCAAAGCTGTCATTTTTTGTTTTTTTTGCAGGCTTGGACTTGGTTTTAACCAGATTAAGTCTGTAGAAAATGGCAGCTTTGCCAGCACTCCAAGCGTCCGTGAAATCCATCTGGACAACAACCGTCTGAGAAAGGTCCCACCTGGCCTCAGCTCCCTCCGCTACCTCCAGGTGAGATACAGAATTTGGCATTTTAGCAAGTTACTGGTGAATCCAGTTTTGTTGGCAAATATAACTTAAGTTGAGACACTGGTTCATTCTTTGGCTTCACTTTTTATGAGTCAGACAGTTTTAAGCATTTTTCTCTTAGTGCTAAACAAGGCTAAATATGATCACAGAGAGATTACAATTTTCAGAAGTGGCAGAGAGCAAAATAAGACATGGTACTCCTTTTGTAAATCCTGGTTTTCAAGTTTGTCTTGGAATATCCTGAGGATACGACATAATTTCTCTTAAAAGCCCCCTGATGAAGAAATTCAGGGGCATCTTTATGGCATAGCTGAAACACCTACGTGGTTTCCTTTTGATTCAACTTCAGTAGCTGTTTGCACTCTAAAATCCATCAAGATGGCTAAGCTTTGGGCCTAGAAAAGATCATCTAACTCTTGCCAACACGACTCTTTACAACTCATTTGGTTCATTGTTGTTAATGGGGCTTGGAACCTTAAGAGATCCATCTGTCTACCAAATGTTCCACATTACCCTCGCAGGATACCAAAACGCCTCACTTAATTTCACTGCAAATCTTTGATGCTAATGTCAAGTTAATTTTCTTTTACATCCATGATGTGTGAAGTATTCAAATGAGTTGTCACTTTAGAAATGAAGAACAGAAATGAGAATGTTTGATACATTTTTTAACCATCTCATGTCCACACGTTTCTTTCAAATACATCGTACTGGACCATAAAACGACGCCCATTTTCAGAGCTTCACTCAACCATTATTCTTTTAGTCTAAAGTTGCAACTTTGAGTTCTCAGAAAAGCATTTCACAAAAGTACAGCAGAGACAAAAATGACTAAAAATGCATCCTCTTGTTCTTTTAGGTGATCTACCTCCATGGAAACAAAATCAGCAGTGTGGGAGTCAATGACTTCTGTCCCATTGGTTCCAACATCAAGAAGAACCTATACACTGGCATCAGTCTGTTTGCCAACCCAGTGAAATACTGGGACATCCAGCCAGCCACCTTTCGCTGTGTGACAGGAAGGAGGGGAGTTCAGCTAGGAAACTTTAGAAAGTAGGATTTGGAAGTTGAAACCAGGCTTTGCCAACAGCTCTTGAGAACTGCAAACGGTTGTTGAGGTATAAGGAAGGAACTGGAAACAATTCAGAGTGATTGAACAAGATAAAACCATGCTCCTTCAAAATAAGCTGTCTAAGAAATGGGGAAAAACTCAGATTTTGATGTAAATAAAAACTGTAGAATGCTGGTACAACTTAAACAGAAAAGTTTTCAGCCATATGAAAGAAAAACAAAAACAAAACTCTAGTCTTGATGTTGAAACAGACACGTTTGTAGGGGTGGAGGAAACAACGAAAACAGACGTATATTATACTGAAAATCAACACCAGACCCCTGTCTACCTTTGTGAGGTGCATCCTGTAACTGGAATCCTAAGTCTTATTCCTTACTGTTTGCTTTGTGACCTTTTCCAGGAATATAGCGCCACCCTGTGGCTAATTTTTAAACAATGCCACCAAAGGGCTTCCATTGATAAAGTCACATTGTAAAAAAGTTAGTTTTTTTTAACATTATGAAGCATTGTAATTTACATCTAAGATTCATTACCTGTAAGATAAGTAACAGAAGTGACTACAAGAACATCATTAATCTAAAGTAGCAGGTTAATAAATTAATGATGCTGGCATTATTTAGTGCAATAAATCACTCTGAAGTTTGTCTTTGAGTAGATGTTTTATATTATCTCACTGCATGTCTGTATTGTAATTATTTAGGGGCTGAAAGCTTTGTATAAGACTGGATTGCACATCAGCCTTGATCTGAACACGAAGAGTCACTTTGATTTTATGACATACTAGGCAACCAAGTCATTACTGAAATTGTAAGAAGAGAATGTAATTCTCATTGTGGAACGTTGGAGAGTATCTTTCTAAAAAAAACATGTTTCCTCCAGAGATCTCTCCTCTGAATGGTGCTATATTTATTTAGTGTGTCTTGAATAAAACCTGGAACACCTCCCCATGTATGTCTGTATGTTTTGTCAAAACGAAAGCTGGTTCATTAACATTTAAATCTGCTTCATGACTATCTACTTGTTTCAAGCCTTCACAGACGTGGAATAAAAAGTTTCTTTTTGAGACTTTGTAGTGGACTTCAAGACACTGAGAGGAGTTTTTATGTTGTGATGATACTTGTGACACTTTCGGAAAAGTGGTTAGTGTTTACCCCGGATGAAGACTGCATTTTCTATTAGCACCATCACCCACTGTTGTCAAGATGTTGCATAGCATGCATTTTATGAGGAAAAAAATGAATGGAATACATATCTTTGTGGGGTGCAGAGCAATGAGGTAATGTTACAGTAAGTGGTTAACTGACAAGTAACAATAACAAAACTTTGTAATCTCTTGATTTAATAGGTAGTTGGCTTACAAGAGCTGACAGACATTAATGAAAACTAATGACATAACAAAAACTAGACTTTCAAAAACATTTTATCAACAATCAAAAATAAAAACGAGGCTTTTCCAGATAAACGATGACCAAAGCTGAATCATATGTTTACAAAACCAACCAAAATAAAAGAAAATACTCTAAAAACACCCTTGTTTTTCATCTTTGTCACCAGCACCCCAAATGGTCTTCATGATTCATTTCAGGAGCTGGCCAAGAGTTCAGTTTTGACAAGATCTTTTAAAAGTGGGTTTCCTTCATTTTTTCACACTTTTAATGGGGCATTTTTAAAGCAATTTCTTGGGCTCTGCCTCTGAAACATTACAATACCAAGACAGCTTTTTGTTCATCTGCCAACTGTAAATTCTCTGATTGACACACACAGGTGAAGTATACTGTTCCTCATTTTGTGCCAGCAATGGTTCAGATGTAGGGGCTGCTAAACTTATAAGAATATTTCTCCATATATTGATGGCAGGGAAGGAGAGGGGTGGTTGATGGGTAAGCAGGGGCAGATTCTGTTTTTTTGACTAGGGTGGGGCACCTCAGGCACTGATTTATGCAATGGTGGTCGACAATATAAAATTAAAATCTTTTAAAAGAGATAAAATTCAAAAAAATCCCTGCCTGCTAATTTACCACTCACTACCAATTTTTGCCTGCTGAGTTCTGCAAACAAGCACTTCCAGGTAAGGGCTGAATGTTAACAAGGCCTTTCACAAAAAATCCAGCCTGGAGACAGGCAGTGATTTTAGTTTGTAGAAACATTCTTGTCTGATAGAAAAATTAAGAAATGAATTGGACAAGTACCAGTTGAAGGAAATAACTAGGGGAAATTTTGATTTGTGCACGGTTTTCTAAATTTGCAAGACTTGACTGTAAGACAGCAGAATCGCCTTAGATCTTATATCTAAACCCTCACAGAAATGCACATTTATATAGTATTTCAATGAGAGCTGGGACCACTCATTAGAACAGAAACAACCTAAACCACCAGAAACTGATGTCAAATATCTCCTTTATTACCAGTCATTCACTGAGAGCTGACTTGGGAGGCTAAAAATGAACAGTTAAACTTAAGCACCAGCAGATGTCACTGTACACTCAAGAGTTAAAGATGGTATCTTTGTTGCATTGGAAGTCTGAAAAATGATACAGAAAGTGACAACACCCAGCAAAAGGCTGATTCAGATTTCAGATCTCAAGTGCAGAGATTTGGCTCTACTGATCCCTGTCCTGTTTCTGGGGAATTAACTGGACAGTACAGGCGACCCTTTCCAAACCTCCTGAATGTTCAAATGTTGCAGGTTTTGTCCACTTCACCACTTCTTCTTTAGTAAGGTACTTCTCAGTTACAAAACAGTGAAACTTTAACAGGTCTTGGGAATGCTAAAAACTGTATACATACAGAGTTCAATTTATATTTCACAGAATTCAGCTTGGAGATTTTGAAGCCATCGATATTTTGTGGTGGTGGTGGTGGTGGTGGTTCTCTTAAATGTGAAAACTGTGCAGGCTCAAACTATGTCCATAGTGAGGGTCATTTTTAAGTACCAAGTAAAAACATGAAACTTGTCAAATAGCCGCAGTTTCTTTAATTTAAAGTCCTTTTACCAATATCAACATCTTCACCAATTCATGGAATTTGCTCAAGTGTATTGCAATATTTTTTGCACCTGGATCAAGGCTACGCTTATATGGAGCTTTTTTATTATCTCTTTCCTATTCAGTGCAGTCTTTTTTCAATTTAAGGGCATGACTTTTTGATTTCATGCCCAGATTTTGTTAGGCTTTTCCTAAAGACTCTGTCCTTTTGAGAAGCTGAACAAAATCTGAACATGAAATCAATGCTTCACGCTCTCATACTGAAAGACCAAACCTTTGAATGAAGATAAAGATGATACGAGGGAACCATAACTTTAAATACTGTTATTGGCTGACTTGTGACTTTTTTATTTGTGCAAATTTGATCTTAAAGAAAATCTTCACAACAATCCAAATCCTTCTAAGAAAGTTTTCTAAAAGCCTGGCAGGACAAAATAAAACTGCTGCCTGTCTCAATTCTGTTTAAAATTAAACTGCATGAAAATACAAAAAGTAGCCACCAGTTAGTCTCCAACCAACCAGCTGACTTCTTGTTGAACTGTTCCTTTCTCCAATTATCAACACAAACAAGCTTAAACATCCATCTGAAAATCAACTAAATAACCTGTTAGAGCGGATCCTGTCTGCAGCTGGTAATAGCTTAGCTTCAGATCTAGTTCTCTGACTGCTCTCTCAGTAAAGGGGCAAGATGACCAGAATCATGTTTCTCATACATTCATTACAATCCATTATGACACTTTTGGCAAGTGCCTCATATGATCTCACATCAGAGTGGCTGGAGAATCTTGCATTCATTGCTTCATCTTACACTGATTGACTCTTTGGCTGCTCAGAGACAGCACATCAGGCTGCTGACACCACAGACTGTTCTAACTTTTCAATTGTTGATAGCATCTTTTCATTAACAACAAAAACATCTGAATACCATCTGCTTTGTTAGTGAGGAGTACTGAGGGGAACTACTGCAGTGATTCATTCAACAATGTCAGTAACCACATGTAGACCACCTGTGGGCCCCCCAGTCCAGTTGATGGCTAGTTTGTGAACCAAAAAGCTTTGTCTTGTTTAAAACTCAATCTCAGACCCACACATACATGATCTGGTTGTCTGGCTGGCTCCTGCAGAGATATTACACAACCTCAAAGCAAGTGAGTGTACAGAGTTTACAGAGAGAGATCAATAACTGGGCTGTGACTAGTAAATAAAGTGAAAGAAAAATGATTCACGGTCAGTCATGTGTATGTTGTGCCTTTAGTTAGTGTGTTAGGTCCACTCTTAACCATGCAGTGAGACTATTTAAGTTGTAGCTTTGCTTGGTGGTACCACATAAGGTTTGTCTTAATTAGTACACTGTGACATCTCTATGCTCATAACTGATCTATATTGTCAAATTACAACTTGACATCGAGTGGCAAGTCTACTGTATTTATGTGATATCACAGTCCTTGATGCAGTTCTTTGTTTATGGATAACAACTGTGGAAGTGCAGATCCATTAGATATGTATTTAATATACGGAATAATTAATCTATTGTGAATAACATGCTATCTACAAAGAGCTGATAAAACTCTTCTCTTCATACTCTTCTGTATTATCCCATCGTTAAAAACGAAGTGCTGTGACAACAGGTATTCAGGGAGGACTTAACACTTACTCAGAGCTTTGTGTAAACTTTAGTTTTAACTTATGCCAACACTGAAACTGTCTCAGCTGGTGCCACCTAAAAGTGTGAGCAGAGTGTAAATTAGAAATTACATTAGAACAAGGTTAAATTTGTACTTAGGTACAGCTGGTGCAGCCCAGTGTGTAGAACTAGAAAGCAGTAATGATCACATTGATCAGTTGATGGAAGATAATGAGGGCGACTATAAGCAGGTGGCAACAAGGAAGTCGATAACTGAACTGAACGGGCACAAGAGTTCATGAGTCTGAGGATGTGAAATGCCAGCATGATTTGAGGTATCTCTGGAAAAAAGCTAAGATGCATAAAACATTTGTCAGACGATACATTACAAAGTACATTTTTTATATGAATGATTGTAATTTAAATGATGTTAAGTTCAATATGTGTCCCAGTCCTGCCATTAAAGTAAAAGAAAAACTGACACTAATGGAGCATAACAGGAAGTCTTGAGCCTCGTCCATCAAAATTGAAGGAATCTGAAAACCACCAATTTTTGTTTTACAACTCAAGGGGAAATCATGCTGCTACAATTATCTTCCTGTTTTCCAGTAAAATGATAATTATTCATTTTGAGAACAGTTTGTCTGCCTACACTAGATATTAACTTTGTATTTTTTTGCTTTTGGTTTGGTTTCTGCCAATTTCTAAGAAAATTATGTGGCACTTTAGCAAATAGTCTTGTCAGGAGTCCAGCTTGAAACAATTGGCTGTCAGTTATGGAAAGAAAGCTATTTTAGTGCAACTATTTCCTAGTAGTTATAAATTAATATATATATATAAAATGTCTCTATGAAAGCTTTTTTTATGAATGTTTTAGGAGGTGTTGATTATTGATGCTGGGCACAAAAACATTTTGAGTTCCAACAAAACCGATACAAACAGTGAGACACACACAAGCAGGCATACTGGATTTGATAAAATCATGTGAAAACATGCTGGGCTGTGTGTTTTCTTTGCCCTCTCGGTCTCTCTGGGAGGCCCCTGTCAAACAGCAGTCAGCTCCCTACGGACTCCAGGAAACCCAACACCTGCCAGCTGCATTTAACAGATGGATCTTTACCTGAAACTGAAACAGTCTGCAGAAATCTAGACGGAGCTGCAGTGCAGTACAACCATGCAGTGCAGCGGATGGTTTGCCTCTCAAATGTTTTGTCTTTTAAAATGAAGATTTGTTGTGCTGTGGGTAGGGTGGAGGGGAGCTGCCTCTTTCTATTTCTCCAGGAAACATATGGAACAGATCTGCCGGTTGGCCAGGCCTCGTTCTGCCACGTCTCACAGCCTCACACACACACACACACACACACACACACACACACACACACACACACACACACACACACACACACACACACACACACACACACACACACACACACACACACACAGAAAATGGTTCTTAGTTCAGTGCTTACCTCTCTTCACCCTGTTTCTATCCTTCTTACTCTTATTGTCCACTTTACACTTGTCATCTCCTCTCCTGTCATTCACTTTCCTTCATTCAAAACTAATCAGCCGGCTGTCTTCACTGCACTGTTCAGTCTTCAAGCTCATGAAGTCTTCTGAAAGATCCTGGACCAGCTCTCAAAATGACTGTAGTATTTTTTATCCAGTCATTGTCTTCATTAAGGTGAGGTTTAAAAGGAGGATGACTACTACTTCTGGTATACATGAGGTTCAAAAGCTTAGGAAAAGCCAGCTCAGGCATGCTGCTATCTTAGCAGGTCAAGTTTGTACATTCAGATTGCAACCATTGGTATTGTTGGTACCATTGGTCTTTGTCAACTTAGAGTCATATTTCAACAAATGACAATTTGCTTATAATGGAACAACTCTCTTTTAACTGACTCTCCGGCACAATGTTTCTACAGTAAAAATACTTTTTCAGCTATACATATAAAAAAATGTTTTTTAGGATATTTGTGTGAAAATAATCTTTCTTTTCAGCCATGCTTTTTTGTTTCCCATTGTCTGTGTGATGATGACGATGAAGAAAGTCTTACATGTGAACCATTTCAAGATAACCTCATCTTTTAATCATATTTTTCTTCCTCAAGTCAACTCCTCCTCAACGGCACTCAATACATTTCTTAGGAAGAAAGCTGCTGGGAAATTCTTGATTTCTGGTTCTTCTTTTTGGTAATAACCATAAATCTGTGATAACTGCTGGAGCTCTTGTGCCTCCTGAGGCACATGTTCACTATAAAGGTTGTTTCACTGCCTGGGGAGATAAATCAGCGGTCTCTGCAGTTCAAGTGTGTTAAACCCAAAAAACTACGAATTCAGATCACTTCTCAGAGCCTTTTTTCCCCCTCTGTTCTTCTCTTCGGCTTTTCTAATCTATTAAAACTCTTTTTCTCTCATGCTGGCCCAGCAGGAACAAGCCATTTAGCAAGGTTTACCCCAACACAACAATTATTAGAAGCTGCTAAATAAGTCACGACCCTCAGTGACAGGCTGTTGATGGCCTGTACTCCAAACTGTCTCATGGATGGACTGCACAAACAAAGATCAACTTTTTATTTCAATGCTTTTATAGTTTCACTGAGTTAACAAGTTTAATTGAGTTACAAAGAGTCAACAGATTTTAATTTTAGACTCTAGTTTTACGTAAAAGCTGGACAAGCTCTGTGACAAAGTTGACACTCATCTGCTTAGAGTGTCAGAAATGTTCTGAATCAAATAAAATGCCAGGACAGAAACTGCGGACAATCACGACTTTTAGGAACTTCTTTCTCTCTAAGAGTTTGCAGTGAGTGACCTCGGTTATGCCGAGCTTGTGGAAGATGTTGGTCCGAGGCAGATGAAAGAATTAGACAAGGCAGAGAGAGGGCTTAAGTTTCATGAGTATAAACTACGGACTAAGTGGGCAATGGTAGACTCATTAAGCACTGTCACTAGCTTCTGCCACTCTTATGACTGGAGATTTGAAAACCTCATCCATCACTTCACAACTTTCTAATGAATTCAAGGCTACAGCGACATCATCCATCCATAGCACCTCCATATCCTCATTAACTTTCCAGTAAGGATCATGTCAGCATTTGCTTTTCAAATCGTACACTCCATCCTGAAAAGACTTACCACCCGTACACATGCTATCCTGCTACCTTAAGCCCCCCATCAAAACAGGTACAGGAACTGTTAGAGAACAATGTCAGGTAGTACTGGGAGAGTACAAGAAGTGGGTCTGTCAGCTGCGCATCATTTTGTATTTCAGATACAGTGTGATTTGACACAGGACATGTTTTTGACATGCTCGACTAACTGATAAGGGAGCAAAAAAGTCTCCCTAACAACAGAAACAGCCCTCTGCTATTCAAAGCCACATTCAACCCACACAACAATATCCCTTCATCAATAATGAGAATGGCTACAATACTTTCTTTTCACTGGGCCTACCTATGTCTGGATTAATTTATCCATCTGTTAAAAGTTTCTGCTGTTGACTTAAAAATCATGAGGTGAAAAAAAAAAAAACTGTCAATCACCTTCCCCATTCTTTTAGTCACTACGCACAGCTCATGACCAAAGATGAGGGTTGGAAAATAGATTCAATGGAGAGCTAAAAGCTTTGCCTTCCAGCTCTGCTCTCTTACCACAATGGTCAAGTGCCACAAGGTCTATCAAACTCATGATCCATTTCACCCTCACTCATGAGAAGACCCCATGAGAGTTTGGGTCGTGACTCACTGATATTTTAACTAATACAGGTGGTGCCACCACGGATTTAAAGCTGAATTGCTCTTGATATTTCTGGGATTTTCTCCACTTCCTGGAACCACCACTTGCGAGGTAACGTTGTATGCATTCGGCAGGAGAATAGCTGTGATGACCCTTGGCTCAAACAGCATATCCCCAGGTGAGCTACGCAATCTTTGTACACCCATAGGCTGTATCAAGTGTCAATCATAGAAAACATCAACCCCCGAATAACTTTTAAAAATGGAGCTGCACAGAAAAAAGAGGACTTGAGCACAAACCAGTCTTACAGTAACTACATGTCAACATAGCAAACAGGGGGGAGAAAAACGTATATTCTGTGTAATTAAGTTTGTCCACAGCTCCCTAAGGATGGCTGGAGAAGCCGGGATTTATGACCTATACTGTAGCCCATCACCAGAGGGTGCTGTTCCCGCGGTGGCTTCACCCAGCGAGAAGGCAGATGGCGTCCATTCTATATACAGTCTATGGACAAAACCCTATCAAGCTATGACTTGTTCACAACACTAACAATTTGTTTGATATTGTTAACAAGCAATACAATTTTTGCTGATGTGCACCTGAGACAGGACTGAAAACTGTCAGTCTGTTATTGACAGTTCAAATGTTGGCCTTCTGCCAGTCGGGGTCAGACAGTTTTTATAAAGTATAATTAATGGTAGAGATGAGGACAGGTGATTTGCTGTTAAAAAGGTGTGACCGAGGGAGAGACAGTGATAAAAACTGTGTTATTTTGGGTTATGTGCAAAGAATGTGCAAAGAATTAAAACAGAGGGAAATTTACCGTAAGACTCGTCTTAATGTTGATTCTTTGCACATTTTCTGCTACGTCAAAAAATACAAGCCAGTGAATCAAAACACAATTATCAGAGACCATCAGAAGTCTCCCTCAGGATGCCCAATCCTAATCAGGGCTCTTTAAAACCAGCTCATCATCAAGATTTTAAGTGCTTGACAAATCCAGTACTACTACCCACAAACCAAAACTAATGTGGCACAAAGTCTGCCCAGACTGTGGCATACACTCAGAGATGAATCAAACACTTCAGGATGCCAAATCGCAGTAGAAAAAAAGAAAAACTCTTAAATGTTGGAGAAAATGGGACATTTAGCCTGTCAGTACTCATTCAACACATAATCTACTGACCAGAAATGCACACACACTCACACAAAACCAAAACAAACACCACCAACTCATCCAGAGCAGAGCCAATGCTAGATGAAGCCAATAGAAATTAAAATGTTTAGAGGAAGAACTGAAAGGCCTGTTTGTTAATGTGAGAGAATCCCAGCAGTGATGCTTTCTGCAGGGAACAGACTGACATGAAAAATGAGCACGACGGCCAACGAGCCAATTGCTGTCTGGCTCTGGAGTGGAAAACTCTGACATATGATGAATGTGTATAAAAGAGGCTGTATAAATCTATGTGTGGGAAAGAGAAAAGTGAGTGTGAATAAGGGAGACCTAGAGAAACTGTATAGTAAACTGGCACCATAAAATAGCCATATACCAATCTGAAAGTTAAAGCAATAAAACCACACCCAGTGAGTGAAGAATACTCTGTCACATAAGAAGAACATCAAAAATATTCTCTGGATGCTGCCATGCTGGCTTGATCACTGACTGTGTGACTGTTTGATTTTGTTGGAATAAGCTGCTGTCAAGGTTTTTTATTTTACCTGATAGTACAGCAACAAGAAGACATACATCATTACTGAAGTTCTGTACAGTCTAATTTTTTATATATTTTTTAAATATAGGATGGCTGTGGCTCAGCTGGCTGTCTCTCATTCAGAGAGTTAGGTTAATTATCTGTATCTATGTTTTACCTTACCAATTACCAATAAAATGAATCAATTCAAATACCTGATACTTTGGCTCCACTGTCGGTGTGTCTTTCCCTTTGCTTGTTTTAAATCCCCTCTCTGCCTCACCTAATGTCCCACCAACTCCAGTACTCAGCTTTGATAAAATATTGCTCATGCGTCTAACCACAGTGTTGTATTGGAGTTAATAATATTCCAAATTTTACATACTACACCGAAGGATTGTCATTACCCGTGACCAGTCTCATGACCCATTTATACTCAGCCCTAAAAAACCAGTATTGACCTTAACTCCAAACCCCAGACTGCCCATAATACTGATGGGCACACTACATAGCTCTATCATCAGTGTATGAAATGTTATGTACAAATGCTTTTAGGCAGTCAAAGTTCGAAGGAGAGCACTATAAAAAATACAGGCCATTTATAAACTTTTGTTGACCAAGACAAGAGGATGAATCTGCACTGCTTTGACACTGTCATGAACCACAGGGAGACATGGCATCATATTTCTCAAAGGTATCAGCACATTACATTGAATGGGACAAGTGTTCATTAAATAACCATCTTGCTGCATAAAAAACTTGAAACTAGCAGCTGAGATTTTATACCCATGAGGAAGATGTTTACTAAGGAGACAAATCAAGAAAGAAGTACTCTCAGATTATAGACTTCTTAACATCAGGCCTCTTAAATTAACCGTTAAGTTATGCCTTATTGGTCTTTATAACAATACAGGTTTGAAGCACCTCTGCTTTAGAGCCACTCCTCAACATTAAGTTACTTCCAACACTTAAACTGTGCACGACCAACACTGAATTAAGAACTTGAATATGGAATGTCCATTAAATCAGTTTGTTGTAGATTTTCTTCGCTGATCATAACTGAATAAACCTGCATTTAGGCTAAGCCAGTAGTTTTTAGGAAAGAGCATTACTGCTGTCCTCTTTTTCCTGTAAATATGTATTTTTCATTTAAAATCATCTTTGTTGAAGAAGGGCCTTTATGTCTGTGATATTAATTTTTTAAGCTCTATTGCAGCTGCCAGCTGCGTTGCTCTCCCTCAATACTGGGCCAATTTCAGAAATAGTTCACTTCATCAGTCAAGCGCACACAAACACATGGGAAAATAGGGTCCAAGTTTGAAAATACCAAAATCCCCTTTTAAGTGGAATTAATAAAAGTACATATTATCCCCAATTACCTGGTCTCTTTTTAGGAAGACCAGTTCTTCCTTAATGAAAGTTAAGAGTTATACTTTATGACTTTCCGGACCACAAGCACTCTGCTGTTTGGATTTAGTATGAGTAAATGAGCTCTTTAGGCACTAATTTCATAATACCTAAAACCTTGGTGTATAACTTTTAAATAATTACAATGACCTTTAAACCAATCAAAAGCTACTATAGACATAATTAGAGATACTTTGGGGCCTCTGGTATACAAACTCTGGAGTTATTACAACAAAAGTTCTGTTGATTTAGCTCTGTTACCAGTACCAAGACCGATTCAAGAGCAATTGAGAGAGGTACAGAATTACAGAGACAGACAGACAACGCCAGAATTACAGACAGTGTTATTTTAGCCATTTGCAATCTTAGAGAACTAGCTTTTGGACAGCAGTCCAATACAAAAAGATTTTATCCAGATGGAGCCTTCTGCTGAGCAAACAGTCGTGTTCTCCTCATCACAATTAGCATAGAGGGAAACCTTCAAGACCACAATGTCCTACTAAACAGATATAATTACATTAACATGGGAACTCTCAAGAATTCCCCAGTCTCTACAAACACATGAAAAAAGCATTGACTTTAGCCACAAACAAAAATAGATGAACTGTAACTGTTGTAGGAAAAACACAGAGTGAGCTACTGTACCTCTGGAGAGGTATGATTCATCCACTGAAAAACAGGCTATGCACCATGTGGAAAAGCCAAAGGTGACTGAACATTAGTTTTCCTCTGTGGTTGGAGTTGAAGAAAAATTGTGACAATAAGAAGAAAAAAACAGGTACCCTTTATTGTTTAATTCTTGACTGCAAATTTGGTGATGAAGAGACGAGTTAAGATTGTTGCCTACGTCATTTTTCTATAAGATCAAAAAATTACTCTATAAGTTCTTGAAAAGCTTCTTTGTGTGTGATAGAGGACCAAACCAAAAAGCATTTGTGGTTTAAAAAACATGAATTAAAATTCTAACTGTTAATGTGGATCAGAATTAGACAAATCTACAGGAACTGAGCTTGCAGTGTGATGACATTTCCCTGTGATTATCGTATCATATTATTCCCAAAATAGAGAAATAGTACAAACCAATTTCCTCAATGACAAACAAATAATCCCACTATCTTGTAAGCTCAGTCATACAGAGGGACTGGCTGAATAACAAAGTCAGCAGAGTTTGAAATAATCCATATTCTACATTTTAAAAGAAAGTTTCTTTATTTTTCCAGCATATTGGTTTCAAATTTCAATGACTAAATATTGGTACTGGCTCTGAAAAAACAATATCTGTCAACCCCAATTCCTGCTTGTCCACCAGTGCAAACCTTGTTCTTAATGTTAGATGACACAAGAATGACAGAAATATGTACTTTGATAATTTTCTTTAAACCCTTCTGAAGTTATTCCCTCTAGCTGTGGCTACAAAATAGACAAAGAGTATGTGTTCAAGGGGAGTGGTTTCAGATGGTTAGCTGAAGGGCTGGCAATTTTTGAGCTGCACAAAAACGGATGAGAAGGGCAGCTGGAGAGTCTACTGAAAGATTTTGTCAACATCAACTCTTAAAGTTTTTGTGACCATTGTTCTTTCCATGTGGTACCTCTGAAACAAATGAGGACTCTGAGCTCCAACTGTTTTTTAATCTCTTGGCAGGATCCAAGTCACACTGAGTGTTTACTTGATGTCAGCAAACCTTCACCTTTGAATTGACAAATTAGTTGCATGCTTGGCTGCAACAGATCACCTCAAAACCTAAGAATCAATGAAAACTTTGAAGACATCAAGGTTTGCAAAAAGAACAGTAATAGATCTGAACTTCCAAATACAGATATTAGGCATGAATCACTTTTAAGCCAATGCTTAACTGTACCTCAGTTTCTGTCTGGGAGAAGAAAAATCTCAGGAATGCTTGGATAACAAATCTAGTAGTAATCAGAGAACAGAGAACAACTGTTCAACACAACTGCATACTGGACTCTAGTCAGTCATTAATACACTCCATATGTCTCATACTGGATAACTCCAAACCATCATGTCTCCTTTGACAGTGTAATCAGAGTCCTTCTCTTGTCCAGTATCAACAGGGACCACCATCAATACACAAACAAAGCACAACAACACTATGCAACAAGACAGAGGGAATAAAAGCTACGATCAGAAGGAACACGAGCTCTTGGTTTCATTGGTCAAATTAAAATAACCTGCAACAGTTACTGGTTTCTACTTCACACTCTGTCCATGGGTTGCAGAAATGTTCAAAGTCCTGTTCACCAACAATATGAAATTACTTGATCAAATGAGCCTTGAAGGCAGTCAGTCTACGATACAACTGTCTCACAAAATCTCATTACAATTCTTTAGTAATGGTCTGCCTTTAAGGAAACAGACTGGGCGCTATTTTATCCAGTCTCTATGTACTAGACAGAGCAAGTCAGTATCACTATTCCTGGATCATTTGTATGTGAAGGTAGTCAACAACTTGGTGACAAGAGTAACTGTTTATTACTCATAAGCTGCAAAGAAATAGCTGCATTGTGTCATATCACACGTACGTAAAACAATACAGTAGGTGAAGTTGTATGAATACTTAAATTCTGGACTCTCGTGTAGTCTGTCCACAGCATTAATCCACTTCCTCCTCAACATGGGAATCACAGTTTTCATATCAACTTTTGGCTTTGATCCCCTAAAAAGGAAGGGGTTTGCTAGTCTGATAGGATTTTTCTAGTGATGGCCATTAAAGTTATTCACGGGGTAAAGGTTAAAATTCAGATTTTTTTTGTAAATCCAGTTGTTTAAAGAAAATGCAAAGCCTCAAGATTTTTTAGATAGATAGACAGACATGTATAATTCATTACTTGCTTTCAAAATCCCCTTTAAAAATTTTTTTTGTCTTTAAATTTATAGACCTTTAACTTAACCAAGTATTCCTCTTTTTCCTGTTTTTCTTCAAAACAGGAAAAAGACCTGGCCATGTATATGAGGTCTCTGCTCTCTGCATGCCTGTTGTTTTGTTGCATGGATAGTAAACTCCATGCTGGGATAAAAGCTTCCTGGCTTAGATAACATGAAGGGCTCACAACAGTAAACAGCAGCTTCATACAGACAGCTGACACTGAGATGTCTGCAACAAGACATGAACTGTAATAACCCACTTCAGGTGGAGCCAATGGTGCTTGATGAGGTGTGGTGCAAATTAATTAAGAATGAATAAAGGTGAGCAGAATCTCTTTAAGACTGCACAATCTTCCTCTCAAGTAAAACATGTGAATAAATCAGTACATGTGTGAATAAAATTTGTTTTTACCCCAAAGGCAAATGTACATATGAAACTCATGAAGCGCACTAAAATTTTCAAAAAACACACTGATGGAGAATTGCTGGTATTTCAAAATATATGTCAGTCACTGAAAACATGCTGAAGTCCCGGGCTGACATCATTCTGTGCACCTGCACTCATGTCAACCTTTCAGCAGTTTATGAAATGTATTCTTCAGCTTACTAATGTTGCATGGCAAAGTCCTATGTGCAACATTAAGCTTTAAATCATGGCCTTCCTCCATGTGCATCCCAAACATCTGTTGAGCATCTGCTAAAAAAAAAAACAGGACACATAGATAGACAGTGGGCATACTGAAGTTTGTAGCATCAGTTTTACAGCGCTCTTAAATAGAGCTTCACAGTGACGCAACACACATCAAGTAAACCAAGTGATCAAGGCATTGAGCTACAGCAAACACCTGTTTTATTTTAACCAACAGTCTTGATCATCTGGATGCAAAAAATGCATGTATGGTTGCAAAGTCTTTTCAGGGTAACAGTATGGTTATTTTTGATTCTGATGAACACTAAAATGGGCTCTTTTCGAACAGAAGTGGATTTGTTTCTTTTCACATTATATTTTTTTATTCGAACACTGATTCAAAAGCCAGTTGATAAATTTGTAACACAGAAAAGGCCACTCAAATGTGGAAGAAAATAATAATCTTTAACCCCTAAGCTCTGGAAAAAAAATGTTCAAATGTTGTTGAAATTAGAAGCTGAAGTGGTGGTCCTCTTGTGAAGGCTGCAGTTTCTCTGTTTTAACTATTAGGTTGTTCTCAGATCCTCTGGGACGAAATTCCAAGGCTGAATGCCAGTAAATGAACCAAAACTCTGCATGAGGAAAAACACTCACTTCTACAGACAAATACTTCTTCTGCACAGGGTTATACTTCCAAAAGATTAAAGGGAAAAAAGCACAGACCTACAGTAAGAACTAATTCAATTCAACCTTGTAACTAAACGGCTGGAACAGCTTGTGCAACATCACTCCTGAAGCATTTGGAGGAATGGCAGTTACACTTAAAAAAGAAGTCAGAAGAAGTTTGAAAACTTAAACCAAAGCTGAGATTCAAACAGTATTAAACACTGGTCCCAAAAACAATCAACACTATGTGAAACGAAGATGGAAAACTACATATTGTCAAGGTGGGTAAATCCAGATGTTGTTCAATGAGTCCCGTGAACCCATCTCAGGGTCTGTATTTAAACTGTTGCAAGTATACCTCCACTTTACCTGCTTGATGCCGGGGAGTATTCAGAGGAAGCTCAAATTTTTAGGGGCAACCTTATTCACTTAATATACTAATAAAAGGAGGATCCTAGAAGTTACTGAGTTTTCCTGAAAACAGTCTCTCTGTGGCCGTGTGATTGGTTCACTTTCACACTGCACTTGGTCAAATGAACCACAACCGCCTGGACAATGTCACAAGGTTATAAGGACTGCTCGCTGTAGTCCCAAACAAATGCTGACCAAGAAGAAAAAGATCATGACAATGAAAAAGAAAATAGCAACACTATAGGACATAGAATAAAATGTAAATCGGTTCACTTTTTCTGGTCTTTCCACGACATAAATAATGAAGCAACAACAAATTCATGCATTCTTGGGCTTTCTGCTTTTGCTTAGGTGTTCATATAATATCGGTATTTTAAAAATAGGCTCCAATTTCAAGCAGCAGGTGCATTACACTGCAGAGTATGAAAGTTATTTTTGATTCCTCTCCTTTAGCTTCACATGTAGCCTTATAAGGGAACTGCAGGTACAGGTTTTATGTCAACTATTTAATTTAAAAAACATGTAATATTCATTACATAACAAGTCTCTGAACTCAAATAAAAAACCTAACTGTCAGCTTAACAGCTGCTGGCAGCAGCATGGAGCTAGCGGGCGGCTATGTCATGACCAAAACACACAGCTCTCAGAGGTGGGTTAATACATCATGTCGGTTGTCAGCCAGACCCATGCAGACCAAGACTGTTTAATGCCTGGCCAGGTGGTCTTAAGTGTTGAAAGCTACTTTCCAGTCATATGGGTGGATGTGTGTGAAGTAAATTCAGTGACGTATGTTGTTTTGTCTAGGCCAGCTTTGGAGTTTGGATCATTCACTTACACCTGTCACTCATAATGATCAGTGCTGTTAGGAGAGATTGGACAGAAAAAAGTTAGCTCTCTGGGTTTAATTTCTAAATGAAAGAAAACCTAATGGAATTTAACTGTGTTTACCGGTATGCTGAAAAACAGCACTGACAGAGTAAAACCAAAGAGTCAAACTTGAGTTACTCCACTTGAAACTAAAAGCAGTATGACTGGAACAAAGCCATCAAGAATTTCACTTTACTGGAATAATGCACTCAGATGACTTTTTCATAGTGCGGGGTTGAGATTGTATCATATTTTACATCATTAAACTCATTTGACAGCCCATTAGCAAACATCAGAGCACAGCAAACATTAGCAGTGAAGTTGGTGAAACAGGGGAAAATGTATGCAAAATGTATTTAAGCGCATATGTGCACATAAAAAAAATTAGCCGACGCAACAAATGTTTTTTCATGTAAATAACACAGTGAAGTTCATTTTAGGTTGGATATCTGACGGACATTCACTGTAGATCTACCTGTGTCTTCTCACTCTCCATTACCAGGAATAACAACAGCAGTGCTGTTAAACCTACTTGGCATCCTCACTGTCAACGCTGGGTGTGAAATAAGGAACCATCAATAAATTACCAGTTAATGTTCTCAGAAAAGGCTGTTTTACTTTAATAACTTCCATGTCATGTGACCAATTAACCTAAAATTGATTTCAAATAATAATACTTATGTCGATCAGTAAGACACACGTCTTTATTTCCCTAATTTAAAGGCAAAGTTTGAAATTTTTTTTCAATAGCTTCCATGTCATGTGACCAAAAGACTTAAAATTGACTTCAAATAATAGTACTTATTTAGACCAATAAGACAAACATTATTTGATCAATTTTCATTGTGCCCCTAAAGTTCTTTTTCTCTTTAGAAGCAAGTGCGTTCCTTGTGAAAAAAGTTAGTGTCAAGCCCTGGTATAGGTCGTTTTTCTGCGATTCTCCAGTGTGGCTGTACCCCTCCCAGCTCAGCTATGCGCATTGAATCAGGGCCAGTGTACGGCGGTGACATGTACACGCAGGAGGCAAGCACGGGATTTGATTGGTTTAAAAAATGTGGGACCCACACAATGTGATTGGTTGGTGTTTTCCCAGTTTTACTCCTGCTGTAGATATGTTTCGCTCTTTTTTAAGAACACATCATGTATTGATTGCCATCGGAACATAAAGATCATTTTAACCAGAATAACAAAAAGTGTATCTAAATCAGATTACCCACCCTACCTTTAACCAAGCCGAGTTGGTCTTGGCCCGTTTTTGCAGCATTGAGCTTTCTTTTACACAATATTCTTTGTGGTCACTTCACCCTTACTTGCAACAACATCACGTATATTTAGCATCTCTCATCCTTTTTCACCTTTTCAGAGTAAAATGCAACATAAGTTTAACAAAAAACCGTTGATAAATGTTCTTTCTTATTTGTTACAAAACAGACAATGTTTGCATTTCAAATTTAGAAAGGCCTTACATGTGTTCAAACAAATAAAAAGCCAGCCAACATGACAGGAATATATATTTAGTGTATTGTTGTGGGTGGCTCTCCAATTGACTGGTTTATTGTGGACTGGAATGTTACTGAAACCACCCTGACAGCTCAGACTCTGGTATAGAAAATTAGTGAGAGTAAAAACATTCCCCTGTTGCTGGCTTTCTTCCCAGAGTCGTAAAAGTTTAAAGGTGTCCGTAATTGCTAACACACCTGTAACAGTCTGGGCTCATGTTCCTTGGGTGTTTATATCGGGGCCCCATGCGTTTTCCTCTTCTCTTGAATGCTGAAATAGTCACATGTTTTCTATTTAACTGTTTTGCTTTTAAACTTCTGCCTTGCTCTTTCACTAGGCTTGTTTTTAGAGAAGTACTGCCTCTTGTCATTTCTCTCTCTCTCTCTCTCTCTCTTTGGCATTTTCAAAAGACAACATCAAAAAAATAAAAAACAAAACAAAAAAAAAACAGTTTCTTTAAAACTGCTCAGGGGAAGCCCGATATCTCTCTGATTTGACAACCAAGGTTGAAATCACTCCAAACACAGCTGGGTTTCAGCAGCTGTGAAATACACTGAGTGAACAGACTCTTCATTTTATTACTGAGAATCTCTTGGCCTTTAAGGTTTGGAAACTTCTTGCATGCATTTCTGTTTTGCCATTTCCCAGTAAATCTGTTTTTTATCTATTGCTGGCAGTCTTTGGGTTTATCATAGTAGCAGCTATTTATTCATGTGTCTTGGCAGTGATTCATTACGCTTTTAAAACATAAGCCTCAAGGTCTTTTACCTGTTAAACCATTCAGAGATTGATTGATTCAAGACACGATAAGATGATCATGATTTGTATGGAATATTCCTGCAATATCTTGCAGAAATCTCTGGTAACAAAAGGAAACCTACATGAAGGGGGCTGTTAATGATGCAAAGTAATAGTGATTTGGAAAACAGAAGAGGTTATACTCAAGGTTTGCCACCACAATGGATTGTCATGACAAAACGTAATTATAAAAGATCAATTAAATAACTGAACAATAATCACAGTATTGTTAAACAGAATAATAATATACAGATAATGTCAAAAGAAGCTCATTTAAATGTTCACCTCAGCACAGCCTGTGGGCCACACTGCAGATAGCTAGTGCCCTGACACGTCATCTTAATCTGTTTGGCTTACAGGCATCTACAATGATGATGATGCATAGCTTTCCAACACAGATGTTCCCATAAACTATTAAGTCCTGAGACAATTTGGCTGGAGGCAGCCAAAAAAGATTCAGGTGAGAAATATCAACACAGCTGATGTACTTCTACATCTGGCATAGCAAAAGGCTGTGTGGTCATTTGCATCTGCAGCGAACATAATTGAGGATTAGGAACACAGCTGGCACTTTTAATAAAAGTCATAATTCAGATTTTGGTGATCATTACTAAGGTTGCATTCACACCAGATCTGTTTGGTCCACATCAAACAAATCCTAGTCCTTTTCCTTGGATAGTCCAGTAACTTTAGAGAGCTGTGAAAGCTTATTTGAACTCAGGTGCGGACCAAACTAGTGAACTCTTAAATATGGGGGTCTTAGTTTGCTTCCAAGCAAGTCTGCTGCTGCTGCGGCTCATTTAAGGTGCAAAAACAAAAGAGGACAAACGTATAAACCAAAGGCAGTAAGTGGTGTAAAGCATGGTGCATTGAAGGTCACTACCTGTGTGGAAATACCTTGCCTGACGTCTGTGTAACCAGGGCAGGATGTCCTGGTCCCTTGCTTGTGAAACACATCACTGTATATTATGTAAAAACTACAGCAAATGCAGAACCTCAGACTGCAGAACTGGGATGTTCTTACATTGTTAAGTGGGGAATGAGCCAAAAAAGGGAATGCACTTCCAATTTCTGTTCTAGCCAATTGATGAGCCAATAACTTCGCCTTTGCCAGCATTTGTTTGGGACAATACCACAAATGAGCAGATGTTATTAGCACTTGACATTACCCAGATGATTTTGTTCATTTGACCCAAGCACAGGGTGAAAGAGAACCAAACCAGATGAAATGCAACAATACTGCTATTTCACTTCCACAAATGAAACCAGTCCTTCGTTCAACATACCTTCAAATGGGAGCACCACCAACACAAATGCCAGAATCAGTTATCAGTATGGACATCTATCAGGAAAAAAAAGTGTTGACTATTTTAGATTTTGCCTGTTGCTGCTTAAGCAATTTCTTATCTTTCCTTATCAGCAATGAGCGGAACTCAAAGCAAAGACTGAACAAACTGTGACTCTGTCTTAAAACTGTTCACAAATGTTCAAAGCTGGAAAGCCACTGGACGTTTTGAATGAAATTCTTATTCAAGACACCTAAACATCAGGAAGGAAGTAATAAGGAAATCAAAGGCTATCGCTAGAGGGGCTGTCCTAGCTGTAATCTCAAAAAGGGTCCTCATTTGGTTTGGATAAAGCAGCCAAAAAAATACAGATTTGCGCTGTCATTTCCATACTTTCACTGAGACAGGATTTAGCGTCACTTACAGTGTAAGTGTCACCCCATGTCTACAATCCTGAAAGATTCTACAGGCAGTTATGACAATGCAAAGCACTTTTAAGGACTTAACACGCAGACTCACACTTGAGGAATTGTTCCTGGATCTTCATGCTGTATTTTCACACCCAGATTGGTAATAACTAAAAGAAAAAACAGTTGGCCACAGGTCAATCCTGGGCAATCGTACATATTTTAGCCTATTAATGTATGACTTATGGTAACTGGCTGTCTAACTAACCACGAAGAGAGAAAAAAACATTTTTCAACCCTAATGAAAGATAGGTTGGTTATTACAGGTCATTATTGTGTGGTCAGGCTGAAACCACAGACATTCCTCCTGACAAAACAACTCTCTCTGTGGTTATCAACTTTCAGTTTTTCTGCCTCCTCTGCAGTTTCTGCTGTGCATTTTTTCCACTACACATATGTGACATTTCAGAAAATGGACATCTTAATCTCTCTTTGTCTTTTTCCACATGTGCCTCTTTTTTGAACACCCTGTCTGTGTCTTTGTCTATCTTTCAAAGAAGTGTGGTTAGGGAAGGGTTAAGTACTCTGCTCTATAAATTCTGCTTTAACAGTCTGCTGGAAGCTACTGGTTCAGCCTTTAAATACAGTCATTTGACACATCCCATCAGGGGCTTGTAGCAGAGAGCAGCTGCTGACCCAAACCCAAGCATAGAGCAGACTGGTGTGTCAGCTTCACATTGCCTTTAACAGCATGAAGGCTTTCTTATTCACCTGTACGCTGGTGCTATGGCAGATTGCAGCCTCAGCCAGGAGCTCTGACCAGGACTCACAGCTGATACCTGGATCTCTACCAGGCGGAGATCTGAATGGATACTCAATTGACTATTTGAAATCAAGGAGAGCTAGGGTAAGAAACTCAGCACTTGTGTCATGCATCATACAAAAATGTTCTCATTAATTATAACTTTAACTTTGCAGTATAACATATTATGATTTATGCAAATTTGTTGAGGAATCTTTTCATAGTTGTCAAATTTCACTTAGTGAACATTTTTGATCCATTTGTTCTTGATATTTGAGGACACATATTAAGAGTTACTCTTATCAATCAGGAAAACTGGATTATTGTATAAGGCTATGAGGAAGCAATGAGAAATGCAGTGTTGCACTCAATGTAACAACTTGTGCACAGAAAGAAGTAACATAAATAAACATCTCACACAGAGAATTTGATAATACCAACTTTTTCTTCAAGATAAATTCCAACTAAGTGAGTAAGAAAGAAAAAAATCTGATCATTGAAATTTGAAAAAGTTATTTATATCATGCTTTATAGGTTTAAGATTTTAAAGGTTTTTTTCTTTGCCCAATGATAACTTAAAGTGGCTACACTATATATCTCCATCTGCATATAACCAAGTTTCTCTCTCTCTCTCCCTCTCTCTCTCTCTCTCTCACACACACACACACACACACACACACACACACACACACACACACACACACACACACACACACACACACACACACAGCTGTGCCAAGCTGTTCTTCCAGCAGACAAACCAAACCTCAAATCCACCACACCTCCACCCTCTACTGACCACAATAACCTCTTCAAAAAATATTTGGACAAACTAAAACCAAAGTCTGGTCTGGTGGAAACCTTTGGGAAGCACTTGCAAGAAGTTCAAAACCCACAAACAATCATGTGAACGAGAGGAATAAAATTCTAAGTTAGTAAGTAGACAGCTATTAAGTGTAACTTCAGTTTTATTGAGTTAAGACTCAAGTCTGGACCAGATGTTTTTTGGTTTTTTTTCACACAAGACACCAACACCAGACCCTCTGGAGCCAGGCTGTAAACTGTCGTCTCAGTCAACCGTCACTGGAGCGAACTTTGAAATTCTAAATGTAGAAACAATTATTGTCTTCCATTAAGTAGCCAGAGGGCCTGCAAGGCAACCCAGAAGAAGAGGTTATATTTCTTCAGCAATATTTCTTTCGGGGATGGCCACTAAAGGGCATCCAGCCAGCTCTTGATTGTTTGGCGGTTAAATACCCAGATAATAACCTTGGAAAGTAAGATTAGACGAAGATAAAGTTATCTTATTAGTTAAATGTTTGCAACTGTCCTTTTTTGTTGCAACCCTGCAGGTAAACTTTCAGTATCATGAAGTTCATTAGCAAATGACACAATGTTGGTCTAAGATCAAACTTGCCACAAAAGTCTGTAGACTTGCAAATCCTCAGGCCAGAGTACGAATTCCATCACAACCTTCAAAAATTGAAAAGTTTCTTGATTCCCATACAGGGTTCACTTTTCAAAGCCTGAACATGATCTGACTCTTAAATCAAAGGTCATCAGCAGAAACCCAAAACTAACATCAGAGCAGCTCACCAAAGAGTGGTAACACGCAGACTACAGCTGTGAAGACATAAGCCAACAGGCAGCTGTGGGATCTTTTATGGCAAGGTGTGCTATAGAGCAACCGAGCAAACAGTCTGAACAGAACTGTTTTCCCACATTCAATCTTGTCAATAGCAAAGAGCAATGGCCCAACTGAATACATCAGCTGGTCCAGCGCTGTGTTTTATTCCAGCTCAAATTCTTGGCAGATACGACTGGAAACATTTTTGTGATTATTGCAATAATTGTGTTCCAAACTCTGAGTAGAGCAAAATAAACAGAAAATATTAAGCTAATAGACATTTTTCCTGAACTGGACTTCCAAGATCATGTTTTATCTTCTTGCTTGTACTTGAAGCTTGAAACCCAAACTCCCCTTACCAACAAGGACTCTTCTGTAATTAAACAGGGATCTGAGGTCCTTTTTAGTCTAAATGACAAGACTCTAAAGTAGACTTAACTTTTCCCCAAACAATTACCCTCCACACGGTTAGTGCCTTCTTTGACTGTTTCTAATTAATCAATACCAGTAAAACACTATAATCTCTATCAGTAGGTTTATCCCCAGCTATGTGCCTGTGGCTGGTTGTATAGAGAACAATATAACTGTAAGAGTCTCTCTTTTAACCAAGGTCAACTAAGATGATCTTGAGAAATAATGGGACCCTCAATGTTATTTTCTGTATCCTTGCCACGTGCACCACCTCTGACAGAGGCAGACTCTAACCTCAAGTTTATGTGAGCGCTACTAAAGTGAATGTAGGACCAATCACCTCTAAGTATTCTTGAATTTAAATGTTTTTTCTGACTTATATTTTGGTGTAAGAATTTTCTTGTTTGAAACATCTCTTTGGATCAGCAACCTACTGTGGCAAGAACAGGCAACAAAAATATCTACTGGCCTTATTTTTGCTGAACCAGCAGTGCTGCCTCATCTCAGAGAACACCAACGCCTAAACTATTGATTAATAGTTAAAATAGAAAGAGACCCCATTTATCAGTCTAAATACTTTTTTATTGATGTTTACCTGCCAAAGGAAGAAATCATGTGTGATGATTATGTGTCAGCTTTGGTAGTACCACCACACCTATTAATTATCAAAACCTGACCATCGTACAACAACAGCTGAGGAAAAGTTAATTCTTCTTCATTTTTTTCTCATAATTATTCTTGCTGGACTTGAACATGCTGTGTTTTCTCCTGTAGAGAGCTCTGCCTCCTGCTGATGAACCTGATGGCAGCCCAGTTACAGAGGAAGGAGATGCCTCTGGTAAGAGAAGGACCTAAAAACTATGAGTCAACTACGAAATACACACATGAACATCAAATTTAAACTATGGGTAAAATTTGAAATTTCTGTCCAGTTACATGAAGTTGTTTTCACTCCCTCTGTTCAAGGTTTACGGGTTAGAAGTAAAAGTTTATCTTAGTTGTTGCTGGGTTAGCCCAGGAACATGAGTTGCCTTATTTGGCCTGTGAAGAATTATATTTCTTGTTTTCGTTGGCTAGTTGACCAAAGTATAAAATTAAAACACACCTCCTTCCTAATAATATACTTGGATTTTGTTTAAAAAATTGTTAGCTGCCGTTTTTCTCGAATCCAGCTGAATTAGTGGTTTGTTGTCAAAAGAACCCTGTTGGACCACAACCAGTCAATGCTCTCTGGCCCAAACATCGGGCTCCTTATGTCTATAAAGGTAAACATATCCTAAAAGGGCTTTTTCTACAAATTGTTTGTTGATTTTTTCTGTGCTGGTACTGTATTGCAGACTTGCCCACATGTCTGCTCTGTGTATGTCTGACTGGTTCTGTGTACTGTGAGGATGTCAGTCCAGACATGACCTCTGTTCCAACCCTGCCCAAAGAGACAGCCTACCTGTACGCACGCTTCAACAAAATCAAAAAGATCAGCAGCAAAGATTTTGCAGACACTGGTAAGTTTAGAAACTTTCTCCATGACAAAGTTGACAGAGTATAGACTGAAAGAGACTTTCTCCTAGACTGAAAGTTGACAGAGTATGCCCTCCGACTTTTTCTTTGATAAGACATTTCTTTACAAATCCAAATCAGTGGATCTCATTTTCTGTGAAAAATTTAAATAAAGCCCTTGCAGTTATGGAAAAAGCACTCCAACACTTTTACAGTTAAAGTGTAATGGATTATCTATGACCATTAGCAAAAAGAGATGTGAGATCCCCAACTCCTGATGCTGTAATACCAAAAATACTGTAGTCAGGTTAACCATAACTTGAAACTTAAGAACAGGATATCTTGCCTTTTGCTGCACAAATTTTGCCATTTTTTCCACAATTAACTTTTAGACTAATAACTTAATACAAAACTGGAAGTGCAAAAAATAGATATACAGAGTTTAAAAGATAACTGAAGCGCCAAAGAGAAAAAAAGGAGTTACAATATGCAGCCTGCAGCTTCATTCCCATTGACTGCTTGTTGCTGGCTTAAAACTGATGATTCCATCATGTCTATGGTTTATTTTAAATTTTTGTCAACCAGGGAGGAAAAAGTATATTGTGAGAGATCTAAAATATAATTTATCTGTACTTGTTGTCTATAAAAAAAGATCTGACTAAAGTTTAAAACTTTAATATAAATACGACTATTTGATTGTATCACTTAAAAGGGTCATTATTTAGCCTGACAAAGATCAAAACTAGGTTGTGCACGGGCACAGCTTAGCTATAACTTCAACAGTCTGTGAGTCTGTGAGCTCCAGCAGTTTTCTCATTCTTCATGTTGATGAAGAACATTAATGCAGTCACTTTGACTTCTTAAGGCTCATTTATTTTGTTCTAAATGCTTCAAAAACCAAGCACAGTGTGTGTGCAAACCAAATGACAGCTTTGAGGCATTTTTCTGCTTTTTTTTCTGGCAGTTAAAACACATCTAGTTTCTTACATGTAGACAAGGTAAATGGCAAACATATTTTTTCTCCTCAGATTGGTACTGATTAAATTTGCCCCGTCATTAGAGTCATGTTTCATGACTCTAGTGACAGGAGGAAGCAGTGTGAAAGCTGTGACCGCTCTGCTTTCTGCTTCAAGAGAGTATTTCAGCTACAAGGAATCAGATAACTAATTGTTTGTCCTTCTATCAATAGTAACTCTAAAGAGGATTGACTTCACGGGAAACCAGATCTCAGAGATTGAAGATGGAGCATTCTCAAAGCTCACACTACTGGAGGAACTGACTCTTGCTGAGAACAGACTGGTCAAACTTCCGATGCTCCCTGCCAAACTAACATCATTCAATGCCAACCACAACCTCCTCAAAACAAAGGGCGTCAAGGCAAACCTTTTCAAGGTATACCTCATTACTACCCTAAACTTTGTCAATTAGGAGTATCCTGACATTACATTTAACAACTGAATCTGTAGATCACAATGGCGGGCTTTGTTTCTCCAACAGAAAATGACCAAGCTGGTCACTCTGTATCTGGCCAACAACGAGTTAGAGGCTGTACCACACATACCTGACAGTGTCCGCACCTTACATCTACAGGTATGTATCTCCAGTTACTAAAATATAGATAAATAAGTTAATTTCTATTTTTGGTATCAATGTATTTGTTCTTAATTTGATTTAGTTACATTTAACACTTTTTATGTCCTCCAGAACAATAATATCACTGAGGTCAACATTGACACCTTCTGCCGGTCCAATGACACCTATTACCTTCGACCAAGCCTCAATGAAGTCCGTATGGATGGCAATCCTGTTATACTGTCTAAGTACCCTGACAGCTTCACCTGTATGAAGGTACTGCCAATTGGACGGTACCGCTGAGCAAACCAAAACTTGACCCTATCCTTTTTGCTGCTGATGGAGACAATTTCCCACAACAGAGTTCTGAGGATGGTGTGAGTGTCTGTGTTTTTGGGCACTGATCCCACAGTGGGAACAAAGATGTCAATGTTTTCACTTCAGCCAACCTTAAAATAGACTGTAACTTTGTCAAGTCAAAATGAAGCCGCTAACTGGACTGACACTTCCAGGTATTTCTCTACTCTGGCTATATCCAGCTTTGCTGATGTTGGGGAGTAACAGGCATTGGTTTATTGTCTGAGTCTCAAAACACTTTCAGATATCATGCTGGAGTTATATTAAAAAAAGCTTGAATCTGGCAAATGAGTGGAAAGCATCAAAATCTCTGAATCATCAGTCCAGTCAGTTTATTGTTTAATTTTGACTTGACTCTTAACTACCTAGAATGATAAAAAAAAAAAAAAACACAGACTGCATATTGGACCTGCAACGGCCCAGCAGGCTTGTTCATGACTGCCCGAAACATATTATTGGCTTTAAACCCGATATTACTTTGTTTCACTGTTTTTCTGTGGAATTATTTCTTTAAAAAATGCATTTGGGTACTGTATGAAGAGGTCTGCAAAAAGGACCTTGTTTAAGTTTAGAATCTGTAATTTGGGGATTTTAAATTTGTTACATGACGGACAATTCAGAAGATTTTAAGTGCATTTTTAGACAAGTGCCTTTCCCTGAATGACATTTTCAACGGAATTGTTGCAAAAAATGCATGACTTAAATGCAGTTTTTATTTTATATATAATGTATAATACTGTTGCATGTTTCACTTTGAAGTTTTAAGTCCTAAGAATGAGTGTGAAACACATGAAAGAAACAAGAGCATTTTTTTGCAGCTGATATTTTCATACTTGGTCCATGTGCTTTATCTAGTCAGGTACTCCTACTATCCAATGGATGGAAAGAGTTTAGGGCGAGAAACTGTACTGCAATGCTATTTTCCAAATAATAATTCAGTCCAGCTTTACAATAGGAGTAATTGATACCAGTTTTTTGTTGTAAATTATCTCAAACTGACAGTCGAGAAAAGTTTCTGAGATTGCGCTGAAAGGAAAGTATCCGGTAAGCATTTAAAACATTTTTTCATTACAATATTAGTATGTTGCCTTGAGATTTATTGCATGTAAGAAAATTGATCCCAGCTGACTCAGGCAGCTGATAACCATTAGACTGTCTCATAATGCCCGCAGGAATAGTCTGCAAATACTTTTCTCATTGAATGTTCTCTCAGAAGATGACTAGACATGAACACAACACTGTGGGTTTTGCCATTGTGTAATTAATTTCTTCCCCATTGTTGTGCCATTTCAAAATGCCTTTCAAACTACAGTGACTGTGTAAATGTGTCCAATGAAGGCTTTTTTCAGCATTTTTGACATGTGTCACCTTTTCTATTTATAGTGTCTAGTTGAGGTTATAACTGGGTGGAAATGTATCTATAAAGTATGGTAATGTGAAAGTTACTCCTTTTTATTTTTCTTGCTAGTGTCCCATGCACTTGCCTTCCAGTATTAGAACTACTTCAGAAATGATAACTGATGTGAATAAGAGTGGTGCACAGGAAGATGTGTGACATGGCTGTTCTTTTTTAGATATTTAAATAAACTTTTTTTTAAATTAAAATGTGTTCTGACTTTTTGTGTGGATCAGGTTTCCCAGTGGTGGCTTGTGATTTTGATAATTAGCATAAGAGATTTGGCTCTTGCAAGAAAAATACTGGTATTACTCTTTAAAGGCAGAGTTTTGGTAGTAGTAAAGGCAGCTGTACTGCTGATAAAGACTGGTAATTTATTTTTGGATCACACCTAATGATAGAGGACTGGTGTTTTTACTTGATGAGGCTTTTTTTAATATCCCTAATAGCTAAGTGTTTGAATATTTTTCCACAACTTTAATATACACCAAGGAGTACCATACCCAATATTTGTCTTGTTTTATTAATGGAAAACTTTACAGGAGACTACTGTCTTTTAGTTGCTTAATTCACAGTCTACCATTCAAGAAGAAAGGAATTCATAGTCTGCAGAAAGTTTGAGTGGAGTTAACTGTAAAGGCTCTTTTTAGAATTGCAGATTTATTAAATAAGGATCGAGATCTTTCCTCAACATGTTGACATTGCCATAGTGAACAATCTCAAAAGACTCAGAATCTTGCCATCCATAATACAAACAACAAACACAGAACAGTATCTTTACTGGTCAAAGTATTTAAAAAATTTCAATATTCAATTTCAACAATATGATTTTAACATCAACAATAAACCAAGATTGCATCTGCTGGAGTTTGTTCACTTCACCTAACTAAAGTTTCTGACTTTTTCCCAAGTATGAAGAAAAAGGACTTTAAGAGACTGGCTGTCCATATGTGGCTGCATCAATAGGAACACAGGTGTACTGCTGCAATTTAATTTTTCCATCAAATTCTTTTAAAATAAAGGGAATCTTAAAAAAAAAAACAATATAACATTTCTAGATTTTTTAATATCAATGAAGGTTTACAATATGAATATACTTTGAGTGCTTGTCATATATTGTTGGGAAGTAAGCAGAGTATGGTGAATTTAAGATGTGATTTCTCAATCCTCAGGTCTGATGTGCGCACAAGAGAGTAATGTCCATCAGTGGTTGGCAAAATGAGGTTTGTAACTGCTGCACAATCAAACTGTCTGTAAGTGATCGGTTGATTAAGGAAATGGTTGGTTGTATGTGAATTCTTTGTGTTTTATCTTTTCTTATAAAAAACCTGTTTATGTCTATGACTAATCTAAGTATGGTGTTCAGTACACAAGGCACTACCAGCATTACATAAGGATGGTTAAAAAGGATTTTTTTCCGTAATGAACACTGAAGAAAATTAAAGCTAAATGAGAGTTCAGAGCATACACGCCAATATGGAAAATGTGGGTTAAACCTTCTTCAGCTCAGCCAACTTGGCAGACCTTTAAATTCCCCAAGTTAACAGGAGAATAGGTTCCATATTGCTTCTCGGCTTGATTTACTATTTGACATTTAACTGCTACCACTTCAACCAAGTAACACCCTGACATTTTCCATGCCCACAGTGATTCTCACCCACAGCAATAACTTTAATTTTTTGACTCTTTATAAAAAGGTGAACAACTTTATGGGCCTTGTTTTTGGGTACTGGCTTCAGAAGGATATACAGAGTACAATACTTAAGTGGTAAATTAGCTCCACCGGCAAGACTTTGCTCGTACACTGGTATCATTTACGAGCAAGACCACCTCCAAAGTTGAACTGCACAAATCAGTGTTAACTAGCAGCACTTACAACGTTTTCATACTTATCCACTGCACACTGTGATACAACTCTAAAACTAATTTACAGCATAACTTTATCTGAATATAAAACTTAACTGCTACATGCTTTATTAAAATCCATAACTTTCCTGCAGCACAAAAATGTATCTGTTGGTCTTTCTGATTTGAATCTGCCACTTACCTGCTGCAGAGCCTGAGATAAATCTGTGACTTACCTGCTGCATGTCAGATTAAAATCCCGAACTTTACTTGCTGCATGATCTGAGTTAAATCTAAAAAATTACGTGTTTACTGACCTGCTGCGCAACCAATAAGAGCGTTGTTTTAAAAGAAGTTACACAAGTCCAAAGGTCAAGAGAATACAGAAATGTACAGAGAATAAACTTTAAAGGTATGACTTTGAGAAAACTGACGCAGGCTTCTTAATACTTCTGAGACCCTATGGTTGCCCCTATACAAGGACTGAGGTTACCAGAAGGCTTAAAATGAATAAGATCTACCGGATATCTACGTAACCACAACATCTTATTGCAGTTCTGACAATATGTCTACTAAACTACATGTGCATTATACATGTTTTCAAATTTACTGTCTGACATCAAGCAGGGACAGTACAACAAGGCTCCACTGTTGCCCTATGAAGATGAGACCCAGCTGGGGTTGTGCAGAGGTGCAGCAAGCTCCATAATAAAAACTGAAGTAAGTACAGAAGTGCAAATGACAGTATTTTGTAGAATTTCAACTTAAGGCTAGCATCAAAAGCCAAAGAAATCATGTTAGAGCCCATATCAAAATGTCCATTATAACTTCAGATTCAAATGTTTGCAGCCTGGTGAAAATCCACTTGCTTGCTACACTGCAATTTTTCATCAGTAGCAACCTTGCAGGAACATTTTTTAAATCACAGATTTTGAACAGGAGTATCGCACAGATTTGTTTGGAGCGGGGCTGATTTGACGATTTGTTTTAGACACATTGCAAAGGAGGTAAGGACAAACCTAGCCAAATTCAAAGACAACATAAACTGATTTTCCATGTTTTCATCACACCCAAGGGATGCAATGCCATGGATCTTATCCAGCTTAGAGGACAAAGTTGCTAGTTGCAGGACAGCTCAATAGCAGGTTGTCTTCACTTACCTGGAAGTGCTCAAAGGTTCTGTCTCGGTCATCACATCTGTCTGAGAAGGTCCTGAGAGTCCTGAAGAACAGCAGAAGATCACTCCAGTCCTCCACCCTGCAATATATTGACACATTATTACTGGTATACTTTGACAATTAACTCTCAAAGGTTAGGACTAGAATAGTTGATCGGTTAAAGTGTGTCAAAATATTCAGGACAAAGGTGCAAGAATGTGCACTACTGTGCGAGAAAATGAACATCAGAATAATTGAAATTTGAACATGAAATCATGTTCTGTTTTATTAGAAATACTACTGAAGTGATGATTATATGAAATGCTGAGGACTCTCAGGGGTCTTGGCTGTAGCATACTAACATGAATACGGGCATCATTTGTAAGCAGGAGACGAACTTGCCGTGGGAAGTGACCAGCCCTTTCTGTAGTTTGTGAAGACAGGTTTATTTATAATAACATGAAAGTATCAGACTTGCTGAAGCTGAATGACAGAAAAAATGGCTGAGACATCCCCTTTAAGAGGCAGGCCACTGGAGTCTGTGGCCACACCAGCAGCTCTGTGGGGCTGTCCTTAAGGGATAATGGTACAGTGAATTTATTGCTGACCTTAATACATCAATATGCAGACAATAACATTCTACAAGAGTATTTAGCTGGTATAATCTTCACACAGTTCAGCATCGATTTTAAATGTGCAATTGAAACCAAGGCACAGCTGAGAGGGGATGCTGCTCATTAGCCTGCTCTGTAGGTGTGTGCTTATCAACCAAAATGTAGACACCTTACTGGTAGTGCTGGCAGGATGGCATTGAAGTCATTCAGGTCCATCGTTTCGTAACCTTAAGTACATGTCTTCACCAAATCTTGTGTCATTCCATCTGGGATTACATATGAATATGAACTTAAGTAAAAGTTTAAAAGTTTTGACGGCACCTGAAGCTGAAAAATTCATCCTTAAAATTCATCCTTTTTCAAGTCACTCTCAAAATGTTTGTGGGCTGCTTTAATACTGCCTTAATAATGTTCACTTCAGAAATTAAATTATGACAGATGTTTATCTAATTTTTCAAACATCAAGGAAAACTGCAGGCTGTATAAACTGACTTAGCGGCAGAGTGTGATAAATAAAGTATCTTTAAGGAGCTTGTATCATAAAATGTTCAACCATTTGATAAAAAAAAATAGAGTAATGCTTAATTTTCGACCCACAGACTTCAGAATCAAGATATCAAAGTATGCTTCTTTACATACTGTAGGCTTTGTAATGGCAATAGAAAAAATGAGTGTTTTGGTCTGCTTCTCTCACTCTGAGTGAGCCTGGGACATTCTTTGAAGGGCTTTCCAGAGTTTTCCATGGGGGCCCGGGGCTAGACGGCAGCCGGGTGAAGTTTCCAGACAACTGTTATTCCACAGAGCTGATGGAAACATGGCAGCACCTTCTCATTTACTGGAGTAATACCGAAATTAGAAGGAGCAGGAGAGACGTATCCCTGGATTGATATTGGTTATTGGATTCATGTGGTCACGACTGGATGAATGATAAAGAAAGATTATATCATCAGATTTGGACCAATTAAAACATACCGATCATGGATGCAAAAAAACTGTCGTGTAGTGACTCAAATGAGGTTCGTTGGTGTGATGTGTTTCCGTGGCTTTAGCTCATCTTGCCAAATAACAGTAAAATTTGTTTATGGAAAACAGTGGAAAAAAGATCACAACAGTGTGTGTGAGTTCCAAAACGTAAAGCTCTGTGAGGAGATTTTGCCGGTTATAAAACAAAACTGGTTATATGACCTACAAAAGAAAATAGCACCATTAGTAGAAGCGGGATTATTTCTATATAGTTATTTTTATGCCTATAACTGCTGGACCTTTTTTCAGTTTTTTTGTAGTTGTGCATATAAACCTCATAACCAGATTTCAGAAATTTGGACTATCCTTTATCCTGGTTTGAGAAACTTAATGCTACCTGGAGAGATCTTCAAGAAACCAGGATCCCATGATGTGGATACAGCTTACCTTGGTTTCTGACAGCTGCTGACTACCTGTGCAGACCTGCCTTGAGCAAACCAATGTGTCAGTCACAACAGTGTCTTACCTCTGGGGTCAACAAAGTAAATAAGCTGTGTCTTTTAGGAATAAGAGTATTCAAGGTAAATGGACGGTAAGATGGGAGAAAGTGCAGAGATGCTGACCAGTGTCACTAAGTGCTGAACAATTTCCCGGGATGTATAGAGGATCATGTCAGGTCATATTAGACAGAACTGAAGAGTCATGACAATGCTGCTAAACATAAGAACAGAAGACATGGCTATGATACAAAACCTTTTCAATTTGATCAACTCTTGGATGAGAGGCTTGATCAGTGTCTGTTAGTCATCACAGCAGAAGGTGGCGTTAATAACAGCCTCTCCGGTGCATCAGATACTGTGCTTTTACAGGGAGGGCTCTATTTTTGTTCCTCGCTGGCGGCATGGCGTAGGCACAGCATAAGTCAGGTCCGCTGCGCCGACAAGGCGTGCCCAAGCACATTTTGGTATTTTGGTGAGCGGCGCAGCCCGGTGTAAGTATCCTCCCTCCCTAACTCAGCTCCTCCCAGCGGCGTAAATTGTAGAGAAGGTGTAGAGTGGGTTTAACACAGCCGAGACCTGTTTTTGCCAATCAGATCAGCTCCTCTCCTCACCTTTAAATCCGCCACCAGCGAGGCATATTACAATTTTCGTGCAGTAGTTGAAGAGATCAAGGGATGGCTGAAGACAACAATGCCACACAATGGCGACAGAAGGCAGCCCCTCAAGACGTGTCGCTGTAAGCACTGCAGAGGGCGTCCTCTTCACTGTCTCATATAAGCACAGATGGATTTGGTGTGTGTAATGTTGGACCCACTGGTAAGACAAACAGCCTTTTCCACATATAAAGACAATCACATCAAGTTGCATATATTTAAACCTCACGTGACTAAGGTGGGTTGTGCGCACAGATCACAACATAAACTCCAATAATGGCATTAAAATCGGAACCATCTGTGCATAAAGGACGCATCCCGCTCCGTGGCCTGGCTTTTTCTTTCATTGATGTTGGCATATAAAATAAATTTGACTCACGCAAATGAATATTATAATATCCATGTGTAGGCTTAAGGTAAATAACTCATCTGATCACTGAAACGAAACATCTGAGATGAATTAAATATCTTGTTAACTTCATCATGTGTGTCTATTTACTGGATATTTAATTTAATTTACCGTGCCACCACGCCCAGCTTGGCGGACCTTGGTGCACCTCAGTCCATGAAAAATACCAAACTGGCTGTGCACCTGGCTCCGCCAGATGAAAATACTGCTGCGCGGGGTCTGCCACCCTCCGCCGCTCCTAAACATTATCAAATATTTTGCACTAATGATTTTGACTTCTGTCAAAGCAGCAAGATGGGTGCCACTTAGTAGCAGCACCATGATTGCACACTGCTCGCAAGACACAAACCAAGAAGAGGAGCTGAACTGCACTGCTGCTGTCACTTTGCAGCTGGTGTAGTCACAGAATTAATTTGAATACTGACAAAGTAAAGAAACCACTTAAGGGGGCAGGGGGACAGATGTGGAAAAACCATGTGTCTGCTGGATGAAAACCAACAATAAAAATCACAATGTCAGTTATTATCTTTAACAGTTACCACCAGCTTGATTTAACAAAGATTATCAGTCTGAATTTGGCTGTAAAGCTGTGGCTGTCTCCCCCCTGTAACACACACAGACTTGGAGAAGGCAGCAGTGTGTCAGAATCATTATCTTCAGTATTTTTCCATCTGTTGTTTGCCAGATCCTGCAGACTGGACCATACAATCCAGATGCGGTTGGGCCTCAGATATAGAGCAAATCAGACTCCTGCTTTATAGCACTGGTCCACAGACAGAACAAACGCTGTCTGGCGGATTGTGGTTATCAAGATGGAAAAGCTTCTGAGCACACAAACACAACAGCTACAACATCTTTGAAAAGATTATTGTCAGATTCATGGTGTTTGTTGGCAGAACTGAAATATTAAATTTGTAAGTATGTAGTTTTTTATGGCATAATCAGCAAAAAATATGAATTCTTGTGTTTTTATGACTTTAGAGTAAGTCCTTTATATCCACCGAGGCAGCTTTCCACTAATCCGGCCATGTTTTTACCGCCGCCAAAAACCAACAAACCAAACACTGGCTTCAGAGCCAGCCTTTCATCAGTTTCAAAGATCAAATGTTAAGCTCCAATGTACTCTCCTCCACCTCTCTGCAAGTTTGGTTTCAGGTAATCTGCGCTGGCTAGTTTCCACACTTGGCTGCAGATATTAATTTAAAAAGAGAACAAAAGTACAAGGGGGGAATCAAAGTATCAGAGCTTTTGTAGGAATGCCCCAAAATTATCTCAAGACTTGGCCTGTCAAAATCAACATTTTGACACTTAATTTCCACAAACACGACTACACCAATTCCAGAATTAGGATGCTATGTAAAATGTTGATGAAAGGCTATCTTTATTTTTTACAAATCAACTGAACTCTTATTGAACACATTGCAAAGACACAGTTTTAAATTTGATGTTGATGAAGCTTTAAGGTTGGGACAGGGACAACTGAACACTGAAAAAGTTGTGCAATGCTTAAAAACAGCCGCCTGGAGCAGTAGTAACATCTCTTAAAAGGTCAATATGCATTTAGTTTTGGTTAACAACATTACTGGGTATAATGAAGGGCACTCCAAAGAGATTGAGCCTCTCAGAAGAAAAGATGTAAAGAGGTTCAGACTGGGTTGGCAAATACTTCAACAATTTTAGAATGATATTATTTAGCAAAGAATTAGGGGATTTCATTCACCCAAAATATCATTAAATGATTCAAAGAATCTGGAGAAACCTCTGTTGATAATACCGTCATCCAATACAGGATGACTATCATCTCCACATTAAAAACAGACTGTGTAGTGGGAATCACTGCATCACAGTTTATCACTGCATTCACCAAAGCAGGTTAAAACTGTACCATGGGAAGAGGAAACCATATGTAAAAAAAGATCCAGAAATGCTGTCAATTCATCTGGGCTCCAGTCACTTTGAGATGACTGTCCTAAGTTCTGACATACTGAAATTTCACTTTGGGGGAAATCATGGGCACTGAATCCTTCACTCTAAAGAGAAGCGGGACCCGTTGGTTTGTGATCAGTGCATGCATGGCTCAAAAGTGAGCATCTGTCATATTGTGGGGATGCATGAGTGCTCATGGCATGGGTAGCTTACACATCTGGGACGACAACATTAATGCTGAATAATACAGTATACAGATTCTTGAGTTACATAAGCTGCCAACTAGACAATTACTTTTTGAAGGCGACAAAGCCAAACCACATTCTGCATCCATAACAACAGCTTCATAGTGGAACAGGTTAGGTGGTGAACTGGCTTGCCTGCTGTCCTGACCTGTCATATTTGTCATATTATGACACAAAAATATGTGTTAAAAGAGACCCTGAACTGCTGAGCAGCTGAAATCAGGCAAGCTAGGGCAACATTTGACTTTCAAAACTCCAGAAAGTGGTCTCTTCAGGAGAGGATGAGGAGTTTGATGAGTGAATGGTAAACATTCCCCTGCCACAACTTTTTTGCAATGATGTGGCTGGAATCAAATTCAAGCATGAGCATTTACAGTAAAAGGCATTTTATTTTCCTGGAGTACAATAAGAGAAGAGTAAAAAAAAAAAAAAACAGTGGCTGCAGCTCAAAACAGAACTGAGGGAATCTCAGCTTACCAGATTCAGAACAGATATTTTTGTCACGGCAGGAAAAGAACAGGTGTAACTCATATAAATGATGGCTGTGTTCCATACACAGGTAGGCCTTCCAGTAAACTAGAACACCTAAATGGTATCCAGACTTCATGAATGTAATGAGATACACCTGTGTTTGAAATGTCAAGGACTTGTTCAGACTACCTGCCTCAAATCCATTTTGTTTATACACATATGGTATCCCCATTGATTTAATAAAGTGTAGACAGCAATAAAACCAAAGAAATTCCGTCTTTACTGGGATAAAGCCATGTTTGGAGGGGACCTGAAATGCCATTCCAGTCTTTTTCACACAGGTGCGTCATGGTCTGGATGCTCAAACTAAACTGCAAGTTGTCTTTTCCATTACTCCCAACCACTGTCACAGCAACACGGCTTGGCCTCACAATTAACAGTGAGAACAAGTGAGATGAGGGTTTTTGTTACTCAATCGTCCCCGTTTTGAAGGAGCATAACCAGCATTATGTGGTATGCAACACAAACACTTAGACGATAGCAAACCATGCGGGTAGGTTGGAGATGTGTGGACACAAAATCTGATCAGATAACTAGCAAACAGCAGTGCAGACATGCTGCAATAAAGCTCAGATTTGGAAAGCAAATCCGATTTGCCTGCAGTCCAAACAAGCTGAAATGTTTTTCATGAGAAAGGCTTGTTAAAGGAGAATACAGAGCAGAAAGAGAGAGAGAGAGAGAGAGAGTGGATGTGTGAGCGAGGACATTCAGCTGGATGACAGCCGTTAACAGTTTGACATCTTCTTCTACTTTAATAAACACTTGAGCTGAACTAAACAGACAGCCCCTTCCTGAGGGGAACGATATCCAATATTAACTATGAGGTTGAAATTGGACTGAGCGGACAGACAGTGTAAATAAATGACAAACTGATAAGCTACTGGGCTTCAGTCCAAACACACAATCTGAGTATGTCTGATAGCTGATTCGCACCTGATGATCTTCTGTTAGACAGACCAGTCCCTCTGACCGTGGGCCAATGCAAATACACTACAATGTCAAGAGTACATGAACATATGACAACGAGAGCAGCTGCACCTCATGGCTGAAGAGTTGAATATTTTTGGAATATTTTAGTGAATAGAGTCAGGGGTCGTCACACTGTCTTGGTGCATCTTGCATTCAGATGCAAAGAAACTGTAACTCTAATTAAGTGCATTTATTCAGTTAAAAAATGACCAAGGGTTTCCCCTACATGTAATTGATTGTGATGCTCTGCCACACCTTAAAAATGGGGGGTGGGGTGTTACGTGGTGCTACCTCGGAATCAGTATATGTGGTGCACACAGGCGCACACACCCCCTGATGCAGCATGTATTAGTCAGTTGTCGTCTGCAATCACACAGCAGACTGATCATATCCGTATTAAGACCTGGCTAAGCCACGGCTTTGAATCTAAAGATCCGAACATGTTGTGTACCACCTTAACTGTCCTGTAAACCATGTCTGTCGATATGCTGTTGTAGTTCTCACCCTTCAGCCCACATAAATGAACCTCACCTGCATCTGTTTAGTCACCATACCCTGGTGAGACTCTGGGAGGGTCGAAACAGGCCAGCAGTTTTCCTGATCATTGAAGACTGAAGCGTCTTGGGATGACGACTGTTGTGAATTGGCGCTATATAAATAAAATTTGATTGAATTTGATTGAAATTTGAAGACTTTCTACTGAACATGCCCTGAACAAATAAAGGCTTTTCAAATTATCCTTGACTCAAGCAAGTGCCTCAAGACAGCTCCAGAGGCTTCCCTCTACTGACAACCCCGTGACAGCTGCTATTAACTTTGACTAACAAAAGCAATGCCACAGACAAACAACATTACACACATCATACCAAATCAATTGACAGAGAGGAGATCCAGGAGTATTTCTGCTTGTTGACACTGAGGCAAAAAATGCCTGCTTCAGTAAATTCAATTTTGGTAAATAAATAACATGGTAAAACCATTCATTCCTTTACTGTGCAATATTTGTAGGCTATATAACGTGGATGTTTTTTTTTTTTTATAATATTGAATCCTGTCCCACTATCCTGGCCACAACAGCAGAGCTAGTAAAAGTGAATGATCACAAACAAGCAGGCTACTGTTTGACTGGGACAAGACCAATAACTGAAATGTTCACTTTAATTGTACCTGCAATAGGGAGACACAAATCTGTTGCCATGGGAGTGTTTCCTTCACTGGAATAAGAGGGACTATCTTTTTAAATCTAGGTACATCAAATATCTTTCAATCAATAAATCACTTTTAATAAATATTTCAAGCCAACATATTCAACATATTTTCATATGAGTCAGTAGTGGAGTAATAACCAAGATACTATGTGGTTAGCCAGTGAATATGCCAATAGTATACTGACAAGACGACAAGATCCTGATGTGTGATCATAAAAATGGGGTTTATACTCAGGCTACAAACGTACCATTAAAATTCCTAATCCTAGCATCCCTGGTGGTGCTGAGTATAAAAAGATTTTTTCTTGACCGATCAATCCGAATTATAATTTATTATATTATTATATTTATTATAGACAAATCTTACCATACTAGGAAATTTTAAAGCCTGCAAAGTTATAAATATTTTGATTATTATTATGACCAAAATGTTCGGCCACTGGATATACCTCACCAGCCACTTAATTAGGTACACAAATAGCTAATCAGCCAATTACATAGCAGCAACTCATTACATTTAGGCATGTGGACATTGATAAGATGATATACTGAAGTTCAAACTGAGCATCAGAATGGGGAGAAAAGCGGATTTAAGTGACTTTGAACATGACCTGGTTGTTGGTGCCAGACGGGCTGGTCAGAAATTAATGATCTATTCTACAGGGATTTTCATGCACAACCATCTCTAGGGTCTACAGAGAGTGGTCTGAAAAAGAGAAAATCTCTAGTATGCAGCAGTTTTATGGATGAGAATGTCTTGTAGATGTCAGAGGTCACCAAAAAATGGGCAGACTGGTTTGACATGATAGAATGGCAACAGTAAATCTAAGAACCAATTTTTACAACCAAGGTATGCAGAATACCATCTCTGATCGCACAGCATGTCAAACCTTGAAGCAGATGGGCTACAGCAGAAAAAGACCACACCAGGTGCCAATCCTGTCAGCTAAGAACAGGAAACAGAGGCTATAATTCACACAGGCTCACCAAAACTGGACCACAGAAGATTGGAAAAATGTTGCCTGGTCTGATAGGGCTGGATTTTGACTGCCACATTCAGATGGTGGGTCAGAATCTGGTGTAAACAAGATGAAAATTTGGATCCATCCTGCCTTGTATCAACAGATCAGGCTGCTGTCGGTGGTGGTTTAATGGTGTGGGGATATTTTCTTGGCTCACTTTTGCCTCCTTTTGTACCAATTGAGCATTCTTGAAATGCCGCAGCCTTGCTGGGTACTGTTGCTGATCATGTCCATCCTGTTATGACCACAGTGTACCCACTTACTTCCAGCAGAAGAGTGCACCATGTCACAAAGCTAAAAATCATCTCAAACTGGTTTCTAGAACATGACAATGGGTTCAATCTACTCCAGTGGCCTCCACAAACACCAGATCTCAATGCAAGAAAGCACCTTTGGGATGTGGTGGAGCAGGAGATTAACATCATGGATGTTCAGCCAACAATTCTGCAGCATCTGCTGCAGTTCTGAAAGCAAAAGAAGGTCCAACCCAGTACAAGCAAGGTGTAACACCTACTTAAGAGGCTGGTGAGTGTACATCTGCAGTTTAAGTTTAGTTCAGAGCTTACCCGGACATGAAAATGCTGAGGTCCTTCAGGTCCTGCTGGTCACCGGCTTCAATCGCCACGTTGAGATCACTAACTGTCCTCTCCAACTGCTGGTTGTTCTGCAGGACAAACACATAATCAACTATAAGTACAATGTAAGTTCCCCATCTTTTAATGAGTACAGAGACAAGCGCCTGTTTTCTTTTAAATTTATGACAGTACTTTTGAGTCAAAGAGCACTGATTCCAATCAAATGTACCTCATAAACCAACCTGTGTACTTAATATGCTGAACAGTTTTTCAGACCATTCATCGTAATGTCACAGAGAAAAATGCTCTGTTTTTGGGGAGCCACGAATCACATCTGTAATTGGTTTCAAATACCAAACATCACCAAATAAAACACTTCAGTGATACTTGCTTATTAAATGTTGAGATATTTAAAAAGCATTATTCAAACTTTGATTAAAGGGTAAGAGAAGATCAAATGTTTCGAAAATTACTGTTTTCAAATTGCACAAACAAATAATTAATGTTTTAAACTAGAATTTGAATGACCCAAACCAGACGAGGGGGGTTCAATGAAACCAGCTGCTCTTGCGGTTCCTCCAGAATTAAAACCAGAGGGCCTACACGAAGCAGGATTTCAGATCACGGTTCTACTCAATCTCACTCATAAAATTATAAATACAGCTGACTTTACATATTCAGGCTTAAATCAAGGGTCAGTCATTATTTTTGTTTAATGGTTATGTTCCATGTGGTTTTCTCAAAGGCCTGGGGGTAAAGCTGCGTCTAGAAACATGCCGAAGTATTCAAAACTGTCAAGTACTAAACATTAGTTACAGATATATTGTCACATTCATTATCTTAGGAGGCTGTATTGCCTAAATTGGAATCAGAATTTTGCAAGATAGCTAGGACTGACTGTCACATGTGCTTTTTCATTTTAAACAGCATTTAAACAACGAATCTTTTTGAGAACATGTCTCCTGTTTTTCATAGTAAAGATAAAATGATCAGGATCTGGGCAATAGATTAGCCAAATAATGCAGACATTTCAAGGGTATCCAGACGTTACAGGAGGACAGTTTTAATACTGTGTATTTATTGTAAATGATAATTAACACATAATCTTGACCATATCTGTGTTAGACTGAACATATGTTCGATCTTAAACACTGAAGTTTGTTTATAATACCCTCTGTCTCCATTTCCTCCCCCGGCAGTTGGCTGATCACAAGTTCGATCACACTTAGGATCTGTTAATAATTATTTTACATTTTTAAATACTTTTATGACTAAAAGCTGGAGATCTGCTGAAAAAAACTTTGAACTTAAAAAACTCAGTGAATAAACCGTCCAACATAGTCCTGTGATGCCCCCTGATGGCTAAACAGTTTCAGTACTCCCACTGACAATAAGAGATTCAACACAGTTGCACATCATCTATCGATCTATATTGATTACCTTCTAACAGATAACCAAAAATCTTTCAAAAATTGTTCTTGTCCCTTCAAGATTTTTTTTTTTTAATCTGAATCCAATGATTTGCAGAACATCACTTTTTCTCTCGTCTAAATTGCCCCATTTTTGTTTGACACTGACATGACTTGGAACAGATGAGTGTGTAGATAGACTGCAAGGCCAGTCTCACTTCTGGCTGCTTTAACTCTGAAATGTGGAATGAGAAGCCAGTTGGCGGAACATCAACCCCAAAATTTTGAGAGAATGAAAGTACAAAAATCCAGCTATTCTATAAAACTCTAAAGGAGAGATCATAAGATGTATCACTGAATGTATCACCAGATTGTGACTTGTTTTCGAGATACAATCAGAACAGTGGAACAGTGTTTCTATCACACAGTATTAAAAGGAGCAGAAACATGCGTAAGTTAATTCTCAAGAACAAATCAAAAATGAAATGAAAAGAATCTGCACAAACCATTGAGAAGACAAACTGAATTATTTCACAATTCATTTCAAACTTGGCATCTGCTAAAGTACAGATCACTAGACAAGATTATCATTTCTTGAATCATCGATCTGATCTTATCTATCTAAAGCCTAAATACTGTTCAACAATTCACATGGTCAACCCCTTCAGGAAGCTCTTTGAGTTATGTGGCAAAGGAATGACTCACCTTGACCTCAGTGAGCAGGAACTCCACCTGAAAGGCCAGTTCAGAGCACTGACCTGACACACTGAACTGCTGGACGAGCTTACTGCCACCTAATATACACAAGCACACATCATACTAGAGTAAACGAACAATAACATTGCCAGGAACTTTTTTATAGCTGTTACACATCTAGTGAGCACTTGAAAATATATACTTTTTAATCATGAGTCTTTTGTCTAATCATAAATACATAAAAAATGGAGGCTGTGCTCTCACTGTTTTGCAGAGTCTTTGTGGTGCAGCTGTTCAGAAAAATGCCATTCATCTTAGTCTGCCACTTCAGATCCTCCTCCAGCTCCTCCACCTCCTCTTTTAGTCTGAACATCACCTTTTCTTCCCCTTCTTCTTGAGTCAGCCCATAAAAATGTGACCTATAAAGATGGGAAATTTATATTCAATTACAGTTGTAAGAGTTCAAGACATGTAATTACCTTTTTAGAGTTACACAATCGATGATCGGTGACTGAGCGCCCTGAGAGTGGCAGCAAGTCACAGCAGCTCTTCACAGTGTTTAAGTTTTTGCCTTTTTATTGTTGTTTTTTGCACCTTATTTGTTTTCTTTTTAATGAGCAGTGTTGTGTTTTGGATATTCCAACCATGGATGTGCATTTCATGACTCTAGCACTTAGTTTTCTTTTACTTTTTGGATTAAAATATATTGTATATAGTTTTATTTTTATTCTATTTTATTTTATTTATTTATTTTATTTTATTTTATTTTTCTTCTCCCTTTTTCCTTTTCTACATTTCTTCTTAATTATAACATTTAAGTTCTTAATATTACGATCTTTATTTTTATAACTGCATTTTTGCACTATCTTTGTCTGTGTTGCTGCTGTGCCAAAAAAATTTCCACCATGGGGGATCAATAAAGGAATATTCTATTCTATTCTACAAGATTTCCCACGCTCTCTCTTTTGTGGACATCTGAACATAAGTTTAACAAGGATATAAGATATAAAAAGAACAATTAAATAAATCAAACTCACGTTGCATCCTGTATTTGCCCTCCGAGTTGTAGTGTTATGTCTTTGTGGTTCTCTTGCTGTTGGCGCTGCAATGCCTCAACTTCAGCCTGAAGACGCTCGATCTGGGTCTCCAGCACCCTCGCCTCCTCCATGTTCTCCTCATTCATGGTCTCCATCGTGATTACTTGTCTGATGGAGATAGTGTTACTGTCAAGATCAGGAACATTATTTGCACCACAGCTCCATTTACAACTTCAAAGTTAGAGACGACATACAACAGGGTCATTGCGCACATTTAACATAACATTGTATTGAATACCTTTGAAAACCTTTATAAAAGCACAAAGAGAGACATCGTTTTTTCCTGATTACCTGCTGCATCGATATTTGTGCATGTAATATCTCATTTTTGGTAGAGTCAAATGTTGTTTGTCTGGTCTGATTTCTACACCAAGCTAACTGTCACACTGATAGTAGGAGGTTAAGTCTATTATAGACGTGGTGTTTTTAAAATAATAAAGGGTGTCTGTGATCTGTTTTGGTATTGGTACCTGCCAAAATGAGTAAGAAAATGTGGGATAATCGGATATTTGCAAAAATGTAACATTGTGCAAAAAACGGTTTGAGACTTCAAGACTTGAAGGATCTATGGGATCCCGATAAAGACACATACACTGAAACAACATTTAAACGACAAAAACAATAATGTGGAGCCGTCAATGCAATTTTTTTTAATCAAGGGTTGAGTTTCGTATTTAACTTAAGATAACAGTTAGCAGGTTTAAAAGGGAGTTATGAGTGGTAAAAATCGAGGGTGCTGTCATGTCTCAACAGATGGAGGTTTCATCGCAATTATAGCCTGTGGCTGGTGGTTAACTGGTGCACTAATGAAGAAAACAACGAAAGACAGGTGAAATGCGGAAGTTATTTAGCATTAAAGGTGTAAAATTTTAGACGCTAAGAATTAACACTTCATACAGGCGATGTTCCCATCGCGTTTACCTCTCTGCTTTGTAACGGCTAAAGTGGTAAAGTCAAACTAGCAAGGATTACGACGACAATTTTGACAGAAATAGTTCTGTACATTAGCTAAGAGAGGACTGACGTGCTTAGAGTCAACTTACCAATTTCTTCTACGTAATTTCGTCGTTTTTGATGAAGATTACATGAAAGAACGATACAAAAGATCATTAGAGAGTGTCATTCCCTTAAACTTTAACGCTCATACAACCGTCAGTCTCGTGCCTTCACCTTAACAACCAAAACAGTTCGGAACCTCGCGCCCTCTGGACTGTACCATCTTACATACATAGAAAGGGGGGGGTGAGAGTCTCTGCATTAAGCTCAGACGCAATTTGTGGGTCTGGAAAGAAACATTCCTCTTTAATATGAAGTTGTGTTTGTAACATATTAATATAGTTGCTCTGTCATAGACAAAACGTATCGTAGTTATATGTTTATCAAGTTTGCGGGTCATTTCGCGCCCCCTCATCGAAAGTCGTACATTTCTGATGAACTATGTCGGATGAGTGCTAATATCTTTTGGAGGCAACGAAAAAATAAGAGTAAATATCCCGTCCCTTAAACACGTATAATAATTACGCACAATTTTATACCAAAACCTTACTGGTATCTATTCCTGGTATGATTTATAATTCTTCCTAACCGCACCGGAACCCTTAGTCTAACGGAAACAAACGTACGGAAGGGACCTCTGGAAGACCGGACAGAGTTAAAGGTAACACCAGCTGGATACATGTGAGGTAAACACTACTTGGTTCTTGCTGTAGTGTCTTTTCAAATTATAGTATCAACCGTATTTTATTTGCGATAACTCTGGCAGACTAGTTGTGAAGGGATTAAGTTGTATGCAGAGTTTATTCAGAGTCTGTTCGCCGCTGTTCTGGTTCCTCAAAGATCTGTAGGCTCTGATCATGCTCATATTATCATTGACTATGTGGTTTAAGATCTTGTAATTCATCCCTATAAAGGACTCTGTCCTTGTAAAGTTACTATAACGGTTTGGTTTTTGTTAATTCTGTCAGAGAGAGATGCTAATATAACTTTACTCAGGAAGGCTGCAGGTCGTGAGCTGATTTGCACTTATTTTACATAAACTTTTTAACATTTAGAGTTCAGAATTCCTCGAACTGACAGACTTTACTTTTTCCTAAAGTTGTCACTGGATTTTGGATTTGTCAGTGTGCATTAATATATAGTCTATCTCTTTCTAAAAGCCTCCATTGAAAATAAAGGTGTATTGCTAGATGTGCTTTTAAAATAAAGAGCTGCACAGTTCATACAGCAAAAGGGAACACCTTCAGCATCCGGATGTGGACAATTTATATATTAATGAGAAAAAAAGTGACACAGATCAGATGTTTTACTCTGGTGATTGTTTCCTTCACAGTGATTGTGTTGTTGTGGCACCAGAGCAATGCGGCGGCTCTACGTTGGAGGGTTGAGCCACACAGTCACCCAGAAAGATCTTAAGGATCGATTTGGAAAATTCGGAGAAGTGGAAGATGTGGAGCTGCGTACCAGGACAGATGAGGAAGGTAAGGAATCTGTACACAACCAAAGCCTTAGTCTACATTTTCTTGACACTTTATTCTAGACATCTCAGGCATGTGAAGTTCAGATTTCTTTGGTCAATTAAAGGTCACACATAAAGGTTTTTTGGAGGTCCCCTCAGTGTCCTGTATATGTTCTGATTCTTCTTTTCCTTTAGGTGTTCCCTACAAAACCTTCAGCTACATTAATATCAACATTTCAGATGCAGACTTAAAGAAATGTGAGTAAATTAGGCCTCGGCTGTAACTTGTCAGCTATATGTGTTTGATTTAACAGATTTTTGTCAGGTGTAACAAGAAATGACACATTCATCATCTCTTAACTCTTAAACAGTTGGAAAATACAGTTTGTTTCAAGTGAATAAACCCTTTATAGATTGCTTGTTGGTTGCTCTGGGTTGTCAGTATCCTAAATAAACAGATTAGGAAGAACACTGCATAATTTTTATACTTGAGAATTATCCAAATGTGACTTTTTCAGTGTTTCTTGTATTTACCATAATTGATCAAGTGAACATAGCAGAGTGTGATTACTGTGTGTTTGTACTCTGAAGGTTTGACAGTGCTGAACAAATCCAAATGGAAAGGAGGAACTCTGCAGATTGAAACAGCTAAGGAAAGTTTCCTTGACAGGTACAATTATGTCACGAAAACTTCTAACTAGCAAATATTATGGAGCAAGAGGAAGGAGGGCTTTAGCCACCAAATACAAAGCAAAAGCAAGGCAAAGTTTATTTGTATAGTGCATCTCACAAAGATGTCACAAAAGGCTCAAAAGAAGTGCTGGGAAGAGTACATGTCTTTACAGCAGCAGGAGTTAAAAAGATTCTTCCCTCCTGAACCTCACTCTGATCATCTGGTTGTTGTATTTGTGTCTCAGACTTGCTGAGGAGAGGGAGGCTGCAGAGGAGCAGCGCCAACAACCACGTGTGGTTGAGGACAAAAGACAGAAGATGTTGGACTCTCTAAGCAAAGCCGGAGTGGAAAACTTCACCATGAAGGCTGCAGTACCAGGGACAGAAGTACCAGGACACAAGGTGTGATCATCTGATACCTCTTTTTCTAATCAGTACTCCAAAACTAGCATCAGTTTTAAAATAAAAAACAGTCAGGTGGGTGAGGATGGATCATTGTGTTGATACTTCCTCTGTGTACGTGCTCTGCTTTCAGGACTGGGTCGTCAGTAAATTCGGTCGAGTCCTCCCCGTCCTGCAGCTCCAGGGTCAGAAAGGCAGCAAAGCTCGAACCCTGAAGTACGACCCCTCCAAATACAGCCACAACATCCGCAGGCTGGACCGGACAGCTGAAGACCAGCCCACACCTGTTACTCAGCTCACCTGGGAGGTACAGGGAGGGGACGATGACATCAGCAAGAAGAGGCGGGGAGAGTTTCCTCCGTTTGAGCCGTCCAGGCCCAAGAAGAGCCGGACTGATAAAGTTAACTCTCACAATGCAGTGGGACAGACCAGGTAAACATGTGATGACTGATTACACCCTGATTTAAATACTTCATTCAGTCTTTCACTTTATTTCTCTGGTTTTTAATTCACGAGCCGGTTAGAGTGACCCAAATAGGAAGATCTGATGCAGAATAGAAAAGATCCAGCTTAATTACCAGTATAATTACATAACTTACATTGATATGTTGGGTCATCTCTACTGCCGATCTCACTGGTGGTAGTTTTTTGTTGTAAGTTTTGCACCAAATGGATGATTTTAGAAATATCACATCTCCAGAATAAAAAAAAGTTTGAAGTTTTAAAGAATTTGGTTTTACACAAGGTGTTGTTCTTTCTCCTCAGTGTTTCTCCTCCTTGTTTTTCACCCCTTAGATTGAAACAGAGTGTGAACTCTGTCAATCACAGAGAAATTTATCCGCTCACCAATGGATATGAACCGCCAACAAACCACAGACCGGCTCAGAGGAAAGAGGTTCGTTATCCTGGCAGTGATGTTGATTCAGACGAGGAGATCCGCAGAATGGTGGCAGCCCAAGACTCCTCCCGTTTTACTCTGGGGAGGAAGGAGGAAGATGAGGATAACCTGGAGGTGGTTGGACTCGACTACTTGGTGAGGGCTGGACGAAAAGGTGAGGTTATAAATAAGACTCCTCCCCCTCTGTTTTTGAGCATCATCTCATCAGTGTGTCTCTTTAAGGCAGCCATGTGTTCCCACTAATAAAGAACCTACTGCTGTGTTTGATGCTGATTTAACTCTGGAAGAAATCTTTAATACATATTACATAAGCTTTTCAGGGACTAATAAATAATAATAGTCATTGATACTTAAGACTTGAAACAAGGAAAGACAGTATAGATGAATTTATTAAACATTTCTGATAATCAGCCCCACATTAAACTTTAGATTAGATTAGATTAGATTAGATTAGATTAGATTAGATTAGATTTCCTCTCAGGGAAATTAAAAAAGGAACTCTTTCAAACACTTGTTGCTTTCTCTTTGTAATCCAGATGATGAGGGAGAGAATGACTACGACTCTGCAGACACAGATGAACTTCTTGCTTCCAAGAAACCTCCACTGACATCGACACAGGAGAGGCTGACTCCACCCACTGAAAACCACCTCTCAGGAAACGACACAGACAGGAGGAAAAAGAAGAAAAAGACGAGGACAGCTGGAGAGGAAGAAGAAAGTTCAGCAAAGGCTGAAGATCAACTCACTTCCAGGAAACCCTCCTCCGAACAGCAGAGAGAGGATTCTGGGAAAAAGAGTTCTCAGGGTCAAAGTGAGAAGATTGTAGTCATACCTGTTGTGGAAGCCCCTCATTCTGAATCAGATAGTGATGAAGATGAGGAGGAGGAGGAAGATGAAGATGAGGAGGAGTTAGACTTAGCTAATGATTCTGATTCAGATTCTGATTATGACGCCATGTTTGCTAATGTCACCCATTTGGAGATCTCTCTGGCTGATCTCCAGAGGATAGCTGAAGAATCAGAACAGACCTCTGAGACTACAACTCCCAGCATCCCCGGCTCTTCCTCAGAACAAGAACATAAACCTAAATCTGCGTCTGCTCCAAAGAAAGGAACCACACCTGAAGAAATCCTTGCCTCCATCATGGCGGAGGACAGCAGTGAGGACGAGCAAACCATGAGGAAAAAGAAGAAGAAGAGAAAAGCGGCCATGTCAATGCCACTGCCAGCCTTCCAGGGGACGAAGACTCTAAACAAGGAATCGGAGTTGGAGGACTCTCAGAGGAGACATGAAGGAGAGGAAGAAGGAGGTGAAGAGGTTAAAAAACAGAAACTAGACTCTGAAGCTCCTCAGCTAAACCTTCATGAGACAGACAGCAAAACCACCAGGATGACCAGAGAGGCAGGAAGGGAGACTACAGAGAGCAGTGAGGAAGAGGAGGAAGAAGAAGAAGAGGGGAAAACAGAGGAAGAGCAGGAGGATGAAGAAGAAGAAGAGAAGGAGGACAAAAAGGAGGTAGTGAAGGACAAGGACGCTCAAGGAGTAGGAAACACTGAGAAAACTGAGCCTGATTCCTCCTCTAGCAGTGATGAAGATGATGATGAGGAGGAGGAGGAGGGGGAGGTAACAAAGACAGGTCCTTCTGTTCTGACAAAAGCAGCAGCAAAGGCCTCACCCTCATCCTCCACCTCTTCCAGCGGGGAAGATGAGGACAAGCTCGTTTCTGCCAAAGTTGCCGCGAAAGCTGCTCCTCCACCTGCCCATCAAAGTGAGTCCTCCTCCTCTTCTTCCTCCTCTTCCTCCAGCGAAGAGGAGGAAGAAGAAGAAAGGCCCGCTCCTCTTCACAGGGTGCCATTAGGAGCCAAAGAGGAGGAGGAGCGGCAGAGGGAAGCGAACATGAGGAGGTTGGCTGCCGTCCAGCAGAGGCAGAAAGAGACTGAAGAGCACAAGAAGCTGATTCAGGGCGCTCTGGCCAACCTGGTGAGTTCAGATCTGCAGCAGACTTCAGAGAGCTCAGTGAGTCAGAGCTTTTATTTTAGAGAGAGGACCGTTTGACAAGTCCGCTCCTCTAAAGTGAGCTGTTTGAAAGGTTATATTACAACCGAGCGCTCCAAGTCAGAAATAGTTTGTAGAAAGAGGCAGCAGGGGGACGTTATTCTCTGTTTTAGATCTATAAGAGGTGGTGTGTAGGGAAGAAGACGAGCTGTAAACTCAGTGTTGAAGTAGTGATGGGTTCAGTCCATCACCAGTGTCACAGTCTGCTGTAACACACCAACAATTATTTAATTAGTCTCACATGGTTACAGCCACGGTGGGGGGTTAAAAAATAAATAGTGTAACTGAGTAACTACACTGTGTCCTGTTTGGCCGGCACCCTCGTGATAGAGTCCTGCCTCTTCCTCATGTTAAGGTGGGTGTATTTATGATGAAAGTCGTCCATGACTCGAGGTTAAGCTCAGATGATTACCTTTTTAAAGAGACATTAGTATTAGTGTGAGTCTGTTTCACTTCCAGCTGCAACCCCTTAGAGGACTTCCAAAGAGACAGAGACACACCAGTTTTGGAGACACTGATTTTTTTTTGCCTTCACTGTTAATGTATTACCGAGTTAATCGCAAACATTGTTTTATTTAAACTCCCAAAACACCTAAAGCAACACCAGCATTTATTTGGAGTCATTTTCAAATCAAAATATCCATCTTTATCAGGATGGACCTGCTGCAGGAGGAGGGAAACATATTGTATTCGGCTCTGATGATGACGATGATGATGATGAGGAGGAAAAGCAGCAGGTGACCTTAGGGGTAACAGCATCAAAGAAGACTCTGTTCCAGGACAGCCAATCGGAGGAGGAGGCCACAGATGATGAGGCGGCAGCAAATAAAGAAGGCGGAGAAAAAGGAAAGGTGAGTGTGAAATAAAAATCCCTCTTTCTCTCAGAGAAGTATAAAGTTTGTTAGAGGACGACCTTATAACATTTGAATGTGTGTGTGTGTGTGTGTGCGTGTGTGTGTGTGTGTGTGTGTGTGTGTGTGTGTGTGTACAGGTTCATCTGAAGCCATCTGTTTCTCAGCTGTTCAGCGGCAGTGAAGATGAGGAGGATGGTGATGAAGAGGAGGACAGCAGCAGGTTTGACATCAGACCTCAGTTTGAAGGAAGAGCAGGACAGAAGGTGAGAAAAGGAGTTAAAGCAGCACTGCTCGGTCTTTTTCAGTTACTTTGGTTCTTCTATATAAAGTAAATGTAAAATACCCACAGAGCTAATACCCATGAATATTAATGAATAAATATGTCTACTGAGATACAGAACTCGGTAATCTCTCAAGGAAGTTAATTTTAAGTTTTAGAGCTGAAAGTTCCTTGACTTTAAGAAAAATATATTTTAGACACTCAGTTGTGATTGGATGGATGGTCTGATGGTCATTTTTGTTATCCAGCTGATGGAGCTGCAGTCTCGCTTTGGAACAGACGAGCGTTTCAGGATGGACTCTCGCTTCCTGGAGGATGACAACAAAGAGGAAGAACCAGGTGAGGTTGTGGATGCAAATCTGGATCGCTGTTAGCCTAAGTATGCCCAATATCCAGGGGTGGTCCAGGTTTATTCCCAACCTGTGGTCCTTTTTCTGCACATCATTCCCCTAGAAAATTATGAATTATGCACATTTTCTTATCGCCCTGTTTTAACCAAGAATAAAGACCTGTCTTCCTCTTAATTTTTGATCAAGTGCTTTCCTGCTGGAACAAAAAGCTCTCTGTTGTTTCCCTCCACATGCATCTGCCTTTGCTGAACTAAACTTCTGTTTGTGATTCAGAGAAAAAGACAAGTGTCGACGATGAGGCTCTGGAAGAGGAGAGGAAGAAGAACTTGTCCATCCTGCAGAGTGTCCTTGGCAGCAGCCAACAAACAAGCAGCAGTAAAACATCCGTCAAGGCCAAAACCTTCAGGTCAGCAGCTCATTAGCATGCATAGAGTCATAGGAGAGTTCCATATTTAATTGGAAATGAATTTGGATAAATGTGTGTTTGCAGAGATGTCTCAGCGCTGCATTACGACCCCAGCAAAGAGGAGCATGCTGCATTTGAGACCAAAACGGAGGAAACCAAGGAAAGGTAGGAACTCTGCAATCAATAATGCATCAGTTTTGTCCGCTTTATAGAAAAGGTGGATTATAGATGTTGTCTATTATTCTGCTACTTAAAAATTACTTAAACAGGCTATTTTAGGTTTTTCAGTGCTGTACAAGTGTCGTTCTTAACCACTGGAGTACTCTCCAAATATGTAAATATGTATGTTTCTACATATGGCATTTTCTCTCTTGGGTACTTTGCTCAGTAACTAAAAAATGTCATTTTAATCTGTTCAGAATTATTTCTTAACAAAAAAGTGAAAGATTCTAAATATTTGCAAGCAACTGTGTGTGAACAATAGAAGAGGACCGAGGACAGAGCCTTGTGGCACACCAAAAATTCACAACAGTAATAATTTATCTTCACTGCAGTGAAACTATCATTTAATCTGATGTTTTCACAGCAAAGCAGCAAGGAGGAGAAAACGGGAGGAGGCTCAGAAGCTTCCGGAGGTTTCTAAAGAGATTTATTATGACGTGTCTGGTGACCTGAAGGCCGTGTTTGGTGCATCAAAAGATGAGGTCACTGAGGAAGAAGAGAAGCCAAATTGGGACCAAGAGGAAGAAGAGGAGGAGGAGGAGGAGGAGGAGGGAGATCCAAAGAATGAACAGTCGACCCTGCTGTCATCTCTCCTCTCAGCTGATCAGAGCGCAGAGAAAGACGAGTCGTCTGGGTTCAAGTTCTCTTTCTTTGGAGACGAGACAGAAACTGAAAGTAAACAAACAGGTGGGTTCAGTCTAATATTTTTTCAGGCTGTCAGAGAGAAGGTTTGTTTTTACAACCTTTAATTTCTCATTCTTTCTTTATCCAGAAGAGTACAAAGTAGAGAGCATCCAAGCACCAAAGGTGTCCTGGCAACAAGACCCACGTTTCCATGACAGCAGCTCCGAGGAGGATGAAGAGGAGCAGGAAGAAGACGAGACACAGAGCAGCATCACCGCTAAAACTGCAGAGTGAGGAAAATGCTGAAACTTAGATGGATAAATAATTTCATGGTGTCACAGTTTAAATTCATCCAGAAAGTAAAGTTGGTGTGCGGAGGATACAAGCACTCAAATCCTGCCCAGTTGGAAAATCACAGCGTAAATTCACACACTGTTACTTTTGAAGCGCATTGACACCTTAACAAGGAGGACAGCTGTTCAGATTAAACTCATGTCATTGTGTGTTTTGTGTGTTCACAGAGAGGAGACTCCCTCAAACAACCATCGATTTTTCTTCTTCCTTGAGGACAGCAGACTGACAGGTAGGGAGAGGGCTGCAGGAAATATAAATGAGTCTGATTTCTAACTTCATGGTTCTGTGTGAATGTCTGCATGTGGCTGGACAATGATTACAGACAGGCCTGAACTGTCTCTGCCTGAACTGTCTCTGTCTTCCTCAGAGGGCCCCAGGTTGTTCTGTCGTCCCGCTCACTTGGAGGAGCAGAGAGAGCAGTGGGAGGAGAGGAGGACGGCTCTCAGACAGGTACACGCCAGAGCACAGAAACTTTTTTTAGTTCATGCCTTCATTGATAATTATTAATAGTTGTCTACATGAAGATACAGAACATAATAAAGGGGTTTAATTAAAGTTTAGCATGATATGATACTTTTACTTTTGTGTCTGTTTCCACAGGAGTACCGAAAGAAACACAAGGACGCCCGCAAGAAAGTGAAGTCCTCTCAGAAAAGCTGAGAATTATGGGAGTTGAGGTCTAGTCTGATTTGAGAATTGTCCCTCTTGGAGCGCTCAGCAGTATGGACCCTGATAATCTGCTGAAGAGACAGACTTTGGAAGTTTAAGATCACCAGTGTCAGATTTATTTTTCATGTTTTGTGGTCTGAGCTTAAATTTGTAATAAAATCTGGTTTGGTATTTTCATACTCTGTAGCAGCAGCAGTCTGAGGACCAAACCTTCTTATTAAAATATGTACAAATAAGTAAGCTTGTCCAAGTTTTGATCCTCTGTTCATCACATCACTTATTTCTGAGTGACTAAAATCATCATTGTATCAAATTTGTTAGATGAATTAGTATTCGTGAGGATGATATGACTGACAGAGAGGAAGAGGTTTTATCAGTCTGTTCTTGGATTTGATGTTTTTCCCTAATGCATGTCCCTAAAGGACTTCTGCATCGGTGTCGGGCATCAATTTCCAGAAATATTTAAATGCTTGTTATTTAACTCCAATATGATCATCTCATACCTAAAAAGAGTTTATTCTGTAATGTTTTATACAAGCAAACTCAGCTGAGCTGTGTTTATAGAGCACCTTTGACACAGACATGCAGGCCGAAGTGCTTAACAAAAGAACAGAACAAAAATGAATGAAAATTAAAGGATGACAGAAATACTGGAATAAATAAATTAAAAAAAAACAACCACAAAATAAAAAATTAAATCCTAAAATTATGTAATACTAAACAGTTGAAGGGATTTGTGCACAACCCCTTTGGTCAGAAGGGATTGTCCCGTAGTTATATCACATGTTCGGTTTCCGTTTGCTCTCTTATTTTGAAAATTAACCGGAAGTACCTCCCGTCGTAGTCGTCTTGTGTTGATGGTGATGAACAGGTTTGTAGGGAACAACAAGTGTGTGGACTGAAACTTCTCCATCAGGACCAGACGGCTGTGGGACCTTTGAGACGAACAAGTTTATGGACGTTTTTACTTTAGAAGTCAAGTGTTTGTTGTTGCACATGTCTTTAATAGAGACATTTAACAGGGAACAGTTAGTTCAGCGGTAAAAATGAGTCCGGTTTTGTGTCTTTTGCTCCTCTTTCTGCGGACTGTGGAGCTCCGCCACCTCCAAGCAGCCCGGGAGTTCCCCGGGTCAGAGCAGCAGGTGGGGGATGCGGGTTCGCCGGTGACAAAGGGAAGGACTTCTCAGGACCGGGATGAAACTTTTAAAGTCCCGGATCTGAAGCGAGTCGCTCGGGGAGCTAATGAGGGAAGTTTCGGGAAAAGAGACCCATATTCACCGAGCAGCCACGGGCACCCGAGGCGGTACGACGACCCGAGCGGGTACTTCACCACACCGCGGGTCGACCGGCACGCCTCCGTCCGGCCGGGTAACTCCACATCGGGGCTTCTGAACCCGCTGTTCCCGGTGACTGACGGGTCCTACTGGGCGTACGCAGTCATGCTGCTCGCGCTCGTGCTTTTCGCGGCAGGTATCGTTGGAAACCTCGCGCTCATGTGTATAGTGTGGCATAATTTCTACCTGAAGAGCGCGTGGAACTGCATCCTGGCGGGGCTGGCCTTCTGGGATTTCCTCGTGCTGTTCTTCTGCTTACCTGTGGTTATCTTCCACGAGCTCACTTTGAAGAGGTTGCTAGGAGACCTATCGTGTCGGCTCGTGCCCTACCTGGAGGTAAAGATGTAAACTTAGGCCAAGTTTTTAAAGTTTTTTCCCACAACGACCCTGGCTCTGTAACCCCTAAATTTGAGATAGGCCTTATTTACACATCTTTCAGTATCACTTTCTATCTATCTATCTATTTATCTATCTATCTATGAAACTAGAAAATAATTTGTGCATCTGTAAAACCTTGAACCACAAGAATATTATTTTGTTCAATATTAAAAATAAGTCAGTTAAAGCAGAACAGTTTAACATTGATAAATTAATGAAAGGAAATATAAAAGCTCAGATACATAAATTAAATAAATTAAGGCTCTTTCATTAGTAAAAGTTTAAGTTATTTCCAGCAGCCAAGGAAAATAGAAAATACAATTTAACCCCTTATTGTCTTTTAAAATCTAAAAATAGACAAATGTGTGACTTTACCGTCTGAAATTTCCTGTATATTTTCCAGTCAACTCTTTTATCTCAGTGATTTTGGTTCATCTATTGTTTTAAAAAATGTATTGCTTTCTGTGGAAGATTTTTGTTGCTTTATTTAAACTCTTGATTCAGAAATAAAGTTTAAATCAAATAGAATTGTGGTCAGTCATAAGAAATATCCCTCACAGTTTGCGGGTATTAAACGTGTTTTGACCAACATGTGGTCTAAAACCTTACAATGCTAAGTTCATATTTAGACTAGAGAGGTGAGCTTTAATAAAATAAAATAACTTAACATTTGTAAAATAACTTTTAATTTGGTCATCATCTGAAAAACTGCTGAAAAATAGAATAAAAATTTAATTCCCCATATTAGAGCACTAAAACTGAGTTAAACCAGCTGCCTCTCGACGGTTTAAAGCACTGTGTTTTTGTCACGTCAGACAGCGAAGCAAAGAGATGTCAAACAAGTCAAACAGTCTCAACAACCCACTTCATTTGCTGATAAATTATCGGTCACCACAGTTTACCCTCATGTCAGACTCAGTGTTAGTGTTTCCCAGTTCAATACAGACACATTCAGCTCTGTGATGAATGGGCTGCTTGTGTCTTGTCTCTGCTCAGTTTCAGACTGAGAGCAGTCTTTACTTTCAACAGTCGTGCTGTTATGGTCTGTTTGGCCCCTTCAGCTGTCTGCCATGAACCACAGGGGAGGCTGGCCGGGCCCCACATGAAGGGACTCTTCTTCAGCTTAAATACGAGTGAACAAAGACGCACAAAGTAATAGAAACCAGGATGTTTAGTTACAAGTCCAGAGTGAAGAAAACTGAAAGAAATAAAAGAATTTCTGCCTCTAAAATCTGGACATAAATGTTTGATGTACCTGCTAAACTTATCGACATGGTAGATGATATATTACACCTGAGTCAACACCTACTAAAACGGTTGAAAACTAATCAGACCAACTATATTAATTTTTTTAGTAATTTCAAAAATGAAAAAACAAAATTTTTAAATGAATAACTTTGCATTTTTCTACTTTTCTGTGACAGTAAAAAAACTTGGATTATGTTAAAACAAAAACAAAATATTTATGTATTCTTCGACAAATTGACATTATTCCTCATCTTGATTTGATTTGATTTGATTTTATTTGTCCCATAAGGGGATTTGTCTTCACAGATGACACATTACACATCTCAGGTGACAATGGACACTACACTCACACCAACAATAAATGACATGTGTAACAACAATAACAACAATGACAACTTACATGACAGCACAATAACAGATGGACAGATCGACGGGGCCTGCTGCTCAGGTCAGCTGTGGCTGCAGGGATCAGGCTTTTCCCCAGCTGAGCGATCCTGAACTCGAGGGTTCTGTACCTGCGCCCTGAGGGTAGTGGGATAATATATTGGTCCAGTGGGTGAGTGATGTCTTGTGCTATGGTGTTTGCTAGGCGAGTGATGGACTTGGACTTGTCCACCCTGTTTTCTTGTCTTGTTTTCTGACACCAAATTCAAATAACGGTTTTAGCTAAAATAGCTCAGTACTCAATACTTTCAAAGTTATTAATGTTACAGGATCGGCCAATCAGAGGCATGGCTGAGTTGACTGACAGGTGGGAACACTGTAGCCATTTGTGAAGAGGTTAAAAGCCTGCCTCTGGTAGATTGAATTAAATTTCGGAAGCATCAGTTTTACTAGTATAACAAAGCGCTGCTAATAGGCTTAAAAACTCTGCTTCAGAGACAAATGGGTGACGTCTGCAACACTACATCCATTTAATACACAGACCATGAGATAAACAGACCCAGAGGGGAGGACACGGTAAGGGAGCCGAAGCAGTACAAACTTTAAACTGATGAATTTTATCTGCATTATAACACTGATACAGATCACAGGCCTGATGCTGAATATCAGTCCCAAAAACCCTGAAGCAGGATGATCTTGTTCATGACTCACCCTGAATGGATGCTGCTGCACATTCAGTTACAACGATCTAAACGCTATCTGTCCGATAGAAATTGGTGGATAAAAATCAACTTCACTCTTTAAACTTTAGCTTTACTTCTAACACGAGCTCTTTATTCTCCACACAGAAAGTCTTAAAAAGTCCTCCCTCTTATTTGTTTTCTTTATAACCCTCCATGGATCAATTTTTGTTGTTCCAGCAGCCAAAATGATCATTTTTTTGGTCCAGTTAGTAGAAAAGCGTTGGCTTTATTTGCTGGAGGTAATAACTGAATGTGGTTCATTTATTTCAGTGGTTTCTTTGCTAATTATATCCAAAGGCTTGTCCTGATTGTTGCCGCTTTAACAATCATACTTTCTCCTGACCTGTCATTAGGGTCCTCTGGGTTTTGTGAAGAATCGGTCAGTCCTTCATTTGGAGGGTTAATCTCCCCTCACTCAGAGTGATAATGTGGACTCTCTCACAGACTCTCACACAGGCTTCATCAGTCTCTTCTTTCATTATGGACTCTGCCAGCCTGTTGAAATCTTGTTTTTTTGTCCTTAAACCAGCTCAATACGCCCACAGAGCTTTTAGTCACTGAAGTGGACTTTTGGTGGTTTGTAATAATGGCTTGTATGAATCCGTCTTTAACAAGGTCAGCCCTCAGTTCTTTGTTTCTCACCCATTTTCATGCTAATTAATGAATTAATTTCTGGCTAATTACTTAACGTTTTTTAAAGTGCTTTTTAGCAGATTCTCTGTGTCGTGCTGAAAGCGGGTCAGGCTGCCAGCTGCCCTTGTGCTCTGTTAGTTCAACTATTTTCATGCTAATCGGAGCTCTCTGTTAATTATGTGGAGTTTGTGTCTTAACTGTTTGAGGTCATTAAGCTCTGCAGTGGGAGGACACGTCTCTGTGATGATAGTCTGTGGACTTGGACGAAAATAAAGACACTAATGTGCACGAGGCACCAATAACTGTTCCCCCTCTGCAGACCCAAAGCCGTGAAACTACATAATGGCTTTCTGTCCCCTCTGGGCTGCCCTTTATTTCCCTCTTTCTGTATTCTAAAGATGTAACAACCGTGGCCTTATTACTGTAGTTTGGGCTAATTTCCCCACAGGCCAGCGTAACAAGGCAGAGAAAGCTGTAAATCTGTTCCTTCAGCAACAAAACACCTTCCTGTGCTCATGGGAGACCGTCTGCAGGGAGTCTGGTTCTGCCCGAGGTCTGAGTTGTGCTAACAGATCACGTCCGAGCAGGAACAGTGGTGCAGCAGAATAAAAGGAGCAAGTGTGAGGGATGAACTGCAAGTTAATCCTGGATGTAGGTCTTTCATGATGGTAAACAGTCCTGTTTAATCAGAGAGAATAAGGAAGGAAGGTCTGGATTAAACTCACCGAGGGGAAGGAGATAGATAAGCAATTAGGAAGCGAGTCTTCAAGATAAAGGGAAAAAGATAAAAACATACAACTGTGTGAGTTTGTGCAAGGTTCAGCAAAAAGTTGGCTAGATGATGTGAAAGTTTATAACCAACCGCTGACCTGAAGAACCAATCAGATGATACCTTCTGGTTGATTTTAACATATCTTAGTTTTCTCTGCAGCCTCTCAGTTTGCAATCTCAGTGTCCATGCACTGATCTTATTGGGAAGGAATGTTCTGATGAAGAGGCTCTGCGCTGATTGGCTGACTGAGAGGGAAGGGACAGAAAGATGCAAAAGTCAGAAAAACACCAAAAGAAAAATGGGGAGTGCTCCAGGAGAAACTGCTCCACGACGATCCAGAATCTGACCCTGAATCAAAGTTTCAGGATTTCTCTGAGTGATTCGACAACATTTGGGTTTTATTTCTACTCTTTTGTGGTCAGTCCTCATTGAAGCAGTCCAAAGAGCTAAATACCATTATATAGTTTACTTCGAATACCCTCCAGTGTTACAGTGCTCTAAGGCCCCGGACTACATTTATATTTCATATTCAAAGGGCTCTCAGAAGTGGAGTGTGAGGAGGGAATATTCACGAGCAGGAATTTCTCTCAAACTGGAAACCCTAAAGTTCTTCCTATCGGATGTACAAACCTGAGATTTATCCATCTAAACATGTGCCTGTAACCGTTATGTCCCTCTCTCTGCTGTTTCTGTGTCAGGTGACCTCTCTGGGCGTGGCCACATTCAGCCTTTGTGCGCTCAGTATCGACCGCTTCCATGCAGCCACGGGCCCCACCCCCCTCCAGGTGCCCAAAGTGGAGCCCTGCCAGTCCATCCTCTCCAAGCTCTCCGTTATCTGGGTGGGCTCTTTGGTGTTGGCGGCCCCTGAGCTCCTTCTGTGGCAGCTTGTTCAGGAACCCGTCAACCTGCAGACGCTGTCTTCCAGCCTCCAACAGAGCCAGCCGGCGGGATCACTGATGGCCGCCTTAAGAGCAAGAACAGACTCGTTTAAGGTGGACGTCTGCGTCCGTGAGCCGTCTGCGGAGCTCCCTGAGAGCATCTACTCTCTGGTGCTGACCTACCATGAGGCCCGCATGTGGTGGATCTTTGGCTGCTACCTCTGCCTGCCTCTGCTCTTCACTCTGGCCTGTGACCTGGTGACAAGGCAGGTGCTAAACCAGCGTGAACCCCAGAAACCTGCAGCTGAGAAGGCGACCAGCAGATGCTCCTCCTCCACCTCGTCTTCCTCCTCCTCGACTAAAAAGAAGCAGCATGTGAGAGAGCAGCGTCTGCGCTCCACCGTCATGGCTCTCACAATCTTGTACGTCACATGCAACCTGCCAGAGAGCATCTGCAACATCACACTTGCGTACATCTCTGCCCACCTGTCTGCGGCGCTTCCGGCTCTGCTCCTGCCAGCGCTGAGCCTGATTGGTCAGTTCCTGCTGTTCATGCGTTGCTCGTTGACGCCGGTGTTGCTGCTGTTCCTGTGCCGCTCGCTGGGCCAGGCCTTCATGGACTGCTGCTGCTGCTGCTGTGAAGAGTGCCTCCCAGATGGTAACTCCTCCTCGTCCTCGTCCGCCTCCACCGCAGCCACCTCCAACCCCTCCTCACCCACATCTCCCACCCCGTCCTCCCTCACTCCGTCCAGTAAAGAGGAGGTGAAGAGCGTGTTGGCCGCAGAACCGGCAGTCTGCTACGACAGAGCGAAAGACTCTACGGCAGCTATCGGGACGCCGTGCTGAGGGACAGAACTGCTGTGACCACAAAGATCACCGTGTTTGCCTCGACTTGGGTCTTATTTTAGTGGTTTTAACAGAAGTTTCTGTCAGTCATGAAAATGCTGTACTCATTAAGTAAACCCAAGACATCTGGGGTCAAAGGTCATTGAAGTGACCGGTAAACACAGCTCCATTTTTGTCCTGGTTTGATAATGAAATCAGTCTCTAGATGTCCTTTTTTTTTTCAAAGAGTCAAACTCTGATTTCTTCTCTTGGTCAAATGTGAAAACAAACGTCAGCTGTGCGGGAGATAAACATGATCTCTGAGGAAGAACGAGAACGTTTAAAGAGGAGGGAGTTTAAATTCATCTAATCTTACAACTCAAATTTAGAGATTTATTGTTTTAGTTTGTGAAAAATCCAAACTGGTACTAATACTGGCATTTAAAATAACATTTCAATCCACAACCAGTTCCAGTACTGGTGTTTTTCACATTATTTTTCTTCCCAGTTCTGTGTCTTACCAGGAGATGAATGGTGACACAGTAAAATCTCAAAGCTCTAAACTAAGCAAGTGTTTTACTCTTGTCCAACTGGTCTCGGCACAAACAATATTCACCTGATTTCAGCTAATTGGAAGATACTGGATCTGACTCTCTTATTATGAAACAAAAACCTCCTGTGGAGTAAGAAAAACTGACTTCTCACAGTAAGAAGCTCTTATTTCAAAGATTTATCTCTAAACTTCAGCAGTCATTCTTACTCATCCCATCCAGGTCGTATTTCTTCTTAAAATAAGACGTCTGTCTGGACTTTTCAGGTGAATGTCACACTTATAGACATTTTCATTATAGAGATTAGACAAGCTCAGTTTGGAGTTTTTACAGTGTGCTGAAAGTTTTTTAAAACAGTTTTTGCTGTTTTAAGATGATTAAAAAAAACTGATTGGCACTAAACTTCATTTCTGAATTTAGATACTTTGATTCTTCACGTCGGGTCGACGCTTTAACTGCTTAGTTTCAGGAAAATCAATCAGCAATCAAATCCTTAGAGGGCCTCTGTAATCAGCCTTCTAAAGTCCCAGACCTGAAACAAAATCACTGCTGCCACATTTGACTTTTAGTCATCTCATGTATTTCTCACATGTAACATTTGTCTCTGCTCATCCATAAAGCTGCAGCTGAAAGACACAACTGTAAAGTTTCATCTTTTCTGTGAGAGAAACAAAATCCTGGAATCCTCGGTCACTGGGAGCTTATTGCAAACTTAACAAATGTGAGATTTTCTGCAGCGTTTTCGCAGCTGAATGTCTGTCACTTGTTTTATTTCCCCTTTAACTCACTGTATCACTCTTTGATTCTCACAGAAGCTCCTCTGGGGATCCGTGTTGCAAATCAGCATCCTCCATAAACACCATGATACTTGCACTGGATGGCTGTTTGCAGTTTATCTCTGCATACTGTATTCATCTTAATCAAATAGACTGTAAATTAAGATAAAGAAAAACTTAGCTCGTACTCCCTCCTATTCAAATGTCATTGAAACATGTCAGACAAACCACATGTTGCTAATCTTTCTCAGGAAATACAGAATACTCCCAAACTGCTGATTTTTTACTGACAGATAATCTGAAAACTACCAAAATAAAACCCAAGTTGTCATAAATCGAGTTCCTTTAAAGCTCCTGTGAGGAACTTTTGGTTTGCTTTGATATTGAGGTTTGCGCGTCGAGACGTAGACCGCTGCGTATTGCTATCATGCGGTCGTTATTAAAGTTTGTATAGCTAGAGAAGCAAGCGGTCGGCAACACTCATCTATGGAGGGGGTGTCTAACTCGGTGTTATGGTCTGTTTGACCCTAACTTAATTTTCACTCTGGAATATCCCTTTAAAGATGGTCCGAGTTGTTTTTTAAGGTCATAAAGATACATCAGTGTTAATTAAACCAGCTGAAATTCCCTCCCAGGAGCTTTAAACCTCATTTTCTGTGATCTGATGTAGAAACACTGCAGTGATAGAGTTAAATCAGTGTTAGATGACTGTATAAAATGTAGACTTTGCCATTTTATAGATACAGTTTTTTACTTGTGATGGATTTAATCCTGTTGTTGTCTTTTTTTAGTGATACTTCAACATTTTATCGACATTAACCTTTGAAATGCTCATTCAGGATCTTTGTTTGTCCTTCTCAGAGTACTGTAAGGAGAGAAACACTGGATATTTGAGTTTTAAGATGAAACTGCAGATGTGTCCAGACTTTCGTTACAGCCTGCTGTAAACTCTGTCAGTTGTGTTTTTCGTACGTAATGTCGCTGTTGCTGCTCGGATGGCAGCAAGTTTAAAACTTGATCATATCAGAGAATCAATAGTTTAAAATCTGGAGCGAGTCGCAACAAGTTTTATTTTGATGTGTTTTTGTCTGTGGTTTAGTAAAGTTTGAGTTTCCTTAAAGAAAAACTTTTGTGCATCTCTCAGTGTGTTTATTTAACGCCTGGATTTGACTCCACTTCAGTGATACTTTCAGCCTTTTCTCTTTTCCGCTGAAGTTGGTTTGAAATTTGGAGAAACGTCTGCAGGTTTTTGCTGCTGCTTAGTGCATCACTTTTCTGTTTCCTGCAGAGACACGGTCAGAAGAGGCAAATTCAGCCTTTCGATGACTTAGCTTGTTTTGCTAATGAGAGCAGAATTTAAAGGATGATATACAAGTGCATCTTATTAAAGTCCAATATCAGGGGAAAAACATTTTTTCATTATTTAATCTTAAAAAGGTGGATTTTCAGATATTCTTGTATTTGTGTCATATAAAGTGAAACATTTTGAGTCGGTTTTCTGATTTATTTTGATGACTGTAGCAGAGTGATCATGAAAATCTGAAATCTAGTATCTTACGATCAGAGTAATACCTGAGATTGATTGTAAAAAGGATTAAAAATAAAGAGTAAACTAAAGTTGTTGTTTCTGCCGGTGAGACTCTTGTAAAGGCTGTGAGACCTGTCAGCTTCACGAAAGACTTTTATTCATTTTTACGTCTTACATTTTCATAAATACTGGTTTAGTCCAAAAATTGTCCTTCCAGTTCCAAAGTCAGAGTCTGGGTCTCATTAACCTCCTTGTGGGTTGAATTAAAGCTCCTATAAGGGACTTTTGTGTTGTGAAACTTTGGTGCCTCTCTGTGATCATTTTCACTGATTATACCCAGAGGTGCTTATTCACCAAATAACCTCCTTCTGCTGTTTTTTAACAGCCAAATGTATCAATCGATCAATGTATCAACCCCCCCATCAGCATTTACAGGCATTAGAAATAGTAATCTTGAAAGATGATATGTTGTTGCCCAAGGTTTGGTCTGTTTATTTATTTATTTATTTTTTTGGGGGGGAGAAGCACCAGTGTAAATTTCAGTCTGTTTCTTAAACTCTGAAGTTTCCTCACAGTGGCTTTAACATCAATAACTTTAATAATATCTGAGTTTATACAACACCTCTAAAAATAAGAGTTTTCAAAGTGGTATGACGGACGGAAATAGAAATGCAGACCACAATTTGACCAAAATATCACAAACACAAAATGATCAAAAACGTCACTTTGATCGATCGATGTAGGAAACCATAGAAACCTAAACGAACCCGGGCAGATTTTAGTTTAATGTCAAGTTAAAATATTATCCTGCTTCTTTGCTCTGATTCACATGAAACTGAACATTTTCCACTGAAGGTAACAGTATCTCACTTATTACTGGGTTAACTAAATATCCACACTGGTTATCTAATTCTTCATTAAAAGGTCAGCTAGACTCATTTGAGGTTCTTGATTGCCGTCAAAAGGGATCTGAGGTGATCAATTTCCAACTTTGAACTGAAGACGCCTTTTTGGAAGAGAGACGAAACAACTTCAAGAACCTCAAACAAGTTCGGTTACCCTTTCACTGAAGAACTGGAGATAACTGTGACACGGTGGATGAGAACTTACACAGACATCCTCACTGGTTGGTTGTGATTTAAATCAGATTTTATTGATTTTAAAATTATTTATCCATACAGCTAAAAAGGTCAGTTTTGATGCTTGTTTAACAGGTTTTCTCTTCCCTGTAACTTTTAGAGGCTGTTGACGTTTCCTTCTCACTCAGTCAGTCCTGTAACTCTGTCATCATCTCATCATCTCTGTTTTCTTCTATTTGCTCAATGTCTCTTTCATATCAGGTCCATTTTTTATCTCTTTCCCCTCCTCTTGTTTTTTTCTGCTGGTGACTGGACCGCATTTAACCGGTAACATAAAGTTTTGCATTCACCTGATAAATCAATCAGAAGTGATCATTTGTAAACATCAGAATCAGCTGCGTGGTTAGTTAAGTGAAGTATAAGTTGTGAAATCCTGTTCAGGTTATATAATATGTGTTTCTGTTTAGAGAAAATATTCAGGTTGTTATAAATAAATGAATTTAAAAGGTCCTCTCAGGGTTAAATTAGACGTCAAGCTGTCAATCATGAGACTAAAGAAATTTACACAATGAAAAGACAAAAAGAGGACGAACAACAGGAGAACAAAAAGATGGAGAAGGAGATATTTTTAGTCTGATGGAGGAAAAACAGCCCAACAGAGAAGAAGGGAAATGTTCCAGCGAGTTAATTTGCTTGAGGATGAAGGGTTGTGCGTTTCTGAAGGGTCCTTGTGTGGATTAATTTAATTTGTAGACAGAGAGATGATGTTAAACTCTGATCTCCTCTGGAAAGAATGTGACGCTGCAGAGCTCCCACACCCACCGAGGAGAAGCTGTTCATGCCTGACTGTGAGCTCCTCTCTGTCATTATTCAATTATTGAAGGTCACAGCTTCACAATCACAGCTGGCCTTTGAGTTTCTGCAGACATAATAACCTCGCTCACTCTGGGACCAGTTGCTGAGGAGAGCAGACAGGAATTCCTCGCTCTACCGAGTATTTTCAAGTGTTTCTCAGCATTTTTTTCTACTTCTTTTTGTCAGAAATTGAATAAAATGTTGACAACTCCAGACGGGCTCTCTGGAGTACCAAGAAATGATCGAGTTTCTGAAAGTCTGATTCTGTGTGTTTTTATCTCAGGCATCAGCAGCCCTCAGTCCTCTCTGCAGGTTAACATGCACATACCTGTGCTGGTCACTCTTCCAGAGAAACTTTTCGTTGATAGATAGTCTCTTCTTGCAGAAGACGAGAACAGACATGGATTTTTCTTTTTTTATGCACTGTTATTTCATGATAACGACTTATTGTCTTGTTAACTTGACATAACAAAGATCGTTTTCTCATGATTCTCACCAAAATGCTCATTTAAGGCTTTTTGACACGTTTAATCAGATAAAGCTGAAGGGATGAAGTGGACGTGGGGTTAATAGTGTGGACTGGAAATAGTAAAAACTCCAGTTTAAATACTTTACCGGTACAATTCAGGGGACACCTGCAGGTCCTTCACAGACGTCTGAGGCCCCTGAGTCCCTCTTCGGGGACGGCTGTTTTGAGTTTGAGTCTCGTTCCTTTGAGCTGAAATATTTGTCCTCCCACGTCGCTGAGCCGGGGCACACAGGAGGAGGAGGGGAAGCTTCAATAAGGCCGGCTTTGTTCAGGCGTCCCCCTCTCTGGCTCAGAGAGAGACACACTCGAACAAAGCTGCATATCAATCGCACGACCGGCGAGGGGAGTTGCTAAGTTACACGACACCCACCACCTCCCACCAGCTGCCCCGTCACTGAGCAGAGAAGAAGAAGAAGAAGAAGAAAAAAGAGGGGAAACTGCTGCCGTCCACCCGGATAAGCCCAAAGGTTCTTGGTTGCCGTAACAACCAGCAGAGACACAGCAGCATGGTGGGCTCTGGTTAGCAATATGTCTTAAACCAACAAGGTCCTGAGTTTGAACCTGTTTCTGAGTCAGTGGGTTCCTTTATGAGGTTTACCAGGGAGCCAAAACAACCAAAACCGAGCAGAGGGAGTCAAGACGTCACAGGACTCATGTGAAAAACTCAATAAAGAAGCTAAACAGTCTGTTGTCTTGTAGACAGTGGGTTTGGTCTCACCAGTGTCACATGCATGCCTGCTCTGCTCAGTCATTTTGCTGATGCTCTCCCTGCTGCAGGCTTTAGACTCACTTATAATGATGTGTGAAAGAGCAGGGAGCTCTCACAGCAAATAGAACTCATTGCATGCAAGTTATTTTTGGGCACCATGTCGCCAAATGTCATATGTCACATGGTTTCCATATATGTCACTGTGTAAGTTTATAAGCAAGTTTATATGGTGACAAGCATATAAATACTTCACTATCTCTGGGTCTCTTTGTATCTAGGAAAGAGAAATAAGCTTTGACTTTCCCCTAAAAAAAAATAATTTCTATAAAACACTGAAACAACAAAGTCCTGAGCATAATTAAAAAGACCAAAAATTGTTGGCTTCCTTCTGTCTCGCAAGACAATGGAGTACGCGCCAGGGATTAATCTGGGTTGCAGGCCCTGCCGTGGCCGAACAGTCCGATCCAGGATTGGCAGTCTCTGTTTCAGTTACCACAGATGTATTGTGAGCCTGCCCCTGTGGGTGCTGATGCTGCCTTCTGCTGCCTGTGTGTTTTCCTCTCCTCCCAAAGGTTCTCTCTCCTTTGCTCACTCCTCTGAATGCCTGCCTTGCCTTGATGGCCGGCTTCCATTTGCTCCGGTCTGCAGCTACAGCTTCCCAACCATCTGGGTTGATGTTGCCTGCCTTCAGGTCTCGCTTGCAGACGCCCTTGTAGCAGAGAAGAGGCCTTCTTTTAGGTCTGGAACCGGATGCAAGCCCCCCGTAGAGCATGTCTTTCGGGATTCTGCCGTCTTGCATGCGGTTGACATGGCCAAGCCAGCGTAAGCGCCTTTGGGTGAGCAAAGCAAACATGCTTGGTGTTCCCACCTGAGCCAGAACGCTCTTGTTGGAGATACGGTCCTGCCAGGTGATGCCAAGAATCCTTCGGAGACAGCGTAGATGGAAGGAATTGAGTCTGCGTTCTTGGTGGGGGTAGAGGATCCATGCTTCACTGGCATACAGCAGTGTACTGAGCAGACAGGCTTGGTACACCTTCATCTTGGTGTTGATGGTCAGCATGGAGTTGTCCCAGACCCTCTTTGCAAGACGAGCCATTGATGTTGCTGCCCTGCCGATCCTTGTGTTCAGCTCAGCATCCAAGGAGAGGTTTGTTGAGATGATGGAGCCAAGGTTGGTAAAGGCCTCCACCACCTCAAGGGTGTGGTCACCGATGGAGATGCAGGTTATGCTGCTATCCATGCTTTAGTCCGTACAGCCAACACCAATTGATGTTTCTAATAAAACAATTATTTCTGTTTAATGAAAGGATCTGGTGTGGAGATGAAGCACCAAGTATTGGTGTATCTTGATCGCCAGAGGATATATCCAGAACACTAGGATATATTACTAGTATAAGCTGGATAGGACTGTTTTATCCTTGTGTACCCTGAGCAGGCTGAGACATCTGGCTTCTTACTGGCTTCTTCAGGTCACCTGATCACAGGTACAACCTCTGATTGGGCGTCAGAGCAAAACAAGACTTTTAGAATACTGAACTTACAACAAAAGTATCAATGTTTGAGAAAAATACCTTATAAATCATCATCCATCATTTTCATTTTTGAGAGGATTCCAGTCTGGAAACACACTAATCTTCTCTGTGGGAAGGAGAAGCTTCTGAATGTCATAGAAACACAGACAAAGTTTAACCCCAGTCTCACGAAACAAGTAGATTTTAAATTGAAATTGTTAAATCATACTGTTTTATTGTTACAGCTGAAACACAACAGCAGCATTAACCCTGAATAAAGGATGATTTCACTGTTTTGATGCGCGGTGAGCATGTCAGGGACGATACATAGAAACAGACAAAATTAAGTCAAGATTGAGATTGATGAGCTAAAATCCATCTTTATGTACCAGTTAAATTATAACCCTATGGAGAAAACAACAGAAGTTTCTCCCTCATGTGTTTGAGGCCTCTTTGTATTGACGTCCTCCTCTGCGCTCTGACAGTTATATTTTTATACCCGTATTGTTCTGCCTCCAGCCTCAGCAGGATCAGGAAACACACAGAAAATATCTGCTAGCAGCAACCATTACCAAGACGACAGATCAGAGGCGAGCAGCCATC